CCGCAATCCGTCCGGCCGAATTTTTCCCTTGGCGATGGAGATCGAGACACGGATACACATACATAATGCTCCGTACACTACGGATAGGGCTGGAGAATGAACAACTGGGAATAAAGCTGCAGCTTTGTCGGGCCTTGTAAGGGTTGCGTGAGAAGGGACGAAGAGACGAGACGCAGCAGGAGGGAGGAAGCCACAGCGGCCCTACTCCGGCCGTTTTGGTGTCTCATAGAGTTGTCGATCCAGACACGACAGAGCAAGACTACGGCAGCGAATGGTGACTGGCCCAGTCCATCCATGCCCTTCCCCCGACAAGCAGCCCCCCACACCAACCACGGCTCAAAGTCTTTTGGAAGACGTTGCACAATAAGATGAGCAGCGTGGTGGTGGTGGTGGTGCTACGTCGCATCTCTATGCTTTGCCTCTCTCCAGTTAGAGTACTTTACATGCCAGCAACCTAGTCTTGACGGAGCTGGTGCTGGTGCTGCTGCCCTCATGGCATCTCGGTAGATGGGGCTGATCATGAAATCATTAATTCATCGAAAAACTACCGAAGGCGCCTCCCCCTTTCTAATTAGCTGCCTACCTAAATCCGTCGACAAGCATCCAAGGTAGGTAACTCGAAGATCCCTAAAATGGGTAATGATGAGCAGCATGGGGGGGAAAAGGGTTCTGAATCGTGTCAAAACCTGGTTCTGCCGGAAGATGGCACATATGACGCCTGGGGCTGCCTCGGTCAGGCGAGGGGGAAAATAAGGCCGTCGCCTTCGCCGGGCATATCTCGATTCAGGTGCCTACATACAAAGGATAGGATAGGGTTGGCATTGCGTGTAAAAAGCTCTATGGATCGACCGCAGCGGCGGGCCTTGGAGCACTGTGGCCGTTTCGAAAAGTAAACTGTGATCCGGCATCGAGCAGTGATCTTGCAAAGCCCGTATCTGTCAAGGTCAAGGGGAGCTTGACTTGCTTGCTTTGTCTTTGCTGACAATGATCTACGGTAGGTAGGTATTTTTGATGCAGTAGTAAACGAAATTTCGGAAGTACAACCCTACAACCTTGGGTACATCAGCCACCACCTGTCAAATCAGAATGGCCCAAAAGCGTGCCGTACAATGGGTAATGATACAGTATATACAGTATAAGATAAAAAATGACTGTCACGTGATGCCGAACCCTCCGGCCCCCAACCCGGATCCCGGTGACGTACGTCCAGGAGAAAGTCAAGGTGAGCGATAGACAGCAGCCAATCCGTCTCCATATATCGCATTCCTATCTCGGCGGGCTCGGAATGGCCCCAGCGATGAGCGACGCGCCAGAGGCCGTATCGGCGCGACTTTTTCCCCAGAAATACTCCGTCCAAGCAGCGAATAGTGCGGATAGGCTACAGCTTGTACGGAGCACCGCCAGAGAGTAGTACCTAATCAAAGCCACAACGCGGCGGGCGTTCTTATCCGTCGTAACCCAGGAAGGGAACAGAATGCAACCTCGGACGGAGCTTTACTGATGTTCCCACTGTGCTCCCCGTAGCATAACCCCATAGGTGGCTACGGGGGAGCTGGTTAATGCCTTGTAGGCATCAAATCCGGAGCATTGAGTTGGAATTCCTTGGAGCAACCTTATGGCCAAGGCGTTACGGACAATTACCTGCCACTAGGTATCTCCTACAAGGGTCTCGGTAGTAACACCGAGAGGCAGGTGAACGGTAGTTTATACATCAAGCAAATCACAGAGCGCCGTGAGGCATGTGAAGAGCAAGCTCCGCTACACTAGGAATAGCCTGCAATGCAGAAGACGTTTCAATCTCGCCTCGTCGAAGGACCGATACGGGCCAGCTTCAACTTCCGGATAGGCCCAGCTTGCCCATGCACGCCAATGTGTTGGCTTCTCGGAATATTTCTGCTGGTAACCATGTAGTGCATCAGTGTATGTAGCATTTGGCTCGTTTTCCTAGTCTATTTTTTACATAATCAAAGTAGCCTCAAGGCGCCAAGGATCAGCAGGATTGGGAGCAACGTAAGACCCATTGCCGCTGGGAGACGCGCTGCACCCACTCGGATGATTCCGTTGCATTTTCCTGTTAATGAAACCTCCCTCTCGGAAAAGCTGTGCTACCCTGTTCGGGGCGTTTATAGGACCGTTGCTGGGTTTCATTGGTGTAACCAATGTGCGTCTAATACTTACCTCGGTACCATATAATTCTCCTCGTTGGTGAGTGAGGAGCAGAAAAGGAGGCTTGCACGACAACACACTGGAAGAGAAACACATGCTCGGAAATATTATCCGACGCAGCCACGCGTTTGACGGCCTTCTCTCCTATCAGGAGCTTAAGTGGCAGCCTTGGCGGGAGAAAGCCACAGCCCTCCACTCTGTGTCTCGGCCGGACTTATGGGTTTGTTGTTCTAGTCTAGCTTCGCTGGGGGCGGCTAGAAGAATTGATATGGCAGCAAAGAACTGGGTCAAGCTGTTACTAGGTATCAATCTGCAGTATGGAGACCCTTATATGGGGTCGCCAAGCGCACTACCCTGATAAGTCTCGACTGAATCAGTGCACAGTACATGCACCTGGTAATCGATCATCCGGATACTGGGGTCTGCTTTGGCCTTATACAACATAAACTCAATGTCCCCAGCTGGCAGACGCTATGGAAGTTAGTATTTGCTACAGCCACTGCGACTGCCATGTACTATGCCCAAACCAATAAACTTTATGCCCCTAAACGGCGGGATATGCACGACTTTAGCCGTTTAGATTAACCAGCCTTCGCTCTAAAAATCAAAAATTGCCCGAGCTGAGGATATTTAATGGCAAAGCCATCTGTAGGATTCAAATAATCGCATTTGGTTTGAGTTCCACCTCGACACAGATAAAGCAGTATACCTACTATGTATTACAGTACATGTGTACTATCACGAATGAGTACACTTCCTGCGCCGAAAAAGAGATAACAAATGCAAGATCGGTAATCACGGCTTCATTCCGGAGGCACTTTCAGATTGGCCGCCAGATTTTTTTGCTCCAGGCATTTTCTGTCCTCAGCTGATGCACGCGGCGCCGATAGGGCCTTCTCGGCGTTTTTAAGGTGGCGAGTGGAGATGGAATTTCACGGCGCAATTGTCCAGATCGCTTAGCCGAACGCCTGACAGCTGTGTAACGTGTAACGTCTTTTTTTTCTTTTTCTTTTTCTTTTTTTTTCCTCGTTTTTTTAAATTTAGCTTGCTCCGTAATATCTGTCACCTTGCTGATGAGAGACGTCAGGTCGCGGTCTAGAATAATAGGTACATGGAGCCTCCTGTTGACCTCTTTCGCAGCGAGGTTGATTCACTGTTATCGTCCTGCAATTTGAAACGGGGAAAGGAAGAGTTCATTATTACTACTGAGTGGTTGGCCATGTCACCATCTCATGTGTTGTGCTATTTATAGCCTTGCTTCATTATGCAGCTGATAAGAGAGCCGCACCGCCGAGGTCCATATCAAGAGGGCCCTTGGCCAACAGCTCGCTTGAAGTATTACAAGTGTGTTGGTTTGGTAACGTTGTCAAGCTACTGCTACTTGGTCACGAGGGTGAAGGAAGCAGAACCTGGTTTACTGCTCCGTACCCACTACTACTGTACGAAGGATAAAACGGCAGTGTTCCTTTCGGTGATAACAGCTGGAACACTCGATACCTAGCTTCCTTGTGCCGGGGAGAGAGAATGACGATGCTCGGTAATCCAAGGCCCACCAGGAAATTGTAACAGGGCGTTCCAGCTCACAGTAAACTCGTAGAATAGGACACAAATATTGCTATCTTATTGAACACCAACCTGAACCTAATGATAGACGTAAAGCATATTGGAAGAAGGCAGCAGGATGTTAGGAAATACTTCTGAGACACTACCTAATTCAGAACAAAACAGATGGTCAGTGGCCAAAAATCTGCGGTCATTGCATAGTAGGTTGACTTGATATAGAAACCTAGATATTATTTTTTTGTAAAGGACATTTTATAAACTTGTTTTATACACTTTATTCGTATCTAGAGTGGAAAAAAGGGGGGGTTATATGTCTCACACTATTCTATGCAAGAAATATTCACTTTATGTGACGGCTTTTACAGTACCCCCCTTAACATCTTCCATAACAAATTATATCAAGTAATATCAGAGCGCAAAAGCATTGTAGCATACTTGCCTTTTACTCAAGAGAGTTTTATTTTGCAATACCTTTGGGGAAATAAATGATAGACTTTGAAAAAGTACTGGTTTTCTAATTTAGGGTAGCATGGAGTGGTCGCAGAGTGCTGGCCAGTTGAGAAAGACGGCGTGAATAGGCCAAGAAACATCCAGATTCCATAGGAAATACAGTCAAATAAAAAAAAAAAAGAGTATTTCTGAGTTAAATGCTGTTAACAACTATGGTAGATCAAGAGGAAGAGAGTGTGAGGAGCCGAGATTTGGTAGTTTATCGAAATAGAAGTAAGTCTCGCATGATATCTCGTCGGTAGAGCATCAATTTGGCTAGGTGTGAGGACCAGTGGGAGAAGATTTGACATTTCCAACGCTTGAAAATAGAATCTTGAAATACCTTTATATTAATCTATTTATTCTGTTATTTAGTTCTACTACTGCTAGGATATAATTTAGATTCTGCAGCCCCCAACGATTGATGCTGGATATTGGGTATCAAGTTACCGCATGATATATGTCAAGTTTACGACTGGGAAACAGCATCGAGATGCTGGTCCGCGCTCTCCCTGCGTTAATTCTCACACATCTCAATAACCCCTCAGAAAAACGTCACAGTATTTGCATTTGGTTGGATGACAGCTGTCTGCGTTGGCACAGATGTGGGAGGCCTACCGCGGGTGCCTACGAGGCTGCATAGGCACATTATAGGACTTGTACAACTGCTGGCCAACAACCGCTGGCCAAGTCACTGTCGCCCAGTAAAAAAATGCCTGATCTATCATTTCTCCAGAATCTCACCTCTCCCCTCTTTTCTTCACTCCCTCTGCAGCTACAGTCTTCTGTGCGATACTTTTCCATCGTTCAGCTTTCCCTGCTCGCACTGATCAACCCCCTACCAACCTGTCAAGAGTGAAACCTCTTGAAATTCTCGTAATCTCTCGAATGAAGCTTCTGTAAACTCGAACAAGACGAGATAATGAAGAGAAATCAGTGAGCCTCACATATTCCCAGATGCACAATTCGTTGTACTCATCAAGCGATTACTTCTAGGCACAGCTATCCCACTCCTCCTACCACACCATCCGACGGCTCTGTCAAACCATGCTTTCAATACAAACGAAATAACAGTTGCAAATATGGAACACGGTGCAAGTTTTCGCATGACACTGGAAGAGCACAAGCAAGCCATTCCAGTGTTCCGACGAAGTCATTTGGAAACAAGCGCAACAACCCTCCAGAGGGAAAGCTGGGGAGATGGAAGCAGTTGCGACAAAGAGGAGATGAATCTGCTCGGCCATCTCTCCAGATAGTCGGTCAGTTTTTCGGCCTAGCACTCGAACTCATGGATGGAGATGTCGGCGCTGCCCAAGAGGCAATCAGGCTTCTTGCTGATGAAATTGGCCTGTCCTTCATCAAGGATGTGATAGACAGGCACATCTCCATGACAAGTCGTTTTACAGCAGGATGTCAACTATGGGAGACAGAAATCAAGCCACTTTTTCAACTGGTGACGCATGCCCGCGTCGTTGATTCTGCCGTGCTGGAGCAAGAATGTGCGACCATCTATAATTTCATGGTTGGAGTGGGAGGATCCAGGATGAGCAGACTCTTTCACTACATCGATTCGCTGCTTCAATCATGGCCGCCTACCTCAACACACATGTCCCTTATAGAGGCAGCTGGTCTATCTCTTGCAGTATTGGCTAAGATGCTAGACTGCAACACCATTAATATCATCAAAGATGATTTCTCAACATTTGCAAATAGCTTGTCTCGCCCTTTGGAAGAATCACTGGAGCCAGAAGAGACGTCTGTTCGCCTTCAGGCTAGCAAACACCTTTACTATATCCGCCAACGTCTTGAAATCGGGAATCATATATCAAGCTTGGAAGTTCAGAGCCACAGTGCCGTCACTCGGGAAACATTTATTTTAGCTCGAGATCTCCCTGGCAATCTCTCAGATGGAGGGCCGCGGCATGACAACGATGACGCAGATATCGTTAACATAAAGATCTTGCCGACATATAAAGAGATTATGTCGCCACGAGAAGAATATTTGCCAGTAAACGATTGTTCTCAATGGCATATTCCTGGCATTAGCGGACGTCTGGACAGAGAATTTCGTTTGCTACGAGAAGACACAGTTGGCCAGCTACGTGATGCGATTCGTGGCGCTTTTGCACGCATTCGTAGTTCCAAGAACCAGGCCGGTCATAGAACAAGCAATAACGCCTTACGCACATACACATATGATTCTGCTACGCTTGTCAATATTCAATTCGAAAAAAAAACTGGCCTGGAATTGGTTGTCCGCTGTGATCAACCTCCACCTGTCCCAACGCTGAATCCTAAACAGAGGAAAGACTGGTGGGAAAGATCAAAACGCCTACAAGTCGGAGCCCTAGTTTGTGTCATTGATGGAACTGAATCGGTCATGTTTTGTACCGTGTCTGAATCGACCTTGAGGAATCAAAGTGATCAAAAGATTCGAACGGAGAAGAAAGCAGCAGCTGATGCTTCTACAGCGTCTAAATTGACGCTTTCTGACGACGGAAACTATTTGCACGTAACTCTGCAGCTTATTGACGCCACACGAGATGATGTAGCTCAAGCTCTTCACTGGTTCAAGAGGAGAGGCCCGGCGCGCTATAGATATCTTGTAGAGTTTCCTGGTATTCTCTTAGCATCATTTAAGCATACTCTTGATGCTCTCAAGGAAATGCGGCAGAAGCCATATATGCCCTTTGTTGACCTCTTGGCGCCATCGGATACCAAAACTACAGAAACCAGTATTCAGCCGCCGCAGTATGCCAGGGCAGCTGGTTTCGCGTTCGACCTTAGGTGCCTCACTCATGATGATACCGAGCTTCTTGTTTCGCCTCAGCATCTTCCGGATCCAAAAACGGTTGAATCACGGACCTCTCTTGATATTACACAATCTTCTGCCCTCCTGAATACCCTATCTCAAGAATTGTCGCTCATTCAAGGCCCTCCAGGTACCGGTAAAAGCTTCACAGGAGAAAATATCATAAAACTTTTGTTGGCAAACAAGAACAAATGCACTCTCGGGCCGATACTATGCGTTTGCTACACCAATCATGCCTTGGACCAGCTTCTTGAACATCTTCTTGATGATGGCATTGGAAACATCATTCGTATAGGATCTCGATCAAAATCAGAGAGACTACAAGCTTTGAATTTGCGAGTTGTCTCCCAGCAAGGCGACCGCACAAAGGCAGAAAAGAGAAACCTTTATATTATGGGGCAGGAGCTCGATGTTTTAGCTGCCGGCATCGAAGATTCGCTTCGTGTATTGTCGACTTCCAATTCGCCAAATACCCTCAAGAAGTATCTTGCCAAAGCCTTTCCCGCACACCATACCACGCTATTTGGTTTCGACGAAGACGGATGGGAGAAAGTCGATAAGCCTCAAACTATCATACGAAAGTGGCTGGAAGGGGGCTCCCGTGACAATATTCATTGTCGAGATCTTGAGATCTTAAGGGAAGCTGAGTTGTTTACTATGTCTAATGCTGAGCGCCGAGAGTTACATCAATATTGGGTGAAGAACAGCGTAGCTTCATTTGTTCGCGCCACTACGCTACTGCAGGAAAAACATACCAAACTGATAGAGCGCCGTAGCCGCGTGCGCAGCGATGTGGATCTGCGTTGCCTTAACCAAGCCAATATCATTGGAGTCACAACGACCGGTTTGGCAAAGAATCTTCATCTTCTCCGGAAATTACGAAGCAAGGTCATGCTTTGCGAAGAGGCCGGTGAAGTCCTGGAGGCTCACGTTCTAACGGCCCTACTCCCTTCAATCGAGCACGCCATCTTAATTGGCGACCACCTTCAGCTTCGCCCACAGATCCAAAACTATGAGCTACAGAGCACAAATCCCCGTGGAAAGCAGTATTCTCTAGACACTTCATTATTTGAAAGACTTGTTGAGCCTCCCCATTTGACGGATTTACGTTTGCCCTATAGTACACTAGAGACACAAAGACGGATGCACCCATCGATATCTGAGCTGATTCGATCCACCTTGTATCCATCTCTTCAAGATGGTGAGAATGTTAAGAAATATCCAGCAGTGGTAGGTATGAAAGAGAGGCTATTTTGGCTTCACCACGATCAGCTAGAAGCTGGCGCGGCTAGTCATGACCCCCTGAATACCTCACACTCTAATGATTTTGAGGTGGATATGACTGTGTCTCTCCTGTCTCATCTCGTTAGGCAGGGTATATACGCAAGGGAAGATATCGCGGTCATTACACCGTACTTGGGGCAACTACACAAGCTACGGCGTCGAATGGAATCCATGTTCGAGATCTGCCTCAACGATCGTGACCTCGCAGAGTTGGAGGATTTTGAAGATAGAGATCAGATTGTGTCCGCAGCCATAAAAAATCAGCCTGCCAAATCTACCCTTCTGAAGAGTGTTAGAGTGGCGACAGTTGACAACTTTCAGGGCGAAGAAGCCAAAGTTATCATCATCTCTCTTGTTCGGAGCAATCTGCAAAAGAAATGTGGATTTCTAAGCACTTCCAACAGAATCAATGTCCTGTTATCGCGCGCGAAACACGGCATGTACATCATTGGCAACTCTAACACGTACTATAACGTTCCCATGTGGGAGGAGGTTATCAACAAGCTCCGTGCCAGTGGCTGTATTGGCAATAGCCTGGAGCTTCAGTGTAGCCGACATCCTGACACGCCAATCCAGGTTTCGCAGCCAGACCATTTTGTCATCTTCTCTCCTGAGAGCGGATGCAACCTGTCATGTGATAAGAGACTTCACTGCGGCCATTCATGTACTGGAAGATGCCATTCTGATGTTCTTCACAATGCAGTCAAATGTCTCGAGCCGTGCCCAAGGCCACAAAAAGGTTGCAGCCACCCTTGTCCTCGAGCATGTGCCGATGCGTGTCTAGACAGATGCTACTTCCAACTCGATAACATCAACCTTGCTCTTCCGTGTGGCCACAGGCTCTCTTCGGCAAAGTGTTGGGAAGAACAAAGCCCGGCCTCTGTTCGATGCAGGGTCCTCGTCAGACGAACCGTGCCGGGATGCAATCATGAGGTCGAGGTTCCGTGCCATGAAGATGTCACTTCTGCCAAATACCGTTGCACTGCTTGGTGTGGCTATCACCGCGAGTGTGGCCATGCGTGCAATAGTCTCTGCTACAACTGTAATACTCGAGAAAATGGTAAGATTACGGAGCAAAACCACGGTATTTGCCAACAGAAGTGTGGTCGTGGCTATTCGACATGCCGCCACGGCTGTTCTAAACCTTGCCACGGCGACGACAAGTGCCCCCCCTGCCAGCAGCCATGTGAAGTGCGTTGCGGTCATTCAAAATGCAACAAGGCATGCAACGAGCCTTGTGCACCTTGCGCAGAGAGTACATGCCACTCGAGCTGTCCTCATACAAGTTGCACCATGCCGTGTGCTGCGCCATGCGATTGGGTCCCATGTTCCAAGCGGTGCGAGAAAATGCTGGGATGCGGCCATCAATGCAAGTTATATATAACTATAGAATCTCCCACACACCTCATCCTAAAGCTAACGTTGGACTGCAGGCCCTTCTCTCTGTGGAGAGACTTGTCCCAATGAACGCTTTTGCCAACAATGCGCTACTGAAGATATCAAATCTTTATGCGTTGACTTTCTCGAGATGAAGGAATACCACGAAATTGATTTAGACGAAGAACCCTGTATTTTCCCGGACTGTGGGCATTTTTTAACTACTTCGTCTATGGACGGCCAGATGGGCATGACGGCGTACTACGATACGGATATTGATGGCCATCCGACACAGCTTGGCAAAGCGTCAGAACCTTTTTCGCTGGACGACTCAGGCATTCCAGTTTGTGCGACTTGTCGAGGCTCACTCCGAAATATCGCCAGATACGGCCGTATTGTACGGCGAGCCATGCTCGATGAGTCAACCAAAAAATTCATAGAGTGGTCTCACGAAAAATATCTCTCGCTAGCAAATCAGTTGCTGAAGGAGCAGGAAAGACTTGGGCAGCAGCAGAAGATCAAGGCAGCCTCATCAACGGTGAAAGGGGGCAAACTAACCCACTGTGCCCCGAGACTCAAACAACTTCGAGAGTTGCAAAAGATTGCGGACGACGATCGTTACGATTCTATCATTACCTTATGGAGGAACATTGGGTCATATGCAAGTGATGTCAGACAAGAAGAGCAGCCGTTTCAGCGAGTAGCTAATTTGGTACTATTCGCCAATCGCCAAAACAAGACACGTGGAGAATTTCGATTTGATGACTCTATTAACCAAATGAAAGGATCCCTTCTTGCAGATACGCTCTTGCTCAAGTGCGATCTTGCCATTCTCTTTGACTTTCGTCACCTGGCTAAAGATAAAGCCCTGGAGCTGGCAGACTTCAAGCTGGATTTATCAGGCCATTGGTCTGATTCTCTTCATCTCATTGAGTTGTCTCATAAATATGTATATTCGAGAGAGGAGGTTCAGGGGCATATTTTCGCCGTACAACTCTGCGTACTATGCTCATCATTTGGCCGTATTACTACCATGTGGGCTGATCATAAGCAGAGCATTGAAAATTTGAAGGAAGAGGCGCTAGATCATATTCAAAAAGCCCGTTTATTGATGGACAAGTATCCATCTACGGAAATATTCAAAGATGAAGTTGAACGGCTTGAGATCATGGTCAACGGTGGAATCTATCGCCCTGTCACGGCGGAGGAAATGCAAGCCGTGTACAAAGCGATGTCGAGGGAATTAATGGGAACAGGGCACTGGTATACATGTGAGAATAATCATCCATTTACGATTGGCGAATGTGGAATGCCTATGGAAGAAGCGAGATGTCCAGAATGCGGAGCTAGAATAGGAGGCCGGAACCACCAGGCTGTAGAAGGGATGAGGCATGCAGCTGAGATTGAGAATATTGCACGGGGTATGAATGAACTGGGAATGTAGGCAAATGCGTTGATCGACGACCTGTTTTATTGTATTTTGCCATATTGCATTGTTATTTGTTTCTTTAGTTTTTATTTATTTCAACGAATTGATGATAGTTTGAGTTAGGACTGAAATGAAACTGATATCAAATTTCACACGTGCCGCAGCCCAGTAGCGATTGCCAGCTGCATGCCCATCTCTTGCTGCTCCGATAAATTCTTCTTTCTAGAAGCAAGATTATCCGTTTCTATCTCATTCCAGCACTTTTCAACGAGGAACAAACCCCATAACCGCCCTTCTCTAAGCCATGCCTCCGATTTCGCAAAGGGTTCTCCGCGCCGAGGAACATTTGCTTGGTATCGAGCTTCGCCGACCCTTTGAAATGGTAGGGCAAGAATATTTCCTATGGAAGATCCGCTCAGAGCGAGAGGGAATCCATCGCAGCCAAATATACGTGGCCGCCGTGATGCTCACGTACTCGCCGTCAATCCTAACCATCGAGAACCTGCCGCGGATGGACGTCGATGACTTCCACGACACATGCAACAAATCAGTGTCTTTGTACATTCCTCGATACAGGAGGTGGAGTTTGCTCTTTACGGTTCTTCACAACTACATCTACCGACGATGGTTTCGACCGTACCAGAGCGAGATCGAACATCAACGCTTCCTCTGCAAGTTTATCGCTCCTCGCGACCTGGGCAATAAAGGACGCCCTTCGCAGACGTCTATCCAGAGCATAATCTCCCTCCACGAAGCTATATGCGCAGAGGTTGACGCACGAAGCCGCCACTACGAAGACCTGCGCCGTCGCTTCAACGAGCCATATGCGATACTGACGGAGCTCCCTGCGCGACCAGCTCTTTACGTCCTTCAGCCGCTATTCAAAGCACTGCTCATGATATTTTGTTCCAAAGAGTATCGTGGAGAAGACTCGACTCAGGTTGCAAAGCTCCCAGTCTATCTAGTTCGCACCGGCGTCGAAAAGGGTCTCAGCGCCCCCATATCTTTCTTGCCCATCGCAGCCAAGATAGATGTCTATCTACGGGCCGGTCAAGGAACTGTGAGGACCTCTCTCGAAACGGCCATAGGCTTTATGATGGACTTGGAAAGGAGAGAGAGGGATGCCTTTGGTCTTCGTCCCGACCCGTGGAGACCCGACACTTGGACGATGAATTGGTTTCAAACACCCATCGGAGCTGGACGGTTGGTTGGACCGAGCTCGTGGCTTGTTAATAGTGAAGAGAGAAGTGGCTGGGACGGAGATGGTTTTGATGTTGATCGTATGTTGAAAGCTCTAGAAGAGCAGGAGCTGGAAAACAACGGTGGCCATTGCTCAGGTGCTGTTCGAGGTTAGCCGTTTAAACAGAATCAACCAGCTGGTATGCCAAAATAAAGGGATTTGTAATATCAGCTGCATATACATGACAGAATAGTTGCAATGATCAAAATATGTCCATGTACGTAAACGCTCAGTAGAAATCCTTCACCAGGCTGTCACAAATATTCCACAACCTCTCTCCGCTTCCCCTCTTCTCAATACCCTCGACGACTTTTGGGAGCGGGGTCCCAATCTTTCCCCAGGGGATGAGATAGCACCCATTATGCTCAGCCACTTCGGCATCAAAACCTGCTTGCAGCTCGGTCAAGGCTCCCAATCGAACTGGGTACGATAGCATGCCCTGAATGCTCTTCAAGATGCTGGGAGCGTGGCGAGTGAGGTCTGTCTTGATTGCTCCAGGGTTGAAGGACACGCTCACGAATTGAGGATACCTCTTGGCCAATTCGGCCGCGAGAATGGTGTTTGCCCATTTGCTCTGTACATATCGCAGGCTACGCCCACCGAGACCGGAAAAGTTGGGTGAAGTCAGTCCCCAGTCATCCCATAGGATACCATCCTCGCCAGGGGGGTCAGGAAACTCCACAGAAGCTGCCCAGCATGTGCGGACGGATCCCTTGGGGGCGGCATCTCCGTCTGCAATCCTGAGCAGAATTGGCGTGAGGAAGTGCTGGAGCAGGAAAGGGCCCAATACGTTGGTGGCGAAGCTCAGCTCGTGTCCTTGCTTGCTGACACTGCCTTCAGGGGGAGCCATGACGCCGGCGTTGTGCCAGATAACATCTAGACGGGTTTCCGCCTCCAAGAACGCCTCGGCTGTTTGCTTGATTCCTTGCAAGTCAGAGAGGTCTAGAGGCAAGAATTTGAGTACGTCGTTGTCACCACCGGCGCTGCGACGCTTCATATCACCGGGCGGATCTGACGTCTGGATGGTGTTTATGGCTGTCTTGCCGGCAGCTTCAGACCGGCCAAGGATATATACGCGCGTCGCATTGGCGTGGAAGAGAGCTGTCGCTACAGCCAAGCCAATGCCTCCAGCGCCTCCTGTGACAATAAAGATCTATTCAATATGTGAGACAGCTGTATTACTTAGAGAGAGAGATAGACAGATGAAAGGAGGAGGAGAGGGCATCATACTCGTCCCTGCAAATCAGGCAAGTCTTTTTCAGTTTTCGTAGGCTTATCAGGCCAATATTGTCGCAAATATTTCGACATGATACAGAGGGGAGGAGAAAAGTTTGAGGTGTAAGTTGAAAATGCTTCGGAAGAGTTAATGCAAGTGAGATGGCTATTGGTGATTAGTTAACAACTAGATCTTACGTTCAAGCTGACCCAGAGCCGAGCCTAGCTCGAGACAGTGTAAAGAGAATGAGGTGTGATTATTAATTAATTGCGTCTGTAGAAGAACAAGACTGAAAATACATACTATTTAAGTAGATGTGTAGATAGTTAGTGTGCGTAATGATTTGCTCACTCTCAATGTAGATGGTTCATCAAGTAGGAGATGATGGGAGTCTTGAGTCTGATGAGGATGTAAAAGTTCTCTTAGTAGGCATAAAGAAAGTGTAGATTATCGCTTGATCCATTTACATAGTTTAGTGTGCCATGATTATATAACTGGTTGTGCGTAAAAACAATGGACAATTAAAATGAATGTTTATCAAAGGCATAGATTCGCAAGCAGACGAACTAATGATTATTGAGTTTCAAGTACCTTTCTTTACCCTAGAATTGGGGTGCAGATCGCCCTGAAGTTTATTTCGATTGGTTCAAACATACAGAGTAGGCAAACCACTATTCTGCTAGGTAGGAACCTCTAATACGAGTTACACTTACGGATCCCCTGCGAGCAGTGCTACCGGGTAGCAGAGAGACGAGTGTTTGGCTGCTTTAGGGCCATTCTCGTTGGTGCAGATATAAGGCGGATTGAATCTTCGGAATGAGCCAGCAAATGTAACGAGGTGCTAATAATGTGCACTGCTGTACAAATAAACCCCCCCCTTATACTCCGTATGCACCTAGTAGTAGCGGCATAAATAGATTGCTCTCAGGAACGGAAATAGACATGGCCACAGGCTCAGGCACAGAAGCAATCTTGCCTGCGGTTTCTGTACTCGATATCTGCGACTTCCGTACTAGTACAAGCCAGAGTTTATGCACGTGACTCTGGGCCAATCTTGATGCTGCAAAAAGCTTAAATGACATGCAGGGAACTTTTGCTGCCAATAAGACACAGTTTTTCCGACTGCCGGCCAGACCCGAACTACTCCCGAGGTACCTGTACGAAGCACTCTGCTAGTATGCGGCAGCGAGGTACATCGTTGCCTCCAGCCGACGGACTTCTTGGCCGAAGACTTTGGTTTAGCTTCGCTCACTTTGCGCCAACTTTGTCTTCCATTCAGGGCCCATCATGTCCATACGGCTGGCCATGTCTTGTCTGTTCAAGAGCTGCTACTCGCTGTGGGCAGTATAGCAATAGCATTACCCGTAGCATCACTCACCCGTGGCCAGCATCCCTCCAGCCATGCTTCCCGCCAGGCCTCGTCTGCCGGCGCTGGCTCCGCGGCTGCCAGGCAATTCGCCGCCGGTGGTTGAGCGGCCGAGCGTCAAGGAGCATACGGAACAAGAGTGGTTAGCGCAGAAGGACCTTATTGAGAAGTTATACATAGGAGACAACCGCAAATTGAATGAGATCATGGCCATAATGGAGACTAAATATGGATTTGCCGCAACGTGAGTGGACACTCTCTGCTGTTTGTTTGCCGTATACATGCAAGAAGGGGGGAGAAGAAGAAGAAAAGAAAGGAGATTTGATACACCAGGCGATGAACTAATGCAGTGCTAACCTAATGCCGAAAAAGAGAGCAAATGTATAAAAAGAGATTCAAGAAGTGGAACATTAGGAAAAGAGCATATCGCAAATCGCCCGGGGAAACCACTCCCCTTACCCCCCCTACTCCCTCATCTATAGCCTCATCTTCCGCCGACTCAACGCAAGATGCCGATGTTGAGGAGATACCGAGGACAACGACCCCTACAGTTACCGGCCTGGACCTGGTCCCGAATCCCCAGTTCAAGCCCCTCGCAGACTTGGAGCTTATTCTAAACGGCGTCCTTTCCTGGAGTTCAGGGAAATTGGAGACTTATCGCATAGTGTCCGATCCCATGTCCCAGTACCTTGCCACTCCCAACCAGCCACCTATGCAGGATAGCCGCACCATGTATCGGACGTTTGAGCTGGTTTTTGACTTGTGGTCTTATGGCAAGGGCGATCTTGCGGGCATGGCGGCTAGAAAGGGCTTCTATGTCCTAGAATTCGTCTTAACTGAAGACCACCCTGACCTTCTCTGGCATATTCTTGACACAATATACGACATGATCGACCGAGGGCATTTGCAACTTCTTGGCATGTTTATAAGACATGCGCTTGTGCTGTCAAGACAGCGCTTTCCTGCAAATCATCCTCTCATCCGCATCCTTCAACAACTCCTAGCTTGCGACTATCAAACTGAAGACGGCCGTCAGTTCATTTGCTACCTGTTACGACAAGCATGGCTACGAAACGTCGATCTTCTTTCAGAGTACATTAAGTCATCAGCGCCTCAAGAGTTTTGGCTATACGAGCAGTTGATTTGGGATGGCCGGACAAAGCTTCGTCGGAATAACGGGCTGGCCAACAGACGTGAGATCATGTATGCAGCTCTTGAAAACCTGGGACACCATGAAGAGCCCGTACTGAGTGATGATAACGTGGAAAAACTGAGAGTCGACGCTCTCATGCTGGAATTCACGCAGATGGATCTAGATGACAAGGAGAAGGCGGAGCAGATGGCGTTGGATCTGCTCGATATCACGCAGTATGAAACAGGAGCACTTTCGAACGCCAGATTTCATGCGTATGCCCGCAAGATGCTAGCTAGGCTCTGCGAGAGCAGAGAAGCCTGGGACCAGGTCGAGCAGAACCTGAAATATGCCATTCACATGCGAGAAGCTGCGCATGGAACGAGCACCAATTTGCGGGTTATCCGAGACATGTGGGTGCTCGCGGCTTACTACAACAAAGTCGGCAAGATAGATGACGCTCTACGAGTTGCCCAAGATGCCATCACCAGGGCACAACAGTATTTGCACGATATCCCAGGCTGAGGCTGTTTATGATAAGAATACGGATCGCAAGGTCAGTCGGCGTTATGAGACAAAGTAACGAGAGCATGGCAGATTAAGGAAGAACCGACGGGTAGGATTGATTTTTCGCAACGCGCCATTACTACGAGAATGGCTTCATTAGAGTCACCCCTTTGATGGGCAGTTTATGTTTGGGTAGAAGCGAAGCTGGAGTATTGGTTGGGTGCCTTTGGCGGCACCTTCATTTTACAATGGCTACATATTCATGCCTACTTATATAGTTAATATCAGTATATACTTGATTTGTTAAAAACAAAAAAACAAGAAAAAAAAAAGCGAGTCGTTCAAAATACTGCATGAATTCGTTCCACTCTTCTACACTCTATTGTCTGCTCTGTTTTGTTTACTATAACAGCTTCTAGTAGTCTTGCAGGATACATCTACTAACTATAGCTAAGCTATTGAAGCTAGCACCTCCCTGCTGACCTGCGAACCAGTCTGTTTGTGGAGTCGGCCTGCGGGTGCGCAAACGTGGTTCCAGCCACATAGACGTCTCGCCACATGACGTTGACGTGAGCCCGCTATTGCTACTGGATAAATCATCGCTGGGCTTGCATGGCTGCAGCGCCGAACCTGCATCAGGCACCTATTCGATTCCCTCTAGTTCTGTTTTTAGGGAGACGATTATTTTAAAAACCCTTGACGAGACCCTGAAATTTAGTTTCCCCTCCTTCAAACCAAAACCATTGATCGACAAAATGACGAGAAACGCAGCACCGCCTGATTACTGTAAGTCAACGCCACGGCCCAGAAGCTCTCCCCGCCATTGTTTTGAAGACGAGACATCCCTCCACCTCGGAGCTGAACACAATTTACTAAGCCAATGCACGTTATGCAGATGCCATTCTAGAGGTTTCAGAGAAAGCCTCGGCAGCACAAATTCGAGATGCCTACAAGCGGTATGTAGCCCTTTTCAATTTCCAGCAATGTTTGGGGACTGACAGCCATTCTCTCTAGTGCTGCCCTGAAAACGCATCCAGACCGAGTGGCCAACGACTCACCAGAGCGTGAACAGAGGACACGACGCTTCCAGCTCGTCAATGACGCCTACTACACCCTCTCAGACCCTACCCGACGACAAGAGTATGATCTGCAGCGAGGATACTATCGCCGCTCGCCAGCGTCAGATCCCTTTACGGAGGCAGACGACACTACGGGACAAGGCTATTCGTGGGCGTGGGATTTCTTCGAGAACGAGAACGGCGGAACTACCCCTGGCGGTCGCCAAGCAGCAGAAGATGCACAGTTCAGCGACGCCTTTGAGGAAATGATGCAAGACGAGGGCTTCTCAGAAGGGAGGACGCCGAACCAACAAGGCGGTAACGCTTCAACCATGTGGGGCATGGTAGGCGCTGTAAGTGGCGGCGCTCTGGGATTCATCGTGGGCAATGTCCCCGGACTGCTTGCTGGAGCAGTGGCCGGTAACCGACTCGGAGCGATCAGAGATACTAAGGGGAAGAGCGTTTACGAAGTCTTCCAGGTAAGGCCAGACCGTTTTTTCTTTTTTGGCTGCGCACCGCCTCTCTGTGGTGTGAGACTGCTTTCTCAGATTCTTCTGAGACTGACTAGATTATTCAGATTTCCCTGAGCGCTAATGTACATATAGGAGCTTCCTCAAGATGATAGGGCAAGATTGTTGAGCCAGCTGGCTGCAAAGGTGTTCAGCCATGTCGCTAGCCCACCATGAATGCTGAGGAAGTGCCAATTGGGAGGAAAGAGAAGGACTTGGACAAAATGAAGCTTGGGTTTTCATGTGATACGAATGATGTTTTTCGATCGGCAAGTTGCGCGAGGACTTTTTTTTTTTTTTACACGAAGAATAAGAGATGAGACAATGGAAACGAATCATACCCTTCACTCACCAGTATATAGCTATGGAAGTAGTATTAGGTAGTAAAAGAATACCAAATATCACTAGTTCAACAGTGAAATCGGCTTTGTCTGCTTTCAATGACTCTTTTTACCCTTGTGCCAGCAGTATATAGCCGCTAGAAATATCAATGGTTTGGCTTGGATATGAATGATGCTGCGTCAATCCCGAGGCTTGACATGGTCCAGCTGCGTTGGGAGGCGAATCGGTGTCGCTATGGCCAAACACTTGATCTATACTCAGTAATCATGCGACTAAAGGGCGCAGATGTCAGTACTTTCTCCGTACTGTCTGCTAGTGAAGGCGACTTGAAGCTTGAACCACGCCGGTTAATATGGAGCTTCCTAGCGGCGATGTAAAGCGCATGCACTAGCCCGTTTAGGGAACAAGACCCCGCTTTTTTGTGCTCTCGCTTGAGGGCAGACAAACCCTCGAAATTTTCCCGCCTTCACAAAATCGTTCGCCTTAGCCCAACCTCAACTTTTCGCCCATCTCCGACGCAGCAGCAGCAAGACATCGTCGATCAACAACCGCAGCAATGGCCGCCGAAAAGACCAGCAACCCCATGCGGGAGCTCAAGATTCAGAAGCTCGTTCTGAACATCTCCGTCGGTGAATCTGGTGACAGACTCACTCGTGCCGCCAAGGTGCTTGAGCAGCTGTCCGGTCAAACCCCCGTCTACAGTATGTCGCAAAAAATTTGAACGTAATCAATAAGGAAAGCAACATGTTAACCAATTTCACTATAGGCAAGGCCCGTTACACCGTCCGAACCTTCGGTATCCGTCGTAACGAAAAGATTGCTGTCCACGTCACCGTCCGTGGCCCCAAGGTAAATTACATTCAACACCAATTTTTTAAGCAGTCTTGGCTGACCCATGTGAATAGGCTGAGGAGATTCTTGAGCGTGGCCTCAAGGTCAAGGAGTACGAGCTGCGCAAGCGCAACTTCTCCGAGACCGGTAACTTCGGCTTCGGTATCAGCGAGCACATCGATCTTGGTATCAAGTACGACCCCTCCATCGGTATCTACGGCATGGACTTCTACTGCTGCATGACCCGCCCTGGTGAGCGTGTCACTCGCCGCCGCCGCATGAAGAGCAAGATCGGTGCTTCTCACCGCATCAAGCGCGAGGAGACCGTCAAGTGGTTCAAGGGCCGCTTCGATGGCATTGTCCGATAAACGGATAAATCATCCAAACAATTTAAATTTATTTTTTCTCTCTTGTCTTTAAGGAAATGGGCACGGCGAACATTTGGGGGTAAAAAGGGATCACATATGGTCATGTATTCTTCCGCTTGATTTTTACATCAGCTCGTACCAAAAAGACTTTTGAGTCGAGCAACGGCCTTAGAGACCGACCGGCGTACTGCCGGCTTCACGTATATTGCCCCTGCAATGTGATGGCACCATTTTTACATTGGCGAAGCCTGCCTGTCTGATTGCTTGCTTGCTCGCTTGCTTGCTTGAATGATGACGTTTCTGTTGAATGTCCCATTTTGAATTGTAAAACTTCATGTCACTCCTTCCAGCGGAAGTGGTATATATATGCCTAGCAGGCCTGTTGAATGCCACGAGAATCAACAACAATTATTCATATCGTCTCAACATTGCCGTGTAAGCGCAAATTGGCTGCTGTATCTAGTACAAGCAGAACCGTATGCGGCTGTATATGGGGCATGCCGAAATTACTCTTGGCAGCTGCTTATAGAGGAAGCAAAAATCATCCTTCGGATAGTGGATTAAAGATGTCTTAATTCTTGACCATCAAGGCTTATTATATCACTGGATTGATTTTATATATACCTTTCGGTCTCAAATGAGTATTTTCTCCGTAATTTCCCCTGACAACATTCACATACATAATTATATAACTCTAGGAGTTGTGGGTGATGTTTTGCCTCAATACATATTAGTTGTCAATGTTGAAATATGAGAGAAAAGCTTTACACAAAACATCACATGTGCAGATGCCACAAATTCGTTGATACCGTATTTGGGCCTTGGTTTCCAGAACAACACCCTGGTCAGCTTCTCCACGATGAGACAAAAGACTGCCTCTTCGATCAGGCATAGGCACATCCCGGAGAGCGAGGAAAAAAATCCTCACTAAGTTAGTCCCGAGTGCTCTCTACCGCTTGCTAGTAAAACCTGCCTGCAATCCTAATTAATAACGGGCCCCGTGGAAAATTGTTAAGGCGGCGTCGGCTTCCCACTCCAGCAAAACCGCGCACCCGGCCCTGATTGGCGCACCCGCCAGCCCGAGCCCCCACCTTGGTCCTCACAGACTCTGCTTCTCTCCATCTCCTCCCGAAAATCTCCATTTTGCTCTTCCAGCAAAAAGGCAGCATCAACAAACCCTCATCCCCCCTCTCCGCCAATTGCACGCCGCTGCAATTGCTTTCCCTCTTTTCTGAGGCCTCCCAGATACCTCCCTCAAGATGTTCCGAAACGCCCTTCGCCAGTCCTCTCGCGCTGTTGGCGCCGTCGCCGCTGGCCGAGTCTCTGTGGTGAGTGTCTTTCCCGCACGCCCGGAAACCACCGTTTGGGGGAGAGAAAATTTTGGAGGCCCCGAGCATCGACCTGCAAACGTGCGAAATCCGGGCTCGCAAGCTCAATTGAACATGTAATCGACTTGCCAGCATCGCAGAGCAAGCTTTTTGAGCTTTTTTGAGCCTGCCGGGGTTCTCCATGGCCTTTTTCATTGGTCGAATTCGGCTAACATGTTTTTTTTTTCTCTTACCCAATATAGACTCGAAATGCCGCACCGGCTGCCATCAACGCTGTCCGAACCTACGCTTCCGACGCCAAGGCCTCTCCCACTGAGGTCTCTTCCATCCTCGAGCAGCGAATCCGCGGTGTCCAGGAGGAGGCTGGTCTCGCTGAGACCGGTCGTGTCCTGTCTGTTGGGTATGTGGAGGCCACCTTTTCAGCTACTCTTTGGGACCTCGAAGCAGCAACTCGAAATGCAACCTTACAACACTTTTGAGATGCATGCGACGGGAGATGCACAAAGAAAGAGAGAACGATTATGGGATGCTTTGATTTTTATCTTTTTGTTACTAACTGGGAGCCCATAGTGATGGTATCGCTCGTGTCCACGGTATGGCCAATGTCCAGGCTGAGGAGCTTGTCGAGTATGTAGAGATGTCTCTTCCCCATTCAGGAAACTTGCATCTAACGCAGTCTAGGTTCGCTTCCGGTGTCAAGGGAATGTGCATGAACCTCGAGGCCGGCCAGGTCGGTGTCGTGCTGTTCGGTTCTGATCGTCTGGTCAAGGAGGGCGAGACTGTTAAGCGAACTGGTGAAATCGTGAGTTATATAAAGCTGCACTCTCAGCTACTGCCTATATCACCAAGATTTACTAACTCCCCGTAAAGGTCGACGTCCCCGTTGGCCCTGAGCTGCTCGGCCGTGTCGTCGATGCTCTGGGTAACCCCATTGACGGCAAGGGTCCTCTCAACACCAAGGAGAAGCGCCGTGCCCAGCTCAAGGCTCCTGGTATCCTGCCTCGCAAGTCTGTCAACCAGCCCGTGCAGACTGGTCTCAAGTCCGTTGACGCCATGGTTCCCATCGGCCGTGGTCAGCGTGAGTTGATCATTGGTGACCGTCAGACTGGTAAGACTGCCGTCGCTCTCGACACCATTCTCAACCAGAAGCGATGGAACAACACCAGCGACGAGACCAAGAAGCTTTACTGCATCTACGTCGCCGTCGGCCAGAAGCGATCCACCGTCGCTCAGCTTGTCAAGACCCTCGAGGAGAACGACGCCATGAAGTACTCCATCATCGTCGCTGCTACTGCCTCCGAGGCCGCTCCTCTGCAATACATTGCTCCTTTCACTGGCGCTTCCATTGGGTGAGTCTTGTCCTTTAATCCTGACCTCTAGATGTTTCTCGATGCTAATTTTGCCCGCAGCGAGTACTTCCGAGACTCCGGCAAACATGCCCTCGTCATCTATGACGATCTGTCCAAGCAAGCTGTCGCCTACCGTCAGATGTCTCTGCTGCTCCGTCGTCCTCCTGGACGTGAGGCTTACCCCGGTGACGTTTTCTACCTGCACTCCCGTCTGCTGGAGCGTGCTGCCAAGCTCAACGACAAGCACGGTGGCGGTTCCATGACTGCCCTGCCCATCATTGAGACCCAGGGTGGTGACGTGTCTGCCTACATTCCCACCAACGTCATTTCCATTACCGACGGCCAGATCTTCTTGGAGTCCGAGCTGTTCTACAAGGGTATCCGACCTGCCATCAACGTCGGTCTGTCCGTCTCTCGTGTCGGTTCCGCTGCCCAGCTTAAGGCCATGAAGCAGGTCGCTGGTTCCCTGAAGCTTTTCTTGGCCCAGTACCGTGAGGTTGCTGCTTTCGCCCAGTTCGGTTCCGATCTCGATGCTGCTACCAAGCAGACCTTGGCTCGTGGTGAGCGTGTAAGTTTTTACCCCGTATATGTGTGCTGAAATTTCTCGGAAGATGGCTGACTCTCTGTTATTACAGTTGACCGAGCTCCTGAAGCAGAAGCAGTACTCCCCCATGGCCGTTAACGAGATGGTTCCCCTCATCTACGCCGGTATCAACGGTCACCTCGACTCTATCCCCGTCGACCAGATCCTCAAGTGGGAGGCTGACTTCCTGGCCCACCTCAAGACCAACGAGTCTGAGCTGCTTGCCACCATTGAGAAGGAGGGTGCCCTGAGCAAGGACCTCGAGAACAGACTCAAGGAGACCATTATCTCCTTCGTTAAGAGCTTCCTCGGCTAAACAAATAATAAGTGAAGCGCGTCAAGCGAGATAGAAAAGGGTCATTGTTGGGGGTGCTACTGTCTATACCAATATATTGTTGGTCGTTCTCTAGAATGGAGGAAGGAGGGGCTAAAAAGTTAATGGCTGCGCCAAATGAGAGAGCCATGGCTTATAAAGGGAGACGCGCCAGTCATACTACCACTTGTAAAATATAAGCACATTACTCAATGGATGTCCTTGATTCCTTTTGTTCTGTTAATTTTAAGGAAAACAAAATGACCGTAAGGTGACTGTGGTAGTAAAAGATGAAGGCGTGTTTATATCTGCATATATTTCTATAATCTAGCTGGATATACGTTTACTGCTCGACTTGTGAAGCTGAGTACATAGCTTGCTCTGAGGCCGCCTCCTAATTACTGAAGACTCCAGAGCAGTAGAAGCAGTAGAAGCAGTAGAAGCAGTAGATAGGTATTTAACGATAAGGGAGTGCAATCCCATTCAATGTGACGAAAAGACTCGGGATATTCCGAATGTAGATGGCATTGAGATGGCAGGTTAAAAATTATCCCAAGATTAGCTTGAAGCGGAACACGGCTGGTGGTGCTTACACGCACGCATCTGCAGTAATCCTCGTGTTTTTCATATTTATATGCGCTGTACGCTATATATGAATACATATATTCAACATGCTAGCCGCCAAGCTCTTTCGTTTCGTCATGATAGGATTGGCCCATTGGACTGTATGTCAGGGGTTCTTTATCATTGTGCCATCTTAATTTGCATTACGTATAGATCTGGTCACAGACTAATGTATTCCGTGAAGTCGTGAAATGAGGCGCAATCAGATTGCAAATCCAGTCCTACATCATCTCACATTATCACTGTCATCATCAAAGCCTTGCAGTATCACCATCAACCTCACCAAAGAACCCCAAGAAGGCGGAATGCACTTCGTCTGTCAGGTCACTTGCCTGCAGGCTCCGTCCCTTTTTAATGAATGCTAGCCGTGAACATTCCTATTTTCTCATGTCAGTGTGTGATTAGTTGTTAAGAATGGGGGAGCTGTATTTCGGCGTCCTCTAGAAGACTCACTCTTGTTATGGCGCTCCCAGCGAATGCAGCCAGGCTCATGGTCTCGTCCTCTCCAAGAGCTGGGTTTTCATGATCTTTCCATAAGGCGTCATGATATGCCTTGCGCCATCCCAGAAACGTGGCCACAGCTCCGGTCAAAGTGTCGCCCTGTCCGGCACTTCGTTTCTTCCCTCCTTCGAGATCGCTCACCAGAGTCACGTTGCCGTTGGAAATAAAATCCTTGGAGCCCTTCTGAATAATCGTCACACCGCCCAATTCTTTGGCCAACTTTTCAACTTTGCCTGTCTCGCTCTTTTGGTCGCCGACGTCGATCTTGAGCGCGTCGCATAGTCGCTTGAACTCGACAACGTTGGGTGTCAGAACCGCATACTTGTAGCCTCTGATCACGCCTGGGTCCTTTTGCACAAGCTGCAGGGCATCTGCATCGAGAACCACCGGCATCTCGGCTTCTCTGGCGGCCTTGATGACCCGAGCTACCGTCGCTTGCATGAGGGGATCGCGGCCCAGCCCGGGGCCAACGACTAAGACATGCAGGCGGCCCAGCATCTCGTTGATCCTCCGTGCCACTTGGTCAGGATCGGGGTCTGTCTCACTCTTCCCTGACGACTGGCGCATGAGTGGGTGCACCATCAAATTGGGGGAATATGTTTTGATGACCGCCGCAGCAGCCGGGGTGCATATAACGTGTGACTATTGCGAAATCCCAAGTCAGCGATGCGTCTGCTTTGGACTGAGGTTCTGGTAATGTTTTCCCCTCGCTTGCCATACCACGATTCTGAGTGTTAAAGGACAAGGCATCGCTCAGTCTTATCTTACCATATCACATCCCAATCGTGCACTCGCCATGGCCGAAAAGTACGGCGCCCCGGTGTAGTCTTCGCTGCCTCCAATGACAGCAACTCGGCCCAGCTGCCCTATTTTTTGTTAGCCCCTCGGCTTTGCCAGCTTCATCTTCCATAAGATTTTTGGTGTAGTGTCATAGGATAGCTGATCTCGTAGTCACCAGGATTGCGTACCTTTATGAAATGTATCAAGCAGCGGCGGAACCATCCGCCTCACTTTGCCCAACACGTTTCTCGTTGAGGCCGACATATTGGGGGTTTCTATACCGGTAGGCATTGCTATCTGGCTTAGAGTAAAGACCTAATCTGGCGTCTGCAAGAATCAATTTGCAAATCAGCTTTTTATTTGTTTTCTAAAGTTGACGTCATTTCACTGAGAAAGATGGGTTTATTCTATGGTACCCAAGTGGAAGTTCCGCAGGTACCTTAGCTATGATATGAATCAGTCAATGTGACATCAATAGTGGCGCCCGTGCTTTTATGAATTGAGTAAGCCACCCGTAACAGAGCAGGTTAATGGTGGATTATGAACAAGATCAGACTAGGTATGTTACTGACAACCTGCAACTGTAAACAGCGAGTATAGTAATAAGAGTACTGCTATTCAGGTGGTATACTTTACTATTTAGGCGGTATTTTTACTCTATTAATTGTATTTTAGCGAGGTTTAGTAAGGCTCAAGCTAATCTATTAAATTTTATAAAATTTATAAAATTTATTATTTTATTATATTTAATTGAATGTATTTAAAATAATTATATAATATTGTATTTATATTAAGTTTATATTAGTACTTAATACGGAGTATGAAATATTAAATTTTATAGATTTAAGTTTAATAATGTTAAATTAAGTAAAAATACTGCTTGACTAATTAAAATAGTTTCTCTGAATAGCAGTACTTGTAAATTTTGCTGCTGTTTCATAGCTACTAAGGGAAAAGCCGGGTTGTTTTGTTGAGGGTATTAAAAAAGCATAGCCGAATATTTACTTAACCGGAATCTACGGTTTTTGCTTCTTTTTTTTCCTGTTCTAGAATATATGCCTTTTAGTTGTTCCCTCCTCCAGCTGGGCATACCTGTATAGTCCAATTGAAATTGACGCGCGCATTCCCCTTTTTTGGAGGGTCATAAAGAGAAGAAAAAGGGTACCGAAAAAGAGAGACAATATGCTTCGGAGTGCATCGGCAAGAACCGCCTCGGTTGCGATGGCCGGATCGCGCCTATGGCTGAGAACAGCATCGGCTGCTCGTGCCTCCCCTCACTGCACCCCGCAGACCTCGATTCTGCAAACCGCCTCGACGACTGTTCCCGCCAGCTACAGAGCTATTCACGCCACACGATTCAACATGGCCGACAAGCGAATCGAGAGCGACGCCTTTGGCGAGATCGAGGTGCCCTCGGACAAGTACTGGGGAGCCCAGACGCAGCGATCGCTGGGCAACTTCAAGATCAACCAGCCCCAGGACCGCATGCCGCCGCCGGTCATCACGGCGTTTGGTATTCTCAAGGGTGCCGCCGCCACGGTTAACATGAAATATGGCCTTGGTACGTAACATGCGAGCGAGCGAGCAAGTATATGTGGCGCAACGGGGTGCAATTGGAGGAGGGGTGGACGCTGGCTTTTGCAACTGCGCCCTTTGCGCAGCATACACTTACACGCAGGTGCTGCAATAATTCAAAGACAAAGAAGAAGAAACAAGAGACAGCAAGATGTAAGAAAAAGGCGCTAACAACTCAACCTTCTTACCGGCAGATCCCAAGATCGGACAGGCCATCCAGCAGGCCGCCAAAGAAGTTGCCGATGGCAAGCTCCTTGACCACTTCCCCCTCGTCGTCTGGCAGACCGGCTCTGGCACCCAGTCCAACATGAACGCCAACGAGGTCATCTCTAACCGTGCCATTGAGATCCTCGGCGGCAAGATGGGCTCCAAGACTCCCGTCCACCCCAACGACCACGTCAACCGAAGCGCCTCCTCCAACGACACCTTTCCCACCGTCATGCACATCGCCGCTGTGCTCGAGCTCGAGCGTGATCTGCTGCCTGCTCTCCACAGCCTTCGAGCTGCTCTCCAGGCAAAGGTAGACGATTTTGAAGCCAAGAAGATTATCAAAATTGGACGTACGCACTTGCAAGATGCTACTCCGCTCACCTTGGCCCAGGAATTCTCTGGCTATGTTGCTCAGCTTGACTTTGGTATCAAGCGTGTCGAGAGCTCCCTGCCCGATTTGAAGCTACTGGCTCAAGGTGGTACCGCTGTCGGAACAGGCATCAACACCTTTGAGGGATTTGCCGAGGGAATCGCTGAGGAGGTTAGCAAGATGACTGGCATTACCTTCCAGACTGCGCCAAACAAGTTCGAGGCGCTGGCCGCCCACGATGCCATCGTCCAGGCTCATGGTAGCTTGAACACCCTGGCTGGATCCCTCACCAAGATTGCCCAGGATATCCGATACCTGGGAAGCGGCCCCCGATGCGGTCTCGGCGAGCTGATCCTGCCGGAGAACGAGCCTGGTAGCAGCATTATGCCCGGAAAGGTGAACCCCACGCAGTGCGAGGCTCTGACCATGGTTTGCGCTCAGGTCATGGGCAACAACGTCGCTACCACCATTGGTGGCATGAACGGCCAGTTCGAGCTCAACGTGTACAAGCCGCTGATGATCCGCAACTTGCTGCACAGCTCGCGTATCCTTGCCGATGGCATGCGCTCGTTCGAGGAGAACCTCGTCCATGGCCTGCAGGCCAATGAGGAGAAGATTGCCAGCATCATGAAGGAATCGTAAGCAACCTCCCACTTATTATTCCCCCTTTTTTATGCCCCCTGTTTTACGATGAAATGTAACTTTGCAAAGCTAATTGTTCTTATCAATAGCCTAATGCTGGTGACTTGCCTCAACCCCAAGATTGGCTACGATATGGCCAGCAAGGTGGCCAAGAATGCCCACAAGAAGGGTTTGACGCTGAAGCAGAGTGCCATGGAGCTCCAGGCGCTGACTGAGGAGGAGTTCGACACCCTGGTGAAGCCTGAGCTCATGGTTGGACCTAAGAAGGTATAAAAGCATCTTGGCATATGTGCCGTGTATCCTAGATAAAAATGTATAATATCAGCTTTAGAGGCTCATAAGAATATAATTATGACGATGTGATGAAGATGAAAGCGCAACAATTGAGAATTGTATCGCAGACTTAAATACTATCAAGATATTAGTATCTTCCTGATAATAGATATGGCAGAAGGTCCATAATCTATAGCTTCTGAAGAGTAAAGCGAGCTTATTCATAAAGCACCTATCTAAGTAATAGTTGTTATAGATCCTATTCGGCCTAGACATGCTTTATATACTCCCAGGCGGCAATGGTTTATTACAGTCCCCTATAGCTTAGACGCAATAGGAGTAGTAGAGGCAGTAGAGGCAATAAAACATACTAGGTACCTAGTTGTTAAATATAGTCACGAAGGTTAGTAAAGTCAGCGATGACATCAGCCTCCAAGGGACGTTTGTTGTCGTTATCTGGTTTCTCCATGCTGACGGTGAGATTGGATGATGGCGGATAAATCTTTTTAACAGAGGAGGCTGAAGGAAAACTAAGAAAGGAAGGAAAGAAAATGAAAGAAAGGAAAACGAAAGATGAGTGAGTCAATGTATATTCTCTGGGAGGTGTAATTATTTCAGCGGAAGAATAACAATACAGTTGTCTGTATATATCAGCTGTCTGTGTATGTATTTATATATAATATTAACCAGTTTCCAGTATCATAGGTATAGTAGTAGGTAATATTAGAATATTAAGGGGTATCTCTATATACTCTTGGACTATGTAAAAATCTTCTTAAAAAGAAAGGCAATCAGGAAGCCAGGTTTATTCATAGTTGTAACTGGCACAAGAACTGGTTTTTGTGTATACTACATGCATACAACTACTGTGGCGACCCAACATCGTCCGTGTAGTGAATTAAGACTGCTAAACGGCGAAGTTCTTGGCTAGCCTTGGACACCTGGCCCGTTTCCACTCGAGTTCTTTTAAAATTTGTATGAAAGAAAAAGAAAAAACAAAAAAAAAAAAAAATTAAGATGGTAGCCACATAAATTGCGTTTTATTAAAAGAATCCTTTGGAGTCTCTGGGTATCGTAGCCACCTGCAGTACTAAGCCAATGGCCGTTTATTGGCCACCTACTTCTCAGCTGCCCACCTCAGGTTGAATAGTACTATGCAGTATCTGGGATCTGATAAATGAGCTGCGCCTGCCAAATAAGAGGTCAGCCTTCTCTGGCGGACCTACAAGGGAGCTCAGGTAGGCTGCAGCGCAAAGCCACAGAGGCCACAGAGCCAGGGTTAAATGGGCTGAACCTAGCATTGATACAAATCCACTTCGGAATATGGGGCCTAAAAAGATGAGTTTTTCTCACAGAGCGAGCCTATCATGCTCTAAGCTACTGGGATCAAGCTATAATGCTTTACTGCAGCTCTAGAAGCTAGAGGCAAAAGCGAACGGGGAACCAGATATACCCTGGTCACTGAGGATTTCCGACTGTCTTACAACGCACTCCGTTGTCGGTATATTGGGAGCCTGGTGTGCTCTCTCAGAACATACTACATACGTGAATAAACGCCCGTGCCACCACACTTGATGAGCGTAATAATTTGACGCCCAGTTACCAGATAGAGCGGAGCCAAGAGTAGTAGACAGGCCGCTCATGCTCTGCCTCCGGATTTAGCGTGAAAGGCTCCTGGGTCAACGTGGAGGAGAGAAGATCATGGCAATCACGGCGTAGCACCAGACAAGGACTTCGCTCGCTATGCAAGTCGCTGGCGATTGGACGAATTGGTAACACGACGCGGTATAATCTGAGCTGCTGTGCTTCATACGTTATCATATACTATATGCTTTTGTGAGTGACCTTGATGCCTTGCACAATTTCTCGCCTCCTGCCGGAGTGTTCCCAATAGAGCCAATCTCAAGCAATTCTTGTGTTTTAGGCTCGCAAGCCTGGCCGTGGGTGCCATTACTGAGAGAACCAAGGCCAGTGAAATAAAAGAACAAATGGATAATAGCGTAAATATGGATGGCGCGAATGTACGTATTGCTATCACAGATGAGAAAAGGCAATGATCTTGGGCTGCGGTGGCTGAAAAGATATCGCGCCAGGTGGTTACATGCCTGTCAATAGTACGGACAGGCCGATATGCATACAACGCGCAGCTCGGTCTGGGAAGATGGGGCCGCTCAAGCAAGATCATTGGACGCCGATGCCGTAAACTGCCAGTGTCAGCTCATGCAGTCAACGCGGAAGTGCTAGCGGCCGCGCCACGAGTTACTTTAGTTGGGCATTGACACAACAGCGCAAGGGCAAAATGACAACTCGCCCACAGGAACATATTTGCTTTTTCTCTTTTCTCTCTCTCTTTTCTTTTTGGCGACCCCTCACGCGCCCCTGCGGTATTTTGGATGGGCACGGGGTACAAGTAGACCATTACTGTGTGCAACACGCCATAGACAATCTCTGTCGGTGTCTCAGCGGGGACTTGCCTCATAGATTCTATGCAGCGTCGGAGCTGGGTTCAGCTTGGTCGTCGTCAGATATCGAGCCATGGGCAGGCTGTGCTGTACACAGATTAGGAGCTCTCTGCCAGAAGTTGTAAGTCCCTGGAAAAAAATAAGTGAGATGTCATTTAGCGGACGTTCTATATGGTGGGTACGAAATGAGCGCGACTGTACAACTCTATCTCGAAAGGGCGAAACAGGGAGCGAATAAAACCAAGAAACATGTAGCACGTATGAGCCCCATCCCTTTGAAGCACTGGTTAGCGACTACAACGCTGTCTCCCATGTTTGCGCAATGGCGAGATAGACTGCGGCTGCTATCCGAAGTGGCTGCCCCTCTGAGCCCAGTGGCATATGCTCTAGGGGCATCTCCTCATGCAGCTGGCTCTATCTGCTTTCCCAGATCCAAGAATCGGGAACCGCATCGAGGTGTGGTCCCGTCAAATATGCGGCGCATAGTCATAATGGTACTTCTGGCTGCCTATGGGGCACACGTCAGGACTGTCCTCTCCGCTCAATCAAGCACCGACTCTGATGTACCAACGCTAGAGTGCAGGTAGCTGAAGGGGCAACTCTATCATTTATACATAAGTTAGAATGTGAGATATGAGCAGTGAGATCGCCAGACTGGCATGCTGGCAGCAGCTTGCATAAAGGGAAGTGGGGCCGCAGCCCTTGGCCTGTCTGGCTTATAATTCGTCTGAGTCTCCCTTGAATTGCCCTTGGTAGCACTCGTTCCTCAAAACAAACTATCGATCTAATCGGGGCAAGTGGAGATTGAATTGTAGATCTGAAAAGCCCGCAGAAATGCTTCTTCGCGTTCTTGCGAGACGAGATATGTAGAGCTTGTCAACTTGTATAGCAAGCCGAAGCAGCTATTACTCGGTGCCAGATGTGGCTGTCGCAGTATCCGAGTTCAGGCCCCTCTTTCTTTTCTTTTTGCTCTCCTAGTGAGGGAATACCAGGCCGGTAACGGTAAGTCGATGCGGAAAAGAGGCTATTGGATGTACATTGTAAGGCACGGGAAACCTAGTGCTCCCAAGGGTATCCATCTTGCCCGCGATGTCTCTCTTATGGTCGTACTGTCTTAGACCGCACGGCTGTACGATGCATACTTCGGGTCTGAGGCCCTGTTAAAATGGGGTGGCGCCTACTGGCCCTTGGTTGCTCAGCCTGGACACTTGCCAGATGTCTCTCCCGCCCGACGCGCGCTAGGGTTGACGACCAACCCAAGAAAGTCTCGAGAGGGCCGCGGGGCTGGAGGCGAATGCAGAGCAAATGCATCGTCACGGAGCTGTCAAGCTAGGGCACATGTCTGCCATCTCGAGGGCTTCACACCAAGGGCCATCCCGGTCGACGTCCGTGAGCCGCGGCGCTAGTCTGCATATTGTCTCTGCCCTGCGTCTGAAGTAGTAGCTCTTGGTCCCAGGGTCTGTGCCTGTGTCCGGTCAGCTTTTGCTTGCTGCCCGCCTAGCGGAGGCCAACGAAGCCGTGGAGATGGAAGAAAACTACTAGTATTTGGCTTGCTTGCTTTTTGCCTGCGGGTACCAACTTCCCAGGGTCTGGGATGTCTTGGAGGGAGAGACTGCGCTTGGTCTCATGTCCCGCCCTGGAGACATGATAAAGGGTCTCCCTCGACCCCTCTGGCTGCTGGGCCACGAAGTTTTTGATGCTGTGTTTTGTACAAGTTGTTTAGGTGTTTGCTTGTCAGAAAGAATCTGTCCCTATTTCTTGTTCTTGCCGAGTTGCGTCTTCTGCTATTGCTCCTTCTATTGTCCAGCAGTGATAGAAACTTCGAAGCGGGCAAGAAGTCTTCACTCGTTGGCTCTTTCCTGCACTTACACCAGACGTCACAACTACCTCTCAGTACCTCGTCACTCAAAAAAAAAAAAAAAAATTCACCTACCAAGCACCAGTTACCCAACTATCTTTTCAACCTCGCCCCTTTACTCGACGACCGTTGTCGTACTGAGGCTGCGATTGGGATACCTTCTCCTGTTCTGCTGTGTGTGCCAATTCAAGATCAGCCACAGCTCGCAATCTTTCCAATTTCGACATCCAATTTTAATCCAGCCTGTCATTATCACCCTTCGGAGCAAGCACACGGCGCACAGCATCGCCAGGTGCCTCAGCTTGGCACATAGACACACATATCTTGCGTTACACTCGTTCCTTTGCCGGCTCAAGGAGAAGATCGGGTATCACGCACCAATCTCGCAATAGATTAGACGGTTCTATCGTATGCAAGCCGCCTGACTATCTTGCACTCACCAACTTCCAGCCACCCTTTGGCGAGCCGCTGCGGAGTGGACTTGTGGTCAGTGTGTTGGACTACCTCACTCTTGAATCACTTCTGCTTCACGTCTCGCCTCGTATGGGTCTCTATCCGCCACCTATTAATTTCGCGTCCGACGTTCCAAAATTCTGATTACACTCCTCACTTCTTCCACAAAAACTTTGCGATAATTCTATTCCCTCCATTGTCTACGACCAAAGCAAAACACAATAGCAAGGACACTCAACACATCCTTCCACTACCCTCGACACTACTCCTACCTACAACCTCTCTTTCTTTCCTTCGTTCCTTGATTCTTTCAGTCTTCCATCCTCGTCAATACGATGTCGAGCGGATTCGACCGCCTGGAGAGGCTGTTCAGCTCCAAACGCAAGGCTTCGTTGGCTTCTCTTACGGTTGCTGATTCTGGTAGCCCCCCAGCAGAGCCTCAGTTCCCTTCTCCTTCTTTCATTCGCCCGACAGCCACTCGCATGACAGCCCGAGAAGAAGTGAGCTTGCGACTTGCGACTAGCCGCTCTCCCTCTGTGCCGGACATTGTTCCTTCTCGCCTGGGCTCACTGAGGTCTCATTCTTCAAGTTCGGCCTTCAGTCGCTCACCTATTCCATCACCCTTTCTCCGTGACGCTCAGCCAGACTCTTTAGTGGCAAAGCTTCACGAGTACCAATTTCCTAGCCCACCGAACCGAGATTTGAGAGTACCTACCATCACTACGGCTTTCAATACAGTGACCACGGATAAGTCTGAGATTCCGAGCCCTCGTTCCCAATCTCCGCTTCGCCTACAGATTGCGCCTCGCGTCGACACTCCTCCATCGCCTGGCTCGGCAGATAATGGATCTTGCCGCCGCCATTCTGATCAGAGTATTAGAGTTCCATCACTTATATACAATACCCCACCAACTCCAGAAGATTCGCCCGAGATGGTACCTGTGCGAAACCTTTTGGCCGATTCTAAAATATTTGACATTGCCATCGATAAAACGATATTTGATGCATTTGAGGACCAGATCCTCCAGTCGTTTGACCACGCACCATTGAATGATTCATATAGCGACTCGTCCCCCTCTGAAGCTTCTTCAGGCAGTTCCACCTTGAGAGAGCCCGATTTCAATGACTTTTTGAATCTCAGCGACGACGACATTGCCGAATCGGCGCCTGAGACCCCTACTCCAGAATCTGAAGATGTATCTGAAAATGCATTGGTACACTCTCCGACCTCTATGGGAACTTTTATTCCTCCATTTAAGCCCACTGGCCCTTTCGATTTGATACTGACGCCTCCCCGCGCAAGTCGGCTTGCTACCGCCGCTGCTTTTGAAGCTGCCAGAATTGCAAAGAAGCATAATTTCGACCTGGTATATGTTGTGAACATTTGGCCAAGCGTGTTTCGTGGTCGATCTTTCGACACTCAGTCTCCAATCTCATGTAAGACGCCCTCGTTCGGTCGGCTCTTGGCGGCTCATGGGTTACACCAGATGGCTGAGCCACTGCAACTATCTGAATTCATGTATAACAAGGTATTGCGAGCTCAAGGATGGATCGAATATCGCAATACGGAAGCACTACCGAATGAGCACGCCCGAGGTTACGCATGTTCCTTCTATACCGGAAAGGATTCTCAACGCCGCTTAAGTGAGGGCAATAGTCCAGTTTCAGATATCCAAGTTAACCGAGGTATCATTTTTGCTGCCTATAGAAGGCCCAGAATTGGCGACTGCAAATTGGGACGCAGCTTTACTGGAGCAGAGCTTAGCTCTCTGTATGAAGATGCCGAGACTTTGGTGGAGATGTTGGTCGATATCCATGCAAGCAACCGTCGATGTCACCCGGCTTCCCACCACCACCGGCTCTGTGACGAGACTGGTCCTATGCCCATGCAGGATATTAACCTGCTGTCTTCATAAGTTGAATTTTACATAACCGTATTGTCTCTCGGAGTTACCTCTTGTTTTACAGCCATCTTATAAAAGCAAGCATGGCATATATATGTATTTTTTTTTTCTTTTGTCGTTTCTATTTCTTTTCCTTGTTTTTTCCCCTTCCTCTCTGAATTTTTACATAAATCAGAAAGATGAGTCAACGATCAGATTTTTTTTTGTCAGTTTATCGTTTTAAAGATACCTATGGAGATGGTCTCTGTCACAATTGGCGTTTTCGAGATACTTTAGGCTCTCCAGCTTCCCCTCACAACACATAAAGGGGGACTTGCCTGTGGTCGGAGGAATTTTGTTTTACCCGCAACATGATGATGAGAAAATCGGAAGAGAAAATCGGCTAAAGAACAGTATTGGGGCATTTTGGGGGTATAGCCGTCGGAAGATCTTCCTGTGATGAATGGAAATGGGCGTGTATTTCGCATATATACGGCGCGTTACTGCCGCAATGGTGACTTTTAGAACACGTAATAAGGTGTAGACATTGCCTAACATTGAGGAAAATTTACAATACTGGAAAAAAGTGTACCTCTCGATTGCAAAGCCTTACGTTGACTGTAGCCATCAAGTACGTCAAAAAATGTGAGAATCCAAGAGCGCTCATTTAGACATGATGGGAATACGACGAAGTGCATGTTGGCAATTCAAAAGTCTCTTCTCGATATTCCTATATTACTCTAATTAAGTGACAAGGACATCAGTTAGTTGATTGTTTGCCATTAGTCAAAAGGGATTCTACGAAGCGATTCCACATGCCCTTTCTTCATCTCCTGAGCAGCTGCGATGCTGCTGGGCACTTTGATGCCGCAGCAATCGCCCCAACCCGTGCCATCGTGAGCCTGGCCGGTATGAACGTGGTTGGAGTGATCCTCACCGCTGTCCTCATTAGCAGCAGACGGATCTTCTTCGCTCATGCCTTCTGCGGCAGGGATGAGGGATCCAAACAGGAAATGCTGCATGACTGGTAGTTTTCCGAGCACTTCGGCGACGAACATGCGGCGCATGCCTCCGTCGATTTTGGACCATGACTTGGAGGAAGAGATGTCGTCCAGCATGGGGCTGTGCCATCGTAGGCCTTTGACTGTCTTGGTGCTGTTGACGAAATTGACTTGGCCGAGATACAAGTAGTCATCACCGAATTCTTCGACTGTGAGATCCTGGTGGATGGCGCGAGGGGTGATGTACGGGTGATGCAGAAGCTGAGAGGCGCCGAAGAGGAAAGGCAGGAACTGGTAGTCATCGAGTCCCCAAACTCCATGGGAGCCGGCCGGCTCCAAGTAATATGCCATTTGGATGACGCGCATTAGAGAGAGGTATCGAACGAAGACTCGCAGGACCAAGGCCTGAAAATCAGACCGCTGTAGGATGCCGAGCTGGTACAGGCACAATAGCCACATCATGAAGTTGAGCTCGTGCCCCGATCCATAGTCGATACGGTTTCGGTTGCCGAATGACTGGAGAAAGTAGGCAGACGCCTCAGCGGTAGCCTCGGCCTTGTGTATGCCAAGGCTTTCATGCCACGCTGGGACATTTTCACTGACAAGATCGAGGAAGCCCCTGAACGCTTTGTTGCCGAAGCGAGAGCCGCCTTGCTCGTTTGGAGGAGATTGAGAGACGAAAGCTTCTGCTTGGTCCAAAATGCTTAAGATTGCCTTGACCCCTTCACTCAGGGAGTCGTCTTTGATAACGGATTTGGGCGTATCCACCACCGATTCTGACAGGCCAAAGACCCATGCGGCGATGAGTTTATACGTTGGGGAAGCTAAGAATAAGTCGTGGTCGCTCCGTGAAAGAATGCGCCTGCTTGGAATCTTGAAGCTCCAGCCCGTCAAGTCCGGTGGCGAGGGCAGTGCTGGGGTCTGAGGAACAGGCGTTGCGTTGGCGGGGCCGGGTCTCCTTCTGCGCGGCTCGAGCTTTGGGATTCTGTCTTTGAGGTTGGGGATGCCCGAGGCCAGTGGCGGTAAAGATGCTGGCTGGGCGGGTGATTCTGATGCCATGGCGCGGTTCTGTGTGATGTGAAACGATGAGATGCTGGTGTTTTTGCGCGTGTGAGATGTAGGTGTACGTTACAGGTGATAATGAGGAATGAGGCGCTATCAAGATGGCGTAAAATCGGTCCCTGGATGTGCTACCCCACGTCACCGGTGAGCGAGAGGTCCCCACCAAGTATCCGACAGTACCTGAACCAGCAGTGGCCGGTCGCTAGAGCGGCAGCTCAAGTACCGAGACAAAAACTTTACTTTCGCAGATCGAGACTAGCAACACCAACGGCAGGCAAAATTTCAATCTTTCACATCCGCATCCAGAGGCACTTGCAGCAGCCTCACAGCTAAGCCATCTATCTTCATTTGCTGCACTTTTTTTTTTCCCCTTTCTCTTTCACACAAACACACCCAGCCATGGCTTCTCCTACGGCTGAGCTGTCACATCTCCCCAAGACAGATGGCTCCGCGAATTTTGCATACGGCGGCTACACAATCACAGCTGCCGTCAACGGACCTGTAGAGGCTCAGCGCCGGGATGAGAATCCATTCGAGGCGTTGGTGGACGTGAATGTGAGGCCGGCGGCGGGAGTTGGAGGTAAGTAGACTATTGCGGCTGAGACAAGAAGGGCGGGTGCTTTCATGGTGGGAGGATTTTCTCACGATTCATCTCTGACCTTTGGGTGTCTGCACTTTAGGAACTGGTGAGCGCCAGCTGGAGGCTATCCTGCAGCCAGCTCTACGACATCTCATTCCGGTCAGGAATTTCCCCAGATGCGTGATTCAGGTTACTCTCCAGGTCATGGAGACGCCTGAGAATGCCTATGTGAATCCCAAGGTGATGCAGCCTCGACTAGTAAGTAATTAATCTTGGCTGTTTGAGAGTTGATCTCATCTCACGTTCATCGACACAGAATCTCGGCATCATCCCAGCTCTTTTACACGCCGCTATCCTGGGGCTTCTAACAGCAGCAGTTCCCATGAAGACGGTGGCTTCAGCAACGTGCCTGGTAATTACAGATGCTGATGGCAGCAGCGTCAAGGTAGACCCGACGCCAGCGGAGATTGACCAAGCGAGATCCGTCCACGTGCTGGGCTTCACGGCTGGCCGCGACCTTTTGCTCGCCGAGAGCGAGGGCTCCTTTTCAGCAGACGAGTGGGCCACAGTCCTCCAGACGGCGGAAAAGGTTTGCTGCCGCAGCCAGGAGGCTGGAGGCGATGCGGAAATGGGAGGCTACGGGGCTGAATCCGAGAATGTGCAACAGTTTATGCGCTCCGTCTTGGAAGCGAAGGCAGCGGAAGGTCTCCACTGGAGGTGAAGTATCTACTGGTGTCGATATATCACTTTTCTCTCTCTCTCTAATTTCTTTTTGCGCCGGATCATTGGCTCCCCTTCTCATCACCACCGGCGCCAGTTGAACAAAAAAAAAACGAGACGGTGATATCTATTCTCGTATCTTGGCAGCGGTGCGAATTTATCCTGGCCTAGGTCGGTAATTCGCAGGTGATTCGTGGAAACGGGCCTTGTTAGCAAGGTGCCATCACATCACATACATGACAAAACCGGCATAGGAAACAGTAGGTGCAGAAGCGATGGAACTAGCCAGCTATAAACGCTGCTGAGACGAGACGGGTGGCGCTATTGGATTTGTGATGAGCCTGGCATAGAGGCGGCGCCATTCCTAAGAGATGCCACGCAGAAGCGAGTCAGCTGCGTTGATACACCAGCTCGCTTAATCTATATTAATTTGCAATGCTCGGATATGGGTGACGACGTGTCGAATGAAAGAGGGTGTGTTGGGATAACAGGCTGAATTCTCATGATGATGAAGAGACTTGTTACAAATTACATATTAGTATTAAAGAAGTGTATACAAGAAGAAAGCAGCATGGATAGCGGGAGAAAACAACGGAATCTGCAAAATGACGCACTAGAATAAGATGTACTCTTTCTTCTCTTTCCTCTCTTTTCTCTTGTATATTTGCCGTGGCCAAATATAGACGGGCTTTCGGATATGCGGGTTTATTTTTGTAACAGCCCCTGAAATGCTTGCAGGTGTGAAACGCTGTTTTGGCCACCAGCGGCAGCGCTCGTTGACAACTTCACAGCATTGCTGTAGCGATTTGACGCAGTAGGTCACATGTACCTGCAAATACTAATCTCTGTTTTGATATCTCCCATCTGGGACAACTAGGTACATTTTTCGGGAGGCTTGTCGATTGCTTGTACATTCTGCTGCTACCATTACTACTAGCCAGCATCATCTCTAGTACTGACTTGTATGCAGACTTTAAAATTCACTAGACGCCATGTGGTATTTTGTTTCTACCTAAAGTTAAAAGAGACTCCCAGTGTAAGATTGCAATGCCCTAATTCAGGCACCGTGGTGAAGGCGTGTTGCTCCAACGACAAGAGTTGCCGACCAACAACCGAATCCGGTCACAAACAACCTTCTAGAAAACCAATGGTAGATTCCCCACGTGTCTAGACCCCCCAACATCATTCATCCCGTAAAGAATACATGTTTGCTCAACACAGCTCTGATCCAGATGCCGCGTCTACTTTTGGAGTCCATCGGCAATGTAATGAAACTGCACTTCCATAGCGAGCCAGCTGCATAAGTTCAATCCGGCAGGATATCTCTCCCCCATACTCTGAAACCAGTTACCTGTAGATGCGGAACACCAAGCATGGGGGGTTTGGTGAGACTGCCAAGCCGCCGCACTATCAAACACGGGCGGGTATCTGGCATGGAGTACCAACCCCGTATTAATACCTGTGCCTATGCGCGCGGTGACATGGGCATTTCGCCTCTCCAGGGCCTTTTTTTTCTCCGCAGGTCGAGGATTAATAGCAGCGTAGCATTTGGGGGTGAGCTCCCGGAAATAGCACTTATCTGATTGTGCGCGCAATACTACTCACCTACATGCTACCTACTGTAGTACTACTACCTAGTAATATCACTAGATAATTATACCTACCTAGTAGTAGCAATGCTACTATTGGAAACTAGTAGCTGGTAGCTGTGAGCTCCAATATGACAGTTTAATTGCCGGGCAGCAAAGCGCGGGCCAGGCGTCTCAGAAGCTCGGTATCCCTGGCGGTTTACCTGCAGGTACCAGGCCCCCTCATACAAATCTGCGTGCGAGCCAAAGTACACGGGGTGGCGGGCGGCACGCACCGCAAAACGCATCCCCTGAAAAAACCGAAGGAAAAGAGAGTTGAAAAGAGAAACGAGGGAAAAGAGGAGCGGTGCGCATTGAAGGCCTCTGTTTCGCTGCCATCGCCAACGCCAGATGTTTCTGAGCAGGGAGCTGCTACCCGGCTAGCGACACAGCTAGCTCCTCCGTGATGACAGCTGCATCAATTACGGAGGGAGATGTGATGGCCGATGGGAGCTGTGATGGCAGCTGGGGATTCTTAGCGGTTAGAGATTCTGCGATGCCGCGACTGTGCAGTTATATAAGACTCGTGGCGTCGAAAACTGCCTCTCCCGTTTGTTGGCACGCATCGACGTTGAGTATAATCTTTGGTTGGAGTCGCAGTGCCGGAAGCAGAGCTCTGGAAGTTCTCGCGTGTCTCTTTTTTGTTTCTTCTTCTTCCTTTAATCACTGCATTTTCTCCATTCTTTTCTTCTTTCATTTAATTCTCCTCTCTTCTGTTCAATTTTCTTTTTTTCTGATTCTTTCCTTTTTCCATCTGCTTCTCCACTAGCAAGACCAGGCGTCGGCTCGTTCTTTCCCCCTGCTCTTTGTGTCACGAGATATCTTGTCTCTGATCTGCTTGAAGTGGCGGTGATTTTTTCTTATTTCATCTCCTCAGCCCTCGCTCGCTCTGCCTGCTGCAACCCAAGTGCCTCCATTTGCCTGCTTCATCTTTGCTTGCACTACAGCTGGTCTGTTGCAACCTCGCTTCTTGGTCAGCATCCTCGACAAGCAACAACACCGACATAGTCGTCATCCATAATCATCCCGAGTCAAGTCAGCTGGATCTGCTTGGAGCCCGTCCAGTCCAGCGCTTGCGTTGAAAGAGGTAAAGCCCACGCCCGGTCGTTGCGGAGAAGCTGTAGCTGAACTGGCAGTAGTCTAGAAGGCCCAGACGACGACAAATCCTCGACTCCAAAACAGAAAGTGCAACGTGGGTACATCTAAGCAATATTGCGAATCCCAATTCGAGTCTCCGCATCTCGCGCTGCTTCATAATTCGCCCCCGACGCTTCCGCTAGAGCCTTAGCGCGCTTGGCTACTGCGTCGCATTGCCCTTTTGCAGATTACGCAAGGGGATTGATTGATTTATCCAGCATCGCTGCTTGATGTAAGCAAAATCCCTGGGCTGCTGCGACCTCAGTGCATTTCCCTTTTTAGAAGCGCCGGGCCGCAGCCAGTCAATGGCCTTTCGCTGCGGGAAGTCTCTGCTTACAACGTTCTACAGCGTTCTACGGAACACGGGATCCCGGGACAAAGTCTGCGCTCATCCCGGAATTTACTGCCCACCCTCCACTAAGCCCGTGGTTGATAATCCCACTGCCTACCGCTACAGCGCGCTGTAACCGCACTACCGCTCGCTATAGTAATCATGGACGGCACTGTTTCGCCTCGGACCGACCTCCACCCTTCCCCCGAAAGCAACGGCGGACTCGAGTCGCAGGACCGCCCTGCCTCGCTACTCTTGGCTAAGTCCGACGACATATTTGACCGCCGCCCCAAGTCCTCGTCCGGCATTCACAATCTGTCCGTCAACGTCACCAAGGCCGCTCGATATGAACTTGAGTCGAACATCCCCTCTACCGCTATCCCATCACTAGGTGGCTCTGGTGCCTCGGATTTTTCCGTTACTTCTGTCGTTATTTCACCAGCAGAGCCCTCGGCCGTGGCGTCGCCTAAGACCGCCATTTTCTCAACAACTACGGGTTCCAGCCAACCCCAGCAGGAAGCGCAACCGCAGGCGCAACAGCAACGCGAAGCTTATCAAGCAGCCGCGTCGCATGAGCTTGTTCCCCGCCAAACTATCCTGAAGGCCCTCGCATTTACAAATTCTTCCGTCTCTCGTCCCAAGAAACCAGAGGCACTTTCGTTCAACAACATGTTATTCCCTCACGGTGGCAACGGCGGCTCCTCGTCCGCCGCCGCCAGCCCCCAGCAACTCGCAGATGCGCTCCAAGATCTGGCCAAGAAGCGATCCACCCCAACCACAGCAATTAGCAACCTGCTATCGCCATGTTTCTACCACCAGCGGTTTGACGATGCTGTAGACATTGACAAGGTCCTCGAGGAGATCAAGAACGATGAGTCCATGTCACATTCGCGCTTGGTCCAAACTGCGACGAGCGTGCGCGAAGTCTCCAAGCAGCTTCAGCGACGCCCCATCAAGCAAGCCGTGCGCAACGTCATGATTGTTACCAAGGCCCGCGATAACCAACTTGTCTACCTCACACGGGAGCTGGCAACATGGCTCTTGCAAACCCCTCGGTATGGATCTGATGTCGGAGTTAACGTCTACGTCGATGCCAAGCTACGCAACTCGAAACGCTTTAATGCGGCAAGCATCGTCGCTGGAGATGCGCGATTTGAAAACATGCTCAGATATTGGACCCCAGATTTGTGCTGGAGCCAGCCTGAGAAGTTCGACCTTGTCCTTACCCTCGGAGGCGACGGTACTGTCCTCTTCACCTCATGGCTCTTCCAGCGTGTGGTGCCCCCTGTCCTCTCATTCAGCCTGGGCAGTCTTGGCTTCATGACCACTTTTGAGTTTGAACACTATAAAAAGCACCTGAACCGAGTCATGGGCGATGATGGTATGAAGATTAATCTGCGCATGCGTTTCACCTGCACTGTTTATAGACAGGGATCCAACGGTAGCCCCATGGACGAAGGAGAGCAGTTCGAGGTCCTCAATGAGCTTGTCATTGACCGTGGCCCATCTCCTTACGTCTCGAACCTTGAACTCTACGGAGATGACGAGCTCCTGACTGTGGTCCAAGCTGATGGCTGCATTTTCTCTACACCTACCGGCTCGACAGCCTACTCTCTTTCTGCTGGAGGCTCTCTCGTCCACCCTGACATCCCCGCCATTCTCCTGACTCCCATCTGCCCTCACACTCTCTCCTTCCGACCAATGGTCCTCTCCGACACCATGGCACTCCGCATTGCCGTGCCACGCAACTCTCGAGCCACTGCCTACTGTGCTTTCGACGGCAAGGGCCGTGTCGAGCTCAAGCAGGGCGACCACGTTACCATCACTGCCTCGCAATATCCCTTCCCTACCGTCACTCGAACTGACACTGAGTGGTTCGACAGCGTCAGTCGCACTCTGCGATGGAACGTCCGCGCTGCAGCTCAGAAGCCTTTTGATGCGTCTGGCATCTCCCCCTCTGGCGAAGCGGAAGACGATGACAGCTGGGATATTGACACCGACAGCGCTTATTATGCTAGCGAAGAGGGCAGCACTGCAGCCAGCCCTATCAGGAGGCAGATGAGCATGCTGGGCATGTGATTACTACAGATAGACACATGCTTTTCTTGATCCCCCCATTTACACATACATGAGCGTGTCTTGTCAAGCTTTTTTTTTTTCTTTTGGTTGCTTTGTTGCGCCCTTATTGGTCACCTTTGCTGAACATCTAGATGTAGATATGTTGGGAGTTTTTAGGAGTTAAGAGTATGAATGGGGGGCTCCCTTCTTTGGACGCTGCCCCCCCTCTGGGTTCTCTTTGGTTCTGTTTTTACGACGATATAGTCTAAAGCTTAGAGTAGATAGCTAGACACACGGCTTGAGCAAAAAGATCTTGAGCAGCTTGAGATACAAAGATAACTTGCGAAATATTTATTCGCACAAATATTTTCAAAGCAGATTCTAATTTCTCTAACTAAACATTGTTGTTGTTCATTGGCGTGCTCTGCAAAAAACCAACGTAGACAGAACAATACTGGTTGTTTTTTTCTCTCTCTTCCCACCAGTAGGCCGTTCCATCCATAATACGCCCATTGAAATATGCTATATCCCCTCCACCTGATTAAATGGCAATCAGCTCCATTTGCTTGCGATGCACGAAATCCTCCTTTCCCCCAAGAAAAGATTTCCAGAGATAATCGATTTTTTTGCAAACCAGTCGCAAGCCCATAAAACATTCCAAACACACAAAAAAAGCACGAGTTGCCTCCCAGGTTTGTCAGTATCCCGATCTATCCAGCAAAATTCATTCCAGTCTCTTAATCCAAGAGAACAAAAGCCGGGAAGGAAAGAAAAAATAATAAAATGTTAATAAATAATAGGTAGGTTTTTCACCATGCTCAAAAGACAAATGAGAATTATCAAAAGTCGTCAAGGGGAAGAAGAAAAACAAAAAGGAGAGGGGAAATGTCTCATTCTCGCCCCCCGCTGATACAAGGAAATCTTTTTTTTTCCTTTAAAAAAAAAGTCATGTCTTCGTAGAAAAACAAAGAAAACGATGCTCAAATGAAGGTGTCCGTGTGTCCGAAATTCCTGGGTGTATGCTCCTTTATCCCTTTTCTTTTCTTTTCTTCTTTTCTTTTTTTTTTTTTTTGGTTCTGTGCATAGGCGATTTACCTCCAAGCGCCTTGGCTCAGAGACAGTAGGCCTGCGACACAGTCCATGTCGCCCTTTTTGCTGGGGCTGACCTCGCCACACATGAATCTGCTTACTTCATCATCCCGTGAAGGCTCTGACTTGGGTTCCAGATCTGCCAAAGTGTGAATCCCCGTCTTGACAGGTGAACGAGCCTCGGACGGCACAGTGTTAGAACGCATCAGGAATGCTGGGCTCTTTCGACCCTGCAGCACTCGACCGATTCGTCTGGCACTCTGTGATCTGATGGGACTGCTGGGCGGTATCTGTCGACGGCCCTCTGCAGAGCTTCCATCACGTCTGGGGCTCCAGTTCTCCTTGTCTGAGTCAGACGGGGAAACAAGCATGGAGACATTCATCTTTGCATGGCAGGATTCTCGTGACTTTTCATCACTAACCCAACAAGTCTCTAGACGAGCAACACTGGAACTAGTGCGATTGAGCCTAGGCTTCTTGATTTGGCGAGAGCGCGCGAGCTTTGTCAGCGATAATGCATTGCGCTTAGCAGTGTTGGGCTGCAAGATACTGCTGGTGGAACGGAGCAAGCTAATGGCGGCGATGGCAGAGCCGCTGGACTCATGCTCGGCCTGAGCCGTTAGCTCATCCCGGGTCTCAGAATCGGCACACAGCTCCCAAGCATGAACATCACGAGAGCGGCCACGAACAAGGTGTGGTGGGAGTGAGTTGGTCAAGGCTGAGATGGGTGGCAAAGTGACAGCGGGGAGTGCACTATGGCTACGCTGAAGGCTCCGTCGGTACGACAGAGACGGTAGAGTAGACGAAGGTCTTGATGGAGTTTCACGGATCGGCGAGGATTCGTTGTTGGGCACCAACTCAGCCTTGCCTTCAAGAGAGAGGGACAGACGCATATGCGACTGAGGTGCTCCAGATGTATTAGACGAGCAAGAGGAAGGGTAAAAGGGGTCGAACCTAATGCAAGGGTTAGTATATAACAAGGTAAGTTGAACAAGGCACATTATTATGGCAGACAACTTACTTGTAGGAGTTATCACGAGAGAGAGGTGTGGTGTATGTGTTGCCCAGGTTCCATCGGTTTGCAAGATAGCCGACGGAGCTGCTGGAGAAGGACTGAGAGGGATGATTGGCATCCTCTTGCGAGGATGGGAACATTTGTCGCTGCGGTGTTACATGCGGCTGGCTACTTGCAGAGAAAGGCTGAGAGGCATATCGCGATGCGGGCGTAGCGTGCATCGTCTCGCCAGCACCGTGGGGAGGGTGCGCATGTATCGGGCTGGTGGGAAGATGAGGCGGTGATGTAGGAGAATGGTCGACATGAGCCTGAGAGTGGTCGGAGGGATAGAAGGCCGATGGGTCCAGCTCGACGACGATGCTGCGGGAGGTGATGGGGTCCGACGTGATGTTGTGCATGCCACTGAAGCGCAGAGCCGCCAGCTCCTGCGGCGACAGCGGACGGGATTTCCGCCTATCGTTTTGTCTTCGGTTCTGGAACCAGATCTAATTCGGTGAGGCCCATGTCAGCTTTTGTGTTTGTGTTTGTCTTTGGGCATAAAAGGTTGCATAAAGGTTTAATTGGTTTGCATCCGGAGACGCGTTTGGGCCCCCCAGATCCTGGCACGGGTTCAAGGGCTGACAGGGCAATTTTAAAGCGCACGACATACCTGAACTTCCTTTTCATTAAGTGAGACGCGGTTTACGATCTCAAGACGCGCCTGCTTGTCGGGCTTGGGGTTGATGGAGTATGCCTCTTCGAGGATCATCTTGTCCTTGGTGCTAGTAGTCGCAACAACACGACATGTTAGCTTGCTCTCAGAACACGCTTGTTTTGGGTCAATTGAAACCAATTTCAAGCAGCCAATGGTCGCCAATCGCCCCCCGACAGAATCAATCAAAATCAAAAGCTTCAAATACATGGACATACGCTGTTCTCTTTCTCTTGCCCTTGGGGTGTTTATCTGTAGTGGGGGATGAGATGGCGGGGAGCGCGCTCTGGGCCAGGCCGGGAATGGGCTCAGAGGTTCGCACAGGAGACGGTGAGCTGACATGCCGCAGATGCTGCTGGCGAAGCTCCTGCTGATGCTGGTGATCAAGATCAGCCATGCTGGAGGGCGGCGTGAGCGGACTGGACATGACGGTGGAAGAGAGAGAGTGTGTGTGTTTTTGTTGTTATTGTTTTGGTCTAAGAGGCGCCTAGGCTAGAGGCATTACTCTCGATGAGCTTGGAGAGCAGATGGAAGAGGATTAGGGGGGGGAGGAGAAGGATTAAAGATCAAGATAAAGAAAACGAGAGAACTGGAGCCCCGACCAGGAGTAGAGCCAAGGGGAAGAGGCAGATGCGTGGAAGAGAAAATACAAGAAACGACGTGTAGCGAGAAACGACGTGGTAAGGTGCTGAGTGTTTGTGGAGGTGCAGGAGGCGGTGGGAATTGGGTAGGTACATGGAGCTCCAGTTGCATCGGCAAGGCGATTAGGTGCAGTACATGGGGGGCCGGTACTGCTACTTGCCATGGACAGCGCATAGTACAGCATGTTACAGCACGCACAGCACGCACCACAGGCGGTCCCCTGGCACGCTGGAGCCCTGTGGCCCGGTGGCGCCCGGAGGGGGGGAGTGACTGGCTACCGGGGTTTTTTTGCCCAAGGTCTCAGCGCGGCTGGTAGCAGTACTCGGGCCACTGTAGCGGCGGCACGCTGTCAAGTCACCCATCTAAAAAAGGCGGCCCCCCTACTAGTACCAGGTGGTAGCTCTATTTGCGACTGAACATTGGATTGATGTTCTAAACAAAAATTAAAGAGAGGAAAAAAAAGTTAAGGCTTGAGCCGCGTGCAAATCACGTCGCGCGCCTGGCACTGGCATGTCCAAATGGGGAAACATTGTTAACACGCGTAGCACGTGCAAGGGGTCCAACGCTGCCATCCCATCAATCTCTTTTCTCTTTTATTGATCATTTCCTTCTTCTGGCTGTTCTACTTGTTTTGGCTGTAGTGTTCCCAATACTACCCTTTATTTCATTTTATTTTTTTTCCTTCTTCTGGCCATTGACACACCCCTGTTCGGAGCAACGCACAATGCAGAGTACAGCTCTCGTTTGGGCAATGTAGAAAAGCGAAGAAAAAAGAACAGCCGACCCATGCAATAGAAGGCCAGGATGACCAGGATGCCTTGGCCAGCGAACGCATGAGAGGCGTACACGATACCTTGCTTGCTGAGTGCTTGCATGGTCCCCGCCCAAGCGTTCTTGCTGCTTTAGTCTTGGCGACTTGCATACCTGATGCTACCACCCAGAACTGCTAACTTCGCATTGGATGCTTGGGTATTGTCTCGACTAGTGTCAGCCGTGAGTGCGACTACAGGTTCCTAGTGCTGCTCCGTTAGCTGGTAGTGCAAGAATGCGCTGCTACAGCGGTGGAAGTTGGTTTGTTTACTTTTGGCCGCATCGGGCTCGCCGTCGGTAGTATGGAAAGTAGCAGCAGTAAACAAAACAGCAGATTCTATCATGGCTGTGCCGCACCGCAAATGCCCAATGCTGATCCATCACACGAGTAATGGAGCAGGGCATTATTAAGCTGTGCAGCGTGGCTTCTCTCTCTTCTCACTGCCAGCTGCTGCTAGTCATGCCATCCACGGATGATGCTGTATCACAGGCACATACCCAGTAGGCAGATCGTGTCGTCGACACCGCTGTCGCTTAATGGAGACCGCCATGCAAGCACTCCAACGTGTACTCGATAGCTTCCCTCGACTCAGGCCATTGCCTCAACTAGCTGCTGCTGCTGCATCCGCTATACTGTACTTACAAACACCAAAAGGGCTTGCCTGGTGGATCGACCTAGCGCCCAGCCCCCCCGTTTTAGAGCCGCCACGTTGTGCGTTGTAATATGTAGGCAAATGTATGAGCACGCATATATGGAGTAGTCCAAGCAGCATCCAGCATCCACCAAGCCTTGGCTGTCTGGCTATCTGTATCTGAGCAAAGGGTACATGTAAATTGGAAGTATGATCCAAGGCAGTATGTATTATGTATTGGGTTATAATAGTAATTAATATCTTTTGTTACTACTACTAGTAGTACCGCAGTAGGTAGTACTCTAGGCTCTATTCTCTCTCACACTCACGCTCCATCAGCCTCCCATCTCTCTCACGTCTCTCACTCTCTCACACACGCGCGCATATTCTTGACCGCCTTCTCCAGCTAACCTCCCTAAGCATTTCTCCGTCCTGGCTACTACCTTGCCGTGCAGGGTGGCTACATATTCGTAGTACATGCCGGTGGCCATTGGCCTATCATATTCCAGCTGCTCCTCCAACCTCTTCAACAGTAAGGCAGATGTGCCCAATTGTGATGCGTTGGCCTCGGCAGATTCGCCCAGCCTAATCTATGTACGATTAATTGAATGCTTGTTTTGTCTCCCTTTCCGCCTTTTTGGCCACTGCTGCTCTCTCTCGTTTCGGCTTCGTCGCAAACGTTCCCTACCCTGCTGCACATCTCCACTTCCTCCGCCTCTTCCCAATCATCCATTGCCTCTCGTCCTTTCTCCGGACCGTTGCAGCAAGTCTAGCCATCCATCTCCAACTTACAACCGACTCTAAAAACAAGAAGCAAAGAATACCGAAACTCTCGAGTTCCAGCCAGTATTAAAGCTTCACTTACCCGTAATAAGACAAAGATTTATCAAAACATGTCAATTTCCGCTTCCCAGCCGGTCAACAGCTCCCAATCGTACATGTAACATGTATGCAGTTATAAACCTCTAAAGCTACTCCCACATATCATACCTGGTATACCTACTTGCTGCTTTTTCCCTTCCACCCCAATTTGCTACCTCAACCATACATACTCGTACATATACAACACACGCTTCCCATGTTACATGTAGTACGTGTCAAAGGGCCTGGCCACCTGCTTCTACATGCGTCTTGCATCCCGCATGTCCCCCCATCAATCCCCCAGCCACAACAATTTGGCCCTCTTTCTTCACCGCAGTTGACGGGAAAAAAACGACTAGCCAGCGCAGGGCCAACAGGAGCACAGCCTATGGAGCCTTGACAAGCCCCATCCACATCTGCCCAACGTTCTTCGTCTATTCTAGGTTTCTGTTCGGGCTAACATTCTATCTTCATCTCTCTGTCCGTCAAGTGGTTCTGCATATGTGTACAGTGTCTGCTCCATACCTGCCTGAGTTTCTGCAACATATTAGTAGTACCTACTTAGTAGGCGAGATGCTATAGACAGGGGTAGGTGGTGCATGCCGGGCTACTTGCTCGTCGTTAGTATGGAGTACCATTACGGAGCCCATACGAGTACATACATGAATGCGTTGTCCGGCATGCATTCCGAGAAATCTGGATGTCTCGCTGGTCTTGCGTTAAGCCTACGAGCACGGAGCAGCATGAGACAGAAAGTCAAGTCTATAATAATACTAATCCTAATACTAATATGTATCAGCAGCGACAATCGAACAGGGTCATCAAGTACTGATACCACGCAACAACAGCTAACCAAAACGCCTGTTTCTTGCATATTTTGATATCTGCACATGTGATGTATGCTTACATGGCCTAGCCTTACACTTTTTTCACCTGGTGGGTGTGTGGTATTAGCCAGTAAAAGGCAAATACTTTATACTAGATCCAAGTAGGCCCTTAGTAATAGGTACCGGGTAACTTGGTAGGTTGTCATGCAGCCCTGGATTTACATATCTACTGCTAGTAGTAGTTCGTAGCTTATACCTTGTTTTTACTTCACCGTCATGTCCATTGGAACGAGAACAATAGTTAGAATGGTAATGTGGTATGAAATAGGTGTCTTTAATATAAAAAAAGTCTAGCTAGGTTAGGTTTTGCCGCAGCTCCCTGCGGCGACGCCTCAATAATCTACCCCAAACGAGGTACCAAGGGTATAGCCTTGCCCTCTCCGATCAAGCTCCTGTGAACCCGGAAATTTCCTTCCTTTATCATAAACGGTCATTCCAGCTGCCGATGGCCAAATTCCCAAGTAATCCGGGATGTCCCAGCATTGATTGTCAAACAAAACACTTTTGTCGCCGTCGCGCGAGTCGTTTACAGATCATCGTCAGACAGCTCACCAGGAAGGGGCATGGCTGCGGCGTCGTCCATCTCCTTCTTGTACTGAGCCAGGAGAGCCTCGTCGACCTGGGCGGTGGGGGGAGCCAGAGCAGGGGCGGCAACGAACTCCTACATTGAAATACAGTCAGCGCATGTTCATGGGGTGATTTCTTTTTCTCTGCATATTAGACGGTACGAACCAGCTGGGGGTTGCCAACCAGCTTGCGAGCGAGCCACAGGAAGGGCTTCTCGAAGTTGTAGTTGGACTTGGCGGAGATGTCGTAGTACTGAAGGTTCTTCTTTCGGTGGAAGGTGATGGTCTTGGCCTTGACCTTTCGCTCCTTGACGTCGACCTTGTTACCGCACAGGACAATGGGGATGTTCTCGCAGACGCGGACGAGATCACCTAGAATCAACGAGTTAGAAAGTTTTGACGTGTTTCTCGATAGATGGGATGAGACATACGGTGCCAGTTGGGGACGTTCTTGTAGGTGATACGGGAGGTCACATCGAACATAATGATACCGCACTGGCCGTTGATGTAGTAACCATCACGAAGACCACCAAACTTCTCCTGACCAGCAGTGTCCCAGACGTCGAACTGGATCTGACCGTAGTTCTGGTAGCAGCATTAGCATATGGACGGCGGATACCGATTCGCGGCGGGGGCGTATTTGGGACTCACGGTGGTGAAACCAAGGGGGTGAACCTCGACACCGAGGGTGGCCATGTACTTCTTCTCAAATTCACCAGTCAAGTGTCGCTTGACGAAGGTAGTCTATCGCGTCAAAGCCATCGTTAGCGGGGACATCGATGCCAAGGCTGATATCGCCAAAGGTAGAGGTGAAAAAAAAAATATCGTCGTTCGCCACACGTCAGGTGGAAAGCGTCGCTTTCGGTCCCTTTTGCACGCGACGTCGATTGAAGGCCAGGACCCAAGAATTAACACACCTTGCCGGTACCACCATCGCCGACAAGCACAAGCTTGAAGGTAGGAGTCTGTTGCTCAGCCATACTGGAAGGCTCGAGTGATTAGCGACGAGCGTGTGGTGATGTAAACAGGCGGGGTCCTGCGAGATGGCGTTAGTCTGCTAGATTTCCAGTTTTAATCAAAAGTGACGGTTCGTTCTGGCAAGTACACGTCTAAAACAGCCAGCAGCTCACAGACTCGGACGAGCAGAGCAAAGCAGAGGAGCGAAAAAAGTGATGTGTTGGGCGCATACCTGGTGGGTTGTGGATGACGCGAGGATGGTGTGGACGTCGAAAACTTGCACCAGACAGTCTTTGACCTGAGTTCTTTTGAAGGCGGCGGGGAACTGGACAAGGGGAGCAAGGCCTGCCTCCCATCATCAAGCGAAAAATTCAGTCGCCAGGGGTGGGCTAATCGCACGTGACATCACCGCTATCTGCTGGGAGCGAGACCTTGCTGGGAGCCCCTCCCTGCCTTTTTTTTTCTTCTAATTTTTTTTTCTGCCAGCAGGGAGGCGAGAATCGCTGGCGGTCGAAGCTGGTGCTAGGCGCTCCAGGCTGCCTTGCACGCCGACCGCCTACCTGTTTTGGGACCCAGGACCCCATCCATTGATTCTGGTTTGTTCTCTGTACTTCGTAGCGCAAATCTCTGATGCTGCCCTGCATTGCTGCTGCAGGTGCCTAGGAGGCCGTTTTTCAGCGCTACCTCAGGTCCCAAGGAATGTGCGGTGTACGATATTACAGAGCACAGCGCTACCACTGTAGTTACAAGCGCGCCTGCTCTTTGGTACAGGTAGGTTGTCTGGTTAGGTGCAGCCACCGGCATTCTGTTGCCGCCACCAAGCCAGTAACAAAACAAGAAATCTTAGCCAGAAAGAGGGCAACACGCGGAAGTTCCCAGGCAGGTAAATATGAGAGCCTAAGTAGTATATACTCCTAGAAAAATAAACCTTTCATTGGGCGAGACTGGAGGCAAAAAAGCTACCTGGGAAATTCCTTCTCTGCCGCAGACATCCTAGACAAATACCTACGTCATCCAACAGCGGCCATAGAGTGGCATCAAGCTTCATACGTATGAAGAACGTACATAAAAAACCTACTAGCACTTAAGCTTTGCTTCTCCGTAACGAATTCACATCGTATGTAGACATTTTATCTTCACTGTTATTTTCTATAGCTAAAGAATGACAAACGGCGATGGCGGAGGAAAACCACGGCAGTTCAGTCTGCATAGCTTCTCCTCCACTAAGTTTAGTTTTGAATATTACACTCTGCAAGTAGAGGACCCGTAATTATGGCTATGCTTATTGTTTGGTTGATTTCATGCCATTTACAGCATATTCTGAAGGAGGTCGTCCCGATTTGGAAATCCTGCGGTTTCTCGTTAGCGGCTGTCTTCACAGCATTTTTAACCCTCACTGAGAGGCGCAGACGATGATTTAGGCTGGCGATTTGGGAATACTGCTTTGCGTTAAGGGCTGTTACATTAGCAGCTGTCTTCACAACATGTTTAACCCTCGCTGAGAGGTACAGACGATGACTTAGGCTGGCTAACATCCGCAAAAGTATCATATCGTGGTGGCTTACAGCATTGCTAATGCTCTCTAGAACTAAAGAACCAGCTCCCCTTTTTAACAAGCCGTATTTTATCAAACAAGGGAATAAGACCTTCATGTTAGCTAAAGGTGATTCGATTGTGGAATCAAATTTAGCTGGCGTGGATCTTTGAACATGTCCGATGTAATCTATGCCCTCTCGGCAAAGCTGAGATTGATTGATGCATCAGAGCTTCCCATTGCCAGACATAAATCAATTTCCGCAGTAGAGACAAGGTAAATTTTGAATCTACAAAGACATTGATTGATATTATGAAGACGACATCTAGTTATCATCATCTTGCTTCTACCAGATCTTTCAACGCTGTTCAATCACAGATACCTTATAAATCAGCTATTAAACCCCACCCCAAACGCCGTGTACATCAAATATCCCTATCCGGCCATGTGCTATCCTTCTAAAACGCTCATATTATATCCATTGGTCGCTTTCCGAGAGGCACAATCCGTATGCCCAAGAAATCTCCGAGGCCTCCCCCCCCAAAAAAAAAGCCAACATCCGTTAGCCTTTCAGCCCTCATTTTCTCGACGCCCCAAAGTTCGTTCGCTTCTTGTTGGTCTGCGCATCATTCTCGCTGTCTTCCGTGTCTCTCTTTTTAGGCTTATTCGCCTTATTCCCACCCGCGGAAGTTGGCGTAGGATTGCCCGACCCGCTGTCTCGATACGTGGTGGATAAGGGTGTCGGTGCGGGAGTCGAGCCTACTGATCCAGGAGCCGAAGAGTCCTTAAATAAAGAGCACCCAGTTAGTTCCATGAACAAGAAGGACTATTGTTTAAACGCATATCTCCAGACGGGGCAATCTTACCCCATTATTCGGTCGGTACGAAATTGATGAGCGCGAAAACACGCGGTTCTGTTCCGCCGGGCCCGTTTTGCGTCGCTGAGCAGCCGCGCCACTTGTGCCCTTCATGTAGTTGTCAAAGCCGGTGATGATGTTGCCGCTGGGGGTGCTGTCAAGGTAGACGGTTTCCTTCTGGGCGATGCTCTCTTCCATCGCCGCCTATGACGATATTCATCGATTAGCATATTGACCAAGCGTCACGGCATAGAGAAACAAGCATAAAAGGCTAATCGCAAAACTCACCAGGCGCCGTTCCAGCTGCCTGCGGCGATCGACCAAGTCTCGCACGCGCGCCTGTGCCTTCTTGTACTCTGCCATGGTTGGTTGCGCTTCGCCGGGTCGAGATGCAATTGCTTGTTTATTGCTAGCCATGCGCCAGCGCTCGTGTATCTGGTGGCCGTCGGCGCTACGGCGATGCCGTCGTTAAGTTGCGGATGGAATGAGGTCGGCGACTTGTATTTTCGGTGTTGTCATGAAAAAGTAACACCGAAGTTCTGGCAGCGGGATTGAGAGACGCTAAAACGCCGCAGCGAATGTCACTCCACCTCAACTGCTTTCTGCTCGCCGCTAGGCCTTGCAGAGCAGCCAAGGCTAATTCAACACACTCACAGCACTGGGATGTACTATTAGCATGGAGCAATGATGTAGTATATTAATGATCAATTACCGCCTGAGATGATGCGCTTATATCCGGTTCAGCTTCTTCTAGCTCCTATTTGAAACTATATGCTGCGAGGAAAGACTCTAAAGGGCTACTACTTATTAATACGGGTCCCGTTGCAGTTATAAACAAGCATCGCTTTTTCTTCCCAACGTGTACTTTCGTAGTTCTAACCAGGCTATTTTCCGGCTCTTTCATACTTGATTAGTAGGTATGAGTGCCACTTTCTTCTTTTTCTGGAGACGGGTGCTTTAGCAGCAGTTAGCCTCAGCTGTTGGTATATACCAGTATCAAAGATTCTCATCTGCTTAATCTCTTTTTACCAAGGGTTAACTTCGCAAGAACTCTCTGGCGCGGTTGTATTCGGAGTGGTGAGCTTCATAATGTTTTGATACTTCACCACGCCATCATTCATTTTCAGCGTCAGCCAGACTAGAAACCAGTGACTTGCTTCTCCCAACAACAAAAGAATGTACTCACATCTCTAGCTGTCCATGGCCGTCCAGCTAAGGATTCGGAGCACGCGATTCATCTTCCAAAGTATCAGCTGACTTGCCATGATTAGACGGAGACGAGGGCGCAGAAGAGCTATTGCGTCTCAGCCTTTCAGATTCCTTGCCCTTTGTCAAGGCGTCGTTGTCTTTACGGCGACGATTATTGCGGCGGCGGCGTCCGTTGTCATTATCGGATTCATCAGCACCATCACCTCTTCGGCGTTCTTGTCGGCGCTTCGGGGGCGAATTTGATCGGAGGCTATCCACGGATCGATTACGGCGGCGAACGGGGCTGCGGCTACGCGCTTCTGAAGGACTGCGCGAGCGAGAGGATGGCGTCGCCGAGTAGCGTCTCCTGCGCTCGACCGATCGACTTCTAGAGGTAGACTGCCGTCTTCGCTTTGGTGGCGGTGAGGCGCGTTCTGAAGAAGCTGAGCGTCGATTTCGAGCATCACGACGATCTCTACCGTTGCGTGATTGCCGCCTTGGCCGATAAGCATCTCCGCGAGGGGACCTAGATCTTTTTCTTGAGTCTCTGTATCGACCGGGGCCGCCTTTGCGCCGTGGAGGGCTCCTAGAGCCCCGGTCGCTGCGAGACATGCTGCTGCTTCGAGAGCGCGATCGGTCAGACGCTGACTCAGATGGCGAGCGACTTCGCCGTCGCGCCCAGCCACGATCACGCCCCCGGCCGCTGCGATTTGGAGGCACATAGCTATCCCGACGATACGAGTCCCCAGAAGCACGGTGTCGAGGTTCGGGAGAACGTGATCTGTTTGCATTCCAACTATGACCTCCTCTTCCACGGCCTTCAGAAGCTCGATCTCCACGGCGGCCTGGCCGACCGCCCCTCTCATTTGCTCGGTCTCGGCGATCTCGATCTTTTAGCTCTGTAACTTCTCGGTCACGACGGTCGGAGTCTTCGCGGCGCTTTCTGGCATTCTCAGCAGCTCTATCCGCTTCAATCTGGATTGGCCGTTAGATCTAGTTGCGGGAAGCGTAGATGCTCTTGGAGTCAAAGAACCAACCTTTTCCTGCATCAACTCAAGCTTCTTAGCCTCTAGCAGTTCTTTGGGCACACCCTGCGGGTTGCCCTGAGCGCTTAATAGCAATTTCCATAACTCCTTGCAAAATGGTGCAGTATCTTTGTCCAAAAATCCCGTAAGCTGTATCTGAAGCGATTTTATATCGGGCTAGCAACCACAATGATCAGTATGGCAGAGGAGCGAGAGCAATGGATAGAAAACCTTACATGTCTGGGTCCATCAATCAAATTGAAGCACAGCTCGATCACGACATCATCTTCATTTCCCAGTATTTCGGAGATTCTGTTAGCAATCCATCTGTGAAATTTGCTGTCAGCACATGATAAGGCAGAGAGCGATGGGGACCCAGTGACAAACTTTTTTATAACCTGGAGGTTGACCTTTTGCATGTCAACCTTCTGGCTAAACTCGGCTGGAAATTTTGTCGACTTCATGAGCCGAGCATCTCCTGCTGAAGCCATTGCGGCGGAAGTCGCGGTAGCGATATTGTATGATGAGCGCGTCTGCGAGGCTTGTAAGATAAAGAAAAGGTTAGCAAGGTGACGTCTGTGCTGCTCCTAGGTGGTTGAAAAAGCGCCAAGCTTACTTCGTATCGGAATTGATATGCACGGGCCAGGCTTGGGCCGGCATCTATAACCCACCAGGCACACTAGGCAAAAAGCTACCCAGCAGTACTCCCCACCACTGCTTGTCCAGAGCAGCGCGAAGGTATTTTTGGGTAGTGGCCGCTCTACAATGCTTCCAGGTGCTTTGGCAAGCTTTCAGCGGCTAGGCTGCAAAAGCTTCAGTGAGTGCGTAGGCCTTTTACTGTTCCTGGACCCCGCAACGATCGCCCCAGAATGTTCGCTGTTGGCGATGACAGCAGGCAGCCTATCTGACAAAGCTCTAAAATAAGTTTCCTAGCATTCTACCATTTCATCTGGCTCTTTCCACTCTCCCTCTCCCCTTGAGCCTCTGTCAGTTTCAACGCTGCCGCTGGAGCATGGGATTGCCGCTTAGAATGGATACTCTTCATGCGCCAACCGTGCCCTCGGGGCCAACGTCTAATTTCAGTGAGAGGAACGGCGATACAGGGAACCAGAGCTTTGCGGAACTCCAACGGAAGAAGGATGATCTGGAGGCAGAATTAAAAGCCTTGGGGAGCGTTCTTGATTCGGTAGGCAGTAACCCCCTTCTATCATCAACGCACATAATGATCGAACCCATGATTAATAAGATGCCAGCATGGTGTTGATATGGAAACGCCGCTGTTGACTAGAGATGGCTTTCCCAGAGCAGATCTTGATATTGCCCAAAGTATATAGTTCGGAAAATCGCCTGTTGAAGAGCGACGTCTAACATACATGCAACAGTTCGCACAACAAGAGCGCGCATCATTCGCCTACGCAACGACTACAAAAATCTCATGGGGGTGATAGAAAAGTATCTCCACGAGCATTTTGCAAACCTCCAAGATGGAGACGAAGCCCCAAGCACGGCCGGGGATGGGCTCCGGATTTTGCCTGATTCCCAATCCGAGCAGCTGGATGAGCCATTTGCGAAAGTCAACTCCGTTGCGGCAAACAGCCCGGCCCAACAGGCTGGCTTACAAGCTGGTGATGAGATTCGCAACTTTGGCTACGTTAACCGATCAAATCACGATGGCCTCAAAAAGGTGGCAGAGTGTGTTCAGGGCAATGAAGGAGTATGTTGTTTATGCCGGCCTATGATCCACCTTGCTTCATCTTCTAACTGTGCGTCAACAGAAAAACATATTCATCAAAGTGTCTCGTCCCGACGGGGTTGCTCGCCGCCAAGAGCTGAGATTAACGTTGACTCCGAGGAAAGATTGGGGTGGGAGAGGAATGCTAGGCTGCCACATTTTGCCTCTGTAGTTTGCTTATTGGGGCGTGGTATTTTTGTGGACTGTAATCAGCGGCCACGGCAATATGGCATTGGAGACCCAAGTTATTCACACAGGTCGATTATTGGGGACATTGTCACCGCATCACCCTTCCAGCTCCCATCAAGCATCTGCATGGGCAGGTGATGGCGTGCTCAGTCAACAAATAACAAGGCAGATTGCATCAGAGGGACTGGATTTCGCATTAGAGAGATGCTAACAAATCTGTGGTAACACCAAGAAGAAGTGAAAGAAAGAAAAAACTGTGTGTTGGAAGGAAGTTTCTTGATATCAAGATTGATCAATTGAGACGAGCTGGCCGGATGAATCGTATGAGAAGAGCGCTGCTCTTGCCATTAGGAATATTACCAAGAAATGAATAAAGATTTATGGTATTAGTATCCAGCTCTGTTAATCTTGCACATTTATAAACAGCACAGTAAAATACAGTCAATTCTGTGATATCTGACAGCATTTCATCGCCAGCTCAACGAAGGGAGGTAGGACGGAGCGTTCATCGTAATCCCCGAGCCTGGCCCGAACGTTGTAGTATTGGCTGTTGGTGCCTGAACTGACGTACAGTTCGGCCTTGTGGCTAGGCTTCCCCGTAAGAAGGATCATTCATGTAAATTACCCAAGTGTTTTCGCGGCTAGGCGCGGCCGTAAGGCAGCGGAAGAAGTCCAGAGAAGGCGGAGTGGTCGATAGAAGGATGGGGAAAGATAATAGACTGGCAGAGCAAGTCTTACGAAATATTCCTCATCGCCAGGTAATATCTTGTAAACGGGGCAAATGTAGCAAATTGAAACGTGAGAAGTGACAGCATGCCAGATGAGTAAGTGGACAAGCTCTTGCGGAGGTAGCAGAAGCAGAAGTAGCAGAAGTAGCAGAAGTAGCAGAGTTGTGTGCTTATAATTATCAGATCTCCCCTTTTTGCCCTTCTCTACCACGTTTCTAATCCGTTCAACGCCTAATCAACTTGAGACTCTTCGTTAAAAAATCAAGCTCCATTTCATTCTTCAATAATAGCAACTTCTCATCCATCAGATCGGCGTTTGAATCCATAAAGTTTGGCATAAACATTTCTAAATCGTCAAACTCCATTTCCACCTCGCTGTCCTCCAAATCAGAATCACCAGGTCTGATGAACTCTTCCGACTCGTAAAGCGGCTGGGGACACGACACGCTTCTACCCAATCCTGGAATAACAAGTCTTCGTTTCGTTCTCTCTCTATTCAAGCAATACAGCTGGTAGAGTGAATGGAACTGGTACAGTAAAGTCAATGCAGCATCACACTACTTCTCTGCATCCAAATGGGTATCCAAAAAGATGTTAGTGGGGTTGCTGCGGCACCGACAAATCTGCTCCCCTACAACCCTTTTTTAGTGCTGCTTCTTTTCATGTCTTTGCTCTGGATGATTTATTACTGTGAACAGAATTCTCGGGACTCAATGTGATTATACATATCCAGTGAATGAATTACATAACAGCGGCTTATAGCAGTTGCAAAAGTTCCTAGGCTAATATACAATAATAGCAAGAGTTTAAACTGGGCCAGCTTGCATAGGCAGACAGGGGAGGGTTAAAGAGGGACCGGAATGAGCATACACACTAGGAAAAGGAACAATCAAGTCATAAAGGAAGTCTGTTTGTTATATTACATATATATATATATATGTATAGTGCCTGCTACAGAAGCTCGAATTGATGCAATTAATGCAGGAAAAGTGCCGAAGAGGTAATAAAAGTACCTCCGCACTGGAGGTAAATTAGAGTAGAAGTGCAATAACAAAGCAGTGGAAGTATTAATAGCAGTAGTAAAAAGTCATAGTCCGTTGGGGCAATTGGATCTAGCAGAACACGCTGGTGGTGCGGGGTTGCAGATGCGGGGTCTTGGTGGCTTTATAGCGGGTTCCCAGGCCATCGGGGTCCTCGCATGATGCGGTTGGATTGCCAGATAACACGCACTGCAGTACATCCATCCACGGCTGATTGGGGTCCTTTTCTCCAATATTTTATCCTACTTCTTCTCCTTCTCCTCCTCCTCTGATCCCAATCCATAGCATTCTCATATTAGTTGAACAGCCCTTGATGATGACCATTCAGGCCGCAAAGTTTACTCCAGAGGTCCTCCTCTCGGCGCCGCGGCGCTCGCCCGGCGTGCCCAATGCGACGGGCGAGCTTGTCTTATACACGGTAAGTGAAGAAGCGATTTTGAACAGGCTCTATAGTCTTGAAGAAGAAAGGATGTTTCCTCTTTAGCCATGATTTATCTAGATTACTCTCTTGACTACCCCTAGAGTTGGAATTGTCTTGCATTGATTGGATGGGCTAGAGAGATTCCAACTAAGACGGCATCACTTCTTAGGTCTCGACGTACTCTTTCGATACCCACTCCAAAACTTCGCAGATCCGAGTGCTCAACATTAAAGAGGGGACATCACACCTAGTTTCCGAAGACTCCGCAGCCAGCGATCCTATCTGGATCGGCGAAAAGGAAATCGCCTATGTCAAGGGCCTCGATAATGGTGCTTCGGCACTGGTGGCGCAGCATGTCATCGACACAAATGAGTAGGCCAACTCCCCAATGGATCAGCATTACAAATGAGATCTTCTTTATTACAGAAGCTAACACCTTCCCTGTAGGACAAACACCATCCACCGCTTCGTTGGAAGTATTTCCAGCGTCAAGGCCAAGCCTCTATCAGCAGACAAAGTGGCTTTCTGCTGTGCAGCTCTGACGACTCCCGACGGGCAGCTTTACAATCCATCTGCGGAGCCAAAGTCTCATACCTCGGCCAAGATCTACAAATCCCTTTTTGTGCGACATTGGGATTCCTGGAACACTGAAAATAAAAACTCTCTTTGGTATGGTCAATTGGAGAAGGTAGACGGCAAATGGACGCTCGGAAACTCTGCTCTCACTAACCTGCTTGCGGGCACTCGATTGAACTCTCCCGTACCCCCATTTGGAGGTACAGGTGACTTTGATATCTCCTCGAGTGGCATTGTATTTGTTGCCAAGGATCCGGATCTGAACCACGCGAGATACACCAAGACTGACCTTTACTTTGTTCCTCTGAGTTCATTCTTGGATAAGCCAACTGTCCCCCAAATTGTCAAGACCGGAAGGCTGCTTGGATATTCCAGCTCGCCCGTCTTTTCTAATGATGGCAAACAAGTGGCTTTCCTTCGCATGAAATCCCAGCAGTACGAGGCCGACAAGACGAGACTTCTGTTGATACCAGACGTGGCCGATCTGAGCAATGTCCAAGAGTTTTACGAGACGGACGACGACAAGGGTGGTTGGGATTTCAAGCCTGATTGGATCGTTTGGAGCCATGACAATAAGGAATTGTACGTTGCGGCCGAGAAGCACGCTCGTGTTGTCCTGTGGAAATTGCCATCCTCACCCTTGGAAGCCACGTCTCTTCCTACCCCTATTCACGAGGACGGATCAGTCGCCGAGGCAAAGGTTCTCGGAAATAGTTCATCGCTGCTAATAACGACAAGGTCACGAGTCGAAAGTTCCAACTATTCGATACTCGACCCTGGTACAAAATCGGTCACCGTTGTCTCCTCTACATCCAAACAGGGTCGGACTTTCTCTTTGACCAGATCACAATGTCAGGAGATTTGGTACAAGGGCTCCAAGGGTTATCCTGTCCATGCCTTAGTGACTCTCCCCTCGACTTTTGACTCGTCTAAAAAGTATCCCTTGGCTTTCTTGGTACATGGCGGGCCACAGGGGGCGTGGGGAGATGACTGGAGTACTCGGTGGAATCCTGCCATTTTTGCTGAGCAAGGTTACGTGGTTGTGAGCCCTAATCCGACTGGAAGCACAGGTTATGGCCAAGATCATACCGATGCCATCCAAAATAATTGGGGAGGAGATCCCTACATTGATCTGGTCAAATGTTTCGAGTACCTTGAGAAGGAAGTGAGCTACATTGATACGGATAGGGCAGTTGCTCTCGGCGCATCGTACGGAGGCTACATGATGAGTAAGTTCTACTAACATTTGTGAAAGTGAACGAGACATGCTAATTCATTTTAGACTGGATCCAGGGCCATGATCTGGGGCGAAAGTTCAAAGCTCTGGTATGCCATGACGGTGTCTTTTCGACCCTCAGTCAGTGGTCTACAGAAGAGCTGTTCTTCCCCGAGCATGACTTTGGCGGTACCCTCTGGGATAACCGAGAAGGCTATGAGAAGTGGGACCCGGCCAAGCATGTCGGCAACTGGGCCACACCACAACTGGTAGGCTGAAATCAAGCAATATCATACTTGTATGATCAGCAACTAACATTATTCATCCATAGGTTATCCATAATGAGCTCGATTATCGTCTGCCAATCTCGGAGGGTTTGGCTATGTTCAACGTCCTTCAAGCTCGCGGCGTGCCTAGCAAGTTTGTTATGTTTCCTGATGAGCATCATGTAAGTCAAAATAAGTTATATTTTCATCTCTTGGAGGTAAATTCAGGTGCTAACATGTGGCAAGTGGGTACTCAAGCCAGAGAACTCCTTGGTTTGGCATAGAGAGGTGCTAGACTGGATCAATAAGTACAGCGGAATCTCTGAGCAGAAATAGGCATTTGTCACTTTTCTTTGGGATATCCCCGCATCGAATTCGCAGGAGTATGACAAGTTTGTAAAACATGTGAAGCTTTTGGAGAGGCCTTTGTTTTGCTTCTTGATTGTCTATAACTTGCGTTTGGTACATTGCATAACTGGTGGGACGTTTTCTTCCTTCTTCATTTAATAGCATATAGTCGAAGCTATAGCCCAAACGCTATTCTTAAATAAATCATTCAATCCAGGTAGTTTGCTTGGTATATTCTTACCTTTATTCCCCTACTTGAACTCAAATATGGGCGGCTGTTAATTCATGTTAGAGACGGATTGGAAGCGCCTACAGTGCGAAGTGTGTATTATATCAAGACACTGTGTTAGTTCTCTGCTAGGCTCTCAGCTTGATCCGAATCTCTATTTACACAAGAGACAGCTTCACTTTACGCAGCTGCCCAACACGACATAAAATCTACAGCCCAGCCGCCACAACAAAGCTTTGCCTTCTCTCGGTAACCAGAACAAGATCGCGCACAAACCCAATTAGAGGCGAATATGCGCTGTGCGAGCTACTCAGTGCGGCAGAGTCCATGACGTCCAAGAGAGCATATGCGACAGCCTCAGAAACATCATTATAGCGGCTTTCTCACGCCAAGTTCTACTGTCCAGCTGTCATCTACGCCTCACCCTTCTCTTCTTCCTCTTTCCTCAATAAATACACAAGCCTCAGGCCTCGCCAACATCTCGCCATGGCCCGGCCGCCCTCCATGTTCCACGCATTCTTGCGGCCCTCGATTCTGCAAGTCCTTCGCGCGACGGGCTACCACAGCACGCGCCCCGCGGTCCTCGATACACTGACCGATATTGCGGCGCGATATTTAGCACTCCTGTGCGAAAAGACTGCGAGAAATGCCATGAACAACCACGGCGATGCGGGGGACTACGATATTGTGGACGTCAGAATGGCCTTGCAAGAGGCCGGAGCTCTGCTGCCAGAAAGAACTGAGACCGAACAAATGTGGAAGGGAGAAGAGGACCTGAGAGGGGTGGAAGAGTTCATACAGTGGTTTTCTGGGACGCGCATGAAGGAGATGATGGAGATGGGTAGCGGAGATACTGAATCTGACGCTACCGACTATCTGGCAGGTAAGAAAAACAAGCAAACCATGACAGATATAAAGTTGAAAATAGGCATTGCCTTCCCTCAATCTGTTTTACGCTTCAGACGTCTGGCTAACACACCCTGCCTTCCATAGCCTTGAAAAAGAAACACAGCAAAACCGGCGACGATGCCAAATGGCAGGGTACAATCTTTGGAAAAAACACAGACGGCAATGAGATCCTGGTGGAAGGCGGCTCCATAACGAGCATAAGCGAATGGATATCTCAGCGAGCACCCGAATCACCGACGCCACGAGACTCAATAGAGGAACAAGGAGAAGGGGGGGAGAAGCAGCCACAAAACGGGGACGAGCCTGGGACTGTAGAGATGAGAAGAGCTTCTAGTTCGGGCCTCAGTTCAGTAGGCGATAGGCTGGGCGATGATGGCATCGAGGACATGGATCTAACGTAAGAGTCAGGACATCGTACTGTCGATGTAGCAGCACCGCTAGCAAAGCCTGCAGGACGGGGAAAGCCGAGGAAAAAGATTCAGCGTCGTGCCCGATGGTGATTTGGATACTTCAATGAAGTTGGGCTGGTTTATTTATTTATTTATTTATTTATTTTTTGACACGAGAAAGAAAAAAAGAGGGAAAGGCGGAGGGCGAAGAGGCATGAGACGAGAGAAGAAGAGAGACTAGGCATATATACTGCCTCTCCTTTCCTCTTTCACTGTTTATTTTGCATAGCGTTGGAGTTTCGGAAAGTCAAGGCAGGAGAAGGGGGAATTCGGTGATGGTTTCATGGTTTACCTAGACAAATAGCTTTAATATACACTAAATTGACAGCCAACATAAAGGAAATTGAAGATGATGGATAGTTTTTACAACTTGAATCAATGTAACAAGTTCACCCGAGATATAAAAACTCCATTTGCTATGCGTCAAGAGGTATTTGTAGTCATGCTATGGTACAGTTGCTTTTGCCTGTGAGTGTCTAATATATCCCAGTAACCCTCCTGTCTTTGGAGATGGCCTATCCATTCATTCATCATATATCTAATATACATTCTAAATATTTTAATCATTCATACACTATATGATCACCTCCTACCAATTCCCCTTTTCAGTCCTAGCAACTCAAGCGCCCCCATTTGCCTCGCCACCTCCACAAATATCTCTCGCTTGTCTTCCTCGTTGCCCTTTGCAGGCCAAAACTTCTTCTGCAAGAACGCATACAACGCGGCGCCGCGATTCTCGTCTCCTTCTAAGCTCGCCCCGTTGGAATCTGCCCAGGAGAGCAGCTCGCCGTCAATCACCCGCTTAGCCCGCATTAGCTTGCTGCGTAGAGATGGCGTGTCCAAGGAGAGCTTGGTGGTACCGAGGACCATTTCCATGACGAGCGTTTCGGGAGGGAGGAACCGAAACGTCTCTTTGAACACGGTTAGGGCGACGAGAAAGCCCGCGTTGTCTTGGAGGCGGCGGAAAGTGTGGAGGATTTTGCGAGCCAATTGCCCGTCAATGCCATCTGGTTGGAACACGTCTTTGTGTTTGACAGTTTCTTTAAACATAGCCCGTGCGGCCTCGGCCTCCTTTGCTTGCGTCTCGGGGTCCATTATCATGTGATAACGGTTCGCGCCCAGTGTCTTCCAAAGCGCGCTGAAAGTGTATGGATCGGGCACGACATTGCTGTTCTCTGTGAGAGAACGATACAGAGCTAACGCTTCTTGAGGCTGGCCCTCTTGGATAAGTGACTCGAGAAGCTGATTCATCATGAAAGCATCGGGGCTAATCTGCGCCTCACGGAAGGCATTCCACAAGGTCTCCAGGCGTTCATGGAGATTTCGCATGCGGTAGTTTTCAGCAAGAAGAGAGAAGGTCTCGATAGTAGCCCTTGGTATGCCCTTCCGAGCTGATTCCGATGACGATGCATCATTGCTATTAGGGCCATCATTATGGGATTTTCTAAGGGCAACAAATCTGAGTCTGGATTCGACCATCTGCCATCCCAGAGCATCAGCCTTCTCAAAATTCTCAGCACTGCCTGACCGCTGCCAAGCGCCAATGAGACCGTTAAGTTGTATAGGTGACGCCTCAACGCCCTTCCCTCTCATGAACTCGACTACACTGAAAGCACCATCCAAATCGCCGGCGCCAATTAGTCGCTTTAGCCATTTGCCCAAGAAGAATTTGTTCGCAACGGACGAAGGCATATACTTCTGGCCCGTCAGATCGATTCGGCCTTCGCTCATCATGTCCACAAAGGCATATAAAGCATTCTCAACTTGATGAGCAGTGAGGAAACATGCGACTACCTGGTCGTAGTCTGAGAGGCCCATATCCTTCCCCAAAAGTTGCCTCATCTGACGATAGGCAGTCCATGCTTTTTGTTTGCCTTGCTCGGTTCCTTGTTCGCAACAAGTCCGAATAAGCGGAAGCAAGATACGTGGGCTCATGTTACGGCTGAGGAGCTTATTTATTGCTCGTTCCGCTTGGCCCAAATCACCAACACGGCAGTATATCCTTGTGCCAAGTTCCCAAAAGTTCTGAAATGTGTCTGAGTTTTCAGCTCCCAGAGTGCTTATAGACCGCCTCCAGTTCTCCATGGCCTTGGACTCCCATCCGTCAACAAAGATGGCTTCGATAGCTAGGACCTGCTGCGCAGGATCGAGCGTAGCCTTGGCATCGCTCATATCCCTGGCCAGAACGGCAATGCGTGATAAACTATTGGAGCTATCTTTTGAACTCGAGAAGGCTCTCCAGAGGACCTGCCACAAAGCCGGGGGTACATCGCTCCAATTTTGAGCCAGTGCTAATCTCGTCGAGTGGTACGCTTTGTATAATGACTGTACTGCCTTTGGCTTCAAGCCTGATTCCTTCTCTGCAAGAACGAACCGAGTGACGATAGAATTGAATTTGGTAAGCTTTCGGCGTCGATTTGTCGTTATCTCATCGGGGTTTATCAGGACTTGCGGTATTGAGTCTCGACGTCTATCAGACGCTATGCCCTCTTCCAATGATAACTCTGGTACATCCCCAACGAGTTTCTCTAGCACTCCCTTGGGAAGATCAGTACTTTCTTCTTTTATCTTATCGTCGATCGATCGTGCATAATCTTCCAGTTTCGCTATGAGTTTCTCAACGTCGTCCGCAGAGCTGGCCTTACCCCAGTCTCCCCCCATCTCTTTCAAAACCTCCCCAAAGGCATCTCTCTCTTCTGGATTGCGAAGCCCTCTACCTAGGTTGAAGAGATTGTCTCGCAATTCGGCAGTCTCAGTCCCACTTAAAGATTCCTCAAAGGCATGTTCATTGGACAATTCTTTCCGGATTCGATCGCCCTGCTCGAAGAATCGGACAGAAAAGTCGTCTTCTTTAGTCTGTTTCTTTTCCGAAGCTTGGAGTCTCTTGAGGCCCTCCAAATAGCCAGCCAGTTCAGCTTGAGTAGGTTGACGAGTGATGTCTGCATCTGGTCGTGATTGGGGGCGTAGCCTTGCCTTGCTCACTGTTCTAGAGGCCTGAGAGCTGTATGAAGCAGCCCACCAAGCCTGCGCCGGCTGCTTTGCGCGGCCAGCCAAACATGAGCGGCAGACGATGTCATTTCGACATCTAAGGTCGCGAAGTATCGGTCGACATGACATACTTTGGAGAATCTAATAGAGCGCGGTGCATCCGGCACTCGCTCCTTTGAGCGTTTCGGAACTTTTTTTTTTCAAAGCAGTCAAGATTCTTTGCGATTGCCTTGGCTACTGGTGGATTTGCTGCCACCAGATTGTTATCGATAAGCGTTGCTAGTCGCAGGAAAGGTACTTTACATTGCAGTACAAAACAGTGCGCCGCCAAGTATTTCTATTTGCTAACCTAGATCTCTTCCTGGTGAGTTTTCCACTTACACACACCTTCTCGGTACTCCTTTCATTAGGTACTTGTAGATTTACATACAAGTGGCAAACTAAAGGCGGGCATCACGCCAACTCTGCTCTGCACTACTCTGACAAATAATATGACATTTAACCCGTACTGATGAAATGAAGCTACATCGTAGGCTTTCAACCATGAAGTTCAGAACCAACAGGTAGCATACATGTAGAAGTGCATGTCTCCTTAGAAGTACAACAGGCTATTTACACCGGCTGCATTGATATTAGTAGCGTTGCATTAGTCGTTATCATGCGTCTCCGCAGTGGCTCTGGGATAGTAACGGGCGTCGCTATCTCACAGCAGGCACAGCTCTTTGTTTTAACAGTATTTTATTCTCTTTTGTTTTAACACTGAGCTCATTCTGTCCGCCGGTCCAACTCCGCGGCTGTCACAATCGATGAAACCCCGATGCGTAAGGCATCGTGAGGGATAGAGAGGCATATGTAACCAAAGCTGTAAAGACGAATCGGTCGTTGCGACAAGTAAAAAAACTGAATGAAATATACATTTGATTTTACAGATTACTTGGCATTCCTTCCGAGTGTGCTAATTGCGGTGTATGGTTAGACAAGAAAGGCAGATCGGAAGCTCGGATAAACTAACTTATGGAAGATTTGGCCGAAGAAGCCCGGCTTGGATTGTTGGTCGGTCATGCTCTGGCGCCGAGCGCTATTGTTGGCATTTTGATGATGTTGGGAGAGGCCTTCAAATGCAGGCATGAAGCCGGAGCTCTAGATCATTGGCACGGTCAGCGGTGTGTTCGGTGGGGTTGCGGTGAGAGGGGTGAGAGACTCACTCGGCGGCGAGTGCTCTGGCTTGGCGTAGGGTTCTGGGTCTGCTCGGGATTGTTCATGGTGGCTAGCGGTGGAGGTGCTAACGGTTACAGTAGAATGGCAATTCACTCTTTCACTGCGACGAGCTTTGATCAAGTGGAATAATTCAGACAATGATTCAGACAATGGTAAAGAAGAGCGTGAGAGGAGAAGGGAGGGGAAGCTCCTTAAGTAGCAATAGCTCGCATGAGAGCAGTCAACGAAAGCCGCCGGCCAGGACAAGCTTTCTGACCATTTGCCGGAGAAGCAATGACGCCAGCCAATAGAAGTACCGGCTCACCACACCAGAATGACACACGCACGTCGAGCTCGATTGACACTACCATATGTCGACTTGTGGCTGGAGTCTCGATCGGCGCTAAGACGGTGTTCCATGTAAAACTCAGCCCATTTTACAGCGACGACGATGGCGATCGATGCCCAAAGAAAGTAAAAGCCCGTTGCTGATGCCGGAGATCGAGCAGCGGTTGAATAAGCCGCGACAAATGGTTCGATGTTGTTTTATATAAGGTACAAGCGTGCACCTGCATATTCACCTACCAGGCAGTAGTAAGATGGGGTAACAACTAGGCCTACCACCTAGATAACTATAGTAGTACCTAGTACTTGACACTAAATACAATAGATACTAGTAGGTAGTTAGTAAAGCACACAGCATGCAACCTGAGTTGACCCCGGATCCTTCAAGATTAAGAGCCAATGTCTCATCTTTTGAGGGGAATCAGAGCGAGGGTGGAACTACACGCTGGCACAACGCAACGACCCTGTGCGCATCGAACCATGTGTTCGCAATCGGCATCGTTCCCCTGCCAAACTCCTCTTCTGTGGCGCGTTTGGCCATAGCGTCACCGTTCTGTGACGTCGAGGGCTGCCAGCTCGGGCGTGTACAAAGTCCATCATTCCTGGTGTTGTCATTCGTGGTTGCCGATGTACATGTACCGGTCCGTATGGAGCTGCGTGGGGCAGGTGAGACCCTGTTTTGCGGGGGAGGGCCTGCCGCCCGCCGCGGAGTACGTACCGAAGGTCCCGCAGACCTGTCGGCCGGATTTAATGTTGATCCTGAGCACTTGCTCGGATAAGCCACCAGGAACCTCTTGTGTGACGAATAAGCTGTTTGTCCATGACTCCACCATCCGCCGAAGTGCTCAATAGGCGCGACCATCACCCATTGCTTGCTGCTCGCCAAACCTTTTAGCTATCTGGCAACTGTCTACCGTCCAAGCCAGCGCTCCACAAATCCTGTGACGCCGACAAAGATAGAGACTGCTTGACTGCTTATTTTCCAAGCTCAAGCCATCCCTGGGCCTGCTTCGATGCAGAGCAAGCCCCTCAGTCGAGCCGGATGATGATAGGCGACTATGAACAATGATGCTGCGCCTAGCTCTTCCGCGCGGATTTCCGACCGGCTCTCACCACCTGGCATCGGACCCAACAACGACACCAACGATGCGGAAGCAGATGCCCACGACCGCCCTCGGTCACGGCAGCGCTCGAGGTCTAGTAATGGCCGGCAGCATAAGAGGAGAAGCAAGAAGAAGCAGAATCCAGGACTAGCCAAGAAGCTTGGATTTCTTACACATCTGCTCAAGACACTCGATCTTGTCATTTTTGCCGAGCTGAGCTCTATGTATTATATGGAGTGCGTCGTCATATTTCCCTCCCTCTTCGCTATTCCAAAATGGCCCTCATTGGTTTCATTTAGGAGGAATTCACAAACTAACCCGAATCCGTGTGACATAGATGTTCTATGCTTATGTTCCTCCTGCGAGCCGTACCGCAATACATGTACCTCTCCCCTAAAGACGAATCTTTCGCTCTACTTATGCCGGCCACTCATATACACGTCTTTGTGATACTAGTGCCCAATTTGATATGCATGCTGCTGCATCTCTTTGGTTCACTTCCTCTAGGACCTGATTATCATCGAGGATATCAACATGGGGGGATGATTATCGATTTCGTCGGGCAAATGCCTTCCGGCTATAGACTATATTATATACTGTTTGACTTGGTCATCCTTGCTATCCAGTCTCTGATGCTTTCGATACACAACCAGCGAGAAGGGTTACGAGTTGCGCTCAAGACGTTCCGCCCACTCTCTAATCGAGTTCTGGAACCTATCCCAGGACGTTCCCCCGAAGATCTCGACGCAGAAGAGCGAGGAGTTTCACGACATGAATCGGGTGTGACGGTCAACGAGACGGATGAGATTGAGCTGCAGCAGCTTGATAGACAGGGCAATGGCGAAGGGAATGGCGAAGGAACAGATGAACGCTACGATCGCTACGAGCAACCTGTAGCTGCAGCTGGGGATAACTCCAACGACGAATCACTGAGAACACACTTATCCGATATTATGAGCTCCGGAAACGCTGTGCTCAACGAATATCATGTAATTCATACAATGAAAACGGCCTTGATGAAGACTGGAGGCTCAACTGCCTTGTCTCTCCAGGCTATTGGCTATCGGGCAACTATGGCGAGGATACGGACTCGTCGTCGAGGTGCTACTCTTCGGAATCAAATAACTCGCCCTAGCAACTAGGGCATGTATGTACATATTAATATATACCTACGGAACGGGTAATTCAACTTTTATCAGAAAAAAAAAAGAAAAAAAAAAAAAAAAGCAAAGCCTTCACAGACTGTCTATATTGCGCTGTAATTTTCGCCAAAGGCCAAAGCAAGACAAGGGGACATGGCATCTTTTCCCATTGATTAATTTAAATAGCTTAGGCGACTTTCCTTCCCACATTACCGACACCAGTGCCCTTGACTGAAACGATGATATCCCCGCTGTCGTCTTCCTCAACGTCCCGCAAACCCCAGCTGCTAGCGCCAAATGTCTTCAGATCTCTTGCGAGCTCAACCAGCTCCTCTGTACCGAGGATATCTCTGCCAATTCTTAATCTACCAACGTCTTCGGAGCCCATAGCCATCAGGGTAAGCACGGAACCTGCTGATACCGGGGTCACACAGCCGCCCTTTGCAATGGTCTCTAGTAGCTGGTAGGCGCATCTCTTTCCAATATCTTCGGGGACCTCTCCTCCAGAAGGCAGCACGACGACGTCTGCAGAGTATATTACACCCACAGAGCTAGATTCTGCCACCAAGCTCAGGCCGTAACCAATGCCCAGTCTTCGCTTGCTGCCTGCTTTATCTCCTGTAGGCACCAACGGGGCCTGATCGTACTGTGCTGCAATGTGGATATCCGTGACGAACGGGTTGAGGATCTCACGGGCAGAATGTATCATGCGTGCGTTATTTGAGGCAGATACACCAGTGCAGTAAGCTACCCCGCGTATCTTCCTTACTCGGCCGGGGCTTCGGTTGAGATGCAGCGTCTTGGGTAAGCGGACTTGACTGGCGAAGCGAAGCTCGACGATGCCGCCGCCGCCTTTGCCGCCGGGACCAGCGCAGGAGCGCTGCAAAACTCGGAGCTCAATTCGCGCGGGAGGGATGCCGAATAGGCCGAAGAGAGGGAGAATAGCGGTACGGAACGTGTCGACTGAGACGTCGCCCGTTTCGGTGGAGGATGTGATAACGCCGGGGCCGGAAAACCGCACGTTCATGTGTGCCTTTGAGAAGGGCGCCAGCAGACACAGCGGCAGGAGGAAGTAGGTGATACCCCTCGTGCAGGTGACGGGGATGCTGTGCTCGATGACGTCGCCCTCGGCGGCGCCCAGGCCGGCGATTGTGCCCGTGATGAGGCCCGGGTGGTATGTGATTGTGGTACCGCTGTAGGAGATTTGCATGGAGCTGCCGTTGGTGACGGCCTCGAGGAGGCGCAGGAAGGAGACCTCATGGGGGGCGAGGCCCGGGTTCGTGGGTGAGGAGCTTCGGATCTTGGAGATGTGGATGGGACGGCCGGTGAGGGTTGCGATGGTGAGGCGCCGGGTGAAGGACCGGTGGCCGGTGAATCGGAGGAATTCAGGCGAGGAGCCCGACATTTTTGTCTTTTTAAATTAATTTCCCTCTTTGTTTATGGAGTGTTGTCGGCTTGTATATTGAAATTGTTCTCTTTTCTTTGGTATTTGTGGATGGGGGGTATTATATTGTGTTCTTTTGATCGCAAGTTTTTTGGTGTTTGCATGGAGTCGAGGAAAATTATTGTTTTCTGCCGGCGGATTGGTTTTCCGTGGCTCGGAAGGGTAAGCGGTGGACAATTTTGGGATAGCGCAAAACTGCACCCACTAGTAGCTAGTGAGCGTCGAGAGCAGCATTTCAGGGATTAATCATTGTACGAGAATATGTAGATGCAGAATATATATATATATATATATATAGAATATATAGATAAATAAAGTAATTATATATATATATATCATTATGCTATTCGTAGAAATCTTTGGTTGGAGCTATACGATAAATATATCTTTTTCTTTTACTGCAGTTTTTGGTATCACTGGCTGCTGAACTGATTTTGATGTAGCCTCACTCATCTTCCAAGCACTATTTCGGGTGAAAATTCAAAGGTTATGTTTTAACAATAAAATACCAATAACTATATGCAAAGTTTCCGAACTGACGGCCCACCTCCGTTTGTATATACAACGCCAACAATGCTCTATACGCAATTATACCAGAATCTTCTGCTCTACGCCTTTGTAAAAGATTTCCGATCTAAGCTAAGCCCTTCGAGCAATCGAGAATGAAGTGCAAAAGACTTTTTATTAAATCAACGCCACGCTTAGAATTGATTACCCTTCTATGCCTTCACCATGAAGATCTAATGTTTTGTTAGCAATTTAGTTTTCTTTGGAAAAAAGGGGGCAAGGTGTATAATTACCTGTTTTAATGCTTGGGTATCTGCGAACGCAGCTCTCTTCTGGGCAATGAATCGAGATCTGACAAAGTTGCGGCTCATTGGTGTTGATGTGCCTGTACTTATCGGAGTAGCCGTCCCAGAACGCGAATCCAAGGGGGTCGCATCGGGCATCTCTGTGTCAGATGTGTCCGCATCCTTCTTCTTCTTCTTCTTATCCTTGTCCTTCTTGTCCTTCTTCTCTTTCTTCTCCCTTTTATCCTTCTTAGAGCTCGTTGTCTTTTCTGAGCCACTGTTAGACGATGATGGGTTCTCCACTGCATCGTCTGATTCTGTAGCATCTTCACTGGTCTCCTTTTCGGCTAGGGCCTTTTCTTTCTTCGACTTCTTCTTTTCCTTCTTCTCTTTCTTTTCCTTCTTCTTCTCCTTCTTCTCCCTCTTCTTGGCCTTCTCCGAGTCGCTGGATTCGGCTGAATCAGATTTTGCCGACTTCTTAGCCTTTCGCTCCTCCTTTCGCTGCTTCTTCTTCTTCTTCTCGTCTTCTTCATCTGCCGATTGCCCATCCTCGTCTTTCAGAGCTTCCGCTTTTCTCTTCTTGGATTTCTTGTTGTCTGTTTCAGAAGAACTCTCTGATTCATCCGAATTGCCCTTTGACTCGTCGTTCTCCTCTTCCATGACATCACCAACCAACAGACCTCCTCGCACGAATCTCATTGGACCCCATTTCTGCTCCACGTAAGCGTGCATCTTAACCTGCAGTCTGGCTTGTTGCTTCTCTTCCACTTCAGCTTCAGATTTTCCGTTCAGGCGGCTCAATAAATCGGAGAAGACGTCGAGACCGGTGACTTCGTCCTCCTTGGACTTGCTATAGCCAAGACCCTTCATGTCATCTTTGAGCGAGACCCGAATATACGACGCATTCGCAGCGGTGTGGAATTCAGAGTGCGCTGAATCTTTGGCTCCCAAGAACTGACCGGGCTCCCAGCCTTGTGATCTCAGCATCTTCTGGCCGAACGTGGTGGTGTCGCGAGTCCATCTTGTGTTGTTGGGATCGTGCTGGATTCTCCGGCGCCTGGATTGATATTAGCGATTGTATGTGTTGGTGAATTTGCCTGCAAATAACATACGTCCTTGACTCAGCAAGCAGCCCCATTGTGTTGACCTTGTTGGAGCGCAGGCGGCTCTATTCGCTTTCTGTATGTAGAGAGATCTGGTTCTGCGCACTCAAGCCTCGAAACTGATTGCGAAGATTGGGCTGGCAAAAAAATATTAAAGCGGGGTATCTAGTCTTATCGCGCTTTGTGATTGGATGGAAAAGCAAGTGCTGTCTGGCTTGGCCAAAACAGGCCTGAAAGAGGCTAAGAACGTTGAAGGCGGCGGGAAAGCCCCTGTAAATCCTCGCTAACGTCGTGGCGCTTTACTGGGCGAAGCAATCAAGCCTTTCAAATGCAAGATGAGCCTATCCAAACACATGTGCCCATCTTCCAATCATTGTTTGCCTAGTAGGTATACATCGCTTCGATTCTTATGCAGAATCTCAATGATAACTTCAGCGTCTTTATTAGAGCACATTGATCCCTAGTAATACCTACATATGTGAGCTAGGTAGTGACTTCTCACGACGAAACCGTGCTACTCATTCCAACCGTCATAGTATTTTGGCGATTCTCATGATAGCATGTTTCTCGCAAAATTCTCCCCTTAGACGATTTGTAAATAAACTCTTGGTTTGTGATCATCAGGGTGCCGTGGCGCAAGAATGAGCTGATGTAGGTATTTAATAGGTGCGAGGGTGCATACCTATACGTGATTTTACTTGGCCCTACATGTTAAGGTGGGTGTCTGTATCTCGCAAGACTTGCGTGTTGAATGATCTACGCATTAGTAATGGCAGATAACTATACACCTAATACACAGCTGGCCAATAAAATTTCTGGTCTATCGATTTGTCTTCTAACATTACTTGAAACACTTGATGGATATCGACTCGTAACTCCGAAGGAGAGATGTCACCGAAGTGGGCAGGATTAACAGCTTTTCTGGGCCCGTCTAAGGAGGCTGAAACTGATAGACAAATGGTTCCACGGTAGACGCGTAATGATGGACACCGGTATACCTGGTTGAAGAAGTCCAATATCTATCTGATGCTCGTGATGGCGTAGCGTACAGCACTTCATTTCCAGTTGCTTGATTCAACTCGCCGGCTAAAGGGGACGTATATTGCTCAGAAGCTATTCTTTTACGGCTGAGCAAGGAGTCCTCATAAACTTCTGCGATGATCAACCTCCTAAACCGAGATGCGTATTGTACTCGGTACGCGTATCTCCTCGGCAGTGCTTTGCAATGGAGTCGCCATTTAGACCAATCCCGCATAAGGCTAGGGTCAGAGGGTGCAACATGTAGCAGCGTATATCAGACGTTAAGTCACCTACTGAGGCGGGTGACCATTACTGCTACTCTTAGCTATGAGTACGTGTAAAAAGAAGGATCCTCTTCAAGCGCCTAGAATTCTCGTGGCTTTTCTGCAATCCGCCATTGTTCAACGCTCGTTATTCTGGGGTTCGCACGGCATGCGTCGAGGGCGCGCTGTAATAGGACAATCTGCAAACGCCGATCTCTCTTAGCGGGCCAAAAGGGGAGCTGCATTTGATGTTCAGGCGCCTCGTCTTGCTAGCAAAGAAGAGAAGAAGAAAATAGCCATCGACTCGCTGCTGACCCGCTCTCAAAACCAGCCACCGTCCATTGGGCTTCATATGCCGGGCCGTGTGGCCCTTGGGTTGGTCCAGAAGTCTGCGCCGTTGTACACTACTAGTTTGCACATACATGTAGTTTTGGAGTGACGAGCCAGCACGCGAGCGGTGCTAAAGCCGAGATTAAGAGCGGAGCCGGTGTCTAGACGATCTTCAAAGCGATGGGGATCAAATCCATGGAACTGCTAGTATGAGGTAGCTGTGGATTTGCTAAACGTTAGAGGACTGCAGACGGTAGGGGCGAACGCCTTGGAGTGACATAAATAGGTGACTGCTGAGAGCAGCAATCTACAGGCTTGGCTCGAAGTTCTGGCTCATGTATAAGAAGTGTTGTTCCATATCAAGCATAATTTAATTTCCCTTTTTATTTCTCCTTCTCAGTTCCCTTGAGATCTTATAATCATACTAGAATATGAGACTCTTTCCTCTATTGGGGTGTGTTATTCGAATCTCAGCATAAGCCTCCTGAATGACCTATCATCTCACGTCATAGCTGAGACCCAGCGGTCTTTCATGAAAGATGGCTGCTTTGTACTTGATACCTCGAAATTAGCCCATATTCTTCGGGATAATAATGCCCATACTCACTGAGTAGGCGGCATGTACTTTGTGCAGGCATGCATTCCGGATATTAAGCCCTGTTCCCACCTTGTCTTGTTGCGGAGAGTCACGATAACAATGGCGCGACTTCTAGCCTGTGGGTAAGTGACATACTTAGTTTGAGCTCTTCAGCAGTGGTGCTGGACTTGCACAAGTCTATGCATCTCTTTATAGGGTGTTGTTGCAAATCCCCCATCGTTGGAGGCTGCACTCCTCTATCTTTACCTTCGGTCTCTCTCTAGAAGGGAAGGGTTAACATACCAAAGCCCTCTCAGATACGACTTGGTGCAGTAAACTCTAAGTATGAGATAGGTGAAGCATAGATATTCTTCATCATCTACCCTGCGCAATATCTCTACCAAAAGAAGATCAGCAAATGCATTGGCTGCTGCAAACCACACGGTACATGGTTAAGTGCATGGCTAGCTTGATACTAAATAGGTAACTTGGGATCATGAGCACAAGCAAGAGGGTCCAGGGCCTATATGGGGGGTCAGTGTCTCAGCGAATCTGATTGCTTCTTTCCATACGCGTGTTCGAAGACCGCAACTAGCTCCTATCATATCCTATCTTGTATGCCTGCTAGTGACTGATCATGGATAACAAAAAAAAGAAGCCATCACCAAGGTATGCGTTAGTACTTCGCAACGGCGGAACAACGGCCACCCCTATCTTTGAACAAGACTTCTCGTAATTATACCGTGGATTTATATTTGCTTGTATCTCATAATAAACCGCTCTGGCTTTTGTGTGGACCCTCCAACTCGCACCCTAGATTCAAGCTCCTCCATGTCCATGGCTTTCAGCTGATTATGACTCGAGCTGGGTCCCTTCTTTGGCTGATCCCTCCACAACGTCTTTTCTTTTAGTCTGTCTCTCTCTCCAAGGTTTCTTTCCTCTTCTTGTTTCCCATCTTTGAATGTGGCATTTATGACAATTCCCTAGTTGTATGCTGCCTCTTTGAAGCTTCAACTTTCCGGGGATATTCCTTTGATCTCCTTCTATCCATCACCCTCTGGTCTTCTCTTGTTTGATCACCAGATCCAGAAACAATGGGCCACTTCACCTGGTGCTCCCGCTGCGCAGGCGGCTTAAGCATGTTGGCATTGATTGGCCTCTCATATTGGGTTATATCCCGAGAGTCGATGGTTGAAAACTACGGATTCATCGTATATAGGGGTGCAAGTACCAAAGATGGAAGTTATTCTTCAAAAACCACCGCTGCCGGTGCTGGTATATGGACTTTCATCTTCGCTTACTATTGCCTCTTGATCCATTTTCTGGTTGCCCTGTTCCCTCTACGAGCTTGTTGGTCCATTTGGGCCATTACAAAGTTACTTAAACAATCTGCGCAAAGCAGAGCTCTTCAAGATTACAAAACCTCTGGCCTTCGCCGCCAAAGCTCTTCGTCTTCGATCACCAGTTCAGAGACGTTATCTTCTAGCGACAGCGACAATGTTTTTTCAACGGCAAGCGAATTCACTGATTCCGAATCCGAGCTTTTCGCCGAAGGTAATGATAGCGCCCGGAGCAGCCCCGTCATCCATGCCATCGTCATCCCCAACTACAAAGAAGAGATGGAAACTCTCAGAGAGACTCTGGACGTCTTAGCTTCTCACCCTCAAGCTTACAGTTGCTACGATGTAAGTCGAAATAAAGCCTCAGCATCACTCCCTTGTCACTGCGCGAGGAGTGGTTGTGCGGCATGATTGGCGGCGTGAACTAGATGCTAATTGGTCATGCGCTGCTTCAAGGTCTACCTTGGTATGGAACTAAGAGAAGCTGGGGTGGAATCAAAGGCTTTGAGCCTCGTCCAGCATTATGTGAAAAAGTTCCGATCTATTGATTATACGCTGCATCCGGCAGATATTCCCGGCGAAGCTGCCGGCAAGGGCAGCAACTTGGCCTGGGCGGCCCGCAAGCTCAGCTCCAACTATACAATGTCTATCCGCAAGAATGTCATTGTTACTGGTATTGACGGTATGTTATTGCTAATTTATAATGAGATATTTCAAATTATAGCATCGTATGCTGATTATATACTTGTAGCTGACAGCCACCTCTCGTCGCGATACTTTGCCCAAATCTCCAATATGCATATGGATACGATCTATAAAGAGACAGCTTCCACGACCCTATACGCTGCTCCTATAATTTTCGACAGGAATGCCCACAGCGTCAGTGCTATTGTTCGCGTAGCCGATATTCTCTGGTGCGCCGCCGGAATGTCTGGTCTGTACAGCAGCTCTGTCATCGCCCCTCCTACATCTGTATACTCCCTGCCGTTAGAGCTAGTTGACCGTGTTGGTGGCTGGGACTGTGACTCTGAGGCCATTGGAGAAGATCTGCATATGTTTATCAAATGCTTCTTCGCTGTGAATGGGCACCTTACCTGCCGCACAGTGCTCAGCCCCGTTAGCCAGACCAACGTGTCTGGAGGTGGGAATGGTGGCTTTCGAGGCGCGCTGATGGACATGAAGGCCCGTTATAAGCAGGCAATTCGGCACATGTGGGGTGCGTTGGACAGCGGATTTGCATTGCGCAAAGCTTTTGAGATGTGGAAAGACAGGAAACACACCTGCAGAGCTTTCCGTCCTTTACACAAGACTGGCCGTGGCGACAGCCTTGATGGGTATTTTCCCGAAGCCCAGCTTGAGGCAGGCTCGGAGCTTCCAACCGAGAATGACGCATTCTCTGATATAACGAGAGACACACTGAAAGAGCCTCACTGGGAACACATTTTCTACTTGGCTCACCGTCTGTTTGAAGCACACTTTCTGCCCCTTCACATGATGATCCTGGTGGTTGCATCTACTCTGTACACATGGGTTACAGAGGGTGGTGAAGACCCCAACAACTTGTCGTGGATCTTTTCGACTTGCAAAGTTCTCCGGCCGATGGGGCTCGTGGAGGTGGCAGTCTATATGCTCATCTACGAGAGCTTCCACCGAGTCTGCGTGAGCGCCCGCGAGAGGGACATGGCCCAAGCCGGGTTGGCCGATGGCATGTGCTTTTCTCATCGCTCTCTGAAGCAGAATTTTATCGATTATTTCCTGGTGCCTGCGGTTGCTCTTTTATATGGCACCTTGCCATGCGCCCAGGCGGAAATTTCGCATTTCTGGACGGCCGACTTGGAATACGCTGTTAGCAAGAAAGCTGTACGACAGCGAGCCAAGTCTGTGACTATAGAAGATGTTGTTTGAGGGGTTTAAATGATGTTATTCTGGGATATTCGCCCGGCATACGCACTATGTGTCAATCCCCAAAAACCCCTACAAGCGCAAGCAATGTTTCGTCGAATTTATCAGCCTCCCGAAGGAATTGATCTGTTCAGCAGTTATAGAATAACAGTGAAAGAAGAAGCATGGAGTGGGGAGTATTTGCACCAACACGGCCACGAACACTAAATGATGGAAGGAAATAATGACAATCTATGTAATCTGACAACTAAGCTTTGTATCTGCTTGACGCAGAGATCTAACATAGTATATTTACATGTATCTACTAGTACTACCTAGATTAGTAGAGGTAGTAGTTAATACCCCAAATGGAAGCAAGACACTGTACTAGGAAGAAAAGTACCTAATAAACGAATATTCTTTATTTGTAATTTAAATCTTCTATCATCCTTTACGAGATACTCCTTTCTATATCTCCTTGCTATATCTATGCATAGATTAAAGATGTTGAATAGTTAAATTTTGGAGCGTGAAAACATCTAATTTATTTTTTAGAGTATGCGGCTAATGCATCGTTTCCGAGCTGTTGCATCCGCAAATGCCAAGGGCCGAAACTACGGGTGCAGAGTTGAAGATTAGTGGAGCCTTTGAGTCCAGCGACGAAACAGATGCCAATCTAACATCTCAGCCAATCATTGAACGATGGTACCTGGATAGGCGAGATATGCTTTAATGCAGCATCAGATTAGCACTTCCAGAGAGAGAGGCGATATCAAGACCAGATTGTGTATACAAGTGCAGATGGACAGAGGTAGTATCGGCGGAGAGGGCTTTGCGGCCACTTGAGCACAAGAGAGAAAGATAAATCTGCATTTCGCAAAATTAGATACCTTATGTGCATTAATGCGGCTTTAAGGCCATCTGACTAATCATATTGGAGATTAGGAAGATGGGATATCCGTATGCTTAGATGCTCTTCTAATTTTGAGGCAAAGGGGTGCAGCTGTGGAATAGCCGTATAGAACATTTCTAGGTACTACTTCGTATTACTTAATATGATAGAGATGGCACTCTGAAGAAGAATGGATGTGGCAAAAAGCTAGCTTAAAACTTTCTCTACAGAGTTGAAGAAAAAATGAGTGATAATTTGCTGAAGAGACTCATACTTATATATGCGCAAGTACCGGTCAGCACTCCAGAGGGAGGAGTAGGATTTTACATATAGAGGAATATAAGTAATATCAGCTTATATGGCGAGCAGTCTGTATACTGATTTCTCCAGGGCATATTTTATATAAGAGCATGAAGAGCAACAATGAGTAGCATCCAGAGTTATTCTAAAGGAATGGTATGGTGCGCACGAGACTTACATAGAATAGAGTGTCATCTCTCTGCTGCCTGACGTCGAATAGAAGGTATAAGCCCAAATTGAGTCAAGATGAGATCTCTGTATCATAAGAAGATTTAAACTAGCATTGCAATGCTTGATTCTCACACCATGCATTGCATAGTTAATTCTTCACCAATGAATACAGAAGATACGTCACCCATCGAACACGCGACAATTGGACTTATCACGATAGCTTCAGCTTTCCACGATCTGCAGGCGGTGAAAGACGTGGAATGGCGTGGGGATCCACCGGCGTGCATAAGTGGCTCCATCCGGGCGGGGTTGGTTGCTGAGCCAGCGACACGGATAGCGATAAGCACCTTATCGTATCATTCTATTGGCCAGAATTACCAGGTGGGGAGGTCTACGTTAGATGGCTGAACGGAGACCGAAAAAAAAAGATCCGACTAAGAAATTTTTTGAGCTTCTCGCCTCTTTTTTTTCCTTTCCTCGACGCGATCCTCCAGACTTTGGAACAAGCAGAGCCACATTCTCTCGAGAGTTTTTTCTTCTTCGCTTTCATTTTACAGCCTCTCCTTTGAATTACAGCTATAACAGCCAACACCGAAATTTAATATTTCTATCACAATGGCTGCTGTTCCCGGTCCCGTTTATGGCCTCGAGGTCCCGCCTGGAGAGGTGTTGATCCCGGCCAACTTGGAATTCCCTGCCTCTGTAGGTATTTTCTCTTTTTCCCTCTGGCTGCAAGTTCTTTAGTATGTTATCATTGAGATTGAGCTCAATGCGACACGAAGCGCTCATGTCACTGCTTGATCGAAACGATGCCGCCAAAAGAAAAGGCAACCATGGTGGAATTATGTAATTTTGTCTGGTTAACGCTAATCATCGATCTTTCATGTCATAGTTCCGCATCACTATGGCCGCTTTGGATCCTACTGAGGAGGCCGATGTTGATGATTCCAAGAACGCCCCCTCCATCCCTCGATCAACTCTGCGTCTGGTCAAGCGCGCCTTCTCCAGCTACAACGAGGACGAGGATGACGAGCTCAGCGATCAATACATGAACGCTCTCCTCGGAGGCTCTGACGACGAGGATGACGAGTCCAACGGTGGCCCTAGCGACCTCTCCAAGGCTAAGAAGCAGAAGCAGGCTGCTGCAATCAAGAAGCTTCTGGAGGCCGCCAACGGCGTTGGCTCTGATGATGAGGAGATGGAGGATGCTGAGGCCAAGCCCAAGAAGGGCAAGAAGGCCGCCCCCAGCGCCAAGGGCAAGGGCAAGGCTGTTGTGGAAGAGGAGGAAGACTCCGAGGATGAAGAAGACTCCGAGGACGACGACAGCGAGGCAGGCGATCTTGAGAATTTCGTCGTTTGCACTCTCGACACCGAGCGGGTAAGCTTCACAGATTTTAAGAGCCCCATGAAGAATTTTTCTTATGGGGCGAAGCTCGTCAAATTATGATTCGTACGATATACTAACCCCCAGTCTAGAACTACCAGCAACCTCTCGATATTACCGTCAACCAAGGCGAGAAGATTTTCTTCGTTGTCTCAGGCACACACACTGTTTACCTGACCGGTAACTACATTATGGACGATAATGAGGAGGATGAGGATGAGGATGAGGATGACTACGACCTTTCTCCCGATGAGCTGGACTATGGCCTAGGTGAGGATGACAGCGAAGAGGAGAGCGACGACCTCGATGATCTTGAGGATCCTCGCGTTACTGAGATCGAGTCCGATGAAGAAGTCCCCAAGCTGGTTCCTACCGACAGCAAGAAGGGCAAGAACAAGCGTTCTGCCGAGGAAGCCGAGGGCCTTGACGAGCTGATCTCCAAGGCTTCCGAGTCTAAGCTTTCCAAGAAGCAACAGAAGAAGCTCAAGAACAACAAGGGCGAGGCTGTTGCCGCCGAGGAGAAGGAGGAGGCCAAGAAGGATGCCAAGAAGGTCCAGTTCGCCAAGAACCTCGAGCAGGGCCCCACTGGATCAACCAAGCCGGCCGGCAAGTCTTCTCTCGGTGTCAAGAACGTCCAGGGCGTTACCGTTGATGACCGCACAATCGGCAAGGGCCGCACCGTCAAGAACGGCGACACCGTTGGTGTCCGCTACATTGGAAAGCTCCAGAACGGTCAGCAGTTTGATGGTATGTTTCGTCCATGACTACATTTTGTCCTAGACATAGCAACTAACTTGAGTTTCCTTACAGCCAACAAGAAGGGCAAGCCCTTCTCTTTCAAGATCGGTCGAGGCCAGGTCATTAAGGGCTGGGACGTTGGTATTGTCGGCATGGCCATCGGCGGTGAGCGACGACTGACAATCCCTGCTCACCTGGCTTACGGCTCAAAGAGCCTGCCTGGCATTCCTGCCAACAGCCAGCTGACTTTCGACGTCAAGCTTCTTGAAATCAAATAAATCAGAGTCAAAAGTCGAATTAAAACTTGGGACCGGCGTTGGATGGTTTCTGCGGCTGCGTATATTAATTCTTCATCTCTACCCGAAGCTGGACATGGTTCAATATAATTTTGCGTTTCCTTTCAAATACTGCTCAAGGACGAAGAACCTGAGGCCGTAAGCTGCTTAAGAGGCGTGAGGGATTGTGCGATGTGACACCCGGCATCACATGCGAGTCCAGGGGGGGGGGGGGGGGGGGGGGGGGGGGGGGGGGGGGGGGGGGGGGGGGGGGGGGGGGGGGGGGTAACGAGGGCGAAGATTCGGGATTGGTTGAAAGATGGGGATATTATGCGAAATGGGCAAATGTTAGCCCTTGTGTTAAATATCGCAGCCGTTACTAAAAGAATTGGGACGGCTCTACTATGGTTGAATGGAGGCGATTTAGACGTCTATACAGTGAAATACAACACAATAAAATCATCAAAATGCTTCTTATTTCACTCGCCTTTTGCCCTTTTCCCATTGTAAATCCGCCATGTTTGATATGGCGTCAATGATATGTCTGATCCAGAGACAGATGCCGAAGTCCCTAGATGCGAGTTCTCTTATCGATTTGACCCTCTCGTATAAGTTGCAAAAGGAGTGATCGAGAAATACCCATAAACATGGAAAGAGCGTGTGATAGAAAAGCAGCGCCATATTTTATCCTCTGCCATTCTTGTCCTAAACTTCCAACTCTCTTCAGCTTCCATCTCTCCTTTTCTCCCCACCGCGTCTTCCGCCGAATTTGCGACGCCGTCATTCATTCATTTATTAAATGCTAGCTCATAAAAGGAAAAGAAACATACAATCAACAGAGTCTATCGGCATCCTCTTCTCTTTCTTTTTATTCAGAAAAGGGTTGTGGCCTATTCATTCATATCCATTAAACAGAATGCTACCTCAGCATCACAATGGCCAACGAACTCATCCAGTATTGGACTCTATGCCAAATAGTCCAAAGGAACCTTCTGCCGCCTCGATTCAGCCTCTATCAAGTGGCACAGAAGGCCATGTAGGTTCTGACATCTTGAAGCTTCATCGCAAGGGCTCAAAAGTATGGTCTGAAATTCGGGGCAAGCTGATGGGAAGGGTGGAGAGGAATAGTCATGGTAATTCGGTCCTTTGCGCCACCCTTATGCTTCTTGTAAGACTGTTTACTCAGTGCTGATAACTTACAGGCTCACAAAGTTCTGTTGCTCTTGACTGGTATACAAGCGAGGCGTGTCGGTCTTTGAATAGAGGGGAAAATCCGGCTGTTGTTGCTCCAAGTAACGATGTCTCGATATTACGAAAGGTAAAAGGAACAAAAGGGTTCATGGTGGCGAATGGACTTATACAAAAGCTACGGCCCAACAGCCAACAAGTTTCTCCACGCGCAACTATTACGGCCTGCGGCTCTTCATCACAGCAGAAAGATTTGGTTTCAGGTCTGACCAGTGTTACGGAATCTGATGATGATTCGAGCGAGAGAGATCGTATATGGTCGTCCGCCCACAGCAGTAGACTGACTGGCCTAGAAAATAACTCAACCAGGAAAACATCAGTCGATTCTCGCTTTTCCAGCTCGCCTTCAGCGAAAGGAGGAAGTCCAAGAAGAAAGCTAAGCCGTCGGAGCCGTTGGACTAGATCCAGCCCCGAGGGAGCAGGCTTAGGGACTATCGAAGAGTCGACGGTAGACAAGCCAAAGCCAACTATACTGACGGTAGAAAAAGCAGCAGCGGCTAAAATATACCTGGAGACCTACTTTAACGAGCTCTGCAGCGAGGCATATCGTCGCTCTCTCCGGCGCCAGCAGTTTCATCAAGAGCTCTTTCGTAGTGCATATATGATGCCTGGCAATAATAGCCTTACCTACAATACTTTCTATTATCGGGAGAGCTGTCGCCTGAGAGATATACGAATTTTGAAGTCCAAATGCACAATTCAAGCCAAACAGCAAAAGACAAGTATCTGTGCTTCGAAATACGAGTTTCTCAAAGTATTGGGCAAGGGTAGTTTTGGAGTTGTCAAGCTGGTACGTGAGAAATTAGACTCGTCGTACTCTTACCCAAGTCGAGTTTTTGCAATGAAAGTCATACGAAAGTCGGACATGCTTCGAAGCAGCCAGGAGGGACATCTTCGCGCTGAGAGGGATTTTCTTGTGTCTTATGAAGGATCTAGCTGGTGAGCGCCTTCTTCTGCTTCTTCTGCTCCCCCCCCCCTTTTTTTTTTCTTTTTGGATCTTTTCCTCTTGGCATGCATTTCCAAATTTTATTTCATTTTCTTTAAACTTACCATTTCTTGATTAGGGTGGTGCCACTGGTTGCAAGCTTCGATGACTTGTCGAATCTATATCTCGTTATGGAATACATGCCCGGCGGAGACTTCTTGGGCTTGTTGATCCGCGAAAACATACTACACGAAGCTGTGGCATGTTTCTACATTGCCGAGATGATATTGGCCGTTGAGGAAGCCCATCGTCTTGGATTCATTCACCGCGACATCAAGCCTGATAATTTTCTAATATCCAGCTCCGGACATCTCAAAATTTCCGATTTTGGGCTTGCGTTTGACGGGCAATGGCCTCATGACGCATCATATTACAATTACCATAGATACTCACTTCTGCGGAAATTGAACCTCGATGCTCAAGGAGATGAAAAGGATCAAGAAGACAATAAAGGCATCCAAGGGCGGGCCGAGAAAGCGCGTGTTCTGATGGGTGATATTGAGCGGCATGATGAGCAGAGCTTAGGAAGCGATCAAGACCTTGCTACTCTTTTGGAATGGAGGCACAGGCGCGGCAACCGTACGAGGGCAAACTCTGTCGTTGGTACAAGCCAGTATATGGCCCCCGAGGTGATCCAAGCACAAAATTTTCAAACGTACTACGACGGGAGATGTGACTAGTAGAGCATCGGCATCATTCTATTCGAGTGCCTCTATGGACACACGCCATTTCTTTCGGACGAAGGGAGGAAGCCCACAAAACAAAACATCCTAGTAAGCAGATTTGATTCATAATCACGCAGACCATGCATTGAACACGAATACTAATGCCATTGAAGGCCCATAAAGAAAAATTTCGGTTTCCCGTGAGACCGTTCGTCAGCGATAAATGTAAAGACTTGATCTACCGCTTGATCCAAGACAAAGAAATTCGGCTCTGCTCCAAACGATACCAAATGCTGGATCAAAGTCAGCCGGAAATAGGGATACCGACGGACAGATACGGCCGGTATGTTTTTCCAGATGATGCTGAAGATATCAAAACACATAGATTCTTCAAGCCTATTCCGTGGGATACGATACAGAATGTTACACCGCCCTTCATCCCTCATATCAATAGCCTTGAGGACACTCACTATTTTAATGAATCTGAGCCTCTTGACGATCGAATAGAGTCGGTAACAGAAAAGCCTGGGCTCACAGACGAAGAAGTTCGATGGATTCTACGAGGATATGATATGGCTGTACAAAATGTGGCAATTCGCCTGATCAATACGCCGCATGATTCTGGAGCTCTTCGCAGCAGGGACTTGGAAATTGACTCGATGAGTGCATTTGAGGATGAAGAGAAGGAGTTGCTGAAGAGATTTGTGAGGGAATATGGGCGAAAGGTGCCCAAGCGACCAAGGGATATTATTCTACGAGATGAGCACATGAAGGATACGGCCATGGCGGTGAGGAAACAGAGCGCCTTTATGGGTTATGCATGGCATAGCGTGAGGCGGATGACCTACTAATGCCTAAATTAATGAACTGAAGCCCTGAATTGTTAGATGGGCGCTGCGTATAAGAGGCCTTGTCTTGATCAGCGTAACGAAAAGAAAAGGAAAGAAAAGAAAGAAATCATATAGCAGGCTTAACGAATAGAATAGAATTAAATGTATTGATTCAGGAAGTGATTATCCAATATACTCATAGTATCTCCAGCCGAGAGCTACTGTACTTTTTCATGTCGGCCTTTATGGCTGCATGCTTCTAGTTTTCACTACTTGATGTTATCTCCTCTTATTCTTTGACATGACCTACAAGCTACGAAGCTTCTTTTTCCATTCCTTTAGTAAAAAAAATTTGTGAATTATATAATTTTATAAGAAAGAAAGATTATCTTATTCTCATAATATCCAGAGAAAAAAATAGTGTTCAATACAAATTATGGCTTTTTTACGGATTTAGTTGCTTTTTAGGTAGTGTGCCTCATCTATACATTGGCAATTGGAGGTTTCTCCCCATGATCTGGCGAAAGAAATGACTTGGCAGTACGAATTTCCCATTCAAACTCCCTAAGAGCACGAATCTCAGACCAGAAGAAGAGAAGAGCAAGCAAGCCGTCTACAACCCCCGTGGCGAGTCCCAGGCTGGCAACGAGCATGAGGATAAAGGCCACGAAGTTGCGCGGGCTCCACCACACGGCAACGAGGCAGCCGATCCAGACGAGCACGGAGGCGTAGAAGTGGATGGCGCGCCAAAAACGTTGGCTGACTTCGCGGGTCATGTACCAGTCCGTCATGGCGAGGATTTCGTCGTAGTCGGAGACGGTTAGGGGTTGGGTGTCGAGGACTTGGCCATCTGCGGGGGGGATGAGCTGGGCGTCTAGTTCGGGGACGGGGGAGGAGGGCGATATTTCGTGGAGCTTGAGGATGGCTGAGGCGGCGAAGTGGTCGGATAGGGAGACGTTGAGCTCGGGATGGCGCTGGGTCATCTCGACGGACGCGGAGTGGACGACCCAGCCGCGAGATTGAGAGCCCGAGTTTGAAGCATCATTGGGCTGGGTGCGTCCGGTGGTGGCGAAGACGTAGTCGAGGCGCTTTCCGCGAGGATCGGGGCTGTCTGCATCTACAGGGCATGGGTCGGTCTTGAGCTTCTTCTGGGCGCTCTTTGACCAGCGCCAGGTGTTGTAAAGGCCGTCGCTGGTCGAGCCGTTGAATTTGATATTGTAGCCGGCAGTGGGCACAGGGAGACCTCTGGCCTTTTCCACGGGGTCGTCTGCGGTTCCGAGGGAGCTCTCCGGGTGAAGGACACGCCATGTGTCTCGGAGGGGGGTGCGGGCGGTGATGATGCGATGAGGGAGCGAGCGCGGCGTCATGTTGAAGTCGCCGAGGGCGACGACGAGGCGGCCCGAGAGGGAGGCGGCGCGGAGGAGCTTGGAGATTTCCCAGGCTTGGGCTGTGCGGTGGCAGAGGTAGGTATCCTTGGGACCGCTCTCATAAGGGGCATGGGTCTGTGACGATTGTGTTAGCAATTGGCATGAAGAAATGAAGGATGAGTGAGATGGATGAAAGTTGAGGTGAGGTGGGCCGTGAAATGGCGTGTCTCTTTTCTTCTCACACCTCACACTCTCTTCTCTCTCATATGAATATTTATATGCATATGTATCAATCATGATGAGAAGGAGTAGAGTGAGAATGAGATTGAAGGGCAGGTTAAAAAAAAAAAAAAAAAAAAAAAAAAAAAAACCCCACATGAGTGTTGAACACTTCAATCACATCATTCTCCCCCGGGCCGTATCGCACGCCAGCAATTGCCACTCCCTTTCCGACATACCAGTCGCCTCTCCAGAAGGCAGTCGGCCGGCCATTGAGCGGATACCTGAACATGGAGCTCGTCTCCACCGGCCACCGGCTCAGCAGTGCCAAGCCGCCGCCAAAGGCACCGCTGTTGTAGAACTTGCCATAGGGCAGGATATCAGCGGCAGCCTTGCAGATGGCCTGGTAGTCGTCGCGCGTCCAGCATTCTTGGAGACAGACGATGTCTGGCGGAGGGTCCAGGAGGGCCAGTTGGCGGCCGATCTCAGCGAGGCGCGGGGCGCGCAGGTCGGAGATGAAGAGGAGGCCCCAGCAGTTGAGTGAGAGGAGGCGGATCTGTGTGACGGGGGGCGTTGCGTAGCTTTGCGCGGCTGCGGCGTCTGTGGATGTCATGGCGAGGCTGGAGTAGGTAGGGAGTGCGCTGAATTGGATGCGTTGCTGCTGGTGCTTCTGACGAGGCTGAGAGCCTGGCCAATTGGGCCGACGGGGTGCGATGCAGTCAATTGAGACGCCGGAGAGTATCCAAATGCTTTGTTCGTGTCAATTGCGTGTGTATTTGGCATCAGCTGAGGCGATGCATGGCTGTGGCGATGGCTGCGAATGTGGCGGTGGTGACGATGATGATTGCAAGTTGTGAGGCCGCAATGCCCAAAGTATCGAACTGTCGGCAGGGCACATACATCGTATCTGCATATACCTGGTAGTGAGTAATAGTGCTGGCTTTAGAGTCTTTAGAGTTGCCTATAGGGAGCTGACAGTGGCTTCTCCTCCGCTAGGCAGCATCTCAATACACCAACTTCACTACAGACGATCAAATCAATTTCATCACGATCAACGCCAAGTTCTACGTTCACGTCTATGTCAAAATGGTAAACTCATCATACGAAATAGTACCATCATAGATATTGACTTACAAGAACGGGCAATGCAGATCTACTGGGCCCCTACTTTGGTTGAGCAAAGCCGGCTACGCACCGTAGATCCAACGCTGCCAGAGCGGCTCCAATTAAATCTCGGGAAAAGTTGCCCCGCTCAACTCAAAAAGCAACCGCTTATTGGCAATTTTATTCCTCAAAGGGGCAATTGCGTAGTAGTGCGGCCGGCTAGGCATACGACAGCGTTCCATGCTTTATAAATCCATTTTGTGAAGCATGCATTACAATTATGCTTATTGTATAGGTAGCTTAAAGACAGGCAGTCGAAGAATAGCAGAAGCCCATATACACGTATACAAATGTAGAACTGCTTATCAATCAGACCTTGCGATGCTTTTCTAATCCGGTATTGTTGCCAGAAAAGTATAGAGCGTTGGGATAGATTGATGGTCGGCAGTGGAGATGGCGTGTAAGTCTCATGGAATACTTGACGGGGACTAGCTGTTTAGATGCGTACGCTTGGGACGGTGACGATGTTCCAAGAGCTGAGAAAGAAATAAAGCTCTTGTGGTTGTGGAGCATGAGAGGAAACGAAATATGTAGAGCTTGCCGGGAATGAGTCGTATATACATACATATATATATTCACACACACACACATATATATAGTAATGAGAACGTCTCTCCTATAATAGAAAGACAGGGAATCTAACCAACCAAACCTGAATTCTTCTCCTCCTCCTCCTCCTCCTCCTCCTCCTCCTCCTAAAATCAGTCCAAACTCCCTAAATCACACCATCCAGCCCAACATACCCAAAACCGTCAAAATCGCCATCGTCAGCTTCAAAGACTCCTCCTCCTCCTCCCCCCCTCAGGCCTGGCTCGACAACCTCAAGACCTTCGCCTCAACCCCCGGCCTCATCGCCCTCCACTTCGGCCAGAAGATCGAGCACCCTGAAAAGTACAACTGGGTCGCCCGCTGGACCGGCCAGTCCGCCATCGACGACTTCCACAACAGCCCCGGCTTCAAGGCCTGGGCCGACGTCTACGCCGCGCCGTTCACCACCAGCGTCATCAAGACCACGCAGGAAACCACGTGCGACCCGAGCATCCCCCTGCACTCCCCCTGCACGGAGTTCTTCATCAACTATGGCGTCGGCGACGAGTTCCACAAGGAGCGCCTAGATCCGTTCGTCCAGACGCTCGTGGACGCGAAGCTGCCGGGTATGATTGGTGGCGCCACCGGCGAGTACAAGACCGTCACCAACGTCAACGAGCAAGTGCCGGAGCAGAAGGAGGTGATTCTGCTGCTGGGCTGGGTTAACAGGAAGGCTCATACTGCCCTGCAAGGAGAAGGCGGCAGTGCGTTTCCATGCCTCCACAAAGTGATCTGACCTGGTCTGAGCTGACACTTTCTACTACAGCCATTGTCACCAATATTCCTCGTATTCTCCCCTACAGCAAGGGTCGTAGCATGGTGAGGACAAACAAATCCTTGTGTGATCGAAACAGCGAGAGAATACAGGCAACCGTATGCTAACGTCTTGTCCACAGTATCATATCAACTTCAAGAAGCTGTAAAAGCTATATACCCCCAAACGAACGCATCATAGAAGGTGCCTGTACATGATAATGCTTCAGCATCAAGATGGTGCCTGATTATGCACTGCATGCCGGCTTTATGTTGCATCAAATAGACATTTTATAGCGCCCCAGAGATGAATTAAGAGCGAAAAAAGAAGAAGAGGAGTTTCATAATGAACAAAAAAAAGAAACCATCGCATATTATAGAGCATCTGTCCATTTTTGTTTTGCAGTCCCTTGGCATCATATCAAACGATGATCCACCTCATTGTAAAAGCCAGCTTCATAGATACCCCATTCTGATAATCAATGAATCAAAGTCAAATCGAATCAAATCAACCATCGTGCCGCCAAATATACCGTAGAGCTCCGTTTCTAATCATCATTGCTCTGTGCCCTCTTTCGTCCACCCTTAAATTCAGTCCCAGTCACAGCAAGTATCCCATCTCTAGACTGCCAAAAAAAAAAAAAAAGATAAAACGACAAAAACAATAAAACCGAGCAGTTACAAAAAAAAAGGAAAATAAAAGAAGAGAGAAGAGAGAAATAGTCCAGGTATCTGTAGTAGTTGCCAGCATCACGAGATATCTCATTGATCCCTTGGCAAATACATTACATAGTGCAGCCAGCCGACCTTTCGCCCTGCCCTTTGCGCCGTCATTCACTGATGCTCGCCCTCAATGTTAAAAAGCAGATCGTCTTTAACCATCCACATCGTCGCTCATGATTAAACGAAGAGGAGGTGTGGTTAAATTCGGTGCTTTTCAGATTCTGTCGCTCGATACTGGTTAGAAGCTTAGGCTCCCGTGGATCGGTTTTGCGTCTCACCAAGTCGAGAGTACAGCATGTAAAGAGCCATGCGGTTGCACTCTTCCGTTCCCGTAATCGTCACTAGCCGCTCGTTGCTGTTGTCCTGGGGCTCGTTAATCTTAATGACGCTGCCGCTCATCTGCCGTATCTCATTGATCTTCTGTCCTCCCTTGCCGATGATAGCGCCGACCATGTCGTTAGGGATGTAGATTTGCTGCGTGATGGGGCCTCCTGGCATGCCGGCATGCATGGGCTGGCCCTGGGGAGCGCCGTGTGCTTGAGGGCCGGTATGGGGAGCCATGTGAGGCTGGACGTGAGGGGCAGCCGCTCCATAAGCAGCAGGCTGGCCTGCTCCGTACTGCATGGGAATCGCCGGAGCGCCGTGAGGAGCGCCGTGAGCATACGGCTGGGGGTATGGTGCAGGCGGCATGTGATGAGGCCGACGCTCCTGGTGTCGACCGTAGTTCTCTGCGCGTCCGTAGTGGCCGGATGCCGGCTGCGGGCTGTAGGGAACCACTTGCATGCCTCCAGGGATGGAGCCAACTGGTGCACCGCTCCTGGTGGCATATGCCGAAGCGCCGGGCCCGCCAAATCGTTCGTTGAGCTGCTCAAGCAGAGTGCTACCGACATAGTAAGTGGCAATGTGAACGGCATCGGCGACACCCATCACAACAAGGGAGCGCTCGCTTGACATGGGGAGGCATGAATCTGAGGCATTCAATCGAGCGCCGGACGCCTCTTGGATCTCTCGGATCCGAGAGCCGCCTTTGCCAATGATAGAGCCAATGAGGATATGGGGAATCAGGAGACGAAGGGGGTATGTCTTTGAGGAGGCGGTGGATGCCTCGTTAAGCGGTTCGTTGTTCAGTGTTCGGATGATCAAACCAAAGGCCTGTGTAATGGGGAAAAGAAACAGGGAAGAGAGTGTTAGTGCTAACGCCTTGGACAAGAAACTCACGACATGTTGAAAAATGGGGAGAGGGGAGAGGAGACTGTTGGTTCGCACGCACCTTGGCAACTGCATCGACGATGCCACTGACGGTCAGGATTCGCTCGACGGCTCCTTTCTGGTAGTCGCTGACCGTGCACTTGGCATTGGACATTTTTCGAATGTTTGATACGTTTTCGCCACCTTTGCCGATGATGGTGGCAGCCTCTGGGCTGGAGATGACGGCTCTGATATGGATCCATGAGCTTTCATCGTGAGCAGCGGCCGAAGCTGCCACGGCAGATGAGGATGCTGTTGAGATTGGGACAGTCGGGGTAGCCTTGACACTGGTGCCCGCTTCTGTTGCGGTAGTATCCGTTGACTCTGTGGCCGCGACGCCGTTGGCATTTTCTTCTTCGCCATTCTGCTCTGCAGCCTCCGCGGGCACTTCGGTGGGAAGCTCGAGCTTCTCCGTCTCTTCGTTATGCTTGGCATCTTTGTCCAAGGCGGGTCGCTTGGCCTCCGGCTGGTCAGTTGCCCGAGAAGGCGAGGAAGGCTCCTCGAGAGGGCGCTTAGCCGACTGAGTCGGTTGCGGGGGCGAAGCAGACATTTTTGTTTCCTTGAATAAAAAGGAGTGGTATACTTCACAGAAAGATGGAGACGAATTCAAGCTTCGTCTAATTGGTGGCGATCAAAGATCCTCTGAATTTTTTTTTCTTTTTATAATTCTCTCTTTTTTTTCGTATGTTCTTCTTAATCTACACTCAGGGGGTTTTCGAAGGAAAACGTGCTGGTGTAGTGGCTGGAATCGGTAGTGAAGGATCGGCTGTCTCGAGTGTGCAGGATTTCGTGATGTGACTTTCTGGTGTCGCAAAAGGGCGCTGCCCAGACTGTGTGTAGCGGAATAAGTGTGGGAGGAGTTGTGTTCTCAAAGGGTGGAACTCTCTTCTTCCGCGTCTAGATGATCCAGAGCTTTCGCAAAAAAAAGGTGTCGAAATGGTAGGGAATTCGATGAATGTCCCAAGTGGTGAGTGGAAAGAGAGGGCGATGATGAAAACTGAGTGGCTGATGGCAGTGGTGGTGACGGTGTAGAGGATGGTGAAGCGTATCGTTACTAGGACGGATATGTCTCGAAAGCAGAGGATGAAGAGACAAAACGCTCAACTCAAACCTTTTTTCCCCTCCTAGTCAAGACCTTGTGAGTATCGTAGCTGACGCTCACGCAATACCAACACCTTGCGCGTTTGAAACTCCAGTTCTCGACGGCCCGTTGTCTTGCGAATACGGATGAATCGCCTCGACGATGCAACTTGTCGCTCGTGCACGCTAACGCGGTAGACTCCGACAGAAGGACAGAAGACAAAGATTGCGTAGAATAAAAAAAGACCGAGGCTGATTTCCAATCAGGAATCCAAGCAGGGTCTAGTTAACGCGAACAGCCGCGCGCGGAGATGGCTCAAGTTCAGCGGCGAAACGGAATCTCGCAGGGCGCTGGAAACGATGACGCGATGATGCCGATGCAATCGGATCGATGACTACGAGTCGGTGCGTGGCGGGAGGGATGATGGAGACAAGAATCGCCGGATGGGAAGAAGAAACTTTGGTGAGACGTTGGAGTTGGCGAAAGGGCCTATGGCTCCCTCTCTGGAGATTGCCCGCGAAAGCATCACGTGATGACCCCAATTGCATGCGCGACACTCAGCCGCCAAGTTAAAATGCGGCGGCAGGTGCACAGTGCACAGTGCGGCACGCACACCAGAATGAGTGTGACGGGGGAGTAGAGAAGCTTCCCAATGGGCGGTCACTTCCCCGCAGCGCGTCTCAAGCCTCTCAGAAGCTAGAATCTCGCCGCTACCGGGAGAGATCTGTACTGTATACATACAGTATGTGATACGGTATACCTCACTCCGTGTTTCTCTTACAACATTGAACCGGCGCAATCTGTAAAAGAGAGCTTACAGCGAATCAACCGAGTTCCTCACGACGGACGGACGGAGCTCGCAACACCATGGATGATCGATCCCGCAACAACTCAGAGGCCCAGTCTCATGCGACAAACATTGACCATACCCTAAAGGAACTTCAGCGAAAAGTCCGCGAATATGAAGCTCAGCTAAGCGAGGTAGCGACCATTCTTGAGCGCAGCCCAGACAGCAACTAACAGAGCAGTCATAGTTGCGATCCGCAGAGTATAAGGCCCCAAGCACCGCCGCTGGCCAGGCTCAGATCCTCAAAACAGCCTTTGACGACGTTGCCAACTCTGAACCATTTCTCCCCTTCCCGGGCTCAGTTCTCCCTGCGCTGCTGGCTCTGCGCAAGACACACCAGACGATCCAGGAGTCCAAGGCGTTTCTAGCTTCGCAGACAGACGCAACCGAGAGAATAAAGAAGCGATTGAAGGATGATGAATCCGCGCTAAAGGACCAGCAGCTCCTCAACGAAGCTCTCAAGCAAAGAATCGAGACTCTGCGCTCAGAGGCGGATTCTGGAGCCAACGCGCAACCAGAAGATGAAGCGCGCAAACGCATCGAGGAACTACGACGAAAGAAACAAAAGTACAACAAAGAGACGAGCAAGCTGATGAAGTCCCTCAACCGCTTCATCAACGACCATCTGGCTGTGATGCTCGCGGCAGAAGCCATGGGCGGCCCAGTCGTTGGAGACCTAATGGACGCCGACGCTGAGGAGATCGCCGCGGGCTTCAACGCGCAGGGGAAGCTCAAGAAGCCGAAAGGCGAGATCAACAAGGACAAGAACCAGCGCCGCATAGACGATATCTGGGGCCCGAGCGACGACAGCGGCAAAAAGAGAGATGTGGCTACGGCTGCTGGCGAGGAGATGCGGCAGCTTACAGAGGAGCTACTCAACAAGCTTGTTGAGGCGAAGGGAAGCAGCTCAGATGCCTACGTGCGGCTGCCGTACGAGACGGCGTCGGCAAGGTTTCTCATCAGGTCCAACGTGGCGCAGTTTCACCCGAAGGATGCTATGAGGATACGGCTGGTAGATTATGGACGGGAGTTGGACGATTAGACTGGTGCTGTTCTTATACCATTCTTACACCAAATAGAATCTCCCTATTTAAACACACAAGTTTGCCTCACACTCGCGTTTGCCTCTTTGAACAGCCGTGGCCTGTGCCACTTGATAGGCTCGGCCTTCGATATAAGCTGGAATACAGTGCACATCATTAGCTCTGTGGTTTCTACCTGCTGCTACTGTCTATTCATCTCAAAGGTAATGCCAGCACAATTGATATTAACATCAATTTATATTCTTACGTCCTTGAATTAGTGGTCTTTGATACCATTGGCACCCAATGGCTTCCCACCAAGTCATACCAATGCCCTACGCAAGGAAGGCCATCGCAAATTGCCCACGGCATCCATTGGCGGCCAAAACCCCACCACCTCAACTTGGACCAATTTACTCCCCGCGTCAAACCACTTATCAAAACGCGTCGCGCGTCGCCGCCCCTCCAAAAAATCCCACCACTAACAGCTGTTGGCTCCCAGAGACCAGACCGTTCTCACACCGACTTCCTGTTTCTCAACAATCCATTGGATTTGATCCAAATCGCCCTGCCTAACAAGTTGCACCAAAGTAAGCGATACTCCACCAAAAAAAAAAAAAAAAAAAAAAGAAGCAAAGCCCAAACCCTTGTTCCGTTTATTCAGCTCCATTGCCTAACAATTCCTCCCTTCCCTCTCCGCCTGAATTGCACAATTCGCTTGAGCTCAACTACCCACCACCGTCATTGCTTCAACCTGTACTCTGATTATCTAGTTCCACATTGAATTAACCATGTCCTCAGCTCCTGAAGTCAACGGCACAGCTTCTCCTCCCGCCAAGCGCATCAAGACTCTCCCCCTCGACGGCGACGCAGACAAGGACCAAGACTCCTCCGTCACTCCTCCCGCGGTACCTCAAGCAGAAGCACCAGCCAAATCAACAACCACAACAATGGAGGCCTCAATCCCCCTGCAAGTCAAGAAGCTGTCTCCCCAGGGCAGACTGCCCACACGAGGCAGCGCATTCGCCGCTGGATACGACGTGTACGCCGCCAGAGACACAGTAGTGCCTGCGAGAGGCAAGGTCCTCGTCGATACCGACATTAGCATCGCCGTGCCAGCTGGAACTTGTGAGTGAAGAAAAAGAAACAGGGTATTCTCGAGTGGATCAATTGGCTAACCAAACCAATCTTTACTGCACTCTAGATGGCCGAATCGCTCCCCGCTCTGGCCTCGCCTCCAAGCACTTCATCGACACCGGCGCCGGTGTCATTGACGCAGACTACCGCGGGCCCGTCAAGGTTCTCCTCTTCAACCACGCCGACACCGACTATGAGATCAAGGAGGGCGACCGAGTTGCTCAGCTGGTGCTCGAGAGGATCGTGACCCCCGAGGTTGTCGAAGTAGAGGAGTTGGAGGAGAGCGTGCGAGGAGCCGGTGGCTTTGGCAGCACGGGCAAGAACTAGAGGATCTAAATTCTTTTTCTTTTTCTTTTTTACATAATGAACATGATATATGATATGATAAATGGTGGTTGAGGGTATAGAACAGCACAGAGAGAGGGATGCGATATATATACTACCGAGATGGGTCGGTATGGAACGGCTTTTTAAATAAGAGAACATAAACAGCTATTCGATTCAAGTCTATATAGACAGATAAAACACTAAGCCAAAGGATTTGATTCTACGCCGCCGTTGCCCAAACCCCCGAGTCTATTTTTTTTTTTTTTTTTTTTTTCCATTTCATCCTTTCCATCTCCATCTCCATCTAGACCTTTGTCGCCGAAAATGTTATACTAGGATTCCGCAAGCTATCCAGATTGGTAACCAGCTGCAGCTCCGCCGCCTTCGACTTGACGTAGTGCGCCTTGTCCTCATCATCCCTATCCTCCGTCTTCAGCTCCGCCCACGTCCTCTCCATCACTGCGGGCATCGCATCCCGCGTCTTGGCCAGCACCTCATGCATACTGGCCAGCACTTTCTCCGCCGCCCTCGCCAGCGGCAGCTCCGTCGCAGGCATGTCGTCGTCGCTCACCCAGCTCGCGCGGCCGCGTAGGCCGGGCACGGCGCCCGTAGCCTCCCGGATGCGGCCCGTTATGAGGGCGCCGAACATGTCGCCCGTGCCGCAGAAATAGCAGTCGATGGACGGGAATGTGATCTTAAAGGTTCGCGCCTTGCGGTCCGAGGTCATGGTGGATCCGATGACGGAGAGGTGGGAGGGCGGATGGTCCGGGGTTGTGAAGCTGACGGAGGTGATGATGATGTGAGGGATGTTGAATTTTTCGTGCAGCACCTGGATGGCCTGGGTGAGGCTGTCCATGTCGACAATCTTGACATCTGATAGTTGTCTGTAGAATAGTTAGGTCAGCGGTGATGACGTCTTCATCAAATATGCGCCTATTAGCAACTCACTCAGCCTCAAACTGGTTCGGCAGGATCAAGTCCGCATAAGGGAGAAGAGCCTTGTATGCGGGCACAACCTCCGGCGCCACATACAGCTTCCCATTATCCCCCATAACAGGATCCAGCACCCAGAAAAACTTGCCCGGAGTGTGCTGAAACTTCTCCTTCAGTCCCTTGGCGATGTTTCCCACCGCCGTGACGCCCTCCGCGCCCGGGATGTACCCGGAGAGCATCATGTCAAAGTCATCCAAATAAGACTGCTTCAGGCCGTTGTAGAGATCGGTAATCTCCTGAGCCGTGGCTCTCGTCCCTGTCCATTGCCTGTAACCTGTGTGATTGCCTAGAGCAAAGAGAGAGACGCAACGGTTCTGAGTCAGCCCATGTCTCATCAGGTGCTCTTTTTCCCTCAAAGCCAATAAACTCACTGAACTGCACCGTATTCAGAGCGGCGACATCACTCCCCAGCGATTGGAGCACGAAGACGGCGACTTTGTTTCCCACGTTGCTGGAATGTCACGTTAACTCAAATTGCCCGACAACATCTCAGAGACTAGCATTTTCACGCTTGCTTTCTAAGTCCAAGTCATACCCTGAGACAACCTGCGAGAATATTATAGTTAGCCCGGCTCATGAAATGGATATTCATAAAAAGCTTCATTGTGAATTCTTGAAAACAGCTTACATGGCTGGCCACCGCCAATACTCGTGGCGCAAGTACCACTGAGTCAGACATTTTTTTTTTCTCCTTCTAGGATATTAAGATTATTGCGCGCCGAAGTCCGGAGGGTATCTTGAAGTTGTATGTCAGAGAGAAGAAAATAAAATAAAATAGCATATGTTGTATATGAAGTGAATAGAATGAGAGAGTTAGAAGTTCGAAGAAGCCATTAGTTTGGCCCCGGCCAACTCAACCCGGCTGATGATAATCGGTTGATGAATAATAAATAAGCTGGGCATGGCCGGGGCCCTCCACGCAGCGGTCCCGCCGTCAGCGGAGGGAGTTTGAAGCCACAAATAACGGCGGGAAGACAACAGGCTACTCACCGCTAAGATTTGTCTAGGAGAGAAGATACTTTTTGCCTATAACCAAGGCGATAATCCAACACAGCAAGCGAGAAAAAAAAATCAGAAGCGTACACATCTGAGTACTAGCACAGGGCGCGTGAGACGTTATCATGGGGTGGGAAAAACGCCCCGCCGACGGCCGAGACTACGATCCGGCCTAAACCGCATGTAAGAGCGTCTAATAGCACAAGGGCTTCTCTAGGCGTTAAACAGGACAGTAGCTGAAAGCAAAGCGAGATAGTAGTAGTAACCTCTTCAGCACGGGACCAGGTCAAGATGGTTTAGGGAGGTAATTATCGGCTTGCAAGACTAAAGCTAGGCATATATGCTCATTCATTTTTGTTTTTTTGTTCTTTTCCTTGTTTGCTACAGATCATGATTAGAAAAACAAAGAAAGAAGCCTGTAACTGTAACAACATTCTCGATATCCATTTCTTCTCTCTCTGTCATCGGTGGGTAGTCGATCAGCCGTGATGGAGGACTTGGGTCATTTTTTTTACCCAAAGCCTGGCCTGATATATGCGGAGATTGTGTGCGTTGGGTGTCTGAATCGTAGGGTTTATGTGGAATGAATTTACTCCTCATCACCAATCTGCATGGAAGTCACACATGTTAGTATGCTATGCTTTCACCACGAAGAGCTGTTTAACAAAAATAGAACGGACCTTTGGTGCGAGGTAGAAACGCAGGTAGCTGCTACCAGAGAGGTTGTACTCAACCAAGAGCGGCACCTCGCTGGAAAGGCAGATCTTGACCTGGTTGGACAAGGCAGCAGCCTTGCAGAAGTTGACCAGGTACTTGAGAGAGAAGGTCAAGGAAACGGGCTCCGTCAGCTCAATGTCGACATTCAGATCAGGCTTGTCAATGTTGGTGTGGCTTCGCAGAGTGACTGAGCCGTTACCAATGTCACCGTTGCAAGAGAACTTGACGCCATCCTTGGAGGCCTCGATGCCAACTGCCAGCAGCCCGATGTTAGCTTCCATCCAGTCGCTCTCATACACACGTGTACATACCCGACTCTGACATGGCAGCCAGATCTGTGCAGATTCTCCGGAACTCAGCCGCAGGCATAGTAATAGTAGCAGCATACTCGGTCTCGGGGATGCCAAGGTGCTCCTGGTCAATGTCCATGAGCTTGAGGTCGTACTCGCTGATGCGGTCGTTCTCGCTGCTCTCAAACACCAGGTTCAGAACGTCTGGTGCATCCTCAGCCTTGATCGTCAACATGTCCTCGCCCTGTGCAGCTCGCAGCACCTTGGTCAGAGACGTCAGGTTGACACCAAGGGCAATGTTGCGGTCGCATCGGTAGGGAGAGAAGCCTTCGGCCTTGAGCATCATCGACACGAGGGCGACGTGCGAGTTGTCCATGGCCTGCAGAGCAATACCAGAGTCATTGCAGTCAAAGTTGCAGTCCTGGACGAGGTCCTTGATGGCATCGACAACCTATGGTTCGTTGTGTCGTCAGCGAGGTCCTGCAAGACACGGGATCGTGTCAATTTACCTTCTTCAGGATGCTAGCCTGTTCCAACCGTGCTTCCAACATTTCTGTCACATGTTAGGCGTCCTTTCTTTTCCTTTCGAGCGCGATCACGAGAGCATTGGGCGTAGACAAGAGGGCAGAGAAAAAGAGGGGGGATGCACGCAGCAGCAGCGTTGCAATACGTACCGGATAGATGAGTGTGATTAACAAGACAAAGAGGGATAAAATGAGTGAATGGCTGTGGAAGTCCGGATGCAGTGAAGAGTCAATGGAATTTGGCGCTGCACGGTGTGTATCACAGAGTTTTGTTGGCGACGAAGAAAGATGCACGTCTTTTTGGTGGAGGGTGAAGCTCTGGGTGGCCAGGCAGAAAAAAGCACTTAACACGATGACACGAAGCTGTGGGCAATTGAGACGCGTCTAGCTGGAGACAAGACGCCAATTACACGCGGGGCAGGACTTTTTTTTTAGCGTCTGGTGCCTGGAGCTGAAAGGCACAAGCACCTGGGAGGCCACCTAGCAGGGAGTACCTGCAAAATGATAGGTGCCCAGTAGGTCTAGTAGTTCTACAGCAAGTTAGCCTGTACAATTCAGGTATAAGCAAGTGTGGCTTTTCATCAATTATTATACTTATCTTACCCATTCTATAGATCCGACAAAGCCAAGGACGAATGAAAAGCACAAGCCAGGAAATACGGAATTCAATTGCACCGTCTATATCGCATTGCATCCGCTTCACTCAATTTGGTGGACCCCATCCTCACATATGTGCTGCATTTCAACAAGATTTCAACAGCTCACGCATGTTGCCGTAGATAATAAGCATGCCAAATATTGAGTTTAATATACAAAACTTGCGTTGCGCAATAGGCCCCATCTCATACGCCTTGTCTAAACAGCGAAAAGAAAAAAAAAAAAAAGACAAACACAAAACAAAACAAAGACCACCCATTAGCCACTGTTCTGGCCGATTCTAAGAGAACAAGAAGGAAACAATCGATGGGGGAAAAAAAAACGCAAACAGCCCATCGCCACAAACCCCATAGCCGTTGTACCGTGTCTTACCCCATAGTATGAAACAAAAGAGAGAGTGAACGAACCAAAAAAACCAGTGACAGATCAACAAAGAAAGAAAGAAATATCTAAATGAGAGATGTGATGCTGCCGTGCGCCTGTGGATGTTGCATGAAAGACAGACAAAAAAACAGTTGAGGAAATGATGATTATCGTCGAGACTCGTGAATCAGAGCTCACATGGAGATGCGTGCTCCGGGTGGAGCACTGGCTCGCTTTTGAGGTCGTAGGCTGATTACTGTTTCCAGCTCTCTCAGCATGCCTTTTGTAGCCTCCAGCTGCTGTCGAGCTGCCGCTCTCTGCTCCCTCTCTTCCTTAACCTTTGCAATTCTCTCCTCTCGCGTTAGCATGCTTCGAGGTCGCGGCTTGGCTACCGCCTCAAAAATCTCCTGGTCCTCTTCAGCGTCATTGATATCTGATGCCGGCGGGGATTCACCAGTGAGAGCCTTGAAAGCCTCTGCCGCGCCTCCCTCGCCTATGGTTGTGAGTCCACTTAGAGAGCTTGCAGGTGATAGTAGCGTGCTTATTGATGAAAGCCTCTTCTCGGTCCTATCAATGCCTTGGGCTAGAGCGGCTCTGCCTTCCTCCCATGCTGCCATGAGCATTTTGAGGTCTACTCCAATGGAGTCGTACTGCGACATAAGGTTGGGTCCTATTTCAGAAATGTCATTGGAATCGTCTAGCGCTCTATCAGATTCTTCCCGCAGTAGATGGAGTTTGGCTTGCAGGCCTCGGATTCCAGTTGACATGGAATTGAGCTTGCGAACCTGGGAGCGCCATCGCTCTTTGCCTGGTGTTAGAGGCAGCGATGGGGTAGGTGGCAAGGGGAATGCTGGAAGTAGTTAGAAAAGGGTCGACAGAGGTAACAATGCAAAAGACACGAATAAAAGAAAAGAAGTAAAAAAAGACGGCTTACATTCTTCCTCGCTTAATATCCCCTGCAGCTTCTCAAATACAGACTTGGTCGAGACATTAGCGCTTTGTAGCGCCTCGACTGCAGCCGTCCAGCGCAGCAAATCCTTGGCTTCTCCATTCGCATCCAGCGCCAACAGAGCGCAGAGAAGCATCTTTCGCGTGGTATGAAACCGGGCAGCAAGAATCTTTAGTGTCCTCAGAGACTCCGAATCTTCAAATTCAGATTCGTTGAATCCCAGGCGCGAATCCGAAATGTCGAAATCGCTAACGTCGTACATGTCATAGTACTTTTCCAGCTCCATTTGCTCAGCAAAGCCCCTGACAACATCAGACACCTGGTTGTACGTTTGCAAAACGCCAGCAAACGAGTTTTTGAGCGCCTTTCGTAGCCGACCGCATTTTCTGTTTTGGGTGCGCTCTTCGATTCGGCTAACTGGTGGAAGAGGTAGGCTACTGTGGAAAATTGTTAGTATGTCTCATCTACGCCAGAAAATCGCTACCGCTCTAAAGGAAGCAGAGGGGAAACTGACATTCGGTAGCCTCGAGAAACAAGCTCTACTTCCTGTACGAGAGAGAGCGCGGCCTCAGTTGCACTATCAAAGTTCTGCGAATTCGAGATGAATGTGGAGATTTCAGCCAGGGATTGCTCTCTGCGGTAGCGAAGCCACTGTCGTCGCACAAAAACTTGTCCTACCAGCGCGGCCGCTGCAGCAATAATAAGCACCAGAATTAGGCGTCGTTTCGTCACATGCGATGGCGCACTACTCAGTGCCCAGCTTAGGAAGACTGCGAGAGCTAGCGCTCCGACGACGGATACTATAATACCTTCGGTCGAGAGGAGAGATTGGTCATTGGTGTTTGTGGTCGAACCCGGCGTTTTCAGGGCTGGGGGACGGTTCCCAAGTAGTAAATGGCCATTCAGGAGCTGAGAAGCAATGATTGTATATCTAAATTGTTCGAGGAACCGGGAGTTGTCTGCACTATCGAGGCTAGCGGCGAGGAGGGCCTATCATCGATTGATTCGACTCCAGATTAGATTCATGCGGTGTAAAGGCGAGGGCGCAACAGCGTCAAGCTTCAGAGCTTCAACACGGCGGGTTTTGAACATACAGAGCAGCTTTTCTTAAGCGACTGCAGCGTCAGAGGCTGCGCCGCCTGTGGCTCCTCAGCAAGCTCTAGCTTGCTGGCATTACGGAATCGTGCCCTCACCAAGGGGCGACCGGTCGGCGCGAAGGGAGTCGGGCTCGCAGGAGGCGAGGATGCTATCGACGACTGGAAATCAGGAGTACCGTCCATGGGAGCCCATTCTGCCTCCGACATATTACCTCCATCTTTGAGTAAGGACGAGATCGGTCAGCATGCGCGCGCGATTCAGGGGAAGGAAGCGACAATCTGGAGAACCTCAACATACCTCTGAGGTAGTCGGCTAGAGGCGTTTCTTCGTACACCACGGGCTCCATCAGCAATTTTCATAAGCGACTTTCGAGGTTGGACAGCAACAACGAAGGGACACGCAGAGCCATGGAGCCCGCAGCAAGCTGGGCAGGACAGGAATGCGACGGGGGAGATATGAACGATGCCACAGTATGCGCCGCCGCCCTGCTCGTAGTATGCTGTAGCAACTGGCTGTTGTTTTGTTTTGTTTTGTTTGGTCTGATTCCTTGCGCTCGTTTCGAGGGCTGTTTTGTCTCTTGCTTCCCCGTGCTGCTGTGTCTTGCTTCCGCGCGCTCGCCTACAGTTTGGTTTCAGGGAGGACCTCAAGTGAAACAGCAGACAGAGTTCGAGAGCCCTTCTTTGCATGCGCTCAGGGGAGAGCCAAGCGAAAGCGGGTTGGGTGTTCGCGTGCCTTTGGGACTAGCGAACGCAGATGCTGCCAGAGCTCCAACAAGCAGCTCCTCGGCGTCACAATCGCCTGCGGTGGCCCGGAACCAGGATGGATCGGTTGCGCATGGATCTGCCCCGTCAGCTCATTTGGGACCCCGAGATTGGATGACGGGGGTTTGCGCGGTGCAGCGTTTCCGAGTGAGGCGGAGTCCAGAATTACAGTGCAATGTCACTTTCGGATGGATATGCCTCGAATGAGGGCGGCCATGTGCATATTAGGGAGCGCATACGGAGCCACAGGGTCTGGAGTACATTCGGCGCCCCATACAAAATGGCAGCTATCTGCAACGGGGACGCTTGTACCGAATACTTTGAGCTCTGACCCCTCGTGCTTTGTACCTCGTGCTTTGTATGTGCGTCGTGCTTGAACTAACTTGCCTCGCGCTACGTAACCTTCGCTGGGCCCGGAACTATAGTTTTTCCCGACACACCGTGTTAGCTCCAACCATCTCCAGAATCTGTTAAGAGCTTCCAGTTTTGTGGAGAGAGGGACAAATCTGAGCAACGAAGCGGGCACAATCCTCGACGCGACCCGGCACGATTTCCTTCCTTCGCCCGAGTACCAGTGCGATGGCTCGATAGTCTTCACGAACCCACCATCAAAATCCTCGTCGGCGGCGCACCAATGCCCGTGCGGTCCTCGGCGCAATGCCGGCCTGCAATCCCGCAGAGGGCTTCTGCTGTCTGGATCACAGACTCAGTGCTTCGCCAGGCCATTGAGCACTATCACCGCCAATTCGCCGTTCCCGCCTCATGTCGGCTGCTCAGTTCGCACTCGGGGCCGCTTGAGAGCCGCCGTCGCCAGCTCGGCAAGCGCAATATGACGGGAATCATGCCCTCGTCTTCGACCTATACCCCGCTATGGCATTTTGACGTTGCCTGGATCCCCAGCGAGTGGAAATGGGAACCGCCAACTACAGTGGAGGAGCGAAAGAGAAAGAAGCAGAACATGAGCCCCTCGGCCCTCTTCGACAACCTTATCTCGTGGCTAGAGAAATCTGATGGTGATAAACCATTCATTCAGCCACCGGCGGCGGATATCACTGTCTCCAACATGTCGAACATGTCCGCAGGAGAAGCAGCAGCTGTCGAACCTCCATATCACGATATCCCCATGCCAGCAGAGTTACCACAAGAATTGGTAGTATTACGAGCCTGTATTGCCACTTTAGAGACGATAAACAGCGTGGCGTTGGATCGTTTACGGAGAGCGTTTCGGCGTGATTATTTGCGTAGGATGGAGGAAGCACTTATTTCTGTTGAGGGACTACGTCTGGCGATGGAGCCCCTTGACCAAGCCACAAAGGAAAAAATATCTGACCCGAGGATGGCAAATTGGCTTATTGCTAGGATTCGCCGCAGCCTTCTGACTGGCCTTGATGTTGCTCAAACGAAAAATTATGACGATGCCGCTATGCGGGAGCTTTGGACGACGTTTGCCACTGTGATTTGTTCTTCAGGAGGCAGCTACCAGAATGTTAGGCTTTTCAAACGAATGTTAAGCTTGATGCCAGACTCGATCAAGATCCACATCACTACAGATCAAATATTCAACTTGACACGGTCCTTTCTGGTAGCTCAGGCCGGTAGCAGCAATCTTTCTACACACTGGATAGCCACGGCGGCTCAATTTGGAGAAGCTCTTTCAATGCTGCATCCTGCACAATTGCAAAGTTTGGACAGCGATATCCATACTCTCTTTTCACAGCAGAAAATTAGCGAAGACGGAGACCGAAGACTGTTATTTTCATGGTTAATTGCCAAGGCTTACAATCCAAACACAATCAACCAAGAGTTTATTCAATCTTATCGGGATCTCACTGCATCCCGTGAAATTGATCTCCGCCACCTCCAGCTATGGCAGCTCATTGTCGCCCGATTAAAATCAACAAGAGTCATTGAAGCCAATGTTCACTCCGAGCTTACACGAACCGAATACACCTCCCTATCACAGCGATGGATAGCTTTGTTCTCTGCGGTCCACAGCCTTCCCAACGCAAGCAGCATCTTAACAGGGCTTCTCAATTTCTTCAAGGATATCGGCCAAATCGACGCCCTCATCAGCGCACTATCGTCGCTTCCCATCTCCCGCGTATCTATCGACTCCGTTCGCACAATAGCCACAGTATGCGACGACCATAAGCTCGCCTTACGGCTCTACGGAACCCTCCGATCACGACTAGGCCAGGGCGCGCAAATCACATCGTGGGGGTGGGAAGCATGGGTCCCATATCTAGAACGAATCATCAAAGATCCCGAAATCACACGGCCGGTACACTGGGAAGTCCTCGACCTGCCCCGACTGGCGGCAGCCTCGCGCAAAGCGACTGCAGATCCGGAGGAAATCGCCCGCGAGATCCAGGCCAAGATGGCCCTGCTCGACAAAATGGGCCAGTGGTACATGGAGGCCGCGCACCTCAACGACCGCCAGGTGCTCCGACGTCTGCAGCGGTGCGCAAGCGTCCAGCGAGCGCTAACAAGGAGCGTCTCGTCGCAGGTGCTCGCACAGGTGACGGAGGTAGTCACGCGAGACCTGCAAAGGGGCCAATGGGGCAGGACGACGTGGCTGCAGTGGCTGCTGGGGATGGTCGCTCAGAAACATGGCGACGAGCACGCCAGTGACGTCTTGAAGACGATCAAGGGATGGAGATGGATGATTGACCGTCACCAGGGCCCTGCTGCTGCTGCTGCTGCTGTTGCTCCCAAGCACGAGTCCTGGGACGCGTGACGAAATACTTGTTAGCCACTAGTCTCCTGCACGTGGAAGCATACCTATGTAAGGGTAGTAGGCAGTAGTAGTTAATATACCAATAGATGAATCAAGGTAAACGATCCTCTGAACATGAAAAGTGACTGGGCAGTGATATTGGGCATAGAGATCATGGAGGGCACAGATTAGATGAGTCAAATGCCCAATAGTGGATAGAGGTGAAGGCATCGACGCCCAAACGCGACGCAGACTTGCACAACCTCTCGCCTCCGCGCATTATTATTGGTGGTGCTACCACGTTCCAGGCCACTTCTTTCAGACCTGCAGGACACTACTAGCCGTAGCAGTAATTTTAAACGGTCAGAGGGCATTGGCCCCTGCGTACTACACCATCTTCACGATTGGACAGGGTGGTTCAAGATGCATCTCAGTGGAGATTTCTAGTTCATCCAGTCGTAAATCTAGGGCACAGTAGTAGTAATAGTAGTGGTCGTGTGCAAAGCAAGCGACAAAACACAAATGAAATGAAAGGAGACGTAAAAAGAGCATTTATGAGACGTAAAAAGGTTCATGTAAACATTGCATAGAATAAAAAGGAACACACACTCGCGTTCTCGCATCAACAAAGCCAATAATTAAGTACAAGCTCTGAGGTGTATCAGGAAGTTTCATAATCCGTCAACCCAAAGAGATTAAAAAAAAAAAAGGTAAAAATAAATAAAGAGGTTCGCTGTAGCAAGAACGAAAATTTCCAATGGATATCGTATCATCAAACCATGTATAAACAGGTTGCTTTGCTTTCCCGCATTTTGCCCGGTATAGAAAATTAGAAGAAAGAACAAAGAAATTCATCACTGTACTTAACAGGAAAATCCAAAAGACATAATCCAAAAAGCCGTCATAAACAGAGATATGTACGCAATGCAAAACAAGAAAAAGAAAAAAACAAAAACACCATCGCTCAACTTTTTTCTCAAATCTTTATGAGTTTAGTGTAAGAAAATAAAAAGAATAAAAGAAAAAGGCCATCATAAATAGTGTAGTCATAAATCCCTCCTTAGATTGCATTCGCCTGTCTGGTATCGGGCGAGTTGGTGCCACCGCTCAGGCGGCCTGTGCCCGTAGAAGCTCTCCCCCCGTCAGATGGCGTGGGTTGGCGCGTGAGCTTGCTGCGAGCAATTAAGACCTGAGCAGGGCAGATCACAATCTCCTCATCGTTGGAGCCGTCATCATCCCCCTTCTTGACAACGAGAGGGAAGAGGACAACGCGCACAATGGCGCCGCGGGCCTCGAGCTCTTCATTGGTAAGCTTCAATGTTCCACTCCGCTCACTCATCATGGACGCATTAAATTGGACAGTTTGTACAAGCTCGCCGTCTGCATCGTATTCAGGCTGGAGGGGCGGCAGCATCATGTACTCGGCCTTTTGTGTCCGCATCTCAATTGAGAGGTGGACGGCCTCGTGCATGACCCTGCGCAGTTGGGCTTGGATCTGGCCCTCCAGGTTAGACGGCGGCGGGAGGACCTTGCATAGGGTCTGATAGATAGCCTGGACGACAGCCTCCGTGTCCAGGTCTCGTTGCCTCTTGAATGAGTCACGCTTGGAGAGCAACGTAAGGGTAACGGCACGCCATTGGCGTACAGCTTGGGGTGGGCCAACCTCGGTCAGCAGCTTTTCCAGAGATTTGAGTTTCTGCCGCTGCTCTCGGTCCATTCCGAACAGGTACCGAGTAAAGACAAACTCCCAGATCATGTTCATAGTCATGGACATGAAGATGTCACGCCGCCTGACTCTGTCATTGAGATATCTATCGACGTCAGAGCCATCTAAGACAGCATTGTCAAGCCGGTCGATGATCTTCTCATCGTTGATCTCGTTAGTCAGGCGACAGGCTCGCATATCTGAGAATTTGGAAAAGCGAAGAACCCATTGCTGAACGTGGGAACATAGTTGTTGGCAGCGATGGTCAAAGTAATCTTCGTCTTTGATGTTGAGGAACTGCACATCGGCAGCCTTGGATTCGAGGATCTGGCGCTGCAATTCACGGATCCTCTCTTTGGCGGCATCCAGCTTGGTCGTCAAGTCGGCGATCTGGGCATCCTTCTCGTGCAGAGCCTGCATGAGGGCAGCCTCGTTGCCATCACGGTCGGCGTAGACCTGTAGATCCGCATAGCGGCTGTTGTCCTTGTTGGCCAACTCGGCGTTGGCGCTGGTGAGGCCCTCATTGACCTCGGTCAGGCGAGATACCTCGCTCTTGAGGAACTTGAGTCTCTGATTGAGAGCCTCAATCTGCGTGTCCCGGTCGGAAAGAGCGGTGACAACACGGTGGCTTAGGTGCTGTTCGGAGCTGTGACGGGCGTCGGAGAGCAGACGGTTCTCTGCTATGAGCTGCTCGACCCTGGCCTCGAGCTCGAGGACTTGCATACTCTGGCGTCGACGCATGCTGTGTGGCCTTGTTGGAGATCGTGGCGAGCCAAATTGGCCCTCGCCCAGCCCATCCTAGAAAAAAGCCCAATGTGTTAGAAACGGTGGAGCGACGCCGACGAGCTGATGCGACGCGGACAGGGGACAATAACAAAACAAAGAAACAAAGGCTAAGGAATAATAATAAGCAGTACAAAAACAAGTCAGGCAGCCCGCAAATGACCACGACTCGACATGCAAGCACTTCGGCAAACGCAGACAGACAGGCAATCAGAGAAAAGCCCAGATGCTGAGGAATGCAGAGCTTCGCAGCGGCCGGGCGGAGCTTGGCTGGGGGGGTGGAAAAATCACGAGGTTGGGCGGTGAAGCTGAGTGGCTGGGAGCTGAGAAAAAAACAGCAGAAAACCAGCCCAGACGGGCCCATGCAGGCGGCGGTGGGTCGGGTCATCTGCGGGCACACATCATGTGACGAGACCGCCAGGAGAGTCGTTTGCACTCACAAATACATCGGTCTTGTCCTTGGCTCGCACGCGGCCCTCGTTGGCAACCGGCGCCTCGGACGGCGGAGCAATGGTCGTGCTGCTGGTGTTTTGCTGGCGCAGCGATCGCAGGTCGCCGCCGCGCTTGTCTGCCCGCCTCAGTAGCGGCGGCGTCGGGATGGACGACGATCGCACTGTGCTGCCGCTGACGGCGTCGGCCTGGTGCGAGATTTTCAGCCGTTCAGGGGTCCGCTGGCGCACCGCGCCGCTATTGGGCGGGGACTGTGGCGCTGAGCCGCCATTGCTGGGGTCAGCCCGCGCTGGGTCTGGCTGCTGTCGTGTGGCGGACGGGATCTGGCTGTCAGAGACGCTTCGTGGCTGCTGTTCGATCGATATCGACGACCTCAGCGCTGGGGACGCTGGGCGCTGCAGTCCTGGCGCAATCTGCGCACTAACTGCTCGTCGTAGGCTTCGCAGCGGGCCTGCCACCGGTGGTGACGGGCCCGTCACCGGTGATATGCTGAAAGAGGTCGCTGCGCGTCTCAGCATCGGAGGAGTGTCGGATCGATCCGACAATGAGGGTATTGGCGATATTGTCGAAAGTCGTCGTGGTGCGATGCCCATTCCGGCGATGGCTCCGTAGCCTTTCCTGGTAGGACTGGATCTCCCCGTCGGAGTTTCCGGTCGTGTTCCTGTTCCCGTCAACACTCTTTCTCTTGTTCCCGGTATTGTCTTCCTTTCCGAGTCTTGAGCCGCATCTCGTAGCGATGTTTCCCCTAGTCTTTGGCCTCCCAACGTAGACCGTCGTAGGCGCCTCTTCAAGGGTCGATCCGGTGCCCTGTTTACAGGCTCGGGAGTCTTGAGCTTTGCTATGGCTGCCTCTATCCAATCTCCGTCAACTCCACTATCACGCATCTTCTCTTCATCCTCTCCAATGGGTATCGTGCTTGTGCTGTGTCTCCTTGATCGGCTTGGAAGGCTTCCTGAAAAGCCACTGTCTCTGTAGAAGCCAACTTCCGAAGCTGTGGCTTCCGCCTCCGCCTCCGGCTCTGGCAGCTCCTCAACTGAAGGCAAAGTTCGTGGGGGCGACAGCCTATAGTCAGATGTTTCGTAGTCAGAGAACTCAGACAATTCCATCGGGGGAAGCACTGATATTTCCGATGCATTCGCCTCCCGGAGAAGCCCACCGATAGGATCCCCCACTTGGGAACTCCGCCGAAGCAGCTCAAAGGGCCCAAGAGACTCTAAGAGCTCTGTTGCTTCCTCTATATCTGCACTCCCGACACGCTCTCCTTTAAATGCATCTCTTCTGCGCAACTTCTTCCCCACCACAAACTCAGGACTTGTAACTTCCACAATACTTTCACTTCTCTTTGGTGTAGTAGGCCTAATAGGTTGAGATTGACGTTTCTTACGCTTGTTAGGAGTCGTGGGGCCGTTGCCACTTTCCAAGAAATCGTCAATCGTTTGTACTTGATTTATTTGCCAGCTCCTCTCGTCACCGCTTTTCCGAGGAGCTGGATTCCCTAAAAAAGACTGGTCTTTAGGGTCTTCTTTGTCTGAGGGTATGGGGTCTCTGTCTGGAGGTATAGGGTCTTTATCTCTGTCCCTTGTTGGTTTCTTCTTGGCACCACCAAACCGTTCAGCCATGAGAGAGACGCTTCCGCTGATCCCTGTGAACCAAGGCCGGTTGGACCCTTGGCTAGATGCTGAACTTGGTCGAATGCCCCTCTCCATTGATGATCCGGGGCTAGGAACGGAAGGATCTTGATCTTGCTTTTCACCATGCTCTTCTGGAGAAGGCTCAGCACCATTGTCAATATTCGCAGCATTGTCTGGAACATTGCCGGGGCTTATCTGCTGCTCTGTTTGGCTGTTCCTTCGCTGTGGCGTAGAAATATTTGCAGGCTCGTCAACGAGGGGTGCATCTTCAATCACCTGGCCTTCTGGAAGCTCTTCTTGCGATTGCGTAGCAGATCCGTGCTTCTTGTTAGAAGATTTGCCCCATTTATTCGTAAAGAGGTCCCATGGATTTTCCGATTCATCCTCTAAAGAGACAGGGTCAGCTGTTGAGGGTACATCTCGATTTTCTGATTCAGGCTCGTTTACTGGCTTGGAATCGGCATTCGCAGGTTCTTCCGACACAACCTCTTCAGGAATGGGGGTTAGATTTAGCAGAGATGCATCGCCATTATCAGCATTTTCATCTTGCTGGGAAGTTGATGGCTTGGCTGATTCAGGAATCTTACCCTCGGCTGAATCAGAACCCACAAGCTCGCGAGGCTCAGACTCTACCTTCTCTGAGGCTTCAGGTAGAGCAGTGGCTGGTTCTGAGACACTGATCTCGACGGGAGGTGGGGGCGCTTCTCTTTGAGGAGGGGGTGGAGGTGCTTCTCTCTCAGGGTGTGGTGGGGGAGGATTGTTGGTATCATCACCCTGTCCCTTTGGCTCACCCAAGCTGTTCAGCGAGGATGATGGCTCACTTCCTGCCGTCGACTTCTTACGCTTATGCTTGTGTTTCTGCTTCTTCTTCTTCTTTTTCTTTTTCGGTCGAACAGCCCGGTGGGCATGTTGCTCTGCGTACGGAACAGCTGTTACCTCGAAGCCAGTAAGGCTTGATGTAGACTCACTATGCCTCGGATATCTGGACCGTCTTACCCCCCCTCGTAGTGATGCAGTATCAGAAATGATAGTTGAAGTATCGTTGTCGTCGGAGTCGTCATCATCATCATCATCACTGTCTCCGTACTCACTTGCTGATGTCTCTCCATAATCAGGCTCAGGTGGGGCCAAGAGGAATGTGCTTTTACGAGGCGGCACTTCATGTCTATATGATGAAGAAGGTCGTTGGGGTACAGGGTCGAGAGGGTCAATGGATTCTTCTGTGAGTTCCTGGGAAACCTCTTCTGCGGGCTCGGTTGGCAAAGTAACTTCGAGTTCAAGGGGATTGACCAGCCCTGTAGACGGTTGTTTTTCAGTTAGCTGACTGATGGCTTCAGCAGACGGCAATTGCTCAAGCTCCGCAACAGGTTCAGCTGCATCCTTCTGCGAAATTAGATCCACGATAATTTCCTCTGTTGTGATGTTTTCCTGGGTAGCCTCATCCACTTGGGGAATAGCCTCTGAAGTGGGCAAGTGAAGTTCCCTAGACTCAGATTCGTGCTTATTCTCATCAGAAGTCTCAGCATAGGGGCCTTCCAATTGAGCCTCTACCAGAATCTCTGATGTACGCTCTTGCCGGCTCTCCTCTAGCGTGGGTTCTAATTGAACCTCCGGTGTAGATTCAGACTGATGCTCTTCGACTTGTGCTGACTCCGACTCAGGCTCCTCCAACCTTAATTCTCGCTCAGCTTCTTTTAGTGACGGAAGCTCAGCAGATGTTGATCCTGGCTGAAGGCCTTCAGACCTGGGTTCATCCTCAGTCACAGCTCGCTCCTCCGAGGATTTTTCTTCAATCAACCCCTTGTCAGCCGCTTCCGCATCTTCCACAGCTAGGTTGATCGGATTAGGAGCGTTGGGAATATCAGACTCAAAAATGTCTAGAGGGTGAGAGAGGATTTGCTCCTTGGAGGATTCCGCTTCAGGCAACCCCTTCTCGGCCGCTTCCACAACTTCCACATCTTCCACAGCGATGTTGATCGGATTAGGAACGTCAGGAATGTCAGATTCAAAAATATCTAGAGGATGAGAAAGTATTTTGCCAGGGAGTTCATCCTCCTTATTCAAGAGTGGAATATAACTGCCATCCACAGCAAGATCTGAATCTGTCAATGTGGTGTCAACCGTGTCATCCCTGACAGCCTCTGCCGGGGTCTCGATTTGGCTTAGGTTTTCAGCCACACTCTTTTCCTGACCGTCACTTGTAGGGTCAGTCACCTCTTTGTCCACCTGTGGCTTGCCCTTTTGAGCCTCCAAAGACTCTTCATCCTGAAGCTCACTGGCCTCCGTAGAAGCGTCCTTAGCTTTGAGAGCACGCTCAACCTCCTTGCTGGAATTTTCTGGCACAGTGCTTACAGGGGCAATAGCACCATCCTGGGCGAGGTCCGGGTGCTCAGGTTCTTCAGCTTGAGTGAGGCGCTGCAGTTCCATTTTCTCGTCCACGTTTGGTAACGCGGCTGGTGATGCCTCTATTTCAGCTTCCAGTGTAGGTTGTTCCAGTTCAGATGTCATTTTAGATTCTTGTGGAAAGCTGGTTTCCACTGAGGCGTCTAACGTATTAGTCGAATCAACAACTTCTACAGATTGCTCGGAATTGTCCGCTTTCCCCTCTTCCTTCTGTCCATCAAGATTTCCATGGTCGTTGTCCTCCGCCTCTGGCTTAGGCTCCCCTTCGTGCATTGATCGAGAGTCCTCGGCAGGCCCAGTTTCCAAAGGAATATCAGATTTAGCAGCCTCGACATCAGCCTCCCTTGATTGATCTCCAGCGTCATCAGTCACCAAGTCAGTATTCTCCTCCGGCAATTTCAACCCATCATTGTTGGCCTCTTGGTCCAGCTTTGGTTCTAGATCCAGTTTCTCATCGAATTCTTGAGGTGACATGGTCTCAGATTCTTTAAAGGGTATAGAATCTTCATCTTTGGCTTCATGCTCCTCGGGGAGCGTCGAACCTAGCTCGTTTTTATCTTCCTGAGGCATTACGTCCAGTTCCAAACCAGGACTAGAGGGTTGTTCCACTGCCACATTATCTTGTGAGCTCTCCTCAGGTGCCACTTCAGCTGAGTCCGCATCAGGAGCCGAGTCATTAAGCACGATGCTTTCCGTGTCAGGCTGCTGTTCTTCCACTTCCCGGCTCTCATCTGCTGAAGCGAGTTCTCTTGTCTCCGGTACAGTGTCAGTCGGAGTTTGATGGTCAGTTTCGAGAGCTGGCGGTTCCACAGATTCATCCAGCGTAACCTCAGGCTCGAGGGCTTGCTCTATTAGCCCCAGGTCGGAGGTAGAAATTTCCTGTTTTTCCTCGTTCGTCTCTTCCTCTGCGGGTGACTCAGCTTCCTTAAGATCAGGCCCTGGAAGACCAAGATCCGGGGTCTCCGTGGATCCTTGTTCGTTAATTCCCTTAGCCTCTTCAACAGGAGGAATAATATCTATGGCATCATTAGAGCGCTCCTTGTTTCCCTCAGCCTCGGCTTCGACTTCGTAGACAGCATCAAGTACAGCGGGCTCCGCTACAGCCTCCGCTGATTCGGCTTGCTCATCCGTTGGCAGCCGAGCAGACCCCTCTGGAATTACAAAACTCTCATCCATCTGCGTCGGCTCATAGCTAGTAGGAGACTGCTGTGTGGGGTACTCAGTAGGAGCATCGCCTTGCGTGAATAATGGCTCGGAAATGTCAGAGGCAAATGAGGGTAGCTGAGGAGCTCGATCAGCATCTTTGTCACCCACTGTCTCTGCTACCTCATCGAAAGATCGCGGCGAGCTCTCGTCCATCTTTGGCTCTACTGAGACGTCTTCTATTGCAGTTGCAGCTTCAGGCTGTTCAGAAGTGAGCTCCAAATCTTTGGTCTCCCCAGCATCCTGGGTGTCTAGTCCATCCCCCGTCTGATCAATCGCATAAATCGGTTTGTCCAAAGCAGGTTCTGGCATTGACTCAACATCCTCTCCCAGGCTCACTGGTTCGGATATCTCTGCAGGAGCTGACTCCTCCATTAAATCCTCCATCGTCTCCTCTAGTATAGGGGACAATTGATCGCTATAGATCGGAGTATCTTGTTCTGTTTGCTCGAAGTCATCGCTCTCAATAGCATTTGCGTCCTCGAGACCAGGCTCTTCCATAATTGTGGGTAGTTCCTGAAACGGAACTGACAATGTGTGTTCAAGCTCTTGATCGGCCACAATCTCTTCAGAATCTTGCTCTTTGATTTCATCTCCAGCCCATTCGCGGTCGACTGTAGGAGATTCGTCTAGTGGAACAGATGCTAGCTCATCAGCATGGGAAGCATGTGAGTCTTCAGCCTCTGGGGTAACAAGCTCTTCAGCTAGAGCAGGAGGTTCAACTGGCGTCTCCCCTTCGATTGGAAGCATTACATCGGCTACCGGAGCATCTCGATCTTCAACAAGAGCATCATGATGCTCTTGTCTAGCAGATTCACCGGCAAGCTCTTCAGAAGTTAACTGAGACTCCACATCAGCGGGATCTGATGCTTCATTTTGCATGGGAAGAAGAGTCTCAACTAGTTCTTCAACAGCAGTGGCCTTGTCTTCGACTAGAGAGCTCTCTCTTTCGCCTGTATGGTCAGAATGCGGAATTGGCTCGCTATCAGTAGCGGCCCACTTGACAAGCTGATCTACTTCCTCATTGGCATTCTCGACGGCATCAGATGGAATGTCCCGTCGCTCCTCGGCCTCTGCCAGTGTGGTGTTTTGAGGTTCAATGGATGCAGCGGCTTTTTGCGCCTTTTCAATTGTAGATTCTTCCGTAACCTCCCGTGAGATCTCTTCCAGAGCCTCAGGAGCAACAAAGTCTTTAGGAACCTCAAGAGTTGCCTCTTCAGTCACTTCTACCGCATCAGCAGGCGTAGGCTGGATTGAAGACTCAATGGCAGGCTCAGTCTCACTTTCAAGATCTGTAGCGAGTTTTCGAGTGTCACTGGGAGCGGTTTCGGTGATAGAATCCACGGCTGGTGCGGCAGAAGGCTCAGTAGAGTCGGTAGTAGGTAGAGCGGGGGTCTCGGTGGAGGCTTCTGCTGCTGCCAAGGCTGCGGCGGCGGCGGCTGCAGCGGCTGCCGTCTTGCTCTTCTTCTTCCTCTTTCTCTTCTTCTTCTTCTTCTTCTTGTTTTTCTTCTTCTTGTTTTTCTTAGAGCCTGATGACACCACAGATACAGCCCCGAGAGTCTCGATAGACGCTGTCATATCACGAACCACGTTACCATCTTCATCAAAACGTTTTATGATCTCCACACGCTCATGTTCTTCTTCGTCCTCCTCCTCCTCGTCAGAATCTTCAGAGTCTTCAGAACCTTCAGAATCATCATCTTCTTCTTCTGATTCCTCCTCTTCCTCCGATTCATCTGAGTCTTCGATAACCGTAGATGCATCAGGCTTCTTAGGATATTCCTGCACAGGAGCTTCAGGGACCGAGTGAAGCGCCGCCTTGGGAATAGTACCGACAATGATTTCCTCAACTTCCTCCTCCGGCTGCGATCGTTGAGTTGCTTCGGCAATCGTATCAGACAAGAGCTCATCAGACACGGGTATCATATCAACAGCTTCGGTGTAAGGTGCTTCAAGGTCCTCGTCGAGCGGCTCAAAAACAGGAATCTCCTCAGCATTTGCTTCGAGTTCCGGCTCAGGAACATAAATTTCGGGCTCCAATTCATCTTCAACTGTCACGGGCTTGGGAATAATCTCTGGTGCCAGTGCCTTCTCTTCAGTGAAATCTTTAGAAAGGGACTCGGTTGACGGGGTATATTCGACATCTGGAGCAAAGCCCTTTTTGAAGGCTAGTTCTGGAACTTCGACGAATGTAGCCGCCGTTTCATCAGCTGTAGGCTGCAAAAGTAGGCTGTGGTCGAGCTCTGCTTCCGATGAAATGGACTTGTACTTCTTACCCTTGTCTGGCGACTCCTCGGCAGTTCCTGATAGCGGGTCTGAATAGCTGGGGCTCCCCTGGCGGGCCTGGTCCTCTGGGACTCTCTCAATGCTAGGCAAAGTCTCAATCACCTTATCCATAGTTGCCAGTGCTGAATGTTCCGGTACCTTGTCCTCAAAAAATTTTGCGGGTCTTGAAAATTCCGGGATAGCGCCGAGCATCGATGGCTCAATAGGTGGCAGCTCTGGTTCATATAGATCCTCGTCGTGCATATCAGCAGGAGAGGTGCGTGCGGTTTCGAAGTCATCGGAAGCGTCTGCTGACGTCAATTCGTCGGGGCGTAGGTGAACATCCTTTGGTGGTGAACGTCGACGTGTAGGAGTTGTAGGGCTCGGTATGGCCTGGGCGTCCACTGTTCTAGCCGATTGGCCTGACGAAGGCGTCGACTTAAAGGGAGCATTTTCGTAGTCGCTGGTGAATGGCCTATTGTTGTCAGTAGGTCGAGCGGGTAGCTCATACGTCAGATCGGCCTTTGGCGTAGAGCCTTCGGATTCTCCAGATGCTACAGCTCTCTCGACTGGAAGACCTTCAGTCTGGAGCCGAAGCCGGAATTCGTCGTCCGGGTATGGCATTGGGCTTCGAAAGTCTTCGATATCCCCACCCTCGGCTTCGCTTGTCACTTCGCTAGGGGGCAGAGGCGGCAGCTCCTCGCTTTTCACGCTTCTATCAAGGGATCCTCGTCGAGAATGCTCAAGAAGCATCAGAGGCATAAACTCTTTGGTGCTGTCCCAGGAAGTTGGGCGGGGAGGGGTACGGGGAGGCTTGTTGGCAACAGGGCTGGGAGGACCAGATCCGATACCTCTGAGGAGTGCTGCGAGAGGCACGGCGGTGTTGCTGTATGATCGGTTGCGGGCACTTGCCGCTAGGTCTTGGTTGCTTCGTTGCCGGCGATGAATCTTTTCGAATCTCCGGTCTCGATCTTCTATCGGTGATGCAGGGCGACTATCAGGCAGACCGGGTAGCTCGCCAAAATCACTCTCCACGGGACTTCCCGGTTCGCTGGGGGGCAGAGGAAGCAAATCTCTGTACTGGGGGTCAATTGCGATTGCCCGGGGAGCAATCACAGGGTAATGGTCGTTAAACTCTTGGTCCGAGCCAGAGAGTTCTCGCGAGATGTTCTCCGGTTCCGAGGAGACATCGGCGGCATTTGAGCGAGTCAAGGCCGTTGCTGCAGCTGCAGCAAGGCTCGCTGGGCCGACACCCGCGCCTAGAGTGCCGGCTTGCTCAAAAAAAGAATCTCGCTTCTCATCAATGACCTCGGTTCGGTCGTTTTTGCCCCCAGGTTTGTTAAAGATGCCCGAGAAGAAGCCGGGTTTCTTGCCGCCAGAGACTTTGCGGGGTTTACGCGAAGAAACATGTTTCTCGCTATTATCATTATGTCGTAAAGATTTGCTCTCCCGGCTTCTCGGCTTCCTTTCTTCATCGTGAGGCTCTGAAATTACAGAACTCACGCCACGGTCATCTACACGATCATCTCCTGGATGCTCACTGCCGTTGGTTTCGGGGAGGTCAAAAGTAGAACTACGTGGGCGCCTTAATCGAGTGCTCCTTCTGCTAGAAATCGACAGCTCTGATCCAGCTATCATCGACTTTCGTGTGGACGCCCCAGGAGAACTATCCCAGTCTTCCCAGTCTTCGACACTAAAGACGGTAGCTTCGTCACCGGGTACCGAAATCCTTGAGAGCTCTGTTGCCTCGTCTCCAGGAATGGACAGCCTAGAGTTTTCGTCATCAAAGCGAGAGGAGACTGTCGACAGCTCATCGTGGCGGTCTCGTCGCTTCTTCTTCTTTTTCTTCTTTGACTTAATGGGGGGTTCAAAGTCAGAGGCGTTCTCTTCCAGTTCGCGTAAAGCCTCTGGTTCAAGTTTCCTGATCGGAGGCCGCTCGGTGTCGGATTCGTGCACTGGTGCCGTCTTTGTTGTCTCTGGGGCTTGCTCCAGGTCGTACGACTCTCTAGCTTCTAGGACTTCTCGTGGTGGCTTGATCTCGCCCGATTGTCTCTTTTGGAGGAATGCCTCAAGAACCTTTCGCTGCTCACTGTTACTCTTTTGAGGAGGAGTGACTGGTCGGTCTTCCACAGCTGGTGGCTGAGCCGATTCTTCTAGCTGAGAAGGCGGCTTGATTTCTCCAGACTGCCTCTTTTGAAGATATTTTTCTAGCGCATTCAGCTTCTTTTGCTTCTGAGTCTTTTCATCTTGCTCGTCTTCCGTATCAGTCAACGAGAGATCGCCCTCGACCTCTATCTCCTCTCTTGGCCTCTGCTCATCTCTTTGGGTATCACTTGCAGGCACGGGGGTCTCATTTGCTTCAGGACGAGAATTTCGGCGGCGAAAAGCCGGGTCGTCAATTACGATATTAGGATTGAACCCGGTCTTCTCCAGGCCAGCCGCTACGGTAGCAGCAAACTCTTCGTCATCGAAACTCCCAGGCATCTGCTCTGGCTCAGGGCCAGCCGGCTTAAAGGCCGGAGCAGGCGCTGCATCGACGTCGGCAGGAAGATCGCGACTGCCTGACTCAGTGTTTCGATCAAGCTCGGAGATCGGTTCGGCGGTGCCAGCGGCTATCACTGCAGCGATCTTACCCCATCTGCTGGACTTGCTGAGACGGGGCCTGGGTTTTTCCTCCGCCTCAGCCAGCTCGTTTGGGGATTCGGCACGGCTGCGAGCCTCGGGAGATTCGACCACGAAGCGATTTATTTCGTTTTTGCCCCAAGAGACAGACTTGCCGCTCGGTGACGATTGAGTAGCCTCGCCCTTTGGCTCGGCCTCCTCCTCAGACGAGTCGGCTAGAGATTCCTCTTCGTGTAATTCTCGAGGTGCAGGAACCTCCATCGGCCGCTCTGGTTCTCGATGGGACGCCGCCGTAGAATCGGGACTAGGAACCGGAGTAGGACGAACAATGTTCAATAGAGGGCGTTCACGCTCGCAGGAGGGATCCTTGGACATAAATCTCGGAGCATCGACTCCCCTGGTAGCCCTGAATTTATCGGTTTCATGAGGAAAGATCTCGTTGTCGACTTTGACATCGGCATTAGGGGCGCCGTAAGGGTTCTCGTCATCCTCATATTCTTTGCCTTCCATATTGGGAGGTGTGACGATGGTGATCTGCTCTTCCACGGGCGGTGTATCCCATTTGTCTACCACGGACCCATCTGGGGACTTGCTTTGAGACCGGATCTCGTCAGAAGCAATCTTTCTAGCAATTACGGATTCGCGGTAGTATTTGTCGGCTTCCTCCTGGACAACGTCCTTATAGGGTCGGCTTCGGTCACGAGAGCCATCGTCAGAGTAGTCGCGGCGTCTGCGCTCTCGCGAGCGCTCTTCTTCAACAGCAATAGCGGATGCAACTGCGACGGCAGCGACTGGAATCGTCGAACGTTTGGCTTCGTCTAGGATGGATCGAGCTTCTCTTTCCTCTTCTTCGTATTCGTACCCATCGCGAGGGTCTCTACGCCGAGATCCCGAGTCGTTTCCTCTCCGTCTCTCCTCTTCTGCCATTTGGATATCATACGTATCTTTTCGGCTAAGTCTGACATCCGAATGCGTTTGCTGTCGCCCTGAGGACGGAGGCTGAGAAGATTCGGCGAAATTGGGCACACGCTCAACAGTCACAACCTGAGGTGTTAGAGGCCGGCGGGGAGTGTTGAACTGGGGGGTATTAAAAGCATCATCGGCAACCTGGTATTTGAAAGGGTCAATATCGGTGTTTGAAGCGGGCTGGGTTGGCCTCTCAACATTTCCATCACCTGCCTTTGTCGTACGAGTGGTCTGCTGCTGCTGATCTCGCTCCTGTTGCCTCTGTACTTCTCGTAGTTCCGCTTCACGTCTTTCCAAATGAACGTCGTGTGTCGTTTGATACCTAAGAGTCTCCTTACGCTCTTGCGGATGGAGCTCCATCCAGGATCTACTTTCCCTAGCCACGCCAGACGAATCTTTGTTAAAGTAATCAGGCATTTGGCGAGTAGCCTCTGATCGAGGAGAATCTACATCATCGTTTTGACGGTTGTAATACACCTCTGGGTTCGCTCTCCGGCGCTCCAGCTCTTCAAAGGGAGCCTGGTCTCGCTGGAAATATTCTTCATCAGGGTCTGGGCGAGTACGCTTCACATCATCCCGATAAATGCGGTCTTCTGTCCAGGGACCCCTTCGATCTGCCATGCGAGCTGCGGCGGCGGCGGCGGCTGCTGCAACGCCGCCGCTGAGTGTAGGATCAAGGCTCTCCTCATTAGATCGCTGGCGGCGGTAGCTGTTTCGAGAATCTCGTCTGCCGGCTTCAAAGACCTTGTTTGAGATGGGCACCATGGGAATCGGCTGCTCGAGGGGGATAGAACCCGGGCGATGAGCGGAATCGGCCTGCGATTCACCGGTAGCTGGTCTGTCATTATCATCGCGATTGAGGCCATGTCGCCCTGAGCCAGTAGAGGAGGGTGCTGGCTGCTGTTCATCTCCAAACCCGCAGGGGGTGTGCACTAATCCACGTAATGAGTTGACCGGTCCAAAGAGCCTGGGGTCCACAACGGAGCTCTTCCTGCGGTGAGTTGTCGGGTATGACTCGGCGGCAGAAGCAGCAACCGCCCCAGCAACCGCGGCCGCGGCTCCAGCTAAGGCAACGTTGGAGCGCGAAGACTCGTTACCGCCATAGGCCAGATGCAAAGCGCTCTCATCACTAGACGAGCTCTCGGAGGAATCGCCGTCGTCGTCGTCGGATGCTGACTCCCAGTCTGATTCATCAGAAGAAGAGTCACGATGCTTCTTCTTAGAGTTAGAAAGTCCTCGCTTTTTACCCTCCCTTCTGCTCTTTCGTAATGCACTGATGGCAGCGGCAGCAGATGCTAGTCCAGAAGGTCGACTCTTGCCAGCAGCGCGCAAGTCCTCCTCATTGGACTGCCGTGCCAGATCTGAGAGTTGACGACCAATGGCGAGAATCTCCTCATCCGTCTTATCACGCTTCTTCTCATTGAGGTGCTTAGGGGAACGCCTGCTGGGGACTGCGCCTTGGTAGTGCTGCTGCTGCGCGCCGGATACAGCAGAGCCAGCAACGGAGCTGCTGTAGCGCGTAGACTTATCCTTATCCTTTTTCACAAAGCCCGTTCCGTAGGCCAAATCCGAGTTAATGGACGAGTGAGACGAGTTGTTTCCGCCACCAAAGAAAACGCCACGGCGCTTTTTAGTGCCACTTCCTCTGCGCCGCCGACGCCGACGCTCTGACGGCGCCTTCATAAAAGCGCTGAAGAAGCCTCCATACCGACCGGTAGGATACTGTCGCGAGATATCCAGGTATGAAGATGAGGAAGAGTTGGACGACGATAAAGAGCCGGACGAGGCTCTGGATCGGGGCTGGAGAGCATCGTGCGCCATTGCCTGCTGCGGCATTGGCAGCGACGTCGGGTGCGGAAACGACTCCTGGTATTTCTGCTGATATTGCTGGTGCTGCTCGTATTGCTGCGGGTATGGCTGCGACGGGAACTGCTGCGGCGGATATTGCTGCGGCGAATATGACTGTTGCTGCGACGGTGGCAACGGCTGATATGGTGGTTGTTGCTGTTGTTGCGGTGGTGGTTGATATGGCTGCTGCTGTTGCTGTGGGCTGTCGGCGCTGTAGGTGCCCGGCATCTGCTGGGCCGTGATGTTCGTAGGGGAGTACATGCTGGCGGCGGGATCCTCGCGCGATTGTCGCTTCTCGCGCCTCCGCCTCCTGAAGCTTTCCAGGCTCCGGCGGCGGGGATGAGGCATCGTGAGACCAGCTGATCGGGCGTCTGGTCGTTCTGCCAGTGACGGGGATGGCTGTTTCTTCTGTTTCCCTGGCTGTGAAGGAAAGCAAAGGTCAAGCAAACCACCGCCCGGTTTGTTATTTTTGTTTTGGTTCTAGAGGGAAGACGAGCTGATGGAACTAAGCTGGACGCCAAAGCTGCTCCCCCCAGTCGACCCGACCCGCTCCGTGGACAACCGGTGGCTGGGGCGACAGCTTCAAGACGAGGAAGAACAACGACAAGATGCAACAAAGACGCTAAAGAGGGCCTGGAGGAGTGGCCGACAGGGTTGCTGTGGCTGGCGGGCGGGCCAATCAGGCGTCGCGGCGTCGGGCCTTAGCGGCGTGCTTCAGCTGGCAAAGTCGGACCAGGATGCGATCACAGGAACTCAGCCAGACATAAAAAAGGGGGCAGGTTGGTTTGGCGATGGTATCGAGATCTGAAGAGGCTGTAGCTCGGCAGGACGCGAGCGAGCTGGGGTAGCGCAGCTTAGGAACATGCGGAAAGCTGCGTTTCGGGCGGTCTAAGCTGTAGCCAGAGCATCTAGACGCTGCCGTCTTGCTCATTCCGCATTCCCCCTTCTCTACAAAGCTCCAATGCCAGAAAAAAAAGAAATAGTAATCGACAGGCACTGCCTAGTGCAAGCTTGCTCTCTTGTGCTGTAGAAAATGGGACAAGCTTGCACATGCTTGCTTGTGCTTCCTATGGTACGTGCATTGCGCACTGGTGGGGTCGCTCATATTAAGCGTGTTAATGCTGCTGAGGCTCTGGATCAATCCGGCAAGGTCCCTTGATTTGCCTGGTGGAGTGCGACTCGTATCAGGTAAGCTGTGTGCTGGCTCCCCCTACTAGCAGTCGTAGCCTCAGGCGTTGCAGGTGCAAATGTCTCACCCTGTCTGACCAAAGACGGCCAGAGCTGCCAATAATGCTTCGCAAATCCGACACCAGACCGCCACTACGTGTGTTTCTGGCTTGATTTTGCAACCCCGCTTTTCTGCCAGTTGGCACTGCGGTGCGGTGCTGTGTCTCTCCATATCGGGACCTCCTAAAACGTGGACAAAAAAAGTGCTACAGCTAGAACAGCTACCCGGATGGAGAAGAGCAGAAGCTCGGAACTTACCCTGCATCGCAACCCAAATTCAATGTCATCTAATAGGTGCCAGCTAGAAGATAGAGATGGATGACTTACAATTGATCACAACGTATCCATAGCTGGTGCATGTGTAATATTACATTTTGACAATTTGATATAGCAATAGTACCTACCTATTTTATGTCTGGTGGCCTACACGGGGATACATGGCATATGCCTCTCTTGAACCAGCTCACTCATTCGCTCTCCTCCCACCCCCCCCCCCCTTCACATCCATTGTACCCATCGTGAGACAATGTCTCCAGCAGTCGAGCCGTGAAAAGCCCCTCACTTGCACTCAAAGCAAGGGGAGGCAGAGACAGAAGAAGAAGTCTGCCCTGCAGCGCTTCTAGACCGATGGCGCCTCTTTTTGGCCAAACCTCCGGTATACATGCCTGGCCGTCAAGGCCAGCTCAATGATCTTCCCCCAAGCACGCACTGCATCCTGCACGCCATCAAGATCTTAGGCAGGAAAATGCCGATCGCCATTTGGCGGCAGTGCTGAATCCTTCTGGCGTGACGGCATGTCGTCCCATCTGCAAGTACTCTGTACATATCTAGCGAGCACTACGCATGCCTAGGTAGTAGGTACTTGCATGTAATAATATAGTTTTCACAACCGCTGTCGTTCCAACGCCACAAGCCCATTGATTCATTTAAGCATTGTATGCTTGTGTGGCTACGATATATTCTATATAAAAAGGCCTGCGAAAGACAACAAACGCAGGTACCAAAAGGTATGATCGTGAAACGCGTCTTATAACCAACTTTAAAGCGATGAGCAAGGAGATTACGGTATCACAAACCTTATGAACACCCCCAGCCATCAATGCCACCTTGCACGATAAATTCGTCATATTGAAATACGAGGCGTCCAAACTCATCAATGTTATACACTGCACTACTATTACAAGAGTTTGTAGAAAAGAAGGGGAAAAAAAAACAAAAAAGGTTTCTGTACATAGGTATTGATTAAAGGCCCACCTGCACCAGCCTCTTCTCTCCTTCTCTCACTCAGTATCCCGGCACCGCCCTCGCCTTCACATGCAGACCCTTCGCCGGCCTCGCCGTCACATTCCCCTTGATATCCATCTTATCCATATCCAGCTCGTCCTTATTTACCAGCTCAAACTCGAACCGCCCAATCCACGCCGCCAACAGACACGCAAACTCCCCCGTCGCAAAGGTCAGGCCGATGCAGCTCCGCGGCCCGTGGAGGAACGTCATAAAGGAGTAGTTGCTGTCCGCGCCGCCGCTCGCCGCCCGCTTGTTGCTCTCCTCGGAATCCTTGTTCTTGGAAATCCACCGCTCCGGATTGAACTCTAGGGCGTCCGCTCCCCAGAGCTTCGGATCCACGTTGACGGCGGAAGGGGCCAGGACGATGCGGGTGCCCTCTCGGACGGGCACGTTTTGAATCGTGGTGTCGTACGAAGCCTCGCGGATGGTAACCGGGACGGGGCTGAAGAATCGCAGCACCTCGCTGCACACTGCGTGGAGGTACGGCATGCGATCAATGTCCTGGCTCGTGAGCTTGGCGCCGGCGTTGTCCGTGGAGGGCAGCCTCTCGCGAATCTCGTCGCGTAGCCGGGTCTGTATCTCGGGGAAGCAGCAGAGGAAGTAGATGGCCCAGGTCAGCGCTGTAGATGTCGTCTCGTGGCCGGCTGCCAAAAACGTCATGAGCTGGTCGACCAGGTTGTCGTCCGAGAACTGCCCGCTCTCTATCGCCACGGAGAGAATATCCACGTCTGTGCGCTCCTTGTTTGCAATCATCTTCTCCTTCTTCTCTCGGATGACATCCCGGCACATGGCTCTGATTTTCCTGGCAGCTTCGTTGACCAGTCGGTTGCGCTTCAACGGAAGCCGATAGATCAGCCAGGATGGCACCAGGGTTGCCAAGACGATCAAGAACTTCGCCGGCGGTCTCGGCTTGAACAGGTACCCGTACGTCTGAACAAGGTCACTGTTCTCGTCCTGGATTGAGTTAAAGTCCTTGCCCAGGCCGGCAACACCAATGATGTCGAGAGTCACCCTCGACGCCCATTCGCTGACCTCCATTTCCGTCTGGCCCTCCTGGCCACATTCTTTCATCATGGCCTGAACAGACTCACGCGCCTTGTCCCAAAAGAGAGGATATAGCTCCTTGATATGGCGGAACGCAAAGGCGGGCATCAAATTGCGCCGCTGGTGCCTGTGCTCATCTCCTTCTGCGAGAAGCAATCCATAGCCCAGGAGGCGGCCGAGCAATGACCTCACGTTCTCGGGCTTTCTGAAAGCGTAGTTGTTTGTGACAAGCACCTCTCCCAAGGCTTTAGGCGAGGTGACGATCAGACGCTCTCGATTGAAGAGCCAGTAGTACCGTATAAGGCCTTCGTTGGGAACAGTCGTCACCCTTTACCCCCCCAGCGTAACCAGCTCGTCAGCCATCAGCAACAAGGGTACGTTTGATATAGGATCAGCCTACCATTCTCTCAACGGCGCGCCAGGCTTCGCAGCCATGACTTGCTTGCCATGCCCCAACAGCCAATGCCCTCCCGGGGCCGTAGGCACATGTCTCAATGGCGAAAAGAACTTTGGATATAGAAATAGCTCGTAGATGGCGTATAGAAACAGCTCCGCGAGCCATATCCCTGTGGCAGCCTTAATGAATGGCCCTCGGGACCACGCTTCTCGCGTTATATAAGTCCATCCAGCGCCACCAACAAGGGCCACAGTCGTCAATAGCTTGAGCGCCATGGCCTTAACCTACCGTCTGTTCTGACGAACTCCTAGTTAGTGCGCGAGGCGTTCTCCCTCCCACGCATGTATGTCCCCGTTCGCCTGCCAAGCTCCCTATTATTAGAGGACTAGCCACAAACAGAGTACCAGCAGTAGTGGTTGTGAAGTAGATAAAAAAAGAAAAACGACAACGAAAAGAGCCCCTTTCCCTTCCAGAAAACTCTGGGAGGATGGAATTACGAAGAATCACTCAAGGTTTCGGGGAAAAATAGGCCCAACCCGCATTGAACTCTTTCGCGGAGAGTCACACGATTTAAAGAAAAATAAGTGGAAACAGTTTTAATTGTGCCCTTGTTGGACCGACTTCATGGAAAACCTTCACCAAAAAAAGTAAACATAAAGGGCGTTGGAACGCGCCGCCGACCTTGCCGGGATTTGCGTGCCGGGCTATTTATCAATAAAAACGGTTGGGGGGTGCCTTTTCTTCTTCTTCTTCTCAAAACCCAATTTTAGTAATCCAGCCATTATCACAAGTCAGAAAAAAAATCAAAAAAAGAATCAACGATCAAACCGCAGCGCTGGGCTAGATGGAAACCTCTCCACCCTCGCTCTTGGTTGGCTGGCTCCCTTTCTCTTCTCACTCCTAGATTCCTTTAATCCCCCCTTTGTTTCTTTAGATCCACGAATGCCGTGTCCGTAATGCCCCTAACGGGGCATCGGAATCCGCAAACTCCAGCTTAGCTTCCACCAAAAAACTTGCTATCGATTTAGTGGGACGCATTCAACTCTCGACAACCGGGATTACGGCACCGCTTCTCCTGGTTCCTTGTTCCCTGTTTACTTGCGTGCTCAGCTCAGCTACCAGCTACAGCACTGTGCTAGGTAGTCGTGTGTGCGTCGTTAAAACGGAGAAGCCAAAAAGGTGGTCCAGCGTGTCAGACCGGGTTCAGAAGCTTAGCCTGCCAACCTGCGCACTGCTCCGTATTCATCATATTCTGAATGTACATGGCAGATTCGCTGTGAGGTAAACTGAAGTATGAAGCTCGTGGACGTCATATTATACTGTACATACGTAATGCGACGGACATGGAGTTTCTGCTCCATAACACGTACGTTCATAGCTCTAGTCTTTGCTCAAGTATGCGCTGCAAATGTTAATTGCTGCCCACTGAGTGGTGGCGCTCCCCCAACTCCGAAGCAGCATCGGTCGGTCTTCATCGTGACCCCGACCGGCATTCCGCCATAATTCGCTGCTCTCCGGCTCCGTCCTTGTCTCTGGCGAAAGCAGCATGAATGCGGACACCGAAAACGCAAATGGCCTGCCTGCAAAGCAACCTCAGCTCCAGCTCAGCTCGAATGGAAATGCCCCAATTGTCCGCTGGTGCTACTGCGCACTACTAACAAGGCGCTGCTAATAGCGCCTCGCTAAGTGAAACCAGCACTGCTCGAATAGGCAACAAGAAATACATTGCAGTTTAGCGCATATTGCTTTGCGCGAAGTACAATTGACGATACTATTGTCTTAGCAACTAGGCAGGTAATACTACTGCTATCTATCTCCCGTAATTGTTGGAATTATTTATCACTGGCCACGAGAGACACAAAGCGGCCGTTACATGTATATCAAGCTTGACGGATAAATGCACAGAACTTGATTCGCTATACTCTAATACGCCCGCTAAATGCGCCCTCGCTATGTAATGGTAGACCAGGAGAAAGAAAAGAAAGAAAAGTCATGTCCTCGTCTATGCCGAATCGCAGTCTTGGAAATTCGGAAATACACAAATGTATACAAAAACCCAATTATTGCGGCCCGTTGTCATGGAAATTAGTCAAACCCTCAGAAATTGTACCAAAACGGACGAATATCCAAAACTCCAGAAGTAAAGGGAAGCAAGCAGAACAAGATAATTTGGTGAAGGACAACGGGGCATCAATCCCCATAAGCCGCGTATATATCAACGTTAAGCGGCAGAAAAAAGGATAAACACGACTAATGTCCTTTCCGAGCCGAATCTTCTTCACCAAGGTCGATTTCTATTTTGCGCTGTGATTGCTGGTGCTATTGATGCTTCGGCTACCTGATGTCCGGCATCTGTCGGGCTCTGGCTGCTTTCATCCTCTCTAGTGTTTGCGCCTGGGATCGTTGCGCTCGATTGAGTCTGGCCATCAGACTGCAGAGCTTGGAGAGGTGACAGATTATTTCGGGAAACTCTCTGTCTTCGATATCCTCTTTCTTGAGCACCTCGCTGTTGAGCTGCACGAGATGACCACTGGGTGGATCTCGACAGATCTCGCGGAGGGATTCGAACTGGTGAGGTTGATGCACTCGAGGAGGCTGATGTACTCGATGAGGCTGATGTTGTGCCCTCACCATCGGCAGTAGAGGAATCCGAGTCACCACTGCGGTACAACGGCGATTCGAGTAGAATAACATCTGGAGTTTCACCAACTTCCTCTTCCTCACGCATAGTAGAACTCATGAGTCTCAAGTAAAACTCTTCTGACGATCTATGAGAAAGAGTTAGTCGAAATTCCGGCTTGAATCATGAGGGGACCGGGATAATCTGACCCTGGAGGAAGCTGAGCTCGGGCTCTCATTATAGTCAAAAAGGCATTGGTTCTACTGGCTTCGAATCCGGGGTGAAAGTGTGTTGGAAGTTTGTCGCGACAATAGGGACAGCTGTCAGACTCCTCAAACCATCTTTTAATGCACTTGTCCCCAAAGACATGTTTGCACTTTGGTAGTCGTAGAGGCGACTCCTTGATACCCTCGGGGGTTTCTACGCCGAAGTCGTTGTAGCATATGACGCAAGCTATATATCTATGTTAGCCATTTGTCTCAATTCCAATTTCATGACGCAAATACCACGCGAGAGGGTCTGGGATTGGGGAGAGAAATGATCGTCTTCGCAGCCTACTTACTCCTATCTTTCTCAGCCAGGTCTTCGATTTTGACGCTTTGCAAGAACCGCAGAGCAATCCTTGTAGGCGAATTCTTCTCTGCGCTGCGAGCTATCTGTATCGGACGAGCAGGAATGTTCTCAACAGCGGCCGCAGGTTCCTGGCCCATTCGATTATTTATCGGTTCTGGCCGGTGATCATTGCTGTTATGGCCGCCCCCTTCATCGGTATCCCTACTCAAGTCTGATGCCGTTAGACGCGTATTCAACGACGACCGCCTTGCTCTAGAATGAACCGATCTTCGATGTGGTGACGGCCCCGCCAGCCCCGCCAGCTCTTGGTAGATAGCCAGTGTTGCATCTAGCACAATGTTAGCATTGAGGAAGCGAACGCCACGGTTACGACTTTGGTTGTGATGGCTACGGTGATGGCTACGGAAAAGGAGAAAACATATTACACATCACTTACGCGAAGGCGAGGAGGAAATTGGCGCTCGTGATACACGAGAAGACACAGGCGAACCAGCATACCCAAACCGGCGAGGTTGTGGGATAGAAGCCATCGGTTGAGGATTTGGCATTGTTTGGAGCGGTGGTTGCGGAGCGACGGCGTAGGAGATTGGCATAATTGGGGGCTGTTGCATATACCTATTCTGAGGTTGTGTATTTGTTTCGAACCCTATATTATTATGCAGTCCTATCCCTGGCTCACTTTCGGGGGGTTGCGGCGGATAGCCCGATCCTACGGCTGGCAGTATCGGCGGTGGCTCATACCTGAGCCCGCCTGACATGTTCATCATGCCAGCATGGTTCGGTGGGATGGGAGCTGGCATTGAGTGAGGAGCCCAATGGCCTTGACGAGGAAAATATCCCCCGCCGTGAGGGTGTGGCAGAGTATAAGCCTGAGGTGTGGGATTTGGCAACAAAGGCCCACCAGTGAAGCTCATTTGATAGGAGTCGAAGTTCGTACCAGCTCGACCTGGTGAGTGGTAAGCCAGAGGTCGGGGAGCATTATTTTGCAACGAATATGCTTGCGGCACTTGTGGATGCTCGAGTTCGCGGGGCATCCAATTTGGCACCGGCGGTCCAGGAATGGGCTCCGGATGGTACGGCCTCCTTGGGTGAAGCGGTCTGTTGTTGGTAGGGTCCATCACAGGCTGCAGACAGCCCGGTTTCGATGCGCAGCTCTCAAAATTGCTAACCACCGAAGTGGCACGATCGTCTGAAAGCTTTTCGCTGGATATTAAATATAACAAGATGCCCTCCACTGGGAAGACAGTGAGAAGTTGTTTCCTCAGCGGCCGTAAAGATAAGAAACGAGAGTGGTTGGTGACAGCGATCCGATCACCGCGAGATAGCAATAAAACAATAACAGTGTTGTCCTTAAAAAAAAAAGCAAAGAAAAGAAAAAAAAAAAAAGAAAAGAAAAGCGAAAATGTGAACAAGTATAAAAGCCGGATGTAGGGAAGTACCTGATGCAGTCGTCAATCACCTCGATCACCCAGGGGGGTGGATCCAAGGTCGACTGTAGCCAGAGCCCCAGGCCACAAGTCTGAGGCTCATGAATAAATCTTCAGAATGGCGGTAGCAACCCATTCACGCTTTAGCGTGACTTCTATAGTAGAGCCTTGGGGAAGCTGTAGGGTAGGCGGGTGTTGGGGTAGAAGCCAGGCTGGACAAGATGTGATCAGCTGCCTAACCAGACGTAGGCAGTGAGGAGGCGTAAAGAGGACGGCTCCAGAGGCGATGTAAGCCAAGGTTTCCAAGACAACGAAACTGCAGGTCGAGACCGCCCTTCCGTCTTCGATAGAGGGGGAGAAGGATAGGTATATGTAGCGCAGCGTAAATAGCCTCAGTTGGATGCGATGGAGCTTTTGGTTTGGCGCTTCCTTTGCATTCATCCACCGGCGATTGCGGAACCTTTTTTGGGGGATTTGCGTTTGGGCCAATTTTGGCTTTAGATGCGCTAAAGCGTGGGAGCTAGGTAGCTACAGTAGCTCTGCTTCCCACGTCTGGGTTTCAAACGAAGCCCGGGCGTCTCGGGCTGTCTGCAATGCGTCTTTGCCCTTCGATTTTTAATCAATTCGTATGAGACTTTCAATTCAGACTTTCAGTGTAGAAAGCCACTATTAGCAGCGTCAGACCTCGGCTGAATTGTATAAAGCTAGTTTGAAGCTGTTTTGCTGTCACAGAAGATGGCCCGCTTCGCAGGGGTTAAGATGGCCAAGAGGCGCACCCTAGGTAGGTAAAGTTATAGTAGCTTCTAGCTTCCCAGGTAGCGGGTACTTGGCAGGCCTCGCCAAGGGCTACAGTAACGTCTCTGTTTGGGCCTCGGCCAAGATAGAGGGCGGCTGACTCGGTGGCAAGAAGCGTTGGCCGACAGCGCCGATGACGAAGACGAGGACCAGACCGATGATGGCCTCAAAGAGAGGAGAGAAGGTGTAAGGGAGCTAGCCGACGTGGACGTGCGGAGGAAGGGCGAGAGGTTGGAGGTTGGATAAGAAGGGGCGGCGGCGGAAGAAGGAGCAGAAGTACAAAAAGCAAGGGCAAGAGGTAAGGGCAAGGTAGAGAAAAGGCAGGCGCAGGAGCAGGAGCAAGAACAGGAAGTAAGAGAGCACAGGCAAGAGCCAGGTAAATTGCACAAGCGCAGGCAAGAGCAACAGGCCTAGGCGAGAGCCACGACAAATGGCGAGAATAGAAAGAAGAGAAAGAAGAGGGGATGGAGGAAGGAAGAGAAGTCGGCAAGCACGCGTGATGACAAGAGAAGAATATTAAGAGGACACCCACCTCAGGTCATCCATCAATCAAGCAATCGTAGAGCCGAGCCAAGGCATGCCATGGTACGGACTGGTCATCAAATCAAATCGTCACCAGCTCTGGAGCTCCCCAGCCAAGTCGGGCTCGTCTGCGTCGTCCTCAGGGCGCTCCAAGTCTCAAGTCTCCAGCCTCCGCCGGCCATCGTCTGTCGAACAAGCAGGCGCATGGCCAAATCATCGGCGCAGCGTCGGATGAGCCGCCCTCTGCTGGGGGCACGCAAAGCTCCTCGAGGCACGCACCCGCATACACGCTACGAGTCGCATGCTGGCAGGAATTTTCGTCCTTGGACCGCCAACAATCTCCACGGCGGACATTGCTGTTATTGGCAGACCTGCTTGCTTAGCCTCCATGTACTGTGTCGTCGCACGTACTCCGTGCTAGCAGCCATAAGACACCTCATTCATCTCGCGAGAGACTAGTTAGGTTGCAAGTGGGCAATACATGCCGAGCCCGTGCGTGCGAAGACGCCTGGGCGACAAATACGGCCATTTGCATGTATACGTACATGGCGGCGCGGGGCACAGAAATGCAACTGCTGTGGATCAATAAAATCATACCAGCCATGGGAGGGAAGCCAAAGCCGAAAGTCTGAGGAGGCTTTTGAAACCAACGCCTAGCCCGATGGAAGAACAAAAGGGCAGGTTGGGCTTCTCACCTGATAAGCTGCATCCCATTGCCTGACGTGCTGGTCGTGGGCCCAGGCTTCAGGCCATCCAAAGCAGTAGCGGCACGAATCAACCAGTCGACTTCTCTGCAGTCAATATGTGCTAACGAAGCAAGCACAAGGGGAGCCAGGAAATGCATCGGGGCCGTCAGCCCAAGCCGCAACCGTCACATGAGTAGCATCTTTGCCCAAAGGGACGGCGGGAAATGGTGGCAGCCAGACAGGGACGGTCGATCAATCAGCTCGAAACGATAAAAATGGTCCTCGGCTTTGACCTGGTCAGCTTCGGGCCTCGTGATTGGGGCCCCCAATATTGCATGTGTCGCACTGTTCTCGCCTCTTACTCTCATCTGGTGGCGGGCCTGGGTTCAAACTCAGCAGACGTCGTATTGACGAGGCAATTTTCAAGCCATTATCAAGCCCTTATGGAGAATAATATGCTCTATCCTTGAGTCGATACTTGGGACTGCTGATATGTCGACCGCACCCCACCGGAGTCAACTATCGGGCCAGCGCCGGCGGTGCTGTCCGAGTCTCCGGAGACCTTCCTGATTCGGCCATGCCACAGCATCTAGGTATATCTTGTTCCTTTTATTGGGCTTCTATACTACTAATACCACCGTAGCTACCGCATACTTGGTAACTCTTTTTTTTTTTTTTNTTTTTTTTTTTTCTCTTTCTCTTCGCATGGAGATTTCGAGAGCTTTTGTTTCCTCCCTCGCCCAAGCATACGCGCTATTGTCTATGCAGCCGCTGGGGATGGGGTCTCCGTTACGGCCGTGAGGGGTATTATGTTGTAGGGATGATGCTTTGTGGTGAATGAGGGGCTACGCCATGTTTGCGTAGGCGCATCAGCTCTTCAAAAACCGTGCCCCTCGCTGGCTAACAACAGCCAAAGAGTGAGTAGCTCTTTCGCCTAATGCATTGCGAATCTACCATCTAGTGATTACGCGACCATATGAAGGCCTGGCTCACTCAACACCATCCCGAAACCGGCCCCTCTCCTGCTTGGTCCATAGTACATAAAGCCGAGTAGCATTCCTCGCGGTCTTTTTGCACCGGCAAACACATTCATCACATCGGAACGTGGGAACATTAGCTACATAGGAACGTGGGAACATTAACCACATAGAATTATGGCGACCAACCCAACATGCTGGACCTAAGCAAAGCAAAGCAGCGACGCTCCGTCACGGCAGCCATCCACTGTGCTGTCTCCATGTATGGCTGGCTCGTCGACTTTGACCATTCTCTTTGTATGCGGCCGGCCGTCTGACCTGTCACCCACCTTGTCCGGCGCCCCTACCTCACTAGGTTCTGCTTCCTTGATGCCGTACCATCGTGTCTCAGCTGTTGAAGTTCACGGATGCTACCTTCACTACTGCGGCTAATTTTTGCAAGGGCGGGACAGGAAGGATAAGGGGAGGAGGGGATGGGCCAAAAAAAAAAAAAAAAAAAGAAAAGAAAAGAAAAAAAGAAAGAGAGAGAGAGATAGAAAGAAGACTCGAGCCTTCCGTTGATCGACTTCTTTTTTCTCTCTCGGCTGCGTTTGTATTCCGAACCCTGTCTTTGTCCAACCCCGAAACTGGAACCTTTGAATCACAAGATCCCCGCCGTTGCTGCACTGGTCGTCGACAGGCGGCTTCTGCGCTAATAGTTGATTTTTCTGCTCTTCCCACCCTTGCATCAATATTTGCCCAAATCACGGTCGCTGGCCAATTTTTTCCAAGTGGCTTTTTTTCATAAATTGACAAATAATTCTCTTGATGCACGTTTTAACTAAGATGTATTCTGGCGAATATACTCCGTTATTATCTACGGCTTTTTACTAACCTGCGTATCAAAGATATTTATGAGCCGTAGGCAGCCTCGTATCTGAAAGAAATCTCTGGCCAGAGCTAGATATGGACATACCCCTCTCACCCGTTTCACTCCTTACCAGGACAAGGCATGATAGAGTAGATTAAACTGCAGGCTGCTCAAAAGCCTCTTCTTTGCTTTATTTTCGCTAGTGAAAAGGCTCGCGCCGTATGCTATTCTTGAGACCGCTCCAATCCAAGTCGCACCCCGTATTCATTGATTGTCGCCACGACACTAGCGATTGGCTAATCCGCCGAACATTGACTGAAAACGCCCCTAGCATAGACAAATGCACATGCAAGGTTGGCCGTTGAATTAGTGATTGGGCAGCGGCGCCATGCTTGACGTGAGCCATTCCTTAGTTATCTAGCGAGAGGACTCGCCAGTATGTTGTATGCTAAGCGGATGCTGTCTTCCCTCCCCATGATGTTGCATCACCTAAGCCCATGAATCAATCAAGCTGCAATCGCACCTTCCGTCGGGAATATTTTGCACTGGGCAGATTGTCGCTGTGGAGAATGGCCGTCGTCCCCCTTGATGCACATGGCCTTGTCACATCGCTTGGCTTTTTTGCTTCTGGTACCAAAACCCGTAGCGAAACCCAACCGCATTTCGCCACCTCTATCACACAGCAAACGTTGCAGCATGACTGCAGCAGCTTGCCTTAGCCCTTTTCTCTGTATTTATTTCTTTCTCTCTCTCTCTCCCTATATCCAGCGGCCAAGACTCTTTGTTGGCGCGACTTGTTCGCGTTATCTCCTCTTCGGGGATAAAAAGGAAGAAGAAGAGGAAGAAGAGAATATGTATTTCGTATATCATCGTATGCTTGTCGCTTTCAATTTCGAGTGAATTTAGTTGTTCTAGTGATTCGACTGTTAAAAGTGACTTAGGTGACAACTCAGCTAGAAATCTTCGAAAGCAATGCCTTTTGTGCCATATACTTGCACCAATTTTTTTTTTAAATTGCTTAGATGTGCGTGAAGCTGCATCTTGCTTGTCGCCCTCTCTCCAAGGCTGCGCAAAAAAAAAAAAAAAAAAAAAAAAAAAAAAAAAAAANAAAAAAAAAAAAAAAAAAAAAAAGGGGGGAGGGGGGTGGAAAATAAAAAGTTCAGACTTTTTTTGGCAGTCGATATTTTCCTCCCACAAGCTCCAGTTCGCCCTCTGCAATCTTCTTGCCGAGAAACTCTTGTAGTTCTTCGTTACTCCATGGGCAGCCATCGGCAATGAGCATTTTCATCATCATGGCGATCTGTCCAAGGGGCATTGCTGGGCTCGAGTTGGTCAACATGCCGACGATGAATTGCCAGTAGATGATCCTCTGCTCCCTCTCCTTTGTATCCATGCCCTTCGATTTCTTTGGTGATGGTTGTTCGTTGATATACATCTCGACGTCCAGACCATCTTCATCCTCCATCAGGTCATCATCTTTCTGCTCGCTCTCAGCAGGCGACTCTAGCACCACGTACGTCTTGTTTCCGACATCGTGTAGGACTCGCTGGGCCACCCAGAACTTGAGAGCGCTCTCCAGAAGATCTTCATCAATCATGAGCTTCTCCCATAGTTCATTAAAGGTCCGCTGGACCGGGCCGGCCGCGCCGGAACTGTCGTCATCGTTATGAAACTCGTAAATGACGGCCGCCTCGTGTGTCTTGCAGTCCAACTCGATGAATCTATCATCAAAGTCTAGCTTAACCGTTGCAGACCCCAAGTGGTCCAACCAATTAAGCTTTCGCGAAGACTTGAGTTGCTCAAAGCCCTTTTCGTACTTCTTTTGGACTTCCACGACCGGTACGGGAACGGTAAACGGATCTTTGGGCAAACTAGGCCAAAAGAGACGAGATAAAATCTTTGAATGGTATGAGAGTGAGTTTGCCTCTAATTCACCATCGTTCTTCAAGTTTCGCCGAAGGACTGTATCGACGCGCTTGGAATCCACAATGTCACGTATCATCACATCGCAGTTCTGCAGAGCTGCCTCTCCAAACCGCTTCTTTAGCAGGCCGAGGACCTTGATCTCTTGTTGAAAGCTAGCCTGCTTGGAGAGCAGCCGCTCCGCAACAATGGCCTGGAACTCTTTGATGAAGACATCCTGTAAGCCGAGAGCGCTTATCAACGTGCCTATTATGTCCTCGTTCTTGGGCCGCTTGTAGTTGACGCCTGCATCCACGGGGTCCGGGACCCAAGTCATGTCATTCCAGTCAAGATCTTCGTCGTCAGGGCGGCCTTGGTGCTGTTGTGACGTTTCATTGAGAATGATGGCAAGCTCCACCAGCTTCCCCTTGTTCTCATCAGGATTTGCACTATTTGGATTAGCTAGCAATCCAGTGACAACAATGCGAATGGCATCGTCTCTATTCCACAAGCATAGTTTCAGCGCAGGCACAACTCTATCAAGCAGGACTTTGGAGTGATCTAGAGCATGGAATGTCCGGATCATGGAGATGTAGGTTTGCAAAATATCGAGTGTGGAGCGGCCGGGGTGTAATAGTCTTGCCTGGAGAGAGGCCGAAAAAGCATCAGTGAGATGAAGACGGCGTTGGGGCGTAGTCACCGAGGCTGCCAAGTCATCGAGACCACCTTTACTATCCGGCCAGTGTAGGACAATGTCAAAGAGCTCATGCATCCGCAGTGTGGCGAGCCGTCCGATGGCTACGTCTCTCCACCGCTCTACATCGTTCCAGGCCACTTGGCTACCAAGACGGCCAAGGACTTCCACCGCCAGTCGACTATAGTGATTTTCAACCCATTCGCGCAGATGATTCAGGCAAAGGGGGCCGGTTATTGCCCGGGCATTACGCCGACCATCAGACACCTTCCAAACCTTGCTATAGGAATCCCTGATGAAGTCTTGCATGCAGGCATCCATTATTTCAGCAAAGAGAACTTGAAACTTGTCACCGCCCAATCCAACGTTTTGCAAGGATTCAAGGAGGGCGAAAAGTTCACCACGTGCCTTGGGAACATTGGCTCCCCGGCTCCATCCCGGCCCAAGGCCGCTGCCGCGACTTCCAGAGCCAAGTATTATGCGCAAATTATGATGGAGAACACTACGAAGCACAGTGATTAGCTCGGGAGTCCATGAGTTGCCAACAATCGCGTGCATGTCTCTCTTGAACTTGGCCATGGCTGCCTCTGAAGCAGAAGTGTCATCGCGGAAACCCCTAATGATGAGCGTCAGGCCGAAAAGATACTGCCTATGCGCGGCCTCAAGGGTGCCTATGATGCTGCGGAGAACCTGAGAATGGCCCCCCTGATGGCTCGAGGTACATGCGGCAAGCAGAGGGAGCACCTGATGGAGGAAGTGCTGACGGGCTTGTCGAGAATGCCATAACAAGATGTCCTCAACATGAGTAGCTTGTGGCACAGTAGCAGTAGGATCCAAGACGAGGGATACGGAATCGTAGAAAGTGACATCGAGATCCTGCGATTCAGGGGCAGGGGCACCGAAGGAATCCTCGACGGCCACAGAGGTAGGCAGTTGAATGCGTGAGGTGACTACATGCCAGGCATGGTCCCACCGTAACTGGTCGCTCACGCCAGGAGCATCAGTAGCAACAGAAGTAGCGGAAACCTGTTGCGTAGAATGGTTGCCACGCGTTCGTCGACCAGTGACGGCTGCAGAGCCGTGAGCACTGCCTGAGCTATGGCTGGCAGCGTGCCTTTTTGGACGCAACGATGATGATGACGATGACGATGACGACGTCGATGCTGGCGCTGGCCCGTACGAGCTCGGGATTGGCTCACCGGCTACACCAACGGCTGAAGCCAGAGAAGCCGGCTGCGAGGAATCAGGTGGGAAGACAGAGCGAAAGATGTTCTCTTTCCGAGTGCGGACTCTAGCGGCCGTGGTAGTGGCCATGATTGATCGACACCATGAAAACCCCAGGCTCAAGAACAGGCTCAAGAACAGGCACAGACAGGCCCAGGCACAGGCACAGGCACACAGTTAGTTGCTGGATCTGTTGTCAGCCAATGCGGTGCTTTGCTGCGCGGCCTGGAACTTGCGGGCGGAGTCAGCAGACAAGGCTCAGATTTGCCGCCAAACCCGTGCCGGCCATCACTCGGAGGACTTCCTGGGCAGCAAACAGAAAAAACAAGCAGGCTGTGAAATGGACCGTCTTTGCCCGAGGGCGAGGCTGCTTCTCGGGCTTGTCTTGGCCGTCGTAAATAGGCGAGTGGGGTGGAAGAGGTAGAAAAATATCACAATAAACAAAGCAAGACGTGGTGATGCTGCGGGGGGTGGATGCGCGGCCTGTGGTTGGCTGATCAGCGCATGGCCCCGTCCAGTGTACCTTTGTCCATCTAAGGGACGGGCCACGGAGTTCGGGTGACGGAGGTACGGAGCAAATGGCCCCAGATACGAGCACCACAAGGTAGCTTGCCCGAAACGCGACCAGACGCAACCAAGACTCGGCTAAAATCAGGCCATATTTCTTTAAGCTATGGGGCCCCTCCAAGCCTCGGACAGCGGCTCAGTCCCGCTGCAGTAAGCGACATGCAGCGCTTAACTGCGCTAAGCGACGCATCCCAACGGAGGAGAGTAGACGCAGCAGATTGGCGGTGCGTCTTTGTCTGCCACCCCCCCAACTGACAACCGGGAACCTAGGTCAGCCACTACGAGTTAAGTAAGCCGTGGGTGCACATGTCAATGCCCAGGTAGGCACACATTGTCATTGTCGGCCTACTTGTTGTATACGAGTTTAGCTTTTTTTGTTTAAAAAAAAAAAGAAAAGAAAANAAAAAAAAAAAAATCGCGTGTTAATGATATATGGAAAATGATGTTGAGGCACGGAGGAGAATGAACAGGTATCTATGCAATACAGCAATACAGCAGGAAAGGGGGCTGACAACTAAATGGAGATGTGCAAAGGGGAGCGTGCCACAGTTGAAGATAAAGACATCCCCACGGCGGGAGAACAGCTCACCAGTTAGCCGAATCAATAAAGAATTAGCCATCTTCATATGGTACGTTAACTTGAGTTATGCCAAGGCCCCTTGCTCCCTCAGCAATTTAGCAGTTTAACCATCTGCTCAGCCTCTGGTTATGAATGATGCTTGTCTGCACCCATGGAAGAGTACGCTTGTAGCTCACGCACTAGTACGCAGCATCCATCCAAAAAGATCAGATGAGATGGGCCATGACATAGCAAACACGGCATTCGCAACAATGATGCCTGTAAGCTGATTAATACATACATAGGATGTTGAGATGGCAAGAGAAAGGGATAGGGAGCGCAAAGTTCGGCAATCGAGAGCCGACCAACAGCAGTTTGGCCATAGCCGACTAAATGCCAAGACTTTAACTATCCAGCCTATTAGTGAGTCATTGTTCAGAAAGGGTAGAAAAAGCAAGAAAATAAATGAAAGTAAGAAGTGTATTGCTTACCCTGGCAATGCGGGAAAAAAAACAAAGAAGGTCAAAGAAAAGAGGCGCTGGCGAGCTTCCTTGCTGCGATCGCTGCCAGACCTACAGCGCCTCCAAGTTGTGACAGCACGTAACTATGTATCAATGCGAGATATGCGAGGTAAGCTTGCTGCTTCTCCTCACGCTAGTAGCGTAAGAAACACGAGCTATGCGTGATACAGCCTCGCTCTCGTTCGGAGCGCCGGACCTGCCTATACCTACTCATCCGCTTTTCGGGACAAGTCTCGGGGCACTTTCGGCCGGAGATGTCAGCATTCTCGGGCCCGGGAGTGGCCCATCATCACTTCTTGGCTGCTGGTGGGTACCGCCGTCCCAAGCCTCAGTGGGCTGTTTGTGTATACTTATACGAGTATAGGTTAGTGGTAGTAGTATACCTGGTGGTAGGCAGCTATCGTGTGCAGGCAGAGAGGAGGTACGTACCGGATTTCGCCCAAAAGTGCCTCCGATGCCCATGATGGCTGCTGTGTAGCAGTGGATGCAGGGATGAGACGGGTGTGTGTTGTCCCGTGCAGGACCACGCGCGAGTGCGTATTGGTAGTAGGATACGCTGATAGTGCTGCTAGTCGTATTGCTAATACAAGTCGTCGCACACTCACAGTTCGCGGCTCGTGGCTCGTGGTTCGCGCTCTAGTTCGAAACCAGCGACGAGTGAATGCCCCAGTCGCGCGACAGGCCAGCGACAGCCGTAGTGCCTGATTGTGCATCCCTGACCTGGTTGTGTCGTCAGGGGTCTCGCCCCCATCAAACAGAGTGACCCAAAGGTCCAGTATCCTAGGACAGAGCTAGAGCCCCGGAACGCCAAGTAAAATTTAATGTTGCGTTGAGATGCCTGCTACTGGCCTTGATTGCGGAACCCCCCAGTGGCTCTTCCGTACGCACTCTCATCTGGCGTTCGCTACTCGCGTCTTTTTGTCTCCGAGTAGCATAGCTTCTAAGTTGTACTATACTTGTATAGTTGCAGTATTGTACGTTGGTGTGGCGATCCATGATATATGATGCTCTCATATTTCCAAAACATGTGTGTGCCGCTTGCCTCCCTGCCCCTTGACGAGCTCACCCTTGTCAAGGTTAATCAAATGCTTTCTCGGAAAGAGCACTGCGGTTGCCTCCCAAGCTTGCTTCAGACCTCTTGTTTAGCGTGAAGCCACACACGTTCTGCTCACGACGACGTCGCACCCCACTCGGAACGTTGTTCTCCACTGGCGAGTACACGGCCCCCAATATGCTTGGAAAAGACTCATCTAGCCCTACCTGCAAGAGCAACGAGAGGGGCGAGCAATCGCTCTTTCTAATGGTTATTGCTGAGCGGTTAGAGCGTGATTCGTACACTAGGCCCAGGTAATATACGGTTAGCTTGGCAGCATGCCTGTTTTTTTTTTTTTTTTCTGGTTGAAAAGAAAAAGGAGGGGAGGGGTATCAGGGGTGGTGGAAGAACAAAAATGGTAGAAAGAGGGTTGGAAAGTAAAAAGAAAAGAAACAAGCAGGTTGAAACTATTCAACTAGCCATAGGTGTGGCAAAGACTGATGGACAAGATACTACCTAAGCCGCGATCTTTCATCCCATTCGGCACCAATTATCGCGACCTCTCGCTCTTTTCGTTCTATTGTCTCGGCATATCTGGTGCAGGGCTAGTTACGGTAAGTAACCAAGCCGCGCAACTTGAGTTGGACTGGGTTGCTCCGTACGGAGCAGAAACCAGCGATTTGGAATGCTGGATATAAGTCCGTCAATTGTCCCACTTTCCGGACCGCTTGCTGGGTCTGGTATGAGCCGTCTTCAAAAAATCATCATGGTCCCCCAGCACCAGTAGTGCGGCTCGCACAGAAGCATCATCCCCAATGCCGTACGTAGTCGTCCAGGTGCAGTATACCGACGGAGTTGGCACCCGCGGGTGATCTACCCTGGCCATTGCTGCTCTCGTGGCGATTCTCCCTTGTCGCAGTGCCATGAAGGAGAAAAATTACCAGGAAGGGGTGTCGAATGGAGCCCTACAGGGCTGGCGGGTGCGGAGTAGCCACGTTCATCCACTTATGCAACCTTCTAGCGGATACAGCGATATCGAAGACGTGCCTGTATCCAAGTAGGAGGTATGCAGCTGCAGGGGCGTGGCTCTTCATTAAGAGCACATGCTCTGCGCCCCACCCCTAGCAATGTTCGCTAGTCGTTCTTCCGGTCTTCTCGGGCACCTGCCGTTGATACACCCCCCTTCCTGTCTCTTGATTTTTTTCCTGGTGCTTTTCTTTTTGTCTCTCATCTTCAAGGGCCTTTTTTTTAAGTTGTTGCAAATTTCCACTGCCACGCCCCTTCTAGCTTTCATCACTCTTGGTAGCCAAATTTACAGGACCATCTATACGTCTCATCCCAAGGCCTGGTCCCTAATTTTTTTTTTCTTCTCTTCTGGGGGAAATCAATGGCTTGGACATGGCCATGGTCCCCTGTTCAAAAGCAAATCACACAACGCACAGACGTTCTCCGTACTAGATAGTATAGGTAGCAATACCCAGAAGAGCATTACAAATGGCCTCTTTGATGCCTTGTATTAACTGCATGGAACGCACGAAAACTACCTTGAATTGCCTTGTTCAACTGCTAGGATGTTTCATGTCCCGTCGTCGCACGCAATGCACTGTCAATGTTGGCCGTCTCGTGATGTGGGTTGGAGAAGTCTTCCCCTTTGCCAGGTTGTTTTTACTTTGCCAACATTAGTAGGTAGGGGAACATACTATGACCCTGAGACAACTACCTTACCTACAACAACTAGATACTAGGTACTCCATACTGATCCATCATCTCAAGATAGCGTCCAAGTGCCTGAGCGCTCAACCAAGTGCCGTGCGCCACCACTGGGCCACGGGCTATGCTGGCTACCTTGAAAGCATTATCGGCTAAACCCAACCTCTTGGTCAATCGCCTACTTATGGGTACTATGTGCTGTTGATCTCCCTGACATCTCTCCTGACTGTGCATATTCGCGATGGATGAGCTTTATTTTCTTTATTTAGCAGCGAGCGAGGGGCAGGGACTCGATTTCACTTACACCAGCTCAAGACCGCCTATTCACAACGAGGCTATGTCGCGTCTCAGAGCTAAACCCGAGAGTCTGCCCTGTGGGCGCTCTAGCCTGTCGGATGGCTGTCGATCACTGGCCCTATCGTATAACTGTGCCACTCGACGACACCCGATCATTCTGTCCAGCCAGAGGTGCCCACACCCACACCATCCAGGGCTCGCTCCCGTCCGTCCCCATCCCCATGCTCGTGCTAGACGGGTACGTGCTTTTAAGCTGCACGCCGGCGCCAGCCACAGGTATAATGGCATCATCAGGGTACCACTGAGGCGTCTTTAGCCCAAGCTAAGCTTGCTAAGGTCTTGAAGGTGCTTGAGCATGGGTTTGTACTGCTCTTCTGCTGAGCAGCCTAACTAAACGACGCATCCATGCCAGCCAGCATAAAGTTCGCGGTAGCAAATAATAAAAACATCAAATTACACCACGTGGCTATATCTTTTCCTTTCAACTGCATCGCTCTCCTTTTATTTTGCGTCTTTTCCATGCTTCGTAGTGTGGTTTTCCTTTTATCCCATGCCCTCCATCCCATCTCATTCCCATCCTCTCCCCTAGTAATTCACTAGCAGAGCATTGGTCTAGTAACGATTTTCTCCTCGAATGGGCTCCCAATTTTAGCTAAGACCTTCTCGAACCTATTTCACGCGTGGTTAGATGTAAGAGCGTCATACGCTTACCGTACCCGAGAAAGTCCTACGAAAATCAGTACTGGAGTAAGTACAAGGTACCTCATTGCTAGGCACAAAAGACCTCTGTCCTAGGTCCTAGGTCCTAGCGCTATATAGCGCGAGAGCGAGGCTCGGACTTAATAATAGTGAGAAAATCGCGACTGCAAGCGCATGGGTTATGCGGCATATGGGGTTCCAGATTGCATTGGAGATAAGGGATAATGTCCGTTTTTTTCCCTATCTTTTTTTTTTTTCTTTTTCTTATATGAACTGGGGACCAGGATAAGTTACGTACCTAGTAGGTACGTTGCCCATTATAGGCTGCATAGGTGCTTCGTGCAAACACTTGTTTCCAAACCCAAATTGCAACGTTGTTGTTCCAGAATAGCTTTGTATTGGCATCCAGATACTACTGGATGCACCAGAGAACAGCTGCAATCATATCTTCATTACACAATTACACACACATACAAGACAGAATTACTCTTAGCTCAGCAATGCCACCGTATCATCGTATTTGCTGCCCTATAAGAGGCATGAATCGGCGAAGCGATTGAGTAGAAAATAGTTAATCAAGATACAAAAGAAACAACCAAAAAAAAGGCATCCACAAAAAAAGCCAAGTTCCTTCGCAACGGTGCGGACGGACCATTCCGTCTATATCCCTCTAGTTTGCGTGCTCTAAAAATGATCCCGTTTCTCAGACACCCTGGGTATCATTGTTCCCATGGTCTCTCGATGTTTGCCCGACACTTTAACCCGTAATTCATAATCCATCCATTTAACACCTTAAGATATACCCGACAATTGATGGGGGAAAAAATAATATTATACAAAGCCGCAATCCGAAAGTTGAAAAGAAGAATTAGAAAAATAAAAAGCGTAAAATGGGTAGTCGCAGTCGAGAGGCCCCATCACCAACGATATGTCCGCGAATCATCGCTGTGACACCAGAAACCTCCATTCATCTAGGATGAAATGGCAGCTTCTCAATACGGGAAGCGATTTGGTGCCGCTTCCCTCCTCGTAGGCTATAGCGAATGAATACCCGGATTCGATGCGAAGCTTTATTGAAATAAGAATTCTAAGTGTTTCGTCGCTGCTTGCACTTGTCGTGTAGAAGATGGCCGTTTCGCGCCGTAGTTCTTGTGAATTCAGCGCCGCAGTTGGGGCAAGTGGCCTTGGCTGCTTGGCCAGACTTTTCTCGCTGGTGTCGGAGGAGGTTGCTAAAGGTCGAAAATTGCCTGCCGTTGCAGCCATGCTCCCAGCAACGGGGCTTTGGGCGGTTCTGTACCACTCGGACGTGGCCGGAGCTGTCTTGGCTGGTAGAGCTACCGTTGCTACCAGCGCTGCCACCTCCTTGTATGGCGGGCATACGGTACATCATACCGCTGTCGTGACCCGCAGGTTGAATGGATGGGTGGGAGAGGCTATCATGCTCATGTTAGACGACTAACTTACACGAGGTCAACTGCTGTCAATGCTGGGGCATACCTGTATGGGCTTGATGAAGGGTAATTGGCTGGGTAGTCCATGGACATGGGGTAGTTTGATTGCCTGTTTAGCGTCAAACGTCAGCAACTATCTTGAGAGAGAACTAGTGCGTATTTTTTTTTTTTTTCAGACTGCTACTTACAGTGGCTGTTGGTATGAAGGAGCGTATGCCGGCTCTTGCAGGTGAGGGCTGAAAGGAGGGAGATACGATGGCTCGTGAATTGAGGGAGCTGGCTCGCTCAGAAGGGAGATGGGCTGTGGAGCCGTGGTGTAAACAGGAAGAGACATGGGACTGGTGACATCCGACATTGTCATTGGTGGTGAGCCCATGTATGAGCTGCTGCTGCTGCTGCCGGCCCTGATTCGCGTAGTAATCCTCTCGCCCCTACGAGCTCTATCTCGCTGCTTTTTCAGTTCTCGCTGCTCAGGGGTGAGCATGCTCCTGGATGGGCTAGGGGGAAGCATCTTTGGTAGACTCTGAGGAGAGACACTGGATTCAGATACAGGCGGGAGAATTGGCGAGTATTCTTGTGTCATCATAGCGGGTACAGAGTTGCTAGATTCAAACATTCCTACAAGAAGGAGAGGGAGTTAGTGAGCGTGTCCTCGACTGTCTAGCCCAACACTTGTAGCCATCTTACCTTGCCAAGAAAATGGGGTCCTAGATCCCATGCTGAAGCTCGGGTCAAACTGAATGGCGACGGCACTGAGAAACTTGATCAGTTTCAGTCCCAATAGATAAGAGATATACCGAGTATTCTACCTCATGCTTGCAGATAAGATAATAGTCCAAAGTCTGAGGCTGAGAGAGCTATGGAGAAATCTTCTTGCTCAAGCAAACAAGAAGGTTGGAAGGTAGGTAGGAGAGAAAAGGGAGGACGAGCTGAGAATTGGTCCAGTTTTATAAAGCCAGGACTTAAGTGAGACAGAGTAAGGCTGAAGACGCTTTGGGTGTGTTCACATAAGCAGCAGGCTGCGGTGGCGTAGGCTGTGACACGCAGAATGAGGGTGGGAAGCACGAGAAAATATGATGACTCCCACTTAGAATTGGAGAAGGCTCCGAAGGCAGGCGTTTTACTCAGTTGCTGACCTTGCCGATTGTGAGTGCGTCGGTCGAGTGGGAGGAGAGGAGAGGGGAAGCCGCCTTATAAGCGATGGAGATTTGTTTGGGAGGGGGGCTTTTCATACAGTAAAAGAGGTGGAGATGGTCTTGGAGGTTGAGATACTCGAGAACAAGACGGCAAATAGGGGAGAATGTGCCTTCCTTATAGCTCTAGTCTCTCGTCGTGCTGGTACGGGAGAGGTTTAAGGATGGCTCGAATAAGAAGTCTATCTTTGGAAGAAACGATCTGAGGCTCGGGTGATGGTTGTTCTAGCAAGGTCGAGACGGCGGCTTATATGAACGAAGCGCCATAGTGGCAGCACGAGAGGGTGGAGATGATGGCTGGTCCCCAGTTGGCCCTTGTGCATGACGAAGGGGGCCCTGCACCCATCCAGACAAGATTCAAGGTACGTCTTCATGGCTGAGCGAACTAGTTCCAAGGCGTGCTGCTGCCGGGATGGATGTCAACAGAACGCAAGGTACGACTTTGCGTGTAAGGACAGCGATGGGGGAGGGAGTGGGCGAGGATGGGAGGAGTGAGGCCAGAAAGAACGGCATGGGAGGCGTGGGCGCAGGCCATGGGCGTCGCTGGTCTGCAGCTCTTGGCCTGAGGCCGTATGCAAAGCAGCGGGGCGGTGCTTGGCTATACATGCTTGTATGCACCAAGCGCGGCGGGCCAGGGAGCTGCCGGGCCTGGCCAAGGCGCGATATGCGGCTATGCAGACATCTGGGCTGGCATATCGCATACCATTGCCTGGTCTGGAGGGATGCTCGCTACTGGAGCAGATTGCAGATGGGAGGAACCAGCTCAAGCGTCAGTCTCTGGGGCGTCTGCGTGGGCGTCTGCGTGGGCGAGTGGGCAGGGGAGTGGGGCTAGGCGCCGAGCCTTGGGGCCCCTCTGTAGACGGCTAGGCGGCGTGGGGTCCAGCTCATCTGCATTGTGGATGTTGGTTTGGTGATGAAGAAAATTGGTGGTGGGCGCGCTGACGGCTTGGCAGCGCCGTTGTGGCATCTAGTGCTAGGCTTTCAAGGCCTGCCCTACCAGATGCCTCTGCGGTGCCTGATTGGAACGGCGTCTTGGTGCCTGTGCGATGCCGGGGATAGGCGCGTCGCACAGCGCTACATAGACTTTGCTTTCGGACTTGGGCGTCGTGAGAATTGGGACCGGATCGGGTCTGGCGACAGGGCCAGCGCCTTCACTCGCCTTTGGCTTGGGGCGTCGGTATCTGGCCTATCCGCTGTTCCGACATCCCAGCAGCGTCTTGTTCGCATCGACAGGGGGTCCAAAGTCAAGTCGACGGGCTGTGACTCAAAGGCGCGGAGTTGGAGCTGGAGTCGCAGTTGGAGCATTTGGAGGCTCGAGTTGGGGGAGGACATGGGCTGGCAAGCCCTACCAGTGCTTGTTTGGAGGGCCTGCAGCCTGTCTCCTCTATCCCTCGCCACGGGGTTGCAAGTCCGCTCTGCGCAATCCAGGCGCAAATCCTGGTCGCTGTCTGTTTGTTGCATGAGCGATAGGCCAGTCCGCGCTGGGCGGACCCGAATGCACGTATGGAGCCCGAGCGAGCAGCAGCGCATCGACAGTTCGATGCCATCCAAACGGCGGTGCTTGCCGTCGGGGGCCATGGCAATAGCCGCTGCGCTACCTCGTGCACTAGTTGGCATGTGCGCTCTATGTCAATGCAGATATGCCATCTACCTATTTCATTGCTTCTAGCGACCTACCTAGGTAACCTTACATGCCTATACATGCAGCGCTTCGTACATGCAAGCAGTTCGCGCAAGGCTCGATGGAGGCACAGCACACGAGGGGAATGCGTTGCATGTTGTAGGCTGGCGATTCAGCTGCAACTTGGTACTACCTACTTGGTATACGCATCCACGCGGGCGTTTCCGCTGCTTGAAAAAGAGAAGAAAATAAAAATAAAATAAAATAAAATAAGAAGATGCCGGAGATACCTATTACCCAGCAGGGGGGGAAGAATAGAATGGAGGTTCTGATAGCACCCACGCCTTTGGCTGGCCTGTGGATCTGCCTATGCTGTTAATCACAACCATCTACAGTATGATGTGCCGCTTCTAATAACTTGACTGTGCAAAGTCACCAGCGAACCTATGAATACCAAGGATGGGTCACATACGGAGTATATCTCACCCTGAGTCAGGATCGGCAGATCACTTGGATCAATTGGGGGAGGGGCACCATATCTATGCTCCGTAAGTTTCGTAAGCCGGATGAAAAATGCATACCTACTGGCACGACTACTCTGTGCGGTCCCACCTTTTGACAGTCTTGAGCTGTTGTTGGTCTGTGTATTCACGCAAATGCTGCCGTGTTTCGGGGGTCGGCGGTAGAACTTTTGTAAGAGCGACCCGAGTTGTTGGCGCATTGCAGACTCTGCCGCCTTCACGGGGAGATTGGGGAGATTGGGGAGATTTCAAAGTCTGGAATTTGGTGATGCGACTCTACGTTGGCTCATCTCTGCTTCACGATGGGTGGAACTGCGCTTCCAGCACTACTCGCCGCGGGAGGTGCCCGGTAGGCCTATACAGATTGTAGGGGTCAGACGGGCAGACGAGACGCAGGGGCAGGGATATAAGTCCCATAGTACAGCACCACTCATTGAGCAGCGTTGGTTGCGTACCGTACGGCATGGAGAGTACATGTGCTCATAGCGAGTGATTGCTCGTACTTCGTATATCCATCAGACTGCGAGGCTAAGGGGGTGGGGGAAAGAGAGCTAGGGCGCTAGCCGAGCTCGCGATAGTACCAGAGCATGCACAGTATGCAGTATTATTAAGTCACTAACTGCGTGTAGGCATAGCAGGTACCTGAGGTAGCTCGACTGCTAACGCGGCGTACTGTAGTTGAGGTGGGTTCCTGTACCATCCACGCCTTTATATGTAAGGCGTGAGGATCGTAAGGCATGTCTCACTTGTCGCTGCGCCCACTTCCAAGCTCTTGGTGTTACGGAAGCGATGGGCTTCGGGACGCACCGCTTCTAGAAACAGCCACTATCCATAGGCCGAATCCTGCCAAAATAGAAGAGACAAAAAATAGGCAAGACACCTGGGTACTTTTGGCCGTCCAAGCGTCAAGGGAGAGAGAGGACGCAGCGGAGAGAAGATACAAGCTGCCCACAGCAGCAGCGCTACACAGGGCACTACTCTATGGCGCCCTGGACTGCGCTTTGAAATATACAACTGTGGCGTTGTTAGATGCCTGGGTATGTCGGCGCAAAGCGCCGAGGGAATACAACCCTGCTTTGGCTTAACGAACTACCTTCTGACTCTCGGCAAGTATATTTCAGGTATAGCAAGTGCAAACTCACCCTATAGCAGTAATATCTGCTCCGTAATACCTATACCTACTACCTACTACTGCTACCTACTAAGGTACCTACTACCTATACTTTGATACCTAGCAAAGACAATTCGCACCTCGTAAACCAGCCAATGAAAAGGCTTAGTCAACAAGCGCTTCAGCTCGCCAGCAGAGGGTACCTTGTAATTCGCCTTTCTTAACGTCGTCGTATTCAAGCCAATAGCGAGTCTGGCTCACAAGCGCACAACCCGCCAACAGACGCGATGCAGCCGGTCGACCACCCCTTGGTATCGGACACTTATCTTGATGAGCCAAGGAAACGGAACGACTACCGGAACATGTGGGCTCGGACACTGCCCAAAGGGGTCGGCAGCTTTAAGGGCCTGAGATACGTATTCCTTCCGCTTTGGGCAGTATGAAGCGCGAGGCCAGAGTTACATCTGTACTTGCCTCAAGTGGCCGATCCATCCTTGCCTGCATCTTGGCTAGGCGAGATGCACTGTCACTGTCGCTGTCACCCAAAACACCACAGGCCAATCTCCCGCTGTTTATTTTTATTCTGCTTTTTTTCATTCTGCCTTTATTTATCTGGCTGCCCCCCCATGACGGCTCTCGCTTCTCGCCCTTCGCTCGCAGCAGCCACTGCCATTGGTCCAAGTTACGATCCATCTACTCGAAACGGACCGGCGCCACTTTGTCGGGACCCCTCTGCGAACTCTGCCCTTCTAAAAATTCCCCAACTCGTGCTATGCTAACCCCATCTGCAGGCCCATCGGCGAACGCAGCCGCCGATTTGAGGCACAAGGCCACTTCAAGTGTATTCAGCTCTGCCTGTGGGTGTAGATCCAGTGCCAATCACACATCGCGATCGAGAAGGATTCTGGCAGTCGCACCACACTGCCACGGCCACCGTCAGCCCTGCGTCGGGGCAAGCCTAGAGTCGGCGTCTATTCAACCCAATGAGGCGACACACAGCTCGCCATCGTGCTCCCCGCCTTAGATTGTACCGTACCCGGACAGACGACAAAAGATCGTTGGTGGGCGGCGCCAGCCATAGCCCTCTGATCAACGGCTCGAAGCGGATGACTGGCTTTTGCGCGTGGCCCCCAATCGGAAGATGACATCGTCACATCGGATGGCCCCTCCCCTTTTTTTTTTTGACAATTTCACAGAGAAGTTTCCCTTCTGGCCGTTTTAGAAGCAGGAACTGGGGACTACTGTAGAGCGCCAGTCCCGATTCTTCTCGCCGCCCTTCCTTATGATTGATGTTTGTCGCATGCTAGCATCTACTATGCTGCTAGTGGTACTACAACTACTACAGTATTATTTGTGATATTATCAACCCATCCCGGTTATCCTTGGACTCTCACCTCGGCTGCTCGTATGTCTATCTCGAGCAGTTCGCGTTCTAGAGTAGAGCCAGACCAGGTGCCGGCGCTAGATGACGACAAGAGTAAGCAAGATCGAGATGGATTCGCCAATTCCTAAAGGCCACTGTTTGGTGGCTAAAGAGCTTGGTCCATTGACAGGGCTTAGTCTAAGGTGTGCATTAGAGCTAAATGTGATGTGCATCGGCACAAAAAAACGCCTTGTGAAGAACAGCTTGGTCAGTGCGGAAGACAGCACGTCGTCATGCCAATACGCATGCTTGATGCTGTTCAGATAGTCTTCTGGTTTAGCCAACACGCTCCGAAGAAACACGATGTGGCAAGTAAACCACCATGGTGTATTCTTGAAAGATGACGCAGCGGCTTGGCGGAAACAGTACCGCTAGTACTGTTGAATTTCCCAGGCTGACATCAAGTATTACTACAGTCAAGTTAACACGGAGCGACCGGACTGCCCCCTCTTGCACCACAGTATAAATTCTCGCATTTGCTGTTGGGCGATGATTTCGTTCATCCTAGCTCATCGCAGAGTCAATATTGGCTTCAAACATCGCCGTGCAGTGCGAGAATTTCTGCATTGTTGGCCCGTGGTTGCGTTCATCCTGGTCCACGAAAGAGTCAATTGTGACTTCGAATACCTACTAGGTATTACCTTACCAGGCAAAGGATTCAGGCATCTTACGAGCACTCTTGTCATAACCACAAAGAGTTTCAAAACTAAACAACCAATCAACAGGTTTCAATGCCCACTCTTTGCCAGCACAGCCAAGCCTATTATAATTGACTGGAGCTTTCTTCCTTGCTTTCCACGCTTGAGACAAATTAACAACCCCAGTAACAATCTTTTGGCTGCGCTTGAGGGGCTAGTAACTAAGATCCACAAGCATAAACAACAGCCCATTACAACAGGCTCAGCCTCCATCACCCATCGCGGAGAGGTCCGGCTGGCGTCACTTGGCTCCTTTCTAGTACAATTCCGGACTCTTGCGTCGCTGCTAGCAGGCCCGCTTTGCTATGGAGTATGCTGCTGGCGGTACATGCTTGTACTCCGTAGATACGGTGCACATGGCTCTGTCCCCCAAGGCGCTGACCCAGCGTCGAACCATACATACTATGTATATCTTGGGGTTACATTCGTCTCGAATATCGTTTATTTTTCGCTCCTTCCCTGTCATCTTGGCTTCCACTTGGCCTCTGCGCAACGGCTTATCCCATGCACGCCCGAATGGGAATTGTTGGCACTGTGTTTCATTCTAACAAATATGGTGTGGGGTTCATAGAAAACCACGTTTTTCGGTCCCGAGCGTCAGGTTATGCGCACCCATTGCTCTCCGATACGGACACTGTCACGAAGTCTCAAGGCCGGGACTCGCCTTTTTTTTTTCTCAAGCCAGGTCTCCCTGTAAGCATTAACTTTTTCATCTACTCATGGCAACAACTTCTGCATAATGGTAATCATTCAATTCCATCGTGCCATTGGGTGTTAAGGGACACGGTTTATACGCTGGCTCCAGTTTTAGTGTTGACAGGCAGTAGGCTAGACGCTCTTGCGACATTTTCTCTCGGCCAATGACCGCGGCATCAGGCTAGATCAAGGCAAAAACCCTTTTTGACAGGTTACCATATACACTGAGAGGACCAACAGCCCGTTACAGCAGAAAATGGCTTTGACAACAGATCCACAGCTAATCTGACCCGCAGAGAAACGTACATATCTATTAGGTCAGGCGGTACTTCTCCAACCTTTGCCAGTATCGGTTACTCGTATGCTGTATGAGGAGTTGGGTCAAGGGGACATGCCAAGGGGACATGTGAAATCCACCTTGAGATGGGGCAGCCCCAGTGTGGTTATCAACTCTGATCGACGACTAGGGGGACCCTGGTTCGGGCAAATGTCTCAGCACACGCCCTGCCTCCCCTATGTGCAAGTGCGTATAGTAGTACTAGCAGTATATGCATATTGCTTGTAGCACTACCGCTCACCCTCGTTTCCCTTTTTTTTTTTTTTTTTTTTTTGAGAACGTGCCACATGCAACATCATCTCGTGGACTCAACATACCCTTGCCCGGTTTCCATCCTTGTCATGGAGGGGGGGAACGACAAGTCGGCTGTCGCTTGCCACAGCATGACTGCTTTCTGTAGGTCGACGAAAAGGGTACATCTTGGTACTAAATAAGTTAGCACTTGAAAGAAGACAAGATTGTGGCAAAGCAAAAGCAAGGTAAAGGTTGATGGGAAAGCTCCTGGCTGTTGGCTGGTTTACGGAATTCTTCGTAACTCTGACCATACAGGCGTCATCATTATTTCTCGCTTCAATTTACTTGGGCCATGGGCGGGAAGAATAGAGAAGAGAAGAAGGATTGGTAATACTATAGCAGGGTAATGCACACTTACAAGGAATAGGTACTCCAGACAGAGCACCTTGACGGCGAATACCAGCATATGCAATTCTCCGCTCAAAGTAGCGGCAGGCTACTTTTTGCTGGCGGAGATTTTGGATTCTAGCCTAGTTCCGGAAGTCTGGGCCTCCGGCTGACATACATGCACAACCCTTCAGAGAGGATCGAGACACGGCCAACCAAAGACTCATCCATCGAACCAGTTATACCTTCAATTTCGAACGTCGAATGAGTTTCAGGGAGAATAATTTTACAAGTTCTATGATGCCGTCTTCCGACTGAGCGGCCATCAAGGTAAAAGTTGGTATGGACTAACGGAATTAGCGAATCCAGTGTTTCAGTGGGACGATGAGCCACCCTTCACTATACCACAAACGTACGAAGTTCCTCTCAGCCTTGTCGTTGTATTGCCTTTGGACTCGTCTATCCGTTTATCCTTTCTAGCATTTCTCCGAAAGGGGGCGTTAATCGCAATGGTAGCAGCAATCACACCAAGACAGCAACTGCTCTGTGCAGAATCCAGGCCTAGCGCTACTGTACTACTGATGAACTGCCAGCAAGTAGTAGCAGTGCTACACATTGGGTCAGAGCAACTCAGGCTTCAGCTCGTACCACTTCCTGGAGCTCGAAACACAGATCTTATTGCCGCTAGATTGGGCACCTGTCTCCGCGCGCCTGCCCACTCCATCGAATGGACATCATGGAGGAAGAAGGGTTATGCAAGGAAGAGGTAAGTTTGTAGCATCTGTGGGCCAGAATATAAGAATGTGCCCCCCCTCCAAAAGCGCAAGATAACATGACATGAGATGCTCGGGCCCGAAGCAGGCTAGAGGGCACGGCAACCGGGTCTCTGGAGATCGCGCGTGGCTGTCAACACTTGGATACTATGTATGTGGACAAAGCATCGACCATAGACGGATGCAAGGGTTTTGATGCGACTCGACGCTGGTAAAACGACGGCCAACAAGAGTTTGATGTTGGATAGAATGACCAGTCAGGAGCTCTCGTCTGAGCTAGAGATTGGACAGTCCGGGGTGCTACCGCCGGTATGCCTCACTTTTTTTAGGTGGTTCGCATGCCAGCGCATAACAAAGCAACCGCCTCTATCGCCAACGTGAAGCCAGGTGAGTGGATGGGTAAACGCCAACAGCCCCCTCCCACTTCCTATCCTTGGGGCGGGTATCATTCCCGGCGTCTGCCTGGGACCGATGCACTGGATAGGTAAAAGGCTAACCCAGGGCTGGCAAGCAATCCTACATATACTACTGCTAGTAGTAGTAATAGATTATGGTACAGTATGCCTCGCTCTTATGAATACGACGGCGCCAAATCGCTGCGAAAGAAACCCCACTACACCTCAGTTCCGTAGATGCTAGACACCTAGTCGCCATGAGTTCACTGCCTCTCCAATCTCGGCCCCAGCTTGCAATTGCTTACAAGTATGCACTTACGGAGTACGGAGTATACATAAACGCACCGCCATATGGAGCACCGCTTCGCCTTCCTTGCTAGTACTCATACTCTAAACAGGACGGTGTCTCTAGCACTCGCTTCCTCGCCTCAATGGCTATAGGCTGATTACAGGAAAGGATTTTGGTCAAATGTAAAACCGCATATCATTTTCAAAATAGTAGCAATGGCATTTACAAGGGTAACTGACAACCGCTTAAACTTTCGGAGCACTCACTCACGTCATACCTTTATTACCTAACTACGAACTCAAGCTTACAACGTCTTAGGATTCCATCATCCAGGTACGAAGCACCGAAAGAGGAAAAAAATTAAGAAGGGAGAGTACTTAGGATTTAGCATAGTGCCAAGAAAGAATCGTCTAAGATATTGGTAATGGAGCGTGCCGTTATGATGCCATAGGAAAGAAGGGCTTTTTTTTAACCAATGCCGAAGAATTTCGGGTTCTTCTTTTCCCACGGCTGGCGTCAGCTAAAGTCTTCTTTCCCTTCTTAGTTTTCAGTTTCCTTCTTCTCTTCGCCATGTGGGGAGGCGGACAAAGGGACAAAGTATGCATTACTACCAACAACGGCAATAGTACGTATCTATACGGACTACTATACTCGTACCCGCAATCCATTAGTTGTTGACTGTGAAGTATACAAGCAGTCCAGTCTCAAAAACTGGAGACTCAAAGATGGAGCCGGCGTCCCCTGCAGCACATAATAAGAGTGAATCGGGCTGGAAGTGGGAGACAGAGTGTGACGGTGAAGTTACATTTTACGCAAGCGGCGGTGGCCATTGCTATCTGTTTATACGAACAGAAGCACAATGGCCAGCTGCGAGCTTTCAGAAGTGCTTACCGGCGCAGAATGAGTACGAATGTGTGGAAGAAAAGACGGCTGCAGCTTACTGGTACCGTGCTCTGCACTACAAGTGGTAGGTACAAGTAGGTATACGAACAGAGGAAAGGTCTGAGACAGGGGAGACAGGGCCTTCGGGGATCCAGGAAGCAGGGGGGGTGCAAATATCGCCGCAACCCTTGGCGCGAGGCGTGAGGTGTGAGGCGTGAGGTGAGCGACTAAGCGGCAACCACGGCTATATGAATACCATCTAGATTGATGCATGGGCCCCAGATGAGCCGTCCCAAAGTGTTAAGCTTATATGCAGCTACGCGGTATGCATCCCGGGGTGGCACGAAGCTTCTTTGCTTCGTTTTCGTGTGCGTCCCAAAGAGGAAATGACCGAGTTGAAAGACTCACACTCGGTCTCGGTCTCGGGAGCCTGGGAAATGAGGGCAGCGATTACGAAACGACGACGTACTTGCACAGGTGGACGAGGCTGCGTCGCGTCCGAGCTTTCGGAGACAGAAGGAAAAAGAAGAGGAAAAGAGGGCGAGGAGGACAAGACGCAGCCGGAGTGCAGCTGGAACAACATAACAGCCTGTGACTCGGACGGCCAAATCTGCTGAGAAAGGGCCGAATGCACAAGCAAGCAATAAGATTTCTCGGTCTGCTTGCTTTTTGCGCCAGAGTACAGCACAGTATACCAGCCAGTTACTACAGGTACGGCACAGCAGCTTATGCAGGCCCCGGCCAAGCCAAGGGGGGGGCAGCTCTTGGGAAAAAGGTGAGGCGATCCGATTCGACCCATTGGACTGTCTCATTTGTCATAGCCTTGGAGATGGAAAACCCGACACTTTTGTATGAAGGAGGCCGTCAGGACGAGGCACAAGAGCGGTCGATAGATAAGACTGGGACCCCTCCATTTACTAAGAGCGGAAACAGCGGGGAGGCTTTCTCACAGGGCCAAGCGAAGTCGCAGTGGTGGTAATACCGCTATTACACGTTGAGAAGCTGTTTTGATTTGTGTCATTGGTCAGACTGTATCACTCCTGTCTCTCTCTCTTACTCTGTCTGTCTCTTGTCTCATTGAACTGTCTTTCTTCCATGTTGCCGAAGCTCGGCTATTGCTTTTGGTGACACAAATCACTGACAACCGAAGCTGAGGTTAGTTTACGTCGCAGCTTCAACTGTTTTCTTGTCAAAGATTGACAAAAGAAAACCAAAAAAAAAAAAAAAAAAAAAAGGCAAAGAGCAAACAAAGACAGATTGAGAAGGTGAGTGAACAAAGTTAAAGGGCGCAAGTGTACTTTGACATTATTCTGTCATTTATTGCCACCGGCTTCTGAATTTCCTTTTCCTTTCCTTTCCTTTCCTTTTTCTCTCCTCTCGGGGTTCGAAAAGTGGAGAGCGAATGCGACATACTATGTATGTAGGTACATATGTAGTAAGCAGACATTTATTTACCTCTAGCTATATGTATGCATACACTACGAAAAGCAGTAAGGTCGCAGTAGCCAGCAGCACTAGCGGTTGATTTATGACGAGAGAAAGAGGCTTTTTGCTTCCCGTTTCTTGCCTTGGGCCGTATTCAGCTCGTGACTGCAAAAGAGCAAGGCAAGGTGAGGCCGGGGGCTCTAGTTTAGGCATCCAACATTAAAAGGCACTTGTTTGGCCGTCTGCCTTGGGGTAGCTGCCTTAAAGAGCGCTGGTGCTGCATACCATACCCTGATGGTTCTGTTGCATGGGGTTGAACAGATATTGTCTGGATGCTACTGAGGTATGTCTATGCAAGGTAGCACAGACAGCAATGGTGATGATGACAGCATGGCAATGGCAAGGTGCTTCAATTATTGCATTTGCTGCAGGTCAAATCATGAAACAAGTCCGAAGCCCGCTTGGCTAAGCGGTATAGCGTGTCACTAGTACTAACTTGACATGACAAGGTGATCAGTTCGACTCTGATAGTGGGCATCTCTTTTTGCGGAATCCTTCCGCGAGGACTTAGTTTTTTTTCTTCTTTTTTCTCAGGGTGTGATTGTTTTCCTTTGCTATAGGGTATTCCTATTGTTCGCGGGCTATATTGCATCCTGCCTATATGCTGCCTATGTAACATCCAGCTAGCCAACCTACCTAGGAGCCTATAATGAGAACGGATATAGGCCGCACTAAATTAGATGCTTGATAGGCAGGTAGGAGATAGGCTGCATGACCGCCTAGCCCAGTCGCCTACCTAGGCATTTCTGCTGATGCAGCCGAATGAGTGCATCGGGAAGATCGTCCAAGTGCACGGCTGTGTAAACAGAAATTGCATGCACGTACAAGTGTCTAGTCCATGCTGTACGCGTACGCGCCCTTCCATGCCATGACATGTGTCCTGATGACTCGACATTTTCCGCTTCAGCCTCCTTTCCACGCTGCTCTGCCTACGTCATCTGGCCTCTCTCTATTACATCGCAGACTAATACGTTGCTTCTGGCCATTTAGCCAGCGCGGGACCAGGGTTATGTAAGCATATGAGCAGGTCCCACTGCCATGAAGAAGAAGCGGGGGATTATTAATAACAAAACAAAGGCAAATGAAAAAAAAAGGGAAAAAAAAAGGAAAAGAAAAACTTACATACCTGGGCCTGGTTACGTTGGTTACGTAGACGGAGCATTTCTGTCGTAGGCTAAACACGGGGGTCCCGCAAAAAAGTTGCCCCTCATGTTTGACTGACATATTGGAGCTGGAGCTGGAGCTGGAGCTGAATGGGCGCCAGCGAGAGGCTCGTTTTTGTTTACCTGCTTAGCCAAGAGGAAATGAATTGACACGTAAAGCAAAAGAAAAAGAAAAAAAGAACGTGGCCTGATGATGGTTGGCATTTTCTCGAAGCTATAGCTGGCATCTTTGTCTTTTTTCTCTGATATATTTATGCGAATGTGAGACACAAAGCTGACCCCTCCTCCGCATTTCAACTCTCCTTTTTATTTTTGCATCTTTATTTTTTTTTTTTGGCTGCATTCGTCGTTCGAGGGGTTAATTAAGCTACTACGGAAACGAACAGCAAGCCCTGCAACCGAAGGTCCGAAACTTTACGGGCGACAGAGACGTGACGTGAAGCTTCCATTCTGCGCGACCTTTTTTTTTTCACTGCTTATACCAACAAAAGCTTTCCCTGCGGCTACCTATTTGAACGAATAATAAGCCGACGAAGCTTTCCCCGCATCGCGCGCAGTTCGACTTGGATCGGCAAATCGGACGGCAAGACAAAGAGAACAAATAAGCTAGAGGAACGAAGTCAAATCATTCGCGACACAATAGCGACGCAGTATACAGAGGGTGGAAAAGGATATCTCTGTCATATATACGCAAGAAGAAGAAGAAGAAGAAGAAGAAGAAGAAGAAGAAGAAGAAGAAACAAAGATCTCTGAGACCGAAAAGCAAAAACCTCTTGACGCCGCGCGACAAGCTACACCTTTTCTTTTCTTTACCCCTCGAGACCATCAAAAAAACCAACCGCAAACCATGTCATCCTTCTTCGTCGAGCTCTGGGAGGGCATCTTCACGCCCGGCCCGACGCCCACCATCCTCAAGGCCACAAACGCCACCTTCGCCGCCCTGCAGGTCGTCCTGCTGTCGCTCCTGTTCGCGACGTACAGCGTGCACTTTGTGGTGCTGTCGGTGCTGTGCGGGGGCCTGTGGTGGTCGATTAACTGGTTCGCGCGCGAGCTGAAGGTTGCGCAGGCGGCCGAGGCGGAGAGGCAGAGGAAGGAGGAGGAGAAGAAGAAGCAGCAGCAGAGATTACAAGGCGGCGGGGACGGGTCGGGCTCGAGCGATACCGAGGTTGAGGGCAAGGTGGCGAGACGGACGACGAGGAGTAGCAGCAGCAAGAAGAGCGGCGGCGCGGCTGCTGTCAAGGCGGATGCTGAGCCTTTGGAGAAGAAGGGCGAGGTGAAGCAGCGGGCGGTGCTGGAACCGCAGTCGAGTGCGAGTACGGAGGATGAGTGGGAGAGGGTTTCGGAGAGTGAGAGGTAGAGGGAGAGAAGATGTATGAACTGGACTGTGAGATAACGAGGTCTGTTCTATTCATGTAGCAAAGAGTGTGTATATATCCTTGGTATGTGGCGTGAGGTAGTGGATTACAAGGTAAATATCGTGATATAGTTTACCTTTGGTGCCTTGTCCACCTGGGAGGTATATGATTAGAGGTAACTAATTGTAGGGCATCACTGCTTTTTTTTTTTTAATCTCCATGGTGTTGGTAAATGTTTGAATGAATTTGCATCCAATCCACGAGGTGAGGTAGCTACTTTCTCGTCTCTCTGGAAGATTTCTATACTCTATACTCTCTATACATAATACCATCAAGCTGAAATAAGAAGAGACCAAAAAAAAAAAAAAAAAGGAGGAAAAGGCCATGTAAACAAACAACAGCAACTAGGTAATAGAGATTCGCATCATCAACCTCCCCATGCCGTCACGCCCCAAACGCTCCCACGCTTTACAATAACATATAAAACAAATATATATATACATTTGTAGATATAAAAACCGTTTCATCAGACAAGAAAAGAAGAGAAGACGCACAACACACCGGCAAGAAGGGGGAAACGCTCCATCGCAATCTTCTTCACAGTCTTCGCAGCTTATGCGTCATCCGCGCCGCAACCAACATGCTCATCGCCCCTATAAACAGACAAACCGCAATGGCGTTCGTCCCGCCGCCAACCTCCTTCCCTTCCGCCGCAGCCGCCTCTTTGGTCTCGTCGTGGAGCTCGGGGCTCTTGCCGGGCTCCATGACGGCGAAGACAATGGTGGAGATGAAGGTGCCGATGAACTGCGGGAGTGTGGTGTAGATGTTGAGGATGCCAAAGTAGATGCCCGACAGCTCTCCTGACGAAGAAGAAGAAGAAGAAGAAGATGGCAAGCCGCTGTTGCTGTTGCGGCGGCTGGATGTGAGGGGGAGGGCGGCTGATGATGGGTCTTGGGCGCCGCTGAGTTTGTTGACCTCGATGCCGAGGAAGGCTGTGGGAGCCCACATAGCGATGGCCCATGGACTACATGTCATCGTTAGCAATGATGCTTTTTTTATGCCTAAGGAGGGAACAGGAAATTTAAGAGTTTGGACGAGGGGAGGGCACATATGTGTGTGTGTGTATATGTATGCTCTACACATCTTGTGAGGGTTAGTAGATGGGAAACTTACATGCCGCAGAGGCACATGAGAATCGTGGCAGACACAAAACTCTTGGCCAAGGGCGCCATAAACATGGCCGCCGCGAACATCAAGTGCCCGCCAATCCACGCCGTCAACAGATCCGGCTTCATCCTGTCCAGCCCCTCGAGCAAGCCCGCCATGGCGCGCGGCGGGCGGTGCGTGTACGTCTCGTCGGCAGGGGACCGCACCATCATGGGCAGGAAGAAGGCGCCGACGAAGCTGACGGTCGAGTAGATCATCAAGGCGGCGCTGCCGATGCGGCCAATGTCGCCCAGCACGTCGGTGCCAGACGTCCTCGCGCCCGGGGGCACGTCGTAGCGGAAGTAGGTCTCGCCCACCCAGGTGGTGCTGTAGAAGAGGAAGGGGAACCAGCCGATCCAGGACCAGAACTGCGCCCAGCAGATGGCCTGGACGCGGGGCGGCAGCGTCAGCAGCGTGGAGCGGATCTGGTGCAGCACCTTGAGGGGCCCTTCGTCGGGCAGCTTCTTGGTGGCCAAGGCGCCGCCGGCGGACGAGGGCCGGAGGACGCGCTCGGTGACGGCCCAGCAAGTCACCGACGTGGTGCCCAGGATGGCCATGGCGGCGATGACGGTCAGCTGCTTGAACTGGGTGTCGCCGAGACTGGGGCCCAAGAGGCGGACGAGATCGATGGAGCCTGCGCCGTAGCCGATCATGTGGCCGACGGCATTCATGCGGCTGCCTGAAGAAGACGAAGAAGAAGAGCAGCCTCTTGTTAGCAAGTATGATACGCCGGGTGGATGAATGAATGGATCAAGCGTCAATCGCAGCTTCTACTCACCCCATGCGGCGCCGGCTTGCTGCTTCTCAATGGGCAGCGTGTCGACAATGAGACTCCTCGCACACGACATGACTATGTTGATCCAACCGTCAGTGAAGAACAAGAGACCCCATGATCCGGCCAATCCACTCACTCGCATTGATCGCAAAATCCACCGCGTAAATCGACATCACCGCCAGCACCACCGTCAGCCGCCTCGTCGCATCGCTCCCGTCGTCGCCCACAATCGCGCCGACAATCTCCCTCGTGAAGCCCAGCACCAGCAGACAGGCCGACACAATGACCGCGCCCGCCATCATCAGCGGCCGGCGCCGGCCCCAGTTCGACGTGCTCTCATCGGCCACGACGCCTACGATGGGCTGGACGATGAGGCCGGAGAGCGGGCCGGCGACCCAGACGAGCGACGTGTTGCTTTTGGTGAGGCCGAGATTGAGGAGGTATGGCGTGCAGTCTGGCGGGGGTTGATAAGACGCATGTTAGCTACGTGTATATAGATAGATACCTACTATGAGTGAATGAATGGATGAATGAATGAATGGGAAAAAGGAAGAATTCTTCAATTGAAAGAATGGGAGTGAGAAAAATTCATTTTCATCCAGCCATGAGCATCTCAATCTCAGACTGTCCAACACCTACACGTCATCTCAATCCCCCAAGTAAATCTAAAAATAAACGCACAACATCAGTTCAACCAAATCAACGATTTTCATTTCTTCTTCTTCTCTTTTTTATAAAAGAAAAGCGTGAAAAAAGCAACTCACGTAATTCCAATCGTGCAAAACGTCAACAGCACCATCCGCACCATCTCTGAATTCCCCTTAATCGACGCCTGTCCGGTCAAGGCATATGCCGCCGCCATCGTGGGCTGCGCTTTTTAGGCGCACGCGCGTACTTCGTTCCTCAGCCAAAAAGAAAAGAAAAGAAAAAGGGATATATATATATAAAAGGAATCGCCTTATGCCGCAAGGAAATGGGATTAATTCTCTAAAAGAAAGTCTATTCAGTCATCGCCCTCTACACATCCATCGCCATCGCCTCTCTTGTTGGTGTGTTGTTGTTCTCATTTCCCAAAATCTCCCCATGTTTTAGATGTGCTGCTAGAAGAAAGGGGCGCTCAATCTCTGCTTACCCGTATGTCGCGTTCCCACCGCTATTATTAGCCCCCTGTGAGACCCTCAGTCTCAAAGCCTCCCAAATCTCCGTTCTAGACTCGAAACAGCCATGGGTCGCGCAGAGTCTCGTATCGCCAGCGGTTACTCCGTAATACCTCGTAAAATGAGCCCTTCATCAGGCTGGCGAAAAAAAAAAGGAAAAAAAAAAAAAAAAAAAAAAAGAAAAAACATTGTTTCTTCAAATCTCATTTTAAATCTCATTTTGCCAGCGAATAAATACAGAGTATAAATAAAATACATGTTATACAGTCGACTGCTATCAAGCGCGCTCCGCATTGCTCAAACCATCCTCATACAGAATAAGAAAAATCGCATAATGGTATCTTTTGGCTCAGATCTGTCTACTTTGTGTCTCTTGATATGGTAGGACATGTAGCCTACATGTATCATCCTCTTATCCACCAAGCCACTGGCTTTCTCACGTCTTACACCGGGCCATCGCTGCCCCAACGCCTTAGAATTGGACAAGACATATCAAATGCCAAACAGAAGAAGAAAAACAACACAAAAGTTGCATCTTTCTCAGGGAGCCATGATCCGAAACCTCTCCTTTAGCCATGCATCTCTTGGCCGTAGTTTCAGTGTGAAGAATCGATTCAGGAGCTTGAAACAAGCGGGAAAAAAAAAAAAAAAAAAAAAAAAAAAAAAGAAAAGTAAACATGAAACTGTAAAACGTAGCATCGTTTGGCACAGCATGATCGTACTCAAGTGCTTACACGTTTTGCGCGAACTAGTGACAAGCCCAAAAAAAAAAAAAAAAAAAAAAAAAAAAAAAAAAAAAAAAAAAAAAAAAAAAAAAAAAAAAAAAAAAAAAGAAAACAAGTAGTAATAGGCTGAAAAACCAATATGCAACTGCCGTGCTTCTTCAAATGCTAAAGCGATGAGATGCGATGAAGAGAGGCGAGAAGCCCCTCCAAAAAAAAAAAAACAAAAAAACCTAACAAAAAAAACATGAAACAATAATTTTTTTTAAGAAAAAAGAAGAAAACGCCTGGTTGCTTGCCTAACCCTCCTCAAATGCCATTGGTTGTTTTGTTGTATACACGTTGCATCTTCTTGATGCTGGTCCCGAATTTCCATGATAAGAAGTAAAAGTAAATCCGTCGCTTCGTTTTTTGTAATTCATTCGCCTTGTCCGCCTCGCGCCAACGCCCTGGTCAAAAGTTCATATACGCGCTGTCTATGAGTCGGCTAATTTCGCAAAATGCTTGGACCAAATCCAGCCCACCTGGTCCGACGGGTCATCTTGGTTCTTTGCGAGCCAGAGCTCGCCCTTTTCGGCAATGACGTCAAAAATCTGTGAGCAGAGTTAGTATAAGCCATCACTTACGACAAGTGAGTATGCATATCGTACCTCGCCGGCTTGGTATGTCAGATACGGATATCCAGCCTCGTGCTTTGTTGTGGAAATATTGAACTCGAATAGCGATGCAGCTAGCCAAAGGACATTGTATCCGTCCGAAGCATGCGCACGCTCCCGCGATGACGCTCTAGAAGACCGCTGACTCTCCCCAGGGCCGTCTGGGAGAGGTAGAGCGGAGTGAAACAGGTTCGAGAACCTGCGGCTCTCATTCTGGTGATAGCTGGAGTAGAATGTGTTGCCAGAGTCTCGCCGGATGTGAGGTGCCGACTCTGAACTCTGCCTTGACGTCGCCATCGCCATTGTCATTGCCGAGGAATCGAAGCTCTTACCCGTGCTTGGCCGAGTGTTGCCAAGCGATCGGGAACCTGTTGGCGCGTCGGCTGATTGTGGAGATCCCATGCCTGCTTGATTGTTGGAGAGGCCTGCATAGAAATCCCTATAGTAGTACTGGTGAGGGCTGGGAGCCGTTGCGCCAAAGCCAGTGGCATTCGAACTAATAGGAGAAAGGGTAAATGAGCCACTATGTCGTTTACCAAAGTCGGGCGCCGGTAGGACAGGTGCTGCCTCGACATTCATGGACTGGCTCAATGATCTATTCTCTGCTTCCGACGTCCGTCCCCTAGTTCTGGGAAGGGCGTCTTCTCCACTGGCCGTCGATTGTGAGATCCTTCCACGGTAGGCCGGGTTGATGATGCCAATGCTGGACATCATTTCGTTTGCGTAAGGAAAGTCTCGCTGGAAAACTGCTACAATATCTTCAAGTGCTGGCAGCTCGGGTGCATCCGCTAGCACAGCTCTCATCTTTTCCCTCCAGACAAAATACCAATCGGCCTGAATGTTTATGAGGTTGCTCAGACAAATATTTCCCATCTTTTCGGTCAAAGCTGACAGCTTTGGAAGCTCCTTAATAAGTGTATCGTTGAGAGCCTCGTACTGCTCCACAAGCTCCTTAAGCTTGGGATCTATGCTTTTGCCTGCTTTCTTCAGTTGCTCCGCACGCTCCCAAACAATTCGTCGCTTTTGCCTCTTCTTCATGGCCAACGAGGGGTTCCCGTAAGATTTAATGACATGTTCAAAGGGTTCAATAACATGTTTTCGTATTTGAGTCAACTAAAATCAGGTTAGGAATTAGTCCTATGAGGCAGGTTAACCGCGAATAAAAGAGGAGCCCTTACATGCAGCTCGAGCGTTATCTTTTCGATATCACGAATTGATATATTAAACTGTACCCATTTGCTCTCCAACTCCGGGAAGCTGCCTGGTTGGAGCCGCATCACCAGCTCAATCGCCGACAGAAATTGCAAAAACTCATGCACATATGACGAAACTTGTCTAGTGTAGAACTCGACATCCCGTAAGACAACCTGCAGTCGCAAGTAGTCGTCGCTAAATCTTTCCTCTAGCTTGAGATATTCAGGGTCTTCCGGTTCTCGGGCACCGCCCTGCAGTTTGTCTACCTTTTTACCAAAGGCTCGAGCAAGGCCAGCTTTGACGTCGGACTCCTTACGTTTTCTACCGACGATTTGTCCCACTAGCTCAAAATTCTTCTTCGTCTTGTTAATCTCGATAATGGCATCTTCAAGGGCCTCCTTGGCTACTATAAGCGGCTCACGGTCAGGGTGATCCTGGGGCGTGTGCTGGAGAAGAGTCATGATCAGGTTGGGGTACTTGGTGATTCGCTGCATCGGTTTGATCAGGAGGGAATCCAAGTCCCAAGCAGTTGTAAGATCCTTGGCAACTTCATTGCATTCGTTCAGCCATATCTGCACCGTTGGGTCCTGTTGAATCTGGATGAGCTTCTTTGCTGCCTGGTCGCTGTTTCTCAAGAAGCCTTCGTGGGCAAGCTTCATCCTTTCCATATTGCTTTGGAAAGCTGGGCCAAGTGAAGTCTCACGGTCTTTGGCGTCGCTGAGATCAACAATAGATGACTGGCTCTGCTCCGAGTAAAAGGAATCACCCTTGACGGCAAGCGACCGGCCGCTCTTCGGCACATATATGCTGGCAACCACTTCCTTGAGTATGGCGAGGAATGAAGTGTGGAATTCAATAATCTCATCGCTATTTCGAAAGATGAGCTTGACTATCTTCGCATCTAGCTTGGGGCAAGCTTCTGCGGTGCCTTTGTAAATCTCCTCAATAATATTCATGTCTCTTACGAAGACGGCTTCAGTATCGATGAGCTCTTTGATCACATTTCGCCTCTGGATTAAACGATGTCGCTCTTCGCTGCTTAAGCCCTCGGCTTCCTGGATGAAAGATCTGGCGTCGCTATCCACGGCACCCCTACCATCAAAATACTGATCCGTGGTCTCCATGGATGTCATGTCCATCATCGATAGGGGCGTTTCTGAGTGATGGGAGATGTACTCTCCGCTGCCGCGGTCCGAGTTAACCAGAGTACTCCCATATTGAGACTGCTCATAAAATACACTCGACGTTTGCGATTCGAGGGCCGAATTCCGTCCAGAATGTGGAAGAGGTGGTGGCTCGTGCTTTGGAGACGATAGGTACGAAAAGTCAGAAGTCGCCTCCGTTGATAGATAGGGGATAGAAAAGCCTCCGCCGGTGTCTAGTTCTGGTAGTTGCTGGCCGAGTTGAATTGATGACCGTGTCGAATCGACCGAAGGGCGGACACCACCTGCTCCACTATAGGAGAAGCTTCTTAGAGAAGAATCATCCCTCCCAGAAGATTCAGACAGTTTCCACGAGGCCGATCGCATATCCGGTGACTCTGAAGCCTCTGAATGTGTGCCGTCGACAGAGACATTTGTCCATGCTGTTTGGTGACTTGACCTATCGGCTCGAGATATTGAAGGGGGGGCCAACAGCTTGTTCGGTGGGCCCGCGTCGATATGGTCGTCGTGGGAAGGATAGAGAAGTTCATCAAAGGTTTCTATATCAGATGATGCACACGTCGAGGCCCTATTCGACGAGAGGTGACCGCCATAGCGGTATGGAGATCGCTCGTCCTCCATCGCATCCCGATCATCTGTCTCTTCGGTACAAGCATCAGTGGCGGCATCATCGACATCGGAGCGCATGTGACGAGCCATTGCTGGAGCGCTTTCTAAATCGGAGTGGCAGTCAGATTCATCTTGAATGTCCAGCCTGGGATAAGATGCTGCCTGCACAGCCTCTTTGGCAGCTGGAAGTTCGTTGGCTGAAGGCTGTGGTAGTATCTTCACAATGGGCTGGTAATTTTGATGCACAGGGGGCTCGAATGAGGCTTCTTGATGCTCATTGTTGTAATAAGCCTCAGGACGAAACTGCTCTTGGCCGTCGATCTGGCTATAGGGCACTGGGTTATTTCCTTGATCGGCGTAATGTTGATGGTCGTGGTGGTGGTTTTGGTCTCGGTGGTGGGCGAGGTTGTGAGGATGAGCCGCAGGAGACGGTTGCGGCGGCGATGAAGGAAAGTCGTCATCATCAAAGGGGCTTCGGTAGTGAGAGCGTTCTCGCGTCGGCACTATTATTTGTGGGCTGAGCGGCTGATCGGACATAGCCAGGTCAGAAAGCTCTGCCTGGGGCTCTATATCAAATTCCGTAACAGCAGAAGTAATTGAGATGGTTGACAGTGGCCGTTGGGCTTTTGTTACGTTAGCGGACGGTGAAGTCCCAGGGAAGCTTCCAGGGATGCCCAGTGTCGGCGAATCATGATCCTTGCCAAGCGCTGGGCGCGAGGCTGCAGCTGTCGGGGTTTCTGGAAGGGACTCGCCCTTCTCCACAACATGAGTGCCGTGATCAGCTGGGAGCTCCCCAGGCAGCTCATTTGCTAGCCCTGACTGGGGGGAAGGACTATCAACCTGCCCCGTTGACTGTGTCCCTGTCTCTGCTTTTAGAGCTGCATCCCCTTCCGCGGTTTCTTGGTTTGCATCTTCTTCCTTCTCCCCAGCAGTCACAGGGGTGGGTGAATCCGTAGCCGTAACTGTAGACGTGGCTGCAGCCTTGGCCTTGGCCTCCTCCATCTGCTTCCGCCTCCTCTCTACCGCTCTTTGACGAGCTTCAAAAGCCTGGCTTTCACGAATGGTCTTTGTGTATGCTAATCGAATATGTTCTCGACGCTGTTCAAAGTCTATAGGCCCAACCGCTATTATCTTACGCTTCGCCGGGTCATATGTCTTTGACGAAGATGGATCCTTAACATTGTCCCTGGCAGTTGGCCGTGCGGGGGGCTTCGTCTTGGCCGTTTCCTTCATTCGGGAGCTTGCTGTTGTCGCTACGGAGACTGGCTGTCGTGGCCGAGAGCTCCTTAGAGGCGGTGAAAGCTTGGGCGGTGCAACGGACACGTACGCTTGGAGCCGGTTATTACTGCTACCGGGCGTAACTAACCCTGAAGGGGGTTGCTTTCGAGGTGTTTGGGTAGGTGTTTTCGCTCGAGTCGTAGTAGGATTCGCCTTGGCTTGCCTGCTGCTGCTACGAACATTGGCTGGCGGTCTCCTAAGTGTAGAGGGCGAATTCGATCGTGAGGAAGCGGGACTGGAGTCGCTTGGAGTGGCCAATCTCCTGCTGATAGACACGGGCAATTTGGAGCTGGCACCTGTTGGCGTGTGCGAGGCTGGTGGAGCAGCAGCTTCTGCTGCTGCAACTGCTGTCGCCGTTGCGGTGGCGGCTGCGAGTGCTGCTATCGTGGTCGTGGGAGATGTGGATGATTGGTGAATAAATGGTAGTATGGATATATCGCTGCGAGATCGCGTGTGATGAGCTTTGGGTGCACTCCCTCGGGACGTGTGGAGGTCCCTGTACCAGCTGGATGGAGATGCAGGCTCGGCTTCAAAGTCGGAGAGGCTGCGTTGACGCCCCACGAGGCCATGCACGTTGGAATCGGACGTTCTTCGAGGGCGAAGGTTGTCGATGCCAAAGCCGGCCGCGGCAGCGTGCTGACCGGGGGCAACTTCACCGAACAACAGGCCTGGGAACTGAGAATTAGACTTTGGCAATGGCGCTGGTGGTTGGGAGGCTGATGGTGGGGAATTGTGTGGGCGACGTGTTAGGGAGCTGGAGGCAATTGGGTTCCCGTTAGCGGATGTGTCTGGTGGCGGATGGTTTCCTATGCGGTTGGCAAACGACCGCGAACTACCCGGCATTTGGTCGCGTTCAACGTTTCTCGACTTTTGCAGAGGGCGGTTTGACGACGACGCGGTCGAGGCCGCCGACGAGGGCTGCTTGGACGAGCCCGGGGCGGGGATCCCAGGACGAGGGCCTGCTGACGAAGAAGGGCCTGGCGGCTTGGGCTTTGGTCTGGGCTTGATGGAGTCCTGTCTGATCCGAGCTACCGGAACCTCCTGGCGTGGAGGAGCTCTTGGGATGGAGTTGGCTCCGCCGCTCTGATCGAAGCGTTTCTTCAGATCTTTGACACTGGGGGCTCTGGCGGCTGAGGAGGATCTCGTCGTCGCGGCTGCCCTGCGGTCGAGGGGGCTCGAGGCGGAGCGCAGACCCTGACGGCCAGCGCTGCGATTTGCAGGCGGCTGCAGGTGTCTTGCAGCAGCCCCATCAGCATTGGAGGGCGGCAGATGCGGGACTGACGAGGCCATAGGGAGAGACTGCGGTTCACCGTCAGGGCCGGGCGCTGGCTGGAAGCTCTTGTAAAAGTCGTCGGGATCTAAAGTGGCAGCTGCATGGTCGGCGAGGGCATTGGCATTGGCATCGTGCACAGAGCCGGGGAGGAATCCAGGCGGGTTAGGGATTGACGTCTGGCTGTCGTAATGGGGATGAGCATTGGTTTCAACACCATCCAGGCCCTCGCGCAGGCCGCTGTCTAGGTCCGGGTCCATGTTGGCAATGGCCTGGGCCCGAGCCAGAGCATCACCCGCGCGGTCGACGCTGCGATGGACGATCGATGGACTGAGGGATGGAAGACGACTGGTCAGGGCACGTCGAGGAGAGAGGCCCGCGCAGCACCTGCAGGCATCGATATACGTTTCTGCTGGAGCTCGAAGTGCGTCGTGTTTCTCTCCTGCGAGCTTAGCGGCAACCTCGTTTGTTTTTCTTGCTGGCAGAGGCGAGCGAATGGCCGGTGGCCTCGAGGCAGCTTGTCCCTGTGAGACGTGGGCGAGAGGGGATGGCGACAGGTGATTGGAAGGCGACGGGGAGATGGAATCGAGGTGCTGCAGCCTGCAGGCCGGATACGACGCCCTGGCCCAACCAGGTCTGCGCATTTGGTGCTGCTGCTAGCACCTAAAGGCCTGCTTGCAGCCCTGCTCTGAGACCCCAGCGAGCCCCGAAAAAACTCCCCCCAGCACCTGTGCTTGGTCCCCTCAGCCCGCCGGGGGCATGTCACTGCGCTGCTCCCCGAGTCGCTAGCTCTTTTAGTAGCTGTATCTGTCGACTAGCGCTCTGCAAAGCCTAGGACCAGCGCACTAACGTTTAACGTACGGGGGCCATGGAGCTGTTAGAGGTCGACGGGGCGGCTTAGTCTCCGCTGTTAGAGCCCGGAAGTTTTTTTTCTTTTTCTTCCTCCAGCTTCCTTGAAGGCCTCTAGCGGTTCAGGTCGTGCTGCTAGTCCACGCAGCGTCAGGCTATGTTTCACCTTGTGCAGGTCGATCGTTTCCTCGTTCTCTCTCTAGTTCCGCTTTCACGATTTCATCTGCTACAGTCTGGAAAAGGAAAGAAGAAAAGAAAAGAAAAGAAAAGGGAGCCGATGGAAGAGAGAAAAAATGTGTCACCTGCTGCGCGGCAAAGGCTCCCGCGGCCCGGCGGTAATTAATTAAAATTGAACTGATCCTGCTGCACATGCGCATGGCTTGGCTGCGCGTCTCCCTGCAGATGCTGGCCCCCATCCCTTATCTGCGTGAGAATCAGGGGCTTCGGTTTGATGACGGAGCTGGCAGCCGACAGTACTTGTAGTAGCAGTAGTGTCGGCTTCTTGTGAGAAAAGAGGCACTCCAATGGCGATCCCGCTCATTGTGCCCCGTGCGAGGGCAGCACTGCACAGGTGCTGCCATCTCGGCGAGATAATCAAACCACTCCTGATGTGAATTGCGACCCCAATGATGCCAGCAGCCATCAGGTTTGGCAGCTCCATATCCTGACACCCTTTCATTTCCAGCCAAATTTCACCTGCATCCTGATACGAGCAGCTGCGGCTCCGGAAGCCTTATCGGGAGCCCAGCCCTGCCAACGTTGAATCCAGGCACCATCACAGCTGCGGTTTCGCCTTAGTCCATGTAACCAGCCTGAATAATCATGCGTCGGCAGTCGTGTGCTACCACTGCCACCACCATCATGATGAGCAGCTGGACCGGATAGATACTCGCGCATAGCTGCTTGTGCCAAGTCGAGCCACCGGCTGCAGCGCAGTCTGTTTGCCCTCTGGCAGACCCCGACGCCGTCGACAGCAGACGTCGAAAGAGACTCCAGATCCCCCCGCCAAGTAGCGCATCGCACCCGATATTTTGCATTGATCTCAATGTCGGTAACCCAAAGGCGACCGGGTTTCCACGTTCTGCTCTCTCCGATCGCGATCGCGATCCTCGGACGCGGACGCAGCGGAGCCTTGTTGACCCTTGCCAGCGCAAATCCTTATGACAGCAGCGCCTTAGCACGGAAAAGCACGTAAGAAATGGCTCGCACGGTATACCGGCACCTCGATCAGCGTGCTGTGCCTGCCCCAGTGCCTGTAGCTGCCAGCTGCCAAAGCCGCGCACTAATGTAGGGGTTAGTGGCGCTGTGCCATGCCGAAATATTGCTCAGCTCTGACTAAGGGCAGCAAGATTTAGAGCTCATTGAAGCTTGAAAATCAATCGTATCTTGGACTTAGCCACAGCGCCGCCCATATCAGCCACAGCCGCCCGTTGATCGATCAGTGGCGCTACACCTGAAGCGGCTCGCATTTAACATGGACCACATACATTAACGTGACGCGAACAAGAAACGAGACGACGCGAATTTGCAGTAGCCATCATCCACCCACAGAGATGTCTCGTGGCAAGAAAAGGAAGCGTGGCACAGACAGCGCGTCAGACACTCAAACCTCTGCTTCATCTAAAAACTATACGCCTGTAAAAAAGGATTTGTTGCTGCTGCACTACCCTCATGTACGCACGCTGAGGCAGCATATGCTCGCAAGCCTCCCGGATACCTCAAAGGTCAGACGAAAGAAGATTTCGGCCTTGGGGACAAGCGTGGAGGCCAGCGAAATAGAAGTGCAGCTTGCCCATGTGCTCGACACTGCTTTGGTCGGTAGCAGCCAGCCAATCCCAAGATCCGACTCAGAGGAAAACACATGGCAACAATGGCTATCCTTTTCTCAGAAGGGGGATGAATCTTATGTGACTATATCTAACGGAATTGCTTCATCGATTGCTAATCAATCTGAGGTCTGTTTCTGTCTCCCCAATTGCAACCAGTGGACCAGGCGAGGCTAAATAGCCCAATTGTAGATTCTGGACTTTGTCATCTGGCTGCTCTTTTCCAGAGAGAGGACTGGATCATGGCCCAAACACCTGCTTTGTGATGGCTTCCGTAGAAGTGCCAGAGATGATCAATCCGCTCGATCAACCATCCCCGGAGTATACAGCCTCTATCCCAATTTCCATGTCAAGGCACTGAGAGAGAGGCCGTGGCCGCACCTTCTGGCTCTGCTTGGCCAGGCCGGCGAAAAAGTAATGATCAACCTGCTATCTGAGTGCTCTGTGTTCCTCAAGGTTGATTCAGGCTTAGACAACTACTTTCAGCTGACCGGTTGGTGCTAATGCTCGTGAGATCTTGAGTGTGCTCTTATTCTGATCATTGTCTGCCAGGTATTCCCTTGTCTGAGCTGGATGCTGGAATGTCAAATCTCAATTCGAAGCCCCAGATACGCAAACCAACGGAAATTACTCTTGTTCGCAGCAGGATATTCTACGCAAAGCCGGCAACTACCGCCAAAGGCCTAGTCCATGCAGGCTTCAAGCACATCCGTACGTCGATTCACTCTATACTCTCCTGCCATCTGTTTGAATACAGTTACTGAGAAATAAACAGATGCCCTTAATCGTTACCCTTATATTCGTGAGATTACAGATACCAGGGAGAATTGCCAAGATTCTCTAAATATTCGACGGCAAAACGAGGTACACACAACTAAACTTATGATGCATATGTTTCCGCGTCAATTTAACCTACACAATGTCTTCACTTCTGCAACCGATGTGAACCAAACAGCTCAGAAGTTTCATGATTATACATTTCGTGAGGATGAAATCAATAAAAGTATGAGAGCCGCTAAACGGTCAGCTGAGAGGGCATTGCCTAAATTACCCAAGCGATTAAGGGGCACAACAAGAGACCTCGTACGACGATTGCAAATTGTTCATGCGCGATGTTCTTATTTTGAACTGCTTAGATACCATTGCCCGACGTTCCTAGATGAATCTCGCGGAAATAAGAACAGGGCTGGAGATGGGAAAATGTCGACAGCTTCTATCCCAACCCAGGGCCAGGCAACCCAAGCAGAATCTTTCACCAAACGACAAGCTCAGAGGCATCACGCAAATACGTCGCCACTTCCTGAATACAAATCTGTTGTGGAATTAGCATGCCCAACAGCATGTGTTTCTGCATTTTGTCAGGCTGTCCTTTCAAAGATAATCCCAGACAAATTCTGGGGCTGTGAGAAGGACTGTCATAACAAAGTCGTGTTTCTTCGCAAAGTAGACCATTTTATCAAGCTACGACGCTTCGAAATGATCTCATTGCATGAGATTGTGCAAGAATTCAAGGTATTTATAAACTCCATGAAAGAAGATAGCTGTCGCAGTACACTCATCACGAGACTTAGGTCACCGAGCTTGCTTGGCTTGAGCCCCCCGGTTGTCAAGGCCAGAAAACTAGCCAGACGGACATGGACAAACGTTACGAAATATTTCATGAGTTTCTTTATTATGTGTTTGATTCCCTTTTGATACCCCTCATTCGCAGCAATTTTTATGTCACCGAGTCCAATACCCATCGTTTCCAGGTTTTTTATTTCCGCCACGATGTCTGGAGGCTAGTCGCAGAACCCTCGATGTCGAGCCTCAAGGAAGGAATGTTTGAGGAGATCAAATTGAAGGAGGCGACGCGAATTCTAGATTCGAGGCGTCTTGGGTTCAGCCAATTGAGGCTGTTACCCAAAGGTACGAAGTTACGTCCCATTATGAATCTCAGACGCAGGCAAATGATGGACAGTAAACGCGCCAGGCTGCTTGGACCCAGTATAAACTCCCTTCTCAAGCCTATTCACGCGGCGCTCAAGCTTGAAACTGTATGTACCATGAACCCGGCCCTTTGCTATCTATTTATATGTGAATAAATAAAATGGGCATTGGTATTTCAAACTAATCAGGAGCAGCTCATGAATCCATCTAAGCTGGGATCGGCCCTTTTTGCAGTTGGTGACATTTACGAGCGTCTTAAGGCGTTCAAAGACTCTTTGATGCGAAACAGCCATCAGACATTCTACTTTGCAAAACTGGACGTCAAGGCTGCCTTTGATACGATACCTCAGTCATCGGTTCTGAAGTTGATGAGGTCGGTTCCCAGCCAGAGTCGATATGTAATAACGAAGCATGCAGAGGTGAAACCAGGAGAGCGATTGGGCCTCACAGATGGGAAGAGCGCATCCAAACCTGTACGCCGGTGGCATTCCACGGCCATAGTTCAGGGAGAACCGACTTCGTTTCTCGATCGTCTTGAAAGCGGCTTGGGAAGCAAGAAGAAAAATACAGTGTTTGTCGATAGCGCTGCCTTTCAAACTCACGACACCCGTGGCCTTCTAGCCCTTTTGTCCGAACATGTTGGGCGCAATATCGTCAAAATTGGAAAGAAGTATTATCGACAGAAGAAGGGCATCCCGCAGGGCTCCGTTTTGTCGACATTCCTATGCAATTATTTTTATGCCGATCTCGAAGCTCAGCATCTGGATTTCCTAGATGGTCCAGACAGTCTCTTACTCAGGCTTGTTGACGACTTTTTACTCATCACACTAGACAAGGCCAAGGCCGTTCAGTTTGTCGAGACGATGCACCAGGGGGTGCCTGACTATGGCGTTGAAGTAGGCCACGATAAGACACTCGTGAATTTTGACATGGACGTTGACGGCGAGGTCGTGAGAAAACTCTCCAAGGGAGCGAAATTTCCATACTGCGGTACATTTATCGATTGCAAAACGCTGGAAATTACAAAAGATCGAGGCTCAGGCAAAGATATTGGTACAGTCTTGTCGAGGATAATTCCTTTATGATGAAATAGTTTGAGCTTTTGCTGATCATATGCCTCTACGACAGACATATCGGCTTCCATCACTGTTGACTTTGGCCGATGCCCTGGGCAGAATTTTCAACGTAAAGTGCTCAGTTAGTGCCCACAGTTTCTATCCCACGCCGTCTCTGCAGGCTTGACTGACACAACATTGCAATACAGACTCGTTTAAATACCAATCTCACCTCATGTTTTTCGATACGGAGCATAATTCAGTCGAGACTGTCATTAGCTCTTTACACGGCGCATTCTCCGAGACTGCGCTGAAGATGTGGGCTTACATACGGTGCTTGTCCACGGCTACCCAACTTACGGCGAGCCTAATTATCAGTGAGTTTGGAAAGCAATGTAATGAGTAAGAAGTCTGTCTTGGGTGTGCTAAATGCTGTTATAGGTACGATTAAGAAAGTCGCAGACATTGCTTTCCTGATCCTCACGAGTAAATGGAGGAAGAGACGGTTCGAAAAGTATGCGTGCGAGATTCGCAAGGCACAGGTTATAGCGTAAGTTTCAAAGAGAGACAAAGGCATGGAATATTGCTAAAAAGTATTTCTAGCACGGGGTATTCAGCCTTTTTGGACGTGCTACGTCGGCGACAGACGGGATATAGCGAGGTGATTACCTGGCTGAGAGAAGAGACAACTCGACTGGCTACAGCGAGGTAGAGGCCAATTTTATAATTAATACAAGATCTATCAAGTGTTTACTCCTGGTATACATTGCTCGTAATGCAACTTTAAGCGCTGGGCCTAACAAGAATGAAATATACCGTCTATGCTTTCCATATAACATATCCCAAGAGAGATTGGGGCCGATAATACACACTACTTTTATAATGCTATTCCGCTTTGCCACCACGTTTCTCCAAGATACAGCCTGGGCAAATGATCCCGATCCCAACGCCACCAATGATCCCCTTCGTTACCAAATCCTAAAAATAGAAGCGGAGATGCTGGAACCGGCTCAACAAGCCAGAGCCCCGTCGACGAACAGTCATCCATGAATAGCGGCGCCGTATAAAACAACCACGTCAAAGTAAAGAAAAGATTGACTGTCCGAGACACGAACTGCGGCAGCCGCAGCGGCATGTATAACATGACAAGCCGCGCTGTCCACTGCTGCAGCAGAATACCCACCATCTGCAGGAAAAAGAAGGCCGGCGCCCTCCAGGGCTTCGTCCTAGGCGTAGAGGTGAAGCTCCCCGAAGCATGCAACAAGCCCGATTGCAGGAACGAAGCAAGCATGGTTGCGACGGCGGCCAGCTGCGTGCCCCTTTTCAAGTGGCCCTCTCGAACGAGGTACGTCGCCGGCGCGGCAAACTGCATTCGAAAAGTCTGGTGCCACCACCCTCCCCACCAGCCGGCGAGGCCACGCGCGAGGACCTGCTCAAAGGAGCCAAAAGTCGAGGCAAACTGCCACAGCGCGCCGCGGGAAGGGTAGAAGCGGCTGGCGAGCCAGTACTGGACTAGGTCGGACAGGCCGAAGACAGCCTCGATGGCGGCGTATACCCCGAGGAGGGAAAACGCTTCTCTGTACGCGAGGAGGAGCCATGAGGGAACGTTACGTAGATGCGGTGGGAGGGCGACATGGCCTGAGTGATCGGGTCCGAGAATGAAGTAAGGGTCCTTCTTCATGTACACGGATAAAAAGTCCAGGACGAAGTAGAAGCAGACGATCTTGGCGAGGCGTCCGCGGACAAATTCGCCGGTGGTTGAGGGGCGCTTATACCCGCTTCTGCTGACTTTGGGGATGGCATCTACATCCACTTGGTCTCCGTGGGAGATTTGGAGAGGAATTTGAGGCCGGGGAATGGTTGGGACAGACCAGTTCCAACCTGAATGAAACAAACTGTTAGTCAGACTATATCATCTTGGGGGGAGTCAAATACCCAAGATGTTTCATGTCGCTACTCACCAGAAAATCGGAAGCAAAGTATCAAATCCGTCGCCCATGCCAGCCGCTCCAAGAAGTCTCCATCCGAAGGGTAAGGTTCCCAGACATACTCAAACTCATCCTGCCGCGTTTCGTCTTTTCCAGCCCCGTTGGTTGATATCCTTTTCCGGGCTCGAAGCTCATTTCCGCTTCCATTCACAGTCTCAGGCCCTCCACCATGGCCAGTTGACCTCGTTTCGGTGTGCATCTCACCACCACCGGCCACTTTCATCCGGCCGTCATCAGCCTCATTCTTCTTGACCCTCCGCACCACCCTGGCAGCGTCAAATTGCGGCCTCGTCCAGATGAGCAGGTTCATGCTCAGCATGGTGCCCCACGTCGACGCCAGGCCAGCTGCATACGCACACGCCGTATTGGCGCTCGACGTGTATGCCAAGTGATAGACGTTGGACCAGATAATCACGGCCATGGCCGGCCACCTCGTGTGGTAGAACCAGGTCCGACGCTTATGCGGGACGGCCAGCCACAGCGCGGGCACGACAAACGGGGCCAGCAAGCAGAAGGGTATCAGCAGAGGCTTTGCGCGGCCGTCGGCGACGGCGAGTCTGAAGGCGTCGGCGTAGGCCGTCCGTACGGCGTAGGCGAGTCCGGGTGTGGGCATTTCGACGAGGTTGCTGAGATCGGGCGCTCGGCGCGAAGAGAGCAACGATGCTTGTGAGAGCACATCCATGGCGGCAGCTGGGTGGCCGTATTTATCGATGCCTGCCGTTTCGATTTCCTCTTCTTTTCTCCCTTCCTGCCCTTTTCGATTGTGTGGTCAACCGCAGTCCAAGTTGAGGACTGTCTCCCAGTCAGCCGATATGCATTCGCCTGGACTTGGATCATGACGCACAAGAAGCACGAGTCTCAGTCCAATGCCACATGTGAGTAAGACTTTAGGCGGACCCGCGCTTGTGAATAGTATCTGCCTGTACAAGCAACAGGTCTGCCTAAGCCATGCGCCGCGTTTAGGGTGAGACAAGGAGAGACAAAGGCGGTCTGGTGACGCTTGACGCTCCAAAATGCTCGTGGCGTTTCGTTTATTAGGGCCATCACACAGAGAATTGACAAGTCGCCCTACGGAGGATATCCAGCCTATCGGGAGGAGATGCGACGGGCTGTAAATTAAACAACGGGGGGGCTTTACAAGGGGCGGTGGCAACGCTAGCGATGATCTCAGTGAGAAGTGATTGCTTGGTGTGATCGGTTGTGGGCGGATTTGGCTTAGCACTGTATAGCATGGTGATCCCTGCAACGAATCTTCACTTTGATCTCTTATTGCTACTTTACTGCAAATTGTACCTGCATACCCTATAATACGCTCGCATTATTTTTTTTATTTCTACTTTTGTAACTGGATATCTAATACTGCTAGGACTGTAATTTTTATTTCATTATTATATTAGTTTTATAATCCTGCTGGTTTTTTTTATTGTTTTTATGCGTTTAGATTTGCCGTGATGTCTTGTTATAGTCCTGTTGAAGACGCCTAGAACGATAAATATCTTTATAAATCATGGCTGTTTTTAACCATGAAACAGATAATGGCATAAGAAACCTACATTACATGCATTAATTCTATATTCAGCATATAATGCTATTCCATTTTGTGTGTTCTGATAGCTCTGTGCATCTGTTCTATTTGTATCAGCACCACAAGATATTAATGGGACTACCATCAGACGGTATTCCTCATAAAAGGGAAGCTAAAACGCCAAAAAGATGGCCCGATTGGCATTTCGAACGCCGGGATTTGCACCCAGGCTGTTGGCACGGTCAGTATTGATCAGTCTGAAGGGTTGCCAGCTGCGGCACTTACTCTCTCCCTTGGGAGGGGAGCAGGTTAACTACTACCCCACGTCCGAGTTGAAAGGGGCTGTTTCTATTGTGGTATATAAGGGGGGATTCTTTAAGAGGACAGAGCACGGAGAGTGGCAGGACCAAACTGACGGCTGGCGCAGCTGACTTGTTTGTGTTGTGGAAGTGAGGCTGCTGATAGGCCGAGGCCGTGAGGGAGGGATCGGGTGGCAGCAGATGGTGGTTGCTCTCGGGGGGGGGGGGGGGGGGGGGGGGGGCAATATGCAGAATTCCGGTGAGAATAACGCTTCGTTTACTGGATACGAAGAGCCAACGTCGTCTGTGTATCGTACGTCTGTATTGCATTGCGAAATAAAACAGGCTGTGGTGGGGGAGCTCGAGGGCATATCGATGAATTAAGAGTAGTAACAGCAGTTTAAGAAGCCGAGATCAAGGCTAAAACTAAGACAGTATTGCCTGTATGTAGTAGTAGCATAGTTCAACTACTAGATCGATTAATGCCCTGGGTTAGGGTAGATTTAATGGATGATAGCCCTAGATGGACAGTGCCAGGTTCCGAGATTGCTGCATAAAATGACACACTCACTTGCTTGACTAATACAAATAGTCAATCTTCATAGATGGACAATGCATGGATACGTAAAGCATGCAGGTGAGCCATTACCCGGGGCATCAAGTCGTCGTTCAATGTGTTTAGTTGCTCTGGCATCTGACTTACATACGTGTATGAAAGACACCCGCCCCAGCCGCAGTAGTTCTGCCCTACAAAGCGGGCAACAAAATAACTGCTGTTTCGTCTATCTTTGGCTCCAACGGGCCACCCGAACCTCATATATCGTCACTTAGACGCAGTTGTGCGTCTTTGGCTAATGAGATAGTGTCGTTGCTGCAGCCAACATGCACAATGGCCCCCATTTATTATGTCACATCGCAACCCGCATACAGTAACTCTTTTTTCTTCTAGGCAAATTGGTTAGACCTATTCTACCCCCGACTAGCGAGTAACCAGCTCCTGTTGGGGCCGAGAACTAGCACCGCTAACGGCCTTTTTTGGCTGGCGGCTTATAAAGCTTCTCACCTCCTGTTTGTCCCCCTGTTCACTAATGCCATTCTTGCGTCCAAGTCGGTCGTGACGCTTCGTTTGCCTGGATGCTGCCAGAAGCCATAGCGCCGTGGTTTCGTGGATCTAAAGGCAACCTTTAGCGATCTTGGCAACGCGGTCAACATGATTCGCTGACAAACCATGCCACCTGGCTGCGACATGTGCCCAGAGATGGATATGCCTTGGTACCTGGATTATTAGCACACGACTCGTGCAACACCGATAGAGACTTTGGATACTTTGGTGAGCACGGCACGGAATACCTGCGCCAGGACGACGTCGATGCCCGGTGGCGTCAACCCGCGAATGCGCCATCAAGGTCCCCTTGCCTCCTTTGCCCATTGGCCCAGGCGTGTTGGTCACCGATCCTGCAAAGTACCCATCTCCGCCGCCTGGACGTCTCGCCTGGGTACCTCGCCGCGCAAGTGCAGGGACTCGCTGTGCTGTTTGGCCCGTTGGCCGAGCCTCGAATCTATTACATACCCTGTGCGGCTGCCTCCTCGCCGCCTCCATCTCCCTCTTTCTCTCTCACCTGCATCGCATCAGTCATTGCCAGTGCCGCGGCGAGCTGCTGAATCGTCCATCATCTTGCGCTGTTCTTGTTCATCTCCAGGGCCGCATCTTAATAATCCGGCGCCTTTTTTCCCTTCGTGCGCCCCAGCCCGCATTTTTTCCTGTGCCGCCAGAGCTGTGGCCGCATCTCGGAGACTTTTGAGAGCACTCTCTCACCCCTCTCCGCGGCCCTGCCTATCAGGTCTTGCTGCGGATTCCACGGAGCCAGCCATAGTCGCACCGCGCTGGCCTCTGTTACTCACATCCCGCGCCCGTGAAGATCTGTCGCTTCGCGGCCATGGCGTCCGGTATTGCTGCCGCTGCCACTGCCGCTGCCACTGCCCAGGCCGCTTCGGCCCCCGGCCCGCAGAAACATCGGGCCTGCGACGAGTGCCGTGAGTCCCCGCTAGCCCCCGGATGAAGGATGATGGAAGCATGCCTAGGGGTATACAGCAGGTATACAGCAGGCATGGAGAGGCAGAGACGGCACATGGATGGATAAAGAGAAGACGAAGAGAAGATGCTGGCTGCAGAGATGCTTGATTCTGATTCGAACCCCCCTCCCTTGTTTAGGATTCCGCAAAATCGCCTGCTCCAAAGAGCCCGGCGGCTGCTCGCGCTGCCAAAAGGAAGGCATCGCATGCGTCTACTCGCCGCAGAAGCCCATGGGCCGTCCCAGGAAACGGCGCCATGCACAGTCCCTCATGTCTGTGTCTCTGCCCATGCCTGCGTCTGCGGTTGTGACTGCGCCTGTGTCCACGGCTGCGTTAGATGCCGCTCATCCTTCAACCATAGCTGAGGCTCTGGCTCGTGTTCTCCCTTCAGCTCAGGCTGCGGCGCTGTCTGTTGGGGCACCGTCTGCATACCTCGGCGCCGGCCAACATGGCGGTCACAATCAGCAGCACCACTGCCATCAACAAAATACCACTGCTCATCAACACAATCACTGTCATTCACCTCAACCGGCCGTGACATCAGACCTGGCAGCAAGCTTGTTGAGCCAGCCTCTGCCATCGGACATATCCTCCTACCTGACCCTATCGTCCGAATACAACACAGACAACTCGATTTCACTTCATATAGATGACAATGGGGCGCTTGCTCATATTCCGCGCCACAGCCAAGGGTTTTTTGATGGTGCGGCTATGCCCATCATGAGCCTGAATCAGACTGATCTTTTCGAGAGCATTAGCTTTGACGAGATAGAGACGGACTCGTCTGTGTCTTCCATGTCCAAAGATTTCAACGACTCTCTTCAAAAATACATGGTTTCTCAGTATTTGGATCCTCCACCACTTAGCGAGTCCAGTCCTAGCACCAGCATCCACTCCAGCTGTTTTGGATCGCCAAAACCGCACCCGACCGCCTCTTGCGACTGCCTTGCCTCTCTCACACAAGCACTCAGCTCCCTGAATCGCCTACCGGCCGATGTCATATCTGCCATGCAAGTTGCTCGCAGTGCCACCAAGATTGCTTATGACACCCTCAGCTGTGTTCATTGCTATGGAGACCTATACGACCTGTCCAAGCCGTCGCCCGTCTCTCGCTTCCAAAGCATGATGTGCCTCGCTGCCCTTGTTCCCTCTGCCTGCAACGCTTATGCTACGATTTTGGAAATGGTAGATAGAGATGTGGAGCGAGCCAAAGGCCAACTTCAGTCCATATATTTCAATTTTAAAGAAGTCGGTGGGATCTGGGGAAACCTCATCGACGAGAAGGGCTCTGCCTCTCCCGAATGCACACTTCTCAGAAGCTTTCATGACCGATACCTGGACCCGGAGACCTGGAAGGCCACTATCCGAGCCATTCTCAAAGTTGAGGTGTATGGGTTCAATCAGAAAACGGCGTCTGTCTCGAGCACGGTGGACTGCAGTGTGTCGCCGTACGCGTTCTTGCACTGCGGACTCAAGGATGTGATCACGCTACTCGACGAGAAGAACCAAAAGAGGCACGACCTTGCGGATGCCCTAGTGCAGGCGAATCACGCTTTGCCTGACCATAATTACCTTTTGACCCTAGGTGCGCCGAAACTGTGCCCTCGCGAGGACAGGCCCTGCGTGCGTATGCTGGATATAGCGAGGATGGCACTGAGCAATTTGGCTATATCATAAGTGAGGAAGGAAAGACGAGAAGGTTGTTTTCTGGTATCTCTTGTCCAAGAATGAAAATTGGTCAAATCAAGAGGGGAGACGAGGTATACAGTCGGGGAGAGGAAAGGATAACACGATGCAACTTTGCTTTTCTCTCTCCCCTTTTAGGGTGTGAACGCGGTTTGATTGCAAGCGGGATACCTCAGGCAAGAATATCACTTTTAGTTTTTATTTTATTCGATGGGAAATTGGCTATGCAAAGGCGCACGGGCATTTAGGGACCTTTTTTTTTTTTTTTGTTTTTGAAAAGGCTTTGACCTGAGAAATCTGAATTGAGCCATGGGATATGAGGGGAAAGAAACATCAACATATATACCATTGAGATAGATTGCAATATGGGAAGGACCATGGCCGGAAGCATCTACGGGCATTCATGCGATAAGAATTTCATTAAACGGGGAATATCCTATACTTTAACTTAAGATATTTGACTCATCACTGGCTTTCTTCCGCTTTTACTCTTTACTAAATCACTTGATGGTAATCTTTTGTTTGTTTATACAAGATTGATATTTCCTATAATATGCTGTGAGAAAATAATAATAATAATAGACAGATAAATCCCCAATATCAATATTCAAAAAGAAGGAAAAAAAAAGAATTGCCAATATTCAAATGCAGCTGGTCAAAAAGATGTTATCCAATTGCCATTTTGTCCAATAAAATATTCCTCACATCCCGTTTGAACGCCATGCTCGTTATAGCCCGGCCAGTTTCTTGGCTTCCTGACCCTTTTTTCTTCTCCTTCGCTCTCCTTGATGCTTTAAAAAAATCGTGGAAAAAAAAAATGGCGAAAGCATTCTGTTTGTGAAATAGATTTTGTTCCCCATCCATTATGCATTTATCCCATCTCTTTTCCATCCTGATGCAAAAATCATCTCCAATACCCTCTCTCAAGGATCATATATATGCGCCTTCATATTTGACTGATGATTTTTTTTTTTGTTTGTTTGTAGTGTTATTTTTTTTTTTTCCTAATGCGCATTTTGATCACTCTTGGTCCTCCACCAAGGACAAGACGTCCATTTCCCTCTTCACCAGCTGCTCAAACTCCTCCCTCTCGATGCCTGAAGATCGGGCAAGCAGGTACAAACTGCGAATGCTGCGCGACACGTGCTGCTTGACGCCGAACTCGTTCTGCTCTTGCTTGCCCGCGGAGGCCTCGAGCTTGGCGACGGTAATGGAGCCGTGGGAGCTGGAGCTGGCGCTGGACCTGGGGCGTGGGTGGAGGAGGGCGAGCTCTCTAGCGGAAAGGAGGGCGTTCTCTTGGCTGTGGTTGTTGTTTGTGTTGCTGTCTGTTTCTGTGGAAGACCAGAAGTTTTGAGGTTCGGGAGCGTCCGTGACAACGACAGGGTCGTTGGAGTGACCTAGGCCGAGGGGTGGTTGGACGTGAGCTCGCAGCATAGCCTCCTCGTCAGGATCGTGGTTGTCCATTGCCGGCTGGACGGAGTCGTACTGCGCATAGTAGTCGTCATCATCATCATCGTCCATTGCGGCAGAAGCATTGTAGGCGCTCCAGTGGGATGCGGATGTGGTGGCAGAAGCGCCAGCGCCAGTACCGGCCTGAGGAGCCTGAGGAGCTGGAGAGCGGTTGTTGGCCGGAGTGCGTGCGGGAGTGGCATCGTAGCGGTCCCAGTATCCATCGTCGTCGTCGTCCTCCAAGTGATCTGAGCCGCTGGTGGAGGACCCGTTGGAGCTGATTGCGGAGGGTTCAGAGATTCTAGGCGCCTGGAACTTGGCCTCTGCCTGTGCGATGGTGGCAACGCCGCCGAATTGCGAAAAGGGAACGGCTTTGTCTGCCACAGTCACTTCTCCCACTCTCCAGCCATCGCCACCACCCTCGGCGTCGTTGACGCAGTATACCAGCTGAAAAGCAAGCCCGAGGTCGACCAGGACTGTCAATGCCTGCAGCGTCTCTCGGTCCAATCTCTTGTATCTTGTCTCGGCGTCGTAGTCCCAGTCAACCTCAACCTCGCCCGAAACAGGATGAGGTTCCAGGCTTCCATTTTGCACCAGCTCGATCAACTGTGCAGCTTTGGCGGTGTCGTAGGATAGCAGCTTTAGCCAAGGCTCCGTGCTGCCGGAGGAAAACAGCTTCACTCTTTGTCTGAGGATGGGCGAGAGGAGAGGCAGGATGCCCACAGCCGGCTCGGTCGAGACGGTAGCTGTTGGGAGAGCTGGCAGGATTGGGGCCAGCAGCCGGTTGAAGTCTGGAGGCGTGATGCTCGCGCCCATGGTAGATGGTAGGCTCTGATTTTTGTGCTGACGGTGGAGAGCACAAGGAAATTGTGATTTTCTATGGCCTTCGCGCACAGGTTCGATGGAGTCGTCAGAACCTTGTTTCGCGAGAAGAATCGACGCCTGCAGCGGAGGGAAGGCCGCGGCGAGGAGAAAATGTATAGAGTTTGGCCTAGGGGTCTATTTGTGCCGTTTGGTTCCTGAGGCCTGGAATTAGTGGCGAGCGTCACATGCACGCCTAGTCGTGGGAACTACGTTGTATGGATAAAAAGCCACGGCGTGCCTATTGTTTCAGGACGGGTGCAATGTGCGGTGAGAAACGGTGAGGATTATGCAGAGGGGACTGAGGAAAAAGAGAGAAGAACAGAGAGATCGAGGGTGCATGTGAGCGCGGAATGGCGTTAATATAGTGCCTCCAAGACGTCAGATGCAACTTGTCTCTCGCCCAAACGACATCGTGGATCGCCTAGAATGGTCACACATGTGCTCCTAGTCGGGCCCCCAGCGAGTACCGCATGGGTAGCGCCTAGGGTCGGCGCAGGGTTCTCGGTACAAAGGATCAGCGCGTGAGACTCGGCTGTGGACGGCGCCTGCCAGCTGGTAGCCGGTACCTGGGAGCCCCAGACGCGGTACCCGCCGCAGACAAGACGTTGGGCGTCCGTGGAGGGCCGCTGGGCCAATGGGCGGGAACAATGTGGCGCTCCGGGGAAAAGGAAGAAACTGAGGAGAGCGACGAGGGGACCAATTGTCACAAGGGAATTTGCTTGAATAATTTCCCTTTTCAGTGGTCAGTGGGGGGAAGCTCTTTTGGAAGTAACGTATTATTGCCCGCAGGTGCTGGAACCGATGGGTACGAGGACCAGTGTTTTGCTACAGTAGCGATTTCATCAAGGCGATGGGGAGTACCTAGTAATTAGATGGATACCAAGCATTAGGAGGAAGTAGATTACAGCATGTCGTACGGCATCTGTAAGATGAAGGGATCAATCGATATTACTACAGATTACCGTCTCAACAGCGACAGCGGAGATGCCTGTCTTATTACAAAGCACTGCCGATGCCATAACCAGGGTCCGTCCAGGACAGGCTGTCTCAGTATTCTGCACCATGTCTCTGGCCTAGAGCTTAGATCGCTGCTTGCCTTGCTTTTCCACGCATTGGCACTTATACGGATAGCGATACAAGTACATGATTAGCTATGTGTATGAACCAGCACTGGGATCAACCAATATTGCTGCAGTACAGATGCCTTACCCTTTGGCGAGCGACAACGGGGATGCCGTCTTACTGCATCTCATAAAGCACCGAAGAACTGCTGATAACCGTTTGCCAGGGTCTATATAATTGTCTCAATATTCTGCCGTGTGTCTGTGCCTGGATTTCAATTGCTGCTTACTTATCCGCACCTGAGCACTTATACGGAAACTGATGCAGGTACTACATAATAGCTTAGGTATACGAACCAGCACAGGGATCACCAAAGGCCGAGATCCCTACCGGCACGCGAAGCGGTTACATACTATCAGCGGGACTTGAGAGCTCATGATACTAATGCACACACTTCCTTCTGTCCGCTTTGGGGTGCCCAGCTTGCGGTGGAAGAAGAACGCGAGAGACACCCCGCCATATACGGCGATTAACTTGGGCGAATGTTTGCAAAAATCGCCAAAATAAAGAATCCAAGATGGTTAAAATCAGAATGAGGGCTACAATCTGATGATCGCAATCGGGATTTGTGCAGATAGGCCCGAGCCTCGTGTTCTTCTTCCACCACCTTCCCGGGCCGTCTCCGTATGGGGAAATGGGCCGATTGGGCTCCGGCACCGCCTGGATCTGTGATGCCGGCGCTGGTGTATGTTTTCTAGGCATCTACATCTACATCTACATGCATGCTGTAATCTATCTTGCTGGGGTGCTCCGAACATGCTTACGGCCATGGGTCGATGGTGTCGAGGATGACAAACTTGGATCCTGCGCCCAGGATCCTCATCCTCGAGAAGATCCATGCAAACATTCCCAAGTGTAACTCAACCTATCCATTTATTCCATGACTCGTCTCTTTATAATTCGGAGGCCCTACTTGTACTTGCAATACATAGTCCAAAGCAGATTTCCTCGCCTCGGAGCTCAATGCATCTACAGCGTTGACGGGTCCCAGCATGGCAAGATTCTTTGATGTCATCGCGCCAAAGCTCAAGGAGTCCCCCCCCGACCTCTCCAGATTCTCCGCCACAAGCCGCAACGGGGTCTCGGCTCGTCGTTCCCCGGCAATGGCGTCACGATGGCAAACTAAAAGAAAAAAAAAAAAAAACAGTCAGCTCGAATAGCAAATGAAACGTGAAAGAAAATACGACAAATCACCACGATGACGGCAGAACAATAAAACATAAACTTAAAAAAAATTACACTTTGTAAAACAAACAAATCGCAATCCATAATCAGTGCATCTCAACCGCGCTCAAACGCGCATTCCGTCGGCTCCCGTATTTTTTTTTTCTATTCTTTCCCTTATCATTCCAGCCAAGGTCTCGAAATCTTATCTACCAATAATTGGTAGTGCGCACCAGCAATCCAAAACACCAAACAAAGGCTTAACCTCTGAATCAAACAACAACCACCACTTCGTGACGGAGAATAGAAAAAGGCTCAATTTCCAGATTCCCATTTCCTAGATTCCCACCTACTTAGTTACACCGATTCAAAGAACGCTGCAAGTCCGTACTGCGCGCAAAACTTGTCAACCTGAAGCGGCAACTCCTGCATGTCGCCACGAGGCGGCCACCTCAAAGATGAGGTTTGTCTATTCTCCCTTGTCAACAAGCTTCCACGATGCTAGATCCAATTCTGTGCGCTCTTCATGCTAATCTATTTTATTTCTATCTTCACAGGGCTCAAGACTCCAAGTCGTATCAGCTGGCGCAATAGCTGGGCTCGTCTCTCGGTAAGCTTCTCCCACGAATGAACTTTATACATCGTAAAGCAGACATGACAAACTCACGCGCCCTTCTCTCCCTTTTGATAGATTCATCGTCGCGCCCCTCGACGTCGTCAAGATCCGCCTCCAGCTCCAGCCATACTCTCTCTCCGACCCCTTGGCCCCCCTCCGCGAAGCCCCCGCCTACCGCGGCACCGTCCACACCATCAAGCACATCCTCAAGCATGAGGGCCTGACGGGTCTGTGGAAGGGCAATGTCCCTGCAGAGCTCATGTACGTGTGCTACTCGGCCGCCCAATTCACCGCCTACCGCTCCACGACCGTCTTCCTGCAGACCGCGCTGCCCCGGCGCCTGCCCGACTCGGCCGAGACCTTCGTCGCCGGCGCCGTCTCCGGGGCGGCTGCTACGAGTGTCACGTACCCTCTCGACCTGCTGAGAACGCGATTCGCCGCCCAGGGGAGGCACAAGGTGTATTCCTCCCTCAGAGGCGCTCTGTGGGACATCAAGCGCGACGAAGGGTTCAGGGGCTTCTTCCGCGGCCTGGGTCCTGCGCTGGCCCAGATCATCCCCTTCATGGGCATCTTCTTCGCCTCATACGAAGGTCTGCGGCTCCAGCTCAACGACCTCCATCTTCCTTGGGGCAGTGGCGACGCCACCGCCGGCATCATGGCCAGCGTTATGGCCAAGACGGCCGTCTTCCCCCTCGACCTCGTGCGCAAGCGCATCCAGGTACAGGGCCCCACGCGAAGCAAGTACGTGTACAACGACATTCCCGTGTATACTTCCGCAGGTCGGGCTATACGGGTCATTTTCCAGACGGAGGGGCTGCGAGGCCTGTATAAGGGTCTGCCTATTAGTTTGATCAAGGCTGCTCCTGCGAGTGCAATTACGCTGTGGACGTATGAGCAGAGTTTGAAGCTCTTGATGAGCTTTGACGAAAATAAAGACGACAAAGGGGCATTGTAACGGAGCTTGTAACGTTGATTCGTAAAAGCATGTATTTTTATCTAGACTCTAATTATCTAATGACCACTGCTATGAAAACAATCTATCCGTTTTGGTTCCCATTGCAGACAAACGATAAAATCCCCCTCAAAAAAAAAAAAAAACGTAACGAGGCATCATGACTTCCTTAATTTCTCAGCTTGCGGTTCGTCTCATCCGCTCTCTCAATACACTCCTCAATCACCTGCCAGAATTTATCTACGTCTACTCCTCTGGGTATCCTTACGCCCCCTTCGCCTGCAGGCAGCACGTTGGCAATCGTCCGGCCGGTCTGCTTCTCGCCGCGCTGTGCCTCTTCAGCCGTGCCCTCGGTGATGACAGTCACGTCGAAGCGTTCGTTGTGCTTGGTGCCTTGGCTCTTGACGTCATCCCAGTCGTAGAAGACGATCTCGTCAGGAGTACCGGTGAGGACGGCAGCGAGGGCGAGGGGATCGTGGAGGGGAGGGCCGGCAGTGATGCCAAAAACGTCACTATTTGGTTTGTTAGCTGCTACTCTCCAAAACAGACATCTCTCAAGTCCAAAGGGAAAACCTTACGCATAAGTCTTGGCAAAGAAGTAAAGCAGCTCAACCAGCATCGTCCGCAGCGTCGTCTTGCCAGTGCCAGTCTTCTCGCCGTCCTTGCCGTACAGCAGAAGCTCTCTGACCTTCTCCGTAGCCAAGACCTGGTGGCTCAGGTCCAGCGGGACCATGAACATCTTCTTGGCAATCTCCTTGTTGTGGAATATCTCGGCCGCCGCCTCCGGGTCAATGAAGATGTTGAACTCGGCATATGGTGTTGTGTTGCCAATGCGCTCCTTGCCATCGACCGTACCCAGCGGTGCGTCTGAGAAGCCTCCTCCGATGGATCCTCCCATGATGCTCAGTCCCTTGATGTGTGGGATGAGCTCCGGATACTTTCGGAATAGGGCGGCGACGTTGGTGACGGTGCCGGTGGCCACGATCCAGGCTGTGCCGGCCGGCTGGGCCTTGAGAGCAGCAGCCATGGCATCAATGGCGGGCTCGGTGGATGGGGTGCATTGGGGCTTGGGGAGGAGGTCGGTGCCGTCGAGGCCGCTGTCGCCGTGAATGTCAGTCGGCGCGTGAATAGGAGGCCGCTCGAGCGGGTTGCTGTAGCCAACATAGAGGGGGATGTCGTTGTGTTTGCCGAAGGCTGTCAGGATGGAGGCGGCATTGTGTGTAGTATGTCTGGTAGGTTTCAAAGTTAGCTGCGGGTATTGATCAAGTAGGCGCAAAACAATCAGCCTTTCCATCGCACATACTCTAGGGAAGCATTTCCAAAGACTGTAGAAACGCCCAGCAGATTGATTCTGGGGTGATGAGCGGCCAGCAGAATGGCAAAGGCGTCCTGTGCGGAGAATATCCAGTTAGCTCAGACGTCTCCGATTAGGTTCGGCCGGGCGCCTCATGCAATGCGACTCTGCATGAGGCTTGCGTATTGCAAATGAAACAGAAACAAGAAACTCACATCGTGGCCTGGGTCGCAGTCCAGCCAAACGGGCACTTGAGCAGACGCCATATTTTAGGATAGAAGTGGGAGACTCGGGTAAGATTCGAAATAACAAATGGCACTAAACGGGAGACACGATACGCTCTCTATGAATTCGGCTGAAATCTACGGTAGCTTAAAGGCCTCTTTATAGTTATGCTTTGTTTGGGTCACGGAAGGGCGCGGACAGAAAGAATTGGTTGGGATCGAGACACTTTTCAATGCTCCGTAATCGCGGAAACCCACAGCCCCAGACGGTGAAATCGAGAAATCAGCAACCACACTCTCGGTTGACGGCGAGCCTCAGACCAAACGAGGTAGCGTAGGCTATCTCAAGTTTTTGCTGGCAACTCGCCGCCCCAGGGAGCCCGCTTCTTTTTTTTTCTCCGCAGCCGCAAGGCTCCAGAGTGGGGGAATAGCCCATCAAGCCCATCCAACCTGGCCTCGTCCTGGGCTGACCCCTCATTCACAAGTTGATGCTAGCAGGACTAGCATCGCCAGGAACCGAAAGTTTGTGTCATTGGCGTCTGGATTTTAATAATAAAAGCGGCAAGCCGAGACGCTAGGCTCCATTCTCGAGGGAACTTCAAGGACGGCTGGCAAACGTCGGCGTCTGAACCCATATCTGTAGCTACACGTGACGCCGGGCCATTTATATACATGTCTTTGGCTGTTTGACTGGGAGCGCGGAACTCCGCGATAGATAGTCGATTTCTCTCAAGCTGAACAATAACTGGGGTATCTAGTGCGGTATATTGCTTGCTCATCCATCTGCTACAGATTCTGGGGCCGCTCAAAGTGAGAAACTTTGTCCGCCGATTGCGCAGATAAAGCAGGACTTATCGGCCTCCCGCGGCAGGCTATCCTCACCCCGACTTCTTGCGCTGCTCGACGACCCGCATCACGTCCGCCGCGCTGTTAGCATCGCCCTTCCGCTTCTTCGGTCCCCTCTTCCGCTTTGACTTGTCGCCTCTACTTGAACCCTCTTCTCCAGTGTCATCGCCCCACTTCGACAGCTTGACCTTCGAATCGTCAAAATCTTCCTCATCCTCAAATCGACTAGTGCCAAAGCCCATGTCGATGTCATCATCATCTCTACTCTGCATTTGAAGGAGCTTCTTGCGTCGTTCTTCCAGTGCTTTGGCCTCTTCCTTGGCTTTATCATCCTCAGCATCTTGCTCAATGGGCCTGAGAGATGCTGCCTTCTTAATGGCCGCCAATATTGCCGGATCAGACATAGATGGTCCTCTATTTGCTTTCTCGGATATAAGTCCCGTCTTTGCATCTTTGAAGTAGTTGCGCCGTTCTGGCTGTGTAAGAGACGGTTTTGGTGGGGGTGGCATAGATTCTTTGGTGCCAGCTTCCATGCTTACTTTTCGCTGGTTGCTGTCGCTCTCTTCTTCATCCGAATCAGAGTCGGATCCCTCCACTCCGGCCAGCGGATTGTAATCATCGCCAGCATCTTCAAAGATATCCACATCACCATCGTCTTCCTCTGGCTCCTCCTTCTTTCGATATTGTTCAGGAACTTCCATACCTAGCGGTTTAGCATCCTTGTCTGGCATTAGAAGGCCACTCTGTGAATCTCCCTCGTCGCGCTGTACCTTCCGCACTTTCCTCTTCTCATGTCCGTCTTCGTCTACAATAATTAAAACCTCCCTCCCTTTACTGTCTTTCTCGATCCTGGTTCCTGGCTTTTGTTTTGCTCCAATTTTTTTGAATCGATCTCCGAGAGTTGATTCTTGGGCTTCCTTTGCTGCTAGCCGGGCTGCTTTTAGCTCCGCTAAAATTTGGTCGCGTGTTCTTTTCTTCCCTGGAGCCAGAGCCACAGTTGAGAGATTCCCCTTTTTCTTTTCCACCTTTTCCTTTGTGATTGCTTGTACGTCCAGTTCTTCAAGTTGATCGAATTCATCGTCCACATCTTCTTCAGCGGCGACTTCTTCAGGATCCTCTTTTCCCGCTTCCTTCTTTCCGTAGATGTCCTCGCCTTTGCGTATCCTTTCAAGAAGCTTGAAATCGAGCCCCTTTACCAGATGCGTACTCCCAAGATCTCCACCCGCGATTTGGAATCTTAGTTTTTCGTATGTTGACTGATCGATTTCTTCGTCTTTAAGAGCCTTTTCAAGTGCCTTTAATCTCTCCTCCCGGTCATCTTCGTTGGCCTCACGAGTTTGTGACCTGTCGATATAACCCGTACCCAGCTTCACTCCCCTTGGGGCAGATGATTTAAACTTCTTTTGCGGGTGTAGCGCTTGGTTCCTCTCGGCTAGTTGTCGCGCAAAATCGGCCTGTGTGCCCCCTAATGACCGTCTTGAAACCTGAGTATTAGCATAGTCACTCAGAAGGCTTTGATTGTGGTAACGTACGGTGTCATAGGGATGCTGCTTCGCTGTCGAGAACCTAATGATCCATGATTTGCGATGGGACTCGCGCCTGTGGGAGAAGCTCGATCTTTTGACGGCTTGGCCGAGTTAGCCAGCATCAATTTTCGAAATTGGTCATTATTCATGATTGCAAAAATGCCTGGACGCAATAGTAATACAATTTGGCTGTTTTAATAGCAAATTAGCAAAGAGAAGTAGAAAGGCAAACGCTCGCAGCCTTGGAAGACAAGGCTGGCTGTAGCGCTGGAAAGTTAATGGAAGGTCACGGGACGACGTGTAAGAGGCGCGCAGCATCTTCTCCACTTAACGCGGCAACTTCGTTCATCACGTCACAAGCCTCATAACGTATGCCGACATTTCCAATGGGAAGCTGCCGCTGAAAATTCATGAGCAGCCTTGCATAAGCAGCTTTTGAAACGTACCACAGACTGACACACCACTGAAAAATGCCGCCTCAAGCGTGCCGAACGACTCGTTTTGTCTGCTTCGTTGAGTGAACTGTGGGGCTTCACGGACGGCTGTTGCTCTTGATACGTGAAGCTGTGCACCAGCCATAAGCAAGTCGATGACCGTCAGCTTCAAGCTCTCTCCAGTGTGGTTCCTTTACAACTGACCAAGATGAACGGCCCGTTGGAAAAGAACTCCTCCTCGGTGAGGAAGCGCATTGAAAATCATGTCTTTGAGGATGAGGACGGCGATGAGTATGAAGGCAGTGAATTCAATGGGTTTGGCGACTACTTTCGTCGAAAGAAGATCAAACTTCAGAATTTGGATGCCGAGATACGCGCTTCGTCTGACAAGCCGCCTATCTTTAAAGGGATCGTTGCCCATGTTAACGGCTACACTCAGCCGCCCCTTCATGTGTGAGTAACCTCTTCGTCTATAATCACTGCTCGTAAAAGTCCTAACACCACATTTAATGACAGACTTCACCACGATATTGTGCAGCACGGTGGTGGCTTTCTTCAATATCTCGACTCAAAAACCATGGCTACTCACATCATAACAGCCAATTTAACGCTAAAGAAAGCTGCTGAGTTTAGCCGGTACAGAATCGTGAAGCCTGCATGGATTGTTGACTCAATAAAAGCTGGCAAGCTTCTACCATGGACTGATTACCGAGTAATAACTGAAAGCCCTAGCCAGAAAGTCTTGATGTTCGGTAGCAGCGGTGGACTTACCCAAACCAGCCCCTCCCCCGTAAGGCGCAGTTACAAAGAGCAGACAGAGAATAGCTTTTATACAGATCAGATAAAAGCTGAATCACAAAGCGAATTGACGAGCCAGCTCATGGATAAATCTGTTTTACCTAGCCGACGACAGGCCGAGAGATCCGACGACATACTTCCAAACGCAAGTGGACTGGTGGCCTCCAAGCCAGGGGATGACATGGACTATTCTGCAGGTGACAATACGAAAAGCAAGGTCGAACTTAAGGCGCAATTGGTACCCGACTCTGCTAGCTTGGTAGATCCATCGAAAATATCTCCCAAGCATATGACCTCGGAAGAGCACAATGCTTGGTTACTCTCGGATCCGAAGATAAGACAAGCTTCCACAGCCAATCCTGACTTTTTGAAGCAGTTCTACTCCGAAAGCAGGCTCCACCATCTCTCAACTTGGAAGGCCAGTTTAAAGTCATCGATGCAACGCTTAGCGTCCGAAAAGGGGTTGTCAAACCAGAAGAAGACAAGACGACCTGGCTCGAGAAGGTACATTATGCATGTAGACTTTGATAGCTTCTTCTGTGCAGTCTCTTTAAAGCGGCATCCTGAATGTTTGGACAAGCCATGCGTTGTCGCTCACAGCACAGGATCTGGTTCAGAAATTGCAAGCTGCAATTATGTCGCTCGAGAATTTGGCGTTAAGAATGGCATGTGGATGAAAAGAGCTCTTGAGTTGTGCCCTGACTTGAAAGTCTTGCCATATGATTTTCCTGCATACGAAGAAGTGAGTCGCCAATTTTATGGCGCTATCATCAGTGTTGGTGGCATTGTCCAAAGTGTAAGCGTCGACGAGGCATTGGTTGATGCCACTGATATCGTCCTTAAGGCGGCTGAATCTCATGGCCTCGGCGTTGAAGAGGGCAGCCTTTGGAAGGAGGAGCAAAAAGCCGACGAGATTGCGTTGAGCTTGCGCAATCAAATCAAAGAAGAAACTGGCTGTGCCGTTTCAGTTGGTATCGGCGCAAATATCCTGCAAGCAAAAGTCGCCTTGAGAAAAGCCAAGCCTGCCGGCCAGTTTCATTTAAAACCAGACCAAGTCTTGGACATCATTGGGGACCTGAAAGTTGAGCAGCTTCCAGGCGTCGCGTATAGCATCGGCGGGAAACTCGAAGATCTAGGAGTTAAATTTGTCAAAGACCTTAGAGACGTCCCAAAGGATCGTCTCGTTTCAGTACTGGGGCCTAAGACGAGTGATAAACTTCATGACTATGCTCGTGGTATTGATCGATCGGAGGTTGGGGAACAGCCTCCTCGGAAGTCAGTGTCAGCAGAGGTGAGCTGGGGAATCCGCTTCATTAGTCAAGCAGAAGCAGAAGAGTTCGTCTATAACCTCTGCAAAGAATTGGAAAAGAGGCTGGTGAATGAGCACGTCAAAGGAAAGAATCTCACAATGAAGATTATGAGACGCGCTCTTGATGCGCCTCTGGATCCAACAAAACATCTAGGTCACGGAAAATGCGACTCATTTAATAAGAGTGCATCTTTTGGCGTTGCAACACATGACTATCAAACCATTGGCAAAGAAGCAGTTTCAATATTACGCTCATTTCGGTTCAGTCCTGGAGATCTTCGAGGAATTGGCGTCCAAATGACAAAACTAGAGCCCATCAAATTGAATCCCCTGGCTATAGAAGGAAGCCAAAGGAAGATAGCCTTTGCCCCGTTCGTTGAGCCATCTCCTCTACAGAACCAATTGAGAGCAGACCTTCTTGATGGATTAGAAGGGTTAGAAAGTTCGAGGAAAAGGCCGATTTCTGAGTTGGAGTCCAAGTCACTGACAAATGATCTTGCAACACCTCGAAAACACAAATCTCATAATATAAGCGCGATTGCTCATCTAAACGCATCTAGCACGCAGTTCCTTTTGCCGAGCAGCCCTGACCCTGCGGTATTGGCTGAATTACCAGGCGACATCCGCACCAAGCTTATGGCCCAACGTCCCAAGGCAGTGGCTGCCGAATCCAACATAGAGGCTCGCAAGTCAAGATCCAATAGCCCAATGCTAGCGGATCTACTCTCCTCTCAAGTTGATTTGGAAGTGTTTGATGCACTACCAGAAGATATGAAAGCGGAAGTATTGGCGTTATATGGACGAAAACCGACTGAGCCTCCACAGCCCCGGCCTTCACCAAGGAAATCCGAAATGACTCAGTCCAGAAGGCCTACAACTCCAACGAAGGCTAGTGGGGTCGGTATGTTTAGCAAGGCCCAACGCCAGCGAGATGCCCAAGAAGGAATGATTCAAACCAACTTTCGGCCTCCAGTGCCAGCGGAAGATGCTCAACCGGAAGAAATCGAAGAACTGGATCCGGAATTCCTTGCAGAACTGCCTGAGGACGTCAGGAGAGAAGTAATTGCAGATCATAGAAGGCGGCTGTTGGCGCTACAGTCAGGACTAGAGATACCGTTTTCAAAAATCCACCAAGAAACAAGTGTACTGCCTGGAGGCCAAAAAACGATCCAGTTTCCAATGCTGCCGCCAGTTATATCGTTCTCTGGCTCTATCACTTCTTTGCCAGAGATCAAGGACATGGTAGATGCATGGCACTCCCAAACTAGAAAGGCGGGACCGCATAAGAGAGACGTTGACGTTTTGGAAAGATATTTGGTCAAAGTAATCAAAGAAGAACGCGATCTGAGTAAGGCTGTTGCTTTGATTAAATGGTTAAGCGTGGTGGTTGATCAGGATGGGGTTGATAGTAGAGGCCGTCGGGCTTGGAAACTGGCTGTCAGCGGCATTAAGGTGGCCATGCAAGCCGCAGTTGAGGATAGAGGGTTAGCACCACTGCAGATATAACCTAGTTGGATATTTCTATCGTACATCTCTTGTACATATCTGTAGATCGGTTATAGGGGTAACCCAATTCATTAATGATTTGAGCGATTCTTCTAAAACTCGTGAGCAATACTATCACATTTCTAGGGCTTCCTAGTTGTATCTAGTTGTCCAACATGCAGTCAAGTTCGCCTTCTAAGGGAGGAAAGAAAGTCCATTTATATCCATGTAGATTTCAAAGTAAACATCATCATAATCGTAACCTGTATCACATCATCATAGCATCATTACCATCATCACAAGTCCGGTGGAGGCCAGAGTGAGTAGGCCTGGAGTAGATAGTACGCTTGCTGAAGAAACACGATAAACCGTGAGCTTCAAAGAGCCACCGCAGGCAGTAGCATTATCACCCTCGCAGGGATAATTGCAGGCCGTATCATCGAGCTTCTCCGCGATGCCGGACAGCGTCTGGGCGCACCAGCATTCTCTGCACATTTGAAAAAGTCAGCTACCGCATTAGAAACGAGGCCAAAGGTGCCCAAAAGGCTGAGCCATTACCTCGACCACTCCAGCCCGGCATATCGGTACTCTGTGTCGCCATTACCACAAAAAGCAAGACATTTTGGCACCGTCATCTGGCCCGGCAAGCTCTCATCAATTCCACCACCCAAAGCACGCGTATCAGCTGAGCCAGGCACTTGGGTTGTCTCATTGTAGCACCCGTAGTATTTGTATTTATCGGAATCGTTGTAGACAGAGACGGTAGCATTGGCGGCATGGACGAACGGGATGAAGAGAAGGAATTGTAGCAGCATTGACATGGAAGGGCTCATGGCGGCCGGCTTAAGATGGTGATGGATCGATCACCAGGTTTAATGCGTATTCGTACCGTATGAAAGATATAATGCGGTGATAGAATTAAGGTTGCAATCCAAAGTAGACGCTGGGAAGAGATACGCGATGGTAGCAATAAGATATGGATAATTGGCTAGCAAACCGACAATGCGCTATGGAAATTCAAGAAAAGGAAGATAAACAAGTAAGCCAAAAGACTAAGCAGGCTGAAAACCGACAATTGAGCAAGTACGAAAGAGAAGGAGAGATTAAATTACAATTAGGGAGAGAGTGCAGATAGGATGCAGCTGAAATGCAAGCTTATGTACCGCGATAACACGCCGCTATCTGGTGCATGCAACCATCAGCTCAGCGCCAAGATCTTGAATTTTCGGGGTCGCTGCGGTGGCACGTACCGCTACGGCGTCGCTGTTAGTGCAGCTGGGCTGGCGCAGGTTCACTCCTGGGCACATCTCCAAATTGCCTAACAGATGCAGCTCTAGGGAACCTTCTCCCCACACTCAGCTCCCCCCACGCACATCCAGTAAGCCCAAATAGCGGGACACGACAGCTTCTTTTCTTCTTCCTTTTCGCCCTCCGTCTCTTCCACGCATATGCTCTAGTTGCGCCGGAACTTGAGTGCAGCTGCTTGAGCCCTGGGAACGACGTTTCGCCTCGCCCTCATCTTCCTCCGTCTGTATATTTACGTGCGCACCGTCAAGCCAGCACCATGAGCTCCTATATTGATTGGTCCAAAACCACAAAGTCCAAGGACTACCGTGGATCTTCGTCTTTTGCGACTTTTCTGATTATTGGCCGTATGTCGCCCTGCCATTCTGTCGCTTGTGCCTCGTCCCATATATACCAAGCTGCGATATTGGTGGCTATGACGACGTGAATTATCTTGTGCTAATTGGTTCTCCAGCGACATGCTTCTTCCTGGGCATTCTCTTCGCGTCGTTTCCGTACGACTTCCCCCTCCTGTGGACTAAGGAGCCCGTCGCCCTAGACTACTATGATCAACTCGAAACGCACCTCAAGTTTATACACCAGTCGCCCCCGCTCATCGGCCGCCTCCTCAACATCATCATGAGCGTGGGCTTCCTCGGCCTCTTCATCAAGCTCTTCCGCCCCAGCGAGGCCAACTTCCTCTTCGATGGCGCTTCGCTGATCCTATACATTATCGGCGTGGCAGTCTACATCTCCAACATCGTCAAGGGCCTGCGCACCGTCAGCTCCGGCTTCTGGCACTCAGAGGAGTTCAAGGCCGCGGAAGGCAGGTTCGACGGCGAGATTGTCCTGGGGAGAGAGGACAGCTTGAAGGTGCTTGCTGCAAGCAATACTATTCTTGCGCTCGTGTTGGTGGGTATTCTTGTGCTGCAGGCAGGGCAGTGGTATGCCGAGAAGAGGGATTGGGATGACGAGAAGGAAGTGGCGAAGAAGGACAATAAGAAGAAGCAGTGAGGGGAGCCTACGACATCCAAGGAAAGATGTACGACCTTACTAGCGGTGAGAGTATAGTGGTATGAGCAGGTTTTACGATAAAGTGGTTTATTTGTAGCATCGGGCTTACCGGATCTCCGCAAGGTTGGATAGTGCAAATCGTTCGTATGGCCGATGAATGCCTCAATGGCAGGCCGATGTAATAATGGGACTAGATATAACTCCGGCTGTCTTTAAGGCTTGGGAACTGTAATTTGTTTATAACTACGGAACACGTATATAGTTACCTCTATCAACTAGAGTACTCACTAGGGCGGATATGGGCCTTGATCGGCATCAAGAATTTCACTTATTACGAAACAAATGGATTGCCAAGTGAATTTCTAGCCTCAATGGAAAAAGTAGATCCAAAACTTTGCACAGAATGTTGGTGTAAGCGTAGTATTGGTACCAATGTGGATAATGCTACGACATCTTGGTGGATATTGCTTCACGTTTTGACCGAGAAAAATTATCAGATCATCTGATAAGAAATTAGATTCAATTGAGTGTCGTAATCTGGCGGGGCAGGGCGACCCGCTTGACAAGGCCAGGATGTGAGCTTGCCTGCAGAAAATGACTGCAGCATGAAATTCTGTCAGACTGGAATTTACACTCGGGCTTCATCAGCACTGTGTATGGCAGGATCTACTCGACTGTGCTGTATAGCAAGTTGGAATAAGAGATTTTGTAGCAAAGGTACGAAGTGGCCCACATCCCGTAAGTGACACGAGTCTTGTATAAGTGTTTCCGCAAACGGCATTATTGTCATTTTCTCCTAGAAGAGGCTAAAAGAGGCATGTACTCCGTAGCTAGGATGAAAACTCGATCATGGAGCAAGTGGGTAGGTTAAAGCTTCAGACCCAGGAGATCCAGCAAAAGCGTACTAAGGTTATAAGCAACTAGGTACAGTACTCATGAATGATGAAAGCGCCCTTCCTGGAGACGACACCCTTGCTGGAGATAGCGACGTAGGCATAAGTTGCATGAGGCGCTAGGTATAGCGAGTCTTACAATCAGCCTAAAAATACAAGCCATCATGGACATTAGCTGCCAAAGGCTCGCTCAATGGCGATTTATCCATTGCGGAGGGCTTCTACAATACTATTATAATGTATGTCCAATAAGCCAAGTCGTGGTGCCTGGGCGGCCTCCCTACTTCATGCAGCTGAGCGGTTTTTCTAGCTTGTCGTAAATTGCCGAGGCGACAATGTGAAGAAGGGCATGGATGCAGAGGTGTGCAAACATCACACCTTAAGCAAGCAAGGAGCCGTGCCAATAAGCCGTCCCAGGTACTATACAAGGCGATGATTCCATAAATCTAGCCAAGACACCGGTGCTTCTCGAATAATAGTTCTGAGCACTAATAATAAATATTATGGCGTGGGTGATGGGCGGATTGGCGGTTTTTGCGATTATACTTGTGCTGTCTTGTTCTTCTCCAACGTGATCATCTATTTAGTATGAGTCAAATGTTTTCAACAGATCGACAACTGCCGGGAGCTTGACGAGCAGATCTCTGTAATACGTAATGGCATTCTGATTCTGGGTGTTTCTGTCACTGTGCGTAGTACAGTATGGATGACGCAGGTGCTCCAGACTAACTGAACGGGACAAGAACACATGCAAGTGCCGGGGTCCTGAAATACTCGTAACCGATCTCGGCAGGCACACGAATCAGAGCGGCGCATTGGACCCAATCGTCGCTGGCTCGCATCCTATCGATAAGCCGCGATAAGATTGAAATTTTACAGTCACACCTTGGGAGTCAGACCAAGGCCGGGTAGAAACAGCAAATTCGATCGAGGAGTTAAACCCAAGACGTTGTTTTCTCCATGCAGCCGAGCCACATCTTCACAATGTAGGGCTGGGTCCTTGTCGCTCTCCTTTTTTCTCTTCAAACTGGTCTCCTTGCTACGAAAAATCCCGCGACTGCTCTAGACTGCGACCAACTCCGCCTCCCCTCCGGGTGTCACTTCTTTTGCGCAACATTGCATAGCATAGGGCCAAGTCGGTGTGGATTCGCCTTCAGGTCCCGTTTATTGCGAGCTCAACGTCCTATCCCCTTCACCCCACACTGACAAGTCTGGTCGCCCTAAATTTAAAGCTTTTTAACATCCTTGTTTCTGCGCCGCCGTCTCTGGATCGCACTCTCATCGCCGTCAAAGCTCCCGCGCTTTCGCAATTTACTGCTGCACCACCAGCCTCTGCCTGCTCGCCGTATTCTTTCAAACCTGCTTTCAACCCCCGCTCCCACAGGAGAGGGGGGCAAAGCTAGGACTGAAAGACGTGCGCTGAGGGGAGAAGAAAAAAAACTTTGGTTTTGCATCTTCTTCTCTTGACGCCGAGTTATCCACAGAATGGCCCAGGCCACCCTCGATGCGACTACTTCGGTAGCAGTCCAGCCTGGAATGGCGCTTCAAGGAAAAGTTCGATCTGCCACTATGGAGGCTGCTGAAGACATCATCTATGGATCAGTTAGTACACCAAGAGCCCAAAAATTTAAAAACCATGGAGAGAAATCTAACGGGATTGGGGAATAGGTCGCAGGCATTGCCGGAAAATACATCGAATACCCCTTTGACACGGTCAAGGTTCGACTGCAGAGCCAGCCCGACCATTTGCCGTTGCGATACACCGGCCCCTTGGACTGTTTCCGACAATCTATAAAATCCGACGGCCTGCGCGGGCTGTACAGGGGAATCAGCGCCCCTTTGTTCGGAGCCGCTGCAGAAACCAGCAGTCTCTTTCTATTCGAGAACGTGGGGCGAGAGCTTCTGTACCGAGCTCATATAGCTTCTCGTGACAAAGAGCTGTCACTGCCCTCGCTATGGTTGACTGGTGCTATATCTGGAGTCTTTACTTCCTTTGTCCTGACGCCCATTGAGCTTGTCAAATGCAGGATCCAAGCCCCGGCGGTGTCAGAGGGAGCACCCGTAGCACCCTTGCGACCTGTGGCTGTTATTCGCGAGGTATACCGACACGAGGGAATCAGGGGCTTTTGGCACGGCCAGCTTGGCACACTCATCAGAGAGGCTGGTGGTTGCTCTGCTTGGTTCGGAGCCAAAGAGACGGCCACAAAAGCATTCTATAAGCTGAGGGTTCGTTCTGCCACCTCTGAAAAGGAGAAAGAGGCGGTTCTTTCGAAGCCTCTCCCTCTATGGCAGCAAGCTATTGCCGGCGCGTCGGGAGGTGTCACATACAATTTCTTATTCTTTCCCGCCGACACTATCAAGTCTCGCATGCAGACGTCACCTGTCGGCACTGGCCAACGTCGGGACTTCTTCAGCGAGGGTATGGCTATTTGGAGGCACCACGGACTGCGAGGGCTCTATCGTGGGTGTGGCATTACCTGCGCTCGAGCGGCCCCCAGCTCTGCCTTCATCTTCATGGTTTATGACGGGCTGAAACGATATCTTCCCATGCAATAAAGCTTGTGAGGGGTGATATACCTATTCAGCGACAAACATTTCTTATTCATTTCTTTCTAATAATTTACCATTTCTCGGGCATTTTTTTCATGGCCAAAACCACTATGTGTAGCTGGGTTGCATATTTAAGAGGCATTCCAAGAGCGCTTTTTTGCAGAATTTTGTTTTCGAAGACTGGGTGTTGGTGTATAAAAAAAGGGGGAGATTCTGGGTTATAACTGGACATGGAGCGGTGATAGATATTTATGGGATGATGTTGGTCTCGCAATAGATAATTCAATTATCCTGATTTATATGACTCGAGTTGTTCAGCACGATTTGATTCAATGCTGAAGCGTGACTCTGATAATATGTTGATGGGCCTGTTAACTTTACTATTGCTTTTCATCGACTCTGATAGTCTCCTTGTCGGCCAAATCCCAGCCGTTGAGGTATCCAGCGCCAGCGCTCAAATACGTTGCAAAGCCCAGCCATGCGATGTATGGAGCTTGGCACCAGCCCGCAACTTGGTCGATAGATCCCCAAAGAGAAGCTAGATATCCATTGAGACCCAGCAGGACGACAATGTCGGCGGTGGCTTCGATTGGGCGTTTGGCGACGAAGAAGAGCGGCATCCAGGCGAGGTTGAGGCCGAGCTGAATGGTGTAAACGGTCATGCTATGCTTAGTTGCCTGGATGGTCTGTGGAGAAGAGAAAGGTGAGAGGCCGGTAAATGTAGCACGGTAGGCGGCGTATCCCATGAGACTTGGAGGAGGGATCAGTCAGTTAATCGATTATAGCAATCAAAACTACAATAGAGAAACAAGGTATGGAGATGTCATGAGTCCGTCAGAGGGAGATGTACCCGTAGAGAACGGTCCATACTGGGCCGAAGACCCATGGCGGAGGGTGTAAGGGAGGTTGCTTCAGTTCAAGATATTTCTTTTGCGCCTTGGAGGCTATGCCAATTCAAATGCTTGCGGTTAGCCTTTTAGCCATTACATGATCCACGATGTTCCCTACGTCGAGTTCCAAAACCAACGGAAGTGCCCAATGCGATGGGAAGGAGGATGGAGGAGGCGGGATTTAGAAACACGTTTGTAGGGATTGTGATGGCTGGGATGTACGTCGTCATTTTGATAGTATGATTGTGAATAGTTTTAGAAAAATTTGAGAGAAAGAGATTATGTGAGGGATTAGGGAGAGGAAGGTTGTTGAGATTTGAAGGGAGGCGATAAATGGTAGTGATTGGTTTGATGGCCTTTGTGATTCTATGACGCAATGAACCGATTGGTCTGGCGGGAGGTCTGGCGGGAGATCTGGAGGGGAATGCAGCATCGATCAGGTGTGGGCTAGAAGCTACTCCAGCAGCCCAGGTAGCTGGATTTTCAGAGCTTTAGTGCTGCCAGGGCTAAGGGGACGAGATGGCGTTTACATCTTTCTAATTTCTAAAACAGACAACGACGCTGTTACTGAATAATAGATCACGGGAAGCGAAATCTCGAATACGATTTTACTTCTTACGATTAAAGAAGCCTAAGTTGTTCTGCTTTATCTGAACACGCTGCGCTACGTAGCCCTGCCTTCAATCTTGGGTGGGACTAAGCCGAGCTCCAAAGAACTTGTATATGAACTGTCCCCAATTATCTCTGTCTCTTGGACTTTTTCTTTTTACGTCTGTTTACAGCCTCGGGATTGACTATCTGTTTCTTGCCAATTTTCGGCCTATTTGTCCGTTTATTTTTCGGCGGTTGTTTAGCTGGACCTGAGTTTTCGGTCTTTCAGTCAGCATAGTCACGACTGATCTCGTCCTTGAACCTTACCTTTTGCCAATGCAGCTTTGACCATTTCCATAACACTCTTATCAATAGACTCACTAAGCAGCCTGAGTGATCTTGTTGCTTCGCTAGTAGAAGCTTTGTCTTGGTTGTGGATATCACTTTTGGCCAATGCCTCTTGAAGGCTTGCCATATCTCGAGACCGAAGGATCTCGATGACTCTCGTCGCTAATATTGGCACCTCTTTACGTGCCAGTTCATAATCATCATTCAGTGAGGGTGAATATACTCGCATCCGGTCAGATATATCGTTGTGATTGCTGCATGAGTTTTTCCACCTACTCTGTCGCTGCACTTCTTGTTCGTAAACATTCTCAATTTCAAGTAATAGAGGTGGAGAATACTCTTCCGGGCGGAGGCATTGTTCCAAAAACATGACTTCTTCATCTTTAGCTCTGATTACAGCGGCCAAGGCGTTTACTTTAGTTACTTCAAAGAGCTGTTTGATTTCGTTGAAATATGATTCCGGGTTTTCTTTCTCAGATTCCAAGAACGGCTTTGAAAACTTAAAATGCGGTTCACGCAGTATTTCGATCTCAATTGGAAAAGTCCCAGCATGTTCATGTTTCCTCAGTGATTGGAGGGTTTTATTAGCTTCATAGAATGTTTCATAAATATCGGCAAGTTTATGAAGCTTTTGCCCAAGTTGGTCACAAAATGTCATCGGGATTGCGTTAATGCACTCTAGTGGCGATTTGAGAGAATCGTAAGCAGCTGATGCGGTAGAGCAGAGAGCCATGGCTGCAGTATGGGCCAAGAAACACAAAGGTTAATTTTGCAGAATAGTACGTCTCTAAACACCAATGGACTGTTATCATAATCGATGCATATAGTAGTAATCATTAAGAGAAAAACTACCGGGAAAAAAAATCAGTCCATGGCCTGGCTGGCCAATTGCTTTTACATTTCGCTGTGCCATGCAATGCAAGTCATCTCTCTCCAAGGCTGGGATCCCACTTCAAGGGCGTTGTATTGCGCGGTACGTACCCGCCTAATTGATTTTCTCGCGTCTAACCGCCGCTGAACGCGGTCCATCGCGCGCCAAAAACGCGACCCGCTGGCCTGCGGCAGGCACTTTAGCGCGTATTTAGCGGGTACGCAGAAACACCCCTGGTTCAACACCAAAAACGCCCTTTTTCTTGTAGCCACAGCTCCAGCTTTCCTCATAATACCCTCTGCACCTGCGATTTTCTTCCTAACCTGCAACTCCATCTCGCTTTTCTCCCTCCGTCTTTGCATCAACTTGGAAGGCACCTGTGACTCTCCTCACCCTACAATCGCTGCTGCCGTTCATTTTCACGACTTGTCCGGAAGGAGCTCCTGGACTACAGGTTTTTCATCGTCAGTTGCAATGGCCCGTCCTTCCGAGTTGAGAAAGCGAACGCGCAGTATTGTCGAAGATGGTAAGTCCTGCTGTGGCTCCTCCACACCTACGTGCCTCGGCAGATATTAAACGACGTCTCTTTTCAGTCATACAAAGCTCTCCCAGCAAAAGACTTCGCCGATGCCGCCTGGCGTCCGTCTCATTCAACGATGAGAACCAGGACCCTGACTATGATATCGACGAAAATGATATCGACAACGACAGCGAAGGCGAGGAGGTGCTGAAGGAGCCGTCGCCGCGGAAGTTCAAGCGGAGCCAGTCACAAACCTCATTAAAATCCAATCCTGTCACGCCCTCCGCTCCTCGGCATCGAGATGTACTCGGCTCTTATCCCAGCACGCCGCGGCACGCGGTCATGTCAGCCGGCAAGCTCTTTAAACGACTAACTCCCCAATCACCTCTAACACCCACCACAATCCAGACCGTGTATCACCAGGCCCGACAGCTGTTTGCCAGAGGAGCGGAGCCTGGCCAGCTGGTTGGAAGGGAGGCCGAGCGAGAGCAGCTAACGACTTTCCTGGATCGCGTTTCAACATCATCTCCTGGAGGATGCATGTATATCAGTGGTCCGCCAGGCACTGGGAAGAGTGCTATGATTACCAACATAGCCAAGACTTATTCTGAACAGGAAGGAGTTCGCAGCGCATACGTCAACTGCATGAGCATCAAGTCATCAAAGGATTTGTATCAAACACTACTAACTGCCCTGGGCGAAGACGGCAGCGATCTATCAGAAGCTGAAGCCATCTCATCTCTACAGAAAATGTTCTTTTCCAAGGCTAAATCGTCTGCTACATATCTCGTAACCTTGGATGAAATTGACCACATTCTCACGCTGGATCTGGAGAGTCTTTATCGATTATTCGAGTGGTCATTGGCAAAGTCTTCCAAGCTGTTGTTGCTTGGAATTGCCAATGCTTTGGATCTTACCGACCGCTTTTTACCGCGTCTCAAGTCGAAGAATCTTAAGCCAGAGCTACTCCCCTTCTTGCCGTATACTGCAGCTCAGGTCAAAAATATCATCATTACCCGGCTGAAATCCTTGATGCCCGAAGGACAAGAGGGCTTTGTTCCCTTCATTCATCCTGCCGCTATCGAGCTCTGTTCCCGCAAAGTTTCGAGCCAGACTGGAGATCTACGCCGAGCATTCGAGATCTGCCGCCGAGCCCTAGATCTGGTAGAAGCAGAGACCCGGTCAAAGCACGAGGAGGAAGCGCGACAGAAATTCCTGCAATTGACGCCTACCAAGAAACCCCTTGGAGAGAACATCAACGGCAACTCGGCAGGCGGGTCCACTCGCAGCGTCTTTCAGATTACCACAGCATCACTTAAGGCTTTGACAGCGGAGACGGCTCCACGAGCATCGATTGGACATTTGAACAAGGTGACAGCTGCTGCTTTTAGCAACGGAACAACTCAGCGTCTCAAGGCCCTTAATCTTCAACAGAAGGCTGCCTTGTGTTCCTTGGTAGCCTATGAGAATCACATTCGAACGATGGCTAAGGGGGCTAGCGCGCCTCATACCCCGAGCAAATCACAGACAATGGCGCCCACTATCAAGATACTCTTTGATAAATACTGCAAGCTGTGTCTGCGTGACTCTGTGCTTCACCCATTGTCGAGCTCCGAGTTCCGAGAGGTGGTCGGTAGTCTCGAGACGCTGGGTCTTGTTAATGCAGTGGAAGGGAAAACTGGTAGCTTTATCATGCCGCAAACACCTAGCAAGCGTGGCCGAAAAGTGGCAGCCGCCAGTGGTGATGAAAAACGAATCGCCAGCTGTGTTGGCGATAAGGAGATGGAGTCAATCGCCGATGGTATTGGTGCCGATATTCTGCGAACTATTTTGTCTGGCGAGGCGTTGGATTGAAAATAAAAGGAGAGCATATCGTATGAAGTGTATTATGTTGTATTAGCATTGGTTTGGCGCATTTGGTTTTTCTTCTTCTTCTTCTTTTTTCTTCGAACTGTCACGACTGACAGCATTCATTGGCGTTGAGAACTAGTTCTGATTATTTCGTTGAGCACTGAGCATTACGAAGAGGTGTTTGTATATTGCATGAAAAGGCGAGCATAGCATGTCAGATAAGGACGTTTTAAACACACGTTAGCTGATACAGAGAGAGGGTGTTTATGAAACCAAATGAACGAATAAGGATTCGATTATCTCAATACTTCAAATACATGTGTGCTTTGTATTATTGCGTAATGTCTTTAATGCGTTGCTACCATTACGATGTGTCCAAGTTGTTATTAGTACCTATACTTTGTATACTCAGACGGAATGACTGTATGATTAATACTGGCTTTGACCAGAATTCACACCGAAGTAAGACACGCATAATCAGCATCCGTATCTCAGTTGCCTACTTATACGAAGTATCATACGAAGTATCATACGAAGTGTCATAATACGAATAGCCTCTCGTAATGCCGTGCTATCACCGCCGGTTGATTGGTGGATCAATGACAAACAAGTATTGTTGGGGTCTATCAAGTATCACACGTATTCGTGTTGTCTACTTACTTATGGAGCAAGGAGCGCAGGGATTACCAGACGTGTCATGTTGGCTGGCCGCTCTCTTGCAATGTCAATGTACAGACGTGAAGCATACCAGCAAGTGTGTATGTGACGGCTTATGATGCGTACAGCAGCAGCTCTGACTTGTGGTACCAGGCCACTATCAAATGAAACTATAGAGAGCCAACAACACCACTAGTACAAGCATGTGCCGCACGATCCCCGCAAATTTCATGCAATAAATGGATCGGATTGACCGGACCGGGCAATCATTTGATGCTACCTAGTAGCATTTGGGACGCACCAGGCAAATGACGGGATTCAGCTCACAACACCCTGTGCAGCGGACACAAGCATGACCAAGCTTTTTTCTTGGCTCTATCTCCCCGAGATGCCGGTATCCAGAAAGACCCTTCCGCGAGACCCGAGCAACGGGGTGGGAAGGGGGAATCCTTGTCTGCGGATATGGGCCCAGGCTTCTGAAGGGAAGAAGAAGCAGCCAAATCACACGATCGAAAACCCCCCTGGGAAAGGAAGAAGAGAACCTCCAAAAAAGAAAAAGAGGATGGGCGCGCTATGGGTTTGGGGCGGGTGTGCCTGAAGGTGGGCTGGCAAGGGTTGGGTGAATCTTGGTGGCATTTGACTGGCTTACGTCGCAAGCTTACGATAGACAGAGCAGGGGTTAGGGGGGGGATCGTAGGGGGCCTCTATTTTTCTCGGGGCGACTATCCTCCAGCTTTTGTTTCCAGGACGTGGTCTCACTGCGGTAGGGCCGCGGGAGGTTCGTTTGCATTCAATGCATCTACCTCCGTACCTACTTATTCAATGATTGCCGCTAGGGTTGCTATTGGGGTTTGATGCATCGTCACGGATGTACCTCTTTCGTACAGTATTAGTGCTGAGACCTGGACATATTTCGTGCGTGCATGCAGAGTAGGTACCTTGGTAGTTCAGTAATTCCCAGTACATGCAGGCGGGAGATTTGCTCGAGACTGGGCTGCGGAGCACTGGAGCCAGCCGAAAGAGGCAGGATGGGTGCGGCTTTGCTCCTGCGCTCTACATTGGTACTAGCAGTAGGCAGGTGCTGGCTCGATCTGTCTTGCCTGAGTCTGTATTCGGATTTGCATTTGGAGATTGCCTAGATTTAGATCCTGCTATTTTTACTCTTGTTCTTCGTCACTTGTTTCTCCCCTTTTCCTCTCTTCTGCGTCTCTTGTCTCTTCTCAATCCATCCCGCTGCTAATATTATCCCACCACATACTAATCTGGCCGTCGTCGTCATCGCTGGAATGCGTTTGGTGCTAATAACCACGACGACTGAGGCGCACACCCGAACCTTCCCTCTTTCCACTCTGGCCCCTCCTCCGCCGTGCCGGTCTGCCGTTTTGCTGGAGCTGGAGCAAGGCTGCTGGTGCAGTTTAATCACAACTATTGGTTTTTTTTGGTTCCTAACGACAGAGAGAGGCAGAAGTGATAAATCCCACGGACCTAATCTTATTTCCATATTTCCTTCTCACCTTCTCCTGCTTCATTCTTTGGCATGTGCTTTTGCTGGTTTATAAAAAAAAACCAATCATTGAACTATTGATTGATTAGCACTACGACTGCTACTGCTACTGCTGCTAGGGGATCCATCATTTTTTTTGGAGCTGGGGTACCGCTGACTAGGTACGATTAATCTACGAGACCACGAGCCACACGAGCCACGATCGCAGACTACGGCCACCCACGACACAGAGAGAGGCAGAGAGGGAGAGAGACCGCGACAACCACAACCGTCTCTGCGGCCGTAGCAGCGCCCGAGTCCGCCTTTGTCACGCTCATGCCACCAGCACCGTCTCGGCGCATAGGCGGCGTGTCAACATCGTCGGCCTCGGCGTCCGTTTCGCTGCCGTCGCTTCCAGGCGTTCCTGCCACTGCCAGCACCTCATCATCGCCAACGCCGTCAATCCCCGCAACACCAATCGCAAGAACGAGGACAGCGACATCAGCCTCCCCGTCAGCCTCAACGTCTACGCCTCCAACACCTACGCCTGCGCCCGCACCGATCTCTACTTCTGCTCCGACTTCCTCTGCTACCTCCCTGTCGCGCCCCGGCTTTCTCGCGCGACTGGGCTCCTCGATCAATCTGCCTTTCCCCTTACGAAGCCGCAACCGCAGCGTCGCCGATTTCCATGTCCGCTGCGACGAGCCACACCGCAAATACAATGCCGGCGACCACGTCCACGGCGCCGTCGCCATCTCCGTCGTCAAATCAGTGCGCTACACTCATCTAGTCGTTGCCCTCCATGGCTTTGTGCGCGTGCTCAAGGATCCCGCCGGAGGTAGAAAGGGACGAGACATTACGGCGCTGCCGCAAGGAGGAAGCTCCTCGCGGCCACAGTATCACGGCAATGGCTTCGCAAGCCTCTTCCAGGATGAACAGGTTTTGAGCGGCGAGGGGAGGCTCGATCCCGGCCGGTTCGAATTCCGCTTCGACTTGGTGTTCCCTGACAAGGGACTCCCGAGTAGCATTGACGTGAGTTACCGGTCGCGTGTGCGCACGCGCGTGGCACCTTGCCAAGCATAAACAACGTTGGTTACCGCAGCAAATGCTAATACATTCCTCTTTGTCGAAATCTAGTTTGAACGCGGAACTATATCCTACATGATCACAGCGACGCTAACACGCCCCGTCTCCATGTCGCCGACAATGACATGCGAGCGAAAGGTCATATTGGCAGAGAGGATAGACGTTGGCCTTATCCCGCCGCCAGCACCCAGAACCATATTCCTTGAGCCTATAAATAGGAAAATGAAGAAGAAAAAGTCGTCAATGGCACTGGACAAGACCACTTTTGCTGCACCAGAGGCCGCTGACGTAGTATCTGAGCCTGATGGCCAGGAACCAGTAGAGGATTCCACCGACCAACAAAGTGAGCGCCGAGGAGCAGCCACATCGAGCGATGTGCAGAGCGAAATCAGCGGCGAGAGTGGGCGCAGCATTGGCACTACCATGAGTCGGAGCGACTTCACGCAGCTGTCACATGTGGGCACTACCGCTGCCATGTCGGCTCAGCAGCAAGCGGTCAACGACAATACCATCACTGCCAGCATAGAACTGCTCAAAGGCGGCTGCCTCCCAGGTGATGCTGTGTCAGTGCGGGTCACGGTGCAGCATATCAAGCAGATTAAGAGCATGACTGGTGTCATCGTGACTTTGTTCCGCCAAGGCAAGATCGACTCCTCTCCGCCATCACAACTGTTCAAGAACATGATGACCAAAGAAGACGCTCGTCGTCTACAAAAGGAAGACATATATCCCAAATCCCGTACGGGGCTGGGCGGGATTTCACTCTCGTCGACAGGCTCCGTTAGCGTGTTTCGTAAAGACCTCGATCAGACTACCGCACCACTTATCATCGATCCAGCAACCATGTCGGCATCTGTCACAGTGCCGGTCAAGATTCCCGACGATTCTTTCCCGACAATCAAGGGCGTTCCGGGAGATATGATTTCCTTCAAATACCAGGTAGAAGTCCTTGTCGATCTAGGCGGGAAGCTGTCTGGCAATTTCCCATCCCGCAAAACTTCTCGATACGCCACCGTGAGCCATAGCACTACAGACCAAAGTATAAACATGTTCTCGCAGAGGAGAGGGGCTCAGATCGAAATCATTGATACGTCGCCCCTCAGGAGGCACAAGGGAATTGTTTGTGTGGCGCTCGAGTCCGTCGTCGGCACACTGGACTCTTCAGGGACTCGGAAGCTCATCAAGATGTCTTCATCATCTAAAACGCTTGATAATCCAGAGAGCGATGATGAGGTAGACGTTGTTCTTCCAACTCCAACTCGCTATGAAGATATCGACCGTGGTAACGCTCATAATACCCATGGGCCACCGCCGCAAGAATACTTTCCTCCTCGGACAGATCATCAGCGTCCATCATATACTCCTCATGACCCTTCTCGTCCAAGCTATCCGCAAACAACGAGGCTCCCCGATTTTGCACCGTCGTATGTCCCACCCCCGCCTCAATTGCCTGATCAGACGAACTTGTCAGAGAAAGATCGTATAAGACAAGCAGAGCAGCGACTGTTGCCTAGCCAGCCACCTGCTGGTCCGTCCAACCTCACCGCTGCTAGTCCATCTGCACCTGATGAGGACGACATTTACGATGCCCAGGCCACGCCAAGACCACCTTATGCTGGCAACTCGGGGGAAGAAGATAACACAGCACCATCCGCCCCAACTGAAGAGGAGCTTGCAGCTGCTGCCAATAGCTCGGTACAAGCCGGAGAAGATAAGCAAGAACGTGAGAGGAGGCGCCTTATGCAAGAAGCCAGCGCACCCCCTGAGTTTCCTGAGGATATGGACCAGAGCGGCGATCCTGGCCGAGCCCCTAGAGAAGATGAACTCACGGCGGATGCTGTACCAACAGCCCCCATGCTGGATGAGGACGAAGATGAGCATGCTTATCCAGACTATAGAGCTGTCGCAGGAACATCTGCGGGGAGCACAAGTGCACAGAGAAGGCAGGATGATGATAATGGGGAGCAGTTGCCGGCATACCAGCGGTGATGCATACAGAGAGAGCACAAGAGCAAGGCTCATCCATCTTTTACTATTTTTTTCTATTTTCTTCTATTTTAAATTTGCATGTTTGCATCACATTGCATGGCTGGCGTTGGGTCACAGATAGGATTGGGGATACACAGGGTATGCTACGCTATATCACGAGTCAACCCATTGGTAATGACTGCTTTACTCTTTTTATATATGTGTATATTCTGGTTCGAGCGGGCATTGGTATTTTTGAGGCAGAAGGTTGGCTATTTATAGCAGGGATAGGGAGGCATGACTGTTCGTGTACATATATACCTATATAAACCAATGGATATCTAAGTAAATTTAATCAATTTTGTGGATTTATTTCCTCTCTGTGTTGATAACTAATTACACATATTGGTGTCTTTTCAAGCACGATTGCTGTCTTGTGTGCGACATGGTTTTCCCAGATGTTATTATAAAATGTCTATCACCACCGTCTAAATGCGCCTTTCTCATAGACTTCTTTTCATGTCCAGCCAAGATTATACATGGCATATAATACACGCTCGAGTCATCCCTCCCGTCTTTGAAAGGGTGATCGATCCCCTCCCCTTGTCAACATCAATGCTGCAACACCACTGGCCTGCCCTCCTCCCAATTATCCAGGCTCTGTTTGATATTGACCCAATATCTCAGCCTCACAGCCTCCTTCTTCGCCGCCATGACATCATCCTCATGAAACGCCTTCTCCAGCACATCCTCGCTCTCCCGGATGCGCTTATCGTTGACGGCCCTCAGCTCCTGCAGGTCCTCCTCGGCCGTGGCATCGGAAATCTCCTCGTGCGCCTCCAGCACGACCATGAGCAGGCTCGGATCGTCGACCTGCATGGTCTCGTCGGTGGCGACGTCGACGCCGCGCAGGGAGAGGAGGTACTGCGCGCGGAGGAGCGGGTTGGCGAGGGTCTTGTAGGCCTCGTTGATGAGGGCCGAGGTGGCTTCGGCGCGGGTCTTGAGGGGTCCCTGCGGGTGCATGTCTGGGTGGTGGCGGGCTTGGAGCTGGAGGAATTCGCGGCGGAGGGCGCGGGTGTTGATGGGGAAGTGGCCCGAGGGAGGGGGCCCGAGGGGGAGGGTTTCGGGGAAGATTTCGTAGTGGGTTGGTGGTGGTGGTTGTGAAGTTTTTGGTGGTGATGATGTATTGTTGGAGTCGGGCTCGGGCGCGGAGGCGGAAGCTGCAGAGCTGCGGGAAGAGAAGAATGCTGCGCTGCGATATGATGGCGGCAATGCTTTGTTGAAGCTGCCAATGGATGCTGTGATGCTATGCGACGGGCGGGTTGATATCCTGCCCAGAGGCAGAGCTTGTGAGGCTTGTATGCGACATCGCGCGCAGAGCCGAGTTACGTCACGGAGAGCAATTGCTGTGGCGGCCGGTGAGCGCATAGTGGTGTCCCGATGTAGAAACAGCGCTGGATGAAACAATGAATGAGTAAATGAATAAATGAATAAATAGAAATTAGAAACAAAGATGAAAGATTGATTGGAAGAAAACAAGCAGTAGCACTATATAATTACTAAGTGCATTACTAGGTGGCTGCTCTTTGAATTTGATTTTCTAGAGTTTTAGTGCAAGGATGCAATATGCATTTGATACTCCGGAGTTCTCTCGGATATAAATTCGGCCGAGATATATCCTATGCTACCCGCTACTATCGTCATAGCGACCTAAAGTTACTGCGAGGTGCAAATCCACTGTAAGCTACCAATTACTGCAAAGATACCTATTAAAGAGAAGATTGGGCTCCTTCAATACTACTATCGATACCTTTAGCAAAGACTACATCTTTCTTTCCATACATACACCAGAATTATATGGCTTGCCAATATGTAAACAAATGATATTGTTATTGCTGGCCCATTTGTCCTCTCCTTGCCGCTTGCCCTTGCACAGGCAGCTTCATTTATCCAGGAAAACGGCATATCGATTGGTGATTATATTCAGCTGTTAGACGAGAGTAACTCTGCGACTTATCGGCCAGCTCAGCGAGTCATTCGAAACGGTTGGGAGAGACTCATAAACTCCGCACGCAATTACGGCAGCCTGGGTTATCTCTTTTGAACAAATCAGGAGAAAGGAAATGTTAGCAAGTGGCATTCTCTCATTTCTAAGTTTTTTCCACTTCCAGGCAATTCCAAAGACTTTGTGGGGTGTTATTATCAGCAGCGAGACGGAGAGCAAACTGAAGATGGCACATCCGCAGCAACACTACTTATAAAAGCACTTGGCACTCTTGAAGCTTTTGCTTCATTACAGAAGGAGAGGATAAAAGCTTGACTATGCACCGACTAGTGCAGCTAAAAACCCAAAAATGGGTTATCAGCGAGGGCCCGGTGGCTGAATTTGCTAAATTAGCTATGAAGACGATGTCGGCTAGTTATCCGGAAGGGCGTTTTGAAACTCGCGAAATATGTCTGAGATACCTTCTCCATGCGAATGCGGTATTAGAAAAATGCAGAATGACTTCAAATAACGATACAGATAGAGCTACAGCAACACTTCTACACAATTTATCAGGATACCTCTTTTAATCAAAGGTGAGATAAAAAAAGCAGAAGCTTTAGAAATCCAGGCAGCAGAGATATTTAAGAGAGTGGCAGGAGTTGAGCACTCAGATACACTCCATAGTATGAACGATCTTGCAGTGAAATATTTAGAACAAGGTCGACATAAAGAGGCGGAAGACCTGGGGGTGCAAGCACTAGAGATACCCAAGAGGACGCTAGGGGAAGAACATCTAGATGTAATCATAATGATGAGCACCCTTGCAAGAATATATCATGACCAAAGTCGATGGAAAGAGGCGGAAGAATTACAGGTGCGAGTAGCAGAGACATACAAGAGGGTGCTGGGCGAAGAACATCCAGATACGCTCACTGCTTTCAACAACCGTCTGGTAACATTTCAAGAGCAAGGGCGATGGAGCGAAGCAGAAGATCTAGCGGTTGAGATATTGGAGAAATGCAAGAAGATGCTGGGACCAGAACACCCAGACACGCTTACCTGCATGTCTAACCTGACAGCAATATACGGGGGGGCAACGCCGGTGGAAAGAAGCAGAAAAACTAGCAGTACAGGTGATGGAGATACGAAAGAGGGACTTGGGAGAGCAGCATCCAGATGCTCTCACTATTATACACAATTTAGCGTTTACATATGTTGAACAGGGCCTATTAGAAAAGCAGAAGATTTTGGGTCACAGCTCCTAGAAGTAGAGAGAAGGGTACTAGGGGACGACCATAGACTTACACTACAAAGTTCTGGCATCCTTATAGAGGTATACAAAGGCCAAAACCGGTGGAAAGAGGTGGCGTATTTAGGTATACGGTTACTGGAGGCACAGAAGAAGAAACTGGGCGAAGAGCACCCCGATATACTAGACAGCATGAACAGTCTTGCGCTGGTATACCAACGGCAGGGTCGCTGGAAAGAGGCAGAAGATATGGGGACGATATTGGTTGAGTTAAGCAAGAAGGTACTTGGAGAGGACCATTACAAGGGATGCCTTTATCCAGCCAATTTTGCCTGCCATCACTTTAAAGGGTCTGGGCAGAACAAGCGAGGCTGTAGCGCTAATGGCGGATGGCGTTGCCGGACTGGAAAGGACGTTAGGGCAAGACGATCCTTACACGACCAGCTACGCGTTGACTCTAGAGAAGTGGCGGGAAAGTGCCAAAGAGTCTTCTGAATAGGTGCAGGTAGAATACATACATGTTTGTACGTACAATGGTGGTGCCAAGTGGGGGGGAAGAATATAGGGAATCTTATAACCATGAGCATACAGCTCTATTATTACGCCCACTGTTATTCTACTGCTTCTACTGCTTCTACTGCTTCTACTGCTTCTACTGCTTCTACTGCTTCTACTGCTTCTACTGCTTCTACTGCTTCTACTGCTTCTACTGCCACATTTCAGTCATCGTAATTGTAACATTGCATCCCAAATTTATATATTACTACGGCTGTGTTTACTTTTTATGCCAATTGAATTTCGAATTTTAAGACTTGCTCTGAGCTAACATTTATCGGTACTAATGCATGGCATACGCTTCAGTCCGCTTTACTTCTCTTAATGCAAAGTATATTTGCTAGTATAGGCATAATTTAACAGCATCTTCAATTGTACTCTCATTGGACTTGGAAAGTAGATTAATCATGTTTTTGAGATGATTTGGAATCATATTCAGGAAGATGAGATCTTGTAGGATAAAGACAGATGCAGGGCCGACTCTAGTGTATATACATATTGCGGAATGCAGATTATACTTGTCCGGCAAGGCAAAAAAAAAGGATTTATGAGAGATTGCACTAGAAGACGTATGAAGTTATTGTTACATACCCCTTTTTAAATTAATGTTTGAAATGGGAAGTGAAAGAGAGCCCGACTATCATTCCACTCTACCTACGCAACGTTTGCGAAGACAGAGAAAATAACAACCAAACAACAAATACAACGCCACGAAAGTAACTTAACAGTATGCCAATTATGTTTCAATTTCTCATAAAACATGTTCCGAGCTATTGAGCAAAGCCGTGCAAGCGCCCAATAGCCAATTCTTGAACCACTTCCAAACACTCTTTATTGTGCAGTATTGCCGCACTTTCCCAAAATGGAATTCTTCCTATTAAAGTGGAGATTCCGGCAAATGAAAATCATGAGGTCACATCTCCCCAAATAGGCAATGTGCGGCTAAACGCGGGCTAATCAGACACCCCAATTTACAGGAAGTCCTGCGGCGTAGCAGAGAGGAGCTCCAGAACGAATGCCGCAGTGGCCGCAAGCAGTGTCTCGTATAGAAAGTTGTCGTTATCTCAGTATTCGTTACCTTTGGCCTATCCAATGGGAAACACCCCGGTTTCGGATCATGTACATCGAGCAGCTTCTAATCGGGATGCGCCATGGACAATTACCGGACTAATTGGTATAAAACGCCAAAATCACTTCATTGACCAATTACGCGATAGACAATCTTAGGATCTGTGCTGCTAAAAGCTTAATTGTTTATGGAGGAATTCATTCACTGGTTGAGAGACGCATTTCCTATATTTGGAATGGAAATAAAAAAGGGACTCGCTCTATATCAGTTCTTCATCATCACACAGAGTTCACTCAAATAAAATACAACCTACCTTCTATCGTACTACGTGCAAAATAGAGCCTTTCTCGCGAATAACCATCCCGTAGAATAGCAAGAGGTTATTACCGAAAGCACAGCGTTCATTGGTGGGAATTGGACGCACGAATAGCTCTGCCATATTTCCCCCACACGCTAGCCGCAAGTTTACCGGGGCGGCCATTAACCGCAAGGGCGAACTCGGCGAATGGACGGGGGTCGCTGCGTTTCCATTGATAGAAAAGCGATGGCACTTTGCTGCGTCGGAGCTGACAAAAAAGCGTCGATGTCACTTCCAACACGCGTCGTAGACTCGCTGCCGTTGTAGCGAGATATAAACTGCAAGATGGCCAAAGTATTTGATGCTGCCGAAGGTATGGTGCCACAGCACCAGTAATTGGATTTCCCCTCAACTTGAGCAAACTTGGCGCTTACTGACAGCTCGTTGTTGCAGTTGCAAAGCACAACACCGCAGATAGCTGCTGGGTGATCCTCTATGGACATGTGTACGATGTCACCGATTTCCTCTCCTCGCACCCCGGCGGCTCAAAGGTGATTCTGCAATTGGCTGGCCAGGATGCCACCGAGGAATTTGATCCCATCCACCCGTCGGGCACGCTGGACGAGCTCAAGCCCGAGGCGAAGCTAGGCACAGTCGATCCCAGCACTCTGGCCGCCAAGAAGCCAGAAGCGCCGGTTCACAAAGACGACGATGCTCCGGCACCCCTAGAGACGCTCTTGAATCTCGACGAAATAGAAGCCGAGGCCACTAAGCGAATCCCTAAGAAGGGATGGGCCTACTACTACTCTGCCTCAGACGACATGATCACAAAAAGCTTTAACAACACAGTCTACCGAGACATACTATTACGGCCTCGTGTCTTCGTCGACTGTACACAATGCGATCTGTCGACAACGCTCCTGGGCCACAAAGTTGGCCTCCCTATATACATCAGCCCGGCTGCCATGGCCAGGTTAGCTCACCCAGACGGCGAGCTGGGCATAGCCAGAGCGGCAGCCAAGTTCGGTGCTCTCCAGCTCGTCTCCAACAACTCCTCAATGACCCCAGAGGAAATTGCTGCTGAAGCAAAGCCGGGTCAGATGTTTGGATGGCAGCTGTATGTCCAAAATCGCCGTGAAAGGAGCGAAGAGATGCTGCGACGCATCCACAAAATGAGAGACCGATACAAGACCATCGTTCTGACGCTAGACGCACCTGTGCCTGGCAAGCGTGAGATTGACGAAAAATCCAACTTCGACAAGGGACTGGTGGTTGAGCCAGGTGTCAAGGGCGGTACAGAGAAGCGACCCGGCGGCGGCGGTGTCGGTCAGCAGCTATTCTTCGGCACAGCCAGTGATTTGACATGGCAGACGACGCTGCCGTGGCTGGCAAAGCATACAGACCTGCCAATCGTGCTCAAGGGTGTTCACACCTATGAGGATGCCTACCTGGCCTCCAAATATGCACCGCAGGTCAAAGCCATCATCCTGTCGAACCACGGTGGGCGAGCTCTTGATACAGCTTCGCCCCCTGTTCACGTCCTACTCGAGATCAGAAAGTACTGCCCCGAAGTATTTGACAAGATTGAAGTCTGGGTCGACGGCGGAATCAGGAGAGGTACCGATGTTGTCAAAGCCCTCTGCCTCGGTGCGAAAGCTGTAGGCATTGGTCGTGCCGCATTGTTTGGCCTTGGAGCCGGAGGCGAAGCTGGCGTGGAGCGAACTTTAGAGAGTGAGTTGATCCCCCAATCCCCCTCATGACAAATGATGGCGTTGGTATAGCCATTCCCGTGATGAGCATGTTTGTGTTTATCATGACGATGGTGCTATGGGGTTCCCATGGCGAATATGCCCCATCGAACCACGTCATGGTACTCCATGTCAATCGCTGTGCATCTTATCTTCCCCTCTCTCTCCACGTCATGTATCAGACAAGTGAACAAGACATATCTCTAACGTCTCGGGCGATATCGGCCCTGAATAGTTCTCGAGGCGGAGACTGCCACATGCATGAGGCTCCTCGGAGTGAAGAACATACAAGAGCTCGGCCCCAGATTTGTAAGTACCACACAGAATCCTTTAGCCTCACCGCATGCCCCTGGTTAAGGAGTGGTCTGGGGGAGGCTAGAAAATGAGAAAATAACTCCCCCAGGATTTTTGAAATCTTGGCGATCCTTGGTTACAGCAGCTAATTGTCGGGGCCCCAGATCAACACTCGCCGTGTGGAGAGAGATATTTTCGATGGAGATGCGGAGTTGGGCAAGCAAGGGCTGTGGACGAAGCCGAAGTTGTGATGAATCTTCATATGCATCCTCGGCAGCTCGTGATGGCACGCGCTGGCTGACGGCGGGGTGAGTGGCGGGTGGTGGGTGCGCGACCACTAGCGCTGGCAGCAGCGCATCTCTGCAGCATCTACGGATACAACTGCGAAAGATTAAAGCTGGGGAAGATTGCGAGATGTGAGTGCTAGTTCTCTTTAGGCGTGGCTGTGGTTTGGGGTAGGCTCCCAGGATTCTTGACTAGAAATTGCAGCGAGCGAGCGATTTAAGCAAGCGAGATAGTATGTAGTCGAAACAGCCTTAGACTGTACATTTGCACGGCATGGATTCCGAGAGAGACCTCACATGCGTCGAGCTTGTGCTGCAGCTAATGTAGGCAATAAGATATGCCGATATGCACCTTCAAAGAGAGTGACTCTCACGATGCTCAAAGACTTCCCCGGACGTAGTACCGTCTTCAGGAATATCGCGACGATCAGGATCAGCGATGACGGCAGGTAGCACCGCTTCTTTCAAGGCGGTCTATCTTTGTGCTAACTTTCACTTGATGCACCTATCTGAAATTTCTGCGTTAGTAGATGTAGATTCAGCTACTGCAGAATGAGTTGAGGCTTTATACATAGTACAAAGACTTGTAAGTCGAGAATCCACTTGGTTCTGGCGCCTTGTCCCTGGGGTGAAATTACGGCTGTAGGCCAATCCTGGACCGCAAATTACTAGTCCCCTTTTCACACTGTGCTCGTATAAGTTATTTTTGGGTTGAGCTCGAGCCGTGAGCGCCATATTGAAACATGAGAAATGTTGCAGATAACACTCCAAACGCAGGCGTAGCATTGTTAGCTCGTAGTCGGACTGGGCGTGGCCGAGAGGTGCCTGTAATACGGCCAAAATGGGCATGTGGTGCGGCTGGATCTGGCAAGGGCCACACCATAGTCTCTCGTAGCTGCAGTCTGGTGAACGTAAGGGATGCGTGAGCAAGAGTCAAGGGTCCCAAGACTTGGTGTGGTTCAGAAGGAGACTCATAACGTAATCCTTCGTCTGCTCTGTCGGGTGGGCCGAAGATCTCTGCTTCCTCGTGGCCTATTTCTCGTCTAGTCCCAGGGCGCATTCTTAGAGCATCCAACGCCAAGTACAGGCTATTGCATATTATCGTACAAGCATTGCTGCAGCTGTCATCCTCTCGAATTCGGTCGCAAACGCCGAGAAATAAGTTCTCCAACAGCAACACCGTAGACTCATCTAGACCTCGCACGGAAAGTGCCATTCGTCGGTTGAAGCAGCAGGGCGAGCACAATATCTTGGTTATCCGGGCTTCCGACGATGCGACTATGGTTCGATCACAGCGCGGTAGCTCGAAAAGGCCTAACACGCTGCAACAACCAAATCGCAAAACAATCATGTAGTAGACAATTAGGTTTGCTGTGGCAAAAATATGCCTGGCACATGAACCATTCTGTCGTGGCCAGACTAATATCGAACATAAACATCAAGAGCCCGCGATTGGCTGAGCTGCTGCCCCCAAGTCCACGCCGCTGGGTCGACCGACGAAAATTTGACGGTGTGTGGAGCCGCACCAACTAGCAAAAGAGGCTGTCGGAGCATTGTCGATATACTGTCGGTGGTGGTTTAAAGCTATGTAATGACTGAATTGCTAAATGTGACGCCTCTGTTTCTGCGCAAGCTGGCGACGAGGCGACAAGGCGACGCAACACTCTTTCAAGCTCAAACTATTTGCATCGTGCTATTATTCGCCAAACACGTTTTCTGAACAGCATTCCATAGCTGTGGCTGGGGTTGATTTCTTTTCCTGATAAGAGTCTCATATAAGAACGAGTGGAGGCCTTTTATTTCCGCTCTGCCAATCGTGTCAACTAGCTGCCGTTTTCTCAAGGCGACAGCCTGTCCTTGCATGAGTCGCACCAGCCAGGACCAGGGCAGGATCAGGTTCTAATGGCCGGCAAACAAAAGGCCATGTGCATCTCATCTTTTGCTCGGTGTAACGATCTCATCGAGACGAGACACTGATCAGACGTTACCAATGCAGAGTAGGATGCATGCACTACACCTTTGCACCCTGATAAAGACGCAAAAAAATTTTCCTTCCTGCTGTCAAAAATGTTAACCGAGAGCTTTAGCTCTTAATCTCTTGGCTTAGAGGTCCTAGTCGCGCAAATATTTTATATTCCCTTCATTCTTCTTTATCTTCTTGTTTTCTCCGTCTTGCCGTCGCTACCGTGTGCAATATAGGGCATTTGGTCCTAATTTTCGTAATTGCACGTTTGATATGGAGATCTTCAAACAAGCATTACTCCGTAGTGCATTTTAAGAGATGATGAGATGCGGTGGCGTTCTTAATTCTGGGTCTTGCGGCCCGGTGGCTCGCCGGAACCGTTCCCAGTCAGGAATCATCTCCTGCAGGCTTTGACATTTGGTAAGGTCGTGTGGAAGCTGTGGATACTCTTTGTCGCATTGAGAAGCGGCTTACTTTTAGCTGTACCGCCGGTCCTCTTTTTTACGGCGCAGATTGGCCATGTTTCTCCCACTCGGCCCTTTCACCTAGCTTGGGTTACTCACAGGCCCCTTTTTTCCCAGTTGCCACTGGGCGTGACTAGAATTGGTTTGAAGAGTAAAAACTCTTTTGAAACCCGTAGCCTAGCTGTCAAGGATGCTGTCAAACATGCCGTTACTGGACATGCTTTTGTAGTCCGTGCAGGCTGCGGTGGTCCATCTTGGCGTCGACATGCACTTCGTATATGTGTGTGCAATAATATCACTCAATCCATGGCATGATCCTATTAGTCCTTGGTTGTAATACCTCGTACGTACGAAATACTGCTTGTAGGAGTAGCTTTGATGCCAGGCCAACGTAGCGGAGCCCATCAGAGTGAGCCCACTAGGCTTCGACGGGGCGAACAGGGTCGCGTGCAAAAGAAACTTATCTCGACGTGCCCGTCCATGTAATTGACATGCAATCATTGGGCCACCGTCGGGTAGGGGGTGCTTTGGAATCGAATCTTTTCTGCTTTCCTTTTCTTCTGGTACATAGTAGCTCGTAGCCTGATAGTGCTGTACAGCATAGTAAGAAGTTAGTTCACCCATGCTTGTTGTTGGGAATAGCATATGATCGACACTTCTCTGCCTCTCTGCCACTTCTTCCCCTCGCAGCTCTGCATCAGCATCGACTTTCACGTGTGCCGCAGCGGCCAGCCCTTTTCAAACAGCCGAGGGATCTCCCTTTTAGTGGCCGGCAGCTACAGACATCCATGCATTTCTCGTTATGTCAGTGAAGGCTGTTGCACTGGCAGCAGACGAGGGAGCTGTTAGGAGTTGGTGGCGGCGCGGCGCAGTGTGGTACAGTAGCGCACGTAAGAGCGCTGCAGCAATTATCCGACTGTTGCCCCAGACAAAGGTACCCAGCAGTTACCAGGATGCGCAGTGGCACTCGCACTGCAGGGGCGGTAGCGCCCAGGTCGCTGCTGCTTTGCGGGGAGGCTTGAGGCGTCTCGGGGCACTTCTCGTTGGGGCATAACGCGCTGCCTCCGCGCTGCTCGTGGTGCGCATGTACCGGGTCTAGCTGGCCGCAAATCGCTGCATCCGCTGGGGGGCTGGTGGAGATTGGCGGCCGTGACTGGCTGGCAGGATGCAGCGTCTACGACCAGATGGTGCTAGCTGTTGCAGATGAACAGGGAACCTGCGCGAGGAGCGAAGGGTGGGGAGCAGGCTTGGAGCAGGCTTGGAAGCCACCGGGGCGGCGGCCTACGCCAAACGAGGAACAGATCCAGAGAGCCTTTTCCGGCTTCTGCTGAAATGCTTCGTGATGCGTAATGGATGGCGTCGGGTCCAGGTTTAGAAGCTTAGCTGCGGTTAGCATGTACCCGTCCATTGCACGAGGGGGCAGAAGGGAGGGGGGATCAGGTATCTCTGCAGCCGTGGATGCGTGACGAGGAACTTATACGACACGACGGGAAGCACACGCTCCATCGCCAAAAATACCTTCCACCAGCTTGCTGAAAGCTACATGGCCCTCCCTGGTCGCCAATCTTTTGCCCCTGCTCGCTCGTTTTTGGCCTTCCGCCGGTCCCATGTCATTGTCTCGCCCACGCTGGCTCGATACTTAAACATTGCGATCTCCAAATCGTTCTCGTAGTTGCACCCCCGGCCCTGCCTTTGCTCCCTTATTGCTGCTTTGTGGAGGTTCTGCGAGCGCCATCGATTCTATTTGCCGGCTGCCGCCACCACCATCACAAACTCTCCAAGGGCCAATGAGGGTTGTAGGGAGGTTTATGATTCTCCAAACCACCGTCACCTAATTCGCCAACGACTGGAACGAAGGCCTCTTTTTTTTTTTTTTTTGTGGAAAGGCACCCATTTACACATACATATATACAACTCAGGACGCAAAAGCGTTCGGGGGCGTTCTCTTCCCTTGTTGTTGTTTTTCTTTTCCTTTGGTAGAGTCGAAACGACTCGCTCTCGCTTAATCCGACAACGCCCTAGTAATCTTGAAGGAAAGAAGAGGAAATCAGCAAAATGTCCGACAAGCAAGATACCGAGAACGCTGAGGTCTACCAGACCGAGAGCCGAGTCGAACAGCCGACCGTGCCCGCAGCTGCGCCCAAGAAGAAGGGATTTTTGGCCCATCTGAAGCGCTTTTGGTGGGCATATCTGCTCGTTCTGATATGCGGAGTTGTCCTGGCGGTCTGCCTCACGTAAGTGTCGTACTCTAGGAGAGTCCCTGACGCGACTCTGCCCACAACATGAAAAGTTGTTTCCGTCTCGCTAACTGTCGACCCCAGCATCTTCGTTGGAGTTCCCAAGATCGCCCAGCAAAAGGTCAACGATGCCAAGCTAGAAATCCAGGGCGTCAATGTCATCAACACCAAGCCTAACAGCATCACCCTGCAAATCAACTCCACCATTACCACCGATGGCTCCATCAAGGCCAACATCGATGCTTTTGACGGTGTCATGTACCTTGAGGATCTCCCTGGCCAGACACCTTTCCTCAACATCTCCTTCCCCGCAACCAACGGCGACAAGCACCAGTTGGTCAACATCAGCCAGGACATTACGATTGAAGACCATGACGCCTTCAACACCTTCAACATTTGGTTCGCCGCTAATCAGACTCTCAACGTCACCGTGTATGGAAAGACCAAGGTCAAGCCGTCTGGTCTGTCCAAGAAATTTGGTGTTACCTTCAAGAAGACCATCAACATGAACGGTCTGAATCTGTTCAACGGCACCACGGTATCCGACGGAAAGATTGATATCAGCGCAAAGAAGGGTCAGCCGAATTTCAAGGCCACCGCCGATATCCCTAATGCCTCTTATTTCACTCTTGAAATTGTAAGTTTGGCAATATGAGTGCTTACTGATGATTTAAAGTATTGCTTCTTTTATTCCTGTGCTGACACGCCACCCTAGGGCAACGCCACCTTTACCAACTTTATTGACAACACCAACATTGGTAATCTTACCATCCCCAACCTTCTGCTTGTCCCTGGCAGCAACAAGGTCCCTATTACCGCCGATCTCGATCAGGTTGCTGTACTTGAGGAAGTTCAAACCCCCAAGTACTGCAAGACTGGAATCATCCCTGTCAAGCTCAAGGGCGCCGCCGTTGTCAACGATGGCCAGACACTCCAGTACTTCCTTGATGGCTTGTCTGCCAACAACGAGACCGTCCCCATGGACATTGGCAGCATTATCAAGAGCTCGCTCGGCACTACTGTCAGCTGTCCCAAGTCTTAAAACTGAGAAAAACGAAAGTTATTCAGTATCAGCGGTTGAATTGAGCGGTTACTCAAATACAGCTTATTTATGACATCCTTTTATTCTATATTATAATTGTGTCTGGAGATGGTGTCTGGCTGGGGGAAGGGGCGGTGGGTTTGGTTTCAATTTTTGTTGGTACAAAATATTTCTTCTTTACTGTGGATGATGTTTGCTATTGCGTGTCCTCGGTGCTGGGGTACATATACCACTTCACTCTCTGAGTGATTTTTTCTAAAGGATGGGAACGAACAAGAAGACGTGTTATGAAGTCCTCAGCCGCAACGCATTTGATTCATGATACCTCGATGTAGATGTTTGTATTTTAAGGTAGTGTAGGGCCGCCCATGGCCACGCAATTTATTAATAAGGGGTTTATCCAGCCCTAGTATGTCCGTATAATCTGTTGAACAGATTATATGCTTTTGACTTTGTTGTTAAATAAGTTCATTGCACCCATATCTTCGCTCGTATTTATCCATGCCGTCGCAATGTATATATTCATAGTCGTTATTTCCAGCCCCCTTTTCGTTTCTCGCCCCTGCTGTTTAGCCCTCCTGATACACCAGTAGTGGCAGCTCCGCTCGATGATGAATTTGACTGGACAAAGTCGATGGCTGTTCGACCAACAGCAGCCCTATCTGCCTCTTTCTCTTTGGCAATCTTTTCCCTGCTCTTGCTTAACTTGTCTCTAAACGCCCATTCCGGAAATCCTCTTGGATCCCACAACTCTTTTGGGAGTGTCGTCTCGTACTGGCCCACTTCGTCAATACCGACAAAGTCCAGCAATTTATCCATTAATGACGGATTTCTTAATGCGGTAGACTGCTCAAGTTTAGAATTAAAGTGTACGCCTTTCTTCTTGAGTTGCAAAAACTGATCAACTTTCTTGTTGGCCCCTGCCGGAGGAGAGCCTGGTGGCGAAGGTGGGATATCAAGATTAGGTACGGAGGGGAGAGTGAGGTCGTGTATTAAAGCACGGTTTGATGAATATGGAGATGTAGGCGGTTCCTGGGATTCATCCGGGTCTAGGAGGGTGTTTATGATAGAGGCGTCGGTGGATGGAAGAGATGGACCCAGAGGAACAGCACTCTGGAGCACGGGGCCGATAGTAGGTGGTGGTGGCTGGTGACCGGAGTCGTGTTTCGGTAAAGATGAAGATTCCTCCAGTGCTTCTGATTCAGCTTTAGAATGCCGTGCCTCATTGACCTGTAGAGGTTCTGATCGAGAGTGTTCACTTATTCGAGGCTCATCCTTTTCAGCCTCAATGGCATCAGGAGCTGCTGCCTGTGCGGCGACCTATCAGCGTGTTAGTCAAACTGTTATTGCGCAGACGGAAGCTCGACATCTATAAATACCTGAGCAGTCTCCTGTTGCAATTGAGGCTTTTCATTTTCTCCTTCATCATCAGAGCTTGCATATCCCACAAGCCCGGCCATTGCGCTTAGAATGATGAAGTCTGCTTTGACAAGAAAGTAGATGAACGAGTGAGAGCGCGACGAGCGGCTGAGACCAGATGGGGATTAGCGCACCAAAATCGTCACGGCTCTGAACTCCGTCGGCTGAAGCTCGGCTGTCATGCGCTTCAAGCAACTTTTCAGCGGGCCTCTTCGAACCCCAACACTTGTGACGGCACGTCAACTGCTCTCCGTCAACATTCAATCGTCGCTCCATCTAATACCACCCTTCAGATTGCATCAGCATTTTTGAATTTTAGCAGACGATCTGTGCGTTAGAATTGGTTGATCTGCTGGATTTTGCGACCGACCTCGATCAAAATCAATACATCGCTTGGACCACCCTCGCATTCGATTCGCGTTTCTCAAACCCGCCACTAGAAAGAGAGAGGAGAAAAGGAGTCTTGCGTCGCCTGGAGACAGAACAAAAGTAGTACTCACACAACGTAGTGTCTTACTGAGCCTGCGAGACCACAACAATGGCTCGGCCAAGAGACTCGCGCTCACCAAGTCCTGCAGGCAGCCATTACAACTCGCGCCGCCACCGGAAAGATGACGACCGGCGGGATGCCAGAGACCGCCGAGACGATGGAAGGGACCCTCGCCGGCGCTCAAGGTCGCGCAGCCCGGATGTGAGATCTCACCGCTCCCGCTCTAAATTGAGCAATTCCCATGCACCTGGGTTTGAATCTGACAGAAGCTTGAACAACCAACAGTATCGATACCGCGACCGCGACCGAGGCAGAGACAACAGAGACCGCGGTGGCCGTGACCGCGATCGCGACCGTGATAACTTTCGCCGACGAGACCGCTCCTTAGATCGCCGAGACGATGATTTTTACCGCGGAGGTCCACGCGATCGCCGTGGCGCCAGATCAAGAGAGAGACTCCCACCCAGGGCCCGCTCGCCTGACCGAAGACGGGACCGCAGCAGAGATGACTATAGGAGGCGAGACGACTCTAGAAACAGAAGCCGTCGTGAGGGTACGGCTGACTCTCACAATCGCAGCAGCCGTGCCGATAGCCGGTCTCGAAAGAGTCCAGTGGCCGACAGTGGCAGGAATGGAGTTGATGAGGTACGTTTTCTGGCCATGGATAAGGAAACTAGAGCTCATGACATATCACAGGCTCAAAAGGCCAAATCGAATGCCACACAGCCTGAGGTCGATAAGAAGGCAGAGCGATTAGCCAAGCTTGAAGCATGGAAAAAGAAGAAGGAGCTCGAAGGCCAGAAGCAGAAAGAAGTGAATGCTAGCCAGACGAGAAATCTTCTTGCTGAGATGGACAAAAAAGCCAAAGAGGGATCGACAGCTGCGCCATCGCCTGTTGTATCGTCGGCAGCTTCGCCGACCCCTGTTGACTCGGGCAGCGCATCTCCAGCAAAGCCTTATCTCGGCAAGTTTGATCCAAAAACGATTGCAAAGAAGTCTGCCAGTCATCAAAAGTCAAATGATTCAACTAAAGGCGCTTTGGGATCTATAGATATTCAGCCAGGCAGCATTCCCGCCCCTGTTAAACAAGCACCTACTGGTGAGACTCCAAAATCAGCTACTCAAGATCTGACTCTCGCTTACAAGAATTATCAAGCATCCGCGCTACCCACAAATCGCGCCAAGACTAGCAGTTTTGGATTTGGCAAGTCTCATGCTGAGGGAGACAAGTTCACTAGCAAACGAAAGCTGGACCTGGATGAGGAGGTCACAACCAAACGACAACTGACCAAACTCCCTACTCTCCCCACAGAAGCGGATGATACTCCTTACGCCGACCAGGATGAGGACGATGAATCGGATGGCGATAATTTTGCTGAAAATGAAGAAGAGGCTGCCGCTGCTGCTCGCGCTGCTCACGAAAGGCGTCTTCAAGCTGAAAACCAAGCAGAGAACCCAGCAGAGAACCAGGCTGATGAAGAGATGAAGGATGCCGAACCCCAAACCGCGGAACAAACCAATGGTGAACATGCCACCAATGGAGAGACCTTCAGTAAACCCCCGGCAGAATCTATGGAGGTCGATGAGGAAGACGAAGAAATCGATCCTCTAGAGGCGTTTATGGATGACCTCAAACAGGCAGAGACCACGAAGAATCCCCCGAAGAAGGCATCTGTGACCAAAAAGAAGCAGGAGCCTGAGGCGTATTTCTCGGAGGATGATTATGCTTTCGAAGATCAGGCGGACCCGAATGCAGATGCCCTGCTTACCATTGCGAGTAAACGCAAGAAGAAGGATATTCCAAGCGTTGACTACTCCAAGATTGACTTGCAGCCTATTCGCAAGAATTTCTGGGTTGAGCCTGCAGAGCTGAATTCACTTTCTGAAGCGGATGTCGCCGATTTACGATTGGAGCTGGATGGAATCAAGGTCAATGGCAAAGACGTCCCCAAGCCCGTTCAGAAATGGGCCCAGTGTGGACTTACTCGTCAAACCCTTGATGTCATTAGCTCACTTGGATTTGAAAAGCCTACGCCAATTCAGATGCAGGCTCTTCCCTCGTTGATGTCTGGTCGAGACGTCGTCGGTGTGGCGAAGACAGGATCTGGCAAGACTATGGCTTTCTTGCTTCCCATGTTCCGACATATCAAGGATCAAGAGCCGCTCAGGGATACCGATGGTCCTATTGGGCTTATTATGACGCCAACGCGAGAGCTCGCCACGCAAATTCACAGAGATTGCAAGCCCTTCTTGAAGATGATGAACCTACGTGCCGTCTGCGCGTACGGAGGAGCTCCCATCAGAGATCAGATTGCTGAGCTCAAGCGCGGTGCCGAAATCATTGTCTGTACCCCTGGTCGTATGATTGATCTTTTGGCTGCGAATCAAGGAAGAGTCACCAACCTCAGGCGAGTGACCTATGTGGTTCTCGATGAAGCCGATCGAATGTTTGACATGGGTTTCGAGCCACAAGTAATGAAGATCTTTGCCAACATGCGACCTGATAGACAAACAATTCTATTTTCAGCTACCATGCCACGCCTCATCGACTCACTGACCAAGAAAGTGCTGAAGAGCCCCATTGAAATTACCGTGGGTGGTCGCAGCGTCGTCGCCAAGGAGATTGAGCAAATTGTGGAGATCAGAGAGGAGAGCACAAAGTTCGTCCGTGTTCTGGAGCTGCTAGGCGAGCTCTATGACAAGGATGAGGATGCTCGCTCGCTAATCTTTGTGGAGCGACAGGAGAAGGCGGATGATCTACTCAAGGAGTTAATGCAAAAGGGCTATCCTTGCATGTCCATTCACGGAGGCAAAGACCAAGTCGATCGTGACTCTACCATTTCAGATTTCAAGAAAGGCGTGGTGCCGATCCTAATTGCCACGTCAGTCGCCGCTCGTGGCTTGGACGTCAAGCAGCTCAAGCTCGTTATCAATTACGACGCACCTAACCACTTGGAAGATTATGTCCACCGAGCCGGACGAACGGGCCGTGCAGGAAATACGGGAACAGCAGTCACATTTGTAACCCCTGAACAAGAGAATTGCGCACCTGGTATTGCCAAAGCCTTGGAACAAAGTGACCAACCTGTCCCAGAAAGGCTCAATGAGATGCGAAAGTCTCATCGTGAGAAGGTCAAGTCGGGCAAGGCAAAGGACTCTTCCGGCTTTGGCGGAAAGGGTCTGGACCGTCTAGACCAGGAACGCGAGGCAGCTCGTCTTCGAGAACGTAAGACACATAGAGCTGAGGGTGAAGAAGAAGAGGTTAAAGAAGAGGGCAAGAAAGAGGAGGATGACAAGAAGATCGAAAAGACACTTAACGCCATCAAAGCTGCGGCCTCGACCGTTCAGTCTCGCGAATCTGCCAAAGCCGACACAGGAGACGGCGGCGCAAGCAAAGCAGCGCAACCCGCCGCCGCCACAGCCGACAAGGCCAAGGATCCCCTGGATAAGGTTAGCTCTGCTGTCAGTGCCATCAACAGCCGTCTCGGCAAAGCTGGTCAGCTTCGCTCAGGCCAACCCATCGACAACAAGGGTCCGGACGCTGGTGCTTTCCACGCCACGCTGGAAATCAACGACTTCCCCCAGAAAGCCAGATGGGCTGTTACCAATCGTACAAACGTGGCTAAGATTTTGGAGGCGACTGGAACGTCTATTACGACCAAGGGCAGCTTCTATCCTCCCGGCAAAGAAGTGCCACCTGGAGGAGAACCCAAGCTGTATATTCTTATTGAAGGTGATACTGAGCTTGTGGTGGCGGGTGCTTTGAATGAGATGACCAGGCTTCTGAGAGAAGGTACCATTGCTGCTGCGGATGCGGATAGCAGAGCGCCGGCGAGCGGAAGATACACTGTCACTTAGTCCTAGAGCGTTTTACTGGGCTCAGGTGTGCGCGGAAGTTTTGTAAATTGGGTTATGAAAGATATAGGGCGCAAAAAAGGGAAGGCTGTTATTCCAAATGAATTATATATATATATATATATAAAAGACGAAAGGGCGTCTGGGCTGGTATGGGTATAAGTGAATAAGTATAATTATGCTGGTGATGAGTTTATATACAACCATGTTTGAGGCTTTCCATTTCGCATGCTCTTCTAGAAGCGTTTGGACGTGTCTAATCCAAAATGTAATGTTACAGTAACAGTACAGTATAAAAACAAAGAAGTGAAAGAGCGACAACTACTGAAAGAGCAAACTCCAGGTCAAATAAAGGAAGAATAAGAATTGACAGCGGGATTCCGGTCTTCGCGCGCCTCCACCAGGGCAGTATCCCTCTCTTGATGTCCCGCATCCAATACTCCGCTCCGCTCACATGATATTGCGCAAGGTATCTTTCAAAGAATAGGGCCAACATAAGACCAGCGTATGTGTAATGCGTAGGATGTAGGTACGAGTGTGAGCTGGCTACTCCCAATTTCGCGCCTGGGCGGCCTCGTCTGCGTCTCGAGCACGAAGTTCCTGGTTGCTCGCTTCCGCCAAGGTACTCGATCGATTCTGCTTCTTCTGCGCGTTGAGCTGCGACTGGAGTTTGCCGCCTTTTGATGAGGCTTTTGCACGGGCCTGCCAAGAAAAAGAAAAAAAGGGAATCAGTCACTGCCAAATTCGTTTAAGAAAAAAAAAACTTTGGGCAAGGTAGAGAGAGGTCTGCTCTTCTTACTTCGGCCGCCTCGGCAGCTTTTCTTCGCGCATCGCTCGGATCGCCCGAGTTGGCACCCCCAGCGTCGCTGCCGCCACTGCCAGCAGCACCGCCCAGTGTTCGTGGAGGACCGCCGACTTTCTGGGGAACGCGTGATGTTTTCGGGCCCGGAGGCGGAGCCGAGCCGAGGGGGCGGCCGGGCTGAGACGGTTCAGATTCGGTCTTGCCGCAGATATTGCCCATGGCTGTAAGTAGGGTGTTGTAGTATGAGTAGGTAGGGAGGAGTTGGGAGGAGTTGGTCGTTGGACGTTGGCGCTGGGGGTTTTGGAGTTGCGCGGGATTATGCGAGGGAGGTTGTTCTTGGCGCAAATGTGATACGCGACGCTGGAGAGCGGGCTGGCGGTCGCAAAGGCAGTGGAGGGCTCTAGGTGCGTCTAATGCTCATAATGATAATATATTTCAGTGCTTTTCAGGACTGGCGACTCATAAAACTGTTGCGTCACGAACAGCATCCGATGCGACGGCTACAAGATGCGATAAGGTCGCTTTAGCGATGCGGCGCGCCGGCTGCTGCACGGTTTGGAAATAAAAAGAAGCTTACTGGACTGGCGTCTGTTTGAAGGGGAGACGTCACTGCCAGGGCTAGACTGGGGGCTTGGACGAGGCAGGGTCTTTTAGCGGGGTATTCTTGGCTGTGGGGAGACGGGAAATTGCTACCCTAGAGCAGCCTGTTGCAACGTAAACGCTGCAGATTTTTGGCATCGAGGAGGGAGAAGAAAGGTTTGATTGTTATGATATTAATATATGCGAATTTTTCAATGCTTCATGTCAATGATTTTCTTTTCCGACTGATGATGCCATGTATTTGGAGATTCGAAGGGCGACAATATTTGTTGGAACACTACGACTAATTGCATAAAGTTGGGACGTCGATGAGTACAACAATCATCACCTTTTTGAAAACCAGGTGGCTTCTTTGTAAATATGTACAAGCACCATTAACACAGTACTATTGAGTAACACATCACCTGTATCAAACATCACCCAAGTAAGGTAGACTGGCTTTTCACAACCGTGCATCGCGTCTAGGCACGTCCTCCAAGAACGCCAGGTACGTACTGGAGCGGGCTTCCATTCAGCCGCTACCCAGAAACACACTAGCGCTGTCCCGATTTACAGCGGGGCTCAGCTCGCCGGGAAAAAAATCACATAAAAGTTGCAGCAGCCCCAACGAGCAGACCATCAAGGTTCTCGCCCTGTTGGTCAGCTCCAGAGCCACAACCGCTGGCGGGCGCTGCTTCCCTGCGCCTGTGCCTGTGCCTGCGCACGACATTGGAGCAACTCTCTAGCCTCGAGGCTGGGCAAGCTGCAGACCTGTGCACCACATCCTTTTCCTTTTCCCTTTTTTCTCTCTCAGCCTTTCTGCACATTCCCACGCAGCCGCGTTTGACAGCCTCGGTTCCACGCCCTTGAACTTGCACCAAACTCTGCATCTCGGCCGCTTTTGATTCTTTATCTGCCAGGACCCCTCCCCATACAGCTGGCTTTAGGCTTTCCACCCCCTTTCGCCCCTTCTTTCACACTCTTCACAAAGCGAGGTTCCTCTCGGGTAAGATCCCCAGTGCCTTTGCTTCTCCCCGGGCGCGGCCGCGGCTCAGATCAGCCGGCTACTGGCGGTGCACCTTTGTAGACAACTCACTAAAGTCTCGATTCAGTAGAGCATGGACGATGATCACTTGCCTTCTAGTTTTCATATGGACCTTATTCATACCCCCCATAGCCTTGAAATCGACACATCTTCCGAGTTTAAGCCATTCCTAGATGCAAATCAGCAGTATCACGCACTCGACCCAGCAGCAGCGGCGGCAGCGGCGGCAGCGGCAGCTTCATTTGGCCACTTTCTTCGCGACGACGCCTGCCTCGGTCCCCAAGGATCGATGATGTCTGCCGACCCTTTCAAGGAACTCAAGTCTCCTAAAGATCTCACAAAATTATCCATGCCAACGCATTCCACCATGGCATCTTTTTCGAGCCACGCCGCTCAAGCACATTCGCAAGGCCGGCATGGCAATTCTAACCAGGACCTTTCTTTTTCAACTGCCGAGGTCACCTATCCCTGGGATAACAGTATGAGCTATTTCAATAATGCGTTTTCCGATACGTCTCATCTGTATTCCGACAAAAAGTCGCAGAATGAATCGACTAAATCTACAGTGGACTGCGACGACGACTGCATATCAGTGGTGTCATGCACATCCGGCTGCGGCATAAGTTGCCCAAGCCAATGCGGAGACACAGGCCATGGAGTGTGCTGTGATGATGACGCATGTGGTGAAGCATGCGAAGACAGTCAAGATCTCTGCCTTGATGAGACGTGCGAAAACGCTGCTACGCCCTGCACAGATGCTAATTGCTCGGGGCTTGCTAAGCTCGACCATTTCCCTGATGAAGCCATGTCAGATGGTGACAAGGAAGCGGCAGCAGCGCTCGCTTCTATAGGGGACACTCACCCGACATTGGTACAAGATGGATTCCAGCACTTTCACTCAGATTCAAATTTTGGATCCCATTCTTGCTTTCCGGGGTCGACGTGCAGCCACGCGCTGCCGCAGGGATTTTTGGGAACGGCTACTGCTGATGAAATGGTCGGACAGTTTTGGGAAACCCTGATTCCAGAGAACCCTCTCGCAACACATATTCTTCAATACCACGATCCTCGGCATACTGTGCATCATGTTCGCCCATGCATGGCTGATCATCCCAACCTAACTATCCCGAAATGTACTCTTCCTAGAGCTGTCGATGGCGATGTCCTGAGCCATGGCTTGACGCATCATTCAGAAGACTTTGCGTGCGGCTTCGAGGTCAACACGATCGACCAGTTTGCCAACCACATATTTGAAGACCATGGGCAAATGTACATGCTAAACTCAGATCTTTTTGGTCTGTCTCAGACAACACAGGCGGAAGACAGGTTTTCTCTAGTCCCCAGCCGCTCGAGCATCTCGTCCTTCCCCTTTAACACCGCTTCAACGAGTGGACCTCATTTTTCTCCATCAGATTCTTCCATGCAAAACCTGTCTGCGGTCTCATCGCTTCCTCCTTCCCCGACATCACGGGCGACCACTCCTCTCGCACAGCCGGAGGAGCTAGCTATTGAGGCAAAGTCAACCGAAACAGCGTCGATTTCGACAATAGCTGCAGACGTAGAGACTGCTGTCGATTGTATTTGCCATTGGAAGATAGCTGATGGCAAAATCTGTGGTATGCAGTTTAAGGATGCAAACGATTTGCATACACACACAAAGAATGATCATTTGAAAGTTATGACGCGGCAACATCCTGGATTTCGCTGTCAATGGGATAACTGCACCAGGACAAATGTCTTTGGTCAAAAGAGCAAGCTGGAACGTCATATCCAAACCCACACAGGATGTAAGTGAATTGGTTTGCTCTGCCAACTATGGCACGAGATCGCTCTCTGAATGCTGACAATTGATAGATAAACCTGTAAAATGCTCTGTCTGCGGCCTGCAGCTCTCAGCAAAACAGTCGCTTGATCAACACATGAGAGTACACACCGGCGAAAAGCCTTGGAAGTGCAAGTTTCCAGGATGTACGCATGCTTTTAAACAACAAAGCGCACTTAGTAAGTGATAATATTCCTATTTTATCTACAACGGATTTGTCTGACTCTTAGCTTAGCCATGCACGAGCGAACACATACTGGCTACAAACCTTTGGTTTGTGATATATGTGGCAAGACGTTTGGGGAGTCATCCAATCTTTCAAAGCATCGCCGAACCCACAACAACAGGGGTTCACACGTCTGCATAATTTGCAACAAAGATTTCCATCGATTAGATCAGCTAAGGCGCCACATGCACAGTAACCACAAGTGCAAGCCAGAAGAAGCTGAATCAATAGCCAAGGCAAATCAACTTCGCCTAGAAAAAAAGGAAATGACGAAGCAGCCCATATTTTAACCAAGTGCTCAAAAAGGTGGACGAGTAATTTAAGCGGGGGGGTTTTACATGAATCAACGTTACCGAGGGCAAGTGTATGCAGAACATTCCTCATTACCATTTAAATTAGAGCGATCTATTGCCTGATTCTCGAATGCATCAGGTAGATGCCATTCTATTTTGTATCTATATTGCCGGACTTAGCCTTTTGGCATCTATTAATACCCTGCTGGCATAACTCTTTGATCCTTAACTATATAAATATCCATTAGCATTTTGCGTATGATGATGTGCCCTAGATCCGTCGAGCCATTGGGATCGATGCCATGTGTTGTTTCATTTTTATTTTTCAATAGAACATCGTCTAACTTCCCTCCAATGCTAATGATTGGTTGAGGAAGTGAGCAAAAGAACATCCAATTACGCTCGCTAGTTCAAACCACCGTATTGTAACATGAAAAAAAGTCATTATTAAATGTTTGAATGACGTCTAGATAAATTTGTACATAATTTTTGATCGCTCCTTTAGATTTTCTTTCCCTTTTTTCCCTTCAAATTGGTGGGGTATCCCCTTCGCTGTTTCTTTCAATTTTTCTGTTTCTCTTTTCTCTTTCCTCTTTTCTTTTAGTGGTGGAAGAGACGAGTGTTCTGCTGGACAAAGGTAATGCCCAGCTTCTCGGCCGTCTCGAAGACGGCGCCGTCGTTTTGGCTACCGCTGGGGGCGGCGATGTAGTTAACGCCGGAGCGGGCTGCTCGGAAGACGTTGTCGATGAAGGGGAACTGCACGATTGATTATAGATTAGCATTGTAATTGATAATGAAAAGAAGATCCTTTTAGCAAAAACTTACAAAGGCGTCGCTTGAGACGCAGACGTTCTTTAGCTGCTTCATCCAGGCCTCACGCTCCTCATCGGTGAAGGCAGGAGGCACCTGCTCGAAAACGCCCTCGAAGGCTTCCCTCTCGGCGCCATCCTTGGGGAGCTCGCCGCTGACCAGCAGGTCGATGGCGTTGCTCTTGTCGGGGCGCTTGGTGCCCTTCTTCCACTTGATGCTGAGAACGCGCTCGTGGAAGCGCATCCACCAGTTGTCGGCCTTGTCACCAGCAAGGCGGGTGCAGTGGATACGGGACTGCTGGCCGGCACCGAGGCCGATGACCTGGCCGTTGACGGCGTAGCAGACAGAGTTGCTCTGAGTGTACTTGAGGGTGATGGTGGCGACGGTGAGATCGCGGGCGGCGTTCTCGGGGAGGGCACCGGCGTCCTTGGGGGTGATGATGGTGCTGAAGGTCTTGGGGGAGATCTCAGCGTCGTTGCGGTGCTGCTGGAGGGTGACGCCGTAGACGGTGCGGGTCTCGATGGGGCCGGGGGTGTACTCGGGGTCGATCTGGAGGACGAGGTACTTGCCTCCCTTCTTCTTCTTGAGAATCTCCAGAGCAGCGTCCTCGTAGCCGGGGGCGATGACACCGTCAGAGACCTCCTTGGAGATGATGCTGGCAGTGGGCACGTCAACGATGTCACTGAGGGCAATGACGTCGCCGAAGCTGCTCATGCGGTCGGCGCCACGGGCACGAGCGTAGGCCTGGGCAAGAGGGGAGCTGTCGATACCCTCGATATCGTTGACGAAGTAGACCTTCTTCTCGTCCTCTGTGAGGGGCAGGCCAATGGCAGCACCGGCCGGAGAAACGTGCTTGAAGCTGGCGGCAGCGGGCTTGCCCAGAGCCTCCTTGAGCTCCTTCACAAGGGGCCAGGCGTTGAGAGAGTCGAGGAGGTTGATGTATCCGGGAGAGCCGCACAGAACCTTGAAGGGAAGGGGCTGGTTGGAAGTGAAGGCAGAGGCGGGCTTCTGGTGAGGGTTGGCGCCATAACGGAGGGCCATGTACTGGTCTCCTGAGCCGGCGTACTCCTTGCGGAAGAAGTCGGAGATGGCGGCGTCATAGTCGGCAGTGTGCTCAAAGGCCTTGAGGGCATAGCGGTTGCGGCTGGCGTCGCTGATCTCGCCCTTCTCGAGCTCGCTCAGGAAGCCGGCGTAGTCGGTGGGATCGCTGAGGATGGTGACTCTCTTGTGGTTCTTGGCGGCAGCGCGGATGAGCGTCACGCCGCCAATGTCAATCTCCTCGACAGCCTCGGGGATGCTGACGTTGATCTTGGCAACGGTGTCCTTGAAAGGGTACAGGTTGCAGATGACATAGTCCACCTTGTTGATGTTCTGGTCGGCAAGGTCCTTCTCGTCAGACTCGAGGTTGCGAGCAAGAATACCGGCATGGACAGCAGGGTGCAGAGTCTTGACACGGCCGGCGAGCATCTCAGGGGCCTTGGTGATGGCGCTGACATCCCTATACGCCGTGGCGCATTAGTTTTCATATTGTCTCTTGTCATGAGCTATCGGTAGCTTGCTTCATCCTCCACTTTTTGACTCTTTCTCTCTCTTCTCTTTTTTTGGTCGCGTGTCCATGTCTCAACCGGAATTGGTTCCCTTTAAATTCAAGGATGAGGCATTGGGATGTTTTCATACTCAACGGGGAATCCAGACTCGCGGATCATGCGAGCTGTGCCTCCAGAAGCCAGGATTCGGACATTCTGCTGGGCAAGACCCTTAGCCAGATCCAGCAGTCCAGTCTTGTCGTAGACGGAGACGATGGCGATCTTCTGGCTCGACATTGTGAGGCGGGGCAATTCTCTCTTCTAGACAACTGGAAGAAAGGTGTGGGTTAGTCTAGAGAGAAAAGGTGAATCAGAGACAAAGAAAAGAGAAAAGAAGAAGCTCTCCTTTTTACTGTCCCTTTTATACAATATAAAAGAGCCGATGTCGTCAGTTAGAAAAGGGAAAAAATGGAAAAAAAAAAAAATTAGCGGGGTAGCAACGCAGGTCCTATGGTGGGGTGTTGAGGGGAATGATTTGCGCTTTGGCGTTGTAATTGTGACGACGTAGCTGCTTGATTGGATGCGGCTGGGAGCTGTGAGGCACTTACGAGTAACTAAAGGGAACTGAGAGCCGATAGTGGGTTTCCCGAGAAGAAAAAAAAAATTGAGAGAAGCGCCAACCCAACTGACAGCTCATCTATGGGCGGATTGCTGTCCAGGTGTTGACTCATTCAAATTGATAATTTTGTCTCGGAAGATAACAATGGCCGATGGCATTCTACGTATAGCTAATTCCTTTGCAGTGTGTTGTATTAAATGGCTGGGAAATAATAGTCACTTGGCCTTATATAGAGCTTGCAGGAGTTCTTTTTGGATCATGCTCCCCCCTCTTTGATGGGTGCGTGGTTTTGTTTTTTTCTTCACTGGCGCTAACGGCTATTTTTGGTGTGAAAAATGAGCGGGTGTGGTCCATTGGATATGTTGATAAGAGAGAACTGCAATCATGCTTGTAAGAATAGCCGAGTGCCAGCGGTAGCACCTGATAGTTCCTGTTTGGTTCTAGGATCATTTGACATTTTGGGTCTAATGTTGCCGGAAATCAAGAGTATCTCAAGCCGTTAGAAGATCACTCAACCGCAGCACCAGCTAATGTCACGCAAAACAAAGTATTGCCGTGGTTTTCATACAGCCTTAGGCAAACAGAGAATCATATTTTGGTATCATCACCGGCACCAAGACACATGTTCATCGAAATCAGTCGAATTAGAGCCTGAACACCGCTTGTGCCTCAAGTATTTTTTGATCGTGACCTCATTTTTTTTTTCGTTGGTATAGACTGCTGTCCTAGCAAGCCCATCCAGGACGCCTTCCGTCCCAGACCGAGGCCCAGCCCGGGAATAAGTACAAGTCAGACCGGATCCCCCCTGAGCCAATGCGATGCAATTCAAACCCTTTTTTTGTTCAAGTGGAAAAAAGCATGCTGCGCCTCAATGCCCCATTCTACCCCGACGACCCTTCGTAAACCAAAGCATAATTAAAACATTTAAGCCTATAGTACAATGCAAGTTAGTAATCGATTCCAAAAGAATTTTTTTCCTTCATCTTTTCGTTCTTGACTATCCATCCACATTGTAACAAAAATTATTCAAGAATGTCGTACCTTGATGGCGAACTTGCGCTGGGGGAAGTGAGTGTTGCGCTTCTTGGTCTTCTCCAGAACACGGGCCTTGTCCTCAGGTGATAACCGGCGGCGGATGGCACGGGTCTGCTTGGGGCGGAGGTCGAGAGGCAGGTACTTGCTCTTCTTGTAGAAAAGACGGAGCTGGTTGCGCTGAGTGGCGTTGGTAACGGTCAAGACACGAGCGATAGACTTGCGCAGGTCGTGGCTATGATTGAGGGAAAAGCGTCAGCCGCAACAATTTCTTCCTTGACCAACTGTCGAATGCTGCAACAGCACAGAAAAAAAAAGGGGGGGTTTCCTCCTTACATCTTGTTCAGCTTGGAGCCGGAAGAAGCAACCTTCTGGATGCGGAGCTGGCCGAGTTCAGCCTTGAGCTCACCGAGCTGCTTGGCCAACTCCTCCTTGTTCTTGCCCCAAAGCTGGGAAGCCTTGACTTTTCCCGTCGACTAACAAATGATAATCAGCACCCTGCTTTCCGACGCATTGTATAGAAATAAAAATTGCGAGCGATTATGACGGATTGACGGATGAGGAGGGGTTTCGACGACTTCGTATGTGACATCTCGGAACGACAGCGCATAAAATTCGACATCGAAGGGACAGTCGTCCAGCAAGAGGGGAGACGTGTGTTCTTTGTGATCTAACGAGGGCATATTCATCGTTCAGAGCAACGACCGTATGTACTCACCATCTTGAGAGTCTGTGATGTGATTTGCGAGAGTTGGGTAGTAAAAGTTTGCCTCGACCGTGACCCGTCCGTATGTCGCGATGGTTCGTAACACTCCAAAAAGAATTTAGTCGAGGGTTTGCCGAGTCGGTGAAAAATTGCCCTAGGGTTTGGCTGAGCGTGCACCAGATTCAAAGACTTTGTAATTTTTCATTGGCCAGCGAATTATGGGTCTAAAGTGGGTAGCGAAGAGGCGCTCACGTGCGCGATCCCGTGCTTTTCACGTAAGGCTAGCATGTCGGGCGGTGAGCGATTCTGCCACTGCCTCTGGAACGGATTCGGGCGTCGCCTATCCCCCGTAGCTCAGCGCATGTTCCCATATCGTCATCAGAAACACCCTGAGTAGGACTGCCGCCTATACCGACAAATATGGCCACATCATCAGGAAACGCTGGCTGGGCCCAGCTACGCCAACAGGCACGATCATTAGAGAATCAGGTAAGAACCCAGCCAATATGGAATGTTTGTTTGATGGGCTGCTTTACTGATCATGGCATTCGCCCTTTTAGACGGAGAGTCTGTTTCATACCTACTCCCAATTCTCTACTGCGTCTAATATTCCGGCCAAACCAACGCCCGAGGAGCGTGATGTAGAAGCAAAGCTAGAAGAAGTGCTAGACAAGGTTTGTACGGCGAATAGCTGCAAGGCCAGATTTATTCAAGCTCTGGGTAGCTAACTCACGGCTGCAGCGCGACAACGTCATTGGCCAACTCGCTCGACTCCTGGATTCGGAAGCATCCCTTAACACATCCGCGCTCAAGCAGAACAACTTATCCCTGCTCCGAGAGAAACTTTCGTCTCACCGACGCGACCTCACCCGGCTCAGATCCACTCTCCAGCAAGCCCGCAATCGCGCCAATCTCCTGACCAACGTCCAGTCTGACATTGACGAGTATCGGGCGAACAACCCGGAAGCTGCCGAGGCTGATTATATGCTGGACGAACGCAATCGCATCGACCGAAGCCACGATGTGACAGATAGCGTCCTCAGCCAAGCGTATGCCATTAATGACAGCTTTATTGTACAAAGGGAGACTCTCGCCAGCATCAACCGAAGGATAACCATGGCGGCGAGCAAGGTACCGGGCATCAATTCAATAATCGGACGTATAACATCGAGAAAGAGGAGAGATGGGATTATCATGGGGACATTTATTGCGCTGTGCTTCATCGTCTTTTTCTGGCTGAGATGAAAAAAAAAGGGAACCATATAATATTTATTCACCGGTTCCGCATATGACATTGGCGTTAAGGGGGGTATCAGCGGTTTAGTCTATTTTTGTCTATTTGTACAACATGGCAGGATCCATAGCACTATTTCTTGTTCTTCATCCGATAATACAGGCGCAGAAACCTGAAGAGATGCCAAATTTCTACAACACACTCTTGCCTTTTTCCAGATGCGGTTTACCGGGCAATTTCTCTCTCGCTGCTGCAGGCAGCAATGCTTCTTTCTTGATATCATCAACCAGCTTCACCAGGCCTTTGTTCAGACCCTCCAATTCGTCTGGATGGCTCGATCCACTGCCAGCCCAGCGTATCCTGCAGTGGTGGTCGACGAGATATGTGTAGCCAACCTTGCTATTGAGCAGGCCTATTGATTCGCGAATCTCGTCTGTGATGCCCCTTCGCACGAGAAAGTACTTGTCCCAGTCCTTCTCCGGAAACCTCTTGCGCAGCGACCCCATGAATAGTTTGATAAGGAAAGCTTTGCCAGAGTTATCTTCATAATTGATCCTGACGATCTGTGCCTCATTGCCACTGCGCTCAAGCACTTCGTGAAGCTGCGGGTTGGCTTCCTTTGATATAAAGCTTTCGGCTTGTCGCTCTGCCCACTGGCTGCTGAAGATGGATACAACAGATGCTCTGCCGGAGAGGAGTGGGGTGGTGTCGCGAGGGTTTACGTCTTTCTTGAGAATCGTTTGGCCATAGAGGTTGGGAAAGAAGAGAGAGAGTTCGGCTTTGAAGAGACGGGGCGGGGAGATGAAGGATTTGCCCTCGTGGTATTGCAGGTTGCCCCAATCGCGGAAATACGGTCTTGATATTTTGGCGGTCCTATATTTGAGCAGCGCCTCATTGTTAGCAAGTTGGCCTTTATAGAATATGTACGATGTGGCGTTGCCATGGTAGTTCCCCTTACAGCTCCTTGCGTCTCGCTAGATGCTTATCATAGTTGACAAAGTCCTCTTTGCGCTGCTGCAGTGAGCGGCTATCAAGGCCAGTGTTCTCGCCCGGCAAAGGAGGCAGCGCCATGCCGATTGGTCGGGGGAGCGGCTTCGGCGTAAACCCTCCCTCTACTCGCTTTCCGTAGCTTCGTGGTGCATCGATCGGTGCCCCGGCGACGGTGGCCTTGGGGTCCATAGAGGTGCCCGAGGCGGGTTTCTCTGCCTTTGTGGCGCTCACTGCAGTTGCGGTAAATGCGCGACGCCATTGGCAGCGGGCGCACGACGACGACGAAGCAGTTGTAGCAGCATATCTCCTGCTCGAGAGGAGGAGGCCACTGAGGGCCAGCTCCAGCGTCCGTGATGATGATGATGGCATGGCTTGCGGCGCCGGGGGGGGTTTATGTTCACGGCGGCTTTCTTGGCTGGTGCCCCGGAAAAAAAATTTGGGCTTTCGCAAGGCATGGCTCCATTCTTTACGGCCCCGGAAGGACGCACGGCTCCGGGGTTCGCATCGGCAGCGCTAAAAGTGCTTCCAATGGCTGAGCGCTGCTAGCTGTTGCAAGCAGTTTAGCGCCATTCTTTCTGCTGCTCTACCCAGAAAAAAAAAAGCGAATTCCAAACCGCATAAGCACCCCAGGATTTCGGCTATCCGCGGGGAGCTACAAATCCAGCTTCAACCGCAATGCCGACTGAAGCCACGCTTGGCCTTGGAGAAATCCCCGGGTCTAGAGTTCGGCGAAGTATTTTATTTCTTCTTGCTTTTAAATCAAGTTAGACGTTCTCCTCAATCCTTCTCTCCTTCTATTTTTTTGATCTGCAAGCCCGGTTGTGCCGTTCAATTGAGTGAGACCCCTCAGCTTCTCTTTAGACAATCATGTTTCTTCAGCGAGGATCAAGAGTGCTGCGGCGGCAGTGGGGGGCTTCCAAGGCCATGGGCAAGATGGCCATGGGAAGGGGAAACACAGCGCCTGCGGCGGCTTCCCCGCGGTGGTTTTCAGAGTCGAGGAGACTGTATGCCGTGAAGCCGGTGCTGCTGGCTGATATTGGCGAAGGTGAGCTTAGCCAAGATGGTGCAAAACCGACAATTGGATCGATGCTGACGAGTAGAAACAAAAAGGCATTGTCGAGTGTGAGGTCATCCAGTGGTTCGTCGAGCCCGGCGCGCACGTCGAGGAATTCTCTCCCCTCTGCGAGGTTCAGAGCGACAAGGCGTCTGTGGAAATCACAAGCCGCTTCTCCGGCGTCGTCAAGAAGCTATACTACGAGACGGGCGAGATGGCCAAGGTGGGGAAGCCGTTTGTCGACATCGATATTGATGGAGGCGCCGAAGACGCCGGAGCTCCGCAGGCGGCTGAGCCGAGCAAGGATGCTTCAGCACCCGCTCCTGAGCCGTCCAGGTCAGAACAGACTGTGATTGATACGCCGGCACAGGGTGGCAGCCAAGGGCCCAAGCCGAAAGGCAAGGCGGCAGGACTAGCAACACCTGCAGTCCGGCATCTGTCCAAGGAGTTGAATATTGATATCCTCGATATCGACGGCACAGGCAAGGACGGCAGAGTCTTGAAGGAAGACATCTACAAGTTTGTACAGCAGAGAGATGCCAGCGCGAGCGCGCCGGCGTCTTCACAATCTGCATCCGCACTGCCGCAACAGCCGGCATCATCACAACAGCCGTTTGGCCTGGCCCCGTTACCAAACGGCCAGCCTACGGTGCAGACGGAAACAAGAGTCCAGCTCACCAACACCCAGCAGCAGATGTTCAAGACCATGACGCGGTCACTAAACATCCCCCACTTCCTCTACTCAGACGAGGTCGACTTCACAGACCTCGTCAACCTCCGCTCCCGCCTCAACAAGGTCCTCTCCCAGACCCCCGCGGCCCCCGGCCAGGCCGCCAAGCTCTCCTACCTCCCCTTCATCATCAAGGCCGTCTCCATGGCCCTCTACCAATTCCCCATCCTCAACTCGCGCGTCGAGATCGACCCCGCCACCAACAAGCCCTCCCTCATCATGCGCTCACAGCACAACATCGGCGTGGCCATGGACACCCCCCAGGGTCTGCTCGTCCCCGTCATCAAGGACGTCGGCTCGCGGAACATCCTCTCCATCGCCTCCGAGCTCACGCGCCTGCAGAACCTCGCCGTCCAGGGTAAGCTCACGCCTAACGACTTCTCTGGCGGCACCATCACCGTGTCCAACATTGGCAACATTGGCGGCACGTACCTCAGCCCCGTCATTGTCGAGCGCGAGGTGGCCATCCTGGGCATCGGCCGCATGCGCGCCGTGCCGGCCTTTGACGAGAACGACAATGTGGTCAAGAAGCACGTAACCAATTTCTCATGGAGCGCCGATCACCGCGTTGTCGACGGAGCTACCATGGCTCGTGCCGCAGAGGTGATTCGCCGTGTTGTTGAGGAGCCAGACGTCATGGTCATGCATCTTAGGTAAATATGAATCTGGAGTAAAGGAATGAACGATAGAGAGAGAGAGAGAGAGACGTGTAAAGATTTAGATTATGTTACGATACATGCCGAGACCTAGTGTTAGGCTTTCATTTTACTCCTGTGTTAGAGTATCTTTTTGTTAGATATACTCTTTTTTTTGGTATCTACGTATTTACTAAATTTGATGAATATAAAAATTAAAAAGTCAAGCTCATCCCCCCGTCGGTGTGTTGTAGATCTATCTCCAAAGTACAAGTATCCCACCTCTTACACACCCAAAATGTACTATACAACGCAACCACACAACCAGCGAGTACAGTACATCTCTTAATGCACACGCCCATCCCATCCCTTCCAAAAACCCTCACACGTTCGCAGCAAGCCAAATAGCATACATATCCCCCCCCCAGACGCAGCATGACGCCATACGCCCTTTTTCTTCTCCCCCCTCAAAAATAAAAAAAAGAACAAAACCCACATCCGCATCCCGCTATCCGAAAATCTGCAACCTCTACAAAATCTCCAGCCTAACCTCAAACCGCCACCACACGCATATAAGACATATACCTATATTAGTGTAAGTATCAGATATTAGCAAAGTAACAAAAAGAAATACTGTTCATTGGGGAGGGGACAGGAGGAGTGCAAGGGGCGGGGGGGGGGTCTCAGCTGATCTACATCCCGTGACCATTCTGCACCTCTGCGTTGTTCACCGAAAGAATGAACCAAAAAAACCGACGAGGAGGCTGAATGACTTCTCTTCGTGCGTTGGCGCCATGTCTCATTACAATGACCGTGACCGTGACCGTGACCGTGATGCTAGTGGCGATGCCCAACGCCAAAAATGACACAAACAGGAAGAAGAAAAAATAAAGAGAGAGAGAGAGACCATGAGCCACTGTAATCTGTAATTTGCATTAGTGGCGGGCCGTATAAGTGAGAAGTGACAGAAGGTATTCCCTCTCCTGTTTGGGAATTCTTTCTTATGCAAGGCGTCTTCAAAAGGAAAAAGAAAACAAAAAAAGGCTGTGGATGTGTCAGGAAGAATCCCTCTCTTCCTTTCTGAATCCCTTCTTGCTTACCTTGCTTGATTAGGAGCTGCATGATTTCAAGAGCTGGGGTCAGAAAAACAGGGACGTCATGCAGTCAGAGCGCACGTTGATAACAAGATTATTGATATAATACAGATTCTCATTCATTTATTGCGTGTGCCTATTATATAACCTTCCCGTTCATGATGATGATGATATCCAACTGCCCTGTACATATTCCCTTTTCTCCACTCTTTTGCCCGCAAAAGAGAAACAACAGACTGGAGTCCACTCGCAACGGGGGCTGCGAAATGACCTGCTTGTGCGACCCAGCCGCTTGCTGCTTGTCAGATGCTAGCAGTGGTGATTTCATGCCCAACCGTTTGTTCCAACCACTGCCCTTGCACCCCTGTTGCCTGCTGACCGAGCTGTTGTTAGTTCCCGGAGCTCGTGTCGAGTCCCAACTCCACATCCAAATGAACCAATGGATAGATCCCTGCGCCAATCGATTTGAAAAAAAAAAAAAGGAAAGCAAAACAAGAAATAATGCAAATCTGGCGCCATTGCTGGCCCGTTCCCCCAGAATTCCTTAGCTGAAAAAAGATCTAGACCAAAAAGAAAAGCCAATGTCATAAAACCCCATTGTCGCATATCCGCAGAAAAAAGAAAAGGGCGACAATTTTTTTTTGTTGATGCCCAGACGCTGAGACCATGCGGTAGGCTCTATACCCGAAGAAAAAAGCGAAAAAGAGAAAGTGGTTCAGGTGAACACTCTATTGGCTGTCGTCGTCTGTGCCCATCGTCTCAATGACCTTGGCAAGGGCGTCTTCCTTGACCTCGTCCAGGGTCCGGCTGACATCGACGGTGATGACGTCTGTCTCATTTTTAGAAGGTCGCTCGAGGACCTCGAACTGGCTGTGCACCATGTTGGCTCCCATGTAGTGGCCCTGGCGCTGGGCGACGCGCTGAAGTAGCAGCTCTTCCGAGGCATCGAGGTAGATGAAGTGGATAAGCAGGTGGTGATCGTAATAGGCGGCCACGCGGATGACATCCCGGTACTTGCGCTTGAGGGCCGAGCAGGTCAGGACAACGCCGGTCTGGCCCTCATTGATCTGGCGCATTGACTCATCGCGGAGGGACGTCAGCCAGTCCCAGCGGTCAGCGTCGGTCAGAGGAATTCCATTGCTCATCTTTTCGATGTTTGCTGCGGAGTGGAACTGCCAGCATTTGTTAGCACATAATTGTCGGCGTCGTACAGGAGCAAAAAAGATTGTCAGCATACCGAGTCGCCTTCAATGTAGGGCATGTCGAGGGCGTTTGCCAGATACTCTGCAACGCTGGACTTGCCACATCCCGCTGGGCCGGTAACCAGCCAGATGTGCGTGTGGGTGCCGGCCTGTCCGGCGGCGGTTGCCGAATGCGACTCCGTCTTGCGAGACGTGCCGTTGGCCACGGTCTGGATATCGAGAGCAGCGGCAGAGGGTGGCTTTTGGCCTGGTACTGCACATGCGGTATCGAAGGACATCATCTTGTAGAAGGGCAGAGAGGTTGGATTTGCCGAAGAAAGGCGGTAGATGTGTTTCTTTAATAGCAAAAGAGGAATGATGTGTTCGATGGAGGCTTGGGCCGCTGTTGTAGTTTATAGATAAAGTTTGGATCACCAAAGGCAAACAACAAGCCTGGCAGGTTGTGAAAGCCGGAGTAGCGCAGCCTCTTTGGGTCTAAGAGGAGATGAAGGTGCTTGAAAGCAGATCGATCAATGCAGATGACGTCAAGAGGGAATGAGTAGAGCAGCAGCTTTTTGCGGAGCACAACGCGGAGGGCGAGAGGAAGAGAGACGGAAAGAACAAAAGCTTGACAAGGAGAGCTTCAAATAAGGTTGGCCATGAGGAGGAGAGAGGCAACCTTTTAATAGCAAGCCGCTACGTACTCCCGCCTCTCCGTATGGATGGATCCGGGCAATCTAATACAACAAGGTAGCCCCTTGTGGTTCTAAGAGAGTCAGTGGTGAGCCCGATTATATGGGGAACACGGGGACCGGCACTCTTGACGGCTACGGTACAGGTACAAGTACATGCACATCAGCAACTACCTACTACCTAAAGGACGCAAGACAGACACCTCGCGAAGGGGGGAAATAGATTACCGGCTGGGGGTGGGAGCGGAGCACAGGAGCCTAAACCAAAGCGCCGGTTTTTCTTTTTTAAATTGGGCTGTGCCGTGTGGGAGAAAAAAAAAAAACAAATGGAAATAAAAAAAATAAAAAATGAGAAATTCCCAACGGTGACACAAATGCTGGGGTCACCCATCGAGCCTAGCTGTTTGCCTGTCCTGGTAGTGGTACTTGGACTCGAGCCCACAGCGCCGGGACTTGGTTCGGCGCTCGAACACGTCGGGGGCTCCCCGTCGCATGTCCACGCCCCCTCCCTGGTCCCCCTTTGCTTTTTCTTCCATTTTTTCTTCCTTTTTTCTAAAGGCTGCCATGGGGCTGCCCCCCTGTCGGACCAGTCATGCGAGCAGGTGAGAGATCAGGGGCCTGGCAAGAGGGTGGGCTGTGCCGAAGGTCGGGATGACGTCGATACGCTGTAAGCATCAAGAGGAAGAGCTGCTGCTTGTGTGATACCTTGGGCTGCGAAACAGAAAAGAGAGACAAATGAGAGCAGCGCTATAGATTCGAATCCAATCCGGTGCGATAATAAGGGGACAAGTGCTAATGTGGCCGGTCAAAACTCAATGCGGTGCTGTCACGGCGAGACACGCCCCCTTTGGTCACAGCTGGGGGACCAAGCCGGCTGAAAACTCGCTGCAAGGAGGTCTAGAAAAAAAGGTACAGTAGCAAAAACACACAAACAGCAAAAAAAGCAGGCAGGCTCCACTGGGCTTCGGCGCCAAAGGAGTTGGCGAAAAAGAAAAGCACGCCAAAACAAATTAGACCGTCGGCTATTGCCCTTTGATATGGACCTCCCTGCGGAGACCAAGGCCTGTCTATGCGGCGCTTTGGGGGAGTACAGAGTACGGGCTGTTATGGCATTGTGCCACGTATTGGATAGTGGCATTAAAGTACCGAGTACTGTGAAATGCAAGACAGGCTACTTGGTGCCTGTGCCTCTGCTCTGTGCATCAGTGGCTTCAAGTGGCGCTGGCAGCTCCAGCTCAATAGCCGCCCCCCCGGTCGGTGAATGAAAGTGAGCACTCGCTATAGCCGTCCGGGGAAGCATCAACAAATAAACTCATATTTTCATCAGCTCCAGCCGAAAAAACAGTTGATAAGATGCCGTCCGTTCCAATTCTCACCAACTCAATAGCCTATGCCATATACATCTCTAGGTGCCGTTCCGCGCAACCGTGAGACAGGAGAATAGAGTTTGTGCCGCGCATATTGCATGTCGGCTCGTATCTGTTTGTCTGTACACACTTGCTACATCATCCCGCCAGATTGTCGATCCATTGAGCCTTGCTGCGTAGCGGCATGCGGGCTGGGATGATGCGCGGTAGCAGTACATACATACAGCATAGCATGCCAGCATTGCGCATTGCGCGGGATCATGGGAGGCATCTCGTGCCAATCGCGGCTCTCAACAAACCCTGGTGCGTGATGTGCGGCATGAAGTAAACCTGGCCGGAGCTGAACGGCACTGGCTCTGGCTCCCTTGTCTGCGGCACCGCCCTCGACAGCGTTTCCTTGTCATACCGACTCCAAGAAGACACGACCGCACTCTGTGCAACTCTGCACTCTCGCTTGCTCTGAGCCGATGATGCTACCCGGCGGATGAGCGCGTCGTAGGATTTGCCACCCTAGGTACAATGCTTGGGTGTCAGAGCAGCAGTACTCTGTGGCATATAGACCTAGGTGTTACCATATGAGACAGATGAAGCAGGGCGCCGAGCTTGGGGTAGGAGGTAGCGCTACCACTAGCGGCTAGCAGTGGGAGTACTGCCAGTAACGCGATAGAGCACGTCGGATGCATGCACTTATTCTGCCGGCTCGTTCTAGGTTGCACTTGCACTATGATCGGTATCGGCAGAGTTCCAGAATGCCGGGTCGAGGCCGCAGTACTTGATATAAGCACGAAAATAGTACATGTACATTGCACGCGAGATGCATGGGACTTGCTGACGATAGCTGAGGTTGGTGGAACGATGCGAGCATTGAGTCAGTGCTGGGCAGCGGCAATCCTAAAGGAACACATGAATGCCACCTGGCAGGTACGAGTAGGGATGGCGGTCACAATATCGTCTCCGATATATACCTAGGTATGCTACCTACCTTGGTAGGCAGCAGGGGGAACAAAAGCACAATAGCTGCCAAAGGTGCTGTACTTCGTGCATGGTAAGAAAAGGAACAAGCAGATGCTGGTAAGAGGAAAAGATTATTGGCCATGTGACTTCCGATAGCTTGCTTGCTGCAACTACCTAGGAAGAACCACAAAATCTCCGGACCGGTCCCCCAGTGCCAAATATACGCCGAGGAATAGGAAAAAGTAGCAGACAAAAGAGAGAGAAAAATGTGTTGGGTCCGGCCTAACCCGCGGAAGCCAGTAGGTACTCCCGCTGAGTCCGCTGTTTCTGCTGTGATGAAGCACTCGGGGAAGACGCCCAGTTGCATCCGGCACCCCATTAAAAGCGAGTCAAGTGGCCCTTAGCCTAGACCCGGTCTCCAAACGTTTCGATGCATCTCAGCCCCGTTGCATTGGAAGGAGGGAGGGGAATCCGCCGAATATTGCCCGCCTAGCTTTCTCTCTCGCTCTCGCTGTGTCTCCCAAGAAAAAAGAAAAGAAAAGCCACTTTTTGGGAGGGACGTGGGGGTCACGAACCTCTCCAGCTGACGTGCAAAATACTACGAAAAAAAAAAACGGGGTAAGGTGAGCTGTACGAGGTCAAGGTGGGTGATACGATGTCGACATTTTTTTTTTTTTTTTTTTTCCGCTTTCGCGAAAACAGCTAAGCTGAAAAGAACGAGTTCAATTACCGAACAAAGTAGCTCGCGGTTGTTTGACCCTGGGGGCGCGTCGATACGACATGCTGTAGGCGCAGAACGGAGCTTTAGGCACATGTGCGCGATGCAAAGCAGCCGTACATCAGCCGTTGGGCAGCTCTGCTTCTACGGCCAGACCGAAAAAGGCATTTTCTGCTTATTCCGCGGGCAGGAGGAGCTTGGGGGAAAATGTACTATTGAAAAACGTCGTCTTTTTGGGCCGTCAAAGAGTGGGTGAGCCGGTTATTACATAGCGGCAGCAGGACTACTGCTATATTTCCTTCCTTTGAGCATTTTGTGTCCCCCGTAGGGCGCCGTCAGTGTCTCTCCGGAAAATTGAGCTCCACCAGTCGGGTTACGCTAGACTATAAGATGCTACGAGGCACTAGCATCATCAGGGGCTGAGAGCAATAACAGAGCACTGCTTGTTTGTTTGTACGGGTGCACACACGAGCTCCAGTTGCCCAGTTTTGCTTGTATCGTATAGGTAGCTTCAGTGCCAAGCAGCTTTGTGTGACACCCTTTTCCCGCGCTTATTGTCGTGTTGGCCAATAGCCATGATCACAGCTAGCGTTTAGGCGCCTTCCTGAAAACTACCCGCTGGCATGGCGGCTGCGGGCTAGAGCCGGGGAACTTTCCAAAACTACCGTCAACTCCAATCCGAAATCTAGAATGACATCCGGGGCAAGTAGCAATATTACGATACGCCGCTAGTAGTTTCACATATAATAAGAAAACAAAATCAAAGAGAGGGAGTCGTGTGAGGGAAACCCGTGCCATCGGAATTATCAGCCGTAAGCAGGTTTCAGATAGAGTCGACGACAAGTTTCCGACGTGCAAACCGATTGCCATGGCTGACTGGAGAGCCGCAGCAAAATGAAAGGCCGCTTTACCCACACGACCATACTTGGCCAGTCTTGAATGTCCATTGGTCCGTGTCATATATATCATGCGAGCTTGCGTATAGAATTTGCCACCGGCGAACCCTTTTGTTTCCTCTTTTCTTCTCTCCTTTTTCTTGCATACCTGGGGCCTTTCCCCCAGATTTCCCTGAGAGGATTATACCGCGAGAGTGCAGACATACCACCCAGCTGCTCAGCTCATGTTGACGCCTGCTTCTGCAATGTGGAACAGCCTTGACAACCAAGATTCAGGATTCAGCAGTCTGACTTGCAAGACAATTGGACGATGAATTGTTCAATGACGCTGGCAGAATTCCTTCCCTTTGCTCCGACTTCCTGTGCGTAAAACAGTCGATTCAAAGTTCCTTGACGCCGATCTCATTTAGTACTGTGGTCCTAGCATTGATATTGACGCAATCGTCAATTTCAGTTTTGAAACCCTAAAAACAAGAGCATCAACTGACTGAAGCGTCTCTGCCGCAGAAGACTACCTACTACCTACTACCTACATACTAGACTAGGCACCAGTAGTAAAATCTGGCAGTCTCCGTGTACTTCGCAGTTCGTCAAAAGTCCCATCTCTCTTTGTGTCAAAGCCGCGATTTACCCCTCAACCCCGCCATGCCACCCTCCAAAAGACGGGTCACTGAGCCGGTTCAGGTACCCCGCCTGTGGCGCAGGCACAACGCCCTGTACCCTGAAGTTCAACAGTCTGGTTTACAGGGCATTGTGATTCAGAGGAATGTAGGGGAACAGGACCAAAATAGAGTATTCTTTAAGCTATAGCTTCTGCATGCATCTCGTTTCGTGCACACACGCGGCCTAGAGTACGCTAGAGATGCTAGCCCGGTAGGAGAAAGCACATCTATGCTTTATGTAGTTTCCGTCTTCTAGGCAGTCGGGTACTATTTAGTACTATGCAGCGGCACCTAGGCAGCCTTGCGTACCCAACCGCCAAGCCACAGTGCTTACAGGCGTCTCGCTGGACACTGGCCCTAGCTGCTTTAGGCATTTCATGTGTGGCTTCACTGAAAGAACTTTTGGCACAATGTTCCTGCGTGCCGCCAGAAACCGCGTGGACGAGAAACCTTGGCCGTCTTAAGCTCCAGCCACGCATGTGCGCTGGCCTGATGTCTTCACTTTTACTGCCCCTCATCTCGCGCAGGTCGCCTTCAATAAGAGTCCATATCGCTGCATTGAAACGCCCGCATCCAATTCTCAAACGCAATCTCTCGCCTCGCCTTTCAAGATCCTGGTTTGCCTCATCAGCAGTCAACATGAAGCCCGAGGAACTCAAGCACTACCTGGCGGATCAGCCACCCACCGTCGTCCGCCTGGAAATCGAGAAGCACTTCGCCCTCCTGACTGAGCAGCAGAAGCGTTATGCTCACTTTATCAGCAAGTAAGTTGCCTCTCTGACGTTGCTCCCGGCTTTCCTTAGTCATCACGGTGCTACAATCACATACACTGAGTGCTTGATACTTACACGTCTCTAGGGCTGCTTTTGCTGGTTCCAGAATCGTCTTGCGTCAGCTTTCGCCAGAGTCAGAGTCCATTTATGACTTGATCATCACCCTTCACAAGTCGACCAATGGCGACTGGAACGCGCTGGCCAAGAAGGCCGGCGTTGAGGAGTCAGAGCTGAACCTCTTCCTCGAGTATACCGGCATGTTCCTCGGCAACATGGGCAACTATAAGAGCTTCGGTGACGCCAAGTTCATCCCCAGATGCACTGAAAAGACTGTTGCTGCTTTGGCCGCTACATCTCCCGAGGCTCAGAAATTCTATGAAGCTACCAAGGGTGCCATCTTCAGCCACGAGGACCCTGCTTCTATGCACCTCGGATTCCTCGATGCTGGCCACATGACGACCTACTACCCCGACTCCAAGGGTATTACCAAGGCCGAAATCGAAGCTGTCTCATCCTGGATGGAGCAGAAGAGGCTGCTGCCTGAGAACACCAGGCTGCGAAAGACCGCCGATGGCTTCGATATTCTCATTGCTTCCGCCCTTTCCAGTGTCCCCGCCGAAGGAGGTGATATTGGAAAGGAGACTAAATTCACTGTTGAGGATGGCCCCCTCAAGGGCAAGACCATCAGCCTGGTTTACGGTGATTACGCTGAGGAGATGAAGAACATCACTGCCAACATCAAGCAGGCTGCGGCCAACGCGGACAATGACAACCAGAAGAACATGCACTTGGCCTACGCCAAATCTTTCGAGACCGGTTCTTTGGAGGCATTCAAGGACAGCCAGCGCTTCTGGATCAAGGATAAGGGCCCCAGCGTTGAGTGCAACATTGGCTTTATCGAGACTTATCGTGACCCTGCTGGTGTCCGTGGAGAGTGGGAGGGATTCGCTTCCAGTGAGTAAACCCGTAATTTGCCACATATTATCTATGCATTTCGCTAACCTAATATTTTTAGTGGTTAACCGTACGTATTCGATTCCATTTGCCAGCTAATGTGAGATGTGGCTGGCTAATAATCACTGACAGAGGAGCGAACCCGTGCTTTTGGCGAACTCGTCGATGCCTCACCCTCACTCATCCCCTTACTTCCTTGGGGCAAAGAGTTCGAAAAGGACAAGTTCCTCTCTCCCGACTTTACATCACTAGAAGTGATGACCTTTGCGAGTTAGTAATACCAAGTATGGGCTCTATATATATATATATAAGCTGACAATCTCTCCAGACTCCGGTATCCCTGCTGGCATCAACATGTAAGCACGGTTTTCGTTTCTAAGTCGCCGTTTATGTCTATTAACAAGGTTTAGTCCCAACTACGATGACATCCGACAGACTGAAGGTTTCAAGAACGTGTCTCTTGGAAATGTGCTCAGTGCCAAGGCTCCTAATGAAAAGATTCCCTTCATCCGCCCCGAGGATCTGGAGGTGTACCAGGCAAACCGCGATGCCGCTTTCGAGGTCCAAGTTGGACTTCACGAGCTTACGGGTAAGTGTTACTTCAGCCTTGACTCAGATATGTCTATTAACGACCTGTTTAGGCCATGGTTGTGGTAAGCTTTTGCAGGAGACTTCTTCTGGAGTGTACAACTTCGACAAGGAAAATCCTCCTGTTAGCCCTGTTACCGGGAAGCCCATCACCACTTGGTACAAGCCTGGTCAGACCTGGGGCTCAGTCTTTGGACCCATCGCTGCCTCGTATGAGGAATGTCGTGCGGAGTTGGTTGCCATGTACCTCAGCTGCGAATTCCCCGTTCTCAAGATCTTCGGATTTGGAGATGGAACTGAAGATATCAACGGCCCCGCTGGAGATGTCCTCTACGCATCCTACCTCTCTATGGCTCGTGCTGGCCTTGCTTCTCTGGAGATGTGGGATCCCAAGAGCCAGAAATGGGGACAGGCACACAGCCAGGCCCGCTTCTCCATTCTCAAGTCTTTCCTCGAGGCTGGTGACGATTTCTGCAAACTGGACTACACCAAGGACGACCTCTCTGATTTGACCATCAAGCTGGATAGATCCAAGATTCTCACGGCTGGTCGCAAGGGTAAGTTTAATACATAGCTCTCCATATTGAACAAGTGACTAAAACTCGCCTTTTTTTTTTAGCCGTTGCCGATTATCTTCAAAAGCTTCACGTTTACAAGTCAACCGCTGACGTTAAGACTGGAACCGGATTTTACGGTGGAATGAGCAACGTGGACCTCGACTTCTGGGGCACAAAGGTTCGCAACGTCGTTCTCGACAACAAGCAGCCTCGCAAGGTCTTTATCCAGGCCAACACTACCCTGGATGAGGCCACAGGCAATGTGTCGATCAAGCACTATGATGCTACGCTTTTGGGAATGATTGAGAGTTGGTCCGACAGGAACTTGTAAAGAGGAGGAGACAACAAAAAAAAGATAGAAGTAAAAAGTTGTTGCTTAGAGGACCGGGGATAAAGCGATATGCATGCCTGTCTGGAATATACAGATACCCTTTGAGAAAGCAATGTGATATCTAGCAGTGACAATCTAGTACTATACCTGTAAATAAAGATTTCACACAAAATAACTGAAATGCTCTCCAACGCGATATCTAGCCGCGGCAATCTGTTATTATAGGTAGCTTTGAATAATTAGAAGGTACCATGTAAATCGGGTGGAGCATGAAATGATATCAACACATTGGCACACACAAGATTCGTTATCATCTTTTGGCAAAAATATGGCCTTCTTTGCAGGCTTATTTTCTTTGTTCTTGGGATGTGTGTGGAATTAAAATTGAGTAGTCAATACACTGTCGTTGCCATTCACAGACTCTTTTTACCAGCAAGGCCCTGGGTGGAAGGAAAAAAAATCATTTATGCTCGTTGTTGTTTTTTTGACTGTAAAAACCTGATTACAGACGCCAAGATGTGACCGATGCCGTCGACTTCCAAATGCAATTGGCCAAACCAGCCCATTTCGGAGACCCTTTTCCGTTCTACAACCCGCATCTTGACCAACACACCCCAGTGTAACTCCCCCACCCCACAGCTGCCAGTTGATTTTCTTTAATTATTCATTCGTTAAGAAAAGAAATCTACCACGCCATCTCGTGGGGCTTGTCACCCTTCCGCAGGCTGAAGGTGCTGGCGAGGTAGCTGGCCAACAGATCCACCTTCTTGATGCTGGCAATCAGAGCCTTGTCGACGGCCTTCTGGTCGGCAGCACGGCTGCTGTTGATCTCCTTCTTCTGTAAATACGATTTCTGTTAGCAAATCCCATCACACACGCACACACTTTTTCGAATTTTCGAATTTTTTTCGGAATTTTTTTTCGTTTTCGTGTGGCCTTTTTTTTTTTTGCTTTAATTACACGTACCTGGGGCTTCTCTCCCTGCTTGAAGAAAGCCTCAGCGGAGGCCTTCTCCTTGGCCTTCTCAGCGGTGAAGTACTTGGGCTGAGAGATCTCCTCGATCTTGGCAGCGTCCAGGCCGGAGATGTCGACCTTGTATGAGGTGGCGATGACGTATCGGGAGTTGACTCTTCGCAGAGGAACACCGTTGATCTTGAAGGGGCCGGTGACGAGGAGAACACCCTGGTCGAGGTTCTTGAGGAGGACAACACGCTTGCCACGGAAGCGGCCGGCGAGGAGGATCAGGACGGTACCGGGCTGGAGAGACTTTCGGGGAGCCCAAGATCGGACAGCCTTGCGAACCTGTGATTTCCAATCGTATTAGCGCGACTGTTTCTCCAGGAAACGGTCGGATCGTCGCAATAAGGATAGAAGAAAGGGAAAAGCCATCTGGTGCCGAGTCTGATCGCAATTGGGAGTAGTGGTGTTGTCGTTGTAGGATATTGGGTGTTTTTTTTCTGTTTCTTTAATCTAGTTGTCGCCGAAGGGAAAGTAATCGAAAAATGACCAAGCGTCAAGTTTCCCAAGCGCTGCCCACCGCATTCCGGTAACTTCAGGTGTTCCTCCAATTCGAATCGCCACGTCCTTGCAATGCAGACATCTGTACCAGAGGCTTTTCCCTTGTTCTTCTTCTTTCTTCCTTATGACGACGCATCGGCAAACAAACTCACCTTCTTAGGCGCGCTGTCGTCGTCGGCGGGATACCACTTCTTGGCCTGGTCGGCGGAGGCGGGAACCTCCCGGGTCGACTTCCCGAACTGCTTGGTCGTGGGCTTGGCCGACATGTTGACTCTCTCGGGTGGTGTCTGATATGGGGTGTGGAGAGGATGAGGAAGACTGCGTTCGTGATGCTCACCCGAACGGAAAATGTTGGATTTCTTTGTGAGCGCCGCTAGCGAGTTTGTGGGAAGCAAAATGTGAACCCTCAGCGACTAAACCGCTTACGGCCGCGGTACGTACCAGCCATTCCCGCCTGTCGGTGGGACATGGGGCTCAACGCACGTGCCGATAAGATAAGCGCTAGCGCGCTGGACCGATGACTGCCGAACATGCTCGAAAGTGCTGTAGCCATCGTGAAGCTCCGATAAGATGTTCTGATAGGCCGTAGAAAAAGAGCATTAATGGCGCCACTGGCTTGATTCTCTTTATACTTTATAACAAGGGGGGGGATTCTCGCTCCCACTCCATTTCATCTTCCTCCTCTATTTGTAGTCAATAATTCTGGTTTCGCAATTTTATTCATCACAATGCAAGCCAGGCGACAGCTACTGTCCTCGGCCCAGCGCATTGCTGGAGCCTCTGGCAGAGCTTCAAGATCAGCTCTTATACGACCAGCCATTAGGCCTTTACTCTCTGGAGCTTCATCGCTACGTTTACTCCCAACATCAGCAGTAAGAACAATTGCCGGTGGGCGTCCTCAGCCCCCCGGAGGAACTCATAGAATGAATATGGGTGGTGAGCCGGAGAAGCCAGCGCTGGAGCAATTCGGCATAGACTTGACTGCCAAAGCTCGCGATGGTAAACTCGATCCTGTCATTGGACGAGATGCCGAGATTCAGCGCACAATTCAGATTCTCTCGCGGCGAACCAAGAACAATCCAGTGCTGATCGGAAATGCTGGAACCGGCAAGACAGCGATCTTGGAGGGACTGGCATTGCGCATTGTTCGCGGAGATGTACCGGAGAGTGTCAAAAATAAGAGGGTGATTTCTTTGGACCTTGGCTCGTTAATTGCCGGCGCCAAGTTCAGAGGAGACTTTGAAGAGCGACTAAAGAAAGTATTGGACGAGGTTCAGAAAGCAGAGGGCCAGGTGATTCTCTTCATTGACGAATTGCACACCCTTCTAGGATTGGGCAAGGCAGAAGGTTCCATCGATGCCTCAAACTTGCTCAAGCCAGCACTAGCCCGTGGTGAACTTCAATGCTGCGGTGCTACCACCCTTGCAGAGTATCGTGTTATTGAAAAGGACGTGGCGCTCGCCAGGCGTTTCCAGCCCATCATTGTTAGTGAGCCGAGCGTAGAAGACACCATCAGTATCTTGCGAGGCATCAAGGACAAATACGAAGTGCATCACGGTGTACGAATCACCGATGGTGCCTTGGTGGCCGCTGCTACCTTATCCAACCGATACATCACTGATCGATTCCTGCCGGACAAAGCCATCGACCTGATGGACGAGGCTGCAAGTCACCTGAAACTGCAGCATGAAAGCAAACCTGAAGACATCATGAGGCTGGACCATAAAATCATGACCATTCAGATCGAATTGGAGAGTCTACGCAAGGAAAAGGATATTGCGAGCAAAGAGCGCCGAGAAAAACTGGAAAATGACTTGAAGAAGCTTTACGACGAAATTTCAGAGCTCAATGCCAGATGGGATAAGGAGAGGTCCGAAATCGAATCAGTTAAGAAGGTACAGGAGGAACTTGACAAGGCCAGATTTGAACTTGAACAAGCGCAGCGAGATGGCGACTTTGCCCGAGCTTCTGAGCTTCGATTCAGCGTCATTCCTAATCTTGAGCAGAAGTTGCCATCCGACAAAGAGGAGCAACAGGAGGAGGCTAATGGAACTCTCATCCATGACTCGGTGACGGCCGATGACATTGGCAACGTTGTCTCTCGCATCACTGGCATTCCCGTGTCAAAACTCACATCAGGACACATTGAAAAACTGGTCCACATGGAGGATATATTGCGGGAGTCCGTCAAGGGGCAGGAGGATGCCATCAAGGCCGTTTCCAATGCTGTGCGACTTCAGCGAGCGGGCCTGAGCGGTGACAACCGTCCCTTGGCCTCGTTCTTCTTCCTCGGGCCGACCGGTGTTGGCAAGACGGAGCTGTGCAAGAAGCTTGCCAACTTTCTCTTTTCCACCGAGTCTGCAGTCGTTCGGTTCGACATGTCTGAATTCCAGGAGAAGCACACCATCTCTCGACTTATCGGCGCTCCATCCGGCTATGTTGGATACGAGGATGCAGGACAGCTTACAGAGGCGGTTCGCCGCAAGCCGTATGCCGTTCTTCTCTTTGACGAGTTTGAAAAGGCTCATCGCGATATCTCTGCCTTGCTTCTTCAGGTTCTTGACGAAGGTTATCTTACAGACGCCCAAGGCCATAAAGTCGATTTTAAGAACACCATCATCGTGCTTACGTCCAACTTGGGAGCAGATATTCTAGTCGGCCAGAATCATTTACACCCGTACAAGGAGGATGCCAATGGCGACATTGATCCATCGGTTCGCCAGGCCGTCATGGATGTCGTCTCATCAGCTTATCCACCAGAGTTCCTCAACCGTATTGACTCTTTCATCGTCTTCAAGCGATTAGCACTGAGTGCTATTCGTGAAATCGTCGATATCCGCCTCAAGGAGCTCCAGCAGCGTCTAGACGATCGTCGCATTACTCTATCTGTATCAAACGCTGTCAAGGATTGGTTAGCCGAGCGCGGCTACGATCCCAAGTTTGGAGCCCGGCCACTGAACAGACTGATCACAAACGAGATTAGCAACGGACTTGCCGACAAGATCATCAGGGGCGAGCTCAAGATGGGCCAAACTGCCGAGGTGAGAATTAAAGACGGCAAGGATGGACTGGAAGTTGTGAACATAACGGAGGCTGCTTAAGTCTGCATTGAGGAAGAGAAAAAAAAAAGGGAAGAGAAAAAAAGCTTTTATTTGGCTTTTGTAAATTTTGGTTAATGTAATGTTAAAGACGCATTTTGGGAGGCATCGGCGTTGGTTTTACGATTTTGAACGACAAAAATAAGAATGTACTATATCATAGGATGCACAGACTCCTCTCGGAAAATTTAAATTAAATAGTTGATACCCCGCTTTGAATATATTTCACAAAAAGGCAGTGATCTCGCGTGAAAAAAATGCAATAGGAAACCTCATACATAGGATATCGTGACACCTGGACTAAAGACTGTATGCAGAGTTGCCGCACTTTAATTTTGCAAAATGCAGCAATAAAAACACAGAAGAATAACATACAGTATACTCTTAATGTAGCTATCTTTGTTGTTCATTTATTTGTTCTCATGACTTTGGTCCAACTAACTGACATGGAAATAACGGACCAGAGTAAAAAGATTGATATACTGGGATAACGCTGTTTTATCTAAACGCTTTCATGCATCCAAATCAGCATGCCATTAGTACACCAAGCAGACCTCTATTCAATCTACTAGCTCTAATCTATTATCTACATGGCACTCCTATTTACTTCATTCCGCCTTACACAAACATGCCATATACCTATATCTCGTTTGAAGGCGCGAAGAGCAAAACACAGTGAGCATACCGTGTGTGCACTCTTACTTCCGCCAGTAATTCCAGAGATTCGCACAGTCCTTCAGTCCCTCTCACTAACGCTTTATAAGATCATCTAACTCTCTGCCCCTCAACAATTCCACGAAAGGCGGTCCACCGCCTCTTACGGTCTAACGACTGGTTCCGTGGTCTAACGGTCATGACTGCGGATTCTGATTCCGCCAGCGAGGGTTCGACTCCCTCCGGAACCTTTTTTCTTTTTTTGGCGATTTCGACATTTTGATGAGCTTGAAGCTTTTGTGATGCGCTTTGTATGTGTAGATGGTTATTTTCATGGCGCAGTGGTTTTTTTTGTTCATTAATTGGAAAGTACAGCCATGCGCGTGCCCAGTTCCTTCCTTAGTTCATTCTTTGGAAGGTACGGCCATGCACGTGCTCAGCTCCTTCCTCGGTCGTAGGTGATAGCACATGGTGAAGATACGTACCGGCTAGGGATGGCAAAAGAAGCGAATTGCAAGATCATCAAATCGTATTTTAGCTATCAAGTCCAATCTGTTCTATCTTTATTAGATGTATTCATCTCATACTCTTGAAACTATCCCATTTTCTTCCACCACTAGAGAAAAAAAAAAAAGGGTGCAAGAAATAAAAATAAAGCGCGGCCATGCCACACATTGTCACCTCATTCACAACACTTGACGGACGCCCAAAAAAGAAATAAGAGTAGAAGGGAGAATAGTAAAATAAAAGTAGTAAAATAAAAAGCGTAGAAAACACGGATAATCCTGCTTCCCTCACACCCATCCGTTCAATTCCGCTACGATCATTCCCAGCCGGGAGGCCTTCAACGAACAACCCAACTCCGCCAATCTAGCGCAATGACAAGATGACATGGAGAGACAATGAAAAAACACAGAACACAGCCGTCATGAAAGCATTTCAGCCCGAGGCACCAGTCGTAAAAAGAAAAACAAGGAGCCCCTCTCGCTCTCGCATCTCCCCAGTAAAACTTTCCTCTCCCGTAAATAATTGTCAATCTTTGCCGCTTTCCTTCGTTCTCTTTTGTTAGAAAACTCCCTTTTTTCCCCTTGTTTCCGTTCCGAAAATCACCTAAACGCTCGAGAAATGGCTGCGATGTGTTAAGTGGCAACGATCAACCCAGCCCTCAATTATTCCTTTTGGGGGGGTTTTCTTTTCTTTTTTTGTTTTTCTATTTTTTCCTTTGAAAACAAATTCATAACGAAGCCTTTAGGATACGCCCATACAACTTCCTTTTTCCAAAGAGCTAGATCCCCCCCTCTCCAATTCAAACACATGGTTAGGGTATGTATATCAACAGGCTCACAGTTGGTGGCATGTGAGAGTGCGAGGCACTTTGAACAAAGAGTTGACACAATTTATGGATTAATTTTGATTGGTATGATCGATATAACTTTGCAAATTACAACCGAATTCTCGAGCTTGGCAAGAACTTTGCGAGAGTATGCGGTAGGGAGGCGGGATGGAGAGCGGGAGGCTCTACCAGCAGAGGTTCCTGAGTGGTCTTTTTACTGGTGACCAGCCTTTCGGAGAGTGGTGGCGAGCCATTCGAGACCCTCGTACAGACCATCTCCGGATGTGGCACAAGTCGACTGGATGTACTGTTGTGGGAAAGCATGTTAGCGGACATTCGATGGCTGCTATTCCTTTGCTAAAACAAAAAAACTTACCCAGGCTCGTTGTCTCAGGCTGTGGAGACCGAGCTTATCAGTGATCTCGGCAGCGTTCATGGCGTTCTAGGGAAGATTCAGCGTCAGCATTCTTCATTTCTACAATAATATTAGTCGACGGAGGCAAATTAACGTACGGGCAGATCCTGCTTGTTGGCAAAGACCAGCAGGATGGCATCTCGCAGCTCATCCTCGTTCAGCATGCGCTGAAGTTCCTCTCGGGCCTCGACGATACGATCTCGATCGTTGCTGTCGACGACGAAGATGATACCCTGGGTGTTCTGGAAGTAGTGTCTCCACAGGGGACGGATCTTGTCCTGACCACCGACATCCCACACGGTGAACTGGATGTTCTTGTACTCAACGGTCTCGACGTTGAAGCCTAATCAGTGGAGCGTTAGAAGAGACACTAGGGAGCGACATCGCTGTAGGCGCGAGGGAACAGGGGAGGAAGTTATGTACCAATAGTAGGGATGGTGGTGACGATTTCACCAAGCTTCAGCTTGTACAGAATAGTGGTTTTACCGGCGGCATCGAGACCGACCATGAGAATTCTCATCTCCTTCTTCCCCCACAGCTTGTCGAAAATCTTAGAAAAGGCGAGACCCATGACTGCGACTGGCGGCGACGCGGCCTAACAAACGTCGAATATGCGAAATAGAAGAAAAGTGTCCTATTTGATGCTACGCGTAAGCAAACAAGGCCGAGCAGATGATGAAAGCGGTTTTTTTTTTTCCTGGTGGTGCAAAAGCGTGTGTAGATCGAACAACGGTGGCGTTGGATCAGAAGATTTGGGGGGGAGGGGAGAAGCAGGTGCAGCGCCGCAATTGCAGCCAAAGAAAAGAATCTCGAAGAAGCCTTTTTATCTCAAGAGCCGATTCGCGTGCTTATCCAGATGCTTGAGGACACGTTATCCTGTGAACCGGATGATGCTCGTGATGGGCTGCTGGATGAGCAACGCAGGCTGCCGCATTTTTGCTTTTCGCTGAGCTGTCTTCTCCGACTAGCGCCTTACTCCCCCCCTTGCGGAGGACAAGAGACCAGGTTGAACGTAAAAAAAAAAAAATAAAAGATAATCACAATCCAGGCACGCGGGCGCGCAGAGCCGGGCAGGGGAAAGGCAGTGCTCCAGAAACTAGAAACAAACACAAAACTCACCTAGACGAGATCGCGCTGGGGGCTCACGAAAGAGGACGACGAAGCGAAAGAAGAACGGCCGTTGTCTTGTCGGTGAGACTGCTAGAGAGTCGGAGGGGTTTGAGAGGAAGGGAACTTGGCCACGCTGGAGCGAGTTTTGGGGGGGAAACGGGCCTAAGGGACTCCGGCCTTTAGCAGCACGTTAGCAGCAGGGAGAGGGGCAAAGGGGCGCTGGCTGGCCGCTGGTCTGCCTCGCGGTGGCGGGCGAGTACCGACGAGTACCTCCTGGCCTTTACTGTGCCTCGCCCACGGGCGTTGTAGAGGGTACCGCCCACGCGCTGCTGGCCAGATTCGCCGCTACCACGCCTGCGCCGCGCTGTGCCTTATCGCTGCCCGGCGGTACTCGCGCGGTACCTGCCCCAGAGTGCGCAAACACGCGGCTCCACCGCCCCGGCCCACTATTCGTCATCTCTCGCCCAAGTATCGTGGCTGTATCTCGATCCTCTGGTGCCCCTGAGGCCTTGTCGGTAAAACCGCGGCCCTGCTAGCCCTGTAGCTGGGACTGCCAGCAGGAGCTTTGCGTGAAGGGAAAGGCTAGCCCAGTAGGTGGCATGTTGGCCAATTCGCGACTCTCGAGCGCAAAAGGACATATCACGAGCTAGAGCTTCCAGGTCCTGTGCCTCCTTTTGATACTTCCCGTCCCCCCACGGCCAGCCAATTCGCTTCTCCCTCTTTGGACGAAAACTCGAAAAAAAAAAAAAAGATGCTTTTCCTCTCAGCTGCGAGGAGTCTCCTCGCCGCCGCCATGGCTTTCCAGGCTGTGGTGGCGCACAACATCGTGCTGCCAGCCCGAGGCGTCGAGTGCTTCCACGAGAGCCTGCGCAAGGACGACAAGATGACCGTGACTTTCCAAGTGGGCGACCGCGAGTTTGGCAGTGCAGGCAACCTCGACATCGACTTTTGGGTATGACTCACTTTTCTCTTGCCAATCGCTCCATGTATATAGATTTGATGGGTGCCTTGTAGGCAGACAAGAATTCAAGATATACGACATGGATAGTTTATATGCAGGACTTGGTTGCTAACAGATGTACTCATCTGGACAGATCATGAACCCCACAGGCGAATACCAGATCAACGAGAGGACAGTTTCCAACGGCGATCACTCCTTCACGGCACTCTACGACGGCAAATACACCTACTGCTTCGGAAACCAGCACTGGGTTGCCAACACCAAGGAAGTCTCCTTCAACGTCCACGGTATTGTCTACGTCACCGAATCCGAGTCTAATAGCGATCCTCTGGAGACTGAAGGTACATGAATAACAGCTCTTTATAAGTACCTATTGACCAATCTGAATCGATCCAACTAACAAATGCTTTTACTTCTAGTCCGACGTCTATCCGATCTCCTCGCCCAGGTCAAGGACGAGCAGCAGTACATCATCTTCCGTGAGCGCACCCATCGCAACACTGCCGAAAGCACAAACTCCCGAGTCAAGTGGTGGAATTTGTTCGTTATTGGCATCGTCATTGGCGAGTCCCTTTTCCAGGTCTGGTGGCTGCGCCGCTTCTTCGAGGTCAAGCGAGTCGTCTAAAACCCCGTCTCTACAAAAATACAACGTATGGGTAGAGAATAAGTGATTTTTTGCGTACTCTGAACTGCATCGAAACAATGGCGAGCATGTGCGCAATAAATTGGCGTAAAATGGGGTTCAATCCAAGCATTGGGAAAATCCATATACCGGGAAGCAAGGACAATATGGCACAGAAAAAAATGATGATCAAGGACATAAATAATAATGGTGCTTATGTTCACATGATGAATTACAATGCAAAGAGGGTCTTGGCTCGCCAACTGCAAGTTTTACTATATTTTACTAGCAATATACCACCCAATTGCCAATATTTGGCAAAACATTTGTTTTCAAAGAGATCACAATTTGCTAGACAAAAAAAAACCAATATGTACAGCGTTCAAATCATCATCTCCCAACTCTAATGGAAGAGTATTATAATACCATCGTATAGATCAGTACATTACAGGGATATCTCTATCATCATGGCCTTAACGTCGTATGTCCAAACAAAAAGTCTATATAAGAACGAAGGGAAAAAAAAGAAAAAGAAAAGACGCCCGCGTAGTCAGCCGCGCCCCGCTCAGACAAACGATTCAAAAATTCATTAGAGAACCTTTTCGCTCAGGACAATTATGCAGCAGGGTCAGACTCGGGCATTTCAACCTCTAGAGGTAGCTCTTCTGGTGGCGGTGCCTCAACAGGAATGTCTACCTCCTTAACGGGATGGAGGAGCATAGGCGGAAGGCACATGCGGCCCTCCCCTCTGCCTACTTCAGAACCAGTTCCACTCTGGTCTGCCGTCTTTTCATATTCTTCTCCGCCATCGTTATTCACCTTCAAGCCCAGCCAGCGCCTATACAGGTTGGGCCCAAAGCCAGAGTTGTAAAACCATGTCAAGCCTTTCAGGTTGTGCTCGCGCTCACCGTAAAGACTTGTTCGGGATCCGCCTGTAGCTCCATCGCGCCCGCCATTATATGTCTGAGCCATGTAATCAACTGGCCATTCACGGTCCACATACATAGGGTGAGGTGCATAGACAGCCTTGTATCCATGCTGGAGGGCAACTGTGGCGGGCCACATCTCAGGGAACGCAAACTGCTTCTTGTGCGCAGTCATCTTGTGCATGGTCATGAGGAGGCGTCTTGACATTCGAGATGTGGTGATGATGCTGGCTCGTCGAGGGGGCAAAGGAAGCGAGCGGTTGTAACCCGTGATATCATCCTTCAGACCCCATGTAGTACCTTCTGGATCAAAGATGGGATTCAGAGTAATCAGATCTGCCTCCTCATCCACGCCCCATTGGTAGTGATCGGCGTCGTACGTGGTTGGCGGCCTAGGGTCTTTTTCACCCTCGAACCAGTCCTTTTCGTCGGCAGGGCGGATTGGGCCCCAAACAGTCTTAATCTTCTTCTTCGCAGCGGCTTCTGGGGGCTGGCCATCAACACCTGGCACATTCTTCCACACGTTATCGGCTCCTACAGCTCCCATCTCACTTTGCACTCGAGCCATTTGTGAAAAATCTTCCCAGGTGCCATGAATACTGGGGAAGTAGTATCGTGAGTTTCGTTCCCACAGGCCTTTTCGCGGCTGGGCCTTGGCCCAATTTTCGATCTTTGAAAGCAAATCATAGTAGTGTCCCGTGTAGCGAATATCCATCTCCCACTGCCAGAAATAGTCGTACTCGGGATGCATATACGCAAAGTGTTGCATAGCCATGGTGAGTCCGCGATAAACTCCGTGAACTGGGAGCTCTGGGCCGCGGCTGTATAGATCATAAATGCCTTGGTACAGGGAGAGCATCTGCGTTTCAGTCCAAAGGGTAACCAGTCCCTGAAATTCTTTGGGGATTGCATCGCGAATCCTTTGCTCGTAGATTTCGTGATCGGCCCACACAGGATATCGAGCATCATTCTTCACTTGGACAAGCAGGTGGACGTCATAACGACCTCCAGAGGCTAGCGAAAGCTCTGAAATCATTGATCGAAGATTCGCGAAATCATCCTCCCGGAATAGGAATTCGTCCCAGCATCTGACTACAATGGCTGTTCGTGATTGCTTCGCCACCTCAGTGCCGGCTTTTTCCGCAGCAGCAGCAGCAGCAGCATCGCCTTTAGTCTTTGCTTTGCCACTGTCCTTTGGCTGAGAGTCACGCGATTGGACCTTTGCTACTTCAGAGCCGCCGACAAAGAAGCCATTCGGAGATGGTGTTTTCGCTGGCAATGCTTTGTATCGGCCAGCATTGGCCTGGAAACAGCGCCGTTGAACATCCGCCCAATCCATCTCGCGGTAGTCTACACGAGAACCAGAGCCCCAGACTGACTCAGCACCTTCATTCTCGCCGTGCTCCCCTGTGCCTAGACCGCCGGTACGAATAGAGTATCCAAAACCATAAGGGCCAAACTTTCCATATCGCTCAAAGCAGACATCTTCCGGCAGGTTCAAAACTTCATAAGAACCGGTGATGTGCTGGGGAAACCCACTTGGACGGCCATTGTAGTAACGAAGAGGCGGAGGGCGAATTTTACCAGCAGCGTCCAGAAAACATTCTTTAATATCAGAATCTTCGTATCTTCCGGTATAATTTTCCCAAGAGTAACTAGACGGAAATTGTCTTTCACGATTCACAACTTTGTTATCTGAAGCTGATGCCGGTTTTGATGGTGTAGAGTCGCTAGATTTGGGATACTCTGGCTCATTTTCTTCAAGAGAAACCAAAGTACGTATACCGCCGTAGTATCTCTGCAGAAATGGAAACTTTTCCCACAGAGCAGGGGGTGCCGGCCGGCTATTTACTTTGCCATTGGCAACTTTCCAGTTCTCTACTTGGCTTGCCCGTGCCAGCATGCCAACCATGAGAAGTATTAATCCCACTACCGTAAAAACAATGTATCGAACGATTCGCGGTGGCAGCCTATAAGGATAGAAGCCACTCGGCCGCTGGAAGCTAGGTTTCTGAAGTTTCTTTTGGACTAGAAACGGGCGATCTGGATACGAGTCGGATATATTCCTTAATCCTAATGAGGAGGGGCCCGAAAATGATGATTCGGAATCACCATCCGACGAAGAATAATATCCATCATTAGAATATCGTTCCTTCGTGGGTGAGCTGAGATTCTGATACATCGGCAGTCGCGTCCCGCGGGACCGTCGCAGCGGGTTTGAGAGTCCCATGGGGGCTCAAGTCTCTGTGCTGGAGATGAGACAAGATATTAGTGACATGGAGAGGGAATGGTGAATGCATAGGTAGGTAATCATGTGCATACTGCTGAATAACGCTTCTCCCTTTCCCGCGTCTTTCCTACGCAGGCAACCTCTTGATGCAGACCGGCCGCAGACCGGCTCGTGCCGTGCAGGGACGAGCAATGTTGCGGTCTGTATCAATGCAGCAAAAACAAACGTTCCAAGCGGCGGCCCACGAGGCAGGTGTGATATTCAAAACAGCTGTCAGTTATGCATTGAATGGTTCGCGTGATTGGGCGGGGGGGATGGATGGCGCAGAAAAAGTCGTGTATACAGAAACCCGTCAGGCACAGGCGGATAAGGTACGCAGCCAAGTCTCGCTCAGCCTTCAGCTTTGTTGGGTTTGGCGGCAACAACCAATGCACGGTGGTGGGATGAGCCAGGTTGCTGGGCAACGCCCCATCAACAGGCGCCCAGGTAAGTTAAGCCTCTGGAGGGCGGGCACCAGGCCGGCACATTCCGCGCCCACCTTAGGCGAATGGATCCTGGATTTATTGGCGATATTCTTCATACAGTAAAACGATTTCCAACAACACCTCTCCCTAGTTGCATAGGCACCGACCCATCCAGCAGCCTGCAGCTGAGTCTTAGCATTATCCCAAGTCTTCGCGCAGTGCCTGGTCTCTACTATAGCCATGCGCAGTTCAAACATTCCTTCTTCTCCGCACTATATCAGCCACAGACACGCAAAAATTCGAATCCGACATGCGATGCTACCCTAGATTATGCAAGGGAATGTTCGAAGCGGCCCACCTCGGCTCAGCCTGCTTCTAAAATCTTGAGTTATGGTGTAGGATGGACGCTCTGATCTTGATGGTCTTCACCAGATATCAGTGACTCCGGTCTCAGCATTGAGATCACGCAGCTTCAAGATGAGGGGCTTTTGTAGCTCCTCTTATCATGCCTTCTGAGGCTATTCGCGGACAAATCTCACTGCTGTCTTTACCTCCATGTCACTTATACATGCATGGTATCGGTGAGCAACAGCCCCCTTACATATTTCCTGACTGCTTGACCAATTGGCAGGGCTGGCTGAGGGTCTCTTCGCCAGTAGCAGCACGAAGAACATGTACGCATGACCTCGACTTTGAAAGCAAAGCTCAGACCATCCGGATTGGCCTTCCGGCATGCGGTAGCCAATGCGGAGTATCGCGCCACTTGCTCTCCGCCGGCCTTAAAGTGAAATCTTAACGAAGCAACAGCAGTATTTTTCTAAATGACAGGGCGGTATTGCCGCCGCATTATCCACCCTCGTGCTGGGATTATATGCCTGTGTCACACTGCAGATACGCAACACGAACCGGTAGCCACTTACTCCTCACTCGTCAAGTCCGAGATAGGATTCTATACGCCTGCCCGCGAGCAGCAACCGACGGGCAAACGATTCGGTTTTCTGCTTTGGCCCTCTCCTGAATAAGCACTTGGCACTCACTAATCGGCTCGTCGCTGCAATCTGTTAAGCTGCAAATGCCTGAGTTGGTTAGCCTCCTAGCTATAGCTGGTAGTAGAAACAACGGTTGAAAGGTTGCATGCGACATCAGCCCAACGTCATAAGTCATGACTTTGTTCCCAGTGGCTAAATACCGTCATCTGCCTCGTGATCCGCTGGATCAGCGACGACGGCGCCGCCCCAAGCTCGACTTTAACTTCCATCCTGATCCCTGAGGAACGTGATGTGACACAGAAGCCCTCGTTGCATCCTAGCCACAGCCACTATAATAGCCCTTGAACCCTTGGCTAATTGCATGCATTTGCTGGGCCCTCGACTCTTGGGGGCCAGGACTCCTCGTCATCGTCCTAACATCTACCTTTTCGGCCTAGAACTCCTCTTCAACGCCCTGAGACCCATTGAATTCAAATCGACCATCATCAGCCACTGCATTGCTTTGGCTTCTGCCGCCGACCGCCGGACATCCCCCTGACCTCAGACCCTGCTTTTCAGCTCCTCGTGGGCCATATAACTTGTCTGCGACTCCTCACATGGCTTAAACCCTTCGCCTCGCTCCAGTTCTGTATAGTATAACTACTGGCTGGCTTGGCTTGTATTGGTGCTTGAACTGATGGGTTCCCGTGGTTGAACATCCGTCTATCGAATATACCTATACCTCCCCCTCATCGCTGTCCTGTTGTCATGTCAGTGTCAATTGCTCCCACTGAGACGATTACGTCCTTGTCTCTGGTGCCCGAGCTTAACAAGGAGCCCTCAGAAGCCTCAGAAGCCTCCGAGCTGGAGCTGTTGAAAGCATCCTGCATTGTCCGGCAGACGCCCATCTCCGTTACGCTAGACGGCTCTTCTATATGTGTCCTTGCGTTCGGGATTGTACTCGCAATTCACTTCTTGGATTCATATCTGGCCGAGGCAGTCGTCAGCCTTATCCCTCTCGCACTTCTAATCCACAATGACTATAATAACTTTTTGAAGCTTGGGCCGGGAGGCACGCCGTCCACTGTCCAAGGCTATATCCGAATTACCTGCCTCCGCATGCTCTCTCTCCGCGACCCTTTCACAGCCCCCCGACCAGATCCGAACCGCCTTCCTAAAGCAGGAGTTCTGAGTGCCCAAGTGCTCCCATATCGCGCCGGACCTCGCCCTGTAGTTGCCGGCATCGCACCTCAACGACAGCTCGACCAACATGGCTCACGGCGATGCTATCTTGCCCTCCGCCGGGCCATGGAAAGGCTGAGCGCGCAGAGCCCCAGCAAGTTTGGCACCGAGCGTTCATGTCTGGAAAAGCACGGCCTGGCCCTGTTCGCCAGGCATCCTCTGCAGACCAACTGCCAGGGCGAGATTTGCCACGTCCACGACTCGGACCACTCGATGCACATGAGTCTCCACCCGGATGACATCAAAGAGATACTGCAAAAGGGCTGGGGACAGAGACATCCCCTGGCGTGGAAGGGCAGGTACATTCAGATGCCCGTCACTCAAGAGTTTGTCATGATTTATGCCCCAAGAGGTAAGATTTTAACGAAACTGCCCCTTTTAAGGTTTTGCTGTCAGAATGACGATGCTTATCATCTTTCTTTTTTTAATTTTGTTTTTGCTTCCGCTCTTCTTATTTCGCCTTGTTTATGTGGAGTACTGTTGCTTACAAGAACATCATTCATAGATGAGATGGAGCTTGACATCGTCTGCAAGATTATTAATGCTGCGATATGGTACACCCTTGCAGAGGTTGTCGAAATGAGCCCGAAATGAACTACCGGCTACGTCTCTTCCTTCTGTAACCAAACTCTCTCCTGAACCGACTTTTTTTTTTTTTCATTGTTCAATTTACGTTATTTTGCAGCGAATGGGGTGTCTTTATCCTTGTCCCCGGCATATAGGTACAACATGGGTTGTTGTTCACAATAGGTCGAATTGCGGCATAGCTTATGGAGACAAAACCACCAGCATTATCGATGGTAAAAAGCAGATTTATGGGTATCTTATCAACACTACCTCATAAGTAGCCAAATAGGAAAAAAAAAAAGAAGAAAAAAAAACTTACAATTTGCAAAAGAAGCCAATGATTTAAGCGATGATAGGACAAACAAGAGCCAATGCTACACCTTTCTTCCATGCTTCCCACTTCCCTTCCCTTCCCTTCTAATCTGAATCTTCGCCTGCTTCCTCTTTGGATTTCTTAAACTTCTCACCCGTTGCTAGTGATGCATGCACCGTGCTGCCGCCAAAGCTCCTCCCGTTCATGAGCTTGATACAGGCAGCTGCGGACTCGACGTTCTTGAACTTGACGGATACCACTCCATCGGGCTCCAAATCGTAGAGCACTACGCTGGTTACTGGGCCGAGCTTGGAGCATTCGTCTCGGATGTCTTCCTTGATTTCCAATAGGGCGGCTGGATCTTCTTCCAGCTCCTGAAGAGTAAACATGTGCTTCAATATGACCGTCTTATCTCTCTTAGAATTGGACGGAGCCAATGCCGGGTATGGTTCGTCGTCATCCCAATCCGCAAGCTTGGCAGCTAGCTTTTGCGTCTTCTTGATAATTTTCTGCCGATCCCTCTCATTCCTCGGCCTCGTCTGCCCACCCCCATTGCTCGCCTCGCCGCTTCCGCCTGCCGGCTCGTACTGTGTCTTCTTGTAGCTCGAATCTGCCGCCTGAACTCGTATCCGGCCTTCCGTCGTTCCACCGGGTAGGTACCTGAAGACGGTGTCGTCCAGCAGCATGACAGCCATGTCCACACTTTGGGGCTTGAAGAAGACGATGAGCGCATCGCCCTTGAAGTTACCCTCGGAGTCGGTGTACATCTTGATTCGTGGCGCGCCGCTGTCAATTTCCTCGGCGATGACGCCAGCTCTGCGGGAGAAGAGGTCGTGGATTTCATCGATTGTGGCGTTTGTAGGGAGGCCGGTCACGTATACAGCGGTGTTCTGCTTGGGTTTCGGGGGAGGTTTCATCTTTTTATTCGGACGCGCTGGTTTAGGGGTTCCATTGTCCTAGGATATGCATAAATCAGCGTTCCATAGTAGTAAAGGTTTCATCAGTGCTGAGTCCGGGCACCGCGAGAGAGCGAGCTCTGGTGATTCGTGTTTGACAGCTCAAACTTACTGCGTCGCCATTCTGTGAGTCGGCCTTCCGCTTCTTGTCCGAAGCAGCATCGTCTGCAGGAGTTCTGCTGTATTCTCTAAGCTCGTCTATATCGTCGTCCAATGGCTCCTCTTCTATGGGGGTCCATTTCTTCAGCTCGGGATCGAATTCAAACTCGGTGCCGTCGTCGTGGACGGCAATAAACTTGTTGTCGAGCTTGGAGAAGGATATTCGGTCATCGCTGTCGAATTCCTGAACATCGGTTGGGAATGGCACGTCCATCGCGTCTATTCTATGCTGGGGAGTGGAGAAAGGCGAGAAGCGCAGAATGCCTAACAAGTCATGACGGACAATTGCGAGGGAGTAGGTACAAGGCAAATAGATTGAAGATATAACGGATGCCCACCGGGCGGTTGTCAAAGGCTTAGCGTCCTGCAGCCCATCATCGGCCCCACCGCCAGCAGCAGTACCTGCATAGCAGCTCGATGGCCATGATACTTGCTTGACCTGTGCTTTTACATGGCACTCTTTAACAGTTTGAAAACTGGGGGGCAGAATAGAGGGAAAAAAAAAAAAGGTCGTGATATTGGGGTATTATTTAATTTTTCTCTATCTAGAATATACGAATGGCCTCCGCGTGGCATGCATGAGACATAGCATACACTACTTGCAGTCTACTGCTTACTATCTTTCACCGTCTTCTTTACACCATCAATAAACGCCTTTACAGCATAATTGCCGCCCATGGGCATTCCAGGTTGTAGATATCCATCCTGTTCAACCTTGATATTGAGCGCATCGGCAATGCTGGGGAGTCCACCATCTCGGAGGGCCATTGTCAAGGTACCCAAGGCTTGATGGAACTGAGGGCTTCGAAGCACTTTCTTTAACAGAGCTTGCTTCTTCTCCAACGATAGGGAATCGTTGGCAGCCTTGATTTGGTCAGCAGTTGGGTCTGATGTGCCATCGAATTCAACTGTGTCGCTGGCGAGCACAATAACAGCAGGCGGGAGGAAGCTGAGAAGAGAGTCCACATGCTCAGCTGATAGGGTGTCGACGATTGGGACTGTGATGGATGTTGGTAGCAGGTGATTTAGATAGGGATAAGAAATATCTGCTTGATGCTGCTGTTGCTGCTGCTGCTGCGCGCCGGCGAGGCCAGACTGGCCTCTGAGTGAATCGAGAAAGTTTCTTACTGCAGCTGCGGCATCAGGGGATGAAGACGAAGCTCTGGAAAGCAAATTAGCCTCGTCCTCTCCGAGTAGTTGCAGTCACGTAGTAAAATCTTGATATAATTGGGCGTAGCTCTTTTCAAAGGTATAAGGATGTTTCTCAGTACACTAATTGGCTTTCATTTTGTGCCAAAGCATGCTCTTGACTCTCCAGAGACCAGTGATTTGAACCAGCCAACCATGCGCGAATCCATTCGTAATCAGCCATGAAGAAAAAGGGGGTTTACCTACGCTCTTGCGCCATCAGCACCGCCTTCTCTGGACTCCTCGCCCTCCTCTCTTACGTCGCCTCCCGTCGCATCGGCACCAGCCCCGCCGCTGCCTCCTCCATGATGATCTTGACCGTGACCCTCGATGTCTTCCATCGTCTCATCTTCATCGTCTTGGTCGTTATTGTTTCGAATGGCCGACAGTTCCCGCGTCACATTGACTTCTTCACCCTGTAGGAGTCTGTGAACAACATCGCCAATCTTGCGATCTCGAGGGCTGAAATGGCTTGCGTCACCATTTCGTCCCTGAGGCTTGGACTGCAGCCAGAACAGGTGGCGCTGAGAAGAAGAGGCAAATTTAAGGACGAATATGCGGCCGTTGGTATTTGCTGTTGGTTGGGGTGTTGTTTTGTATTCGTATGGGAGAAAGCTACCGTCTGTGGGAACCATGACGAGGTCGAGTTCGGGCTCGTCTAAGGGCTGGTCCCGACGACGCCAGCAGAAATGTACCAGGTCTATTACTTGTTAATGCATATTATCAATAAATAAGCCTGCTTCATGTAGTACTGACCATCTTCGGAGTATAGATAGATATAGCCAGGTTCGGGCTGGGGCGTGACCTTGTATGGCTTCGACGATGTCTATAACAGTAGCATTGTCAGCGGCGAAGTGGGATAGCTGTAGCTCGTTTGCAGTTGTGCCTTACGTCGACGTCACACTGGCCGGCCTTGAACGTAATTATTGGTGCAATCGGCATTTCGGAATACCCCGTAGAGCTGTGACTAGGAAAGGTTCTTTGGGGTTATGAAGAGGAGATTGGGGCGTAATTGAGGTAGGCTTGCTTCAGATACTCCATATGCAAGGCCGACCTGGTGGCGGGCGGCACTGTAGGCTACAGGAGCTCTTACGTCGAGCTGAGAGCAACAGTGGGTCCCCGGGCCGATAATTATCCCATATCGATAACGTAGCTTTTTATCGCCAAAATAAATGAGCTTGCTGGCGATTTTTTTTCCTTTCCCAATTTTCAAAGTCTACTGAATATTTATCCAGCACAGCTGCCTTGGGAAGCTGAACCAAGCTTGATAGATGATGACCAGAGATGTGAGGTGCATGCCTCATGCTGGAAATATTTTGCTATCTGCAATAAGAGGCTTATGACTTGGCTACTAATTCTCGAATCCAAGCCTTCAGCATTGGAATACAAGGTAAGACTTGAAAATTTCCTTTCGCCTCACACCTCACCTCCCCTCTGGACATCCTGATGAAAAACATTGGTCCGTGTTTCGGAGGCGGCCTCAAGACCCGCCGCAAGACGACACAACAAGCACTTGTGCAACACTGAACTCTACTTCATACTCTTCGCTGTAATTTATAGTCACGCATTTGGCAACATTGCTAACCAGTGTGCTGTATAGCTTCCAAACACGAATGATTCTCACCATCATCCAATGATTCGACAATGTCTATAGGCGATAAGTCGTAAAAGAAGTTGTTGAATAATATTGCAACATTGCTGTCAAATCATGATGAAAGGTAAGGCGGAAGATTGGATGCGAATCCACATACTCTGCGTAGATGTCAAAATACAAATAGAATAGCTCATTTTTCAAATATCTTTAAAAGAAAAAAATCAAAATAAAATCTGCGTCTCCTTAATGCATGTGATTCTTTGTCATGGGTACCCCAAGCGAAGTCAGCTACCAAGCCATGAAAGCGCTCCTTGATTTGTTTCAGTCCGTGTGTTGAAGTCTAGGCGTGCCAACTCTTGCGTTGAGGTACCGCCAGTAAGTAGTACCACCCAAGCAGCGATGGTATGGTGGGGTCCAAGCGTGAACTTGACTTGCTAGTCGCCAGCCCATAGTTGAATTCGTACCTAACCATGGTAAGGCAGTGAACAATCTTTCCCACGGCGCATGTACAGCACCTAAGAAACTTTGATATAGGCTGAGGCTGTCTCAAAACACTAAGAATCTATCAATTTCGATAAGAAAGTACTTAGTATAGCCGAGCCCGCCGTAAAATGTATGGAGATTCGGGCATCAAACTGGTACGATTGGTTCATCTACTTTTCCGCAACGCGTCTCACTATTCGCATAGGTTCAACACGCCAAGAGAACGCAGAATCTGGCCCATCTGCCTCCATACCAGACTGAACTTGTTCGAGCAGTGACCAGAGAGGTCAGAGATCTCAACAAGGATGTCGACGATCTTCTCGAGCCCTTCCAAGGCTCTTTCGACCCGTCAGAAGACCAGGCGGTTGCATACACGTTGCTCGTGAATCACATCTCAATGCGCAGAAACAAGCGATGTTTACTGGCATACCACAGAACTCGCACCGACAAATTGGAAGAGCTCGTCTGGAACGGTGCTGATGTGGTTGACTTGTCTGGTCAGCAAGTACGAGATGGCTCATCCAGGAACAGCACGGGATTGACGAGCGGCGATGGATCTACTAGCAGTCTTAGTCCGCAAGAAGAGGACTATGTTCGGCAGTACGGCGATTTGCTGGCAGCATACAAGGGCCAATGGACGGACATTGACCTCACTGGCAGCTTGGAGCCGCCGCGGGATCTCTTCATTGACGTTCGTGTTCTCAAAGATGCGGGAGAAATTCAGACAGAATACGGGTGAGTACTAATTTGAACTTGTGATTGGTGAATGATGCTCATGAAGAGGATACAGGGCAATTACTTTAACAAAGAACAGCCAGTTCTACGTCCGACAGGGAGACGTGGAGCGGCTTATTGCCCAAGGATATCTGCAGAAGCTTAGCTGAGCAGATTCAGTTGCAAGCGTGTTATGGGTTATACCGCCGCAAAGAAGATATAAACGATTGATGTGAAGATGCAACTTAAAAACTTCGTTATGTAGTTTGGATCATGGGGTTTACGAGCTATCAAAAAAAAAAAGGACAGGCGCAACACAAGGTTTTAGGGATTTCATTTTGGGCTGAGGGAAAATCGAAGAGTGCAACCACAGCATGATGGTATTAATTGCTAGATTACGAGAATAATGAATGAATAATTTCAGGTTTTTAGCTTGCTGTAAAAGTGTTGAGCGAGTTGGTAGCAATATTTCGAGGCACACAAGTCTGGAGGCATCTGGATTTCACCCCGAGGACTTCTACTTTTGAGCGTGAAATGCACGGCACAGCTGGCTGCAAAAGCCAATGCAAGATGCTGATATTGGAGGCCTCTTCAGGTATGAAAATACATATTACAGTTAGGATACAGAGTGAGGGGCTTATAAAGACGACCGTTGTTGAGGAGAACGGCTCTGAGCTGCCGGTAGAGGATATCGCGCACTCGCGACTAGCATCGGAGAAATTGCGTTAGTTCAGTGCAACACAGCGGGTATCACTTATCTATAACATGAACTGTTGACTCCAACGGCTAATGCAACTAGACCTGCAGAGGACCTGCAAGAAGTGGGCATCCTCCTCCAGCTCATTGGGTGGGCTAAGCCGGATCGAAAGCGCTGCAGCCGGGGCGTTGCATCTGGTAGGTAGTAGCGGCAGCTTCACTGGCAAAGCATGAGCTTCCATCCTTTACATGCAATGGTAGTGCTGGAGAAATGGCTCTACTGGCGTCATTTTCGCGGTATGTAGCACAATGCCGGAAGGGCAATTGGCAGCCTTAGCATTGGGACTCGTGATTTGAAGATTGCTATCTGGAGAAGGTCCGTTTTTGCTTGGACGGGCCCGGCCTCGGCGCCACCGCCCCGGAAATTTCTTGATTTAGCAAAGTTCCTCTCGATAGCCGTTATCTCTCTCCAAGATGCTGCCGTCCCTTTCTCTCTGCATGGGCTTTTTCTCTTTTTCTCTCCTTCATGGCGCCGCCCTTTGATTCTCCTTGAGTACCTGCGCCTGCTCTGCGCATAGCTGGAGCCTTTGCCGTGATTGTTTATTCACCGTCTCGCTTGTGCTCTTTCCGAACTTATTCCCGTCTCCATTTGCTCATGCTGTATCGCTATTGAAGCATCGCCGATCTGCACATCGGCAGAGCTCCACCATTGGAAGCTCCAAGCATGTCGTCCTCAGTGTTAGGGTTCTCGCCGTGGCGGAAGAGAGCTCCCAGCCTGGCCTCGCAAACGGAGCAATCGCAGCACGACCGTGCGGATACAGCTAACCACGCCGAGAGCTCGATGCTGGAAGCCGGGAATTCGCAACATCAACTATTATCCTCATCCGTGGGATCTGCGCAAGGCTATAGGGAGCCTATCCGATCATTCATCCATGCCTCAGTACGAGATCAATTGGGTAATTTCACTGCGCCGCTTCCATCCAATGCCATGCGCCGCTAATAGGAAGAATAGCACCGGTCGACAGCGCGCAGATTGCGAGGAGTGTCCGCGAAGATACAGCTGAGCTAGCGAGCTATTTGCTGTCCGATGGCTCGACACAGCGTCGCCCGAGTTTTCTCCAGAGAAACAGACCGTCATCTCAAGAAGGCTTCGGGCCAGAATTTGGTGATGCTGACTCCATTGAGGGAAGTATGCGGCGTTCCTCGGGGACTATCCTCGAAGTCTCTGAACCGCCGTCGCCAGAAGAACAAGAAGATGTACAACGAGCTGGGGAGGAAGAGGGACCTTCTGCGCTTGCTAATTTGCTTAAGAGATCGTCTCCCCCATCGTCGTTGCCAGAGCAAACCAGCATCCCGCAAGGTCGATTCAAGAATATCGACGCTGAGCAAGCCCAATCCTCGCCAATCGACGAGTCTCGGCATCGTCCAGAAGTAGCCGAAACGGAAGATTCAGAACGTACCCCTCTTCTTGGTAGACAAGCATCTGGATCGGGAGACAGTACCAGTGTTGATCTCGAAGGGCAAAAGACGCTGGCTCGGACGAGATGGCTGCGCGGACTTGTTGAGCGGCGCCAGAAAGCGAAGCACCATGTCATTCGGATGGCAAAGATAGCCTCCAGCCCTCGTAGCTGGAATGGAAAGGCTATTTGGGAGACTGCTGTTGTCGATCCAGTTTCTTGTCTTCCAGCGGTCGCAGTCGGTTTGCTACTGAACATCTTAGATGCCTTGTCATATGGTGAGCCTATCATGTACGGCCACAAAAACGCAGCTGACCAGACTAGGTATGATCTTGTTTCCGCTTGGAACACCTCTTTTCTCCCACTTAGGATCTGCTGGTATTTCTATATACTATGTCAGCACAATTGTGGCGCAACTCGTCTTCTCTACAGGCAGTATATTTAGAGGCGCGGTGGGATCTGAACTGGTACGTGCAGGATGTATTTGCAGTTATTTTAACCCTTCAATCTGACCTTAATGTAGATAGAAGTTGTCCCCTTCTTTCACAACATGGCGGCTAAGATTTTGGACATTGTTGGTGAAGACAACCCTGATGCGGTTATCGCCACAACAATTGTCGCCTATGCTCTAAGCTCCATGCTGACTGGCTTGGTATTCTACCTCATGGGGAAATTCAAATTTGGCTACATGGTTGGATTCATCCCCAGGCATATCCTGATAGGATGCATAGGTGGTGTTGGGTGGTTCTTAATAGCTACGGGTTTCGAGGTTTCAGCTCGACTAGAAGGGAGTCTGGAGTATAACCTCGACACATTGGAGAAGCTCTTTGAAACCAAAACTATACCGCTTTGGACATGCCCTCTGATTTTGGCTATTATCCTCTTCTATGGTCAGATGAAAGGCGCATCCAAATACTTCCTCCCCTTATTCATATTGGCTATTCCCCTCATCTTTTATCTCTTCGTTTTTTCGCTTGACGTATTGGACCCGAACACGCTCCGAGATCACGGGTGGATCTTCGTGGGACCTCCGCCAGACGAACCTTGGTGGTACTTCTATACCTTGTACCGTGAGTATTCTCCTGGTGCCCAGCACATCACTTACTATGGCTAATTATTTGAGTAGAATTTCAACTGGTACACTGGGGAGCCATCGTTGAAGTGATCCCGGCCATGTTCGCTTTGACTTTCTTTGGCATTCTTCACGTCCCTATCAATGTCCCTGCGTTGGCGCTCAACTCTGGAGAGGACCATGCCGATTTGGATAAAGAGTTAAAGCTTCATGGTTATTCCAATTTTTTTTCAGGTTGCATAGGCAGCATTCAAAATTACTTGGTTTATGCCAACACGGTCTTTTTCCTCAGATCTGGAGGTAACAGGCGGCTTGCTGGTTATATGCTTGCGCTTCTCACCTTTGGTGTCATGGTTATTGGGCCTAGCATCATTGGATGGATTCCTGTCATGATGGTTGGAACGCTGATTTTTGACCTTGGATTTGAGCTTCTGCTTGAGGCGGTATGGCTGCCACGAAAGAAGCTCAGGCCTGCAGAGTACCTCACCGTCATTGTCATTGTTCTTGTCATGGGTATCTACGATTTTGTGGTGGGCATTGGTGTTGGGATATTGCTAGCATTTGTCTCACTCATAATCCAGACATCGAGAGTGTCGGCTATTCGTGGATCCTATGATGGTGACGTCGTTACTTCTACCGTCAGACGCAATCCATCGCAAGACAACTACCTGCAAAAAGTCGGACGGCAAATCTACATCATGAAACTCACAGGATATCTGTTCTTCGGCACAGTCGTCAGCGTGGAAGCCAAGATTCGAGCACTGCTAGACGAGCATGCGTTTGCACAGAAGCCTATTAAGTTCCTCATCCTAGATATGTGGCATGTTAGTGGGCTTGACTATTCTGCGGGCGAAGCCTTTAACACAATTAGCCGGATATTGAATAAAAAGGGCGTGCAATTTATGTTGAGTGGCATAGATTCCGATAGCGAACTAGGTCGGAGTCTGCGAGCTGTGGGACTGGGAAGCGGGAGCATCGAGGTCATGATGTTGCCTGATTTGAATTCAGCCCTGGAAAGCTGCGAAAACGAGTTGCTGAAGACTCTCTACGCCAGGCAAGAGGAGCTGAACTCGGCGAAGAGTAGTACAGAGAATTTAGATGTCCCGACAACATCGACAGCGTTGGCCTCTTTCGATGCACCGTTCAACTCTCCGCGCCGCAACTATCTTGCAGAGGCGGCCCATGACGCCCTCAACAGTGTTGAAATTCAGCGTCGGTCTAGATGGCAGAGTTTTAATGAACCGCTGCGACTCATGCTGCAGATTTTCCAGGGGCTAAGCGACAAGAATGAAGACTTTTGGTTCCAAGCAACACCCTACTTTACGCGTAAGGAGTACCCTGCTGGGACGATCCTATTCAAACGCGGCGAGCCTGCAGATGGCTTCTACCTTCTCGAGCGTGGTATCATCAGAGCAGAGTATGACCTCCCTCAAGGTTGGCTTTGTGAAAGCATTGTGGCGGGCACTACATTGGGCGAGCTGCCTTTCTTCTCCGAGACGAGTCGGACGGCAACAGCACAAGTCGAGAGAGACTGCACTGTATGGCTGATGGATCTAGAGTCCTGGAGGAAGCTTCAGCAGAAAGAACCCGAAATTGCAAGAGAGTTTCTCAAGATTTCGCTGAAGTTGACGAGCGAGCGCATGAGTGCTATCACGTCGTATATTTTGACTACAGCTGGATAACTGGGGAAACGGTACTTTCTACTGAATGTTGCATTTGAAAGAAAGAATGAGGGGGAGAGGAGAGGAAGATGAAGCTGCATTGTTGGATTTTCTGATTTAGCGTAAATGAAATTTATAGCGAGATCTAATGTATTTATTTTCAATTATTTACCTATTTATTCTAATTCTTGGCTTCATAGTGGGCTGCTTTGTGACTAATACATGGAAGGAGGCTCTTAGATCCTGAATTTTTTAGTAAGCCGATTTGAATGATTCGGCGTAGTGGCTCATAACTGCGTACTTGCCACCAAGTTGACATCTTTAGATTCTACATGGCTGCTAAAAACTCTGCTATTCTACTATTTCCCATCTGCGACACGCTCTCTCTCCACATATTCTTGCTTTGTTAAAAACAAGACTTTATTCCATTTCTGTCGCGAAGCCCAAGGTGTCGTGTTTTCAGATGATTCCTCATCCGGACGCCGGTTCGCCACCTCATTTTTCAAGGGTACGCCTGGGATGAGATGATGCGCATACTTTTAGGCTACAGTGGACTATTACCAGGAAGCTCAAATCGGTCGTTGCTTTCTGAATAAAAGCCTAGAAGAAAGAGAAACAAGTCCTTCATTCGTTTCTTTGAGATTAAGAAAGGGAAACACAAAAATGCCACAAAGCTTGCGATCCATCTTGGGCAATTCCAACCGAGTGAGAAAACCGAGCAAGCCTAGCCCTGCGAGACAAAACACGGCTTCTACTCCCAAATCTTCATCTCAGTCTCCTAGGAAGGGCAAGAAGCCGGCGCCGAAAAGAGACGCGGAAACTGAGTTTCAAGAAAAGCTTTCAGATGTCGGGATTGCCAAGATATTCGAGGAGGAGTTGACACTCAGAGATGTGGTCCAAGCGATGAGATACATCCGGGGGAAGATGTTCACGCCTGTACCGCCTACGGGATTCAAATCTACGCGGACAACCGAGCTTCTCAACTACAGACTGAGCGTGCCGCCCATCGTCACGATTGGCCACCTGAACGCCATCCTGACATCTCCGTCAAAGGTGGAGCGAGAAGTCGTTGAGCTCTCCAGAAGCGGCGTGCTCCGGAAGGTGAGAGTCGAGAGACGAGGCGGCATGGGAGAGGCGCTCATCGAGTCGCCGGACCTAGAAGCCATGATACGAAGCACGGGGATGTCTGACGACTCCAAGGATGAATTTCTGAAGTTTCTGAGGGAGAATCCCACGGCTCAGACGCTTCCGAGGGGCGCTATCAAGCACAGCCACACAGACGAGCTTGTGAGGGCCGGATTCCTGACGAGCTCGCTGCAGGCGGCGCCTGGGACGACGCTTCATGTTCGCCCAGAAGACCGCACGACCTTGACGTCTATTCATCATGTATCTCGCTTTGCTTCCGGCACGGTATCAGCGGTCGGAGGTCAAAATGCGATTCATCTCGCTGGCGGAGGCGGCGGTGCGCCGACCCTCACAGGCTCGTCAGTGTCATCCTCCGGGGCGTCTGATTTCCGCATTGCGGTGCCGGGTCACGGACGGTATCTGAAGCTGGCGGAAGGGGCGGTTGGCTGGCTCCGCGAGATGCTCGACAAGACGAAATGGGGCGAGGCTCCAGAGATCTGGTTCAAGGAGCGGTTCGAGGGAGGGGGCCTGTACGGGATGCGGTGGAAAGACTTTTGGGGTGTGGAGTGGGAGTGGGTGCTTGGTCAGGCGGCTGGGCTGGGGATCGTGGAGGTTTTTGAGACGGGGAGCGTGGGAAGAGGCGTGAGAGCGCTGGGAGGGTGAGATTCTTGAAGCATGTGGCGTTTGATGGATGATTGCTTTTGGTGTACAAAGCACAGTGTTGGTTGTTGTTGTTGTATGCAAACAACGATAGCCGAGATCGGGCTGAGTTGATGTTGGGATGTCCGGTGTCTGGTATCTTGGAAGAGGAGGATTTGCCGACATATGTCTTGATGTTGTGCTTAGACGACGAGGCCTGAGACTTGCATGAACCCGTATGCTCGGGAGTGGATCGCTGAATGTGCATAGAATGGGCTAATTAGATAGACGAAGGCATGTCATGTCGTCGCCTTGCATCTTTTAATTATGATTTATTTTCCGCTGCTCCCTTGCTTCAGGAATTCGCTTATGGCGTTGAGCTGGGGGAAAAGCATTAGCTTGGCGGCATGCAACGTCGAGACATACGTGCGTACCTTTTAAACAAGCAATTCTTGGTATCACTTGTGATACAAGACAATCAATCTTATACCTGACTTGGGTGTCAGACATCAGACAATAGGATTAGCAACACCAATAGGAATAGTATCCGCGGCAGAAACCTCAAACGTTGGCCAACTAAACATCTTTACACTACCATATCGCTGCTCTTGTCAGGGCCTCCTCTTATCAGCCGTGCTTAATGCTAAAGTGATGATCAAACAATGGCTCCATGATCAGCCTTTGGGTGACATGGGCCATCCGACCCCTGGCCCGTGCATGGCAAGAACAGTGGAGTCGTTAATTAGTGCGGAGACGACGGGCTTCTCATGGTGATGGTGTGTGCTTCCACTATTATGTATTATGTGCTGATGCGATTTGCAGACACCGCTAATAGAAACATGCAGCATGCATGCGTGGTGATAATTGCCTGAGCGACGAGAGGGCATTGACCAGGGGTTCACTTTAATTTGTCTAATGTCTGCTAATGAAGCACGATCGTATCGCTGAGAGCCCGTCTTAATACGCACTCTATCTTGAGGTGGGCATGAATGATTAATTCCCCGGGCATGGCAAAATGTCACCCCAAGCGGGAATGACGGTTTCAACCTAAAGTAGTACGTAGGAGCACAAGGTACCGTTATAGAAGCATGGCGAAGAAAGATAGGCCGTTGAGAACGTGGTTAACACGTCGTATCCGCACGTGTAACTGGGGCTGAAGCAACCATACCAACAGGCAACGCCGTGTGTGCTGCGGAGCTTGAAATGTTAGCTTGTGTGACTGATCACAGGCCTGCAGGGACGCCAGAGGAACGCGTTGTTGGACTCTGGCTCTGAACAACAGGGTTGAGAGGAAGGCAGAGAATAGCCCGCTTGGGTGTGCCCGTCGGCCCTTGGCGAAGTTGCACGAGTATGGTAGGCTGCTGGGGCTGATTCACATCCTGGGACCGCGATGTTGGTAATCATTAGCTCTGACTTGGCCCGTGATAATGCCAACTCGTCTTTGTTGACGAAGAAAGATCCGCAGAATCAACACATACAAGTATGTATGTACGTGTAGTTGGAGCCACACTTATGGAGACCAAACGCGTGATTGCTTTGCCTCTTTTCATGATGCTAATCAATGGATAGCTTGAAACGCATCCAAAGCAGTAAAGGCCGCGAGCTAACAATCACTGAGGCCCATTAAAAAAAAAAAAACTAACCCTTGAAGTCGTCGATGGAGCCCCTTTCACTGCATCCAGATGTCGTACTGCGGACGCATGTGCTAATGCGGCCAATTGCCGGAGGCCTTGCAGATTGGCGCCTGCATGACTCGAACCTGTTCACATCATCACGTCGTAGACAAGAGGCTCTAGACCTTTGAGCTGCACGTACACAAGTTGCAATGAAAACTTGATATGCAGGTACAAAGTATGTCCCAAATGGAACGTGGCGTCTTGGAGATAAGAGCAGGGTATCTGGCGCTGTTGGTCGATACGACATTTCGTTCAATTTCCCCTTCGGATCCCTCGCAAGTCGCCGTCCATGTAAAGGCCGCCAATCTCTTTCGCCAGATGGCCTTCCTCCTCGACGCTAAAGAAAATCTCCAGGGGGCTAAAAGGGAACTTGCACAGCTTGAGCATAGTTCCGGGATTCTCCAAGCTTTGTCCCCTGATTTTCTGAGTGCTTTTCTCGGGGAGTCGGGGATCGCGAAGCCAGGCGTTAGAAGTTGGGCTGTTTGCGGCCTTGGATGGTGGAGGGGGTCAAGATATGTTGGCAGGAGAGTGAAGACATTGGCTGAGGGAGAGGAGATGGGGGGCAAGAATTGATATCTTGTATTGCGATTGTGGGATATCGATAAGAAACGATAAGCAAATGATGGAATGCTGATCTTACTTATTTGATGTCTTTGGTGCCTGTATCAGGGAAACGAAAAAAGAGAAAGAGCGACGCAGTGTGAGAAAGAAAGATAGTGCTGTGAATGCCGAGTGGTCCGTGTCCGTATTAACGAATTAAGCTGCAGCACGATAGCTCCGCGTGGAGAGGTCCGGCGGGTGATGGCGTCTTCCCCAGCAAGCAGCTCGTTCAATTTGATGGCGAGGCCGCTGCAAACTGTGCATGCAGCCAGTGACTGCCTAGAAAACGAATAGGCAGAGCGCTGCGCGCTGAACGTTCTAAGTAGCTACAGCGGGGCAGCATATGCTGTGCCCGCGCTGCCTCTCCCTGCAGCAGAGCTCTGTTCACTTGGGACTGCTCAACGGCGACATGAACGCGCTGGTCGAGCTCGATGTTCCAGTGGCTGACAAGGGCCCCTGAGCCGGCTGGAGCGCTAGAGGCTTAGCGGGTGGTGGCGCCACGAGCCAGGGCGGCGCCCAGGGACCAATCGTCGCGCTAGCACGGGCTGCAAGCTCTCTGCAAGCCCATTTTTGCCGGCTGAAGAGGCAGCTCGATTACGAACAAGGCGCCTGCTCCTGGGAGCTGCCCTGTACTACTGTACTTACTACCGGGCTACGCACTAACTTACCCACTGCACTGGGCCAACCGTGCGGCACCGACCTCGAGCTTGTTGCCGGGAGACCCCCAAGGATCGCTGAGTTCGCTGCTGCTAGCAGGCGCATACGAAATTACGGCAAATCACTGAAATACGGTCCTAGCAGATGCTGCTCGCTGCCATCACATTTCATCACAGCCATCCCGCGGGGCCCCTGCGAGGTCATTTCGCGCGCTCTTGACCGTGTCTGCACTCCATTCTATGCGCAGCTAAGGTGCGCTCTACTGTGCTGTGCAGTGCTTTCATGCGGCCGTACATGCATATGTACATGTATGTACGTACTTACTCTGCGACCTATCAATAGCTCAGACAGGTTTCTCAAGAGTCCTGTCTTTCGCAAAACTCCACACTCTCTTGTTCTCGCCCGCTGGAATCCCATTCCGCTCATTCTGCCTTTATTGCCTTCTTTTGCACCGTCCTTTGTTTCTTTCGCTTCCTCCTTCTCGGCATTGCGACGTCAGCATCGCTAGAGCAGCGGGCCTTGTCTTGAATCGATCTTTGCTGCGTCCTGCCCCGAAGCCTTCCCTGCAATCGCCCTTGTCGGCGCCCCCAATCCCCGTGACTTGCATCTTGTTGCGTACAAACCGCCCTTCGACTAGTATTAGACGACGGTGCCCACGATCGCAATTCAACAAGTCGTCTAGCCGCTTCTTATTCACAAACTCTCCTTTTCCTCTTCTTCAATCTCTTCCGAGCTAGATCTCGCCCCGGAACTCGTCTCCGAGCCCGTGGTTTGAATTCTGCAACAATCTTGCTTTGACCGTTGCCACCCCCCGGCGGTACTTTGTCGCAGGTCCCTCTGTCATATTATTAGCATTACCCAAAAGGAAAAAAAAAAAAGGAAATCCACCGCTTTTCTGTTGGCCACCAAGCGACGACGAGAAACCCTCGTTCTAAACCGGCCCTACTGTACCTTTTCTTTTTCTCTCCTCTTTCATTTCTCTTGTGGCGGATCTTGTTCAGCGTTGTCGGCGCATCTCTGGCTGGGATTTGAGACCCAGTTGCTCCGCACCGCCTTGTTCGCTTCGCAAAGACTTCTCCAGACATTCTTGTGGGAGATAGCGGTATGCCCCCCCCTCGATCGTGGATGCCTCTCGACCCCTATACCCAACGACACACCAACTCGCCTTATGGGCTGTTACAATCGACAAAGATGGACATGCTACTCGTCACGGGCAGCGTTGCTAATAGGATCGTATTACCAGGTACCGCTGTTTTCGCCTCTGATATTGAGCAATTTACTCTGCCCCCGTCGGCTGGGTCGTTTCGACCCCATTCTCTTGCAGCCTGCTTGCCCAAGCATCCGATAGCGCAACATTCCTTCGATTCGACGACACTTGATCCAACACATCTTGCCGTTCATGGACGGCCGGAGGGTTTGAGAGCGAGCACAAAGCACTACGCACAACGCACAGGCCGTTGACGCAGCCAGCGAGCATTACTCATAGCCGATACCTCATATTGTTCCGCATCGGCAAAAAACCATGGCGACCGCTCTTCCGCGCCCTCGCCCCTCGATGGGCCCCGACACCTCTCTTCCCACTCTTTCTGTACCCAAGAGTCGCAAAGGCACAGCGACCATCCCCAGTCCACCAAAGTCCCCCAATGCGCCTCGCAGTGGCTTGCGAGCCCCCTCTTCAGCATCTCCCGCTCCCAACAACAACAGCACACCTGCCGCCGCAGCTACCAAAAGCCTCCGAAAAACAGTTAGCATAAACTCCTTTCCGAAGCCCCCCAAAGGCGACAACCGACTCGGTAACAGCATGCCGTCCAGCCCGTTGGCTAGCGGTCGCCCTACGCGAAAACCGAAGTCAGCTCGGGACTCTGCAGCAAGTAGTAACAACCCCACGCCCACACCGAGTCTGTTAAACGGGAGTGCCGAGGGAAAATTCATTAGCAGTGTCCGTATGTCTGATGGTGTGTTGAGCGCATCATCCCCTCCTCACAGCCGAAGCTCTTCTGCCCAGGGATCTTATTCTACATCAGCAACCACGTATGAGGACTCAGCCGACGCGTCCGGCAGCAACTCTGAGAAACGATCATCCGCTGCGGAAGCGAAGGGCAACGTTATTGTCAGCGTCCGTGTGCGACCTGATCAAACAAATGACAATCACACTGACGGAGAATGGATGGTTGATGGCCGGAGGGCTCTCATCGCGTATAGAGGAAAAGAAGGAGGCGATTATTATTACGGTATGTGATACTTCCCACCCTCTAGTATCTTATTATCAAAGATGGCAAGACGTATTGACCTGTTCTGCAGACAATGTTTTCACTACTCATGACAATAATGCTCGCGTTTACGACCATCTCGCCAAGCGACTGGTTCGAAGAGTGATGGAAGGTTACCATGGTACGGTGTTTGCTTACGGCCAGACTGGTACTGGCAAAACATTTTCAATGCAAGGAACGGCATCATCGCCCGGTGTTATCCCACTGGCGATTACGGACATCTTTTCTTACATTCGCGAAACGCCTTCCCGCGAGTTCTTGTTGAGAGTGAGCTATCTTGAGATTTATAACGAAAAAATTCAGGACTTGTTGAGCATGGCCTCATCCAACGGCGCTGCCCCCCAGGAAGAGATTAAGCTGCGAGAAGACAGCAAACGGGGTGTATACGCTACTCCTTTGAAAGAGGAGATTGTTCAGAGTCCTACACAGCTGCTGCGAGTTATAGCTCGAGGTGACCAGGCCCGTCGAACGGCCAGCACGCAGTTCAACGCCCGAAGTTCTCGAAGTCACGCTGTCGTCCAGATCATTGTTGAAAGCCGAGAGCGTATGCCCAGCGGCGGAAAAGATGGCGATGCCAAACGATCAGGTGTCTTGCCTGGAGGTGTTCGTGTCTCTACCCTGAGTTTGATCGATCTTGCCGGTTCGGAAAAGGCTGCAGAGTCAAAGGAGCGAAGGCAAGAGGGTGCACATATCAATAAAAGTTTACTCACTCTCGGAACAGTCATCGCAAAGCTTAGCGAATGGAAGGATAAGGGTGGAGACAAAGAAGGCAAACATCTGCCTTACCGAGACAGCAAGCTGACGCGTCTGCTCCAAGGAGCTCTCTCTGGTAATTCTCTAGTCAGTATTCTTTGTACGGCTGCACTTGGCGCTACTGGAAGCGCGGCAACTACGGCAAACCATACCATCGAGACACTCAACACTCTCAAATTCGCATCACGTGCAAAAAACAGCATTGTCAGTCATGCTAAGAAGGCTGAAGAGGCGCTGGGGCAGGGCGGCGATGGTGGTGCCAGAGTGCTCTTGGAGCGATATCGAATGGAGATTCAGGAACTAAAGCAGCAATTGGAGGCTCAGGCTACCCAGAAGAATGATGAGGAGATTAAGGAGTTGGTTGAGAAGGACCGCGTTCAAGAGCAAGAGATGGCTGAGCGACATGAAGAACAAATGCTGGAAATGCAGCTTGCTAGGACAGCATTGAAAGAGCGAATCGAGCACCTGAACCGTCTGATTCTCAGTTCCAAGTCGGCGGGTGTCAACTCGAATGGCACCATGAGCGCCCTTGCTCGGTATTCACAGATCTCCCTGGCACCGGCATCTGCTCGATCTTCCGTAGCACTCTCTATCAGATCGCCTTTGGAGCGGACAGCATCTGTGGCGTCTACTTCTACCATCGGACGACGGTCAAGCTATGGGGCAAAGCGAATATCAGGCGAAGCCGATATTATTGACGCGGAGGAAGACAGTGTCGGCGAGAATGGGGATGGAATGGCTTCTCTGACAGCACAGAATCGAGCATTACAGGCCGATCTTGCGGACAAAAACCGATACATTTCGACACTTGAGAAACGACTACTCCAAGCCCGCCGGGCAAGCTCCTCTAGGACATCATCTGGCTTCTCAGTCCCCACCAAGGGCATCATGGTGGGCGAGGATCACAGCGTGGCTGCCTTGCTGAAAGAGAAAGACACGGAGATTGCGGATCTGCGCGCCAGGCTGGATGACAAGGATCGTATGCTGGCCGCGTTGAGAAGCGCAGCTCGCTCACGAGATAATGCTGATTCGATAACGGAACCGCGATCCCCCCAATCACAGGATGGCATGCGAACTGGTCTTCCATGGAGTCCTGCGATATCCATAAAAGAATCAAGGAGAAGAACGAAGAGCATTGATGAGATGAACAATATGCTTGAGGAAATGATTCAAGACCGAGTCGAAACTGGCCAGATCATTAGAGGTTCTCGCGGGAGTGTACGACTGGCGCCTAGCCACCGGTTGGAATCACTAGGGGAGCCACCAAGCGTGCTACCACCATTGCGACGCATCCCGACGCCTATTGGAGAGCACAGTGATGCTATTGAAGCAGCATCATGATGACTAGTAAGCGAGCAAAAGATGATTGGAGGAATATGGCCGAGGGCCCAGGGACTGGTTTCTATTAAGCAGTGTGATGTGATGAGAATCTTTTTGTAACAATTTCGTGGGACAAGGAGTTGAGGCACGGGAGCATATCTTTTCTGCTTGTTTTTCTTTTCTTTTCTTTTCTTTCTTGTTCTTTTTTTTATGTTATACCCGAACTTTTCAGTTTGTTTCTTTTTTGCGGCGGTACAAGAAGGGGCAACGCGAGTGGAGGGGTTTCTTGTTTGATTCATATGCAGGATTCCGAGTCGCTTACAGGTTTCTTTTTGTGGATTGGACCAGAAGTTCATTGCTGGTGGCAGAGTATAAATACCCCCCTTTTTATGCGTCTCGACGATGTTTTGTAGCGGCAGGAGAAGCCGCAGAATGTAAAGGCAGAGGGAAGACGGTGCTGGGTTAGAGATCTGGTTCGAGTCTTCTCCCATAGAAGATTGTTCTTTTTATTATTATTTTGCATTTGGGCTAGTATATGACTCGAAAAATGGGCAAAAGGGAAAACCTAGGGTGTGGGCTAGCATTGCACTTTTCTTGTTTCTTCTTCTCTGTCTTATCTTTTATCTCTTCTCTGTCACTCTCTGTCACTATTTATTTTTGCTTGCTTGCTTTAGCGGAGATAGCAATTATATGCAAGGCGCAAGCTATGATTTAAAAAGAATAAATGTTATGATATCTGAGTCCTTGCCTTGATCTGAGTGATGGTGAATATATTGCCAAGGGTGTAATTGTAGAAAGGCAGTAGAGCAGCATAGGTTTATGTAAGGTCAAGCGAATGATATCACACAATAATCTAAATGCCTACCTAAGCAACGACGTACTATACAAATCTTATTGAGCTTACGTCCAAGTTAATAGTAATACTACAGAGGTAGGTCTAATTCTTCTATCTTGGACGGTTGCCTAGTAGTAGTTGATGCTATTGGATAGCATCTATATCGAGGGAATGAGGTCAGATTAGGAAGAAGTGGATTACAATCACTAGTAACGTTTAGATGCAGATTACAAAGGGGACCTGCCAATTACAGTTTCGTATTGGCAATATCAGCGTGGCGCTCCTGCACTATATCATGGAGATTAAATGGGCCGATGGCGGGCTTCAGATATATTAACTAGTAGAACCCTTTTTCCACCTTCCTTCCTGCTTCTCTTTTTGTTTAGCCTGTGGGTGGCGTGAAAGGGACGAGCCGAGGCTGGCTGGCTGCTTAATTTGACAAAGGTTGATGGGTGGGTAAGAAGAGAGGAATCTGCGTGGCTGAGTGTGTTGGGAGGAGTATAGTAGTAGTATGTAGCAATAAAAAAAAAAGTGGAAAAGGAAAGTCGGAAAGAGATGGAGAGCTGACGAGTTGAGAGATTTTTTCTTTTCTTTTCTTTTCTTTTTTCTTTTGCGGGTGTAATATGTTGGTAAAGAGAGTGATGGAGAGGAGTTGGAGATTTTAAATCGATTGGGGACAAAGACGGTTGGAGGGAATATGCATCTCGTACAAGTAGGTTGAATGAGAAAGTGGATGATCAAGATTCACTTTTCCTCTTCACATGTTGCTGTCGTTTGTGCAGCTCTTTTACATACTGTACGGATAAGCTGAGAGCATTCTCTTCTTCTTCTTCCCTCTTTTGCTCCCTGTCGTTGCAACTCGCAGACTGAGAGGACAGGACAGCCTTTCCGAACTAGGGTGGATCGGGCAAGGATTCCGGAATGGGCGCGATCCAATTGATGGCTGAGGAGGGTTTGACGGGGCTACAAGTCTGAAACACGCTAGGGGCAAGCGTTTGATACTGGCTAATAGGGATGGATAGATGGATGAGATGCCTTGAGCCAACGAACATGCGTAACTGGGCGCGTACGATATACGAGCAAGAAAGAGAGTGTACGGCCAGGGTCGGTAGAAGACGATGCTGCACTGGCTATTATTGTTTGTTTCCTGCATCTGGTGATTTTTTTTTTGGCCCCTGCTTATTTTAGTCGCTCGTCCCCGATATATACAATTTATGCGTTTCAAACTCTTCTTGCAGCGTGTGGTATGTTGTGATGCCAGTCCGCGGTCGCACTGCTAAGGCAGACCCTTGTCACTTACAGCGACTATCACCATTTCTTTTTTTCTTTCCCGCCTTCATCTTGCCAAGCCTGGTCCCTTATAAGCGCTGCTGTCAGAAGCAGAGCGGAGGCCGCTTTCTGGACTGTGATGCTGGATGGGGGGCACTTTTGAATTGCCATCGTATCTTAATTTTCCATGTCGGCCATGTGTGTGTGACGTATTTGTCTCCATTCTGATGGCCCGTGGGATCGGGAGTTGGAACACCGGCTGCCATTGAGGGCTTATTGTAGGGCGATGTGATACACCTCTGCCTCTCTAGCATATTCATGCGTGATGAGCCTTGTGTGTTTCTTCCATCTGATACGTGCTTGTGCCTCCCTCTCTTCTCTTGCTGCGCTGTTCCGTCAGCCCGTCGGACGACTTTTGTTTTCGAAACGGCCTGGTGGCTTGATATGCCCCAGCAAGCTCTTGCCTGCCGCGTTAGGAAGCTCTCTACATGTACCCAGTCCAAGTAATACAGCTACAGCTACTGCTACTGCTACTGCTACCGCTAGCAACATGCACTTTTTTGCCCTCCCTTTTTGCTATATTCCATCCTTTCCGCCCCTCTCATTGGCCAGGGGTCATCAGAGACAATGACATCAAGTCCCCGCAGGCTAAAAACGAAGCCATCCAGGGACCCTTAGCTGCCAGTCCAGTCCATCAGCCAGTCAGAGAGACCGGACGTCCGAAGAGGCAGAAACGACAAGCTCAGCTGCAGAATATCGGCCCTGCGTGTTTGACCAGCCGCCTGCAAGACGGAAGCGTTTTTAGCCTAGTCGTGTCAGTCTCTTTGTTCCTTTGGATTTGGCGGCCAAAAAAGCACAAACCCGATGCTGCGTTCCCAGCTGCCCCCTACATACAAACGTCCCACTCCAAGTACAGGTATTGCACCTGCTTACTCGTGCATGTAGACAGGTTGGTCTTCTCTTGCGGCGCTGGCATTTCTTCCCTTCCATCATCTCCCTCATAACCTTTTTTTTTCTTCTTCTTTCACTTTCTTTTAATTGGTGTTGACGCCAATCATTGCCGCATCCTTTTCTCCCTTCCGTCACATTCTGAGCCCTTGTGTTTCTTCTTTCTCGCTTCTCATACCGCTTCGGGTGCCACTGGGCGGGATCGTCGTGGCCCTGGAGGAGCCGTGATAGGAGGGGAGCATTGAAAAAAAGTGCAGAAAAGTCACACGCCCAACCTCGGAACTTTGTTCTTCGACTTCTCTTCTTCCCCCATGATGATCGGCGGTGTCTACTAGGGGGGGGGGGAAGGGTTGCTCATCCTTTTTCTCTACGCCTTCTTCGTGCTTAATTGCCCGTGTGGGGTGCAAAGTTTATTGCGGAAGACAAGAGATCGCCGGCTTGTGATTAAAAAAGAGGTCAGCAGCTGGACAAGCTGGTTGGCCGTCTTTGCCACTATTTGCATATAACATTCTATCCCTTCGCTTCTGCCTCTTTTGGGTTTTCTTCTTCTTTTTTCTTTCTCAGGCATCTTGAACCATCTTTGATGCTGATACATTCCTTTGCTGCATGAGAGCCGGTGGTGTCTACTCCGTATAGGAGACATTGATCACCACTCCTTGCTTCCTTTCTCCCTTTCTTCCACTCCCTCTCTTCGATTTATCTTTTCGTTATTTTTCTTCTTGTTTATTTATTTTCCGTTGATGCATCTGCCCTTTTCTCCTTTCTTTATGTATTGAGATTTCGCTGCGCAAACGTCACCATGGTCCCCCCACTGGATCTCTCATCGACCCAACCCAAGGTCATGATTGTGCCCCCAAGGCTCAATCTTCGACGCAATGCTTCATACAACAATTATGACAAGGCACCTCTCTCATCGACTTCAGCTCGATTCAACTTCAACCACCTTCTCTTCTCCCCTCCTCCTTCACCCAGTCTCCCTGTGTTGGTGCCACGGCCACGGAAAAATTCACACACCAAGGCCCTGATCGCTCGACCAAGCCGAGTCTTGCGATATATGCTTTACTTTGCTGCATTCTTAACGACGTTCTACCTTGCTCGCCTTGCGTTCCGAAATAAAGAGTCCATCATAGCGAAATGGCCTCATTTTACCACCGATGACTTTGAAATGATTGGCCAGGATGCGATCCCGGATTTCCCAACTCCCATAGTTGTCAGCCACAGCCATTCTCAATCAAAGTGGACCGTCTCTATTCCGCATTACCATGACTTCCCTTTGAGCGTGGAGGAATATGCCAGCATGGGAAGCAAATGCCGAGAAGTCTCAGCTCACACAAGAGAGCTCCGAGGCAAAGCTCCCCTGTCTGACGAAGACAAGTTGAAGTATGATGCTGTGGATGAGTACTTTGTTGACGTGTACGAGGCCGAGCTATACGGGCTACTACCTCCAGTTGCACATGGCAACAAGGCCCAAAAGACTGGCAATTTTGTGGGCGTGGACTGGGAATCCATGGCCGGATTGCCTGTTTGCCAGTCCTCAGTCACCTATGTTCTGGAAAGCTCGGATGCTGGGCTGGGCACTGCAGTCATGGGCATGTGGATGCTCTACGGCCTGGCCAAGCACGATGGCAGAGCCTTTTTCGTCGATGACTCCCGTTGGGCCTATGGCAAGTATACAGACATATTCCAAGCACCGCCAGTGCCTGACTGCCGACCCCCTCCTCGACACAGGATGCTCCCTTGTCCGGCACAAGCGAGACATCTTGTTGTCACTGGCACAACGCTAAAGGACGTTTTCCCGGCTCTCATGGCGAAGTACCATCGGGTAGCGGGGACTGACAATAATCTACGAGATCTCATGGGACTTGCAAGAACCGGCTATCAAGCACTCTTTAAGCTCAATAGCGATGATCAGGAGTACGCCCGCAATCGCATAAAAGATTTGAGAAAGCAGGCCATGGCGAAGGATATGGCCACTCCACACATGCCCGTCATTGGGCTACACGTTCGGCGTGGTGATTCACATCCTATTGAGTACCAGTATCGCAATACTTACGTTCCATCCGAAGTGTTTCTCGGCAAGGCTCAAGAGTTGGTAGAAGCCTATTACAATTCTGCCGAGGGCCAACCAGCATCCATGAATCAGTCCATCACCGTTATTGCTTCTGATGATCCTGATGTCTATAAGCAGCCTGAATACTCTGATGCTTTATATGCCCAGGCCCGCATCCGCTTGCAATCCAAGGAAGCCACCAAGCGACAAGACGTCAACCCACACGTACTTCACCGTTTCAAGGATGAAACCTTGGGATGGGAAGGAGGATTTTTTGCCCCCATGTTTTGGAATCTCGGCTTTGATAGGAAGCACAACGGCCACACCAATGAAGCATCTGTGGGGCGGATAGAACCGCCTTCTGAGCAGACGATTCAGCTGCGCAGCTACATGGGTAGGGCGTATATGCTAGACTTGGCAGTCTTGGCAGGAGCAAGCGATAGAATAGTATGCACGGTCAGTTCAATGGGCTGCAAGATGCTGGGCGTGATGATGGGATGGGAACATGGTATTGAGGCTGGCGGCTGGACCAACGTTGATGGCAATTATCCATGGGCATGGATGAATTGAACTAACTCATGGCTGGCTCTTTTTTTCGTGACAAGAATCAGAAATGAAAAAGAAAAAGGCACAGAAGTAAAAATAAAAGGGGACATTCCTGTGTTCTTCTACTTGGGGTGGTTGGGGCGGTTGGGGTTGTTGGGCATTATATGGCGTTAAAGGATTACGACTTGATGAAGCGGATATTAACCATCTTTCATTATATACCATTCATTTGATGCTGCGTAGAGTATACTTTCGTTGTAACAATACAAATGGCATTTACTCTATAAAAAAAGTTTTGTGGGGATTTCTCATGTGAGCTGAATCTCATAGATTACCATTTCTCGTGTTGGGTAGGTATTTTGCAATAATACATGGACTCAGTTCATTGTAGTTTATGTGCTTCTTCCAAGGTACTATTTTTTAGTGCAAGTTGCCACTATTGAATAGCGCGTTGAGTGCCCCACAATTCTCTGCGAGGCTACTGCCTGTGCGCGGCTGCTTCCGCGACAGCTTTGGCAATCGAACCTTGAACTTTCTTTTCTCGTCTTGTCATCAATCCATCATCTGCATTCTCCCTTTCTCCTACACCTCACCATCGCCATCGCCATAGAAGACATCGACAGTGGCCACACTCCCTTCGCGATAGCTATACATCTCAGTCCACAATCATGTCAGCGCCTAGCCCCGGCCGCGATGGCTTCTCCACGTCGGCACCGCCTCCGAAGCCGCGGCTCAAGCTCAACGTGAGCCGTTCTTCATCCTTTATCAACGAGGCTGGAACGCCAAATGGAGCAACATCCTCATCTGCAAACGCGCCGCTGGTGACTCCTGGCGAGGGCCCGCGCAAACTGAAGCTCAAAATTAGCTCCTCACAGCCGCCGACGCCAGCTGGAGGACCAGTAGTCAAAGATGGGCTACCGAAGAGTGCAATCAAAGACAAAGAAGCAAAGAAGGACAAAGAGAAGGATAATGGATTACCGCCCGTGGTAACGACGAAAGCGGGCCGACAAGCGAAACCGAGTCAGAAGCTCATCGAAAGCAAGAAGCGCTCGCTTAGCGATGACGAAGACGAGGCGCCGCTGCGTGGATCAACGAATGGGACGGCAGGTCATGGCCCGCCGCCGGCAACAAAGATCAAGATCAAGCCTATTGTCAAGGTCGGAGCTGGTGGAGGTGGTGCGGCAAAGGTCAGGAGGGGATCTAAGGCTGGGCTTACTCAATTGGTGCTCAAGCCTCGTGGTCGTCCGCCTGTACATCCTCCTGGAGATGGCTATGATTCCGAAGCTAGCGACAACGAGGTTGACCCGGCCATCGAAGAGCAGTTTGTCCTACGCATGATGCCTGGAGAGCATGCTGATTATGTCCGCTGGTGCTTGGAAAATGGCAAGATTGGACTGCCCAAGTCGGCGGGAGGGGCTGATATTCATATCAAGTTCTTTGAAGAGGAGACTCGACGCGGCTTTATCATGGTCAAAGGCCAGTGCTATGCAGCTGTTATGGTGGACTTACCTACCATTACTGAATCGATGAAGACGTGGGATCGCAAGTCATTAATGAAGTCGGCGGACATCTGCCAGATGCTGCTTGTGTACCAAGCCGTTAAGAACGAAGAGGAAGCAAGACACGCCCCTCTGCCCAGTATCATCGACTCAAGCTTTAAATGGCCGCACGGCCTGACGCCGCCAATGCACGACTGTGTGAATCGACGATTTGCCAAGACCATCAGCCGGAAAGAAATTGAGGATAAGGAAGCAGAAGTCGAACGGCTGCTTACTGAGGATGCCAAGTGTGCATCCACGAAATGGGAATGGATCGACGAGCGTGATGGCGCTGAGGAAGACGGAGAGGAAGACGCTGAAGGCGAGATGGACGACACCTTGGGCTACTTTGACCAATCACATATATCGATGGGCGGTGAAGAGGATAATGACTTTGATCTTGAAGCCGACCTGGAGGCAGCGTTCGCGGATGAACTCATGGCTGAGACTCCTGCTACTGCCATGGATACTCAAACACCTGCTGCGCTGGTTGGAACTCCTGCTACGACGGCAGCCCTCCAGCAGAGCATCGAGGCAAGCGAATCTGACGAGGACGACGATGACGACGACGATGATGACGACGACGATGACGATCTTGATGAAGATGCGCGTGCCCAACGTGACGAGGAACAAGGTGTCAAAGACATCATCAACGATCTCAAGAAGCAGCTCGCCGCTCGTGTGGCCGACTTTGAAAGAACTCAGAACAAGATTCTCAGGACCCGTCTGGAGAACCAAATCAAGCAGCTCAAGTCGGAAATTGAGCTCAAACAGTCTTCGATTGGCATTGAGGCGGATGATTAAGGGATTGATCATTTCCCTTACTGGATTAATTAATAATTACGCCATCATCATTTATTGCTGTCCGCGGTTCGACATACCGGATTAGATCGACGGACAACTCATTGTCTTGACTTTTTTTTTTCCCCTAGCAGACGAGAAGGAGAGTTTCTTTTTCATTTCTTTTTCATTTTTTTTTTTTTGGGCCATACCTCTGGCATGGAGTTTTTTTGGAACTGCGAAAAAGGGAGGGAACAATTTGAGGTGGGCGCACGGCCTTGGCGTTATCTGCCTTTTTTTTTTCTTTGCTTAATGATTTTCTCTCGACATGAGATACTATGAACACAAAGAGAAGGGGGCCAATTACAATTTGGTATAGCTTCTAGAATGCACGTTTTTTGGAGGCTAGATGTCAATCAGCAATTCAAATAAACAAGCCAGTTTCAGATTTAGAGGAACGGATCCCTCTCCAATATGAAAGAAGGTACTCTTCCGCAAACAAGTTAACCCAGCTCATATGTCTTGGATATATAACCTTGCAACAGTCTCTATGAATTTACCACATGCCCCATTTTGCTTATTGCCCAATTGCCTTGGCAGTTTGACCTCTATTCTTGACCAATATATCCTCTGCCGCATCAAGAACGTCCTTCCACACTAATACCTGACAAAATTGCTCAAGATTCCTCGGCCGGGTTTTAGACTTGGGCCGGCCGCTATGATAGACACGCCGTTGGATCCCCTTTTGAATGTAGACTGCCATTTGGGGGTCGCGTTTGGACTGTTGCTTGAGATAGTTGGCAATAAAAGCGGCGTCTCTGAGCTTTGTGCTTTTGTGATCACGGTTCCAACGACGGGTTGAGCTGATGGTGTCTTCGATTCGCTGCTTAATGGTTCTTGCTGTTTCTTTCATAAACTCGTAAGCATACTCTGGGGGGGGTGGACTATGGTGGTACAGTAGAAGAGAAAATGTCAAGACTTACTTGGCCCAGAGCGTGACTTTTCGACATCTGGCTTTGCCTGTGTCTTGCTGCCCTTCGTTGCAGAACCTGCCGCCTGAGTGCGACTTATCAAAGCCTCTGCTTCTGCCACTGTTGGAATCTTGTCCAGTGCAGTTGTGATATCACCAACCAAGCCCTTCAAATCACTCATTTCCTTCCTCAGTTGCGCAATGGATTCATCCATGTCCTTTTTACACTGTTCCAGATTATCGTTGCTCTTGCTGTTCCACTCGGGCCCCTGAATTTCCTCCATGCGCTGCTTCACCACTTGCATCTCCTGCACCATGCTCTGCAGCCTCGCATCATGGCTCTTCCGAAACTCCTTGTCCTCCTTTGTGCACATCATGAGAGCGCCCAGGCTCTTCTCCAGCCGTTCTGTCTGGGCGCTCATGGCGCGGACATTGAGCTCAATGGTCATGCGGGCCAAAGCATCTGCGCTGGCGAGAAGTTTGGAATTTGGTCTTGTGGTGATGATGGAGCCGCTTGAAGGTATGGGCGAGATGGAAGGGGAAGGGATTATGGCTGCGGTCAAGGATTTGCTGTTATGGTAGCCATTGTCGGGCCTGGAGGGCGATTCTTTTGGAGATGCCTTTGCTGGGACTGATCGACCCCTGGCCATGTTGAATTTCTTCTTCAAGAAGATGGTAAGCTGCTTATGTTAGTCGATAATGAAAAAAAATATGAAAAGCGTCAAATGGAGAGAGAAGATACAGTCATGGAATTGTGAAGCGGTGATGGCCGTGGCTGCTCCTTCCCATGGTTTGAGACTGAAGCTGGGAAGGCACTTGTATGCTTCCTTCTTCATATCGAGGCCACTAAGAATATGCATTGCTAGTGATAAGAGAATTCGGTAGAGATAATGGAAATAAATATGATATTATATAGTATAAGGTTTTCGTAATAAGTACATCATGACCGCTCTATCTTCGTAACGCTCACAACTATTGCTACATTCATACAACAGCAACCTTGCCAACCCCAATCTCAACCTCAATCCATCTTTATACATCAACAAAACCAACAGCACCTGTCCATTAGTTGGACTCTCGCTCGCTCGCTATCCACTCCAAAAACATGTCCACGTCCTTTGCAATCTGCCCCGGAACCGCCATCTTCTGGATCCACGCTGGCAGCACGCCTCTCGCATCAGACACCGTCCCCATCACCCACTCGACGTTGCCCTGATCATCAATCTCCCTGAAGCGCTCGATGGCCGTGTACGTGCCTCTCAGGGCGCCGTCTGATCTTGACTCCTCTGCGCTGGGAGTCTCCGGCACCGCTGCTATCTGGACAACGACAAACTCTCGCCGCCCTCGTACGGCTGCTGTGACTTGCAGCACAGGAAACACGCGGTTGTTCAGCGGTGCAGGCATCTTGTGCACCGATTCCTCCAGCTTCAGCGTGAGATTCTCATACGTGTCGCCTCCCAGCATGACCTCGACGCCCGCGCAGTCCCACTGCTTCTTCAGCCTGTGGCTCATCACCGTCGGCGTAAACTTCATCTCGGCGTCCGCATGGCCCTCCTTGAAGCACCGCACCCATTCCTCCCAGTCTGCAGTGCCGGCCTTCTTCGCTTCCTCGTGAACGCTACGTCTTAGACTCCATGTCTCGGGCTTGATTTTTGAGCCGCCGTTGGCCTGCGGCAAATTCTGATCCTTGGCTATCGTCTTTAGCTCTTCGGCTGAAATGACTCGCTCAAACATGTGCACCGGCGCTGCTGAGTGGTGAAACGCCCTGCATCCCTTTGCCTTCCAGGGGCCAGTGCCGTTATTCCCATTGTTCTGGCTGGATCTGCCTGATGATGATAATGACGATGACTCGGATGAGTGCGGCGGCACTGAGCTGACAAAAGAAACGGCCTCGCTCAATATTGATTGAAGCAATGGTGTGAGATCTTGAGCTGAAGTGGCCTCTGAGGGAAGCTGTGACGGCCGGATGCCCCAGAGCCGAACATAGGGGCCGTGCTGATCAGCCATTTCGCCGCTTGTATCGTGAGCAACAGAACGACTCGAAAGTAAACAAATTCGGCGCTTTCAATGAGTAGCAGAAGAAAGAAGAGTTTCACGACACACCAGAACAAACAAATAAACAGAAAAAGAAAAGAGAAAAGATGAGGCTGAGGCTGATGGGCGCAAAGGAGCGCTGTACGTGATAGGAAGGCCGACTTAAAAGATGACCCTGAGCCAGCAAGCTAGCTTCCACCAGGGGCTGCTGTTGTATTTTGAGTGTGGCTGTACCTGTTCCTCCCTCCTCTGCAGCTACTCCATAATGACAGATGATAATCAGGAATAATATGACTGTCGCGTGAGAGGAGAGAACTCTAAAAGAAAAGGATAAAAGAGAAAAAAAAAGCATGTGAGGTGACTCCCCATACCATACCCATGCTACTACTATAAGCGAAAGTGGCCTATTTTTGTTGCCATACGCAATACTACGCAGTACCGAGATCTGGGATGGTCTAGACCGGATAGGACGGCTTCCCCCCCGTTGCGGGTTAAACGTCTCACGTTTTGAGGGACCAAAATAGCGAGTTGGTGATTTTTTTTTCTGGAGATCGGAGGTGCTTTGAAAGAATCTTACCGGTTCGGGCCAACTGTTATAGGAAAATAAGATTGATGCTGGCGTTCTATTTACGCGTGTAAGTGGTCGTGTGTTTGGAACTCGAGATTTGACGAGTATGATGTCACAAAAATTAACGTTTGTAGCAAAGCTTCATTTACATCATGTTTTGAATAAATTATTTTTTTGCTTTATTTTGACCTTCTTTCTTTCTTCTAGCTCTATTCAAAGGCTCTACTGGCGTAATTAGGTAGTAGTAGTGTATTACAATCATGATGTAGCCATTTACCATCATGGTGTCGTATTGTTTTCCTCCCATTCCATCCAAGTAATAATAGTAATAACAACGATAATAGTAAAAAAAAAAAAAAAAAACTCCGACGTATGGTTCTCATGTACAGTAAAGCATGCCCACTTCAAATCAGACTTTGATTTGGATATCTTTCTTTTTTTTTTTTTTTTCCCTCGCTTCCCCTTGAACGCGATATTTGAACATCTTAATCTCTCCGCTCCCACCGGATCTCGGCAGGCTCCAGAGGTCGAGAGAACAGAGAAGCATAGTCAGTGCCAACGATCTTGTCGCTGCCGTCCACGTTGCTCAGCTTGAACATGCGGACAGTCTCGACAATGATGGTCTGCAGCTGCAGGTTGGCAAACTGCTCACCAATGCATCGGTGACGACCAGCACCAAAGGGAAGGTAAGGTGAAGCGGCGCCCTTGCTGACAATACCGTAGCCGTAATCGATCTTCTCTTCTTCCTCTTCGTTTCGGGCAGCAATAAGGGGAGCGTTGGGAGAGCCAGGCAGCCAGCGGTAGGGATCCCACTCGAAGGGGTTAGGGAAGTAGTTGGGGTCGGAGCCACTGACACCGGGAGCGGCGAGAAGAACGTGAGTAGGGGGGATAACATATTTGGTACCGGGAACGGGCATGGGCTGCTTGACGGCGCGCATGATGGAGTGAATGGGGGCATGAAGACGCAGAGTTTCCTTGACAATGGCCTGGTTCAGAGGGAGCTTGGCAAGATCCTCGTACTGCAGGGGAGGCAAATCGGCACCCAAGGCGTTGATTTGTTCCTGATACAGATCCTCGACAACCTTGGGGTTCTGGGCAAGACGGAGCATGATCCAGGAGCTAGTGGATGACGAAGAGTGCTGGCCAGCCATGAGCAGAGCAATCATCATGTGGGCGATCTCGTGGTCAGGGACGGGGGTGCCGTTCTTGTACACAGATGTCATGAGATGCTTCATAATGTCAAGTTCATTGTCCTCATCACCGAGGGCCTTTCGTTCCTTGATAGTATCCATGTAGATCTTGGCAATGGTACGCTGAGCCTGGTCACGCTTGCGGTTCCAGGGAAGAGGGGCCCAGTGCAGCACAAAGTTGATGGAGGTGAAGCCCATGTCGAGGTCGTGGTACAGATCGGCCAGAGACTCGTCGAACTTGTTGCGGATGCGGCTGCCCTGAAGAGCGTGGGAAGCAGTGAAGATTGTGATCTCGGCCATCTTCTTGGGAATATCGACGATTCCAGACTTGCCCTTGAAGGCTGCGGTGCGCTTGAAGTACGATGTGACCTCGTGAGAGATGATAGGGACATATGATCGGAACGCTTCGGTGGTAAGAGCAATTTTCATAAACTAAAAAAGATGCTCGTTAGAACTGAATTCACCGACAAATCATATAAGACCGTATCAGGGGGGGCACAAAACTCACCTTCTTCTGCTCCATCAGCTTGGCGTTGGGGCAGTCGTAGACGACATCGCGTCCGAAGACGGGGGTGGTCAAGACGGTGTAGATATCCTCAGCGTTGACATCCTTGAGCTTTCCGTTGAGGATGAAGTCGTTTCCAGCAGGGCCAACAGCCACGGTGGTCTTCTTGCCGAGGAGGACGAAGGTGAAAACATCGCCATACTGCCGATTGAATGTCAGCCACCGCTATAGACACAATACGGCACATGTCAGGGAATTGTATTTGCCCACCTTTGCACGATTGTCGCGGAAGAACTTGGGAGGATCCATGCCGTATATCACGGTGCTGCCAATGAAGGGGAACCAGTGGAAGACGAGAGGCGGGTCGGTAGGGTTCCTGAAGAGGAGCTGCTGAATGACATTGACGAAGACGGAGAGCGCGACGAAGCCAGCGACGCCAATGGCGATCTGGGCGCCAATTCCTTGTTGGAAGTACAGCTGGGCCAAGGGATGGCCAGCGGCATCTTGGATGATGCCCATCTCTGCGAATTGATGGCCCTCTCGCTCGCAAAAAAAAGGTGATGGAGAGTAAAGAGCTGAGGTGGGAGCCCAGAGGCAGCAAAACGGGCTTATAACAAGGAGGGGGGGGGGGGGGGGTTGAAAGAGGAAAAGAGACTGGCTGGTCCCGCGCGGCCCTTTTTATCGACAGGATGCAATGCAGCAACCAAGAAGAGAAAGAAAGGAGAAGAGCCAAACGGCGCCACCAGTGGTTCGATAAGTCAGCCCAAGATGAGCTCTAATCAGTGCCTTTTGGCTCCAATCGCGGCGGGCTAATTTGACAATTGCAGCCTTTTCTGCCCTTTTTTTTCTTCCCTAGCTCCAGCTTTTTTTCCTTTCGCTGCTGCCCAGATCCAGGGGGCATGCAGATCCACCTGGACGTGCCTGGCCCCACGCCAGAGTGTGGGAGACGGGCCAATCGCAGCGCGCGCGATGGCAGTTTATTGCAGCAGACCGCCTGGAGAATGGCAAATAAGCGGGCTTCGTATTCGGATCTGTGATAAAGACGTGCGCGAGGTGGCCACAACGGGCTACCGCCAACGCCTCTGCTGCGACTATCCAGTGCACGCCATTGTGGGCGAATGCGAATACGTCTCTTTTATAGTGAAAATGACAACACCGCCATGAACATACGGTAGCATTAGGTAGAGACGTGGTTGTTCCATGCTTTGAAATACGTGCATGACATCTCCCCGTATAGGTAGCGACGCAGCTTCGGATGGCCGTCGCTGGTACTTTGCATCGAGCAGCTTTACGCTATGCCTACTTGATGAGATGAGGAACAGAGAATGGAAATGATGGAGAAGAAGTGGTCTGATGCCACCTCAGAAACCTCCACAGCATCGAACAATATGCAAATCTACCAGTGGCCAGCATCGCAGACCCAGATGTGAGATGCATTAGCACAAGCCATACACTGCACGCATCGACTGTTTAGGGAGTTGGAAACATTTCAGAAACAATCCTAATCTTGATAATATTGAATGGAGCATTGTCCAGAATAAAAGTGAGTACTACTTGTAGTAGCTGCCAAGACCTAAACTCATCGCAATAGCGAGTGCCCGAAATGCAGACCCAGCTCCAGCTAAATCTAAGTCATCATCTGCTAGATCCAGATAGATACACTGAATAGATGCATATCTGCGCACATGACAACGACGACAAAATGAAAATATTGAGGAAGTGAGGGGGTGAAGCAGAAGAAGGAAACTCCATCAAACAAAACAAACGCAAAGCAAACGCTCCCAGCCTATAGCATTCCATCCGCAATCTGTGAAGCCAACTCATGCCCAGGCCCTTTGTCAAACGCCCGTATCCTATCCGCCGTCCGTTGTGAAAAGCCAACTGCTGAACTAAAACTATCGTGTATGTGGTATCTGTATGCTGACTGACATAGTGGTCCCAAATTTCCGAGGTATCTCTGTATCTCTGAGGGTCGTTATCAAAATAGCAAAACTACAAAGAATGGCTGTCGATTGTCGCCATTCACGCTTGGGCGACAATGCTTCGTCCGACATCGCCCCATCTGAATCGTCTTAAACCTCCGCCTGATGAGCGAAGAACGTCGCGGCCGGAGGATGCAGTTTCATTGACGCTGCTGACACTGGCAGTCAGGCCCTCCTGGCGGCCTACCTCGCGCCCAATAACGTAACCGGCTCCAAAGCCAACTACGGATACGAGCACGACGACTCCAGCACTGACGACCCAAGTGAGAAGGGTTGGAGAAATAAACGTCTCTTCTGAAACAGCGGTGGCAGCTGCCGTCCTCTTTTTCTTAGTCGCCCGAGGGTTTCGGCCTGTTGATACAGCCCGTTTGGCTTTGTCAGAAGACGAACGAGTCTGCGAGCTTGACCTGGCAGGAGAGGACTGTCCACATTTGTTGACTGGGGTCGCCGCCGCTGCCCGAGGTTTCTCAGACTCTTCCTCCAACTCCTGTTCTGGGACAAACCGGAGCTCCATAGGCTGGCTGCTGGGACCAACTCCTGTTTGTGCAGCCCGCTGCGCCTCGGTTTCCTCCTTGCTCTTGGGCAGACCCCTAGCTGCTGCAGCGCATGACAGGAGAGTGGTCAAAGACGCACGGAGAGCCGCGTCGTTATCTTCCCGAACCGACGGCGACATAAAGCTGGGTCCACGTTGCACTCTCGTATGCGAGCGCTGAGAGAAGGACGGACGGGTAAAGTCTCTGTGAGGATGCGGGGACATGGCTGCATTAGACGAGTAGCTTCGCTGGTGTGACGGAGGATGCGAGAATGCGTTTGGCTGCGGTCGAAAGACGGGTTGGTTATGTGCTTGGCCCAACGCCGTGCCCGCGTCTCCGTCAGACTCGCCGTCAGAGTCCTCCATATCCTCCTCCGGTGACGGCTGCATATTCTCTGTCGAGCTGGAGAGTACATGATCTTCCTCGCTGTCGCTTTCGTCGTATTCATCTTGGCTGCCTGTGCCCGTAACGGGGATGGTTGTCTGTATACGCGGCACCGATCTCGCGGGAGCCTGCACTCGTCGGCGGCGGTTGTAAGAGCTCCCGACGCGCAGTCCAGTTGTCACGATTTCGTCGCCGATGCTGGAGAGCGACGAGGACGATGGCTGAGAAGCGACTTCGACCCAGGATTCGGTGTTTTCTACTGCTGTTAGCGGAGGTGGACTGTGACAGTCGCAGTATGTCACTGGCGAAGACGAACCGTCGTAGCGGCGCTGGTGAGCATTCGAGTTCGCGAGCACGTTTGGCATGCTGGCGGATCGCTGCGAGCTGGGTCCCGCTTGCTCATCAGCGCGAAGCTGCTGGGCCATGATTTTTTTTTTTTATATTCTATATTTTTGTTGTTTTGTAAGTGAAAACGGAGTTACGAGCCCCAGAACACTGGGCGACGATTGGCGATAGATGCTATTCCCTGTAAGTCCGCAACTCCCTATCGGTGACCGTGACGGCAACGCCCCACCCGATCGCAAATCGGTCTCCCAGGCAGGTCGCGCGCTCAAGCACTCTCGATCGCGGCGCTGCTATAAATAATGTATGTCGGTGGACGGCAAACCAGTAGACAGACAAGTAGAAAGATGAGGCAAGCCCTCGCCAGGATGGACAAAGGAAAAAAAAGGAGAGAAAATGAGCCAGAGTCGGAGATAGAGTACAGAAGCGTTCTGTTGAGAGACGCTAGGGTAAAGACAGCATGACGATAAAACGACAGCAGCGGGTGCTTGTCAGTTGCTCGCGCTCCCTGTGGTGCGTGCTGGTGCTGGTACTGGTACTTTTGTCGCCTTGTCAGGCCCGGCAGGGACAGTGCGTGGATCCGTCACGCGCGCTGGGCCAATTGCGTCAACTGCCGCAGAATCTGGGGAACGAGACTTGCTGGGAGCGGCGGCATGGACAGCATGGAGTCATTCGCAGGGGCAGACAAAGCCGGGTGAGACAATGCTGGCAAATAAAGGCGAGCAGTTCAGCAGTAGTACAATGTGAACACTTTTCGTTATTTTCTCTATTTCCTATTCTTTTGGCGGAACCAACTCTTTGTATTTCTGTCGCATAAGGAGCGCTTGAGGACCCAAGTTGAAAAGACCAGGGCTTGAACAGGCAAAACACATGAGGCGATGTACATACACCGCACAAACTGGCGATGAAGCGGACTCGGTAGGTAGACTGCTGAAGGGGCAAATCACGCAGAGTACATACATTTTATGTAAACCGAGCCAATCATCAGAAGCAGACAAAACACAATAATCCCTTGCAGCGAGCGTTCGCCTATTAGGCCACAACGATTCGGTCATCAATGACTCGGCAAATCCCAACACTTTGAAACCACATGCTGCGTGATGGCTGCTTACTCGTCGCAGCAGAACAGAACATACGAGCAATACATGCCACTCAGACACTTCGGCAGGCACAGTGCATCAACCTCTCGCCATCAAATGGGCATCACTCGCGGGCGGTGTGCATGATCTCCCTCCAAGTACAAGTACAAGTACAAGTACCAGCCTAGCAAACCACCCGTCTTAGTAGGTGACGCGGAAGACACATCCCATATCTGATTCAATAAACCTACAAGGCAAGAAATGCAAGCCACCGGTAAGCCCCAGCCCAGCCCCCCCAAAGGCCGGGTCATGAGCACAACGGCGGGGCTTAGCCTAAAGCAGCTTCTCGCCAGGCCGCATGAGCAGCGAGAAGACGTAATGGATGCATCTCCTTGCATTAATAAAGCGTTGTTATTTGCTGCCACTGAATCTTTTTTTTTTTTTTTTTTTTGGCAATGGCTTGACTCTTTGTAGCTGGGCAGTTTCCATTTTGCTCTCTTTCCGGGCTGTCAAAGTGACTTTTTATCTCCGCGACCTTTTCGTATCGCTGTGGCATGACGGATGCGGTCTCTACGCTGCGTCTGCCTACAGAATAGGCAACTTTATTCCTTACTAAGCCCTACGCCTTGCAGGCACAACGAAGAGGCTACCTTTCTCGCAAATATATCAGTAGATGCTTTGGTTGCAGAAGTAAGTCAGTATATCAGTAGTAATATCCAGCACTCTGTATTCCTTGCATCTCGCTCCAGCACAGCACAGCACAGTCAGACTGCAGAACAGAGCAGGACAGCTGCCAGAGTCCATCCCGTCTGCAAACAGCCCACCGTATGTACATGCAGCAGTAGCCCTTATGCGCAATGAAATCTATCCAATCACTCTGGGGAAAAACACGGCAGATAGCAAACAGCGGCAGCGCACGTGTGTATGTGTGGCAATGCGATAAAAGCAAGGGATGTAATAAATGGGCGTACCGCACGTCACACGGCTGACCGGATTTAGCTCAGCCTTGCCGCATCGACGTGATAGGTCATCTGAGAGCTCGACAAGCACCAATCATTGCTTGCGCAGATAGACTAGAGCCATCCGTTTACAGTCACTTGAAATCGTGCAGACTGACCAAGAACCAAGAAGCACAAATATTCACCAAAGAGCGCGTTTGCAAGATTCAACTAATGTAGACAAGTGTATTATTTTTACTCGTAGTCTATTATGCTGGAAAAAAGAATTATGTCTGGCAAAACGATATAATAAAAAAAAACTTTTCCCTAGCAACGCCTATTTTTACAATCCTATGCAAAGGTCATGGGCGGAGACTTACCAAGTCTCTTGGAGCAAGATTTACGATCGGTTGTACGTCCGGGAGGTTACTTTCGAAATGAGTTAAGCAAAAGGTACAAGCCCTCAAGTGCAGCCCACGTATCAAGTATCTGCATTCTGTATGCAAAGCCCCCAGGTCCCTCAGAAGTAATTCGCAGCCATCAAAGTTGGTCTTCGCTTTTATCAAACGAAATGAACCGAGATCAGCCCTCAAACCCCTCAGAAGCCCACTGGTGTGTACAAGGCGCTGACAATAAGAATCGCCAACGCCGCCGACGCCGAAAAAAAGCCCATCTATGCCATCTTTACCAAGCCTCTATGAGAAGCAAGGCAACGAGCCCTCAGATTACAAAGTAGAGAATCCCCCAGCATTGATCTGCGCTCTTTATTTAAGAGCTTTCCCAAAGCCCACTAAATCCCAAAAAGAAAAGCCAAACGTAAATTGCATCATAACCCGCAAATGCCCATATCCCACGATTATATATAGACAGTAGATACTAGATCAAACCATCTTAGTCGAAGGAGATCTTGGTGCCAGAGAAGCCAGGCTTGGTGCGGTTAACGGCGCTGAAGTTACCGCCGCGGCCACCACCGCGACCACCACCTCGGCCGCCAAAGCCGCCACGACCACCTCCACGGCCACCACCACGGCCACCGAAGCCGCCGCGTCCACCACCAGCGCCGCCCTGGGGACGGGGGCTGGAGTAGTCAAGTCGCAGAGAGCGAGCGAATCTGCCGTTGCCGATGGAAGCACCGGTCTTGGCGTTGTAAGCCTCTCTGGCGTCATCAATGGAGCCAAAGGTAACATAGCCGAAGCCCTTCAGGTTTCCACTCTCACTAAAAAATGTGTTAGCATTGTAAAGCAGCGAGTTCAATACAAGATAAGATAACTTACGGGTCGGTAGGCAGTCTAACGCTGACAACGGGGCGAACCTCGTTGAAGAACTCAGTGACGGTGTCCTGGTCAATATCGAAAGGCAGGTTGCCGACGAAGAGGGTATCGCTCTCAGGGCTGACGGTGTCACCGTGCTTCTTGGCGCGGTCAGCAGCGCGGGCCTGAGGAGTGGCATCATCAGAGCGGGCGTTGGCATAGTCAAGGTTGATAGCACGGCCACCAACATCCTGACCCTGCATGGCCTCGTAAGCCTTGGAAGCAGACTCAGCATCCTTGAAGTCGACATAACCGAAACCACGGCTGCGGCCAGTAGCCTTCTCAGTCACGACACGAGCACCAACAAGGCCGTCGAAGGACTCGAAAGCCTGGTACAGGGCATCGTCATCGATGCTCCAAGCCAAGCTGCCAGCGAAGAGGGTGGAAGCAGCGTTGCTGTCGACCTTGGTCTTCTTGGCAGAGGTATCAATCTCGTCGTCAGCCTTGCGCTTCTTGGAAGCGGAGGCATCCTTCTCCTCCTCCTCATCGGAAGAAGAATCATCGCTGTCCTCCTCAGAGTCATCGCTAGAGTCAGACTTGGACTTCTAAGAAAGAAAAAAGTTAGTTAAATTTTTTTTTTTTTTTTTCAATAAAGTGAATAGTCCTGGAAAACTAACCTTAGCAGCAGGCTTCTCCTCATCAGAGTCAGACTCAGACTCAGACTCAGAGTCGGAAGACTCAGCAGCCTTGGCCTTGCCGTTCACAGCAGGCTTCTTCTCCTCTTCCTCCTCATCAGACTCGGAGTCATCAGACTCGGACTCGGACTCAGACTCAGAAGACTCTTCCTTGGCGGCAGCCTTCTTGGCGTCCTTCTTGGGGGTCTTCTTGGGGGCCTCCTCCTCAGACTCAGACTCGCTCTCGCTGGCAGAAGAATCAGATTCCTCCTCAGACTCAGACTCAGACTCAGAAGAAGACTCGGGCTCGGCCTTCTTCTTGCTCTTCTTGGAGGGCTCCTCCTTGACGGCCTTCTTGGGAGTGGTGGCCTTGGCGGCAACAGGCTCAGCGGCCACAGCCTTCTTGGTGACCTTGGTGGACTTGGCCATTGTGAAGAATAGGGTGAATAGAGATGGAAGAAAGGACAAAGGTAATATAGGAAAGACAAAAGACGAGAATTTTTGTCTTTAGGTGTGGATGTAGAGAAAAAAAGAAAACACAGGAACTGGCAGCCTCGCAAGTTTTTAAAGCCTGGGTGGTTGGGGACTTCCCGCCTACTGCGCAGCTTTTTCAGATTTTTTTTTTTTCTTCTGTCCGGCAGAATAGTGGAATAGTGGGGTTGCCAAAAGCGGTGAGATAGATTGGCCCAGCTCGCCATGGGCTTCTCCACATACCGTATGCAGGCTGTGTGGCTAGAACTTGCTGCCTGAGGCTGCAGAAGCGAAAGAACTGAGAGGTAGGCTAGTCAACCATAGTGGACTGCCCTGGTAGGTCGGCATTCGAAGGCGCTCAAAAGCATCAGGAGATAGGTATTCGAGCTTCCGCCGCCTCAGCCCCCGACCATTTGGCCTTTGCCGACTCTGTACCTTTCAGCCCGTCGAATCTCAACCAGCTCGCCATCATGCCGACCCCCGAGTCCGAGCTCTTCAAGAGCCAGAAGCCCACGGTTCCCCCCACATTCAACGGCGTGGACTTTGACGACACCAAGGCTTTCAAGGCGGCCGAGGATGCCATTATTCGGGAACAATGGGTCGGTGCCATGATGACCCGTCTCGTCCAAGAGGAATTGGGCAAGTGCTACGTCCGCGAGGGAGTCAACCACCTGGAGAACTGCGGCCACTTGAGAGGTAAGCCGATGAAGCTCCAATGTGCACCGCACTGAAACGATTTGGGGGATCAAAGACTCATTGAACTGTGGATAGAAAAATACCTGCAATTGCTGGCAACGAACAAGGTCAAGGGAACCAAGTTTATTCAGCAAAACTACCTGGAGAAGAAGGACCAGGAGTTTGATTTGGAGCGCAAGGTGCACACGAGCGACAAGATTGCCAAGCTGAACCATGGACGATTCTCATGAGTCCAAAATGAAGCTATCTTTTAAAAACATATTTTACACATACACACAAATTTTTGTTTGAGCTATCAGACGGCCGAATTAACCGGCTGAGGCCTTGTCTGGGATGGAGCAGAGGCTATGGTTTAGAGGACTAGAGCCGTGCATGGTTTTGAGCGCAGCGGTTGGAACGCTCTGCCAGTGTATATATCAGGAAGCAACGGAATTACGTTAAAATGCAAAAGAAATTATAGAAAAAATGCCAGTAGTTTGTAATTACGCGCACAAAGTGCTGTTCAGTTGCAGTACTAGAGATGACGAGGCTGAGAGCAAGCAGAACTCTTGTAATCGATCCCATTGGTCACCCCACTACCTACCAGACCAAACGGCATAACCCAAAAATTCTCCAACCACCAATAGCAGAGCCTCGCCATCTCACCCAGAGCCGACCAACCTCGCAACCCTCACACATATAAAAAGCCATGTTCTGCACCCGGTGCCTGCGCGCAACGGTCGCGCGCCGCCAATTCTCCTTTTCACGGCAGTTCTCATCGTCCCTGCGATTCTACTCTACCGAGCCTCAGCTCTCGACCCCCACCACCGACGCCGGCGAAGCTGCAAAGCCGGCCGCCACTGCGCGATCCAGCTGCCCGGAAGGAACTGTACTCAATGGCCTGAACTACATCAAAGGCGGGCAGGACCCCGTCGCCAAGAAGGACGAGGACTATCCGGAGTGGCTGTGGTCTTGCTTGGATGTCATGAAGAAGGCCGACGCAGCGGATGACAATCTGGGCGACGAATTCTGTATGTTTGCCTCTCTACTCTCATTTCTCTCTTCCACACCTCTTTCAAAATCATAAATGGCCCGCAAAAACGCTGACTTTTTTGTCTCCCCTTGTAGCAAAATCCAAGAAACAACGAAAACTCGCGGCCAAGCGCCAAAAGGCCCTCGAAGCAAAGCTCCTCGCTGAAGGCAACCTCGAGGCCCTGGCGCCAAAGGTACCGCTGCAGCAGCAGTCTGTGAACTTGCCCGGCGAGCAGAACGGCAGCGTGTTGGACAACCTCGCCGCGGCGGAGAAGCGGGAGGAATTGAGGAAGGCTATGCGCAAGGAGAGAAGGGCCAAGATCAAGGAGTCTAACTACCTGAAGTCTATGTAAAAAAAAAATTGTGTAAGGTAGGGAAAGAGCAAAAAAGCGAGGGTTGGTTATAGACAACATTATCTGTACAATATATAACGAAAGATTTTTCAAGACAAGAGAATCTCAATACCTGTAATGTGATAAGAGTTTATCTTCTAGTAAGAAAGGCGCTGGCTGATACTCAAGCCTTACTTATAAAAGCATATATATTCGTTATTTCACTTTTGATGCTCAAGAATAACCGTAGAGGAATCGAAAATGAGAAAGGTTCTCTTTTGAATTAAAAGACAGAGCTCCCCCACCCTTCCCAAACCATTTACATTGCATATATCAATCTCTCTTCAATAGTCACAGGGTATACTATTTCCCCAAAGAAACAAATTCAAAAAGATATCATCTATTGGCCTAATTCAACACGCTCAAATCAAGCGGAACACTGCTCCCTCTACCTGCTCTATATCTCCTTACGCCTCCAACAAAATCCCTAGGCTTCGGGAAAACGCTTTCGTCCTTAAAGTGCCACCTCTTATCGTCGATGATGATTCGTCCACCGCCCTGGCTCATCGTTCGTGAGTGGTTCGTGGTCTTGGGCGAGAGGGCTGGTGAGCTTCCTCCATTCGCGGTCAGGGTAAATGAGCTCGGGTCGAGCATCGTATGGCGGAGTGAGGACCCTCTAGGTCGTGAAGTGGGAGGAGGAGGCCCATTGGAAGGCGGTGGGGCTGAAATCGGGGGTGCTGGCGGTGCTGGAGGAGGAGAAGGTGCTGCTCCGGGAGGGGCTGGAGGCGGCGGCGGCGGCTGAGCTCGGGGAGCTGATGATGGCGAGGGTAACGGAGGCGCTACTGAAGGCGGAGGAGGTGGTGGTGCTCCGGGCAGTACAGGAGCGGATGTTGCTGGAGGAGGCGGCGGTGGAGGAGGTGCCGCAAAGGGTGCCGGTGCTGAGAATGCCGGTGGCGGCGGAGGAGCTGAAGGAGCTGAAGGAACTGGAGCAGCCGAAGCGGGAGCTGGTGGAGGAGGAGCCGGAGGCGGCGTGACTCTGGAGGGCTTTCGAGAAGTTGGTAGCGGCGGTGGCTTCTTGCCAACCGGAGGCGGCGGTCCCTTTGTCTTCTTCAAGCCTGCTGCCGCTCCTGGAGGCGGAATTGGAGGTCCTCGCCCTGGAATAATGGGAATAGCTGGTGCAGATGGTGCAGCATCAGCCGGCGGTTTCAGCGCGGCAAAGGTCGGTACATGGGGCGCAGAATGAGATGGCGCCTTCTCCGAATCCGAGTAGGAGGGCGCTGAGCCAGCTCCCGTATCGATATTTCCTCCTCGCTTCTTTAGCTTCGGTATGCCGCCAGCAAACAGGCCTCCCAGCTGCGGTGCCGAGTCGACTGGGCGTACATCTTGGTGTGCGGCGTTGTGATCGCTGTTGCTTCGGGCTCGATTTGCTGAAGGAACAGGCGGCGCGAGAGCAAGGCCGGGGACTGGAGGGGCGCCACCTATGGCAGGGCCACCTGATGACCCTGATGCCTTGCCAACAACCGGGGCAGAGCGATCGTTGGTGACGGCCTTTTTTAGGGATTTTCCCTTGTGGATATCGGCAAGGAGAGCATTCTATGAGCAGAGTCAGCCGGCAAGTTTCACTCAAAAGGCTTGGTTGGCGAGAGCACGCACTCGACCTCCTGAACTTGGCGGTGGACGGCCGGGCAAACCACCGGGAGCTCCTCCTGGAGGCGGCGGCGGAGGAGGGGGAGGAACTCCTCCAGCTCCGGGCAATGGAGGAGGCGGCGGAGGCGGAGGAGGCGGCATGGCAGGATACGGGCGAGAGTCTCGCGAGGTGGTTGAGGTGTCGGGGTCTTTGCTGCGCTGAGGCTTGGGTGGAGGTGCAGATAAGCGTCTGTTCTAGTGCAGGGTCGCAGGCTCCGCGGGATGTCGACGCTGCAGCTGCGTCTGCGTCCCTAAATACGGGTATCTGGGGAGCGTCGCGCGCGAATTGTAGAGTTTGGGCGATGACGAGGATGTCGACGTGGGCATGCCAGAGGCAAAGGGTCGTCGCTGGCGTTTCGTCATCAGGCTTACGAGCCCGGCGCAGAGTCGAGGAGAGAGGGCCAGTCCAGCCAAGGCCCCACTCTTTTGGCAAGGCCCTCACAGCTGGAGCCTGTTCTATGTATAGATGGGTATTAGAAGAGTCAAGTGGTCAAGAGTAGAAACGGGGGTTTTGGCTTGTGGAAAGCGAAATAGTACGGAGACTGGGTATCTTGGATGCTCTTTGTTTGCTTTGAAAATTGATTATGCATATGACTGCAGTCACACAAGGCGCTGTTGGGTACCTGTACCTGCCTCCCGTCTGCTCGCATGTACCAGAATATGTCACTTTTCCTCTGCCCGCCACGATGTGGAGCCAATCACAGCCTTGCAGGCAATGATTTTATGCCAAACTCCAAGCTCGCACCTTTTCCGCCTTGCCGCCTTGCCCTCGCATTTCCGCACAGCGACTTGGGTCCAGTCAAGCTGCGAAGTTGGATTTGCGACACGGCGATTCCATAAAGAACTTTGCGCCGTTTTCCATTCGCCATTGGCTACGCTTCAGCCCAGCCCCATCCCACCTCTCGAGGCTTTTACCTCTACATCGCATTTCCGTTCATCACCATGCGACGAGCGAATCCCCGGCAGGTTGGCTTTATATGCCAGTCCTGTGCTTCATTGCCGGCCCAAGCATCAAGGCAACCTTTTCCAAGCCGCATTCTACTCTCCGCTCCCCGCCAAGTTGTTCAAAGCTCGGTCTGGAGATCAACACCGGCGAGATGGACCGCATCAGTGTCAGCCTCAAAGGCCGCTGCAGACGCCGAAACAGAAGCAGACGGGAAGGCAGGACCAGTAGCACAGCGGGCCGTGACGGACGCCTTGCAATTGGCGAATATGGCGGAGGATAGCGTCAACAAGTTCCTCTCCGTCGACGGCATCCCGGCGAAGCAACTTACAGCCGCTGCTCTGCAGTCATGTCTACGAGCGGCCGCTGCGCTTCATCCCCAATTGAAGCGGGCAGAGGCGCAATATAGGGCCTCAGCATCGAAACTCGTTTCTTTGGGAGCCGAGCGGACAGGCGCGAGGATACCCGTTGATGCCAAGCTGATGGAGGCGACTCTTCGAATCTCCCACGCGGCATATGCCATTATTGCAAGCCCGAATGTTGAGATGACACCGGAATTCCTGGAGCTCTATGTCGCCATTCAAGCACAACTCGGCCAGCCAGAGTCTCTGCCTGCTGTCTTTGAGATGTACGCACACAAGCCAAAGCCTGTTGTCAAGGATGGCCAAATTGCGTACGTGAAGCAGAATCCCAATGCGGCCGCCCGAGCTATAGAGCCCGCAATCGCAGATATGGCTCTGCAGACTGCAATTGATGCCAAGAGTCTAGATTCAGCTCTTGGAGTCATTGAGTCTTCATACTCCCTTCCTGCTTTTAAGCGCCAGAAGTTGATCAAGCACGGCACGGCACCTGCGCTCGGTCTCGTCACCCTTCCGTTTGGCATCTTTGGTCTATCAACGGCCTATGCCGCCTACTGGCAAAACACCATGGACATCAGCACTGCTACGGGGATTGGCTTTGCCGGTATCTCGGGCTACTTCCTTGTAGTTGGCTCTCTCGGTATGATTGCCAAGCTGAGCAACAAGGACCAGATGAAGAGAGTTACATGGACACCGGGAACGCCGCTACGGTATCGATGGCTAAGGGAGGAGGAGAGAGCCGCTCTGGATAAGGTGGCATGTGCATGGGGCTTCAAGGAGCCTTGGAGACACGGCGAGGAGATGGGTCCTGAGTGGGAGGGCCTCAAGGAGTACATGGGATATAGGCAGATGCTGCTTGACAGAGTCGAGTTTATGGAGGGCATGAGCTGATGGCGTTGTAGACTACCCTATAAAAGAAGCTGTAATATAAATCCTACTCGAAGATTTGAATGAATGGCTGCTAAGACTTGTCTTTTAATAACGTTTGCGTATAATTGCATGGAGCATCGCCGGAACGAATTGAGCCGCCTTCTAACGTAGTAGGTAGCCATCTCTCCAGAGAACACACTTCATGCAGTAACAATCAAATCAACAAAGTCATGATGGTTTACATTGTCAGCAGAGTATAGAACTTTACTCGTCAGAAACTTTCAGCCTCACAGTCTGACCTGAAGCATCAATATCCCAGACACCAGACCTGCCGAGTTCCGAAAATATCACCGTGCTCGCGTCCTAACCCGCAGCGTATCCGAATAGTCCAAAACTGTCAGCAGGGTCGAATCCTAGGCCGAACAGATGTCATCGACTAGTGCATGAATCATGCCCCATGTATGTATGTTGTTTATCTGACTGGGAGTAGTAATGAGGCACTAGGTAGCCACCGGCATGGCATATCATGCCACTGATGTAAATGGAGAAGAGACGCAGTCTTGACATGGCGATTGATAGTACTACTAGTACCAGATTGCATTATGCGGCAGCATCCCAGTTCCTCGTTTACGAAGGATTACCCTAATGAATGAACAACGGCCATGTCAAGACAAGTCTGGCGCTTCAGGCACTTTTTGCTAGCAGTAGTAGGTACTAGGTAGGTAGTCCTGTAGTACGAAACACAAGCGCCCACGAAGAAAAAAGAAAAAAGCGCCGCATAACAAACACCGGTCGTTTTGCTCCGTCTTCCTCTTTTCTTTTCTTTTTTTGTAGCATCTACATCACTCTCTACGCGCATTTACATAGATACTAGGTTCACGCAGATATACTAATTGCCCCGGCTTACATCCAAGTACCTGTCCATGCACCCCTTGGGCCTAGTCTTCTTCTAGTTCTACTAACACTTCCTTGACATGTACAGATTTGGGGGCCGTTTTGCAGTCGTCATGGTAGATTTTGACCCAAGATCCAGCATCTTGATTACGAATGGGGTAATCTGGGCAGATGCTACGCTGGATCTGCTTGTTGGGTTGCTGGTGCTTGCAGCACAAATCACGGGGCATTAACCACCGCTCACCTGTTTGTTTCGTATCTCTTCTTTCTTTCCGTCTTTTCCGCTTTGGCCGGCAAACTTGGTCTCTCATCTTTATGACTCGTCCTTTTCTTTTCTTTTTTTCTTTCTTTGCATGCCTGAAAGGAACAGGGGCTTGGTCTCCAATCTTACCTACCGTTGCTCCTTGCACGTACATTAAAGCAACGACTTACTCCAATAAAGCGCCTGTTTTATGGTCACATCTCATAGCAGGTATTTGTATTGTAATAGTAATCCATGCCTTATATACAACCGACTAGGTATTATCCATCTAGTCGTTCACAATCATCATCATCCTAGCAAACGGCAGCTTTTCGCATTACTTGTATAATATTAAGCGACGCCTTAACTCCCCGCTCAGAACTCTACGCGTAACCAAAAAGGGGGTATAACAAAAACGGTCTTTCCCGATCGTTTTCTGCACACCATTCCAGCATTCTAGTAAAGCTCGCCATTACGGGGCCAATTAGTACACCGAAAGGCACACACAAAAAAAGACAACCCTGGTCAAACTCGTGGAAACACACAAAATATTACAGGTGATAAAAAAGGGGGGGGAGGGAGCCACGAGACGAGCATGGCCCGGCCCACGCCGGATTAGCGCTCTTTTCTTCGTCTCCTCTCTTCATCTCTTTTCCTCTTTCCCTTTTGTTTCCCTTGTTCCCGTTCTGGTAGAGTGGAGAGAGAGGATACGGCGAAGCGAAAGCGTGGGACTCTGTGGACTTTGTGGTGCCATTGTAGTAGGTAGTTGTCGCGGATACATACCCGTGTGGATTATGGCCTGTCAGTTTTCTGTGTGAGCCGTCATTATTAATTTGTCTGCCGAGAACTAGAACAGAAATGCTATCGTGAAGAAGAAGAAGAGAAAAAAAAAAAAAAGACTACTAGCACCATGCGCCTGCTGAATGGCTAAATTCAAGAGCGTCATACCCATGCGTATTTCTTTCTTTTTCTGTCCTTCATCCTCTTCTACAAGGATCTGTTAGTTCCCAGTCCACCGAGTCTGCATGGGTCGGGACAATGAACCCCTGGCATCAAGGTGCAATGTCTGCATAACGCTAGATCCAGCTGGGCATGAAGAAAGGGAAGGTTCTGGACTGCAAGGACTCTCTATATTGGCACCTAATGCCTGCTATGGGTTTGTCAAGGATTAGTGACAGTTGTAAAAGGCAAAGGAATTGATAAGTGATAGAAGCTTGAATCATGTAGTAATTGGTATCTCTTGATAGACAAAAAAAAAAAAAAGAAAAGAAAAGAAAATAGGCTTAGGTGTATGTACAGTAAAGGCCTGGTTCCCATGGCGTCGTAAATCGTCTTCAACTTTTCGAGACGAGAAAAATTGATACCACTGCGGTATATACAAAGGAAAACAAAATAGAAGTAGATGAAGGAAGAAAATTTTATAGAGGGACAGTTGTGAAGAGAACCAGCCCCTACCTAATAATCATGAAAACAGTCCTCTAAAATAGCCAAAAATAATATCAGAAAACTGGCAACTTTTCCCCGTTGTTTTTCTTTTCTTTTAATGAGCAAATACTCCATTACCGCCAAATCATCGTAGCAGGTTTCTAATTTTTGTATGGCCCGCTTTCATATGAAACTTCGTATTTCGTAGTCTTCCGGATGGCTCCATCCTGGTCGTCCGACGAGCCGTGTCTTTGTACAGACGTGAGGATAAACTCTTCACTCGCATCGTCGCTCTGGTGAGCAGCCACGCTGCGGCTGATGGTATCTCCGCCTGGTCCGGAATAAGGTTTCCAGCTTTGGCGGCGTGAGGGTGAACTGGAGCGCTCATATCCGTATTTGTTGCGGCTCTCTGATCCCAGACCGCCAGATGCTCCCGTAGAGCCCTTGGAAGCATTGTTGCTGCCAAAGGTCTGGGGGAAGAGAAAGGCTAGGACGATACGGCACATGGGCAAACAGGCACAGATAATAGCGACATTTTCTTCGATGATGGTCCACAGGGTCGAAGCGATGTCGACTAGACAGCCTGTTAGTATAAATGAATTCTCAAGAAAAGGGGGGAAAGTATCTCACAGGTCGTATCAGGGCTGGTTGTCGAGAAGTTGAGGGTAGTGGCACGCATGATAGATGTCACAGTAACACTAGAGTTGTTAGTTACGTATCCTAGAACAAATTAAGGCATTTCTCTCAACAAAGGTAAAACTCACAAACTACCAAGAGCAAAGACAAACATCAAGGCCCTCTTTTGGCTAAGGGGCAGTTTGCTCGCCCAAATGGGCTGCATTGGGAGCAACAAGATCAAGACATCGGTGGCGATTGAGTAGCCGGCGTTGGCGTACCAGTTTTGAGTCAGACTGACACATGTAGGATGGGTGGACTTGTCCCAAGCTCCACTAATCGGGTTGCACTGGAAGATGGACACAATTGTGCTAGCAATAGCATATGCCGTGACGATGCCCAGGAGGATGTAGCAGCAGATGCGGAACCACCTCTGGACAAAGATTCGCAGATACAAGAGGACAATGGACATTTTAGTCAGGCCGATGGTGAGTTTGTAGAAGATTTGCGCAACGTAAAACCACTATTCAACAAAGCATCTGTGAGTTTTATTCCGTTGAATCTTGGGTCGAGGAGCCATACCTTGAGAGCAGCCAGCTTGTCTGGGACCGATAATGTCTTAATATGTTTGCCAAATCCGTAATTGCATGAAATCATCATGAATATTTGCACCAACAGAGTACAAAACTAGTGGTTCCTACATGTTAGTTCACAATCCAAAGTACAAGTATCCTGCCAGAGGATAAGGAAATGGTTGAAGCCATACAAAGGACACTAAAACAGTGTAATCGTCCCATCCCAACCCTGTTCTTCTTGAGATACGATTCCAGAATCTAATGGCGACGAAGATTGGTGTCACGGCGAAGAAGACGATACTCGGAATGCGAACGAGGCCGGCATGGCTGGCAGCCGCCTCGTCTGGAGACATAAGACCAGGCATGATCTCGGGTCTGTTGGTTGTGTATGATCGAAGTGTCCCCGGCAGTTGGCAGAATGAGAACGGCACAAAAGCCGGAAGGATGAAGGAAATAGATTATCGGAGGGGGAAGGGGAACATGGGGACAGCCTTCCCTATAACTGGTTTCCCCAGGGCGGCCGAGTGGGTTCACGATTTACTAAATAGGCAGAGGCGAGAGGCAGAAGATGGAGAGAGAGGAAGAGAAACAGAAACGCAGCACGATTCTGTGCATAGGTACTAAGAAGTACTAGGTAGGCATGCATCATACAGAAAAGCCAGCTAACGGGAACGACCGAGGGCATCCGATACGGGCCAGGACACAGGCGTTAGCCTTGCACAGAAGCTACGGCGAACAGAGTTTGGCTCTCGCGTCTAAGAGGCAGACGTGCATGGCCGAAATGAAGTGCAGCTTGGATGGCTAGCTAGGCGGTTTCATCAGCAGCGCCGAGGAAAAGAGTGGGCTGCGATCACACCAGCAAGGGCCCTGCCAGAGGGCCGCCATAATGGCCCTGCCTCCCCTCTCTGGTGCGTGGTCCCGGGCAGAATGGAGAGCGAGAGAGAAGTGAACGTCGGGCGAGTCATCTCCATGTGCTGCAAGGGCAGTGCGTGAGTGAACAGAGCAGAGCATGGCCTTGACGGTGGTCTAGAACGGAAGTGGAATGAGGACGAGGGTGAAGACCCGGGCACGAGGAGAATATTGGCAGTACAAGCAAGTACTTGCATCTAGCACTGTATCTGCTGCTACAGTAGCGGTAGTAATTGTCCGCATAGAGCAGACATGTCATTCGCAAATTTGCAGCTTGGCGCTGAGTCTATCCTGGCTCCGGACTGCATATTAGCCGGTTGTCTGCTTGTCTGATAGTACTACAAGTATGCTTGATGCCGTTTCCAGCTAACAAGGCAAATCCTTCGACAGAACAGAAAGGCAAAATAAGGTAAAGTAAAGTACGGAGTAAAGTAAAGTAAAATAAAATACGAGAGGCCATTTTTTGCAGACTAGACCAGGGGCCACACGGAAAGCCAGCGCTTCTCCCCGGTGGCATCAGTTTCTGCTTGCCCAGCCAAGATTATGTCTGTCTGGTGGATAAAACAGCACTGGAAGCGCCACCACCCGAGAGGGCCGAATAAAGGCATCAAAGAGGGCCAGGCTGGAAGCGGGTTAGCGCTGCGCTGCCGACGGGCTGGGATGGAGAATCAGGAAAGCGCTTCCAGTGGCTTGAGTGGAGACTTGCAGAGAAAAAAAAAGGTCCCTTGTCGATTGCTTCATTCAGCGCAGACTTGAGACGGCTACTAAGCGCAGTAGGAGGTACTTTTCTTTTTCTCTCGACAGCCTGTGTTACATGGCATGACGCTACGGAAAGCGTCTTCATGTTGATTGCAAGCAAAGTGGATAGAAAGGATTCAAAAAGGATTTTAGCCGTGGATACAATCTCTTTTCTTTTCTTTTCTTCTTTCCCGAGAACACTCGTTCGGGTATACGAGGTGGACATTGGCATTGTGCAATAACGGATATTGGTTCCGTTTGTGTCTCAGGGCAGTTCACGGCTAGGGTATTATACATATATATATATATATATATGTATAAGAGCTAATTTGGCAAAAGAGCATAGGTATAACCGAAACATGGAGCGCAATACGACAGGGCCTGTACGCACATGGCACGGCATGGGGGAGGCTGTGCATCTTAACCATCCTACAGAAAAGATGGGGACCAACATCTGCGATCGCCACGAGTTGGATGCGTGCGGCAATACTGAAATGCTACTATAAATTCGGACAATAGGCATCCCTCGTCTTATTTCATGCAGTGAATGTTAATACTATGTTGGTTGCGCCTGTCGAATCCTGTGTCTACATACCAATCGGTTCCTGACATGCGCCGATCTGTCGTCGGAAACGGGCAAGATCCGCGCGATGGGCATGCCGTGCATCCACCATCTCTCCAAAGGACCGAAAAAGAAAGAAAGAAACAAAACAAAAAAAAAAAACAATATAAGCACAACTCACAAAAATAATATGTGGCTTCAGCCTCTTTTAACATTTTGTGTGGCTTTTCGAATCATCAATTGCTATTGTTTTTTGGCTCCAGGCTAACCGCCTCTTAGCCCACAGCCGGTGGCTTCAGTTGATCGAATAAAAGCTGGCTGGGCGGGAGAGCCGTCAGCGATCTCCCGTGGATCACAGATCTCTCTCGAGTCAGTTTTAAGTTTATGCTCTACTTCTCTAATTCACAGCACCTGGAAAACAATTCATGTTGCAGCAGCAGAAGACGAGTTATCGCAGCCTTTCAGCCAGTTCATTACCAAAGGAAATGCTCATGCTAGTATTCCATATTTTTTCCTCTTCTTCTCCCACTGTACGGCAGGATGCACAAATACGTGTATTCGTAAGCACTGACGAGCCGTGTCAAAGCGTCCCAGTATGTAGCTGAAGGTACTTTGGTAGCCCACCGGGCCCTCTTAGTGCTTGTCCATTACACGGAGTACCCAAGTGGTACTAGCACCACGTTACTAAGATGCCGCCCAGGGCCTCCCGGACGCCAGCCCCTCACGCTTGAACGCTAAAAGAGGGTCAGAGACATGTCGCCAATCTTAAACCCTGCTTCAACGTCGTCTCTTGCTGGTATGAGCCCAGCGCTGGGCCCTGCAAGTGTCTCCGGTCACTGGATTGGGTAAGCAAGGCCGTAAGCACCAGAGCGCCAAGCGCATCCCGCTGGCCAAAAACTCGGTGCTTCTGGGAGCGAGAGCGAGCCCCGGAAGGGCGCCGAACGAGAGGGGGAGAGACACGAGACGAGAGATGACTTGCTCTTGTCCAAGGCGATGATACAGTACGACCTTTTGTCGGCACAGGACTTGTGCAGATGCGTGTCATGCATGGATCCAACGCTGATCCTTCTGGGGAAGCGGCGACAAGCAATCGATCGACACTCGATTTGTACGAGAGTCAGAAAAAGATATAAGCTTGTTGCTCAACCACGCTCTGTCTCACTCGCTCGCCCTATCTGCTGCTACTAGTGCAACCAACGACAATGGCCATGCTCCATCAAGGCTTTCGGCCACATTTTCACCAACTCAGCGGGGAGCTTCCCCATTCTCGGAGCCGCTGTCCTTGTCAACGCCGTCACTCTGCTGACTACTTAAAGCTCATAATCTGAATAGAACAAAGGAAGGGAAGGGAAAAGAAAAGAAAAGAAAAGAAAAGGAAAGAAAAGAAAAGAAAAGGGAGTGGCAGCCAGTAGAGATCACAGTCTCATCAAGGCGTCAGGTCCATTGAAGCTGGCCCGTGGCGCTACGTCTATGGTGTGCCGTGAATGCCGCTGCTTTCAAAACCCCCTGTTCGTGACGAGTTTGCCGGCCCTGCCGCGGAATGCCTGTGGGCACTACTCCAACTCCGAGTCCGTCAAGTCCACTTCCGTCGCATGTTCAATTTTTTCCTGTAAAAGCCTCAACTGGACAAGCGCGGTAGCCAAACAAACTCGCATACACAGGCAGCATGTGTGCCTCTGCAACAACAATATATATACATATATATATATATATATAGGAAACGGCTCAAACAGCAGCGTGACATGCTGTCATTGAAAGGAATTCCAAGACCCATTGTGAGGCGAAAGTCTTCAAGTCGTCTTATTGGTGGCCAAAAAGAAAGAGACGCACGCCAACATGTTCTCGCCGCGAAATATGGCCCTGTACTGCTTTGCCTGTTGGGAGAGTGCTTAACCAGAGACTAGAAGCAATAGCTTGCTTTCATTCATCTGATTATCTAAAAGATCCAATTCCCATAGCATGACATTTCTCACATGGCCGCAAGCTGAAGCCTTCAAGAAGAGATGATGGACCCAGCGAGCTGGGAGCCTACAAGCGAGACCCAAAAAATATGCAGGAGTCCCCCATTCGCTCTCTTTCGATTCGGTGGCATGACCTACCGGAGGACGAGGGAAGGTCACTCAACTGAAGCCAAGGCGCTAGAAGGCGCAGAATACCAGCCTGCTTGATGTCTAGATGGGACACGAGGTGCTAGTCTCTTCAGCTCGTGCGGTGAGGACGGCAAACTCGGCCGGGAAACATAGCAAGGTAGGGAATAATAATGGGACGCAGCCTGCCTGATCTCTGAAAGGAGGCGATTCCATGCCCGGCAGAAGTGAAAGTAGGAGTGAGTCAGGACTCCATGGACATAATGGCAACAGGCAATGCCTACTTGTACGCCGTAAGGAGAATAATGAGATGAAAGAACCGGGATGGAAGATTCGACTCTATGCCCATTGTCGATATCCCTGGATCACTTGATTGGGCCTAACGAGGATCTATACCAGTTAGCCCTCGCTGAGCGAACCGCAAAGGGAAAAGTTCTAGCAGTAGTATGATGGAGAGACTGAAGGGGGAAAACGTGGTCGTGGTAATATCATCTGGATGGCTTGATATTCCCGGCCATGCCATGGTGGAGAGTGCTATGCTAGACATTAAACGGATTAAACAGATTACTGGCCGTACGTCATTGTATTGCTGGCGATGCATGCCCCCCGCGTAAAGCATTGACGTCTCATTGCCTTGTGTCTCGACGGGGTGCAAGCGACGCGGCACCGCCGCAGAGTCTGCATTGATATATGGCACTACTATTAGGTAGGTATGCTATATTAAATTCTCTCCCAACACTCTCGTGCGCTCGCTCTTATATGAAGCGAATGCCGTTGGCTCTGCCACGCTGCGGCACCGCCTCGTGCCGGACCCGGTGCCGAACGGGGGACACAGCGCAAATAGGAAAATTAACCGGCCATCCCTCTCGCAATGTGACTTCGTGCCTGCAATGGAAGCAGCGCGCGGCCAACTGCAGGTACCATTCCAGGTATCCCGATGGTACCTCGCACTAGAAGGAGACAAGCCCGGTGGCATTGGCTGCAGAGCTCGGCTGGCGCTGCCGTGGAGAAGGGGGCCTGATCAAATGCAGACAAGACTGCAGTGGTTCAATGCGCTAAAATGGGGTGGAAGCAGTCCCTACAGGGCTTGGCTTTCAGCTTTTCGGCCTAGGAAATATTATAATTGGAGATTATGAGTGCAGACCACCATGCTTTTTGGGGGGGAAAGAGATTGGGACGGGCGCCCGCTCAGAAAAATAGATTGAGCAATGACATATCTTTTGGCAGAATACCAGGTAAGTGCTCGCCTTAGTAATGCCTACTATACCTAGAGACTACTAAAGTCGCTGAAATTGGGCATTTGCAGCCGTTGAGCGTTGGAACTGTTGGTACTTGGCGGCAACCTGCAGAGTACCTCCTGCGGTGGATATGGCATGCCGACCTTGTACTTGCATGGGAAGCCTCATCGTCTGCCCAAATGCCCCGGTCCCGATTCCAACGAAGCTTTCTCCGCTTACCATGCGCAATCCATCGACAATTAATGCTCCCCTGGCCTAGAGCTGGCTGCAGCAGAAACTAAGCATGCTTCTTCGTCGTCTTCTTCTTCTTCTTAAATGCTTCTCTCCCACCCTCCTCCCATTCGTTTCTGCTTCCTCTCTCTCTGCTTGAGCCAGCCTCACTCCTCTCACTCCTCCTCCTCCTCCTCCTCCTCTTCTTCTTCGTACATCCTCACATCACCATGAAGTTCTCGACGCTCGCCTCGGGCCTCGTCTCGGCCGCCAGCCTTGCCTCCGCGCAGCTGCAGCTCGCTGCCAACGGCACCATCTCCAAGGGGCCCTTCCCCGCGGACCTCAACGGCTCCAACTTCACGTACCCCTGGCCGGTCAACGTCTTCAAGTTTGAGAGCCAGCAGCAAGAGCTCGAGATGGCCTTCATGGACGTCAAGCCCACCTGCGCGCCCAACGGCCAGACGGCCGTCGTGCTGCACGGCAAGAACTTCTGCGGCCCGACGTGGAACAGCACCATCATCGCCCTCGCCGGCGCGGGCTACCGCGTCATTGCGCCCGACCAGGTCGGCTTCTGCAAGAGCTCCAAGCCCGACAACTACCAGTTCAGCCTCAACCAGCTGGCCTTCAACACGCGCGGCCTGCTCAACACGCTGGGCATCGGCAACATCACCCTGGTCGGCCACTCGCTCGGCGGCATGCTCAGCACGCGCTTTGCGCTGCAGTACCCCGAGACCATCGACCGCCTGGTGCTGGTCGACCCCGTCGGCCTGGAGGACTACGTCGAGAAGGGCGTGCCCTACGTCTCCGTCGACTACAACATCGCCGCCGAGGCCGCCCAGACCTTCGACGCCATCAAGGCCTACGAGCAGGCCGTCTACTACGTCGGCCAGTGGGAGGACTCGTACACCATCTGGGTCACCATGCTGACAAACATCTACTATGGCTCCCGCCGCCAGCAGTTCATCAAGAACCAGGGCCGGATTGTCGACCTGGTGCTGACCTCGCCCGTGGCTCACTACTTTGGCGACGTTGTGTCCAAGACGCTGCTCATCGTCGGCGACCAGGACCATGTGGCCATTGGCTCCAACTGGGCCTCGCCCGAGGTCGCCGCCACGCTGGGACACTTCAACGTCCTGGGACCCCAGGTCTGCGGTGAGATTCCCGACTGCACGCTGTACCAGTTCCCTACGCTGGGCCATGCTCCTCTGATTTCGGCCCCGGCCAACTTTACAAAGGTTGTGCTTGACTGGCTGCAGGAGTAAGGAAAAGGGTGAGCGTGAGCGTGAGTTGAGTAGGGGAAAGTATGTAGAAAAGGGAAGGCGTTAATTCCATGTCCATTCCAATGCAATCTGTATATATAGTAGTATATCAATGAGTCTGATGACGATTTGTTGGGCTTTTTATTTTTATTTATTTTTTTCCTTTCTGCTTTCCTTTTATAATATTTATCCCTCTTGGCATAATTGATCATGAGAAAAGAAGGCCCCGACGGCGATATGAATGCATACTTATTATCTTATCACTATCTACGTCTCTTTTCAATATATAGGTATGTGCATAGAAGTATATATGTGTGTGTAAACGTTTGCATGTGGAATACGCTTCTAGGTATATGCACATGTATACATATAAGACAAGCACTTTTTTTCCCTAATTGGCCGTATTGAGGAATAACAATAGATACATTGTCTTATTATCATGTTAATTGAAATGTGCACTTTATTCTGACCCATCTTTGTAAATTCATCTGAACATCTCTTTCAAGTCAACACCGCCTCCTCTTTTATCTCACATACTTCAACTCCTGTTCACTTTCCATCACACTCATTTACAACTTCAACGGCCTCTCCTTCTTTATTTCTTTATTTCTTTATTTCTTCCCACCCCATCATGTCTTTATTCCTTCATCTGTACATACACACACACACACACACACATTTCCATTACTCAATTTATATCAAAAACCCACACATCAACACCACAAGGCAAACACATCACCATCACCATGACTTCTCTCTCCCTTCCCCCATCGCCCCTCTTCCAACTCACGCCCTTCTTCCTCCTCCTGCTCCTCTACGGCCTCTGCCCACAGCACTTCCCCCCCTCCACCGCAACAACCATGCTCTTCGTCCTCTACGCCATCCTCGCCCAGCTCGCCATCCACCGCGCCTCCACAATCTCCATCCTCCACAACGCCAGCATCATCCTCCTCAGCGCCGCCCACCTCGCAGTCGCCGCAATCTACACGCTCTACTACACCGCCCCGGCGGTCGTCCGCGCTCGAAACGCCCTCTTCGCCTACTTTGACAGAGTGCACCGGCAGATTCGCCTGCTGAAGAATTTGCTAAAGATTAGATATCGCGTCCCGACTCCGACTTGCTTGACGCTGCCGCTTGATATACTGCGCGAGGATGATGCCTTTGAAAAAACAGCCTCGGTATACTCACAAAATACAGTCTCTGCCTCTCAATGGCGTTGTAAAGAACTAAGCAGCTTTGTCCCTCCGCCGTTCGAAAGGCGCGGGTATCTGCCCTATCAGCCATATCCAATCGTCTGGTTCTTCCGCAACTTATTTTACTTCATGCGAGCTATTGTACTATGCGTTTATACCACGTTTCTATCAATATTCTTCACTGTAAAGTTCTTCCACGACACAACAGTCTCGTCTATCTGTTTCACAGGAGCCTGCTTCACCTTCGTTATCAAGCGCATTGTCAAGCCGTACTTCCGCTTACCATGGCACCTCGTAAAGTTCATTATTCGACAATTTCCAACTTTTACCTTCTTCGCTGTGCATCTCACTGTCACATTTATTGTATTGTCCTTTGGAGAGATGACTGCTCTGTGGACGTGTATATTTACGGAATTCTGGCTACTATCCCGGCTAGAGCGCTTATGATTTTTCAACAGCTGGCATGTTAGAGGAAATAAGAGGAAGGACAGGGCAGGAAAGGAAATCGACTATGTTGTTTCATATAAAATATAGGCAAGCTCATAAATTGACCGCGCCTTTAAGCTGTGCTAGATGCTGTCCCTTTTACCATTTATACTCATACATGATTTGATATCTTTGACAAAAAAAGAAGAGGAAAGAAAGAAAGAAAGAGAGAAAGAAAAAGAAGAGAAAAGAAGAGAAAAGAAGAAAAGAAGAAGAAAAGAAGAAGAAAAAATCCCAGCGCCAGATCCAGTACATAACCGCAATACCACTTAACTTGTAGTAATTCTTCTGACCCACAGCGTAGTTGGTTCGTATTCTGCATTTTTGTCTTGGCGCTTGTATGCCCTGTGCAACTTCAAGCCCAAGTCGTATTCTTCGTGCTGAATGTCCGCTAGCTCTTGTTTCAGCCCTTCTACTTTCTGCTTCTCGACCTCCCTCTTTCGAAGCACCTCTTCGCTGGCCATCAAATTATCTCGAGGCATCAGCTCCGTCATCTGTTGGATGCTCTTGTTGATGTTGAGCTTGCGGTGAGCCAATCCCGACAGAATAGCGTTTAGTTGCGCAATTCTGTCGTCACCTGATGCCAATTCTGGCGGCGCGGGAGGAAGTGGCTTGGTGATGGACATTATGGAATTTCGACGAGATGATTCCATATTACTGACGGCCCGGCCGTGGACAGGCCCATTGAGAGATACTTCGCTCGAGACCGCAATCTGGTTACCAGCGCCATATGGGCTAGGCATTTGCGTCCTTTGCTTAGGCATCGTTATTGTTTGACTGGCAGAAGGAACATTATGAATTTCCCGCTTCGACAATGGGCCCGGACGGGTCACGACAGGGACAGCAGACTTGGTAATTGTAGGCATTTGTTCTTCCGAAGGCTGCTGGGGAGTGCCCGCATTTGAAGTAGCGTAGGTGGTGACACTGAAACGCGAAGGGGGTTGCGTCCACGTTTCGCCGATATTGGTGCGCTGAGGCGCCGTTTCATAAAGTCCAGTAGTAGCGGCAGTAGCCGAGGCTCTCCGGGGGGGAGGATTTATGTAAGCCGGACTTGAACCTGATGGGTTAGAGGATGCTGCAGGCTCGACTTGATGGTTTTGCGCTGGTTTCCTCTTGATAATCCTCAACGCTGTAGGAGTCAACTCCGCAATGGAAGGTGACTGCGCACGAGCTGGTTCCAAAGATTGTGGTGTCGGGTACCTCTGATTGGGAGGCGGCGTGGGAAGAGCATTGATATCGTTGGTATTATGTGGCGTGAAACTGGACCCTGGCGTAGCTGTGTTCTGGGGCTTTTGCAACTGCGCCGAGGGGAGAAGGTCGCGGTCTGCTATTCCTTGCTGGTGCGGAGGTGATTCCAGCTCAGAGGACGACTGAATACGCGGCAGGGGAGCTGATATGTTTCGAGGGCCATTGTAAGTGCGGCTGATGCGTTTGCTGCTTCTTCGCGGAATATTAACGGGCGCGGTACCTGGACTGCCCCGCGTTGGCCGATCAGACAAATTCTCTGTCGGCGTTGATGCACCCTTGGTGAGAAATTTGAATCGTTGTGCAACTGAACTTTCGTTGACTGTAGGCAAGCGCATCTTGTTGCTCCGTGGCAAAGCGACGTGTTGCACTGGCGCATCTTCCAGACCTCTTGAGCTTTCAAACGAGGGGTTCATGGTCTCCGCAGCTGGGTGGTAGGGTCTGTATTGATGCGTTGGAATGGGCCTGTCAGTCATGTGCCGCGGCGTTGTGAAAGGCTGTTGTCTCTGGTTTCCTTTAAAAGGATTTTCTCGATGGTAGTCGGCGTCCTCATCATCGAGGGGAGACACGGGCGCACTATATGAGCAATGCTTTGTTAGTATGTACGCTTATTGAACCTGGCCAGGGCTGTTTGGAAACGCCAAACCCTCAGTGATCAATGAAGGCTCGGCGCCCCGGGATTGGCAACAACAGGTAAATCGTGAATATGAATACCGGTACGCAGCACTTACTCATACTTGAAAGCGCCGGTTTCTGGTGAGCTCGGAGGCGAGATTTGGTCAAGCGCCTGAGGGCGCCGCCTTGAATACATGGAAGCCAGCTCAAAGTTGGGGGCCGGGGATGAAGAGTATCCGTCGCCGTCACTGGTATAGTTGGATTCTGAATCGGTGACGATCTGAGGCTCGGGATTCGCTGGTGTAGCAAAGGACCAGGTCGAATCCTTTGAGCGTTGTCGCAAAAGTCGTCTGGGGTTCCGCGGCGGCGGCTCAAAGGCAGGGTGCGATAATGGCGCTGCGTAATCAGCGGGATCGTCTGTCGATATTCTAAGATTGGAGAAGAACGACGTCAGCCGCAGGTTCGCTTGATGGCTATTTCAAGCAAACGGCTAATACTAGCACTACGGATATCATAGCGCAATGAACAATGGCGGCAGGCAGTGCAGATAGTGCGGGAATAGCATCATGCGACCAAAACCAGCTTTTTAAGGGAAAATAAAATGCCCGATGCAGAAGAGCACGGCGCCTTGTTTTTCCTCTGTTCCTTGTTTGACGCGCATCTGCTGGAGGCTGTGCCCTCGACAAGCGGACCGGTATGTGCTTTGGGAGGGAGGGCAGATGATAAACATTGGCGAATGACGCAGCAAGAGATGGTTCCAGCGCAGGATACAGAGTACAAGTGCCGTGCATGACGCAGCCATCGCCACGCCAGCTGTGTGTGTACATGCTGCTGGGTGAACAGACAAAAAGAAGCCATACGTACATTCCAGTGTGGAGAGCCGATGTGACCCTGGCGCTGTGGGCATCAAGCTGGGGCAGCCGGCGTGGTCGCAGCGGTCGGTGCGGCGTCGCAGCAGCGTTTGCGACGATGTCGATGCCCAGCGCATTCGCAGGCCCGTCGACGGTTGTTTGGTAAAAGGTCGAGGACGAGGTCGAGGTCGAAATCGTGGTCCAGGACATGGACATAGGCATAGGAGCCTCGCTCGCGGGCTTGTCAGCGCTGGGGGCCTCGCAGCTCGCAGCACCACTTGCAGTGCCTGTAAGATGACGGCGATGCATCCTGTCCAGACCCGCTGTGGCAGAGGCTCGGGCGCGGTCCCACATGGCTCAATGCTTTTTTCTAGGGGATATTTTTGGCAGTTGTAGGGGTTGCGCCCCGGCGAGCGTTAGCGGGACGGCCGTGCTTTATGTGTATTAGTGGCTGCTGGAGGGTTGGCTGCTGCTGCTCTGCGGTGCTGCTCTGCGGTGCTGCTTCAGTGCGAGCAGCCGATGGTTGGGCGCTGTGTCAAACAGGTCTCAGCTGGCAGAAGCCGTTTCCAGAGCGAGAGGAAGAGGATGAGAAGGAATGTGTGTCTTGGTTAGTCGGTTAGTAGCCGGAAAAGAACAGAAAAGAACAGAAAAGATCGAAGGCAAACGGGGCGAGGGGAGAGTCATCAAAATGGAACAAAAAGGAAATTAAGGAAATTGAGTTTGCAGGTCGGTCGGCAGGCGAGGTGGTGGTGCAGCATGTGGTGGTGCATGTGGTGGTGCAGCGCAGGAGCAGCGCAGGAGCTTGTCAGACGCAGGCAGAGTGAGTGCGTGAAGCTGCTCAGCTCTTATGTAGGCAGTCGATACCGCGGCGCTGGCCTGGGATCTGCGCAAAAACAAAGTGCGCGCGCAAACAAAAGCAAACGGCTCTGTTTCTTCTTTTATTAGCTATGGAGAGGGGAGCAAAAACGGAAGAATGATCTGCATCTGCGACTACTACTCCTAGGTAGTGCCGCGATATGCTGTATGTATGTAGCTCAGCAACTGAGATTCTTCGACCCGGAAAAAACCCCACGTCTTCGTCTTCCTTTCCTTCTTTTTGGCGCAGGAGGCTTCTTTTGTTTCTCAGTGACATTAGCGGCAGCCCTCGTCCACCAACCAATTGGCGCTCTCGCCGCTGCAGCCCGCAGATTCTGATTGGGAGCCCCGTGTCGCCCGCAGCCAGGCACCGTCACAGACTCGTTTCGGCGCCAATTGAGTGGCTGTTGACAGTTTGTCAAAGGTGCTGCTGTGGCCCGGCCAGTTGACCAGATTCAACACACCGTGATTGCGGGATGCGCCACCGGTTTGGGACTGCTAATCTGAATGGGATTGAAACGCCGAGAGCTCCACGGCGGGATTTTCCTCCTGCATTGTGCAGATATTGCTGTCTCCGGATGGTTATCGCCAGCGGGCTGGGCTGGTCGACAAACTCGAACGTCTGTCACGCGATTTCGAGCCGCCGACCATGTCCATACAAGGGATTGGGGAAACAGACCATGTACTCCGTAGACTATGCTCCGATCTCATGATTCTACTGCGGCGCTTAAGGTCTACATGCTGGACACTCAATGATTATCAGTACTACTACTATGTACTATGTATGTAATAATGACACATACATACATACGTATATATACTCGTCGAGTGGTTTCCTCCCGATGAGATGGGATGTGACGTGATCGATTTTGCCAGCAGCAATATTTTCTCGTGCCGCTCCACCATCTAATCGAAACGCCGATTCAGAGCAGGCCCCGGAGCACAGATCGATGGCTCCCCGTCAATCTTATTTGCAGGCCCGGCCTCTGTCTATTCTTAGCGCCATGCCCAGTCATTTCCTACAAAGTGACGGCGTCTGTTTCATGTCCTAGTGCCTTACCTCAGATGCCAGGGGAGCGCCCCGTCAACTCAGCTTCGATTTTTGCAGATTTGGCCGTGCGCCTTCCAGAAGGGGACAATAGAGTGCATTCGTTCATTCGATGTTTCCACTTTATTTTGACCAGCCAATCTATAAAAGTCTCTTGAAGAGTAATAGGTATAAAGGGATTGGAATGCTGTGAAGATGCATGCACCTCATGGAGAAGCTGTGTTTATTTATGAGACCGCTGGGAGCATAAAAAATCCGTGAAATGCTCGTCGAATTATGTGCTACTTATGAGAACTCTGGGGGGGGGAGGTTGAAAATACTGTGAAATGTACTCGAATGCGCATAATTGCGGATAGCACTGGCATTGTAACGCTCGTGGCAACGACGCCAATGAGGAAAACCTGCTCTACGGTCGAAATTAGTGGTCGTGGTGCCTGGATCTAAGCTTACGATGGAGATGTTACTCAGTTTCGAGTTGCTAACTCTTCACCGCAGGGAAATGTTCAGTGCCGAATTCTTTGATAAGTTGGAAAAGCAGCGGCAATTGCCTTACAACAACATTACAGCACACAGCATGCTGGCCCCGTATCGACAGAAGCCCGAATTGAATCCGGGATCTTCTGCAATCTGTTTAACAGATGAATGGGTCCAACTCATACACATCGATCGATTTGAATCCGGCTGTCTGGTGGTAGTGTAGATTAGCCTACCCTAGGCAGTCTTGTATAAGCAATACCAGATTCTTGCCATTGATAATCCTTCTTCTAGAAAACTCTTTATTTAACGTAAAAAACAAATTTCCTTCACTTGGTTTATGTCATATGCCGTACATTCAACATATATTCATCCAAGAAACCCCCAGAAAACTCCCGCTGCAATCGCCGTCAAAAGCAAAACCAGGTTTGGCGTGTTTCGAAGCCCAGAACTCCTCCTTCCACCTCTCCCATCATCGCCACCACCTCTTCCATCATCTGCATGGCCGTTATTCGCAGTCGCTTCGTATTCGATGGTGATATAATCCGTTAGGCCGAAAGGCTGGCAAATTGTCCCTACTGCGCATGGCACAGGAACGCTCCACATCCCGCTGGCGCACCGTTGAAATGAAGTTGCCATGCAGTTCCACTGGCCCTCTGGAGAACACATCTGGCCAATAGGCTGTCCCAGTCCCGGCAAGGGAGAAGTATCGTTTTGAGGCTCGTTGGGGGATGCGAGAGATATCCTCTCTAGAGCAGGCTCATCAAATGTCAGGACTGGAGGAGCAGCTGCGGGGGATAAAAGTTCCCAGGGAGGCATCGGATATCCGTTTTCCTTCATGATGAGAGAATTGCCGTTATTGTTTGATCAACAGTCAGACTTGATACTCGATGTCTATTGAAAGTGCTTGGTGTGGGCTCCTTCAAAGTTCAACAGCAGCAGCGTCTCTGAACAAATCCTTCGACTAGTGGAGTATTTTTGCTGGCCGGTATGAAAGCAAAAGTAAAACTTTCCAATACTCTTGGATATTTTTAGGAGAACCCTATTCTAATAAAACTTTCTGCGCCAAAAAGTGAAATAAAAGATGTCGAGCAAATTGGTGCTAGGCGGGGTCCACTCAGACGTGGATGTGTGCGATTGGATCGTGAGAGCGAGAGTAAGAGAGAGAGAGAGAGAGCGAGGGGATCTCAAAGCGCAGCATGTGCCATGAATCAGGATAAGAGATCAAAAAAACAAAAAGGTCGGCAGTGATGCATACATATCGATGACTCACTGTTTCCATAAAGCAAGCCACCACGTTCGAGTTTGTAGATGTGCTCTCACTTGGCAGCATTTGATAGCTACCCTACTGACATGCAATCATGTACATGCAGCCGAAAATTAGAGAGGGAGAGAATGAAAGGAGCCAATGTACCTGTTTAATGAGTGGCATGGAGAATATTCTATTGGCGGATTGCAAGCCATGTAGGAGTCTCATCGACTTCAAACTCGTAAACCCTAGCCCTCGCGTCCAAGCTTGTTTCTAGACCTTCACATTATTCGCCACCATAGTCCAAGTTAGACTGCAGTCTCAAGCTCACATCATACATCTGCTCTGCTCGGATCTCTTCCCATCACATAATCACCCAATCATGATGGAATACTAAAACTCTCACGCATTCCTCGCCCAAACCCCCGTAGCGGTGTCCCTCTCGTTGATATTCCTCCAACGTGCCCTTCTTCTTACAAGCAGTATCCCAGCGGTGACCGCTATCATTATAAGCACGCCTCCGCCGATACAGGCTGCCACCCATATAGTCTCTTTGTGCGCATCGGCAGTAGTTGAATGGAGGAAAACCATGTTCTCATGAAGTGGTGACTCGAGATTGTGGCTGATCGGGGGATTCATGGCGGGAATGAAACTTGTTTGGCTGTTGCGGCTTCTGAGCTTCGTCCGATGCGCAGTTGTTGCTACACCCCCCAGAAATATGCTATAGGATACATGTTAGATACAGTCCTGAGATGGTATATTTGCTGGTAGTATATACTTATTCGCGGATGTTGCTCAATCTTTCGGGAGAGAAGCCCGGTCGTACTATCGCCAAAAATGCAAAAAATAATCTATCCAGCCTTCGAAGAAAAGACGAGTGCGGATGGCAGAGAAATGACTGCATTATTTAAATGATTCCGAGGAATCCTTTAAAATTGGCAAACTAAATAACAGACGGTAAGGCTATTGTTACCTCCCAGCTTCAGATTGTTGTGTCGGATCAGCTGAGATCCTTGGTATTGTCCCAGGCGGGTGGTTGCATGTAGCTATTATAGTTACCCACGGTTTGAGATTTATTGCCCAACCCAAACAAAAATTGGAGAAAGTAGCATGATTCATCAGGTGTAATTTTATGGACATTTGTATCCGTGGCCATTTGTACAGATATAAGGCTTCCTAAACTAGAGGGACAGCCCAGAGACCGTCACTATGGCATCAAACATTCACTCGTTGCACGTGGCCAGATTCATCTCATTTCATATGCATTCTGTATTCATCTAATATCTCATGCGCTACATATAAAGCGGCAACGTATCCCAGCCCTTGGTTTGCGTTGCAGCAGCCGGGAGAGGAGCCCTGTCCTATTCAAAGAAGAAGTTTGCTCGCTGACGGCAGCGGAAACTCTCCCAGCAAACACTCAAATTCGGATTCTTCTTGGCAGCATTATCATTATCCAACCCAAAAACAGACCAGGAAAAGCAAATAAACAGAAAAAAAAGGACAAAAATACCCAAAGTCTTGAATGCGATGCAATTTACCGTTTCAGATATTCTTGCTGTAACTTCTTGTACCTCTGTATCGGAGGCATGGTATATGTCCCTTGAAGTTAAAATATGTACGATTGAAAGAGACGGATGCCATCTTGCCGGTTGGTCGTGACTGAAAGCGTTCATCTTAAGACGGCGGGTGATAGCGATGTATTACAGTCCCGTTCCACGCAGGGTATGTAGTGTGCCATTGGCCATTGTCATGGGTGCTCGTGGTAGACGGGTAGATGGTTGACAAGATGGAAGCAGTAGTCGGCAGAGATGTTATGGTCGACCAAGTCGAAGACACTACAGTAGAGCTAGACTGCCAAGCAATGCTTGTGGTCGTATAGGATGTGGAGGCGCCTGTGGAGGCGACTAGCGTACTGGACGTGCCCGTGGTTTGAAGTGTCGACGAGATGGTGTGTTGAGAGCTGCTTGCCGTAGTCGAAGCTGATACTGTTGTATTTGAGGTGCTTTGTGCAGATGAAGTGGTTGTGGCCGCCGTCGTCGCAGCGCTCGTCATATTTGTGATAGTAGTTGGCTGTGAGGTGGTAGTCGCCTTGGAAGTGGTAGAGGATTTCGAAGTTGTGCTAGCCTTCGAGGTTGCAGCAGTCGATTTAGACGTAGTCGTCTTGTTCGATTCTGTGGAAACTTTCGAAGTTGTAGCCGACTTTGAGACCTCGCTAACCACTGGCGGCGGAAGTGGTGATGTCGTCGTCGTCGACAGAGTGGTAGTAGTGGCATGTCTGGTAGGAGTGACAAGAACCGTCTTGGTCACATCCGCCGTAATATCAATAATCTCCACCGTCGTCGGAACTGTACGAGTAACAGTCGAAGCCTTGGCGATCTCGGTAACCGTCTCGATCACTGTCACGGTGCCATCTCCGCCTCCACCACCGCCTCCATTGCTCCCACCACCGCCGCCTCCATTTCCACCGCCTGGCTGTCCTTCACCTGGTTCCAGCGGTACAACAGAATATTTAGGCTTCGTACGGGCATCTACAGCTGCTGGGGCGCGGACGACTAGAGCTGGTTGAGGTAGCGCAGCTATGAAAGTGAGGCATGTCGAGAGAGCAAGGATCAACGAGACGCCGCCACGCATCTTGACGAGGCCACTTCTCTTCTCAGGTCTCCAGAGGTTATAACGCAGGCATGCAGGGAAGCCAGAAACGGTTAAATGAGGAAGAATGCAGAGCAGGATGATGCGCTCGACCGCTTAGCAGTTTGGCCTGACAGAAGGAATGTGATAGGAGCAGAGGGGAAAAGAGTGACATTTTGCCGAGTTTCTTTCAGCCCAGTTGAAAATGCGATGGCTGGTGGCTGGTAAATCCGGAGGTTGGCGAGTCGGGAGCGGGCCGCCAAATCGACAGCGCCAGGGGTGGGCAGTAAGCTGGCGGGACATGGAGCGCTGGCCTTTGATGTTTTAGGGAGCTCAGGCCACCAGCATGCCCCGGTCCCGGTCTAGCTATGCACGGCAGCTGCTGCAAGGGCTATGAGGCTGAGCAGCCACCAGCCACCAAGCACCCTCTGACGCTCTGCATCTTTGCTCTGCGTGTTCTTTGTGCTCCATACAACATGGGCATCGACCCTTCGTTTGACATCCCGGCTGCATGCAGAAGAAATAAAGAAAAGCCCCGTAGTCGGTGCATCGCGCATATGCCCACAGCCGGGGTCCTGCACATGTCAAAGTCAAATACGACGTGGACTTGAAAATTACTAAAGCACATCTTGCCTGTGTTATTTGTAGACATATGGTACCTAAGTACCTAGACTAGCAGCTGCGACAAAGAGCCAAGTTCTTTGTTCGAAGGAACAATAACCAAGCCCCGGCTGTGGCGTTAGCTGCCCTCACGTTGCGCAATGCATGTGGCGCCGTGCCGCCACAGCGCATCGCGGGTACTTGATCCAGAGCTTCCAATTCTTCTGCACAGCTATTCTACGGCAAGTGGTCTGCCAAGCTGGGAGAAGCTGATCGCCAAGAATGCCCCTACGTCAATATGACAAGAGAAGAGCAGCCAAATACCTGCATACCGGGCAGTAAGCTGATGGGATAACGGCATTGCTGATGCTGGATTCAATTGCACAGCATTTAAGATCCTATGCACACCTGGCTTGTGCTCAATATTGTTTGATGTCATTGCGAATCGCCCGCGTGAATGCATTGGCACACAAACCAGTAAACCTAATGTATGGTAGCGCCTAGGTAGGTAGGAATCAGTACAGTAGTATCAGTAAAAACGTGTGTGCTGCGTCTGGTTTGGAATACCGCAAATTGTCATCTATGAAATGCAATTGATTTGGCACTGGCGTCGCTGCGCCATTCGTCCTGTGGCGCCAGCAGATGGCTCATCAAAGCCATGACGTCCCACGCACCCGGCACAGCCACCGACCCGCCTTTGGTTCCCATGCCTGCCAATCAGGCCAGATGCCTCTCCAGGGGCGACGGTCTGCTCACGCAAGGCAGATCTTGCGCGAACAAGCTCGTGGATCCAGGTCTCGGCTAGCTCAGCGTCAAATGCTACGACAAGTCTTGTACAGCCTACCTGTTAGTGGCACGTAATGCTGCTATCTCTGCTAGGTAAGACCAGTACAAGTACGGCGTCTTCGCTAGTCGGAAGGAGGGCAGCTACATAATAAGCCTTTCACCCCATCCGCTTCTGCTGTTCTCGTTGCTTCTGCAATAGCGCGACGTCACCCTTCAAATTCACTCTTGCGCATCCATCACAGAGCTCGCCGCGCGGAACCAATCGCTGCATCATGTCGTATCAAGGATATGGCCAGCCCTACGGCCGTAAGTTGACCCCTCCATAGCATTTTTCAACCAGAGGAGCAAGCGCTTGCTGTTGGTTTGCACTCCTGCAGTCTTTTAATGCCCCCGCGCTGCCTCGGTCGATAATCTGACGCATCGTAGAGCCGCCTCAAGGCTACGGCCAATATCCCCCTCCCCAGCAGGGCCAATATCCTCCGCCTCAGCAAGGCCAGTACCCGCCTCCTCAGGGCCAGTACCCCCCGCCACAAGGCCAGTACGGCCAGTATCCTCCCCCTCAGCAGGGAGGCTATTATCAGTCGCCTCCGCCAGGCCAGTACCCCCCACAGCAAGCGCCATACGGACAGCCGCCGCCTCAGCAGTACGGAGCGCCTCCTCCACACCCACAACAGCCCTACGGAGCTCCTCCGCCAGGCCAGTACGGCGCTCCTCCTCCCCAGCAGGGAGGATATTACGGTGCTCCTCCTCCCGCGCCGTATGGAGCTCCTCCAACGCAGCCTACACCCCCCTCATTAGGCTACGGCGCACCGCAGATCATCCAGTGGGATGGCACCGCAGATGCTCAGGCTTTGCGCGCTGCCATGAAAGGCTTCGGAACGGACGAGAAGGCGCTGGTTAACATCCTGTCAAGAAAAGACCCGCTCCAGATTGAGGTGCTGCGGACAGCTTTCGAGCGCCTTTTTAAGCGCAATCTAATAGAAGATATTAAGAAGGAGACGAGAAGCTGGTTTGAGTATGGCCTCGTTCAGCTTGCGCGCGGTCCGTTAATGGCTGATGTCCACAACCTGTACGATGCCATGTCTGGCCCAGGGACCAAGGAAGTCGTCCTGAACGATATTCTCCTCTCGAGGTCTAACGCTGATCTACAAGCCATCAAGAGCGCTTATCAGAGAACTTTCCGACGAAGCTTGGAGTCCGATGTCAAGGGTGAACTGAGCTTCAAAACGGAAAGGATGTTCTTGATAGTTTTGGCAGCCAACAGGGCCGAAGATTCAGCCCCAGTCATTCCCCAACAGGTTGAGCAAGATGTCATGAGCATCTACAAGGCGACCGAGGGCAAAGTCGGAACGGATGAGATTCTTGTTTGCAGCATTCTGGCCAACAGAAACGATAACCAGATCCGAGCCATCGCCCATACTTATAAGCAGAAGTTCAACCGCAGTTTGGAATCCGTAATCGATGGTGTAAGTTCCATTGTCCCGCTTACTTGCCTAATCACTAGAACCATGGACTAATAGCGCAAAGCAGGAATTCTCTGGTCATATGAAGGATGCCCTCTTGTTCCAGCTGCTCCATGCTGTTGACAAGTATATGCACGCCGCGAAGCTCCTGGAAGATTCCATGGCAGGACTGGGCACCAAAGACCATCTCCTCATTTCTCGAGTTGTCCGCTTCCATTGGGACAGACAAGAACTTGCAAACGTCAAGGGGGCCTATCAGCAGCGATATAGGAGGAGCTTGGCCAGCCGTATCAGAGGAGAGACGTCTGGTGATTACCAAACGCTAATGGTCGCTTGCGTTGGAGAGTGAAAATAAAACGTGCCTCACAGGTGTACTGATGGAATTTGGTAATATGACTACGCCCTAATGAGATTCCACCTAGATTCATAATGATGGGTAGCTGGAGGATACGGTGGCGTTTGGATACTTGAATTTTGGGCTGTATCAACAAAGGCACGACTACCTACTAGATAATGAGAGGCCGTAAAGCATTGTATGACTAGTAATGCAAAAAGAACAAGAAACTGATTGCAAAAACTTACTTTTCCCAACTGCGTGTGTGTTGTGCCCTTGCTGAGCGGCGGCGATAGCTCAGGGGTGCCCTCCATCAATATAGTACCAGGTTATGATGGAATATATGAGCAGTTTAGAGGTATTTGCTGTATAAACACGCTGTGAATAAAGTCGCCCAACAGGTGCTGCTCGGCCAGATACTTGGCAGTGAATCAGAGCTCATTTCGAAGAGGGCTTATCTCGCCCTTGCCCCTTCCATATTATCGCCATCTCAATAGCAGGAAACATGCAGCGATCAAAACCTTCATCCTCTTCGGCCCACAGTCCACAGCCCCCAAAGCAGCCAAATTGTGCTTTGTAAATAGGACCTGCCTGGATCACCAGCTGTTCTTTCCATCCTCAATTTCTCTCTCCTACTAATTCGTCACAAACTCTATGTCCATTTCCATCTGCCTTTGATGTTCTTGATACGACACTACCATTAATTTCCGCGGCGCTTGTCCGTAAATTTATCTCATCCCCCGACATCATTCGCCCCCCCCGGATCCTTACAGCGTTATATTTCACATCTACTGTATCCTACTTTCGTCACACTCCATCACGATGAAAGTAGACGAGATCACGGGCACGGTGATGCCTCTGGAGACCATTCCCCGCGCGGACAACTCCGTGACACAAACTTCCTCTCCTATCAATCCCAAATGGAGTCCGCAGGATGACGTCTGTGCCAAGTTGTTTGGCCCATGGGATAATCTACCTTGCTACGACCATATCAACGAGGTGCGGCTCCTGCGAGACCTTGATAACGCCATAGTCCTATTCGAGGAGCAGATCAACCACAGTGATGCCGGCTTCCGTGCTTGGCGGATTCGACACAAACAGGCCATGGAAGCTGGGTTGGTTGAAGTCCCAGGATTCCCATGCCTTCATACCGTTCGTAAGGGGAAGCGCGTCTGGCACGACGATGCATGGGAGCAGCGATACCACTATCTCGTTTATCAGCGACGTGAGATCATCAGGGGGCGCCTCTCGAGGCTCCTTGCATTGCCTCGATATGCACAGGAAGACTTCTTCGGACAGCGACCTGCACTTCCTCGAATGATCTTGCAACGCTGCAAGGGACGGTACACTCGACCTCTGTTGCTGCGATGCGACTGGTGGCGATCTGTGGATGATCTCTTGAAAGCAGCAGCCGAGAGGTGGAAAATGGACGAGGCAGAATTGAAGGCTCGATTCTGGGCAGACGATTGCGGTTCTGGCGTCAAGACACAAGCGCGAGAATGGGACGGTAGAATGAAAAAAGAGGACAGCGTTGAATTAAACACTAAGGAAGATGAATTCAATCCGCTCGAGTTTGCTGCAAACTGGGTTTCCGAGACATGGTGGTTTGCTCATGGTCGACGGACACTATGAAGAAATTGCGTGTAGCAAATGTCATACGTTTGCAGCTATACAGGAGCGAGGAGTGAGGAATCAAACGCATAAGTATAGATACCCGACTTAGTACCTAGGCAATATAGAGGTTCTCTATAAGTACTGTGCAGCGAGTGATGAGTGCCAGAGATTCTATGAGATATGTCAACTTTGATGAAAGCAGGAGCACAAGCCTTTCCGGCGGTAAGTTGAAGAAATGGAGCATGGTCCAGAAATGATTATAGTAGTAGTATTGCCTACCTAGTAGTAGGTAGGGATTCTTTGAATTCCACAATGGAAGGTGACATGAGGCCCAATGATTGATCTTCCCCAATCCTTGTACGATACCTGGTTGCCTACGTTCGTATGCCAAGGGGGTTGATAGTCGTCACTACCTGGTAATTCGATGTGGGATTGTAAACTACCTATATTCAACAGCGTAGTGATTGCGTCACCAACAATTATGATGCTGTTTTGCTGTAATTTCACTGCCTAGTCCTACGCCCCCACAAGGTACCCGTCGCTATATGTAGTGTAACCTGCTTGTCTTATGCCTTTTGCAACATTAGGTAGTCTTTCAGGTCGAAGGGCTTGAGTTGTGCAAGAAGATCGGCCGGTGTCTTACAAACACATTATATTATGCCCAACGGTACCGCCACGTAACTAGCAGGGAGGCCTGTTCCTAGGTAGCAACTCTTCTCCGCTCTTTTCATATAGTTACTTCTTAATTTCTCAAGTGAAGTAATGTGTCTGATTATTTGAATAAAAAGCTTCCTTTCTTAATCCTACTACTAGGCAGTTATATTACCCTTATGGCGTAATCTATGCACTATCATTTACGGACCTAGCTTGTGGTGTATACTATTTGTCGTTATGCCATATTTTTCAGGTCTTTTAAACCCAACCGGATCGCATGAGAGAAAATGGAGCACGGATGGGACCAGAGCATGACAGCTGCGCCCCCCCCCCCGGTACGCTTATGACGATTGACCCCCGTTGGATGACACAAGGCTAGAGTTTCCAGGTGGGGGTCCTTTTTTCCATGGTTACCGTCAGGATTACAAATGTTCCCTTGCTGTCTCCGCTCTAGAAGGACTTGGAATTCTTTTCATGGAGGAAAAGTTTCCATGGGTTAAGTTACAACTGCCTACCTATGCATGCTTTCTCCTTGTTGATGTAACTTAGCACTAAACTCATAGGGCAACACAGCCGTACACGCCCCGTTGTCAACTAACCAGCGTTTTCTAACTACGTAGCATTGGGGGAACGAAGGATTTAGACTGCAGTACTATTCAAAGATCTTTACCGGTGTAACGGCGCGCCAATCCTACGCTAACCTAGGCGCATAGCTAAGTGGAAGGCGTAAGTCTAGTCGTATACGTCTGGTCTACCCGTAGCTTTGGGAGGCTGGGGCGGGAGGATTGAAATGAAAGGGGAAAAAAAAGACGAGAAAGGTTACCTGCAAGTCAGCGATACGTTGACTTTCTGAGTTCATTCCCTGTATGTATTGACGTGAGTTTGCCAAGAGTTACGCACGTGCCTGTTAGAAGGTTTCAGTTACGGATCAGAGTTTAAGTCTTGGCGTAAGGATTTAGCTAGGTACCTATCTATGTATGTAGGAGTGTTTTACTGGCCAGTAAATGCAGCGAGAGCCGGGAAGCGTGCTGCTGCCTCGATCGTTGGCTAGTCTATTCAGCAAAAGCCTTTGACTCTATTGGCTCGCTTGTATGGCTATGGCCAACACTCGCCAAGTTATAAACCATTAGTTGTAACATAGGGCTTGTCTGTATCCAAGCTAGAAGAGAGAGAGCCTAAGACTTAAGGCGTCGGTTGTGTCTCGATACTACAAAAGAGCGGGCTTTCCGGCTTTCAAGCTTCGGTATCTAGATTAGCGACGTTGAAGTTAGACGGGAAAAATAACAGAACTACTATAAACTATCATCTCATGAGCTATAAGTTATATTTAGTGGATGGATCCCTTGCAATTACACTGTTGTAGAAAACAATAAACGCTAGTAGCAGTAACATAGCTGCTTTATTCTACTAGTTGGGGAACACGCAATAGGATCATACGAGAACACTTAAACTAACGGTCTTCGGCTAGGTCTGATATCCGCTTTAGCGGTTATAATGTAAGAACATATTATAAACCCGAAGTCTGTCCTTGGAAATACATTACTGTAGTGGCTAGGGGTTGTCTTAAGACTAATATAGAAAACAATTCTTCCGTCTCGGCGTGTTTATACTCTAGCCTGAAGGAGCTTCCTGCCTACCACAGCTAGGGGATATGCAACAAGGTGGTTAGGGCGCCAGTAGTTGCTGTCAATACTTTAATGTGAATTTTTATCAACACCATTATTAGAATAGAGGAATTTTAATGCTGGTTGGGCGCGTATATAAAGACAATTATTGCCTAGTAGTTATACACATGCTACTACGCCCAATCGAGGCAGTAAAATAAACAACACGTACACCATAAACCCAATAGCAATATCTAAATAGAGTAATTTTAAAGCAGTCTAATATAGTAATCAAGCTAATTGTAGTATCCACTTCGCAGCTATTTGCATGTAGTTTCTAGATTTGTCATCAAAGTTATTTAAAGTAGGTTTAGAGCATTCCCAGCGTTTTTGTTCTTTTATAATAATTAACTTATATTGGCTATAATTACAGGCGACTAGTTGTATTATTGCAATACCAGGATGTGTTTATTGATTTATATGGGTATTTGCGGGGCCAAGTGTTGTCAACTTTCGGAACCTTGCCGTGCTGAGAAGAGGGGGGGAAAGAACAGCATGCCTGCAATATGCGATTAAGAACAAAGCACACTATAACAGCCACCTACCTGCAAGGTGAATAGATGAGTTCTAGCTCTATTGTAGTGACAGCTGACTTTTTCTTTTCTTTTTATCCATAGGGAAGAACCCCCCAGCCATAGCAAAAAAAAAACAAGTTACTGGCAGCAGCACCGCGCGCATATATCCATATATACAAGAGAATTTTTTTATGCTTGGCTCTCCAAGTCTTATAAGCCATTATATAAAGTATACTGTAGGTATTATATTTACTACTGATCTTTATGCGACATATAGATATGTTAAAGAAATGACTGTGTCTTAATTTATCTAGTGGCTTGTATGTATTGGGATTTAGTATAGAGGAGCAACTACATATATTTCAGGCAATAACAACAACAGATATATTTCAACAGTCAACATTTTTCAAAATAACTGCACACTGCACCAAGGTTAAAAAAACAATAAATTCCTCATTCAAGACATTGACTCAGGCTCTTTAAATATTAAATAATAACTAAACTATCTTGCAACTTAGTCCTTGGACAATTAATTTCTCTTATACAGACACATAAAGGGAGTGCCTCTAGTATTCCCAGCTCTACTTTTTTAGTCAAGTTCAATAATAATTAGTTACTAAAAGTAAAAGTAACGGGTAAAGCAATTGTCCTTCTGCATTTTATCATCTTTACTTACTGCATCTATAGCACATATAACTTTACAATACTATTAATTCTATTATAGCACCTGCTTCAGTGCCTGTAATAGTATACTTTGGTAGCAATATATTGCTAGCTGTTAGTATATAGGAATAGTAATCTTAATGCATCTAGTGAATTGTACTGGAAAAGAGAGGCGCCGGAAATATTTGCATTAAATTACAATAATAGCTTAAGGTAATACAAGGCAGTTTAGTAAACTTGAGCAGAGATAGATAAAAGTACCTGTACAAAAGAAATATAACCCTGGCTACTGCTGACTGCATTGGATTCCCTCCATAAAATTAGTAGTCCTTTGCCGTGGCGGGACCTAATGGCATATTGTCCCGGAGGCACCCCAGGCGATACTGCTTGTTGTAACAGAGTAATCATCTTAACATTCGACTGTAAGACCAGGTCCTCTGTTGCTGCACAGGTCAATGGCCTGGCCTTGCGGCGTTTTGATCATTTGATGAGCAGGATGGCTAGTCGCCTGGCTAGGGGTTCCCAGCGGGACACAAACCGACTGCTTTGCATACCTTTCTACAGCAAAGGTATGAGGAAGCAAGGCTATCCAGACACTATGCCACGGTGCCATAGGGGCTGAGTGCCTATTGTTTTGCGGAGTCTTTACCTAAAATGGTAGGGAGAAGGGGTAATGTATATACTGCGTGTAGTTAAGCAGGTAATATACAGCTGGCCGAAGGAGACAGGGCGTCTCATATAAACAATCGGTATATAAATATCTGTTATATACATACATATGGCAGGACACCAAGGTTTCTGCATTAATAATCCGTATCCTTTTATCAGTACTACTAGATCGAGCTTGGAACACTTGCCTATTTGGCTTCCTTTTTTCTCAACACTTACTTTACAGCGTATGCTTTTTAAGCAGAACTTGAAACTTAAAGGGGCAAGTAAACCTTAGAAGCTGCATACTGTCATAAAGTATATTTACTACATTTATAATAAATGAGAAATGCTACTGGAGTAGAACACGCTTTTGATTAAGAGCGCGCTAGATGGGGGGTATACTATAGGTTTTGGGTCTAGTTGTATTATTAGCTTATGTTAGTATTACAGCGTTATTTATTGCTATATGATAAATATAATTAAATTTTTATTAATAATTTAGAATGAAATTAAAACTAAGAAAAAAAGTAAATTTTTTTAACTAGATATTTAATAGTTCAGAAGCTTTTATTTTAGCTTTTATAAATATAGTATTATTAATGAAGTATTAATATAGCTAGAGTATTTTATAAGCTATATTCTAAAAAATAAAGCTTGCTTGCTTTATTTATATATATAAAAGTAGTAAAAGATATTGCCTGTTATAAACTAGTAGTATAAATCCTTACTTATATAAGTAATAATAATTTGCAAACTAGTAGAAGTACTAACTAATTTAGTGTATTAGTATTTCTTTTCAGCCTATATTGCATGGGCTATAAGTTCGTGTCATGCTATTAGTACATACTAGTACTCTATACTATATATAAGTAAATCACGCGAGCTATTACAAAAGTATACTATGTAGTATTAGGATATATAATTAAAATAGGGCCGTTTTAGAAGGGCGCTCTAAGTGGGGCCATTTCATTATTAGGCTACTCATAGTGATGCCAATTAAATCATACTACTACCGTACTGTACGGCCTAATAAATTAGGCCCTAGCAGTATAAGATCCACACGGCCATTCCTGTTGCAGCTTCTATGTCCAACTTTACAATTTAAAGGAAAAAATCCGCGAATCCCTGAGGAGTATTGCTTCTTAGCGGAGCCATATGCAGCCATCCCTGCTGGCAGCTTCAAGTACAGCTCAAGTCACTCTACTCCGTATCGTAGCATTAGCTTGCATTTGAACCACAAAAAAATGTAAGTTAGCCGTTGGTTTGGGTAGGTTGCTACCAGAAGAGTTGGCCGTGATCTAATCAAAGAAAAAAATAGATTGGGCGACTTAGCTCAACTTTTTGCGCGGCGGTGACTTTAGCAGCTGCCAGCCAACTCTCCTCTCTCTCCCTTCACTTTCCTCTCGATTCACTTTCTTTATTCCACCCCACGACCTCCTTGCATCACACTCGATGATTGCGCAACATGGCGGCTACTCCTCCACCTATCATTTCCGATCTACCGCAGAGCCCGTCTCGAAGCTTGGGAGCGCCTCACATAAACAAGGCGCGTGAGGACACCGCGTCGACGACTTTGGCCGCCGCAGTTCAGATGGCAGGCCTTTCACCTCCGGCAACGAGCCCTGCGAGCCGACAGCCATCGATCGCTGGATCAAATGTGATAGGCCGCTCCCCACCAGCTACCACGCCCGGAGCTTCTTCGTTTGGAGGAGCCACGAGATTGTCACCGGAAGATGCATCGACACAGCGCTTCGTGCGCAGCGCGAGCGTTTCTACCAGCGCTAGCAACGGATTGGTAGATAACGTGACGGAGCGAAGCGGTTCAGTTCCTCATTCTCATTACAGCCAGCCGCAGTATGGCGTTTCACCGCAGCCCTCGGTGGCCTCAGTGCCTGGTCATGACCACGGCGTTGAGATGCCCTACCAGCGAAGACATGAGAATCAGAACGGGCCTCAGGAATCCCCAATGCCGCCAAAAGCGAATCAAAATCAGGAAAACCCCAGCTCGTATACGGCACTTTGGGAGCTGATGCGAAAGACTGATCCGTCTGTGGTTCGACAAGTTGTCCGAGAGAACTGGCAGAAATGCTTGACTGGATCAGATTATCACTCTACCTTTGTAGTAAGTTATCTCGCGGGCATCTTCCCTTGGCTTTGAAGACAAAGCAGCCTGCAGCTACAGAGTCTTTGGCGAGCCTTTCTATTCTATAACCTTCTGGTGAGCGATGGTCTAATAGATGATACTAGATGAACGCTACAATCACTTGCTCCAGTCCTGCGGCACTGAGCCGCGCCCTCTTTGACTCTGGTAACAGAATCGTTAAAACATCAGGCCGCGAGATCGCCAAGCAATTTGGCAGCGAGGACCTCGACCATGTAGCAGACCTTTTTGGACCTAAGCTTAGTGCGCAGTTTCAAGATCGGGTTATGGCTGCCCGTTTGGAAACCATCGGAGCGCAAGACCTCATTAATGCCTTGGCCAGAGCTGAGCGTCTTGGCTATCATGTCAACGACATAGTCCAGAAGAAGCCTGGTCCAGGGGGCGAGACCGTTATTCCATCCATGTCGGCAGTTCCTCCGATGCCACCACACCGTGTCGGTGCACCCCCACCTGCAATGACACCCTACCAAGCCCAAAGACCCCCGCAGCAACCGCAGCCATATGGAAGCCAGATTCTCAAAACGAACAGGATGAGTCATCAAGCAGCCCAAGTTTCTTCTCAGACGCCAAAGCGATTTACTCCAGGCTTACCGTCATGGGTAGTACAATGCCGGCTTTGCAACCGTCCTTGTAGCAGCGAAGATGCTCTTGTTTATGTACGTTTCCTTCTCCTTGAAAAATCCTTAGAGACAAAAAAAAATGTACTTGCTCACAATTGAATCAGCATATGAAAAAGGCCAGATGCAACACTCCCAAATCTCATGGAAATATAGATGTAGATACTTGTGTTCATTGCGGCTGCCATTTTGAAAGCCCTGGTGGCCTCTCATATCACTCAAAGAGCGACGTCTGCGGAAAGCACGATGAAGAAAACAAAGCACAGATGATTGCAATACTACAACAGAGAGCCTGGAGCCAGCCCATCGGTTCACACGGGGTCACGCCTCCCGGTGTGACATCTGGTCATGCAGCTAATGCAGTACACACTCCCGCCTGGAAGCAGAAGGCAGTTGGCTCTTCATTGACCCCAAGTCCTTCCGGAAATGACCCTTATGCAAAGCTTACGCCGGCAGATCGGATAAAGTTTGAAGCAGAAATGAAGGGGGTTGATGACCACTACATTGCTCTTATGAAGGAAGCTTCTGAGAAGTTGCCACCTGGACAACGTGAAGAGGAACTCGCCAAGCTGAAGAATCGATACAATACCAAGCAGAGTAACACGAGAAAGAAATACGGAATCCGCCTTCGCGAGAGGCGTGCCAATGCCGATGTCGATCGCTCCTGGAATACCAGTGCCGCAAAGAGAGCCCGCGTTGATAATGGGCCGGCAGGCCCTGTTCAGCCTGTCCCTATTAACCGACAAGCAGAAATTGTTCAACCGTCTTTCCCGAGTGTCAAGGAATCTCCCCGAATGCGAGTTCCCCTATCCAAAATGGGAGGACTGTCGGCTTCTTCGGCTACAGCAGAACTTGTTGATCCCACAGCATCTTCCGCTCCGGCTAACGGCCAGTCTACAGCACCAGCTACAGCGGCACTCGGACTTGGCAGAAGTCCGCACGGCACACTACAAGGAACAGCTAGTGAACCTATGCAAATCGATAACAACGAGTCTAGCACTGGCACGGATTCAGATGATGTGGATATTCCGGCTAGAATCTAGTGGCTAGGGGGAGAGATGTCATCCAATGACGAGCCCTAAAATGACTGAGGAATCGTACGAGTATGTGTATACTCCAAAAACTGCGGGGCATTGCGGCCGCGAATATTGCATTATACACTGCTGCTCCATGACGATTTTCCAAGGGAGGAAGGACGCTAAACCAACACAGTGGCATTTAACTATTTATCTGTCTCTGGGAAGCATTCGCGATGCATTTTACGATTTCTTTCATTCTTCTTCTTTTTATCGTTTCTTCTTTTCATTCGGATTACATTGGGAATTTAGTACTAGCAGGCATATACAACGGCGCACGGGCGGCCACTGCCCTTTTTTTTTTCCTCTTCTTTTCTTTTCTTCTCTTCTCTTTTTCCCTTTTCTACATTTTCATATCAACTTGGCTTTGCTTCTTCTTTTCTTCAATTTGCTGAAGCGGATGGTTTGGGAAAGCCGTTACAACAGCCTAGGCGGCGGTTTGGAAGTCATGGTAACAAAAATTTCATTGGGAAAACCCAGCTGGGGACAGGATGCATCTGCTTCAAGGAGAGCAGGGTTGGGCGGATATTCATTGAATTGAAACATACTTGCGGTTTTATCTAATCTACTTATACTACTTACCTGTACACACATGATACCCGTGCGTCGGATTACAATATATCAAGTGGGATAAAATTTACGATAAGGAATGCGGATATACCAGTAACCGGCTGCCAGTGACAACGGTACGCGTATTACTAGTAGGAGAATTAAACATACTGGTAGTACTACTACTAGGTACTACTAAAGGAATAACTGAAATGAGGCTTGCTTCCTACTACATGTACCTACCTACTGGGCCTACTACTGTACGGTAGGTAATGCACAATACGCTGATAAATTTGGTGCAATGGTTGCATTTCCATTTGATGTCGCGCCCAGAACGCGTATTTGCACAGATGAGTAAAAGGCCCGTAGCTACCTACCTCGGTTGATATATTTCTCTACCACCTAGGTATGGAGCCATCCGAAGCTTGGCTGCATCGCGCGCGCTGCCATTTCTCGGACAACAGACGAGCTATTTCCGTAATAGGAAGCGGCCCTAATGTAGGCAGTAGTCCTACGAGGTAGCGGGCTGTAGGCAACCCAATACGACCCTAGTGAACTAGATACGCGCATCCTTTATGCACCAGAGGTAGTTGATGGCGACAAGCCGACGCCACTTTCTACAATTTACTACCTCCCAAGACGATTTTGGGTTTAATTTTCAACCCGTTATAATGATATTTGGAATGATGCGAGCTTGCTTTATTACGGCGGTGAAGAGAATGTGTGAACGAGCGCTAAACCGGGTTAACAATACACCCGTCAAAAACGCCTTGCCTTTGACAACTTCGCGCAAGCCCTGTGAAGCAGGTGGTAAGTAACAAGACAAGTTGTCAACTTGTGCATAGAGTGCATATGACAGGTGATGATAAAACTTCTTTCCTCTCTTTGTCTCCCCCCCTCCTCCTCATCTCCAATCTTTACGTTTAATCCCTCAGCAATAAGAAAGGAGTGGGGGAAAAGAGCAAGGAAAGGAAGGACAAGAGACGTTTTTGTAGGTAGACATTTACCCTCTGGTGCAGGGGTTTCCAAGAGTAGCTGAAGGATGCGAGTTTTCGCAAAAGAGAGCTTTGTGAGTGAAAGTGGAACTAACTACAAGTATGTACAACAACCAAACGGGCAATATGCTTCCCAGGACTTTTCTTTCAGCCGCCAGGTCACAGCGTTGATAGGGTTGCAGCGCTGGTGGAGTTGCATGTACGCATGTAGGTACATGGCGTGGGGGATTTCAGCTGCAGGACTGGCAAGCATCCTGTCAGCTTAAAATTTCCGCAGAGTAAGGTGCCTTCTAGAAGGAGCAGAGTGATGGATCCCGCTGCTGCTTTTGGAGGAGATGCGCGCTTAATTGAGGCTCTTGTTGGACGCGCAAGATACCAGGCATGTACAGCAGTTCTTCTACGGAGTACGCGTGTCAGTTACCTAAGTACCTGTGTAAGTGTATCATACCTTCAATGTTTGCATAAGTACGAATGCCTCATGCAGGTCCCAGGTAGATACTTACTACCAGATGCGGCCTGCTGGAGTTGCCTGTACTGGAAGGTACCTGCCAGGTACTTTGAGCTGCACAAGGAGGTTGAGTACCTTGATTGCTTTGATTACATCGACGACTGAATTACCCCGTGATCAGCTTATCTGCAACTGCAAGACTCTCTTTCTTTCCTTGCTCTCCTCCTCTCTTTGTCCTTTACCTTTTGTTTTATTTTCAGTCTTTCTTTCCCTTCTCTCCATCTTTTTCATCCATCTTCTCAATTTTTTTTTCTTTCGCTTTTTCTTGCTTTATACTTTTTGGTGTGAATCGCTCTTCATTTCAGACCATGCTGTACCACTTCAAACAAGATTAAAGCACGAAGGTATCTCGAGAGGAAAAACCGTCGGCCGCTTTCGCCTGGCCGACCTCTTGATATCTCCGATGGCAAGCGAAAATGAAATGAGATGGTGGCAAGAGAAGAAAATAATTTGAGGGGGAGGGGAATGGAGCTGCGGTAAGGCTGGGCCAGGTCCCATTAAAAGGGCATGCCGCCGATGCTAAGCCAATCGATGCGCACGGTAAGATTACGATGTTGCACAAGGCCGATGGTGTCTCCAAAAAGTCTATTATATTAATAGCGAACCTTCAGATGGCCCCCGAAACGCGCTGCCTAGACGCAAGAGAGGATCAGGGGCAATGCGACTGACGGAAAACGGCTGAATAAACAACCAACGGCGAGGCTCCAAGATGATGCGCCTCAGAGTTGCTGCGTCAAGCTGCCAGACAAGCTGCGGCGCTGGCGAAGCTGTCCAAACACGGCGTAGCATGGGCGATGGATGCGACTGCGCACATGCCAACAGCTGCCTCTGGCTTTCTTTAGCGGCAACGGGCCTTCGCGTTTGAGGTTGGTGGTCGCCCTGTGAAACGCGTCAGGGTGTGTGTTTCTCGTACGTTGCTCTCTCTCATGCGCCCGCCGCCTATTTTTACACCTGGAACAAGCGGCAGATCACGCGCGCCTCACCATGCTCGCTTTTGTCTTGTCAAGAGCCTGCCTTGCCGCCCCCAACCCGAACCGGCATCAAGCTCGGTCTGTGTTGCCAATATTGTGGGAGTGGTGTCCAAGTGGTAATTTCATCGGTGTGGTTGGACGCCGCCAGCAACCAGTTGCGGCGGAATAGCCAGCCTGATACCACCCAAGATGGAGGTTCCCCAAATGGGACAAGGTCAGGCTGCGTCGACTCATACGTTCGCACGCACACACACTCCGCTACAAGTACCACCCCTGGAGGAAGGGGCCATCCTCTTCTCAGCACTGTTGTCGTTACACGATGGCCCTGCTGTTTAGAATAGTCGAGAGCAGCGCAAAGCATTGACGGCCATCGCCGAATGTATGGTGTTCTTTTTTTCGGATCTGGGCATATATAGTGTTTCATACAGCCTGCCTGTCATCTGATTGACGTTATCATGAGAGATGTTTCGTCTTTCAGGTTGGCGATTTTGCTTACGATTTGTAATTCTTAATCACATTCATTAAATCGCAGCAGTCTCTCTCACTCATTCTCGTTAGAAAAAAACTCGGAATCTAACTCAGAATCTTTACCTAACAGGCTGCCACCCACACAGTGAGCAACTAGGAACAGGCTTACTGTTGCTTATTGATACCCCTTCCAGTGGCTTTGATCCTCCATTTCTTCCTTTTTTGTCTTTCTATATTCCTTCTTCCCCGCCTTCTACATCCATCTACCATTGATTTGTTTCGCTACTTCCAATAGCGTCTTATCACAATCACCATACTGCGACACTGAGGCGATTCGACAAAAGACACCATGGGCGGCTCTTCTTTGAGACCGAGTATGCCCAGTCGGCCAGTCTCGAGTATAAGTCAAGTATCTCTCAACAAGGCATTACCGCCAACGCCTGGGCCAGATGCTTCCGACCTAACTACCTTGCTTATTGGCCCTAAGAAGCGCCGTTTTAAAGTCAACCACACGCTACTCTGCGAGGTCTCTCCATTTTTCCAGGAACGCCTTGAAGACCCCTTTCACTCACAAACAGTCTCATTGTGGCTTCCTAGTGAGTCGCCTGCCATGTTTGGCCTATTCGTCGAGTGGGTACACTCTCCAGAAACCTTCCGCGACTATCTCGATAATGCAATCGACTCGGCTTTCAAAAAGGGAGAACAGACGTCGCTCGATATTCACTGGGCAATCATTCATCTCCATCTCTTTGCCTCCCAGCTCTCTCTAGGGTATCTACAGGATGCTTCTATGGATGCCCTTCAGGATTTGTACCTCAAGTACGACTGGGATGTGCCGCCGAAACTGGTCGTTTACCTTTACACCGAATGCGAGGCAGAGCCTGCCATCCGCCTTCGCCGCTGGGCTGTCGCCATGGTAGCATTTTGTCTGGCTTTTGGTAGCCAGCTCAAGTTACCAGCTCAAGATTCGACATCACTGGACCCCAACCAATTTTATGCGCTTTTCCAATCGCTCTCTGACTTTTCAGCGGATTATGCTCAGCATATGGAATGCATGAAGGAGTCAGGCTATGATGTTCAACTCAAAAACCCGCAGCTCCGTATTTCGGAAAATGAAGAGAACAATGATGGACGGTTCTTTGGGTTTCGAGAATGTTCGTTTCACTCGCATAAATCCGAGGTTGGTGAGGGCCCATGCCCTCTCGCAGGTGTAAGGGCACCTAGCAGAGCCATGAGTGCCCCAGATCTACCAAGGCCGAGATGGGGAAAGCACAAACGTCAAGAGAGTAGCAACCCGCCAAGATCCCTGTTCTCAAGGAACAGTAATAGGGAAGACGAAGAAAGAACGGGAGGTTTCTCTCAATCGCTTAGCTCAATCGCGTCCAAGTTCTCATGATATGGCCAAATGAGCGCTCTTGACGCGGTAATAGTGTGTACACACATTTTACAACATTCACCTTTTCCCCTCCCAGCTTACGCAACGATTGTGTAACGTATCATTTATCACTCATTGGCGTCATATTGCGCCTGTTGCCCTCTGACCTCTTTGGTCATAAGTTTCGGCTGAGTGGAGAGTTTGGATCTGAAACAGTTCGGCACATCACGTTTCAGATGATTGGGCAAAATGGCACTTTGTGGTGCCATTCAACAGGTCATATCGGGACAATGGCTCAGCTAAGGATTTTATTTGTTTCATACGCCTAGCAAATCGAGAAGTTTAAATGTCGGGTAGGATCTGAGGTGACGAAAAAGGATAAAGGGATACCCGGAGCATTAACTACGATCCTGGGAATTACGAATACCCTGGCACGCCCTGTGGAGGAATGCTAATAATAGCCTGCAAAAGTGACGATTTTGGATTTCATGTCTTTTATGTTGAATAATATCCCCTATAGACCGATTGTTTCTCAGATAGTGTAATATCCAAGCAAGAGCGTGTTATACGTTCGCGTAACAACTCATGTTTCCCGTCTCATTATTTGCATTACGGGGTGTGAAGTATGTTGATGAGTGATGACTGTTTTTGCTAAGGGAATTGTTGAAAGAAATTATTTTCTTCTCTTTTTTTTAAAGCATACTATCATATATCGTAAAGCTAATAAGCTGAAACAGAAATCAAGATAAAGCCTAAAGCTGGATACACGTCTTGCTCCCTGCAGAAAAAGAGGAGAGAAACCCAAAAAAAAAGAAGAAGAAGAAGAAAAGCAAAGAGACTAAAACACCAGCTGGCGCTCCCATTAAGGGGATTAAAAAGGAAAAAAAAAAGAAAAAAAAAAAGAAGGAAAAGAAAGCCTGCCATGTACATCATATATCCTCATCAACCATGTCCGTATTTTTGTTGCGGTCCATCAAAATCAAGTAAATGAGCATTTTGACATTCAACACCGAAGGGATGAGTTGCTAACTAAAAGAAGAAAAAGTAATTTGGGATGAAAAAAAGGAAGAAAAGACAAGTGTGGATTGTGTAAACACACACGCGCGCGCTCCTAATCGCTTTTGAATAAAAAAAAAAAAAAAAAAAAAAAATCAACTAAACAAGACTGGAAGATGACATAAAAAGTCCAACGCTTTTTGGTGGTGGAAGAATGAATGGTATTATTTTTTTGCTTTTTTTTTCAGGGGCCGAGTATGAGCGTACTGTTTTGATATCGGGTTTCAGCATCCCGTCATTTCAGTCGTAACATCATTCATAAATGGGCGGAGAGAAGATAAAAGAAGGCCGAGGGAAAGATTGTTCCTTGGTGCTTTTGCTTCTTCTTCTTCTTTTTTTTTTTTTTTACTCTTCCACTGATATATGTGAACAGAAAATGAAAGTACCTGTCTTCGTCAAGGAGTGAAAAAGTTCGTTAAAGTAAAAGCGAATGGACTTTTCCCCCCCCCCGTTTCGAGTAGATGGGATAGTAATAAAGCAGTAGTACTCTGATATATGGCGTTGGAGATATCGGGTATATTAAGAAAATAGCAAAAGCTGACGGAAAAACTGAAACGGAAGTGTTTCAAAGTGAGAGACAGATGTTCATGATCGTATACGAAAAAATAATCAAGAAAAGCAAGTACGTTGCTGTCGTCTAAGAAGGCATGCTGTGCAGAGGTGGTGCTGCCAAGCAGATGCAAAAGTCGTATGCAAGATGCGATGTGCAAAATAAGGCCGTTGAAAGTAAATGTCGATAATAAAAAAAAAGGCATTGTAAAAAAGCAAAAAGGGATATTCTTCATTCGATAAAACTGATAGCGGTGTGGGGAGTCGAAACCGTGCGCCAGGAGATATAAAAATTGGATCGAGATTTGCAGAAGAAGCAGAAGAGATTAAAAGGGTGGTGACTGAGATCGCCGGCGAGTCTGGTCGCGGCGGCGAAAGTCTTTGATCCGCTCGTCGATATAAGCAAGACGACTCCGCAGAGACGACCTGGTTGGTGTAGTCTCGGATTCTGCGGGCTGGGGTTGGGGCTGCTGGACAGGCTGGACGGTGGCAAAGGGCCTGCGAATGATGCTGAAGTCGATGGCGGAGATACTGTTGGACCGCCGGCCCGGGAAGGAGAAGCTTGACTTTGCGGCGGAGAACGGAGAGCCAAGTCTGGCGGGCTGATCAGCGAGAGGAGGAGGAGCCAGAAGGGATGACGGTGCGGCGATGATGGGTTTGTCGCTGCCGGGGCCGAGAGTGGGAGGAGGCGAGGAGGAAGGTGGAGATGAGGCCGAGGCCGCGGCCGCGGGATGAGATGCCTCGAAGAGCTCTTGCAGATTGGCCCGGGGGATGAACAGTGCATCTCGCTGGGTCGCGGTGGTGGAGCTAAACTCGGCAGATGGCGTGGCTTGAGTTGAGGCAGCCCCGTTGTTGGATGGATCAACCCAAAAGTCCGAACCCAGACTGGGACGCTTCCTCCTGGGCTCGACGGCGGCAGAGAGCTGCTTGGATCTGCGCTTTTGGTTGTTGCTGCTGCCCCGGCTGTTGTTGCTGTAGTCGTTGCTACTGTTGTTGTAGTTGATATTATAGTGGTTGCTGCCATTGCTGCTGCCGCTGCTGCTGATGATGGCCGGCGATCCCAAGCTACGCCTTCGAGTCCCCACAGAATTGCTTAGCCTCTGTGGCTCCAAGCTCATGCCGAAGTTGTCTGCAAGCGAGTTGGAAGAGCTGGGACCGTAGCTCCGAGCCACGAAGGGCGAGCCCAGCCGGGTAATGTCCGCACCGGCAGCTCCCGTGCCTGGCGCAGGGACAGCCGCCTCGATCAAGGCCGGCGGTGCGCAGAGCCCGAGAGGCGGCGGCAGCTGCTGATCCTGAGATCCCGTCAGCCGGGCCAGCGGCCCGTGAGGCTGCATCGATTCACACGTGCTGACCGCCAGGGACAGGGCCATGTCGTTGCCAGAGAAGGCCGACTGGGAGCGGGACGGCGGCGCCATGCGGTGGTTCCAAGCGCGATTGGCGGTCCTGCCAAACGGCGTAGGGTTACGGGCCCCCATGTAATGATGATTGCGTGCAGCGCTGGTCGCACTAGCTTTGCAGAGCTCTCTCAGATGGGCGCGAGTAGCCGCGCAGCTGTGCGGCCACTGCAGGTAAGACGTCGCCGGCGCCGTTGCCTCGGTGGGTGTCGCGCTTCCGCTGTGCTCGGCGGCGGCCTTCTTCTTCACCTGCTGCGACTTGGGGCCTTTCCAGCTGCGCTTGGCTTCTCTGGCGACGCGCATGCACACGCCATCGGGAGGGATACCGCTCTTGCTGATGTGAAATGGGGTGACGTGGGGATCCTGTAGGTAGGTCATGTATACGGACCAGAGGTGCTGGGTCATTGATCTGGTCCAGGGCGCCTTGCGCGCACGCCGTTTTGAGGCTGCTGCAGGAGCAGCGCGGATAGGTTTGATGGTCTTGTTCGCGTCTTCAATTGACACGTCGCCATTGAATTGGTCAATGTCGTCGGGATCAATGCTGTACTGGCTGAAGCTGTCCGAATTCAGCGAATACCGGCTGAAGAGCGAGCTGCTCGTCTGCGTCGACTGCGCCGTCGACGGCCGGCTGTCGCATTCTGGGCTCGACTCGAGGCTACTGTAGGCCTGGTCAAGCGACCAGTCAGGAAATCGCTTTGGTGACAGCGATGGAACCGCGTGAGGAGCGGGAGTCTTGGGAAGTGAGGATGGCCTTCCGCGAGGCAGGTCGCCTTCGTCGGAAAATTCAAAGTGGTGAGGGCTGTGTCGAGGGAAATTGGTGCTGAGCGTATCCACCATGTCTTCGTCGACCAAACGAGGCTCTTCAATGCTTGGAATGGGTACGTCTGCTGTCGCGACGGACGCGAGGAATTGCTGAGTGGGAGCCTTGAGATTAGACGAGGGAGCCCGCCGTCTAAGTCGAAATCGCGGTCGCGGAGGAGAAGGGGGCCGAACGTCAGTCGTCGCGAAGGGCTCTGGGGTTTTAGGTCCTCGAGCAGCTTTGCGAGACCCCCGTGCGCGAGGCGCCATGAGCGATTGCAAGGGAGGCATCGTGGGAGCTGACCAGGAGGTATGCGAACGAGTGGTGGTTCTTTGCCAGAACAACAGGAGGTGATTGAAAAGGGAGGCGGCCCAGCGCTAAATGTATGATGTCGCGCGCCCTCCAGCTGAGTCAAAAGCTCTGAAGCGTGATTGTGATGTCTTGGAAAAGGTGGAATGGCGCTTTTCCAAGTTTCTCTTTTACTTTGTTTTGATCTTTTTTTTTATGTATTCTTTTTTTCCCCTTCTTCTCCCCTTCTTTCTTTAGTTCCCTTGCGCAGCGGGCGTAATCGAGAAGCGCGATTAGACGGGGGTCGGGGTCGGTTGGGCGAAAATAGAGAAGCCAATTGCCACTCTGTCTGCGGCATGCGACTTGATTGCGAAATGCGCCCAAGTGAGGCGGCGCGGGATCCAGCTAGAGAAGGAGCTCGTCGTCCAGCAAGTATCGTAGTCGTACCAGTACGAAACGCCCATTCAATACAAAGGACTCAGTAGGAAGGGCGTGTCGTCGCGACTCAGCTGCTGCGCGCGATAGTGGGCGTCGGGTTCCTTTTCTGTGCCGTTGGTTTGTGCGGTGAAGCGAAAGCAAGGGGGGCTTCTACGAGACGAAGCGAAGCACCATGGAAGCTTGCGCGCGATGCTAGGGCGGCGATAGCGACTCGACGATTCGATACATGCGATCGCAATTCCAGTCGACAGAGACTCGGCCTCTCCCCACGGGCGGGATCGCTCGCACAGAACGGCGCAAAGCAAAGTGACTTGGCTGGGATGGAGAAGAATGGGGGAGGGAGAAGCGGGCGACAGGGTGGTGCTGGGTTTGTATGTACGGCAGTGGGGGAGGAGAGCACAGCGCCGTGCAGAGCGCAGTGCAGCGCATCGGCCAGCGCAGGGCCAGCGCAAGAGCCACTAGAAGGGCCGCTGGCAGAGCCAAAAACAGCCACTGCGAGCGCTCCGTCCAGCGGAGGCGGGCCCTTGGCTGGAGCCAAAGCGGCGGGTGGCGCGGACCCTCTCTTTCGGCGGTCGTCTGCAGCACAGGTACTGCTACCTGCCCGAGCTGCGGCGAGGAGGTATCTGCGCGGTTGCAGCACCGGTCATGCTCGCTGGAACTGCTGCAGCTAATCGACACCGGGCTACGGCGCAGGCAGTGGCGCTGCATGTACCAGGTACTGCCGCTACCTGGATCTCCCAACTGAGCTAAAAAGACTCCGTCCCACCAGGCCTTCCAGTTAAAAATCGACTTGAGACGGGACGCACGCCCCCCCGAGAACGTGCCGGCGATTTTTGGGTCCAGCGGGTGCGATGCCACCGTCGGCTCCAGATGCCTGTACCGCAAGACTTTGCAGATTGAATGAATTCAGGAGCTGGCAGGGTCTTTACAGGACCAGGAGGAAGAGGGGAGAGGAGAGGAGAAAACAACCAGCCGCCCCGATAAAGCTGGATGCACTGATATGGAGCAGCTGATCAGGACCCTGAGATGGAATTGATGGCGGCTAGGTGCACTAGATCCTGTTCTATAAGTGACGACGATGCTCGACTAGCACTATTATTAGTATAAGTAGGCAGTACTACTACATGCAAGCATTCATCTGCAGCTCTCTTGGAAGTGCATTGAGCTGATATACCACAAAATACTTGTAAGTCGGGCGCCGAGACCGACTCAATTGCCGCAGGGAGCACCGCCTGTTTGCTGTGCCAGTCCCGAGCGGAGAATAATGCGCATGCCTGCACTTGCACGAGAAGAAATAGGAGACAAAGAGAGTCCAGATCTGCAAGGGCATGGCAAGTTGGCTGACCAGAAAACGGTCGTCTCCAGAGAGCGCATCCTTACCCCTTGAAGATAGCATGACGGCCCGTCAGTGGCTGTCTCATCATCAAGGACACAGCTGGTGATATGAGGTAGCAGTGCTGCTACTCTCCATGTAGGCACTCAAAGTACTGCTACTGCTGCCGCTGCCGCTACTCGGAGCTATACACGCACTACGTCTGATGGCAAGACTTGCCAATGCAGCGTCAATCACACCGGAGCACGCTCTTCAACAGGTGCCAGCATACCGCATGCCCATGTGGCCTCTTCTCTCTCGCTCCTCGTGGCGTGAGCGGCAGCGGGAAGAGGCCTAGCGCAGGAAAGGAGACGAGCAACAATGGTGCGTGATGTGTTTTCTGCCAGGGGTACGACAGTGACGGCGGCTGTTCCTCTCAAGAGTCTGCTGTCAACACTATCACCGCACACACGCCCGCATGGAGCTGCTCTTGGTTGGTCACACATCCAGACAGTGCGGCGAGCGCGGTGGAGCGTCTGCTTGGGAGGCAGAGAAGCTGGATGCCACCAGAAGAAAAAAAAGCTTGGCTTGCTGGGAAAAAGGGCGGCTGGCTCCTAGCTCCCACCGATGCGAAGCCTCTTTCGTCGTTCTGCTGCAGCCCCTCCCTTCGCTTTTGCCTCGTTGGGAGCTGTTCTAGCACCGACGGGGGAGAATCTAATGCCGCAAGAGTCTAGCAATGGCACGGCTCGGAAAGCCGTTCCCGGCAAAGAGGAGAAGATGTGAAAAGGGAGCACGGAAGACTCCGGACGGGGACCAGAGCCTTTCTTCGTCCTGCCGCGACGCTGGATGGGACGGATTGTGGATAAAGACGAGCAAGGCCGTCCACTGAGTAGACGAACGCACTGTGAACTCTATATCTGGCTTACTGGCGACCCATCCAGGCACTGCAAAGCACATCATCGTGGTGCTAATGCCACACGTGCCCACCTCTACAGAAGGACTTTGTGCCTCGTGGCCCAGCACAAGTTCCATTCAGCAAGCTTCCAAGCTACGCGGCCTGAGACAGCAGCGTCTGTGAGACCAAACACAGCAGAGCAGGCCGTTTGATGGCCAGTCCAAGTCATAGATTCGTACAGTGAGAAACAGAGCAAAAAGTGCAAGGGACGAGAGAACGAGAGGGGCTGGGAGAAAAAGCGACCAAGTCTTGACATTCCCACCTTGACAATTTTGCGATTGATCACTTCTCTCTCAGAACTTCTCACAGGCTGTATTCTCGTATGGAGTAGGCCTACAAAGTACAGTACGAGGGTAAGAGCCGGGAAGAAGAAAAAAATCCGAGCTCAGCGCGCTAAAACGAAATTTCGCGAAAAAGACGCGTCGTTCACGCGTTTGAGGGGAAACGTATGCATCATAAAAGCGGGGCCTTTATCAGCTAAGCGAGCATCTTTGGCCGATAGCCAGTTGGAAACAGCAGGTCACTGCAGGAGTAGGACTGATTGGATGATTCTAATGAGGCAATTGTAGTCAATTGATGTGCTGTAATAATTGCTTGCTGTATCAGTCCGATTTGCACATTAGAGTCACATCTGCTATGCGAGAGCTTCGTTAAATATGTACGATGCAGATACGATGGGCCCAGCATATGGGAGTGAGAGAAAAGAAGGATGCGGGCATGGCTGAATGGCTGATAACTCCGTACAAAGTACGTGATTCGAGCATTATTGCTGCCAGTAGGAATCACGCACGTTGGACCCCTCCGAGTCTCCAGCGAGGCCGTGCCAGGCATGTGGCGAGCTATTGGGCAGTGACAATCCCTGATACGTCGTAAAGCAAAGAGACCCCGGCAGCAGCTTCGGATAGGCTAATGGGTTGCATGTAGGAAGTATACGTGTAAAAGCAGTGCTGGTAAAGGCGCGGCATTCGGAGCTTAGAGTACAACGTGTGAAATAGACATCGAGAGATAGCTTGGTCCCACTAGTGCAGTCGCAGCAAGGGCATGTTATTACTCACCACTTATACGAGTATAACACGAGGACGGGATGCACTACGAGGCTTTTGGGAATCCTCGCTGCCAGATACTATCTCTTTGGTGGTGATGGTGGTGGTGGTGGTGGTGGTAGTACCAGCATTATGCAGATAAGGCACCCATGGATGCACAGACATAAAGGCATCATCTGTGTCTTGGGCATCAGCCTGTGCCTTCTTGCTGGGTACCTACATAAACCGTTGGGCTAAAAAGATATCACTGGTGCACCGCATATGGATAGTGATATGTACATGTATGGCTTCTCAAAAGGGAAAGTGAACAACCATCAACTGGACTCTCTTATATTTCGTACCACCGGTTGGTTTTTTATCCCTCCTCCTCCTCATGAATTAGAGGCAGTCCTCACTCGTTCAATCCCACCACCTTGACCTACCCTGCTCTGTTCGACTCTACTCTGCTCGTTTGTCGCCTCTTCAGATTCTCCTCACCGGCTTGGTTGCAACGTGCTGTTGCTGCCACTGAGGGGCATCAGCACGCATATGTAGGCGAGAACAACTCACATGCACTCTCCCAAGGGACACCACCTTTGAGCGACGGCTTTGCGTTCCGGCAGTGTGGGGGGAAGATGAGCACGGGATAATTGGTAGGCGCTGAGAGGAGAGCAGGCAACTTGTGCACCATCCGCACTTGCATTTGTGGCCGAAGAGGCGGTTGACACAATTGCACTCAGTTTGTTTACAACTGGAGATAGGCTTAATCCCACATCTCAAGGCGAGTTCAGAGCGTGCATTGTCTCATGTAACCTCAGTGCAGGCGGCATCTAGGAACCATGGAGCCGAACGAATGATGGCCGCGAGGTGCTGCTTGATGATTTCCTCTTATGAAGAATCATGCATGGTCGGCATGTATGAGATTGCATGGTAGGTGGCGCGCCAGTGTCTCAGCCTTCTGATTCCCCGATTCTATTGTCCTCGCAGCAGTATTGCAGCCAGCTGCTGACACCTCTCTCTATAGGTATATGCCGTCAAAGTCGAACGAGAATGGGAATCCGCCATGACACTCTCAGACACGATGCGGTGCGACTATGCAACCTCGCTGTTGGCAACTGAGCACACTAACCCCAGATGATGCCATTGACCGAGACGTGCATCCAACTCACACTTGGTGCGCTGCCCGTTGCTCGTTTGTTCAACACCGGCTGGCTGCTTGTTCTCTCATCCTCGTCCTGGGGTCCCTCCCAGTGGTGACGGCCGCCCAATCACTCTCGCCGGATCAAGGTCAGCCGCGTCCGCCTGGTGACAACCGCGCAGACGCCCGATCCACTCTGCTCCGTCATGATGCGGCGGCCAGACGCGCAAGAGGCAGGACAGCAAGGCCTCGCACAGCAAAAGGGTGGAGGAAGGAGTACGAGATAATGTAGGGCGACGGCATGGACAGGACGACGCTGTTCCACGTATGCCTCTCTGTACAAGGACAATGGCGGCGTCCATTGGTCCAGGCCGTAAGAGCTATGGGCTATTCGACAGATGTCAGATCAAGTGCATGAGCTTTGCCTGTGAATACATATATGGTGGGGGCCTCGTTAGGCATTCATGCCTTTCCCCCGAATTTTGAACAAGAAACTCTGCCAGACCATTTCCCTCCTCCTCCCTCGCCAGAAGTCGTAAACCCCAAGATTCCAGCCGAGTTAGCGGTTTCGAGGTCCGAGATTTGCGATCTCCCCTAGGGCCCGTCTCGTGTGATTCTATCCGCTAAGGTACCCGATGCCAGGCCTTATTTTCGGAGATTCGGCTCCGTCCGCTAATCCACCGGGAGCTGGAGACCCCACGCCCAGCATGGATTTTTTGCCAACCAACTTCCTCCCGACCCCAAGCTCCCGTCGCATTCGGCCTCAGACGACCGATCGACCCAGATCGTGCATTGTGAACACTTTTTTTTGTGACAGGTATTTCGAGGCTAGTGGCAGTTGATGCTGGTGTTGATTTTTTGACTTTGGGTCGAGTAGCTGACTGGCCAGCAGGGCACCCAAGTTGAGGGCAAACGACCGTAGAAAGGGTACTCAATAAAGTGAGGCGGACGCTATTACATCATGCCGGCCGCCAACACGGTGACGCTGGAGAATCTGGCTCAGAAGCTCCCCCAATGGCGTCCCGACGACCAGAGCCAATTGTACGCCGTCGTTGATATGGGCAGGTTGGTTGATTCGCGTCCTACCCGCCGGTCATGCCATTCGCATTGATGCTGACTATGGACTGTGAGCCGCCAGCAACGGCATTCGCTTTAGCATCACCTCCCTGGCACCACCCCGGGCTCGTCTTCTGACCCCGGTGTACGCCGCCAGGGAAGCCATCTCGCTGTTTGATGCTCTTACACCGTCGGATTCTGGACCTGTGTTCCCTTCCAACGTCATCGAGTCGGTGTCGTCTGCCATATCTCGCTTTTACCACCTTGCCATCTCTCACGATGTTCCTCCCCAGCACATCATGGTGCTTGCCACTGAGGCAATGCGCCGGGCCGTCAACTCCTCCGAAATGTTGGATGCCATTGCAAAGGCCGCTGACGGGCTGACTGTTTCTATCCTTGATCCCCCTGTTGAGACGCTCCTCGGTGCCGTCATGGGATCAAGGAGCGGCCTCGGAGGTGTTCCTGGCGGCGCTCTATTCCTTGACCTCGGAGGTGGAAGCGTACAGATGACCTGGGTGGACACAAGCACGGACAACTACGAGATTGAGGCAGCACTTGCCGGCGGGAGCTTGCCTTATGGTGCCGCAAAGCTAATGCGTGTGCTACAAGAACACCCCGAGGACGTACAAGCCATGGAGACGGGAAAGCTTAAGGATGGCTTGAGCAAGCTATATGCTGATTTATGCTCCAAGTTCCCTGCTCTCCAAGCTATCAAGGCGGCTAACGAAAGAGGAGAAGAAGTCCTCGTCGACGTATATATGTGTGGCGGCGGATTCCGCGGCTACGGCAGCATGCTGATGCACGACGACCCCATTACCCCCTATCCCATCTCGTCGTCCAACACCTATTCAGTTCGCGGTTCACGGTTCAAAGATACGACCCGAATGTTGAAGATGAACCAAACCTATGAGGGTAAAATCTTTGGCTTATCCAAGCGACGTCGCCAGCAGTTCCCTGCCATTATCAAGGTCGTCAATGCATTCATCCAAGCCGTCCCATATATTGGCTGGGTCACATTCTGTGGAGGGTCTAACCGACAGGGGGCTCTGATGATGAAGCTGCCTCGAGAGATCCGCGAGAGCAATCCCCTTGACGTCCTCGCCAACGTAAAGGATAGTGAAAAGGCAGGTTTTGGTGCTATTCTGGACAAGCTATCGGAATCTCTTCCGGCAAATCTCACTCACACCCACTTCCCAACCATCTTCAATGCTGGTCTGGGTCTGCTCTTCGTGAGAGAAGTCTGGAACCGCCACGGCCACGGGGCAGACTCAAACACCTCCTTTGCTATCCATGACGCCGTCTCTCGCGACACTGACTGTCCCGGCCTAACTCACCTTGCGCGCGCACTCCTTGGCTTGGGCGTCGCCGCTAGATGGGGAGGCAGCCTTGGGCCGCTCGATGCCCAGCTTCACAAAGGATTGCAGGGTATCCTAGAGGACAGGGGCGTTGATTCGTCTTTCTGGGCGCTGTACCTCGGCGCCGTTGCAGGCGTCCTGGCCACCATCTTCCCCATCATGCCTAAGCAGGCAGACCAACTTGTCAGCGCTATCAGGTAGAGTTTCAACCCCAACCCAAATGTTACATTGACTTTTTTTACAGCACTAAAAGAGTTCTAACTATTTACATAGCTTCGAGTCGCGCGTTGAGAGGAGAGAGGGCAAGAAAGACAAAATTTCGTTGAAAATTATCCTAGCTGGCGAAAGTGCCAAACGTATTAACAAGGACGATCTCATCGACCTTGTCAATTCCGCCGCTAAGAGTCATGCAAAGGCGACCAAGAAGATCTCAACTGACATAGAAATTCGGTCATGATTCATTCATACTATCTAATTTTTCAAGACATATATTTTCTTTCCAGGTGAACACACAAAGAGAAACATGAGAACGTAAACCAATATGAAAAACAAAGACAAGAGAAAAAAATCAAAAGAGTGAGCACCGCTTTTTCTTTTCGCTTCATTTCCCGTTCATACGTTCCATCGTTTGCATTCTGATTTTTTTTTTTGTCATTAAGTCGTAACTCATAAGGCATGCATCTAGAAATAGAAGCAAGCTAATTATCCTCTTCGCAATCATCATCTGCGTGTTTTGATGACTTGGCCTTTGATGTACGCTTCCTGGCGTTCATCTTCTTCAGCTCGTGGTTCACCACGAGGACGCATAGAAGCTGATCAATCTCGCTCTTTGAAGACTGCAGTTTCTGATCTGTGACAGGTATAAGCGCCATGGACAACAATAAGACGGCTTCAGCTGCTGGAGATAACTTACAGTGCTCTTTACGAGAGTCGAGAAGGTACTGAGCAGCCTCGTGGATCGCTCTGCTGTGGCATGCTGCAGCGGGGTATTGAGGAGTCTTGAGCCAGTCCAGCGACAGCTCCAAGCTCTTCTTTGTCCGGAACTGGTAGTGGTAAAACACCACCAGGAGCGGGTAGAAGTTTTCCGCGAGACGTTTATAAATTTGTCCCTTCATGGCAACTTTCAATATTGTTAGTACTCGTGCCAAACCTCTTTTCCTGCTCTCTCTTCTCATAAAGGGAACTTACTGCTCTGAGTTGACTCGCTCTTGCTAGTCGCAAGGCGGCCGATATGGGCCTTGAAGCCTTGCAAGAGATCTCGGTACATAAGAATGAGCTGCCACATGCTTGCCCAGATGGCAATCCTCTCTTGGGGCTGTGGGATGCCCTGCTGCGCGATGCAGTCGTCCATCTCTTTGAGGATGTCATGCTCAAGTGAGTAGATGGCCCGTCGGGCAATGTTTCTCAGCTGAGCCTGCACAGACAAGGGAAGAGTGGTGAGCTTGTTGGTTGGGTCCAAGCACCAGAAGGATCTGGCTTTCAGAATACGGAAGAAGCAGTTCATTCTGTGGACTTTTCTGACAAGGTCATGCTGCGGACTTGGTTAGCTCAAGAAGAGAGAGAGACAGAAGAGTTCACTTTGGTCGTACCTTGGGAAGCCCCCAGCCTTCTTCCGAGTATGCGAGCACGAAGCTCTGAGCCGCATATTGGAAGTCTGACCTCTGCTCGGTCTGGATTTGGTCCTCAACCCACCTCTGCAGCAGCTCATGGCTTGGGACACAGTCTCGAGGGAAGTCAGCCTTTGACAGGCTGCCCATCTCCTCAGAGCCCCCCTGCGACCGGTAGGCCTGGACCGTGGCGCGCAGGGCCGGGAAGCTGGTGTCTGGAGTGAAAAAGACCGAGATCTCTCGGGGCTTTCCAGTGTAAAACCGCGGGCCGGAGCAAAGTTGCTCCTCTTCTTCGGGATTGGTGGACCAGACATCTGGTGGGAAAAATGCATTGTTAATATGTGTATACGTTTTTGAATTATACGGGGGTTGTTCAGCTGTGCACAAATCTGATTTGTGCCGTGCGCCACATACCGGGGATCTTGCCCATTACGGGCCAAAACGTGGATGGTGTGGCGCGCGTGCAGGCCATGTGAGAATGGTCTGGGAACGCCTTCCTGCACATTGGGCAGACTCCACTATCGTGGCACTGGAAAAGGAAAGGGATTCTCAGCATTGTTATTCCAATTGGTCTGGAAAGGAGGTACAGTGACTTCTTACTCGGGTCTTAGACATGCGGCATGGCAGGCAGGCTCCACTCTTGCGGACGTCTGCCGTCTGGCTGGGGTCTGCCAGCTGCCTTTGCCTCTTCTCCAGATCGTTGCCGGAACGTCGACGCTTCAGCTTTGCGGATGGGTCGACTGGCCTTCTATGCCTATCATCTAGGACTTGGATGTGATGGGGGTAACCCTGGACCATGCCCTTGGAAGGGTCGGTCTGCGGGTAGGTCCACTCATCGTCTTGGGCCTGGATCTCTCTAAGGGAAGCCTCCTGGTGGTAGTGGCCATCGTCTAGTGGCTCCAGGAAGGGCGGCGATCCCGAGTGGTCTGAAGGCGACGAGCTTCCACCGGGGACCAGCTCCGGGGGAGTCTGGCCGGGGGAGTACTCAGACGTGAGTCCGTCATCCGACGAGTACGAAGGCATGTCGAAATAGGGCCTGTTGGGATCAAGAGGGAAGTTTTCTATAAAGGAAGGGATATCGGTGATGATCCTGCTTAGGGATTGCTTGCGGTGATGGTGATGGTGATGGGGATGGGGGGAGGAGGGATTAGTGTCCCCGGAATAGGCTTGCCAGTCAAAGAACTGGTTGAAGAGATCCTCTAGCTCCGGGGAAGGGGAGAGACGGGAGTTTTCAAGTTCCATCCGGTCCATGTCCCGAGAGAAAGTCATGTTGATATCCGTGTAAGTCACGGGATGCAGTGGGACCGTGGCTAGCTACCAGGACGAATTGAAGCAGGTGGCTTCCTGTCAGATGGACGATAAGGTGAAGATGCCCAATGTCCCAGGTCTTTTTGTGTAAGATTTGTCTGCTTCAGGGAACTCTGCCTGACACAAAGAGAATTATAGATTTGGCATCCAAAGGGGGGACTCTGGGTTCGTCTGTCTTCACTTACACCATCATCGGATGTGCATTCTCGGTAAGAGCTGGGGGTCTGATTGGTCAATCCGGCCTGTGGATCCTACTCTTCTGGCCAATAGAAGCCTTGACTTTCACCGATTTTGACCACCGACCAGGTTTTGGGCCATTAGCGCGATAGTCAGGTGACTCCCCGCGAGACTCTCCAGACGTCTCCGATGATGAGAGTGTGCGAATCCATTGAGAAGGCGATGCCGAATAACTTCATTTTTGGGTCGGATGTGGTCCCTTTTGTGCAGAAATTCACTTGAAAACTTTATGGAAGCGCAGAGATTTGGTGAATGGGCGGATTGGTGCGGCGATGCCTCTGTTCTTTTCGTCGAGCTTGAATCGCGCGGCGGATGGCTTTAACACGAGTTTGATGATGTTCCAAAACCAGTTGAGAAGCGTTGTCCCGGAAACTCCCCCCAGCCTTTTCGAATCTGTGAGTTTCCGCTCGCAGGAGCCAATGGGCCGATTTCCCAAGAGCCTATTGTTGATTGGGTGACCCTTGTGAACTCTCTTGCTCGCTCAACGGTGAAAGTTGAGTCCAGGGGGATTTATTCGAGGCCAAAGCGGGAGAAGGGCCAAGTTTAATCGATGCCTACGCTGAATGGAGTTGACATGAACCGATATCGTGGGGTGATGTGTGACATGTCCAGCATGCCAACTAGAAATGGATGAAAGGCGCAAAACAACAAGAAAAGAGAAACAAGGGGAGGAAAAGCAGAGGAGAATACGACCATGAGAAAACATGAAACTTGGGGCCGGGTGGGCGGCGACGACGATCTACTTTAAAGGGAGGGTGTTGGTACACAGGCCAGAGGGGACTCTAAAACTAAAACTAAAAAAAAAAAAAATTAAATTGGCCCATTGTCAATACGGGACTATAAAAGAGCAAATTACTACTCTACTTTATCTAAACTACTGTGTACTTACCAGTGCCCCTACAAAAACGACTAATAATCATGGGGGAATAAGAACAACCGAGTTGGAAAAAAAAGACAAGGTGGTGCTACTTTTTCTCTAGCTTGGCTCTGCTAAGAGCGCCGCTAATACTTCTTTTGGAACGGTCTCGGAGCTAGAGAAGGGTTTTTAAATTTTTCTCATTTGTTTATTTTGCTCTTTGCATTAATCTAGTCCGGATATCTCTATTCGAGGACAGGGTTTTGTCGATCTACGATTTTCCCGGATACGGAGGGGGGGCGTTGATGGATGGATGGATGGAGAGAGTATAATGTACCTACCTTAGTATGCAGTATGCAACAGTGCATTTGTAAATAGCCTTGTGTGGAGGAGGGGCGNTTCTTAATCTACTACTATTGTTCCGGCGAATCTGGAGGTTTGCGGGGCACCGCCCGTGGCCCTCTTGTTCAGCATCTGATAATATCTGCTACAATAAATAATACGGCTGGCATTACGTGGCACAGTGGGAGGAAACAGCTTGGCTTGGGGCTTTCGTTACTTTTTACTCCATAGGATCAGAAAAGAGAATGGGGGAGAAAGAGACTTGCTTTTAGGCCAAACTCTTTTTTTTTTTTTTTTTTTTTTTTTTTTCAGTTAAGGAGGAAATATTAGTTGAGGACTTCTCCACATATTGCTTGGGCGGCGACGGCATTACCGGCATAATAACGGGGGAGAAGGAGAGTTGAGCTAGTAGAGCAAAACAGAAAGCCAGGCAGATAGAGAGTGAGAAAGAGCTAGAATTAAAGCCGCTGCGCAAAAGCAAGGACCGGGGTTTTTTTTTTTAAGCAGCCGGGAGGAAAAACAAAAGGATCATTTCTCGCGAGAGGCGTTTGCAAAAGTATTGCTGGACTTTTTGAACCTGTTATTTTTATTTATTTATTTATTTATTTATTTTAGCAGGACTATGGAGATGTTTATTTCCGCCCGTTTATGCGCTGCGCTGCGTGCATACCGTTTTCCCTGCAAGAGAATAGATAAGATCCATTGGATGGTGCAAGGCGGTTCCACCGAATTAGGCAATTTTCGAGATGTGGGGCACGGCCTGTGATCCAGTTTCCTGGGCCCTCCCCAAGAAAGGGCGTTATGCCAAACGGGCTTTGTACAGCGGCAGAAATGGGCTCTATGTTTCCGCGGCTTCGAGGTGTTCTTACTTGGGGAGAAGAAGACAAGGGGAAACAGTAGGAAAACAAGAGACAAAACAAGTAAATAGAGATTGCGGGGGGGTGGCCGGCGGAGTGGAGAACTGAGCTTAGGTGTGTACTAAGGCATAGTTATGATTTCCTTGATTCTGCTCCCCTTGAGCTCTTCTGTGTATAGCTTATTTGGTGGATAAGCAGGTACAGTATAGGTAGATGGCAAAGTGCTGTGTACTGTGCCTCAACTCATATAGATTTCGGATTGCGTCTTTGCTGATGTGAGCCTAGCAGGATTAGTAGCATAGCGACGAGTCTTAGTGAATCAACTACTGCTAGTACATACGGCACTAAAATGCTAGATGGCGTGGATGCCTTGGCTATGGCTCTGTGAGGATGGAACGTGGGAGAATGGCCTAGGTTTGAGGCAATTGTTGTTGGGCCCAGCAAATCGGATTCCCTGGAGCGCGCGCGCACGGGAAGTGGTCCGTTATTGATTCTCCTTTCTCTTTGTTTTTGTCTGTATTTTCGTGTGTATCGTCTCGAAATGCGCTAGGCAGTTGTCTCGTTCCCACATGGCGAGCGCGCGAAAGGCACGAGCAAAAGGTAAAACACTGGTCCCATGGGCGCGACTCAGAGCTGCGGCTTAGAGCGAATGTTTTTTTTTTTTTTTTTTTTTGCTGCTCTTGAGCGGATTTGGTGTTTTGCTTTGATCGTCTCCCATCGTGGTGATCGTCCATCCCGACCCCCATGCTCTCTAGCTTCGTCTCTATCTCTGGTCCATCTCACATCATCTGGCATTGTCGCAGATGTAAACAGTATAAATAGCATCAAAGCGCTAGGAAGATGGGGCTAATAAGGATGACGCATGGCTGTCAGCAAATGCAGAGCTTCAGTAAAGGACGCAATTGTGCCAATCGGATTTCTCTATATCCTTAGTAATCAGGGCAAGGTTTGGATGGCCCAGGCGTAGTACCCCATGGCTTTCTAGTAGCGTGTGGCGCAGACGTTTGACGTTGCTCGAGTGCTAGTCATAGCAAAATGTAAGAGGAATACCTGCTGTAAGAGAAAAGCAAAGCACACACCCCCTTTTGCCAGATCGCAGAATGAGAATGAGAAAACAAGCATCTCACGTTGATGCAAAACTTCGCAACTGCGCCTCGCCAAGCTCTTTATTTCGTTTTCGTCAGCGGAGATTGTAATGTGGCCTTCCCCGGTTATTGTACATACATACATACATACCTGTCCCGCATATGATGAGCGTACCGTCCCGCATTAGTACACTTTGATGCGTTGATACGGTGCAAATGCGTAACTGATGCACATCGCAGTGGCGAGAAAAATAATGTAAATCAAGTGATGAGCCACGCGGCGACGTCAAAGAGCATCCTATACGAATATGATCGTCACAATATATACGAGTACGATGGTGGTTTTCTGTCAATTCTTGCCAAGAGGCGAAGCAAAAGCGGACAGAGACAGCAGCATACATATACGAGCAACAGGCCGCGCGTAGTCGCTGGTGCTGCGTGCGGCGCGCCGTGATCCGATCTGCCATACTGCGCTGGTGCTGCGCGGTGTCTTCGTGCCACAAGCCAACACGAAGCACGGGCGAACCATGCCCACGTGCAGCGCAGACATGGGACCGTATACGAAGCATTGCTTGTTGCATCTCCAACAAGCCAGAGGGAACCAAGGTTGTATTCGTGGCAATTCCCGGCGTTTCTCGTTCTCGAAGTCTGGCTGGAAGTCGTATTAGTGCTAGGCAGTTCGTAGTACGACCCATTTACCTGCCGCCTTCGGCTATTCGGGCAAGGGTACGCTTGGATCTCAACTTCATCAGAGCAGCGGAAGAAAAGAAGCAGAAGAGGGCGGCAGGGACAAGAATCAGCCCAGCCATCTACTGTACAGCCAGATTGGCGCGGGCCGTGGGTATTAATCTCCTTTTCCTGCTCCCGTAATATTACGAGCAGTGCCCTACTGTATATCAGCCCCCTTTGAGCTGGGCCATCGGTGCTCCGTGCAGCTGCATGTGAAGTACCTTGCATAGTAGAGTACCTACTACTAGCAGTACTAAGGTCGGTACGTATATCAGATATTAGAACCTCGTATGTTCAAGATGCAAATCTGCGCACCATGTTCCAGCGCGGCGGGGGTTTGACTGCAGCAGCGGAGAAGGGAGATGCTGATTTTAAAGCCCTACCAGGAGGGACCTTGAGGAGGAATCGAGTCTCCTGACCGGGTGGGATGCGTGCACTGTAGTTGCTCTCGTACTCGGTACCTGCCTGCTAATGGATCACGACATCTGACACCAGTCTTTGTTCTGCCCTTTGCAGCGACGGTGGGTACTTGTACCTTCAGCTGCCCCATCGCGGTACCTCGCTGAACTGCGAATAGGCGTGGCCCTGCGCCTTGTTGGAAGGAACGTGGCACGGTTCTGGAAGCAGGTACTGGCTGGAACGAGCCCTGCACGGGGCACCTGAGGTTACATGCTGAGGTAGCAACATGGCACGGCATTAGTACCAGTACATTACATGTCGCGAGTGACCCCTTGCAGTAGCATTGAGACCCTTGGGAGTTTTGCTTGGAAACACCACCAATAATGCAAGATTTCCGTATACAGGGCTGCTAGTCAAGCAGGTAGAAGTAATTAACGGGGGGAAGACAGATGAGACGCCAGGTTGCTTGTACACCTTAATCCAGGCCAGGCACGCAGAGTGGCTTTGCTGCATTTTCGTTTTGCACCGCCAAGGAATTACCACTAGGTTTAGTACCTAGTAGTAGTGCAGTGCAGCAGTACTGTACTATGCAATTAGGTACCTGTACCTACATTCTCGGAGATGTAGATGCTGTGAATCGTCATACCTTTTACTTGGCATTCGACGGAGCACACGCACCTCACGGTATGAGCCACCCTGAGAGGGGGAGCTGAGCTGCTTAGCCCTTCCGCCTAGTGCACGATTTTTTTTTCTCTCCGAATCATCTCGCACAAAATCACAGAATCGGCGCGGATCCAGGCAGCTTGCACGACGTCTGAGCCCATTAACACCCCCCTGGACCAGGACCATCTGTCCCACCCAAGCGGACCCTTTTGACATCAAAAATAGCGACCGGCTGGCGCTAGCTGTGGGCCGCCGCCGAGATGTGCGTGCCGGGGTTCCTGACAATGGCTGCGTCTGTGTCTGCAGTTTGGGCATCAGCCGCATGTCCGATGACTGGTCTGGGTCAGCGAGCGGATGATTTTTTGACGTTCCCGCTATAAGACATATTTTTTTTTTTTGCCGGCGTCACCCAGAAATCGTCTCACGAGTCGGAAATAAATACTGGCAGAGAGTCGTGGCCGCGCGCCTCTTGCTCTGTCGTCCGGCCGATACGAAGACCAGGGACCAACAAGCGATGAGACGCGATTCCAGACAGCCGCCAAGACTCCCTGACCCTGCTTAAGGCAACCCCAAAAAAAGGAATCCTCTTTTGCCGAGAGAGAAAAAAAAACGTCATCGATTCCCCACCGAGCAGCCTCAAGACCCGTCGCTCACCTCGATCCAGCGACCACAAGGAGTTTTTGTGCTAGTGATCCTCGAACGACTCATCTTTTCGCACGCCTCTCCGGACTTTTCTTCCCTCTGCGCCCCCCGTTGCTCTCAGCCATTCCGCCGCCCTTACCGAAAAGCTTGCGCCAGCGACATCTCCCATTAGCCTCGCCTCAGCTCTGTCGTACCAGTCTACCCTCACAGGGGGCGTGGGCTTTGGTAAATTCTGCCCTTTCGATCCCGCTGTGCTGCACGGAGTACCACCGTAGCTCATCAGTCTGACACAACTTTGCCCGCTCGACTGCCGCCGTCCGAGCAGGTAGAGTCGCTGCTCCACCTGACCTCTGATCACTCCATATATACAAGAACCCGCCGGTTCCCGCTGCTGTACGCTCGTAGCAACTGCTTGCTGCGGACGGACAGGTCATATCAGCCCAATATGACTTCGAGTAAGTCCTTTCGAGCTACTCTTCTGCCCTCTTCTCTTTCTCGCTCCTCGTTCCGATCCCATTCGCACAATGGCTCCTCCGATTCGAAAGCAACATCCGATTCCGACACCTCTCGCCGAAAGACGCCACCCGAACCTCTAGCTCCAGCTCTGAAGCCCGCTGACGGGCCACAGAAGAGCTTAGAGCCTGTGGTCGAGAGAAGAGACGAGGCGGAACGACCTCCATCGAGGCGGAACCAGAAATCGAAGCCATGGAGCAGTCGGATCTCATCCTTGATTCCATCGCTTACACTCCAAACAGACCACCGCCCGATGTCTATCCAGCGGAAGCCTGTTGCTTCCCTGGCGCCTCCAAATGAGCCGCCGCCGCCACCACCACCACCACCGCCTCCTACCACCTCTTTCGACGCTCCTCTTTTTGAAGATCCTCGTCTTCCTGAACCTCTCAACCCTCCTTATATGGCTGCTCCCCTCGATGCTCCTCCTCCTCCACCATCCGGGCCGCCACCTGGACCACCACCACCTCCCCCTCAGCAGCCATTATACTCGGTAGCCGAATCAACAAGCCCCTCCAGCGCGGCCGGCGATTCGACTGTTTTTGAATCAGCACAATCTGATACGTCGTCCTTACCGTACCCGCAACACAGCCCTCCGCAACCCCCACAGTCAAAGGTGTATCCCGCTCCGGATTCAGAAGCACCAGCCGTGTCATCCCAGATATCGCTGCTTGTAATGCCGCAGTCTGATATTATTAGCCCTATAGACAACAACACGAACCTACCCCCGCAGATCAATGGTCCGATTCCGCCTTCCCCTTCTGTGTATTCTGCACCAACCACCCCAGCCGCCGACACTGATGTGCCAGTACCAGCACTCCCTCCGCTAGGCTTCAACTTTGACATTCAACCTCTGGCCAACCCGGTGATTATGGATCCTATTCCACCTTCACCCGTGCCAGAGAGGACAACCTTTAGCATTGCAGAAGCACTTGAGGAAAATGTTGCTGCCAATCCTGACCAAGTCGATAGCAACAGGAACTCTGTTGGACTGAGCGTGGCGTCAAGCGAAGGCCTCGACAACGATATAGCTAGACCACGGAGCAGGTCATATTCAGAGCGAAAAGACTCCCTTCCACCTATGCAGGTGCTGAAAACTCGACAAACGGCTCCTTTGCCAGAGCCCAGGGGACGAAGCGTTTCTGCACGTGTCAACTCGACGATCATGGAGGGTTCAAGGATGTCCATGTCCATGTCTGCCACCAATCTACGACCTATTTCCAGTATTAATCAGAGCCCAACGAGGCGGAAGCTACGCCGAAGTTGGATGCCAGGACGATCCCGCTCCAGCTCAATGGATGCTAGCCATGCCAACAAAATGGCTGCCTGGGTCATGTCGGATGGAAGCAAGGCAGAATACAATACGGCCTTCCTTACTAATGGAGAGAAGGTGAATAGCGCCCTTTTCTTTTTTACATCCCATTTAGACATTGATGAAGATAACTAACCCCAAGTCTCCAAAAGGTTCCTGAACTCTGGAATGAGAATGGCGCAGTCCTTGTCTATTTGTATCCCAAGTCTACTGGACGTGGGCCATCCTTCAAAGTACCGGAGTTTACCGTGAGCTCCTCCTTCATCTTCAACGAACTCATCCGATCAGAACTTGAGTCCCCGGGCACAAGAACCAGAGCTAGTAGCTTTACAGGTAGAAATAGCCTGAGCACCGATGACGCTTCACGGGTATCATCCCCGACATCGTTCCCAGTCGACCCATCTGGAGATTTCCTCCACCTGTACCTCCCCCCTGCACCATCAAATGCTTCATCAAGCCAGCTAGCGGTGCCTACTGCCGACAACTCGGGATCGGAGCTGGAGCGTCTGATTGCGATTCGGAATTTGTTTGCCTTCCTTACGGGCCAACCTCTAGTGGGAACTGCGGCACGACCAACAAACTTCCACGCCTTCCTCCAAATCTCGGATCTCTTGCAAGAGTTTTGTTTTTCGAGTGCTGATGGATATACTTTTGGTAATGCGGTTGATCTTAGCTTCGGCTTCTACTCAGAGTCTCTTGGCTTTGGAGATTGCCGCGCAAGCCGAGAACAAACACTGGAAGCTTTAATCCTGGGCGAACGAATGCGATCTCTGGAACTCTATAACGAAGCATTTGTACATGCTGTAGGGAAATACTCATCCATTATGGATCTGCGCCTGCCGTTATTTCAACAAATCTCCCCAACCACAAGACAGCGACTGGAAAAGGCTCATTTTGACCTTGAAAATCGTTATCAGAACGTGAAAGACCAACTTGAGCAGTTTGAATTTCCGTCTCTGTTTGCTGGTATCGCAAATTCGTCATCTATCCCTGAGCTGAAACAAGTTCGATTCAAGATTTGGCGAAACTCATTCCACAAGATGAGACAGTTTGTCATGAGCTACTACAAATCTGCATTTGGTAGTTGGCCTCCCAAAGCTAGCAGCAAGAAGAATCCCTTCGTGGAGAGCGGCCTGAATCGCATCGTGCTGAAAACTTTGTACTCGGACCATTGTGCCCTCTACGACTTGCTTGTGGATCGAAACAGCCTTACAACAAGAGTTATTGATGAGGTACCAAATGTTTCTAAGGAGGCTGATGAGATGATTACATCGGCTCTCCGTGTTATCGAGTCTGAATTTGATCGTTCTAGACCTCCTGTTCTGCCTCCTGTTCCCTTTGACCTCCCTCTAATTCCGTCAATGACGGCCATTCTTGAAACGTACAATACTCTTTCGCCCCGAGAGCAGGCTAAATTCGACAAGAAAGTCAAGGAACCTGAATTGGCTCTGGTGTTGAATGGCGCCTACAACTATGACACTGCCAGTATTCAACTTCCATTCTTGGATTATTTCAAAGAGTTTGAGGCTCGAGAAGCCAAGGGGAAGACGGCTCAAGATCTCGTCGATCAACGAATTGGTTATTTCCTCTTCCTCTATGTTATTCTCCAGTCACTGCCCATGTTAGTGGTGGATGCTCCCGACCTCAAATTTGCCGAAGGCGTCGAGTATTTCTTGTGCCAACCTCCTATCGGTAATCCACCATGGGTTGATGACAAGGGATTCCGAAGAATGTGGTACGAGGTTGCCGGCGGTGGCTACGTTGAGCTTTCCGCAGATGCCGTCATGTTCAGCGTGGAGGCGATCTACCACCGAAGCCACTGTTGGCTGGCTGCCAAGATTTGGGAGGAAATGGGTAACTCGGCAACTCCGCCCCTGGAAGAGCCAGCCTTGGAACCTCTTGAGCCTCCTCGGCCCATGTTCCAGGATGCTGACGGCGGCTTCAACAATGGATCAGGTGGTCTCTCCGGCCAAAGCACCCCATCATCAGTCCCAGGATCACCTCAGCTGCGACCGCGACCGCGTAACCAATCCCCAGCTAGCCGTCGTGTCAGCACTGCGAACCGCTCGAGTATCATGATGGGTTTGGAGCCTGTTCCCCTTGAGCCGCCGCCAAATCTCTTTGGTGTCCACCAGCGAAGCAGCTCGCTGGGACCACGACCGATGAGCAGCCATCTCACCAGCCGATCTTCATCTGTCGGAAATCTTGTTGGTATGAATCCTCGGATGTCAAGACCGAGCTCCCCGGCCAGACATGCCGCAGCGACGTCCGGGACCACTTTCGATGACATTTTGGGAGAAGCAAATAAGAAAAAGTCAGCTCCCAAGAAGAAGGGTAGATTCTTCTAATCTCTACCACATATTTTTTCTTCTTTTCTTTTCTCCTTTTTCTTTTTCTTCTTTTTCTTTTTCTCATTTTTCTTCTTTCTACTTTTTTTTTTTTCTTAAAAACAACTTCTTAATGACTTGTGGCCTCTCAGTGGCAATCTCGTCGCTTTCTATCCCTTTTCTTCCTATCACACATATATCGCATATAAAAACGTTGTTCATCTGTTGGAGGTTGGGACTTTTTGTTGCTCTGGAATATTTTCTTTCTTTCCTTTATTGAAAGAGTTTTTTTTTTTTTTTCTCTCACATATTACATGTTAGAGTCGGATTTTCTTAATAGGATGTATAAAAGCCCGTTGGGCATTGGGCCATGAAGATAAATTTCAGGGCACTAGATGATGGTTAGATGGAGGGAACAAAACGAGCGAGCGAGCAAAGCGGAGCAGAGAAGAGAAGAGCAAAGCGAAGCGAGCGGATTCAAACAAGCAACATAAAGTAAAATATGAGTAATGACAGAACATTCTAGACATAATTGCATATTGATTTAGTATTACCGCTTAATGTATATTGAATCACATTTCTGCCGTCTACATCCTCTCTGTCTCTTTTCTCCCCTGAAATGTATGAACAGCTGGATAGAGCTTGTTTACAACCAAAAAATACTCAACGTAGGAGCGTATTGATTACTACTGCTATGTTGTCATGATATCGTGACTGAAAATTCGCCGCCCTTCCGTAACCTGTCCTCTTGTAGAGGAGCTTTGATTCCCACTGCCATTATTCCAGAACAAAAAAGAAAAAGAAAGAAAAAAAAAAGAGAAAAAAAATCGATATACAAAAGAAATACAAGCTGCTTGATGTTGCCTCCCGGATATAGTAAGATAAGATAGGAAAATTATGAAAATAAGAAATAAACCACAATTGTTACACTGCTTCAATTCTCTGCCATCTCCCTCTCTCAGTATGCCACCACTTCTCCTTCTCCTTCTTATCGGCCACCTCGCCTTCTTTTTGGTTCCATCGTCCTGTACATCCTTCCCTGCTGCCGCTGAGCGCCTCTCCCCCGTCGCCGACCATATCAGCCACGTCGACGAGTCCGCCCTGCTCGTCTGTCGCGCCATCGTCGGGTAAGAGGTGGTACGAGATCTTGCTGCCCAGCGTGCCGATGAAGCCGACCGTTCCAAGCGTCTGGGCCAGGCCGTCGTCAGCAGCAATGGTAAATCTGAAGCGAGGAGCGTTGTGGGCGGCTTCGAGGCGTGACTGGGCGGCGAGGCGGGCTGCGTGGAGATCTGTCCCTGGCAGAGGAGTGGCGTAAATAGTTGACGGGAGGGACATTGTCGTGGCGGATTTGTGGATGGGCGAGATTGGTGATGAGGGCGCGCTGAAGGAGCCGGAGGCTGGGATGCCACCCATGGCATTGAGGCGCTGGAAGCGGTCGTTGGGGAGGATGATGTGGTCCACGGGGCGGCAGAGGGCTTGGAAGCGGCCTTCGGGATCGTTGGGCGTTCGGAGGGTGGTGAGAGCTGGGAATCCGCCGGCCTCGATGCTGCGAGCGAGAATATCGTCTGCTTCGTTGGTTGTGGTTGGGTGGCTGGTGATGTCCCAGTGGAGCTTCACGATGGTAGATGAGGCGAGGTAAGGCATCATCCAGAGCGCAAAGGAGTCGGTTTCTGGCATTACTGGAGGGAACGATTGCGCGAGGTAGAAGTATTTCAGGGCGGGGAGATAGGAGAAGATGCGGGCGAGAGCCGGAAGAGATGTCAAAGGCGTGTTGCGGAGCTCGAGGCGCTGGAGATGAGAGGTGTTGCTGCGGGTGGCGAAGGATGTGAGGCCATTGGAGGTGATGCCCACGATGCGGGAGAGTATCAGAGATTTGAGAGGAGGTAGAGATAGAAGGTTGTTGTCGTTGAAGGCGTTCGGCGGGAGGTTGCAGAGATGGAGATGTTGAAGCGAAGGGAGGTACGTTAATGTTTTTGATAGGAGTCTATAGGGGGCTAATGTAGCACCAGGCTGACAGAGGATTGACAGGTTGGTTAAGGAGGACCAGTTACGATGACTATCGAGAAAGGCGTCTCCTTGGGATGGCTCCAGCATGGATGGGCCGCTTTGTCCCCGTTGTTTGGATGGAGAGTCTGTCCGCTGACCTCCTTGCTGTTGCACCGGCGTGGATGCAGGATCGATAATCCAAGTCATGTCCTTCAACGACCTTCTCGTCGACAGCGCGTGGAATATCTTCTTGAACGAGTGGTCGTAGTTTGGTGTTGGGCCCGAAAGTCGCTCCAGCTTGGGACAGGCCATAATCAGCGTGGCAACCTGATCTTCGTATTGCTCTAGCCATAACATGCCCTTCGAGACAGACCAGTTCAACGGCGGCTCTGGGTGTGGCACCTTTAACGAGCGTACTAAGGAGGCGATATTTGGGTTGGTGCGCAAGGTGCGTCGTAGCATGGTCATGCGATTGCCTTGATTTTGCTTAAACTTCTTCTTGTGTGCGGCTGAATCTGAGCCAACGAGTTGGATGTCTTCATATCTGCGCGTTTTGATGATTAGACATTGAGAAAGCTCCCTTATAAGAATATAAAGGACAGAGAAAGAGAGCCCAGGTAGCGGAATAAAGGAAGAATAGACTTACAAAGCTACGCGGGCGTGTTTGTACAATCTACGACTGCAGAGAGCAGCGCTGCAGAGATCGCGCATCATACATGTCGCACAGCTCTCACTGTTCCTATTCAGGTGTGATCCTTTCAGAGATTGCAGGACTAGATCGAGCACTTCGCCAGGTAGGAGATTGAAGAGCTCATTAGGTCCTCTGTCGAGCCTGTCGGGTCTGAATGCCGTCCGAATCGGTGACGACTGATACACGCTTTCGCGCACCCAGCTACTTGTCTCGAGTGTATTCAAGTTCATCCTGTTCCCTATGGAAGCTGCCCTTTTCCTTGGGCCCTCGATACCTTCGTGAGCAAAACTAGTGGGGGATGTAGGAGAGGTAGGAGATGTGGGCGATCTGGGAGTGGTAGGCGATCTAGGAGATGTCGGGGATGTTGGAGGGGTATAGTTGCTGCCGTTCTTGCTCATGGAAGTGCCTGTCAACTTCGGGGGCCGCTTCAATGCCGTGTGGAAGGATTCCTGAGATCTTGATGCGTTTTGCGTGCCTTGATATACTGGATGCGCTCCTGATTGACTCGCTGCCCTTGTCGTTCGATTCATGCGTGATACGCGCTCAACATTCACTGCGTCCACGTTGCCATCTTCATCGATAGAGTAGAGATCCGCCGCGGTAAAGGCCGGTGGCAGAGGAAAAGATTTAATGGTGGCAGTCGAAGCCATGATGCCGGATTCTTGCTTAGTTTAGCACACACAAAGATCTGGCACGAATTGCATCCTGCAGAAGAATTGCATACAGAAAAAAAGATGATGGACAAGAGGCAGCAAGCAACAGTGACGCCAGCAAATCGACGTGGAGCAAGGTAATAATGAAAGAACCCCGTGATATTCAGCCTGAATGCTGGTTTCCTGGGGTCCCTCTGCCTCTCTCTATCTCTTTCACGTCTGCTCGCTTGTCGAACTCCAGAGGCTCTTGACGATCAGTTGGAACGATCCGCGTGTACCCTTCAAGGGTTTTGGGGGAGCAAGCAGGCTAGTGGTAGCGAAGCCTGGGGCAAAAGGGGCGGAGAAGCACATCTTTTTGATTGATTTCTCCCGGGGGTGGTGGCCCGCATGACGGATGCCCAGCCCAAGCCCAGCCTGCTCGCTATGCTGTTTTCTTCCTCATTTTCTTTTCTGTCTCTTTTTTCCTTCTCTTCCCTTTGGGTAACCATACCATACCACTAACAGACAAGGCTCCTTTTTACGTTCGACTACCCTGACGGCCGGGAAAGCCAAGAAGTTCAAGCCCCACGAATCAAGGCCCTTGAGTGTCCATGGCTTTTCCCTAGTCCAGAGACTTTGACGCAGGTACGAAGTGCTAGTGCCAGTAATGCAGACCGAGCGTCGACTGCCGGGTCAGGTACAAGCGTAGCGATCCAGGGGTAAAAATTGTGGGAATTAATCAAAAAAGAAAGAGTGTCCACCCCAGCGAAATGCGCCGTGGCACCGAATGCTGCCTCTCGATGTATCTTGTCCCGCTAATTCGTATTTATAATTTGCCCTTCTCACGCGAGACATGGGGTGGGGAGACCGATAATTCGTGTTTGCCTAGATCGGGAAATGCCCAATATATGTTGGCCCTAGTGGGCAAATCCTTGACTGCTAGGGGGGCGGCGGCTTTTGGATGATTCGACCGGCCCTCACTTCCAAGACAAGAAGAAAGCGGATTCACTCAATGCCAATTCCAGCCGTCAATAAATTGCATGAACCACATGCGTGTATGGGCAGATCATTGTCGTTCGAATTCCTGGCAAAGAATGGCCATCCATTGTCTTCACTTGCCAGGGTCGTGGAGCCTGGCCGCACGAAAAGCTTCCAACCCTCTCGGCGGGTTTGTTGCTAGGCTCGGAGCTGAAAAGGCCTAGAACCCGCGATCTCAGCCTCCACCGTCTTTGGGCTTTGGGGTGCTCGTCATCCAAGGCCCGTGCCCTGAAGCAGCTCCCCAAGCACAATCCGGCGATGCAGATTCAGCCGCAGGAAGGCATTATTGAGGCTGGCACGACGCTTTCTGCAAGCCTCTTATTCGACGCAAGGCCACTGTTGGCGCGCGTTCCTTTCGCGTGGCTGTCTTAGCTAAGAGAGGGGCCGCAAGGTTGATAGGAGTAGCAAAGCGTGAGGATGGTTCAGCTGGGTGGCGGAGTGGCTTTCAGCTTTCCCAAGGATGTCTACAGTAATGTCTCACATATTTTCTACCCTTGCTGGCGAATAAAATAATCGATGGACCGGTTTCTCAGGACTTCTTCATCCCATTATGCGGTGGTTTCGGAATGTGATTCTGTTTTTGGACGAACGTGGTAATATTTCTCAATCATTTTCTGTGAAACCCGTCTCTTGAAAGATCGAGAAACAAAAGCTCGCGTATCAACCAGCTGTAAACCAAGCTGCGCGAGCTCGCGTGACAGAAAATTAGTGCATCACAACGAACGTGAATTCAGCCAATGGCTGTATAGCATCAATGTCATTATAAATTTGCCGTGTTAGCATAAAGCTAGCTTATCCTTATTCACACGATCCTAAATCCAGCGCATGCCGGCTCTCATGTATAGTCGCCAGACCGAGTTCATCGCTGCGTCGCTCTTATTCTATTTCAGCCAACTGCAAAGCGAACCCGCCGAATTGGCTGAGATGCCGGCTCTAGCTGGGATGCTGCATCACATTCGTCATCCCTTGTCAAACCTCCCCTTCCTGGTCCGTTATCATACGATCTCTTCAACACATTCGACACCATGAGAGGCTTTTGATGCCCTGGTGGCTCATTCTTTAGCGCACGTTTCTCATCTAGAATGATACCGTCGTCGGGATGTGCTGCAACTCCGAATCCTCTGCCAAATACAGGTTGTGTAGTTTGAAGCGTGGCCATCTGTAAAGTATAGTGGTCTTCGCTCGAACTCATTGGAGTAACTCTTGCATTTTTAATCCAGTTATATATTGGTCGGACATCTAAAATGGACTTAGCTCGACGATGTTCTTCATGAGTCATATGTTTCTTGCGTTCGAGAATGACTTCGTCCAAACTGTTCTTGAGCACAAGCGTTTCAACAGAGACCGGCTTCTTTTGGCTGATTCGCCGTACTCGGCCTATGGCTTGTGCCTCTACCTGCGGATTCAAGACTGGATTGATGAAATATATTCGAGATGCCTCTCGCATATCGAGACCAAACGCTGCTTGGGATATATCCATAAGGAGGACTCTATATCTGATGGTTAAGATGCTTTGCCTCTAATACTTTTGATGCCAGAATCAACCCACCTAAACTTTTCGTTATGATTGAATGTATTAACATATTGCGCTCTTCTCTCTGTGCTCAAAGATTTGGCATAAATTAAATGTTGAATTTGAAGCTGAAATTCTGTCAGCATAACCACGGAACCTTTCTCTCTAGTGGAAACACGAACCACGTCAAGCATGCTGGCTAAGTACCATGCTACGTTTTCATTCTCGTAGAAAACAATTATTTTCTCGTCTTCTTGATATTTCCCCAGACAGTCTACCAAATAGGAGAGTTTTGCGGATACAGTCGCGGTGATCTTTGTCTGTTCCAGATGACCGGCGGATGGTTCGACAGCGAGGGTCTTCGGCTCAGTTCCGTTTATACCATGGGAGCGTACCTTCTTCGGGCTATCATCACCTAATTTTGTATTGCCGGCAAGTGTACTAGAGGATTTCTCCTTTGATTTTGAACTTTTCTCAGGAGCTGCCGCATCTAGAAGTTTCGAGCGTTCCAGCGCGCCTTCTGAGATCAGTTCGCCGTTTAAAAGAGAGTTAAATTTCTCTTCACTCCCCGCTGCTTTATATACTAGACTCTGAAGCGATAATAACATGCTGGTAGATGTACAGATACTACCGTCCATGGCTACACCATCAAGGGACCAGGATGCGCCAGCGTTGCCGGGAAAGCCCGTGATCGATACTGCCATTTCGTGAAATTGGTTGGTAAGATTTCTGAGTCTGTTATGCATAGCTAGGTTGCCAAATTGGATAGCTTGCTGAAGCAGCGATTCATCCTCCGGGCTGATGGGAAATTTCCGCTCTGCCAAAAACTTTTCAGCGGTTTCTACTGATTTAGCAATTTCGTCAGCAGTAAAGAAAGACCCTCCAAAAAAGCTTGCCTGCTTCAAATTGTGTACGATTTGTAGCAGGGCTTTTCTTTGCTTGTGATGAAAGAAATAATCCATATCCGTTCGCTGCGATTGGACAGAGTTGAATACTATCATCATAGAGAACAAATTCAATGACAGCTGATCCTGAAACGAACCTTCGAGTACCACGACTTTCTCATTTACAAAGGGTAAAAGAGTGTCAATTTCCGACATACGATGGCGAATAATGAGAGAATTGAGCGTAGATTCCACGTTTTCCCATCGACCTTGACCCTTGGGGTGATGCTTGGGGAGCATTAAGTATTCAGTCCAGTCAGCCACCGTATCACCGTTTTCGATCTCGATGTTTGCCCAAGGACGGGCTTTTAAATATAGGGCAGCAATAGCCCCAATCCGCTCAAGATCTTGTTTTTCCATCTGGGTCGAAGAATTGCTGTGATTGGTATGAGATGGCGCCGTAGAGGCATGAGATGACCCAACTCCGTATAAACCATGTGAAGGAGTTCCTGTAACGATCCAACGAGAGGAGAAATGCATCGACTCTAGGCCAATTAAGAGATTACTCTTCTTGCGAATTCGCGAGTTACCAAGCCTGTGACCCTCATCCACGATACATCGCTTAAAATGGAGGGACGACAAGACGGAACGGCTGACCCCGCCGTCCTGCTTCACAACGCTCTCAAATCTAGACTGAGAGAACAGGACTATGTCGCATGTTAATAACTCATCGTGCGAGGGAAGCTCGTCGCCCCTTTTTAGCACTATTGCGTTGAATCCCTCAGTATGCTTTTGTATCTCCTGTTTCCATTGCGCAAGGAGGTTATCGGGAACAATCACGACTGAAGCCGGACTTAGGTAGACTTTTTCAGGTGGCGGGGCCGTGACGCCTGCAGAACGCCGTCCAGAACGTAGAGGTCCTCTTACGGGGAGAAAATAATGCCCAGGATTTCTCGAGAGAATGTCGTTACAATGAGTAAACTCATAACCATGCCGCGCTTTCCACACTTCGAAATAGGATCTCCAGGGAACGGCATGGCGCGTGGCGCACGAGGCTGCCATATCAGCGAGGGATGCGATTCTCTGTCTGACTGGTGGCTGACCCTCTTTATAAAAATCAGGTGGATGTGTAGGCAAATGCATTGTCGCAAGTATCAACGCAAGACAGATTATTGTCTTGCCAGAGCCCATTTCCTCTGCTAAAATCCCACCCGAAACCGCATCGTAATACCGTGGGCCCAAGAGAACTGCACCAGTAACATGGTCCATATACCAAGATGAGCCGTGTGTGTCTTTCAGATGCAATAGTCTGGGGTCGAGAGTCTGGCCGGGTTGCACTTCCTTCTGCAGCATCAAAGCTGCAGATCGTCTTTGATACAGATATAACTCTGTTTTGAGGCCTGGCACCTTGCTCTCCATGAGATTATACATTGCGTCCAGTGTATATGGCTCGTTGATTGAATCCAAGTCTGGATAGGGTGAAGGAATGGTATTGAAGAGCTGTAGCAGAGATATGTCTTTGTCATTTTCATCAGTGTTGGGACATTCAAGGACAGGACGGCCAGTCTCTTCTGGTATCTTAATGGCTTTCCAAGCACATGGTGAATAATCAAGGCAGCGAAGCACCTTGAGCCTCTCCCTTTGCAATTTTGTACCAGTGCGGTCTATCGAACGTCGCTGAACGTCGTCTGGTAGCAGATACACTCTGATAATTCCCAGCTCTTCATCTAACGTACTGACGCAGAATTCAAGCTGACACCATTGAGCATGAAACAACTGGGCGAGCGAAAGAAGCTTCGGAGCTGTCAGGAGGGGCGTCTGTATTCTGGGATCGAGGCACAGCTCGCCAAGCTTAGCCTCACAGTCGCTGCTGTTGATAGTGCTGCCATGTCGCTCTAGTCTTTGCCATCCCCTATGATCTAATGTTGACCAGTCGTGTCTACTGATCTGGCTTTCATCTTGTGGGATTCCAATGCATCCGACAGGAATATATGGACCTTCACAATGCATGGCGTGAAGTGGCGTCGGCAGTGCTATTGGGTCTCACTAATGCCTTATGAGACTGAGTTGCAAAAGCTATAATTTCTCTATCATTTTAAAGTAAAACAACTCCGATGTGCGGTGACAAACGCTGAGGGGCATGGGGAGAATGGAAGGATGAAGAGGAATGCAGGAGAGTGCTGGGCTAAGGCTGATGGATATGCTAGAAGTGTTGCCTGCATACGGTGCCAAGATAAGAAGCTTACTGTAAAAGCAGCGGCATGACCGCTTGCGTAATACAGTGCGCGATATTCATTTCTACCAGTCCCCATTCGGGCTCTCACGGCCCTGGCATATTAATGCCAATAATCCATGTCAAGTCATTCAAACGCTAGATATCAGCTCTATCCCTTGTCCTTGTGAATAGTTCGCCTACTCCCAACGTTCTAGCAGGCCAACATGCCATTGCTGAAATAGCCGCTCTGAGGCGGGCATTAAGTCGTTGCTTTCCTGCAGACTTTGGCGAGCCGTCTTTATAGCGGCTGCTGGAAAGCTGATTTCCTGAACACCTGAAGTCATGGAATCAACCAGCTTGTTCCCTTCCTCCGCACCAATGTCTTGATACAATACTTTGATCGCCACCTGCCTTCCTTCACGCATGGTTGACGAATACACCACATTCGCGTTGAGCACCCAGAGATGTAGAGATTGGGATGTCTCTGATTGGGATCCCTCTGGATCAACCTCAAGTGTATGTGATGCCACCACAGATTTAGATGAGCCCGATCGAGATATCGTCGCTATCAGAGTGGCTGCCAGGCACTCTGAACTGCTCGGAGCTTGACTAGCTTGGGCCGTTTCACACGTAACCTGCCACTTGAACAGGGTGATAGATGATGCCAGCGCATTAAACATTCCGATGTCTGCTCTGCAAGATTTACAGGAAATACGTAAAGGCTTCACTGGATCGGCTTCGCCTATGGCTTCTTTGATGGAATCGAAAGAGGCATCCGAAGCGGGGTGGGAAAACTGCTGCTAGTAAGCTAAACTATCCTACGCACCAAGAAATAAACGCGGTGCAATCACGTCTACGCATATTATAGATATATCTCCTTTAATCTCCTGAATCCCACATCTCTGGAAACTGGATGAAAAGCAAGAGACTGCTTATATCAGCCTTAATGCCTAACCCGTTCTCGTGAAAGAAGGGTATGGGCCTTAGAGCCGCCCACAGTCAAGCAGGAAGAAGCACTGCATCCTTTTTGGGGAATTGTATCGGTGGCCGGGCCACTGAGAGGTATGTATACACTCGGCTAGGCCACCTTCTCTTTCCCCGTCGTCTCTAAACGATACTGCGAATAGATGGAATAGGGGGGGATTAAGTCAAGACTTACTAAAAGGCCGTCACAGTCCGATTCGGAAAACATGAAGGAAGTGAGGTCCACAAAGCCAATTTCTGGCTGGGCAGTGATCGAACTATCAGCTCCGTAGCCGCGCTTAGACAAGGTTTCGCTATCGTGATGCTCATGCTCATGAGGCTTGTGACAATGCCAAAACTCCATCATCTCCGCCCAGTTCTCGCTGGGCAAGTCTTTCCATGACTTTATGCGCCCTCGTTTCACGATTACACTATCGCAGTGCCGGCAGCAGACGCAGGACCCGGCCTTGATGTCCGTTGAACTCCAAGGTACTGATTGGTTCTCGGCAGAGAATCTCGCCAGTCCTGTTTCAGTGGCGAGCACCGGCAATCTCCAGGCCAAATCCAGCGAAGATTTTTCTGGGATAGGTATCGCAGAGCGCACTGAGACTCGGGCTGGAAGATCAAGCGATCTTACCTCACCCCGGTGGTGGACTTGGATGCGACGGCCATCGTCAAGGATCTCGGCCTTGGTTGTCGAGTCTGACGATGAGGAGAGCGTGGCTCTAACAGACACTTGTCGGATGTTTGAGAGCAGCTCGGCATATATGGAGAGAACCGCGGTATAAGACTGCGCCATGGCTCTCCTGGCATACTCTTATATCTCGAGCGTTTGCCTTTGAATCGTCGGCGCCGAGGCTGAGGCCGGGGCGAGGCTTCGCGATTCTGGTCTGTGGCTGGAAAACGCGTGACTTGCAGCGTCATAGGACGGGCAGCGCGGGAGTGCAGAAGCTCCCCCCACTATAATCCTCCATCTCCACATAAACTCGGGCCATTCCACCAGAGCACTGTCGCCCCAACACAACTGGTACTTTGATGAGGTTGGAATTCTGTTGTAAATCAAAGTCAATTGTCATCTTCTTCACATAAACGCACCGAGGATGTCGGGACTCCTTTCATACATCCCGGGTGCCAGCTTGGTCATTGGCAGCAGATCTAGGGCGGGAGCCATTGATTTGCCGTCTGTTGAAGTCCATCATGTTGAGACAAACACTGATAGGCGGGCTCGATGCCTCAAGCATCTGCTGAAGGCAAACCACGTAAATTACGCCATATTGTGGAACGACCTCCAGTTCGACAACCATAATCCTCACATACTCGGTTCGACCTACCTACTTGGAGGGAATGAAAACCATCTCAATGAGGTTTACAATAACGAGATTAAAGGCCTGGTTCCGTGGGAGCCGTCGCCTTCCGAGGTGATTGATGAGGACTGGAGAGACTTTCTTGGAGACAAACGCTACCAAAGAGCTTTTATTGATTATTTTGAGGATAAACTCGCCATGGAATTTGCGTACGATTGGAAGAAGGAAGTGCAGCATTTCCTATTCAGTGGCCAAAAGCCGCTGTTTCATGCTTTGCTAGACGGGCGTATGAAATCTCCCTCCCGCAACAGTTTTCTTCTGAACCTCACATACTGATTAATGTTAGTTGGCCATCCAATCATCCATCTTGGCTATGCATATGAGGTGGATAGCAAAGAAATTGCTATGGAGGCGCTTGCATTGGTCTCCGTCAAGTATGACTTTCTTCACAAGTACCTTGATGACAGCTCCTATACCAGGCCGTCGCCACTGAAATCGAAAGTGCCTTTAGACCTCTTAATCCAGCTCTCCAAGGACGATAGGTTTAGCAAGGAGCAAGTTCAAGTCGGTGATATGCAACAGTATCTTGAAGATCATGAGTCGGCATTCCTGGAATATTGGAATGGATGGGATATTGACGACGATCCGAAGAAACAATTTGAACTGTCACAAGAAGCGGCTGTCGCATTGCTTGTAGCCACCGTTCAGCCAGGAACCCACGCATACAACTTCTTCATCGTTCATATCTTAACTTCCAGCCATGCTGTCCGCGTTCTCCTGCCTTTTATCCCACCCCAGCATCATGTTGCTCTGGTTAGAGCATGGTGGCTTTTTGTCTTGGCTGTATTCAGTATCAAGGGCCGACCATTGCCCGATTACGACAATATTGAGACCGACTTGAAAGGCAAAAATTGGAAATATGTGGAAGATAAAGCGCTGAACTCAGCGTGGTCCAAAGACGCTCACTATGTTAAAGGTACAGTTCTATTTCGCAATTCTACACCGAGATTGAGAGAGAAGCGTATGACTAGATGCTGACATTGATACGTACAGCGATACGAGCGATCAGAGACACTGCTCGAACATGGGGCGATGTTCACGAGCGCTACCTTCAAGCTGCAGTAACTTTTGTTGACAACTTTCACGGATGGGTTTTTTAGTTAAGCATTAAAGGGGATATTTGACTGGCAATTCGACTGGATACTGGTGGAGATGGATTTGGAAATGGAAGCATGGTAATGAGGCATAGCATGGAAACAAAATCTAATCTGAACCTTGGGTAGTATTTGAAGGTTGGCCCTTTTTTTTTTCTTCTCGTAAACTGTATTCTAGTCTAGGTATCTGGTGATATATGAATGTCTACTAGTACTTGTTGATATGTATTTTGATAGAGACCTAGGTAGTAATTATTGTGACTCCCTTTTTTTTTTTTTTTTTTTGGAAGGTTGATATGCACGAAGTACAAGCCTAATAACAACCTTGCAGGCATCCGCTTGAGTTCAGCCTAGTGACGGCTGCCTTAGCAGCTGAACATACAGTGCTGATTAAAATGTTGATAGATGTATACACTGTACACAGACTACTCGCTAGCTAGGCATCCCAAGATTGCCTCTCATCTCTCCATATTACTCCATACTCTTTCTTCTTGATACCATCAGCTCTTCTGTCGACACTACCGAGTGACTATCTGGCTTATTTTGCATCGTATGCGCCAGAATTGCATGGGGATCTCACAGCACAGATGCTTCAGTCGCGTTAATGGCACCGCCCGCGAAGCGTCGCCGGCGGAATACCGTTGAGGCGTCCGACGATGAAGACGAGCAGCCCAAGGCCAATACCTTGACTAATTTCCTTCTATCCTCACCAAGCACTCCATCAAAGGCACGAGCGCCTACCGCATCACCGAGCCCCGCGAAAAGACGAACCGCGAATGGTCAATCCAACAATGGCAGCCCTCTTCGCCCGTCGCGATCGCTAAAGAATGGCACAAGCTTCAGCCCTAAGAAAACCCGCGATGCGGGCAAAGTTGAAGACAAAGGGAAGACGGCAGATTTGAAGACTCTCTTCTCTAAACAGGCGCAAAAGGCGACAAGGCCGGGGTTGGGAGCCGATAGAAAGACAGAACCGATAGACGATCTGATTCACGACCCTATATCCGACGATGACGAGATATCAGAGTTCAAAGCTAGCTCCTCCAGCTTGGTTGGGCAGCATGTGAGGAAACGACTGAAAGGTTTGAGTGCCGGGACTCAATCCACCCCCACAGGCTCGTTAACTATGAGCCAACGGTTCCTCAAGCCAAGTCGACCGACAACCACTGATGCATTGAATGATGACTTACGCCCGTGGTCGGAACGATTTGGCCCGCGAAACTTGGACGAACTGGCAGTACACAAGAAAAAGGTTGCAGATGTCAGGAGATGGCTTGAGGACGTTATGGGAGGTCGAATGAGGCAGCGGGTGCTGATATTGAAAGGCGCCGCTGGCACTGGGAAGACCACAACAGTCCGCCTTTTGGCAAGCGATATGGGGTCTGAGATCCTAGAGTGGAAGAATCCTGCGGGAAATGTAGTGACTGGTTACGTCTCGTCATCGGCGCAATTTGAGGATTTCCTTGGGCGAGGAGGCAAGTTTGGGGCTCTAGATTTGGAAGAACCAGAGCCATCATCCACGCCGGCGAGCTCAAGCGGCGCCGCGCAAAACGGCAGCAGCAGTAGCAGCAGAAAGATAATTCTCATCGAAGAATTCCCAAACACCTTTTCTCGAAACTCAACTGCGCTGTCATCTTTTCGACGGACCATCCTTCAGTATCTGGCGTCGCAAACGCCGTCTCTCCATACCTTTGGACAGCAGAAGCGAACAGAGCCCATAACGCCCGTTGTTATCATAATATCGGAGACATTGTTGACTACGACGTCGGCTTCAGCAGATAGCTTGACTGCTCATCGACTGCTTGGACCAGAAATCCTCCGACATCCAGGAGTCGGCCTGATTGAATTTAACGCGATAGCCCCTTCGCTGTTATCCAAAGCTCTGGAGGTTGTTGTGCAAAAAGAATCACGAAAGTCAGGTCGGAGGCGAACACCAGGGCCGCTGGTACTAAAGCGGCTCGGTGAGATTGGCGACATTCGCAGTGCCATATCATCGCTCGAGTTTCTATGCTTAAAGGGAGATCAAGATACCGATTGGGGATCCAAAGTAACGTTTACAAAGCAGAAGAAAGGAGCAAAAGATGCCATTGCCCTTACACGCGGCGAAGAGGAGAGCCTCGAACAAATATCTCAGCGCGAAGCTAGCCTGGGCATTTTCCACGCCGTTGGCAAAGTGGTCTACAATAAGCGAGACGATATGCCATCGAATGATCCAGCAGAAAAGCTACCGAGTTATCTGTCGCAGTATTCGCGCCCAAAAGCATCACTGGTATCTGTTGATTCTTTGATCGACGAGACTGGTACCGACACGCATACGTTCATTTCGGCTCTACACGAGAATTACGTGTTGTCTTGCGAAGGCACTGATCCGATGGACCTCTCGACTCCGATTGATTACGTCAATGAATGTATTGAGTATCTTTCCCTGGGTGACTTGCTTAGTCCTTCTGGAGACGTCTTCTTTGGCGGACGTGGCGGATTCGGCGGGAACTTTGGAGATTCTGCAAGCCATGTCCTCCGGCAGGATGAGATAACGTTCCAAGTCGCGGTACGCGGCATGCTCTTTTCCCTACCTAATCCCGTCAAGAGAAAACCGGTAAGTACGCAAAAGGGCAGCGACGCATTCAAGATGTTCTACCCGACAAGTCTCAAGCTTTGGCGGACAAAGGAAGAGATTGGAGGACTCATTGACGTGTGGTCTGGGAAAATTCTGAGAAGCGAAGCTGAGCTCCCAACGAGGAACATCATGGACGGTGCTAGCATCTTTCGACGGAATCAGCTCTCTGCCAGCTCTAACCAGGGGCAGAAGAAGCAAGCAGACAAAGCTCTTGCGTCCAAAGATACCAAGCAAAGAGAAGGCGAAGAAGAGAGTGACAGCCCCCCGATTATGACCCTTGGCAGCACATCTCGCCGCGAACTACTTCTCGAACGGCTCCCCTACATGGCACACATTGCCCGCTGCCGCAAGACAGGCATACGGCAGCGAGACCTCGAAAAGATTGTTTCCTTCTCCGGCGTGAGCGTCTCGCCAGACGACGAGTCTGATGCTGACGATGATGGCGCAACGGGAGAGATGTGGGCAACAGATAAGCCATCGGAAGACGGCACCCCCCGGAAGAAGAGGATGGGTATCAAAGCCGGAACAGGTGTTACAGGGATGTTGAAGCAGAAGCTGGTTCTCAGCGATGACGATATTGAAGACTAACTGGGAAAGAAAGAAAGAAAGAAAGAAGAAGAAGATATATGAGAGGCGTTTAACCGGGATCGAATGTATTATGGGATTGAACATGACATACATGGATTTTTGGGAGTTTGATCTGCATTTTTTTTTTCTCCCCTTTCTTATCTTTGACAGCCCGGAGTTCTATGTGTAACTATACTATAAAGCAATGTGCATCTAGAAGATGTAGGATCGATAGCTGTTTGCGAGTAAGAAAAGGGGTGCGTCATAAGGGCAACCTGTGTTTTTTGCACCGCTTTGACATCAGCATCTCCAAATAAGAAACTTTCAAGGTTATTTACAGGACAAAATGAAATGGGGAAAGCCTATCGCAAAAACATATTGCGTCTTTTTTTGACACAGTAGTAGTATAGTCTTAATGCCTGTCTACGAGAAACGAAACAAAAAAAAAAAAAAAAAAAAAAAAAAAAAAAAAAAAAAAAAAAGAGGAGCAAAAATAAAATAAAAACATGAAGACGTTTAGAATCCCGCATTAGCTAATTCCTCGCTGCACCATGCACGCCAAAGTACTCCATATATTCCCGAAAGCGGTGTCACATGAAACTTCACCTCTCTGTCTTTTTCTCTCCCTTTCTTCAGACTCTCGTCTTGGCTTACCTATGCGGCAAGATTTTCGGCAACAAAGGACTAGTTTTGATACGTACAATGTTAGTGACTAGCTTCCTGAAGCATTCATTGCGAGGTGTAAGCGAGACAGATTAGGGGAAGATTTCTTACAGGGAATTCCTTCTGTAACGAATTAATGACGTTCTCAACCTCCTCGGCCAGACTCTCTACGTTGGCGTCCCATCTGCGCATCTCTTTGCCCGCCAGAGCCTCAGCGCGGCCACTGCCCTTCTTGCCTGATGCTTCCCCACCTTCAAACCAGACAATCCCGTCTAGTTGATCCATTCGTCCCACGAGTCGTCCTTGTTCGATCATTCGTGCGGTTGTCTCCTCGGCCTTATCGGCATCCAGACCCAGCAATGAGCCCAGGGCCTCGAACTGGATGTTGTTGTATAGCCTTGATACACCAAGCAAATTGTGCTCCATGACTGCCTTGGCGAGAACGGTAGATCCGTCAGCTGTGGTGGCTAGCTGATGCGGCTGCAGCCCCTCTGCGAACTTGTCCACCTCTGCCGGCGAGAGCAGCCGGTCCAGGAATATCTTTTCCAGGATGCCAAACTCATCCAACTGCGCTGATCTCTCATCCTTGTATAGTCTTCCCAGAATCCGGCTCCTCATTGGTCCGGCGGGCGCCAGGATGGCACACTTGACAGCCATGCTCAGCGTGTGAAGGCGCTCCTCTTCGGCCACGGCGGGGAAGAAGCTGATCTCGTGGTATCGCTGGGCGGCAAACAAAAAGTCCCGTTTCGCATCCTGGATGCGTGCTTGCGAGAGACGAAAGTGTAAATTGAGATCCGGGTCCGAGACAGTGTGCATGATATTTTTGAGCTTGTTGATGTACGTCTCGGCGGCTGTGTCATCGCCGACTTCTAGGTAGTTACGCACGATGCGAACCCACACGCGGGCCTTGTCGGCATCTGACACTTTGCGCTGCGAGCTGTCGAGGGGTATCTCGGCCAGGGCCTTTGCGGCGTCGAGGAAGTCTTCGTCGTTCTCGTGAGCCGTGGCCACGAGCTCATATATTGTGGCGGCGGCATCGAAGAAGGACGACGGCTGGGCTGCCAGGATGCTCAGCGTTCGGTTTCCAACCTCGATCCACAGGCTCTCTTTCTCGATATTCTTGAGTGTTGCGATGAAGACGTTGAGGAATGATCGTGTTGCTACGAGGCCAAGGCTCTGGCTGAAGAAGGAGTCGAAGACGGCATTGAGGTCGGCTGCGGTAGGAGCGGGTGAGGAAAAGGTCGAGATGTCGTTGAGGAGAGCTTCGTAGAGGGGACCTTTATCGCCGGGAGATGATTCTGTGGCGGCGAGGGCCGCAGTTACCTTTGGATTGGGATCCATTGTAGAGAGATTTGTTGGGGGCGGATGGCTGAAGAGGGCTGTTTGTTGGAAGACGAGAGTCCAGAGAACGAGAAGGTGATAAGATGATGTTGATAGTGGAAGCTGTTTGGCGGGGCAGCGCCAAGCTACAGCGGGGTAGCTCCCGGAAGGCCGCTAAAATCAGGCTGCTGGGGTAGTCAGCACCTGCCATCATCCAGATGTTACAATTCAATAGGTATTACCTTGCTGATTAAGGTAGATTAAGAAATGAGAAATTGGATATGTAGACATGCACTGTTTTGTATGCAAAATCAGCAGTATTAGCACAATGCTTGCTTGCTATTTTTCTTGTTCATGCAGTACATTTGTTCACCGCTATATATCTTCCAGTAAAAGCCCAGACAGCAAAAACACCCTCCAGTAAACTACACCTGCAAACCAGTGATGTGGCCAAAGTAAATGCAGCAACACATAAACGCCGACTATGTGCCCATCCAAAAAAGCGCGTTCTAAAAAGAAAAAGGCATCCATCTATCGGACACCAAGTTGTTATCCAACTAACCGTGTAACAAGGCCCTTTCCTTCCTTCGCTCTATTTGTTATGCCAGAGTAAAGTCCTCAGCGAATCCCACTCGTCGCAGTCCTTGTAAATGTACGTCATGCTGCTCCTCAAGCTCGACTGGAGATCCTCGGGGTGGTGCTTGAACAGCAGCATGACCAAGCCCCACGACACCGAGGCGAACACCGGCCATGCGTAGTGGCTGATTTGCGAATGCAGCGGCTCGGACGAAACGATGGGCAGGCCGTGGCCCGGCTTGACCGCGAGGCGCGCCAGGGCGAGAGCAACGCGTGCGAAGATGTAGATGACGATCTGCTGGCTGACGGAGGAGATTTTGCCGTAGCGCTTGGAGCGCTGGCCGAAGACGAGGTAGCCGCCCAGGAGGCCCGCGAAGAAGGAATCGAGGGGGCCTGTCGGAGAGGACGTGTCAGTGAGTATTGCATCTAATGCTGTTGTATCCGCAGAATATCACACGGGGAGACACTTACCCTCTTTGCCAGGCGTAGACCCGTAGCGCTTCAGCGCCAGCATTGTAATCTTGTATATGGACGCAAATTTGGCCAAGTTTGTGGCATGCTTCTTCGTAGCTCTAAACACCAACGAAGCCTTTTCTTTGAATCTACCGCCCAGAAGTTTCTGTTAATACGAGTCTCCCTCTCAACGTGCGCATACATGTATAGACGGCCATCGATGGGTATCGTCGGCGGCCAAGGGAAGATACGTACGTTCCGGATCGGAAGAGAAAGATCATCCTATCGCGCACACGTTAGCAAAAAACCCAAGAACTCCAACAGGCTCCGATATTCAAGTTCATCCTGTAACTCACACCAGCGCGTGCGGAAACCGCACTTTGGTTCCGTAGACTGCGCCATTGCGCACCGTCTTCACCAGCGATAGGACGTCATGATATGCCGGGTCTAGCGCGATGCCCTCTGCAACGGCCTGTCGCGGAATAGATAGGTGAGCATTTTGCTTCCAATCTTGACAATTTTATTCCCAATATATTCGCTTCTTCCATCTCTGCGACAGGAAGGGAAGCCTCATCGCCTAGTTGCGCATACCTTCAACTCCTCCAAGAACGCCGAGGCCGCCATGGTGCCTCGGCTATTGACGTTTCTGTCAGGGTATCACAACGCTTGCCGCAGCGTGTCTTGTGCAGGTACGGTTTCGGACGGCGAGGATCGTTGTGACTTGCGCTAGGGAGAAGATTAAAAAAAAAAAAAAAAGATATGAGATTATATCTGGAGGCGCAATCGGACTGAATTTGGGAATACGGGTTGAAGGAGAGTAAAGAAGAAGAAAAGAAAAAAGGTGCCGTAGAAAGTTGCGGTAGCAGGAGACAAGCTCCGGCTGCTGATGACTTGAGCCTCGGCCGGCTGTTGCGCCTGGGATGGGAAAAAAATGGGGACCGGTTTTTACCTAAAGATTCAAAATGTACGTCACTCCTTTTCGCTAGCAGTCCCGCTGCGGCAGTGGAGCTGAGAGACCCCTAGAGTCGGTCGCTTGTGACCGCTGGAGGAAACGCATCCCCCGCCTGTGGTTTAGCACAGCGGCTAGACTCAGCAGATCTGGGAGTAGATCTGGTGCATGTGCGGAGAAGATGGGAGACCATCTCTATGCATGTTGGTAGTACTTCAGTCTCCCTTTTTTTTTTGGCATGTGATGATGCCATCATTGCCAGCACGTGGCAGTAATGTATCATCACATTTGCTGCGACTGGAGCTTGGCTCAATTATCAGGAACCTGGTATCTATTGTACATGTAAGTACTAGTATGATGCACGGATTCACGTTTTGGAATGTAGAATATAGCAAGCCATAGTTCAGAAACTTGTCTACGATATATCCAGCAGCTTCTTGCTCCCTCCTCTTATAACCAACACGACAACATACCCAATCACCAATCAGCAATCACCAAACATATACATATATGTGCAATGTGCAATACACATCATTCAGCACCACCTCTCCCACGGCTCCCGCCACTTCACCCCCAAAATCTCAAATATCCTCTTCTCATCCCTCCTCTCCACCAACTCCCCCTCCGTCACCTTGGCTCTGTCCGGGCCCCTCAGCACATCTCGATACAGCCCCCGCTGGTTCAGCCGCATGCCCTTCTTCGACGCCAACAGCCGCATGCTGCGGTTGAAGATGTCGTTTCCGGTAAAGTAGATGAGCGCCGCGCCCAGCTCAGCCTCGGGCACAAGCAGAAAGTCGATTCTCCTCCATATCGCGCGGTACTTGTCGTCGTCGTCGTCGTTGAGCCCCTTGATCTTGGGTAGCACGCAGCATCCGTGCCATTTGCTGCCGTCGCTTCCAGCGCGGGACGACGCCAGCCGTGCCACCAGAAACTCGTCTCTTTCCAGCCTAACCACCAAGCTGTTCAGAAACGGCTTTAGATCCGCCGCAGATTCGGTGCCTGGCTTCGTCACAATCAGATCGATGTCGTGAGAGCTCTCGGCGCCTCTGCGGTAACTGCCCCCAATAACAAGCTGCACCGTCGGGTCGATCTGTGCTGCAGCCCTCTTCACAATCTCTCCGAGAGCGGTGACCTCCCTCCGAGGAATCCTGGTGTTTAAGTCGTCGTAGTGCTCGATGCCTACCGTCTGGCTGGGCGTCAGTTTGACGTGTTGCTTTACGTCTTCCAGCGTCCGCCAGCCCTGTGCAATCCATTGCTGTGCCACTTTGTTCCCCACGCCGTAAATCTTTAGGAACGTTTGCAGCGCGTAGTCTGTTGGTTCTTCCTGTGCATATTCGAGCCTCTTTAACGTATCAGTCGTCACAATCTCTTCAATCTTCTGCGCCAGCCGACGACCAATGCTGGGTAACCGGTATGCCTCCTCTTCTGTGGTGATCTTGACGCTCTGTTGCTTCAAGGTGCTAATGGCCTTCCGATAGGCCAGCGTCCGCCAGTGGTCATTGACCCTCTCGTAGTAGCTGTTCATCTTTTGTAATATCTCAATGGTGCGTGTATTTGGGTTGTCCTTGCCAGCATCCCTTCTCCCAGCCCTGTTGCAAGCAAAGCGATCCTCGAATGCTATCGCCTTGTTGGTCGGCCGTGTCCTCCTAGATGATCTCCTCTTTTGAGGTCTCTCATTCTCTGAGCCAGATCCTTCGTCGAGATCCGCCTGATGTTCGGATTCAATCGCCGTAGATTGGGCATCATCATCCTCGTCAACATCCAGGGGCAGGTCTTTAAACTCTTGCATCATCAAGATGTATTCTGATAACTCGTCATCTCTCTTCGGCAGTGCTTTGGCTTTAGCACTTGCTTTTGGAATATTCTTGACGACCTCGTCGGCCTTATCCAAGTCCAGTACAAGAGGCTGAGAATCTGCCGCTGCTGCCGCCGCCGCTCTAGTTGCACGCCTTGTTGAGGGGCTGCTGACCGAGGATTCTTCTCCTTGAGAAGGCGTCCCTCGGGCTGGGACATAATCCCACTTCCCCTTGTTATGATGCTGCGGCTTCAAAGGCGGCGAATCCGCCTTCGGTTTTACCGCAGGGCCTGAATCAGTAGCACCAGCGGCAGGAAGAAGAGCCTCTTTGTCCTTTGTTTCTACTGCAGTCTGGCCGTCTAGAAGATACTTCTTTTGATTCGGATCCACAATAGCACGAAACTGGATACAGTCGAGAGGATAATCCTCATTCACCACTTTTGGCGGCACCGCATCCCCAAACCCGTCTTTTGGCCAAATCTTTTCGACATCTTTATATATGAGCTTCTTCTCCACGATGACATGCGTAGCCGTCATCAAATCTCTCGTCCACTCGGCTCCAAACTCTTTCGCCCTGTTGATCCGCAGCCGTCTAACAGGCGCAATATCATTGTCTGGAATGTAAAAGAAAGACAGTCCCTTAAATATCTGCTCAACTTCAGGCCGTGTCTTGGATTTGGCAGCACGTGCTCTTTTATTGCCGTTAGTTGCCTTTGTCTGCGTCGTCCTCGTCACCACACCGGCCTTGACATTAACAGAGGGCGATGAGGATGCTTCTTCAGAGGAAGTGTCCAGCGACCTTTTCAACGACGCCGGCGGCGGTATACGAGTATCGGCAGTAGCAACAACGATTTGGTCCTTGTCCTTCTCCCCACGCGTCTTCTCTGCACCTACTGATGGCGTCTCTTGGATCACATCCTCCTCATTCAGCAACGCATCAAGCCGTCCCTTTGGCCTCGGTTTCCCCGGTCCAGTCCCCCTAATGACCTTTCCAGATGGAGGCTGAGGCGCCGCAATGAGTCTCCGGGGAGTGAGATTTTGCAGGTTATTCAGCCGCTTCTCAGGCAAAATTTGTTGCGCTGCATGCTTTTGCAGCTGCTTCTCTTTCTCTGGCTCTTGCTGCCCATGTGCATGTAATTTCCTCGCAGGCCTAAAGAAATTCCTGTGCAACTCCCTCTGCTTTTGTTCGCGAGCGTCAAAGGCGTCGTCATCCGGTTTCCCGTATATGTGCCCACCGCTGGTATGAGAAAATCTTTTAAGCCGGTCAAAATACGCGATTTTAGACTCCGCCGAGGTTGTTGTGGTCTCATCCATTTTATGAGAGCGAAATTTATGCAAAGTGAGTATCAAAATGTGCGTGCTCTGCGAGTATCAAGTAATATCCCAAAAGACCGTGAGGGGACGAGAAATATCACGTCTCTGTTCCTTAGGCGCTGTTGTGTTGATTTTACAATATTGCAAGGGTATCTGGATATTGTTAATAGGGGCAGCATGAGCCACTGCATTTTAAGCCATCTTCATGTGCTGCGAATGAATCGATAGATGGGCGAAATAAGTATTTGTTCATCGCATTCATTGCCAGCTCAATTTCTTGAGTGAGTGTTTCAGCAAGACGCTCAGCGCGTATAAAAGTGAGATCCATGGATGAGAGCTGTAATAGCGAGAATAGTCGCAGGCAACAACGCGCTAAAAGCAGCCACTAAAAGCAATACTAGAGGTAGGTACCTACTCCATAGACTACTGACATACCAAATATGGACATCAACCCGCTAGCATTGCTAAACCATCCGGGCATCCATCTACACCACTTATACAGAGCATCTTCATCTCAACAACAGCCAAACGCGAATCTAAACATGCTGCCAAATCGACTCTCCAACTCTCTCTCTCACCCATCCAAACGCCATTGCTCCAAAATACATTGCCGCCCACCACCACGCCAAATTCCACCTCTCAAGCAGCAAATGGCTCCTCGGCCGCTCACCCACGACCCTCACCCACCGTCTATACCCACGGTGTTCCCATCTCGAATAGACAAAATAGAATAACTGCTCGCCCACATACATTTAGTTCGCTATGCACAGAGAACAAATCTCTCAAAAGAAAAGAAAGGCAAAGGCAAATCGAGCCTTACCGTTTCTGCCAGGTCCGTGAATGGCGACAGCAGCCACAGCATGACAAACACCCGGTGCGGCTTCATGTCCGCTAGAAACCACCACTCCAGCACATCCAGCCACTCTCCCGTCCACGCAAATACTGCCGCGCCTGCTATGATTGCCACAATCCCAATCACAGAACCAGTCGTCGCCAGCGAAATCAGCTTGTCCTCAATGCCGGCACATGACGCTCCCCTCGCGCAGACTCCCAGGTCGCGCATTTGGAGATCTGCCCGCTGTTCATCTCACCCCTTTCCATCAGCATGCGCATATATATGTGATATATGAGATACATTTCCTCTCCCTTGTTCTTCCTCCTTTTTTCCTCGCCTCTCCCATCAGTGTATACACAAACGTAGTGATATAACAATACCTTAAATCCGGGGCGGCCAGAAACAAGGGAAAAACTCACATTGCGCCAAACCGGCTCAATCATCCCAAGAAACACAAACGTCGCCAACACCCTCACGACTCTCTCTCTGCCCACATCGTCGCCCTCTTGCCCAACACCACTCAGCCATAAAGCCCCATCCCCAACAACCAAACACATCAGCACCGTGCCCAGCTCGAAGAACCACAGCCTACTGTTTACAAACGCTTCCGCCTTCCACACAAACACCCTCTCCCTAGTCTTCTTGTTTACGGGCTTCTGGTGCTGCCATTTCTGCGGCGTCGGAGGTGGCGGAATCCTCGTCGAGATGAGGAACAGGCAGTACTAGGTGGCGTAGGAGGCAATGGCATAGTCAAAGATGGCTTGCGCATCGTCAGCGATGGAGAAGTGTTCTCTGATGGCGAGACGGGGGTGCTGTGCGAGGAGAGATGCGAGGGAAATAACCCAGTAAAAAATGTGATGTCTTGTTGATAACATATTCTTGAGACAGAAGGGAAGATGAGCTTGTTCTTGTTTCTTTTTATCCAAAGTATATGATTATAAAAGCCTGTATTGAAAATGAGATAACAAAAGAACTGAAATGAATTAGATTGATGAAACATGCACAGAGTATAAAGGAAGTTGCTATCAGACGTGCAAGGCGGCCAGCCACGCTTTTGCAATCAAGCAAGCTCAAGCTTTCCTGCCAATACACGCCTAACCAATTTGCTCAAAGCATCACTCTTTCACAGGGACTCGGATACACGAACCAAATTCTTCAACTTATAGCACTATCAATGGCCATACTTTATTTGCTAGGCTTCCTAGATATACATTAAATCGATCCAACACACCCCCCCAAACAGTAAAATAGACATTAAGAAAAAAAAACCTCTAGATATTATGCAAAAATACAACTCTCTCAGGAAGTTCCTCCTAAGAGCAGAAATTTGTAATACAAAAACGTGTTCAAGCGTCCAAGCTATGATGCCCAGAAATCCAAGGTGATGTGTGTTGTTGTATGTTGTATATATGTAACATGTCCAATGCTGTTGTTTTTGGTTGTCCCAAGCGGCCTGCGAAAAAAGATAAACAAAACCGAGAAAGAAAGGGAGGAAAAAAAGGCTCCAAACTCCAATACTGCCTCCTGAGACGCCAGTTATTTCTAAATTTCTTTCTTTTTTTTTTTCTCTCAGAAATCCAAATTCTCCTTTCCAGCTCTATTAGGCGTCAGCATAATTATGCTATATCATCATATAGATGCAAAGCGATTCCCCCCCCAAAAAAAAGATGAGAAGCAAACTCCATCGCTGAATGCTGAATGACGTATTTCCCATGTATTCCATCTCTTTTTTACAACCATGGTATTAGCCGATCAAGTCGCAAGTCATCGGCTGGATTGGCGACCCTTTTAGCTTCGAGCGGAAAAGAATCCACCAAAGCCTGCCTTGGCCTGTCCCTTCTTCAACAGTTCCTCGAGTCGCCTAGTCTCTCGAACGGCAGCCTCGCGGTCCTCTTGCAGATTGAGAACCTCTACTTGAGCCATGTTCATCCTAGACACGACTTCTTGCATTTCATCCTCGGCATCTACAAGAGCCTTTTCCAGCTCCAAGACTCGTACTCGGAGTGTCTTCATATCGGCCTCTTCCTCAAGACTCTTGGCAGGGAGGGGCCGGGTGCTCAGCAGTGGCTTGGGGCCAGATCTGTTGGAGGAGCCATCGGTGGAATCAGTCTGAAGGCGACGCAGCTGCTCGTTATGCGCCTCACGCAACCTGGTAATCTCTTCCTCGTGGCGGACGATGCGGTCCTCTGAAGCGGACTGGGCGGCAACGACCTGATCCTCTAGGACTCGAAGGCGCTCCTGGAGCTCCGAAATACGCTGCGAGTTGGTCTTACGGTCCGACTCTCCTCTAGCGACCGCGGCTTCGAGACGCTCTCGAAGTTCAGCGTTTGTGTCCAGCTGCTGACGAACTTGGGCTGTGAGCTGCTCAATGAGATCGGCAGACTCTTTGAGCTGTTGCGCCAAGGTAGCGTCAGCTGCAATCGACTGAGATTCGCTGGTGACGAGCAAGTCGATCTGGGCCTTTTGTTGGCCAATTTCCCTTCTGGCTGCATCGCGCTCCAAAACTGCAGCAGAGAGCGATCTTTCCAGGCGCTCCATAGCCTCCTGGGTCTCCTCATCTGCAGTGTCTGCTTCTAGCTGACGGATACGCTCCAGGGACTCGGCATACGCAGCTTGCAGCTCTGCGTAGGCAGTTCGAAGAGACTCGGATGTGACTGGCTCTCGCATGGTATCGCTTGAGCCGCTCAGGCGGGCTGGAGCAGGTGGTATCAGGATGTCGTTTGCCTCCAGCACACTGCGCAGGGACGCAATCTCTTCAACGGCTCGATCGAGATCGATCTTGAGGCCACCAAGGCCCTTTTCAACCTGCCACTTCTGCTCGACGGCGTCTTCAGCGCGTCGTCGTAGGAGATTGATCTCCGTCCGCAGCTTTCCCATGTCTTTTTCAAAGCCGGCCTTTCTTGGCGAGACAGTGGTGAGCCGCTGACGTTCAGCCTCGAGAGCGCGAATCTTCTTCTGGTATTCTCGATTCTGGAACTCCTGGCGCTCCAAGAGGCTCTTGAGGGCGCTATGAAGAGCGTCGCGTTGGGCTTCAACGTCTTTCAGTCGCTCAATCAGAACCTCTCGAGGCTCTGTCGTAGCTGTGTTCTTGACGCTATCCGACCTTTTCAGACCACCACCAATACCGGGAGGTCCGCGGCGGAGCGATCCGGTAGCCACTGAATTGGACCGTGAAAGGCCCATTGAGTTAGACCTGGACAAGTTGGACAAGCCAGACATGCCTATAACCGACATTCGCTTAGTGGGCAATTCTTCAATGCCACTGGCCATAGAATTGCGAAGTGAGCTGTTCTCACGCTTCAAAGTGGAGAGCTCTTGCTGCATCCTGGAAGATTCGTATGTCAGGTTGGCATACTCGGCAGCCTCCGATTCGAGACCTTCCACTCGCGCCTTTAGCTCCGGGATGACCTCGTCGCGGAGGTTATCTCGCTCGTCGCAGGCCTCTTGAAGCTGTCCCTTGAGAGCAGATAGCAGGTCCTCAAAGTTAGTCTTGGACTGGCGCTCCTCTGACAGCTTCCGCCTTAGATCTTCACAAGTGTTTTCCAGTTCTTGGATCCGCTCGCTGGCGTCGATGTTGTTAATCTCAACAACGTCCACTTCAGAAGCCCGCTCTTGCAGCTGCCTAATCTTCTGGTCAAGTTCTTTCCGCTTCTCCCTTTCTTCTTGTAACTTGGCCGTCAACTCTAGGCGAAGAGAGGCCTTCTCCTGCTCCGCCTTCCTCTGCACCTTTTCGATTTCATCTCTGCTCTGGTCGGCAGGTTCGTTGAGCTTTACTGTGCTTTGGCCTGAATCGGAGAAGTAATCGCTTGTTCTTTTACTGCTAGCTGCCTGGGGGTTGTTTGCAATCTGCTCTTGGAGCCTATCGGCAAGATCTTCCAGGTCAATCTCGCGGCGGATAGATGCGGCCAGTTCGGAGCTGATGGCTTTCAGCTCCTCCTCCATCTCGTCAATCAGCGTTGTATTTTGGGAGAGATGCGGGGAGTGCGTCGAGAAAAATGATTCGCGTTGCTGGGCGAGAGTTGTTGTTGCATTGGTTTTGTTATAGTTGGATGCTAAGCTGTTTGTCGATATTCTATTCTTGGGGTTTGGTGAGAATGGAGATGATGAGGGGAGGGACGTCAGATCCGTGGCTGAGGGCGAGGGATTGCCCCAGCCGAAAATAGAAGCCAGTGGAGAGGTTGCGCCCGGTGACCTTGGTAATGGTTTATTCAGCTTTGGCGATCCGTCTATGGTTGCTGACTGCGGCGAGTCATCTATGTACGTTCTTGGCCCTTCCTCTATGATCGAGGGGTCGACTCTTTCTAGCCGTAGATGTGGAGGTGTGTGCTTGGTTGGCGCTAACATGGGCGAAGAGGGGGGATGGTTGGAGTTATTGTCGTCGTCTTCGTCGTCGTAAACGGACTCGGCGTCAGACGCACTGTCAGTGACTTGGCTGTCAACGACTCGCTCGTGAGCTTTGACAGAAACGTTGTCGGGAGTGGCGTCGGGTGCTAGATCCGAGAGCAAATCGTCGTACTCTGACAGGACATCAGAGAACTCAGTGTCAGCTGTTTCAGCGGGAGAAGGCCCACCACCGTGCGTGGAATTGTTTCCCGAGGCAGTAGCTGTTTCGTCGTCCCTTGGCGCTGACGCTGTTCTTGATTCGGACAGACTGGAAGGGTTGCAAGTTAATTTTTTGTTCTCGTCTCCTTTATTATACCGCGTTGACGCTTTTCTTTGTTCGACAATGGCTCATTGTTTACTGGAACAAGCAGCGATGAACAGTTTCCCTCGTGGCAAAGAGGAAGAAGGGGACAAAGAGAATACTCACTGGGATGCTCGCGCCGAAGACTTGACAGAAGCAGGGTACTCGTAGAAGGTGGGACTATCGACAGAGGGTGACCGCGCGAATCTATGATCCGGTTTGGGTAGGTCGATAGTGGTCCGGACGGGAGGGCCGTGGGCGAGATACTGCGTGACAAGAGAAGACGGTGCGGCGGCGCTGGACACGGGCTTCCGTTTGATGGGACCGGAGAAGCGAAAGGGGAGAGAAGAGACTGCCACGGGAGAGATGAGGGTGGGAGCAGAAGAATCGACGTGGTCCAGCGTCTGAGAACGACTATGGCTGGCAGAGATGCTAGTGCGTATGGGATTAGGAGCAGGAGCGGTAATGGTTGCTGACCCCGGATGGTGTTGGTGCTGGTGGTCCTCTTGGTGGTGCTCCTGGAGGTGGTGCTCCTGGAGGTGGTGCTCTTGTTGGTAGTCGTGGTGGTAGTCGTGGTGGTAGTCGTGGTAGTGGTCCTGGTCCTCCTCTTCTTCTTCTTGGTTGTAGTATTGCTGGTATTGCTGGTACTGCTGGTAGTCGTCTTCGTCTGATGATGTCTCTTGCTTCTCGCGGTGGGCGGTACTATGCCTCAATGGCGATGAAGGTGGAGAGACTTCAGATGAAGCAGACCGCGTATCAGAGTCTGGCAGGATCGACGCCATGGCATGGGGCCCGCTGGGAGGTTGCGATGCGACGTCCATGATATTGAACGTCGTGGGGGTACGAGACTGTTCGCAGCAGCAGCAGCAGTACTAGCCGAAGACGAAGATACGACGAATGCACCGCAAGCGAGGTATGGCAGGTATAGCAGGTAGCTACCACGGCTGGTACCGCAGTACGAGAGGTACTCTTGTGGTACGGCACTGCTCGTGATACGTACAGGCAGCAGCAGCAGCAGTAGCAGCAGCAGTACTTGGATCCGAAGGTATTACTAGGCGTATCGGCCACCAGAAGCAATGCTCGAGAGAAGTCCTTAACGCCGGTGGCAGGTTAAAATTGCCCATGAATCGGACGGTCGAAAAAGGACATTTGGCGAGCGAGCCGGAGGGAGGCGGACGGACGGCTAACTCGAGTCGTGGTAGGGCCCCCGGAGAAGAAGGGGAATTTGGTGTTAGGCCGGTCTGGGACTTTCATGGACGGAGGAGAGCAGAGGGAAAAGGGAGAAGCGAGGCTTGCCCAGCGACGAGGCTGTGGGGCGCCAGCCAGGCGAGGCGGCCGGGGTCGAGTGTGGAGGCTGCAATCTTTAGCCAAGATTAACCAGTGCTAGCACTGCTTAGTATGTGCTATCAGCGACCGTGATCACTCGTGTGGGCATGTGTGATGGCGTCTTGTTCCGATTATCTGCAATATAACTTGGCTCTGATCGTTAAATGATGGCGCCAACCATGGGGGAGCTAGTTGCGGCGGCAGTGCGAGCAACAGGAGCCGTGGTATAGCTGATTGGCCGGTGACGTCTCTTTCTACAGCACACGTGCAGTCGCCATCGCCATTACTAGTACGGAGCGCTGCACCTCACGAGCTGGCCGTTGGGGCGGCCATTTCGGCTAAGAAGAAGCGCGAATAAAACAATCAGACGAGAGAAGGAAACAAACAGTATTCTGAGCCAAAAATAACCTCCAATTGGCCGAGCCCGTAGCAGCGCGAGCAAATAAAGGAGGTTGAACTGGCAGAGGGAAAAGCCACCGGCGGCTGCGAGTGGCGCACGAGCGACTGGCAAGCGCCTCCTAGTCAGGGGTTTGGCCCGGCCAAAAATGTCTTTTATTGCCCTGGTACCTGCGCTAGCGCCCTCTGGCCAAAGGAGAACGGCGGCCGCTAGTTGGCTCTCTGGAGCCCATGACGCGAAACCTGCAGTCGGAGCCTCTCAGCCACTTGCAGGCGAGGCGGTTCAATTTCAGCCGCCCCTTGCGTACATACTTGTAGTGGTAGGTGAATGAATACAAGCATATTGGTTGTTGTTGTATAAAAGAGTGACATTTGATTCGTTCAAATACTATTATAGCCAGCAGTGCCAAGGTAGTACTACCTACTGTATCTATTGGAGAGAACTCACTGTGGTGCTTGTTTTAGCGCCAAGCTCGGCATTAGCCACTACCTGGCACGTAGTACTGCTAGCAGCAATGCAGGCAGTTTATTAGCATCGCGATGCTGGGATGGCGCTGATCAGCACAAACTCTGGGCTAGGTGGAACTAGCACGAACGCATTGATGATAGGTATGCCCTGATGCCGGGCTTGGGAGGGTTGAAGGCCCCGGGCCTCTTTCTCAGGTAGGTAGGTAAGTAGGTGATATCGCTCCTAGTGCAAGTGTTAGCAGTGCGACAGGTCAACTCCCATACAAGACAGCAATTAGAAGCAGCCTGAGGACGGTGTCGAATCAAGAGAGGCGTTATCTCGCCTGCAAACGCACCCCTGCAGCGCTATGCCGATGCTCGTACGAAGTATTGCCTGCTTGTACGTACAGTCAAATCAACCCGACTTGATCGATAGCGCATATGGACGTAGATGCATCTCCGACGACCGTCAGCCTTCACTTGGCGCGCGCAACCAGACCTGGCCGCTCCAATTGGCCGCCCGTCTTCGCGCCCAGGAATGCGCCGTCGCGCCGTGTGCTCACCTCGGTGGCGGGCCAGACAATCGACTGGCTGCGACATCTGCTGCTCCGGCTTTGTTCTCTGCCAGGATCCACCGAGATCCCCCCCTTCTCCATCCCCATCCCCATGCGGTGGGCGCCTGCATGAGACCTGCATGATAGCACCACCTGTATGTACAAGTATGTGCTGCTGCCGGCCATCAGAATCAGGGCATCATCCAAGCTCGAAGCGCCTCACAGCGCACCCGGTGGCCTCTGCGCGATCTCATGCACCCCCGTCCCTTTCTGCGGGCTGGATGCAGTCAAGCGTTGCCTTGAGCTCATTGCACGCGTCTAGCGAACTATTGGTTCCATATCTTATTTGCCAGCACTACCTATTACGACGCCATGGTGGTGCTACTACTGCCTCTCATCCGCAATACGCTTCCCTTGGAAAAAGGGAATCACCGAGTCAGCTCTGCTTCTGCTTGCCTGGGCGCCTATCAATTGCCTCAGCAGGGTTCCCACCCATCTATCCATTTTGGCAAACTTACATGCATGCAATAGAGCAAACTCCAACTTGCGTTGGTCATCACCAAGGTCATTGTTGCGTGTAGTTGGCTCCGCAGCACAAACAACATTAAAGATTGCATCCAGAAAGCCGAACAGCAAATCACGCATGGCATCTTGTCAATAGTGTATGCGGTGGCCGAATGGAGTCGGTGAAACGGGTCCATTGAGATTAATGAGAGCTCAAGTCTCCTCTTCTCCCCCAGATTCTGGTCCCCAGGCGCGGATTGGATGTAATCTCATCCACGCCAAAAAGGGCATCCAAACCGTCACATCACCAACTCAAATAGGCAACACGCGACGTGGAGTATCTGCTGCTCCCTTCCTCTTTCAGTGCCACCTGGAGATTATGCTTAGCTCACCATTTAGTTTTTGCCTTTGGTGTTTTTACAGTAGAAAAATGAGGGATGAATGTTGGGCCGTATTTGTAGCAAACCTCTTCCCACGTGGACCATGTATCTGATCGCAGTACTTTTTATATGCAGTATGCAATGGAAACTGCGCAACCATCATATATCGTCAACTGCTCTTTACTCCGGACATATACAAACAACATGTAAATCAAGCAGTGCTGGCGGCGTAACAGATTATGTACATCTCTTTTGTAAACCAGGCAGCACGAGTATTGATATACAGACATACTATATATACATATACTCCTACTAGCAAAGTCGAATCTTCTGAGCTTCAATGACTTGACTCTTTTCAAATACTTCCCCATGCATCAAGCCATGGACATATGCCTCCCCCATCAACGAATACTCCTCCCCCGAGGGCCGAATAATAAAAGGCACATCAGAACCAAGCAGTATGCAAATTTGATCGCCTGGCTGTACCCGAGATCTCGCTAAGCCATAATATCCCTGACAAGACTTGAAGAAACGCCAACCGGCCTTTTTTATGTAGTTTTGATCAGGTATTTGTCCCAGAATTAAGCTGTATTCAGAAAGCATCTCTTTCTTGTTGGAATCTTTTTGCTCCCCAGTTTCTGTGTTGGCGTTTGCCGTAGCTGGTTCGGACTCTGTTGTATAATCTGCCATTGCTAAAAGCTGCATCTTCTCCGGCGTGTGGATTCCCCTGCACAGCATTGACCAGAAGGCTGTTATTTTAGTCTCGCCAAGAATCGTACCATGGGTATACTCCTGTCCGTTGGGTGCAGTAGTATTCTCCTGCAGGTTCACTCCAGCGTGAGACGCCCAGTTTGATATACATTCCTCCCATGATGGATAAGAGTCAGCCGTTTCTCCTAGAGCCGTATCAAGAGAATCGACAACAATCCCAATACACTCTAAAACTCGATGTGGTCGACCACCTGTGTCTGGAAGGAAGCTGGGCTCACAGGCAAATTCCTTGCTAGCCTTTGGCGCTCGCGGATCACCGCTCAAACGGAATCGTAGACTGAGAGTTGGCTGATTAAACTCCCAATCAGGGGCCCAACAAGGCAGTGTCGAACCTGGCGGCTTTTCATCCGCAAACGACAGCATGTCCAAACTCTGATGACTAGAAATATGTGCCGCTGCAGCTCCAATATATGCATCAGCCGCCGTGGTGTCGTTGCCATAATCTGCAAGGAGCTTGTATCTGGGCGATGTTATGCCCAAGAATGCGTAAACTTTGTCTCGTGGATCTGACACCTTGCAAGTCCTAGCATGGAGCATAATGGTTTCCAAGTCAAAGCCGCCGCTTTCTTGCCATTTTCCAAAGTCGTCCAAGAAGAATTCTTGAGCATTAAGATCAAGCTTATGTAGCCAAGCCAACTTATTGACAAATGGCAATAAAGGGCTGAGATCGTCTGTGTCAAGAGCAGGGTCTTCTTTAAGCCCAAGGTCCTCTCCATCCATGTTGAAATACTTGCGTAATAGTATCTGAAACATTTTCACAAGACGCAAGGCGTTTCTGAAATCATCTTGACCTAATTCTTGCTTGTTGGTATGAAAACTCACCCCTGTACTCAGAAGAACCTCCTGGCATATCCAGCCGCGCGACCAGTACTGATCTTCCATCAGTGCTTGTAGCGCAGTCCACGATGTGCCCTCGGCATCCAGTCGAGGCAGCACGCTTTTCGCAACAAATTCGGCAGTCTCCAGGTATGCTGCTCCTTTATTGACGTTGTCCCATCCTTGCCCAGCGGCCTGCTCAAGTCTTTGGTGAAGGAAGCTTAGAGCGCTAAACTCCTCAATGCCCGCGCTGGTTAACGGTGATGTTCCGAGCCAGGCCAGGGTGGAAACTGCCGACTGATATATCTCCTTCATAAGCTGGACTTGGTGAGCCTTCTCGGCATTGTCGCTCTGGTTGATGCACACTTGGTCGGCCCAGAGGCATACACGAGATGCAAAATCTTCTGCCTCGTCGTCTGCGTCTAGCCGTTGACTAGCACGAGATAGCGCTTCGGTGAGAGGCTTGAACGCATTGAACTGCACTCCGTCGATGAATATCGGTACTGTCTGGGAGGGATCGCCTGCGCGATAAGAGATGGCAATGAACAGGTGGTTAGAAGAGTCGTCAAGGGAGATTGGTTGATGCAACTTGAAAGAAAGACTGCTTGTCGGTTGACGAGTTCTATCGATTTGCAAGAGCCGAATCTCCTTCTTTGCTGGGTCTAGCTGCTTGTAATGGTTGCCATTATAGAAGGCTGCGTTTTCAGGAGAGTAGAAATGCTTATAGGCATTGCTTGTTGTGGCAGCTGGTGTGTCCGAAGACGTGTTTGACAAGGTCTTTGAAGCCATTATACCAATTCAAATATTGTTCTCTAGGCTAAATAACTGTGTCGTTATTTTGTAGGAAATTTGTGGTGATGGGTATATTGACTATGGCTGCCTAGATATAGATCAATCAGCCACCACATACATAAAGTCCTACGAGCTGACTGCACATATGGCTTGTTAATGAAGCGGGGTATTTTTGGTACCATGATCTTACAGCATATGAAAAGCCTCGTTTCTCTCAAGAGCTGGTCTTGTCTCGCGACAGAACACCGGCAAGAGTCCTCATCACCCCCTAATATTCTTTACAACTAAACCATAGTGGTGAACGTGTATTCCTTCTATCCCTAAATATCAACATCTCTCTCATCTCATATGAAACCCCAATATCGATACAGAGTATTAGATTATCGTAACAAACTCCAGAATTTTCCCAAATGTAAATAGCGTTGCCAATTCACCAAGTCGAATTTACTTTACGCAAAAAAGCTCCCATCAAAGACTGCGCCGATACCCCTACTCTAGCTCCAAGCGTCTTATAAAAGTAGCTTTCCTTTCGGTAACAGTGCCCAGACACCGCCACAAGCACATCTACGCTGCTGTCCTAGGACAAAAGTATACCCAGGGCGAGTTCCAAACACGTCTTCCATCACGGAAGCGCACCGAGTACACCTCCTCCACTGCTGAGCTCCAAGCTTCATCTCCGCCTTTCTGAATATATCGATGTAGATTTTTCTCGGCAGCTGAGATTTGTCGTCCTGGACACCGAGAAGGTCGTAGTTTGCAAAGAAGAGCTTTGAAGGATCCGTGAGAGCTTTGAAGGCCGGCAAATCCTTAGTAAAGAGCTTCTTGACGACTACCAAAAAAGGTGCCGCCGGTGGTGATGCCGCCAAGAGCATGCTTAGCTCAATTTGAATTTGTGCAGACTTTACAGCCAGGTCAATCTGTTTCCCCTGAGGAGCTCCAGTTTGGTTCTTGACAAAGGTCGGGAGAAACGTTTGGTACGCCTGGCGCACGTCCGCGCCGAGAATGTTGAGCAGCTTTTCAAATTCGCCGGCTTTTATAAGGCAAGACGATGTGATTTGCTGCATTTTCTGGTATGCTTGCTGAAGCTGAGGGTTTAATGGCTTGGGAGCACCAGATTGGTCCACCCCCATCTGTGGCTGTCTGCGGTAAAATTCATTGGCTTTTATGCTCAACTGCTCTAGATGGGCGATCCTGCGGCATATTGCCAGGAGGAAGCTTCTGCTGGATGACGAGAGTAGGAGATGCAATGAAATGTCGTTTCGTTTATGGAGATACGGCGCCAGCTCCCCAAATCGCTTAGGCTCCAACCTCGCCATGAACTCGCTGTCATTCATCAACGCGAATAAGCAGTCAACTAGCCATGACAGTAAATCTAAGGACCACTTGGTGCAGCCAGCTAATGCTTCCACAACCTCTGTTGCACATCGTCAGCACTCTGATTTATATGCCATTCCAAGCGGGTACTTCGAAAATAGAACTTACCAGGTTCGTCAAGAGGGCTCATCTTCTCTCGTGCCGTCGCTGGCATGTTGCTTGCGAGAGTGATAAGGACAACCACATTACGTGCGTTGAGATAAACCATCGCAAACTTGCCTTGTAATGACCTGGCATGCATTTCCCCCTTGAAGCCCAAGCTATTCATAATACTCAAGATGTTTTGAAGCGGCAGATTTCTCATAAGCGAGTCATGGTGGAGCTCTTCAGAGTAGTCGACCTGGATCTTCAGAACCTTGATCATCTCGTTGATCCAGTCTTGAATAAATCTCTTCTTCGACGTATAGGGTGCAACGATGGCAAGCATATCATCGTAATTAGCCTGATACCATACGGCAGATGAGGTTGCTACCGCCAGACCTGCTACTGAAGCCGCATAATGGGCGTCTTGGTTTGAGTTGCCAATATCTCCGAGCGGGTATTGTAGCTTGCACCACTTTATTTTTCCATCTTCTGACATCTGAATCATGGAACACTGAGTTGGAGAAAAAGCGACCTGTTGGCATGGACCTTCTCCGCCAAAGGTCCAACCAACTTGGCGCAAATTCATCACTTTGTCAGTATCCTCAGTCGCATAGATTTCTTCAAAAGTGTATCGATCTCGGTACTCGACGGTACCGTCGGCCATGGTTAATACCAAAACTTTTCCGAACTGGATCGACTGAAAATTGATGACCATTTTGTTGAGGACAATCGGCTCTAGCTTTCGCAGCCTAGTAGGAGCCGTCTGTTCTGTGGCATCGCTATTTTTTCGATTCCCCAGCTGCTCAAAAGCAGGGTGAAGGTTCTGTCGCGGTTCAGACACTGCCTCCCAGCGGTCAATGACTGTCTGGGCTACTTGGTAAGATCCAGGCGTGGGTGAACGCGTCCTAATAGCTACAATCGTCGGAGGGACTATGCTCTTGCCCGTGTTGTCCATGATAGAAGGAAGAACATGCAAGTGCGATAGCTCGGCCATGGAAATGTCATTGCTAGCATCTCTAGAGCCTGTTTGCAGCCACGTTGTAGCAGCAAGATGCTTTTCAACTAACGAAGGGCTCAACCGAGCGTTCTGCGGTAGAGGATTCTTATCTGGCTGTGACCCAGGACCGCCCCATTGGATTTCTATCTTGAGCAGTCTCAGCTGCTTTGATGAAGTAGCAACAGCGACAAGCAGATGTCCTATCTAGTTAGCAACGACTGGCCATCATTTCAACAGATTTTAAGACTTACTCCTATCTGAAGCAAGGGCGGCATGCGTAACCAACTCATCCAGCGAATTCACGCTCTCAAGTTCCATTGTGGTTTCTTCCATCCGGTTGTTGTTCTGAGACCAGAACATTTTTAGCATTCCGCTTACTGTGACACAGAATAGAGCACTCTTTGATGAATGCGGGTGACTGGGTCCGCTAGCATGGACAAAGGAACTCTCATACTGGTACAAATGCCCCTTTTTCACTGCAGGCCCATGCATGATATTGTATGGTTTCTTCTCGAAAGTCAGTGCTTAAACCCCCCTTAGGTTTAATGTCCGATGTACTCACCTGCTGGTTTTGCGGGGCAACAGCAAGCCAGTGTGCCCCGACCACGGCGTTGGCATCGTCAATGGGATCAGTGTCATATTTTCTCGTGATGAATGGGTGATTGAGAGATATGGAAAAGCTGACAATAACAACTCTCCCTACCGCGTCAATGATTGCAAGCTCCGGGATATTGGTTGACCCCCACTCCAAGTGAACCAGAGGGATGCCTGGAGACCCTTTGAGAAGCTCGCATGTCGTCGGCTGGCTGAGATCCCAGGTCCCGTCGAGCGGATTACATCGCAGGAAACGATGCTGCAGGTACTGGCCATCTGCTGAAATGGTAGCAATTGTTCCAGACTTTGACCATGCTAACGTCCTGAAGCTCTTGTCAGCCATAGAAACAGTGGTTGGGGGGGAGATGCACGTGTACGCACTGGCAGCAGCCACGGTTCCTCAGGTCATCCACCTTGAGTGAGAGCGGCTTATTATGAGACCTGTCGGGAAGCGACAGCCCAACGCCATCTCCAAACAGGTCATCCACGTCATTTAGATCGACGGGCACGGTATTATCCAGCATCAGGGGCATTTTCTCCGCAGTCATTGGTGCAGTATCTGTAGGCGTAAACTCAACGCCAGATGCCCAGTACAACTCGTGGCGGCCAAAAGCATATGAACTCTCCCAGAATCGCGTCAAAAAAACAGGCCCAAACAGTGAATCACAGACGCGGGGAAAGTGTATTTTATGAGTATGGCATGGGCAATGATTTAGCAGACAAACGCAATAAACAGATCATGAACATGCTCTTAGGCATGACGCTTACATGAAGGGTTTAAGTTCAAAGTGATGCTTGAGAGGCGTAGTGGACTGCTTAGCCAGTCAGCCGCTGGGCCCAACAAATTCTACCGGGGCGCCGGATGAATATCGGTCCAAAATTGATGCACAGCTGCGTACCTACCCTATAATGATTTTCACATTAGTATCTCGAGCATTATTTAATGGGCAGCAACTGGGGAAGTTCACAAATGGTCAACCTGGAAGAAGAAGAGGAAGAGGAAGAAGAAATATTTTTTTTATATTTTTTTTATTCAATTGTTGGCTCTAGATCTTTGAAGATCAAAATTAGATCATGCATACCCATCGGGCATTTGCAGTAAAATAAGAAGCTGACTGTGCTGAGATGCCGGTTCATATAATCAACCCTGCTGCGTCGGCTAGAGTGATGTAATTGACGTAATGCCTATCAGCCCAAATGATCATTCTAAAAGCTGAAAAAGGCATCTAGGTACGCATCGCAATCCTGGTCTTATAACACTGCATTTGCCTTATTTATAGCAGTGAGAACATATTCTTCATTGACATATCTTCCAGCTCACCTATAGATACGAACTCAGCTATGAAGTCCCTATTCAGCAGCATAAGGTTTCTGCGCCAATTACAGAATAAAGCCCCGAGTATTCGGGGCGTATCAACCTTTTCGCAACGTCAAGGACACCGGAGAGGACCAGCAGCTTTTCTGTTAATTGGACTGTTACTTGGGGGCGTTGCAACAACTTCAGGACCTAAATTTACATTGACATCCAACTCAAATATCGACACACAACCAAGATGGAGCGGAACCACTCGAGAACCCTTGCTACGATCCAAGTATGCTGATGAGAAGACTACGCTAAAAGTAAGTTATACATAATCTAGTACAAGTTTCAAAATAGACATAATTTTTCGCTGACATCTGTAGGCTGTTGGCGAAATCCAACGTGAATTGGGCTCAGAAGCTGTGAGCATTGATCCAGACGACATAGAAGTCCACAGCTACTCTGAGTGGTCATCGAGCAACACAGACACAAAGCCAGTTGCCGTTGTGCGGCCCAAGTCTACAGAGAAAGTATCGATAATTGCAAAGATATGCTCCAAGTATAAAGTTCCAATGACTCCATATGGAGCCGGATCTAGCATGGAAGGAAATTTCAGCTCCCCCTTTTCAGGTATATGCATCGACTTGTCGGAAATGAATAAGATTGTTGAATTTCATCCCGACGATATGGACGTTGTGGTACAGGCTGGCGTCAACTGGATGAAACTGAATGCGGAAATAAAAGACAGCGGCCTCTTCTTGCCTCCCGACCCGGGTCCAATGGCTCACATCGGCGGCATGATAGCTACCAATTGCAGTGGAACCAACGCCATGAGATATGGCGCGATGAAAGACTATGTCGTCAACCTCACGGTTGTTCTGGCCGATGGGACAGTCATCAAAACGCGGCAAAGACCAAGGAAGACTTCGGCCGGATATAATCTCAATTCTTTGTTCACTGGGTCGGAAGGCACTCTTGGCATTGTCACTGAGGCCACCCTCAAATTGGCGATACAACCAAGGAGCTTTAGCGTAGCAACGGTAGCTTTCAAATCGATCCATGCCGCTGCAGCCGCTGCATCTTCGCTGGTTCGCGCGGGCCTCCCCCTTGCTGCGTTGGAACTGATGGACGAAGTGGGAATGGAAATGATAAATAGGGGCGGAGGAACCGAAGGCAAGATGTGGGAAGAACTTCCGACTTTGTTCATAAAGTATGTGGAAACTCCCCTTTTGAAGGTGACGAAACATGCAAAGAACATTGACACAGAGAGAATGAGTGAGTGAGTGAGTGTGTACGTGGCTGCTGACATGAAAGTACTAGGTTCTCAGGTACCGAGAGTTCAGTCAAGGAGAGCATTCAAGAGGCCCGAGCCATATGTCGGCGGCATAATCCCAGCAACTTTGAAGGCGTGAATACCAAGAAAGAGATGGATTCTCTATGGTCAGCTAGAAGAGAAGCTGCCTTGGTGGCAAATGCAATGAAACCAGAGGGCACCGTCATGTTTGCCACAGACGTTGCTGTGCCTATATCCCGCATGGCCGATCTCATCGGTGAGCTACCATCAAAGTTTAGTCGAAGTCGCTCATCGGATCTCACTAATCGCGAACAGAGGGATCTAAAGACAAAGCAAATCGCCATGGTTTCGTGAATTCCGTTATAGGGCATGTGGGAGATGGAAACTTTCATCAGGCAATATTTCATAATCCCAGCGTGGCTAGTGATGTAGAGAAAATAAAGGATTGTGTCGATTCGATGGTATATAAGGCAATTGAGATGGAGGGAACTGTAACGGTGAGTTAAACACTCCATTCTATTAGTTGTAATATTGCTGACAGGGCATCGCAGGGTGAGCACGGTATTGGCATTGGGAAAAAGGTAGCATCATGCGTCTATCTAGTTGAATTTATTGACAAGCTAACATATAGCTAGAACGGCCTTATCAAAGAGCTGGGTTTGCCGACAGTTGGCGTCATGAAGGCCGTGAAGGATGCACTTGATCCGCAGTGAGTTCAGCTATGTACACCTGTTTTGGTTCTATATGACTGACGACTATCAGTTGGCTATTGAATCCGGGAAAAGTATTTGATGAGTGACAATATATTTGAAGTCAAAATGTAGTATGGCTGCATGGCAGATGAGAAGTATGTGCTTTTGCCAATCTGTAAAGATTCTTCACATCTATGACTATGACAAAGTGGAAACTCATGACTCGAGGGGATTCACACTCTCTCCCTTTAGGAAGTCGATTCCTTTGCCATACAAGCATGTAACTCAAGTGGTCTATAATATTGGTATAGCAGCATTCCATTTACGATCTCGCACCCTTCTCCTCCATCAGATTTCCACATCTGTCCTGATAGCGCCGTGTATAAGCCCCAGATCAAGGGCATATAATTACTATCTCGACTAGCCTTCAACATCAAGAGGCGCGAAGCTGGCGGCGCGTTAGGCTGGAACTAGCCTCATCTTGGACTCAAAAAGTATCTCAAGTGTGTTTCAACTATGAAGAAATATATTTGAGGGGTGTCGTGGAGCATGATATGGAGAGTGCTTACAATGCACGTGTTCATGAATAAAGAGACAGTCGTTCCAAATATACGTCTATCATTTACTAGTGCGCCGTAAGTAGATCCGCACATATGAGCGGTACCATCCACCGATGGACTACAGTAAAGACGCTACTAAGAGAGCAAATGCCAAGTGGTTTACATTTCATCCTTTCAGTGACGGGCGAGCTAAGTTGCAGTGCCTCAAATTAGATTTCCTCGGTCATGTCTCCATAGACTTGCCGAGACACCATCATAAGCGGGTGATTTTCGCCTTAGCGCATGAGAGTGATGAAGAGGCCCACGAGAGCCTTATGCGCGTCTAGAGTCTGATACTACTACTGCTGCAATACGTGGACAAAGGTCGTTGAACACGGCAGAGGAGGAGCATTGGCGACGATCAGCGGCACTACTGATTTGACAGCTTGGTAAAAAGAACAAACACGATGGACTTGCAGGCTTCTGGAAGGCCAGAAAATGCCATCCGGCAGAGTTCCATAGGACCCCTACCCAGACCAACGTTGCTGACTTCATGCGTTATCGACGTGCTCCGCATGCCGTAATTGCGATCGCCTCTCGTACACGCGAGCCGAGAACAGGGAGCCAATGCGCCTATTCCGTCATAGCACGATTTTGGTAATGATAGATGGATAATCGGGAGGAGCAAATGAGAAGGCCCGTTGCTCAGACCCACTGCTTTTTTCCTTTGGCATTATTATCCCATCTCGTCAGGTTCGTTGCCTTTCTTATTAGTGGTATCATGCGCAAGACTTGAAGCGCGAATTAGGTCTGCAACGCCATCAAAGATATCTCTGGTCGAAAAAAAAAAAAAAAAAAGGCAGGCAACGGTAGACTCATACTTTGTGTTCACAGCGGGTCAAATGAGCCTGTTGAGTGAATTATAGGAGATTGTCACTGCCCAGAATTCAACCACTCCCTAGCTCTTCAGTATGTCATTCGTAGCCTTGAGAGGTAACATCGCTGCCGACGAGCTGCATGCATGCTCTTAACTGGATATTACCTCATCCCCCGCAATAATACGGAGCATGAGGCCAGAGATTGACGGATCTAGCATTCTATCAACAGGGGCTCTCCTGATGGACTGAGCTTTCAGGTCAGGGAAAGGGGCCGGTTTGTGCAGTGCACCGTGCAGCAGACTGATAAGAGGCATGGATCGGCGGGATCTGGAGTCGTATGTGGGAAGGCAAGCCAAACAAAGTGCGGGATGCAGACGAGAGTATATATGACCCTGTCTGGAGGAGTTGCGAGGCACATGGGTGGCCGCCTGCACTCTGAGCACGTAGAGACAATGGCATTATGCGACTCATGAGGCGAGATTATTCCATACTTGCAGATTTGAAAAAAAAAAAAAAAAAAAAAAAAAAAGAGCCTCGAAGCCGTGGGTTTGCAATCCCGCAGCGAAGAAGGGAATCGCCCCTGTAAAAACACCAACATCATGCAAAGGGGGTTAATCCCTCGCATTCTCTGCAGATGAATTACCGTACGAGCATGATCCCGTCGCACAGCATACCCTCCTTTAGAGCAGCGCCTGGTTTTGGTCAATCTTTTCTTGTGTGTTGATTGCCAGGGGGGCAAGGGCCCATTTAGCCAATGTCCAAATATCCCGTCAACTTCCGTGTTGATATGGCTAGTTGTCGCTCGGCCGCTGCTTGTTTAGCGGCGGCTATAGCCTCTTCTAAAGCCGCCTATTTTTTGTCGAATGCGAGCGAGAAGTTTAGCTCAAGCAGAATAGAGTAGAGCTAGGATTGGCGACGAAGGACGGACGAGAGCAGACGAAGCCAGGGACTGACGACAGCCTGCGCCTTCGCGTGCTCGTCAATTTCCATGCCATCCCCGCCGCGTCCCTGAGCTCCCAAAATAAGCACGCTTCTTCCACCGGTAGCCTGCATTAGCCTCGAGATATCATGGATGGCGCGGAGAACTAGGTCTGAAGTGGGAACGGCGCGCCGCCTACTGGAGAAGGGTGCACGCGCCATGGCGCCTACAGGCATTCTGATTGCCCGTTTCGTGGCCATTGTGCTGCTGGCATTGCCCAGAAGGGACAACGGCAACGGCCCTGTATGGCACGAGCACTTGTATGGCTGCGACGGCGACGCTGGTGGTGGCGGCGGTGGTTGATATGTGACTGGCAATGCTGCTCCTGGCTCGCATGGCCGAGGCGTGGGTTTCAAGCAGCCCGCATTGAAACCTAATGTCCCCTCAGCAAAGACGAGAATGTGACAGGTGATTTGCTGCATTATTCGTGCGCGCTCCAGGCTCTGGCGGCGTGATCATCGCGCTGTCCTCTCATCCTATCACGGGGGCTGCTTCTGCTCTGCGAGCGGGAAGTGGAAAATCCTTGGTGCGTGACACAGAGGGCACCTTACATAGGCGCTGCTGCTAGCACTGGCCTCGACTCAGCGCCCCCGCCGGCCATCGTCCACTCAGCTTCCACTTCGCGTGTCCTGCTCGGTGCACAATCATCACAATCTCGCAGCCTCTCCACTGCAAATCAACTGGCCCCCGGTCTTGGAGCCGTCGCGAGCAGCTGCTTCAGGATGGCTAGCCTGCGCATTAGACCCCTCTGCCAGGTCCCCAGATGTGTGCTAACCTCCAGAGGTGCTCAAGCGCCGCGAACAGAACGACCAGGGCCACGGGGGTTTCCAACGATGTGCCTGGGCTTGGACTGCGGACTGGCCAATGCTCCTCGACTTGGCGGACAGGGGATCGCCAGGAACACAACGTGGACGGGTCGGTTATGGCTGTATGGAGGAGCGAAGTCGAGGCCGGCGCCTTCATGGCTGCAGTGATGCGATGGTAATAGGTCTGCGATGCCGCTCCAGCCAGGGAACAGAATCATTGACTTTCTTCTCTTCTTCTTCTTCTTCTTCTTCTTCTTCGCAGGACACGGCATCTGATATTGCTACATACTCCATTTCAGCTTGTCAGTCGTCGAGTTCTTGCAGCATATTGTACCTCTGCCTCCACTCCTGCGTGCAAAAGGCCTTTGCATCACTGCCTCTCGCTCCTCCTCTCTTGGCTGTTGGTCAAGGTATCCGGCTTGAAGAAGACTCACAGCCATGGCTCCCATAGCAGTAAAAGCGCCTACTGGCGTCAAACCTACGACGGCTCCGTACAGTGACAAGCCTATGAAGCGTGGTAGGAGCGTAAGGAGAAGCTCTACTCAACGCCGACCACAGCAGCTTTCACCTCATTTCGCACAGACAATGCAAGGGCGGCAGGACCAAGATGAGGATGAAGACGAAAACGAAGACGCTACTATATCCGACCACCCCAGATTGCAGATGTACCGACGTCGAGAACGCCAGAGCTATATCAATCCGCGACAGCATATGCTGCATCTGCCCGACTCAGCGCGACCTGCAACCTCCCGCAGCCATAAGCGGGACTGGAATCACCACAGAGACCGGAGCAGAAGCCCTTCATTCTCCAAGAAGCTGCCGCCATCCGACAGCTTGTCGCAGCAGCCACACATTGAAAGCTACTCCAGCCTAGGGACCTCCTCTATGGGCATGACGAATGAAGAATTCGAAGCGTTACCACCTACTATCCAAAGAAAAGTAAGTCTCTTTTCCTGTTCTCCTCTTGACTCATGCTATGTCTTCTTCTTCTGCTCTCTTTGCCTCGTCTGCTGCAAAGTAATTGCTCTGCTTCGTTTTTACTTTCTCAATATTTCTTTCACTCGGTCCGCTATTGTTTTTGCCCTGCATTCAGCGCAGGGACGCGTTTGCACATGTGGTTTCAAGAGGCATTTGTGACATCAGCAAGGGATACGGCTCGCTAGTTCTCGTTGCAAGCAGGAGCACAAGGACTCAAGGGCAAATAGAAAAGACAGAGGGACTATCAACAGCACAAGGTGCTCTTCCTCAAAGCAGACTAGCTTTATGCTCTGTCTGACTGACCCATACGACGGGACTCGGCTTCGCGATTCTAGCTGGCTGGTCCTTGACGATGAGCAGCAAGCCAAGTATCAAGGATAGCGAAAAGGAGTCTGGATTCGCAGAGATGGGCTCTTCAAGTGGGCTGAAGGCAGAGCCGGATCTCGGCAGCCTTTCTCTCCTCTTCTCCGATGCCATCACTTGCTTATCCGCCCCTCGCTATGATGCCAGACGATGCAATGCAATGCAATGCAATGCGGCTTCACCAATTCCAGTGACAAGCCAGTGGCGCCGGGCGGCTGAATCCGTCCCTGGCAGCTAACTGACACTAGTGTCGTGTCGCCTGTGACCGGCTCCATGGCGCTTGTACATCGTATGCCGTCTCCAGGCTACGGCCGAGAATGGAGACTGTTTGCAGGGCCAGCTCGAGTGAGCTGCTCTGGTTAGTGCTGGTTGTGGGAATTGATATTGGTCTGCCAACGCCTTCCGGCCAACACCTCATTCCACAACCTGTATGGGAGGCAGTTTTATTATGGCAAAAGGACGGATGCCGCAGAATGTTTTGGACAAACATGGTGCCGCTCCTCCGTACCCGGCGTAGTGTACGCCGAAATTCCAAATGAGACTCCCTGCAGGGCGAAAGCATCTGCAAATGGGCCCATACCCTGCCCCCTTTTTTCTCTGGCCGATCGATGTGCGAGTGCACCTGAGCCAACTAGCATGGCTACTAGCATTGCTACTGCTGCCATCTCCATAGTATTGCATCTGAAGCTCCCCACTAGTACGCCACGCCATGGTTCTTCGTTCCTCAGTTGAGACATGCCATCCTCGTTCGAGCTAGAATAGCTATCATTTCATCCGACTACGATACGCCTTTTAGGTAGTCACCTCACTAGCTTGCCAATAACACACATAGCTTTTCTTTACATGCAGCTATATACTTGCCAGGATATCCCCTTTTCTTGTTGTCTCTAGATTCCTATTTTTCCCTTCTGGGAATACACTTCTTTTGAAGCTTTTTGACTGACATCTCTCGTTCCGGTCATAGTATTTTTCCACTTTGGAAAGGCTGCGCTTTGCCCATACCACTTGCTGTGCTGGACATTCGGATCAGTCTCTGGGAGAATATCATTCTACATCATCTTTGGCAAGCGAAGAAGACATCACGCTCGCCTCCGATCACCTCCACCGAGTTCGACCAAACTCTGCTCGTTTCTATCCGAATCAAGCCGATCACTTTTACGGACGGCCAGTCGGCAGTGGAGACAGACAAGCACATACGTCCCATTCCAACTACAAGAGTATCATACTGGATGCTACCGACGAGGCCTTTGTCAAGATAAATAAACGTCAATCGCAGCTTCCCAGGTCAAGCAACTATCTGGATGAACACTATTCTCCAGCACTATATTCTACAATGAACGGCTCTCATAACGATGGATTCACACAGTCTCCTGCAGTGGAGTCAGGGGTAGATTCGATCACAGAAAGCTTCCGATGGCTTGAGGAGGGTGAAGACTTGGACCTTCGTCTTTGCTTGGATGACGAGACCCAGCCCAACCCAAAGCAAGGGAAGAAAAAGCGAGTGCCATTTCCTCGACACCTATCGATTTCAAAACTTTCTTTTGGACGGCCTTCGGTTCAGTTGAGCCGCCCGGGAACCAGAGGAGCAGCTATGGCTTCTCCGGCATTGAGCGAGCAATTCGTATTATCTTCCACGCCAAATCCTTCTGGCCACTTCCGTCGACGGTCTCGAGCCATGTCTCTAATCTCGCCAAACAAGGGCCAGATGTCTGACGACTCTACTCTTGTTGATCAAGCCCCATCCCACTACCAAGATCCTGAGGCTCGCATGAAGCTTCGCGTATACCTCGCTTCCCCGCACAAGTTTGATGAGGCTATTGAGTTTGGATTTCCGTCATATGACATGCAAGGAGGAGAGACCTCTCACGTTCGATCATTCTCACGTCAAGGCTCATCTGATAGGATGCACAATTTGACTAGCGATGATGTCGAGTCACTAATCAGTGACCCTGCGTCGCCTACCGATATGGCCTCGCCGAGAACACCGATGAGCATGGATCACCCATCTGTCGAGCATTCACCACATCTACCACAGGAGGGAACATGGCCTGCCAACTACGCCCAGGCTCCAGCGTCGTCTCGTGAAATGACGCTGCGGATGACACTGACACGGCCTGATCTTCGAGCCGACGAGGAACAAATGTATGGCTGGCAAAAGCCATCATCGGCCAAGCCACAGGCCCATAATGGATCCGCTCAGCCAAGGTCATATGTCCGAGCTACCACTACCAAGGACAGCATCGAGAAGCAATTCGCCGCCTTCGACCAAGACAATGCTAGCGCCGATAACAGCATGGTAAAGCGTTTTTGGAACCGAGTCCGCCGATCATAATAGCACGAATCGCTCTGCAGCTGCTGTTGCTACAACAAACGACAGACAAAAAACTGTATTTCACTCAGGAATTACAAAGGCATTCAACAACAAATGCCATCAGCACTCTCATTAACTGCAGCAAGATTCTCTCTGCGCTCATACCTCTCATTATAGCCTATAGCATGCATAACTATACCCCAACTGGTCCTTTTGTCTCTCATTTAGCATGCTGTTCTTATATCTGTCTTGTTCGATCTCAAAATTTCCCTGTTCGCTAAGAGGAAATTACGACCACGCTCATTTGTCTGTCTGTCTAGCATAGGAAAAAGCGCATTGTTTTTTTATTGGAGTTTCTGGAGGATTTTCATATTGTTTACTGTTTATGATGAGTGATAGGATTGATTGGTTAAAAGCTGCGAGTGGCTCTTGAAGAGGGCTGGTATAATAATATATTGTTAACCAATGTGCCATTTTGGCAACATACCAAATTTCTTTCTTAGTTCTCCTTGATTTCGTGCAGTGAATGCTTCTTCTCTTCTTGCCTCCAGTTGCTCTGCCTAGCCAACCATTCTACCAGCCCCTCCATCAGTCTGTTCACCTTTCTGAACCCAACTTTGTTTTTACTAGTTGCATAGGACATACACTATATATATGCAAGGAAGAACGGTTAGCACGAGCAACACACGCGAACTCATGCATGAAAGCGCATGTGCATACGGCTCAGTAAGTATCGACGAAGCGGTGTAGCCGCCCGAGACATAGATAGTAATTGTACACGTTGCAAGCTAATGCCCATGCTGTTATCATTTTGGCTTATAATGCCCAATGAACTAGAGCTTGTGCGTACGTGTGGATTTCAAGCAGGGAGAGAAAGGATGCGAAGCAAGGGCGGTTTCCTTGTGAGTTGAAGGGATGATGAGATGCATGAGAAGAGATTGCGGCGGTTCTAGGCTCACTTGCATGACGATATTGGCTTTTTTCTTTTTTCTTTTTCCGTTTCCCATTTTGCTTTCTCTTACTAAATGGAAAAGTTGTCCATATCTTATTTGTATGAATGTTATTTTTACTCCTGATGGCTTGTTATAGGGAGAGCGTTGCGTCTTATAGACATGAGTGGGAGCAGATGACATGTTGCCTTGGTAGATATTACTACAATCTCTACTGCGTAGCCTTTCTCATCTTATGTTAGCCTCAAGTAGACAAGCACTAGTGCAAAACCCTCTCGCATCTGGCATGTACAAATATCCTGAAATTGACAATGAACCTTTCGCTGAAAAATGAAACACATTCACGGCAGCTTGATGCCGCTATATAATCCAACAAATACTCCTCCTCCTCCTATAGATAGTTTTGATACATGCAACACGGATTGCCACCATTCGTATACTCTCACATATCTGCAAATCCCTTTCGTCTCGCTCACACTGCCTCTGCCTCTGTCTGTCTATTTTTTTTCCCCTCCTTTTTTTCCCAATTCCTTCCTTTATACCTCCTCATCGCTCTCCTCACCCAGCAGCTCACCCTCATCATCCAAAGCCGAGTAGTCGCCTCGCCCACGAGCAAAGCTGTCCCGTGTTGTAAACCTCCGTGTTCCTCTTGAGAACCAGCCGCGGTCATTGCCTTGGCTGTATCGCCCAAATGAGCTGGTTGCCAAGCGGCCCAAGCTGGACAGCATCACTGGCAAGGAGACTACTACTGCTGCGACGGCTGATACGGCAATGATGGGATACTTGACCCAAGGCTGGTCACTATCAAAAGTCGACGAGTTCTCTCCAAGACGAATCTGACCAAACTTGCCGTTCCAGTTGCGATATACGTACCAGCCCATTATACCAGCGAGAACAAAAGGAATAATGACGGCGAAGAAAATTACAACGCCTGATGTGCGATGCTTCTTCTTGAACTCATCTTCGTGACCCTTGCAAGGATGCTCTGTTGACGTCTTATCCAGCTCATTACCACCACTGCAGGTCGACAAGGGAACTCTGCGGTAGCCTGTTGGTTCATAGTATGACGTCTCGTTAGGATACTTGTCGCACCATTCGGCTCCGGTAATTGGTGTGAAGCCGTTGACAAGCTGGCACTGTCCGTGGTTATCTAATTCGAAATTGAAATCACTAAGAAGCATTGTGTCAGTTCCAAGTTGCCACCTATACACGGATTCAAGAGTTTTCCCTCACCATTCATAATCTCGTCGGCTACAAGCACAGTCTTCGTGTTCGTAAAGGCGCTGAAGACTCTGCTTATTGTAGCACTTGCGGTCCGTCTTCTTGCGCAGATACTTGGCAACATGCCCGAATAAACAATCGTCATCTTGCAAAGGATGCTTAGGAGACCACAGATAGTAGTCGGAGTCGCTGTTCTTGGTGAATTCGCAAGCCTTGTCGGCCAAGCCAGTGAAATCGATGTTCACAGAGAAGAGCTTGTTTTGGCCGGATTTACACCACAGCAAAAAGTTACGGGATGTGCCGGATCTCAGGGTAGTAATATCTAGGACCGATACGTCAGAGTCGGCAAACTCAAAGTCCTTCCATGTGTTGCCCTCATCTGTCGAATACGAGACATAGCGGGTCTTGACCGGGTTATTGCGTGTGTATCTTTGGACGAGGACAATAATCGAGCCCTGGTCTCCGTACTGCCACGACCAACTGCCCTTTTTGACGTTCTTCCAAGAAATGCCGCCATCAACCGACATGAACGTATCCGAGTCCTTGATATTGCCAAGCTTAGAACCGACGTTACCAACACCGAAGATGAGACCTACAGCCGTAGCCGCTGCAAAAGTCTTTCTCTTGTCATCTCGCTCAGTGTAGTGGTGCAGGTGCAGGGCACAAGACTCGTCTCCCTTGGAGCTGCTGCACTGATAGGATTTTCCATCCACATCCTTGGCAGGGGGCGCCAAGTAACCCCATTCGGAGCCATCATTGTGAGAAATCTTGGTCTGGATATCTTTTGTCTTCTCATCCTTGCCAGCGTTCGCAACAACGTTGATCAAAGTAACGCCCTCGAGGCCCGTAACCTTTTCAAAATCCACATACGTCTCCTCGTTGCAGTTGACATTGGCTGCGCTGAGGACATACGACGTGCCGTTGGAATTGCTCTTAATGACTGAGCCATACTCTCTGTCGGCGCCGCCCTCGGTACGGACGAACAAATTGATAGCATGAGTAGAGCTGTCAAGTACCGTATACTCATTCTCGTGGCCTTCGTGGAAGTTGTACGGAAAGTGAGCCTTTTCAAAGTGCTTCCCGTCGATACTGGCAAGAGCGTGCACAACTTCAGTTTTTGGGTCCCTGCTGGCTACAACGATGAATTCATTCATGGTCGCAAAGTTGATAACTGGCCCATCATAGACGGTCTTATCCTCTTGGAAGAAGTCGTCGCTGGTTATGATAGTCAGCTTAGCATCGTTATTCTCCTGTGCTCTGGCAAGGCAGACGACCTGCTTCAGAGACCGGAAGTTGTACGCCGAGTGGCCGGTGAACTCGCATCTCTCTGCAAAGCGAAGCATTGTCTTCCAATTGTCACCGCGATCGATCGAGATTGACGCTTCTTTGAAACATGTTTTCTCTCCTCCAACTTTATCGCAAGTCTTGCCAACCCAGATGAGCCAGTCTTTCTTATCAGGATGGAAAACCAAAGGGAATCCATCTCCATGTTCTGTTGGTGCTTTGAAGCTGTGGAAGCTCTGGCCACGGTCAATAGAATAAATGACCTTGTCGCTGTCTTTGGTAGTGAAATAAACTACATCTTTGAGATAGGCATGAGGATGAATTCCCTGGATTTTCTCGCCTTCCAAGATGCGTTTGAAAGTCTTGCCATGGTCATTAGTTATCCAGAGCTTATGCTCAATTTTATAACGACCACCTCCTTCATCTTCAGCGGGTCTAACAATGACAGTCTCATCATCGGAAGCACTGGCATCGCTTCTGTCAAGATAAATCTTTTGGAAATCTTGAAGCTTGGTATCAAAGATGAATTGCTTGCTGGTAACGTCTCCATTTGCCGGGGAGGACGGTTTGCCCGGTATGGTGATATCATCACACTTGCGCTCAACCGGATCATCTTTTTGATCACCCTTGGTTCGCTTGCAGGTATTGCCGGGGATGAGCCTCCAGCCAGAGGAGCCCTTGAAAGTATCGGATTTGTCCTTGCAAGTACCTTCGGGGGCTGGGATGGGCCCAGCTTTGTTGCAAACCTTGTTGTCGTCTGGATCTCTTCTGAAGTTGTAGTCACACTCAAAGTCTGCATCAGTACACTCGCAGTCTTCGGTGCTGGCAACTGGATCTTTGAAGTTACTCTTGATGAAGCAGTCTGCTGACTTCTTCCGGCGACGGTAGGTTTGCTTGTGGCCCATAATACATGTTGGCTTTCCATCGTCATCCACGCGGGCATACCAATCTTCTAGGTCTTTATCCTCACAAGTCCGCTTATCCAGGGCTCCAAAGTCAATAGCAACCATGTGAAAGGCCTTTTCCTTTTCACCGATGAGGAGAAACTTCAAGCTGGTCGAGTCCTGCGTTGTCGTAAGGAGCACGGGTTTGATAGTGAGCTTGTCGGGCAACGAGACTGATTCCCAGTGTTCTCCATGGTCCAAAGAGTAGGAAAATTCAGAAACATCGTCTTTCTTGGAATCTTTGACAGCAACCAGAATCGATCCCTGGTCACCGAATTCATACTTGTGAGGCCCTTTCAACGCCTCCTTCCAGGTCATACCGGCATTATCTGAGACATAGAGGTTGGCATCTGCAAATTTGCCAAGAGACTTGCCCGTATTGCCGTTACCCATAACAAGTCCCGGGGCAGGGCTAGTGAAAACTCTTCCCACGTTGTCGAGTTCGGTGACTGAGTGGAGATGGATCCTGTCATCGCCAGCTTTGATCGACTCAAACGTTCTGCCGTCGTCAAAAGTGATCTGGGTAACGACCTTTTTTCCAGCGCCCTTCTTGTCTACATCGGCACCGTTATCCACCACGTTGACGATAAATATTCCCTGAATACCATGGACTTTCTCGAAGTCGACATGTCCCTTGTTGTTGCGGTTGGTGTAAGGGACGTTTTCGGTGAAGTAGGTTCCGTTGGAATTACTTGTAAACAAAACGCCCATGGGGTGTGACGGTGAAGAGGTCATGACGTCAATCTGAATGCTGTAGTTGGTACTTTCCAGAACAGTGTATGCCTCCTGATTGATCTGGTGCGAGTGGTCATGGTTGTCGCTGCTCGGGAACATGGCGCGGTGCCACTTGAGAGTATCGTCAGTAACGTATAAGG